GGAGGGGTTAAATTTTCTTTTCTTCACAAATAAAAGATAGACCTCCCGCCCCACCCCACACAAAGAACAAAAAAAAAGCCCCCCCCCCCCCCCCCCCCCCCCCCCCCCTTCGCATGGCTGACCCGCATTTTCGACATATCACTTTCAGTGCGATACGGAAGTTCAGCTTCGTGCGCTATGCAGAGCTGATAGGTGGGTCGAATTGTATGCAAACCTTCGGGACGAAGCGATCCGATAGTGTGCGGGTCCAAATCTGCTCGGTGTAATTGCAGCGCACGGAGTCTCCAAGGCTAGCATTCCCGGGAATGATATCAACGTATCCAATCATTGATATATATTTGACATATCATTCAATTCTGTCCATTGTGAGAGAAAGATGTGATGTGAGAGGAATCAAACTATTGGGTGGAGCACGCCGATCTTCGTTGATCATGACCCCCCTGAACGACGTGAGAACTCTGTCCAATGCGTTCATGCGGGTTGGGCCAATGACATGAACGTGCCGTAGTCTGGCATGCTTGTCTTTGCATCTCACAGTCACATCCCGCGCATTGTATCGGGTAGCGATGAGCGGTTGATCTGTCGCACGAGGATTCCAGCCTCCTGAGTGGTATACCATTAATGGCGCAGATATGTTCTCCGTACTTTGGTCAAGAGTCCCCACTAAACAAGGCTGAATCAGAGCTGCAGCGCGGCAGGTAGCTTTTCTGTCACAATTGTCATAGCTCGGCACTTTTTTTCTCTTTCGTCGGGATCTCCATGTAATTGGGCTGGAGGCAAGGGGTTGGTACCCCCGTGGCCGTCTGGCGGTGATGAGTGGAGGCTGGAGACTTGGGTCACAGTGCATGAGGAATGTTGGAAAAGGTTGTGTCCGAACCTCATGCAACAACACGAATCAGGACTTTGAGACCCGTGGGATTATCGCTGCCATGATGAATCTCATTGTGCGACATATGGCTTCTTGATTCGAGACACGGCGTAGGCAAAGCCATGCATGCATCCTCCGGGGGAGAACCCTGCAGGCAAACAGTTGAGCTGCAAGTCCACGTCTCCATGTACTGTATAGAGTATCAACAAGTTAGACCGCGTGTGGTGCAAAGGTCTCGTACAAAGGTGTCAACCAGTCTGAAATCAGGCGCCAACAGGCATATTCAGGCACCAAATTGATCTTTTAACCGTTCTCTTGTACTCCGCATAAGTCTTCTGGTATGAATAATTCGAAATTATTCTAGCTCTATATTTTGTTTTTCTCTATTCGTCCTCGCATTGGATGATTATCAAGTACATGTTTTCCCATCCTTTTCACCTTCTCTTTGGCCCGGCCGCGGTGAGAAAATCGAAATCAGCCCCTTCCTGGGCCTGGTTGACCGACCGTTGATACAAACCAGTATATCCCCTCTTGGTTTGGATATCATCCGTGCGAGCGGACTGCTCACTGCTCAAAGCTCTCTCAGCAAGGCGCTCATCGATCTCTTGCTGGCCAAGATTCAAGTGCAGCACCCTCTTTTCAGCATCACAGGTGATGATATCACCGTCTCTCACTATTCCCAGGGCAGATGTTGGCAAAATTGCCTCTGATGAGACGTGGAGCACAATTCTGCCACCAGCTGTGCCAGACATTCTCCCATCGGAAATTCTCAGCATGTCTGTGACACCCGCGGCGGCAAGCTTCCGAGGCAGCGGGATCATTCCAGCTTCAGGCATACCTGGGTTTCCAATGGGGCCGATCGCCTGCAAAACAAGAACTGAATCTTGGGTCACGTTGAGATCAGGGTCATCGATTCGAAGTGCCAGATCGGCACTGTTTTTGAACACAACAGCGGGCCCGGTGTGGCACAGCAGACGTCGATCTTTCGATGCAGAGGCTGTGATGATGGCGCCCTCAGGTGCGAGATTTCCTTTCAAAACTACCAATGACGACGCAGGGTACAAAGGGTTGGACAATGGTCGAATGATATCTTGCGAGTATGGGAATGTTCGGAAAGGGGTCTTATCTAAGACCTCACCGAGAGTGACACCGCTGATTGCCATCGCTGAAAGGCGAAGCAACGGTCTGAGGGTGTGCAGTAAGGCAAGCATACCCCCTGCATTATGGAAGTCTGTCATATAATTATCGCCACTGGGCTTCAAATCTATGAGCAAAGGAACCTTTCGCCCGATATCGTCAAAGGTTTGCAATGTTATATCACCGCTTCCACAGAGATCGGGATGACGGTTGACGATCGCCATCAAGTGCACCACAGCATTGGTCGATCCTCCAATTGCCTGGAGCACCGTTATAGCGTTATAAAACGACTCTTTGGTCAAAATAGATTGAGAGGACCGTTTAACTCCCGCTGCAGCTACAGCATTCGCGCCTGTCTCTTCCACAATTCGGAGTCTTGCGGATAATACAGCAGGCGCAGATGCACCACGGAGAGGCATCAGTCCTAATGCTGCCGTAATGCATGCCATAGTGCTAGCAGTTCCCATTACTCCGTATATTCCAGCCTTTGGTTCATCAGTTGGCATTTCCTCGTATTGAGTTGAAGTGGACTCACTGTGGGTGCTAGCTCTTCGTTAAGGGATGCAATATCTTCTACGTCTAGACTTCCAGCGCGGAACGCAGTCCAGTTATTCCGACAATCTGTACAGGCTCCGATCCGTTTCCCCTTATAGCTCCCTGCCATCATTGGACCAGTAACCAAAAGCAGTATAGTTTTGTTTGCGGACAAACCTCCTATAATCTAAGCGGGTACAGTTTTATCGCATCCTATTTTCGGTCAGCACTATCTTATACATAAGGAAAGGAAGGAAACACATACCACCTATCATGATGCAAGCATTAACGGGCTGGGCTTTGATCATTTCCTCGGTGTCCATACTCATGAGATTCCTCAGGAACATGCTTGTTGGGTAAGAAAACGATTCATGGATGCTGATGGTGGGGAAATCGATGGCGAGCCCGCCATTCAATTGAACACCCCGATTGGCTGTTTCATTGAGCTGTGGCATTTTCGCATGACATGGGTTAAAGCTTGAATATGTGTTGATGATCCCAATGATGGGTCTGGACAGAGCATCTTCACTATAACCAAGGGCTTTGATGAATACCTTCCTCAAAAACAGAGAGAAGTGGACATCTCCATAGGATGTGAGTCCTTGCCGCAAACCTGTCGACGCGACCAATGGTCTCTCAATGGTATAGTCCTCTTCGGCAAAGGTAGCCATGATTAAGGTCCTGTGTCGAGGACAGACAGCCTCGGGTGCTTCAGACTTTACCCGCAACTTCAATTGGTCTTTGCAGAAGAGCTCTCGTTATTCTCGAGGACTGGATGTATCAAATGCCAGTAAATCATGAAATTCGATGGTGTCGCGCCAGGTCTCTTTATATCGGAAGCGTGCCGCTGGGGAAAGCGGGAAGTCCGAGAAAAGCCTCAACTGGGCAGATGATGGGAGATTAGATGCCGGACAGCTCCGTTGGGTCGCACTACACCTGGATCATTCTTAAAGGTATCCCGGGGTACTACAAACACTAGAAACTTCTGCCAAAAAACTTGAGAAAAGTGTACTCTTCGCTTTCCCCAAGATCACTTTGTGCACTCCCACGCTATCACCTTACTTGAAACTACTGCCAAACACAAAACAAATTCTGAAACATCATGCTATCTCTCAACGGAAAGGTCGCCCTCATTACTGGTCTCAGCCAGAGCCATTCTGAGGGATGGGGGATTGGCGCCGCTATCGCCGTTCTGCTAGCTCGACAAGGTGCCAAAGTTTTTGGCGGAAATCGCACTCTTGCCTCAACAGTCTCCACCAAAGCAGCCATTGAAGCTGAAGGTGGAATCTGCGATGTTGTGGAAACCGACGTGACATCAAGCTCTTCAACCAAAGCTCTCGTCGATGCCTGTATAGCAAAGCATGGACGTATCGACATTCTCATCAACAATGTGGGGAGATCAGAGCCGGGCTGCCCTGCCACTATGTCAGAGGAAACCTGGGATTCCCGAGTCGATTTAAATCTCAAGAGTGTATTCCTGATGTGCCAGCATGTTTTACCCATCATGGAAGAGCAGAGAAGTGGTGCCGTCGTTAGCGTTGCAAGCATCGCTGGTTTGCGCTACATCGGGAAACCTCAAGTCGGATACTCTGCGACAAAGGCTGCGATCATGCAATTGATGAAAGCAAGTGCAGTCATTTATGCTCCGAATGGCGTCCGATTGAATACCGTTGTTCCGGGGTTGATGGATACTCCTTATACAAAGGGCTTGGTGTCCAGATACGCTGTTGATGGCCAAGCCGAAGAGTATATGAAGATGCGAAACGTACAAGTTCCCATGGGAAAAATGGGTGATGCCTGGGATGTCGCTAATGCCACATTATTCCTCGTCAGTGATGAAGCGCAATACATCACCGGACAGGAACTCGTTGTCGATGGTGGTATCACATCGTCGACAGGAAGAACATGAGTTTCAGAGCCAAAGATGGATTCTGTTCTATCTGTATCTAGACCAATGCCAATTTCTCCAGAATTAACAAAGTAATTGAGGAATGTGGTGAATATTTTACTCATCTTTCGGATTTAATGTGCAAAAAACGCAGAGACCTCATATTAGCCCCCGTGAAGTCTGGTTCTTTTTTTGAAAGCCCCGCTAGGCACTCATGCAGTCAGAATGGTTTCCTCCTAAGTCTGTGTACAATCTAATGATATTCATTGACATGAGATATTTGATGCATTTTAATGTTATATCCTCTCTTTGTCTAAACTTGAAGTGAGGAAGAGGGTTAAAACCCGAGGTTATGGCAGCATGTAGGAAAAGGCATGTTGTACAAATGTCGCCAAAGGATAACAGGTGCTTGGCTGTGTGATTGGCAGCCCAGACATATTCACAGATATCTCGAACATGGAAAATTTGGGATCGACGATTATGACCAGTCAGCAAGCAGAGTAGTGTGACGAGCTCTGGACACCCGAGCTGCTTAAGCAGCCTCGGTACGTGGCTTTTGGTGCTCTTTTGCGATGGGTAGGAACTTTGTATGCGAGCCCTTTGAGACCAGAGGGCCGACTTCACCATCGACGACCTTCGAAATTCTGATGGTTGTAAAGGCCATGGTCTTGCCCACTCGATCCGCATCAGCAAAGATATCCAAGGTTTCCCCCACCATAGCAGTCGAAAGATATGTGACATGGATATCCACGCTGGCTCCTGTTTTCTCAAATCCGCGGGTGGCTATGGCCATGCCGCCAGCCCAATCAATGATAGCTGCAGAGACAGCTCCATGGATGGTGCCGCGGGAGTTGACATGATCCGCGGTAAGCTTGAGTCGAGCCTGGAAGTGGCCGTGCGTGGCGCCGACAATCTCAACGCCCGAAAGAACAAGGCGATAGATGGCGCTGGCGTCCTTGGCGCGCTCCCAAACCCCGCGGACATGCTCTAATGTGGAGTTGTCCATAATTGTGATAAGTGACGAGATTAGAGGAGAGTATAGAGAAATGAAGAACAGGTTGGAATAACAAGACTTTGAGTCCCAACAAAATGTTGCAGGCGAATTGGCGGGGTGTTGTGCGCGGCTGGGAGCCGAGTCGAGCGGAGTGTGGGCCGCGTTGGACGGGACCGATCCCGGGGACTGTCACATAGTAGAAAAAATGTAGAAAATAAACTGACCCGCCTTGGTAGTATCGAGACTTTAACGATTGATGGGGTTATACATAAATAGGGCTGTTCGAGTTTAGAGCTATCATACAGCGGATTGCTTCCGCTTTAGGGGCGAATCGCATCGACCGGCTGGTTGTAGGGTGGGTAGAGAGAGAGAGAGAGAGAGTTGAATTAAACAGTTGAAGTAATCTCAAATATATGAAAATACAGATTTTTTTTTTATCAGAGTCCAACTTTCAACGCATTGGGAATTCGATTGGATTTCTGTACACGTATCGCATCCACACAGGCTGGGCTTCACCATGACAACGACCATTGCTTAGTCGCTATTGTTACAATGGCTAAAAAGCACCAGCCTGCTTGATTGAGAGCACCGGCACTCTCAACGGCTCTGCTGGATTGAATTTGACATTTTTTAACCTGGGCCCGCATGGGATATCAGGTGTGTTATATGGGTATTCCTTCTCATCGGGGTTAAAAGGCTCAAACACTTCAGCGATCTTCAAACGAGGAATCAGAGCTGTATTGCTTGGCGGTGCTTCATTGATCAGTGTGGTACCGTTGGGGTTTGATCCGGGGAATGGTCCTAGGTGCACACGCGGCTCACGCCAGATAGTAAAAGTAGCAGTTAGCATCGCCCATAACTCCACATCTCTTCTAGCCATCCCTTAGACGTACCTCATCTCTGATGTTTTCCGTCTCTGGCTCATTGTGCATCGCCGTGGACGCCGATCCACTGGGCCTTCAACTCGCCCACAGCTTGAACATCACGTCCCCCATTCATGATAGCCACGTCCGGGGTACGTCTGTAGCTGCTGTTCGAGGCTCTGAAGTCGCCAAATTCCAGATCCAGGCCCTGAGACCCAAACACTGCGTTCATGACGTGACCCATATTGTGGTTGAACCGACCTTGTAGACCGTTTTCATCGCCAATGGCCAATTGTTCGTTGGCTATGTTATGTAGCCCGAGTGGCTCTAAAGGTAGGATGGTGATCGTACTTTTGTGTCGTTCCCAGTTATGCTGCTGGAATCCGGCATTAACATCTTGCTCAAATGTGTTCCACCTGTGTAAAGGCCCAATGTACTTAATCGGGTGCAAAGCGCTCGATTTGGTGCGATTGGCCCCAACCCGCAGAGCGGGTATTCTCTCCTCAACCATTCTCTTCGCCCGTTGGACTGATCCAACCAGCTTTCGCAGACTTCGTAATGGAAAAAATGATGAAAAAAGTGTGTGGGAATGCTCCGTTTGAGAAAAAGGCAGTAAAGCGAAGTGATGTGAGAGTGAAGAGATTCCAGAGGCGAAGAGGTCTGCCTAACATGGTGCGAGAGCGTGACGATAGTCCATTTCATGACCCCAGACTTCCTTTTTGCGCAATTATTTGCGCCCCAAAACGTGTCGATCCAGCTCCAAGAATGATCACAGACCATACTTGTGTCGGTCTTGTGGAACTTGAATGGGAATATGTGGGCAACCTCGAGAATGGAGTTGCTGTGCGGAATAAATTGCCGAGGTGGGCCAATCCAAGATTTGTGGGTGGCATCGATGATTTGTGTCCAGCAAGGTCAGAGGCTAGTAGCCTGCTAATCTGTACATGAGGGACTATCGCAAAAAACTGCTCCTTCGTTCTCGCCTGATAACAGTGCGGTTGGGGGGAGCTGTTCAGGGTCACTGATCAGGATGGCCATGCGCTGTTTCAAAAAGTCCGTCAAAAGGATCGTGCTGTCCTCTTCCAGGCATTGCCCAGTCTCATCGCATAAGAGCGCGTATGGCTCGAACCTCATCTCAGGCCCATTTAGAGATAGAACGCGACAAGGAGTGAGGGGTAAGATATTACAAGTGTGAAACAGAGAAAGTCCTGGGGGATTGCATGATATAGGAAACAGCAACAAACCGGTCCCACCTACCCTAACCCTGGACGGTCAGATACGTCTATATATGATCATCTGATATGATCATTTCATGTCTCCTCTTTCTCCTTGGCATTAAAAGAAAAAATCATTCCGAAACCGTACATCCATGTAGATTATCAGATTCCATTCCACAGCACAGGAGACTCGGACTCTGAAATAAAAACACGCCAAGTACAGCTTGTTTTGATGCCGGTCAAGTTCCATTGAAAAGGCTAAAATTGCAGGTTGTGACGATTTGCTACTATCACATGTTTGCTTTCCATGTGTTTGCGCGTTTGCATACTTTTCGTACTCTGTACTATAAGAGCAGCTCTCTCCATGGATCTCCATAGTCTTCTTCATCTTAGTTCTCTCCGTCGAATTAGACCTTCATCTTCTGTGAAGCTTTACCTCCCTCACACAGGTGTGCCAGATCACCTGCTCCTTAAATGACGGTGAGGACAACAAAGGCCCGATGATATTTTCTTTGGGGGGCTCTCCAGCTACATCGCTTGTGATAAATTTCCCGGAAATTCATTGACACCAACACCACTATGTCTTTGGGGCCTGAGTTGTCATGATCGTGCTATCACTCACAAATGGAGGCACAATCAGGAAACACGAGCCGAACCGTGGAAATCATGTTGAGACATTGGTAGGCCATCCATCAGAACGAAGAGTGGGAACCAGCCCTCCTTGACTTGGAGGCAGTATTGAATATCTTGCATAACGACCGAACATCTACTGACACTGCCCTCGCTGAGGATCAAACTTTCTTGAAGTCCCAAGATCTCCTCCATGGTTTATCCGCTCCACATGGCTTCACCAATCGTATGGAACCCCATTAAGCGCTCGCTGTGAGTTTCACCGATGCCGAGTTTCAGTAAACCATCACTTTCGTTTCTGTTATTCATGTGAAAACTAACGTATTGAGAAATCAGTTCCTACGTTGGAATCAAGCTGGCGATTTCTCAAGTGCTAGCTCGACAAAAAACATATATGATGATGGGCTCAATTCAATGTAAGCCACGCGCCTTATTATGAAGTCCACCACCGGGTGTATGCTGATTTGCTTCATTCTATAGCAGTGAATGGCAGGCCTGAGCAACCAATACAGAAACCGGGCGAAGGCTTATACTCAGACTGTCATCGAGTATGAGTCGCTAGCTGAACGAATTCAAAGTGAAACTGCGTTGAAGAACCTTGCAAAAGAGAACATCGTCTTGTCCTTGGAACTTTAAAAGAAGCGCTCAAAGATTTTGTTCGCGATCCCAGAATGGTCTGGCACGCCTTCAATGACTCCGATCTTGTTGTGTAGGGAGACCGCCCAGCCCCAAATAAGTAGATAGCTCTCGCTCCTTAGCTTCCTCCCTCTCTCTTCTTCTCTCTCCCCGCAGAGAATGATTCAATCGGTTCTTCTTCCGCTTTCTCTCACCGTGCTCTCTCAACAGATCTGATCAGCCGTCACCATGGCTCGCGTTAAAAACACCTTCCTGAAGAACAAGTCCGGCGCTTCGCAACCCGATCAGAAGCGCAAGGCTGATGAGGACGAGAGCCCTCTCTCCACCCCTATCAAGCTCCGCAAGCTCCCCAAGCGTATGGAAGAGCGCAGGGAAAAGGAACTGGAGTTCAAAGATTCATCGAGAGCTGAATACCGAGCTAGCAAGCAATATCGAGTCGGCTAGCAACCCCAAAAATGAACTACTTAAAATTCCTTCGGCTTCCTAACTCAATCACCACCAAGACAAAGCAGCCCTGTAGATTGAGGAGCCAGCAGTCCAGTAAAAGCGGAAGACAACAAGGAGAAGATGGGAGTCAAGTGTCCAAAACAACTTTATGACTTATAATACATCGATACCTAGGTAGTGGGAGAAGTGGAAACGCGACAAGAGCCTGAGTTTGCATGGGTCTTGAATCCTTGATGATAGTGACCAGTCAATTTCTAAAGTTATTTACTACTTAAGTAGGTTTCCTGATGTCACTAAAATGGGGAATAGTGGAAGCGACAACTACTAAAAAATACTATTCTCAATAGTCAATGGCCTTTCCACAAAATGAAAAATCGACGCTAGATCCTGACAGGTCCGAAACCAGCAATAAGCAGACACTAGCTCGGATAATAATCCGGGGAAGCCAGTATAATATTTTCTTAGCACGTTATCCTCTTGACGAAACGGTTAATCGAAACTCCGTGAGATTCGCGATGCGAAATTATGCTCTCATATTCCAAAAAAAGAGAAATTAAGAGTCAGAGGAGGGGAAGGCCGATCCTGACCGTTTTGGGGTAGCCTGGACCGAGACAGTATGGGGAATTAATATCATTAATATTGCTATTATGTACGAGTGGTATGGAGAATCCTATAAGTTAAGTAGGTCTTTCCGTAGTATTTCGTTTATGTCTTCGCTGCCAACATGATGTTCAATATGCTTTGGGCGGCAAAAGTCATTTCTGTCTTCATATTTTCTATTGCAAGTGCACTCCCTAATAGCCCGTCTCGACAGCATCATGAATATGACATCGTGGTTGTTGGTGGAACCTCAGCTGGATATGCAGCAGCAATTCAAGCTGCGCGGTTAAATCGAACGGTGGCATTACTCGAGGTTTCAAAGCATGTCGGGGGGATTGCAATTGAAGGCGCCGGAGCATCGGATATTGATTCGCAGGTGGGCTTGGAGCCAAATCATTCTCCTTTTCATTCACTTTCTCATCGTTCTCCAACTTCTGTGTAGAGCAATTTTCAAAACTCTTTGACAGTCGGTCCTCTCGCACTCGAGTTCTACCGCCGTGTTGCGGGCCGGTACAACAACACCAAGGCATTTGATGAAGCGTGGGTCAATCACACGAAGAGAAAGGATTTATGGAGATTTGAAAGTCATACAGGTCAGTCTGTGATCGAAAATTGGTTGGCTGAAGAGGAAAATCTCGATGTTTACCTGGAGACGGCCCTCAAAGGGGCGGGAAACGGCGCTGGTGTTATCAAATCAGGTGCAGTGATCAACGCAATCAAAACAGAATCTGGGGATATTTTCTCAGCGCATTACTTTATCGATGCTACCTACGAAGGAGACTTGCTTGCTGCTGCAGAAATTCCGTTTACCATTGGCCGCGAGGCCATCGGAGCCTACAATGAAAGCCCCGCTGGCATCCAGCACAATACTACATTCTCACAGTTGACTGCTGATATTGATCCTTACTGGATAATCGGAGATAACTCAAGTGGTCTCATTCCTACTGTCCAGGACCAGGCGTTGGGAAAGGCGGGCGACGGGTGAGTGCTCTAATCCCTTGGGGACAATCTTTCGTTCACCTAACAGAACATCTTGTTTGAAGTGACAAGAACATCCAAGCTTTCTCGTGGCGTCTTTGTCTCACCAACAAAACCTCTAACCTTGTTCCCTTTCTTCAACCTGATGACTACAACGCATCTCAGTACGAGATCTACAAGCGATACGTCAAAGCCGGTGGATCCATCTTCAACCCTAGTGTTGTACTACCAAACGACAAGACAGACATCATTGGCAGCGCCACAGAAGGACTTGGCTTTGACATGCCGGGCCGCACATTGGAATGCACCGAGGGAAACCATCAGCAGAGGGCCAAGATCTTTAAGGAATTAGCGCAATGGCAGAAAGGTACCAATGGTCCCGGATCAAAACACCAAATGGGACGGGGCAATTGTCTCTTTTGCTTAACTCTTCTGCATTGGCTAACATCAATTGATATTAGGCCTACTCTATTTCCTCGCCAATGACGAGTCTATGCCAGCACAGACACGAGCTGAATGGTCCAAATGGGGTTATGCGAGGGACGAATTCACTGACAATGAGCACTTCCCTCGCTCCATGTATGTTCGCGACGGAAGGCGCATGATAAGAGATGACATTGTCGTCTCGACCCATAATACAGAATACGACTATCCTGAGATATCTGTTAGGGACCCTATTCTCACCAACTTGTGGCCAATTGTAAGCCGGTCACCATCGAACTCACATGGCATGTGGGGATAATAACAGTGGATTCAACGCAGGATGTACACTCAACCAGACGAATTGACCGGAATGGTAAAATCTATGACGAAGGCTTCCTTTGGAAGCAGGGATCTGACTGGAAGGTGAGAATTTCAACACTATAAGCTCTTCTTAAGATAGCTAACACAACTCGGATGCAGCCCTGGCTTTTGTCCTACCAAGCAATAGTTCCCGAGTCTTCTAGATGCAGGAACCTCTTTGTTCCAACCTCGCCGTCCAGCACGCATCTTGGCTTTAGCTTACTCCGTGTTGAGCATACATTCATGACTATGGGGCAAGTCTGTGCGTTTGCAGCAGATATAGCCATAGAAACAGGTGCATTGAGCGCTGAGACAGTTGACTACAGCTTGCTTCGTCAAAAGCTAGACTCTACTGGTTTTCTGTTGAATGCAACAGCAGCTACTCTTCCTGATCGTGTGCCAAGCTCATGATCGCTCTAGCTGTGTCATTTGCTACCCAGCTGTTAAAATGGCTCCACAAAAGACAATGCAGCTGGACCGATTCTTCGGTTTATTTGATAAACACCCAGATAGTGCAGAGCACTCTCCCTTCGTTAGATTGTCCCCGATTACGATATTTGCGTCATTGACCATATAACTTTTCCAGAGCTAAATCACATATTTCAAAGACAGCGAGAGTGGCCGATGTCCAGTCTTTGATTTTTTTCGAAATTTGCATCATGGTTCAGAAGAATTGAGACCCTGGCCCTGTAATCTTCTACTTTGTGATATAATTTCCTTTCTATTTACATAGTCTGTGAATTTATGATTTTGATAATCAACGAATCCCAGAATTTATGAAATTAGAATGCTAGAAAGCCGGTTGCCCAGTGAGCTTAGAAGTCCTGGGTGACTCTAGATGATTTCCGAGCGTTCAATTCAACATCACTTCGGTCTTTCTTGTTCAAGCGTTTGGACTATGTCCCCTAGACTTTTTCAACCTCTTCCACCTGCTCTTTCTGCATCGCATCCTCCTTGCTATTGGCAACAGCGCCACCAAGACCCGATCCAACAAACTTCTTTGACCTCCACGCAGGCAGCTTTGCTGCAAACAGTTCATCAATCTCCTCAAGCCCTCTTCCTTTGAGCTCTGGCATGAAAAACCAAACCCATATAGCACCAACACCGGCAAATCCTGCCCAGATATACCCAAGCTTGGCACCGAGATTAGCGCCTGGGGTGGAGAGAAGGTATGGGGTGGTATAAACGACCACGAACCCAACCACAACATTGAAAGCTGTGGCAATTGCCATAGTCTTCTCTCTCAAAGTCGCAGTTCCCACCTCTGCAGCCGTGATGTATGCAGAGGGGCCCAACGTAGCGTGTAGCACCGCAGCATACAGAATAAAAGATGCGACCAAGCCGTTAGTGTCACCGGTTGTTCGGTGAGGCTTCGAGCCGAGTCCGCCAATCAAGCAGAGGAAGACTGTTTGGAGCCAACATCCATGGAAAGTAACGTCACGTCTTCCAAATGTGTCAAAGAGAATCATTCCGATCATGGCCGTCACAACAGAGACACCGTTGTTGATTGCCTAGGGAAAGTAAGTATACGGAGTAGAAGGAATATGGTAGGAGTACATACTGCATATGTGAATGCCATGTCTCCTAGTCCGACCTTCTTGTAGAAGGTGGGTCCATAGGAGCTGCTGAAGGTGACACCCGTGAGCTGCTGTAGAGCCATGATGGCCAAGGCAATAGATGTACGGCGTCTGTTCGCAGAGTTGAAAAGTGCAGACCATGGTGCCTTCTCACTGTTGTTATCTGAGCTTTCCAAGGCAACAATTTCAAGCTCACAGAGGCCACTATCGTTGGCTTGCTTATTACGGATCCGCTGCAGAGCCTTCAGTGCTTCGGATCGGCGACCTTTGGAAATGAGCCAGCGCGGTGAATCTAGAAAAACGTCAGTACCAGCAATTTTGTACACAAGAGACATGTTGTTTTCTGAGAACTTACTAGGAGTAAAAGGAAGCCCGGCGAGAATAATGACGGCGGGTACTCCTTGGACACCAGTCGCGATCATCCAACCTGCATCAGAGCTGTACTTGGACAAATACTGGTTCGCAATTCCGGCTATGAGGGAGCCGAATGTTAAGAACAGTTGAATTGATCCAACACAGAAACCTCGCAAAGGCGCTGGGCAAATCTCTGACTCGTATGTTGGCACAACCTACGCCACATGGGTCAGTGAAAGCCATATCAGCATGCGAATAACTCACATTTTCCACCAATCCAACAGCCAAGTAGATCAAGATACGGCCGACTATAAACTGAGCCGACGAATGACTGGTCACCTGAACTGCGTAAGAGTCAACACTCCATACTTGCCCTGTCGTCTGAGTTTCACCGGCCAATGTGGATGAACTTACTGACTGCTCCAATGATTTGCACGAGACATGTTACCATCATTGACGAGCGATGCCCAAATCTTTCAATCAAAGGCCCAACTACTACAGCACCTAAGAACTTGCCGAGTAAGGCCAGGCTACTTCGTGATTAATATTCTGTTCGAAAGAACCAAATGGGGTGAGCTTCTCGGTCAATACCTGTTCATCAACGAGACAACTGTCGTTGGAATACTCCAAGAGCCGTCTGTCTTGTCATATTCTCCAAATCGTTTTATAAAGGGGCTGAAAGTCTGGACACCACCGAAAGATGCTCCATCGCTAATCCAGAGTCAGTGGTTTTCACGTATGGTGGCACTTTGTCTTTTTGTACTAACTAGCCTAAACAAAATATATCAGCTCAATCCGCACTGCAGTCAGAAACTGCTGGAATGGAGATTATTACCAAAAAACACACTACCCATGGAGTAGAGCAAGCAAATCAAAATCAGTTGAATCGTACATTCAGACCATGCCTGCTTGCTGACATAAAGTTTGCCTCCTCCAGCCATGTTGTCGAAGGCCCTTTGCTCAGAGTTGGAGGAAAACAAAGCGATCGACCAGATGAACAGGCTTTTGAATGGCCCCCAATATCTGGGGTATAACGTGGGGAAGTCTCCGAGTGCGGAGGTGGGGGAATGTTTACCCCCCGGCATCTCTTTGAACCGTCTCGCAGCTCAAGGTGTATTCCCAACATTCTGCTCCAAAGTTAACCTGCCGTTTAGGGAACTTGAGGTCCGAGAGGGGAAATTTACTTGGGGGAAATTAAGCCCTATGGGATACTAAGCGATGGCTCCACCACGAAGCCCGTAAAGTGTGGGGTCCGGGGAGGGTCCGGGGGGCAACGAGTCACTGCTGCCGCCAAAATGTGGGGCCCGAATATCAACCGACTGGTCTGCTGATGCTCGCTTGGACTAAGACCTCTTGGCTCCTGAGCTTGAGGCTTTTCCGCGGGATGACTTTCCAGGCCTATTACTGTGGCTTTCTTGGTCAGGTCGGATAAGCGTTTAGGTTGGCTTTCGTGGCTGGTTTCTCTCTGGTGAGGGGCTTCGTACTCTGTGCAACAACGACAAGATTACAAGCGGCCGGGCTGGTTTTTTTTTTTTTTTTCTTCTCTCCTTTCATATCTCTTTTGATCTCCCTCTTCAACTTGCTCACCGACTGCTGTCCCAATGGCTATTGAGACATACGACATTGCCATCTATGGCTCCACGTCAGGTGCGGTTGCTTCCGCAATTCAAGCAGCCAGACTTGGGAGGAAAACAGTCCTTATATCTCCCCACGAGCATATCGGTTGGTACACCCCGCATCAGTACTGTGCAGAGCTGATATTGTGCCACGCGCCATTGCAGGTGGAATTCAGGTCGAAGGTCTTGGCTCTACCGACATCGACAATCAAATCGAATTCAAGAACAGTCCCTCGGTAGGAGGTCTAGCACTTGAGCTTCACCGCAGATTGAGCAAGCACTATGGCAGACTCGAATGGTTGGAGGAAGTCTTGTCACAACAGACAAAAGTGCCCGAGGTCTGGAAATTCGAGTCTCATGTCTTGGAAGAAGTGATTATTAGCTGGCTGGGCGAGTGCTCTGGGTTGTCTATCATAAAGACATCCCTTTGCACTGACAGTGCTGCGATTGAAAAGCAAGGTAATATTGTCACTGGGTTAAAATTGACAGATGGTCGAACCATCCAAGCAAAGGTACTCCCCATCACAACCCATGCCAAAAGCGTTCAAACTGATGATATTCCTAGTACTTCATTGAGGCAACCTATGAGGGCGACTTCCTCGCTGCTGCCGGGATAACTACTGCCCTCGGGCGAGAATCCTCGGCCCAGTATAGCGAAAGCTTGGCAGGAGTCCGCGAGGAGACACACTATACCCAGTTCGAGGTTCCAATTGATCCCTACCGTGTGCATGGAGAACTCTCAAGTGGCCTTCTGCATGGTGTATCACCGGAGTCATTCGGCAATGCTGGTGACGCAGATCAGCACCTAGCTGCGTACTCCTACCGTCTCCCAATGACAGATGTGGAGAGCAACAAATTGCCGATCTATAAACCAGAAGGATACGACCCTTCCAAATACAATCTACATCGTCGATATCTCAAGGCTGGTGGAAAGATGTATACTCCACGTCTCAAGGGAATCCCCAATCGGAAGACTGATCTCATCGGTTCGGAAGCTGTTCTGTGTACTGATTTGATTGGTATGAACGACGACTGGCCAACTGCAGATTCCGAAGGCAGACAGAAGATCCTTGATGAAACAGCCACTTTCACCCAAGGTCTTATTTGGTTCTTTGCAAACGATGAATCTGTACCAGTGAGTGTTATTGTTCCCTCTGCTCTCTAACCTAAGCTCACAAACTTTAGCCTGACATACGCCAAGAATGGTCCCGATTTGGCTATTGCCTTGACGAATTCCCAGACAATGGCCATTTCCCTCGCCAACTCTACGTCCGGGATGCTCGGAGAATGGTGTCTGACTATGTCATTACTCAACATACGGCATCTGAGCACGATGGTGAAGAGCACGACCCTTACCCTGTCGCTATTGCCTACTGGCCCACGGACACGCATTGTGCTCGTAGGGTGGTTCGTGACGGTACTGTGCACAATGAAGGATTTATCTTCAAGGATAAGCACCAGTGGAGACCATTCGGGATCTCATATCGGTCTTTGGTGCCTAAGAAAGCCGAGGCCATCAATGTGCTAACGGCCACTTGCCCTAGTTCCTCTCATGTTGGATACGGTGTGTTGTGAATTCATCCGTTGGGTATTTTGAAACTAACTGTATGGCAGGAGCCGTTCGAATTGAGCACCAGTTCTATGAGCTGGGACAAGCATGTGCAAATGCTTGCGATATTGCATTGGGTGACTTACATTCTCATGCTCCAGTCCAAGATGTCTCTTACGATGTACTCCGCAAGAGACTACTAGAACAAGAGGCTGTTCTTGATGTTTCTATCGTTGGGAAACCCGATTTTAGCTTGCTTTAGGAGCTCCAAGGTGGGAAATCGGGCATTCTAAAGTTGTGTCTTAGGATCTCTTGCATGTCCTGTGATGCGCGACATGTGGGAGATATATACTTAAGTATTGCTGAGAGCTGAATTTCCAAAACTATACCCATAAATACTTAAGTAGATCAATGCATCAAATACGTTAGTATATCTACTTAAGTACACACCAGAGCTGTAAATCTCTACTGTCAGTCTTTATAAAGACATCGAATCCACGGACACTGCGTCCTGCAGTGTAGTCCCAAGGCCAAGACAGAATGTGGGGAGCGGTGGATCTTCCGCGGGTCCATGTGGGCGGTGTGAGCGGTGATAATTGCAGAAAAAGGGGACAAACCATCAACATCACTGCCCTGGTGTTCACAAATGGAGGAGTCTGAGACGTTCAATTCGTCCTTCGCGCCGAAGCAGCCCTTCCCACCACTACTCTCGGAAGACATTCCTCCAGATGAACACGAAAGCTATGAAGACGACTGTGTCACCTCCCCCGGCTACGAGGAGATCGAGGTGGAGGACGACGCAGACTTCCAGTCGCATTACTCCCTAGAACACCAATCGTTCTCAGACTCAGACTCCGATGATTCTTCTGACGATATCGGTCGTAATCATCCGTTTCGCCAATCCTCCAGCTCTCTCCACGGCCCCAATGCGTTCGCACCTCCGTTCTACAACCGCCCACCAACGCCTTTACCACCATCCCCCTCTCTCACTTCTCTTCTCAGACCGCCCTTCTCAACTACTACATCGCGCCCAACTACCCCAGACAGCTCCGATGTAGAGACCCCCAACGATACGGAGGCGGCAGTCGCCAAGTCCGCCCGTCGCGCAACCACCGTCCCGCGCGCCAGCCCAAAGGTCCCAACATACGAATACTACGGATTTGTCTTATACCTGGCTTCATCATTGGCATTCTGTGAGTTATCCAGAGACGCGCATCTCAGCCACCGCAGTCTAACATATCCAATGCAGTATTCTATCTCCTTTGGTCCTACCTTCCGTCCCCATTTCTGCACCAGCTCGGCATCTACTACTACCCAAACCGATGGTGGTCGCTGGCTATCCCCGCATGGCTAGTAATGCTCCTTATCTACATATATATTGCACTAGCGACGTACAACACCGGCTACCTCACATTACCCATGCACAGTATTGAGAATATTGTTGACGAGGTCGCCAACGTATCAGTGATTGATGGAAAGGCCCGGCGGCGACCAGGTGGCGCGACCAAAATGAAACCCGGCGCAACCTCTTATCAAATCATGGGCCCTCAGAACCGCAAGGTCAATTGGCGGGAAATCTGGAGTGAGGGAACCGATGCGGTCATGGACGTGCCGGTTGGAGGCGTGTGTGAGGTTTTATATGGTCAAAATAGAGACGAGGACTTTGATGATGTTGCTACAGACCTATAAAACATACCGAATTTCACATGAAGCCAACCTCTGTTGTTCACTTTCGTGTTCTGATCGACGCGTTTACTTTAAATTACAGACGCGGACCAATGACGTAGGCTTCACGTGATGCGGCAGATCGGGGTCCGCCTAGAGATAATCTCGTCGATCTATTCATTGCTCTTCGTGCAAGGACAGGCAAAGCTTCTTTCTAACAAGCCTTGAAGATGTCAGATCATCGCCCTTCGACTCCACCTCCACAGGCTAAGGCCACTGGAAGTGGACAACTTCCCCGTGGTCCAATTACTCCAGAACAGCAGCGGAGAATGGTAGGTTTCTGCGATATTCAAGTCCTTGGAAACACTTGGAACTAACATTCCTATGATAGGAACTCAGTCGCATGAAGGCAAAGGCTCTCAGAGAACAGCATGAAGCCAAGCTGGCTCAATCCGCCGCAAATGCACCACAGCCCCCAACAGGCGCCAAGCGCTCATTCGCCTCGATGACATCGAACCAACCTGCCAATATGCGCGATGCCTCGGCAAAGAACCGACCATTAGATTCTATACAGCCGGCGCGCAATTTCACAAAATTCGTCGATTACGATTTCAGCAAGATGACTGATACGAAGGGTGGATTTTTAACGCAAGAGGATGACCCTTTCAACAAGCAACTCCATGTGACGAATGATAAAGAACTGCAAAAGCCGGCGAATATGACGCAAAAAGAATGGGAGAGACATCAAATACTTCAGAATCTCAAACGGAACCGAGAAGGGCCTTTTGAGCCTGGACTGAGTGTTTTGGACGACAAAAGCAAACAGAAGAAATGTCGCGAGTGCAGCAGTCTTGAAATTGACTGGAAATGGGATGAAGAGTTGAAGTGTAGCATTTGTCATGCTTGCAAAGAGAAATTCCCCGAAAAATACAGTCTACTGACCAAGACAGAAGCTAAGGAGGATTATCTTCTTACAGATCGTGAGTACTTGAACTATAACCTCTCTCGGCTCCAGACTCAATACTGATCCGTCTGTTAGCTGAACTCCGGGATGAAGATCTACTCCCGCGCCTGGAGCGTCCAAATCCACATAAGTCCACATGGAACAGCATGATGCTCTACCTCCGATATCAAGTAGAGGAATATGCATTCTCAGACAAAAAATGGGGCTCCACCGAAGCGCTGGATGCAGAATTCGAAAAGCGAGAGACTGACAAGAAGCGGCGACGAGAGGAAAAATTCAAGACCAAACTAAACGACTTGAAAAAGCGCACACGGGTCGAGGCCTACCGACGGAATCGACAAGGTGGCGCTGGTGGTGACTTTGGTGATGATTTGGCTTCCAGGCGGAAACATGTTCATGAATGGGGTCGTTCTGTTGATAATCCTGAAACTGGAATCCCTGTTAAGACTTGTGTCTCATGTGGGATGGAGGTGGAGGAACTGGAATTCTAGGCATTATTTCTCTAGCATGATGAGACCACGAATGAGCATTTACATGTCCGAAGCGTGAACTTATTTCTATTGAGAGAATATAATGTTCCAACCTTGGAAGTTTATTCCATACCTCGTACAATGGAGATCGCCCATCAAGATTGTACCTCAACCTTGCAGGATACCCTTTACCACTTCGTTTCAGCTCCACCCACCGAAGAATATTCTGTGTGCAGTGTTGATATACTCCAAGCAATTTTAGAAAGATCCAAGATATACAGAGTAATGTAGTATAGAATGAGAGTTTACATCAGTATTATGAGCGCTATCTTGTTTGCACATTGCAATGCCGGAACCAAAACCCAACCCAGCCCTAACACCCCGAATCATCCTACCTATTTTATATGCTTTATGCGGCAGGGGATTCACCAACAGACAGCTGATTCACCTTGACTGCGACATTTTCAACAGCCTTTTCATCATCTGCGTGAGTCTCCGCACCAGCGACATCACCCGATGTCTCCGTGGACTCAGCAGGCTTAGCCTCAGACTCAGATGTCTGGGCCTTGGGAACGGGAATGACCTCTCGGCGCTCCTTTCCATCTACAGTACCAAGAACCTGGAGATGATCACCTTCGAACCGCACGGGACCCTTCAGGATATCCTTTCGCGTCTGACCCTCGGCCAGAGGCTGTTCGATACCCTGCAGAAGTTCGCGGCTGGGGTCGTCCACATTGGGCATATCGCCCCACTGCCATTCAAGCTCGCCTCCATATTGCTTGGGGATACTAGTCGGTTCCATGAATGCGGTTAGAGTAGGCTCGACCTCAGCAGCAGAGAGAATAAAGATCTTAGACGTGGTGCCGGGGTCAAACCAACGCTTAATCCAGCTCCACACGGTAGGGAAGAACGAAGGTGCGCCAATAATCTATCATCTGCATTAGTTGGATCGCGTATCCCGAAACAAGTTAAACTTACGAAGATCCGATCCAGTGTCTCTGGGTAGTGTGCAGTCGCTAGGACACTTGCATCTTGCATGTGACTCTTCAAGTTCCAGAACTGCTTCAGACCAACACCGCTCACGTCCACAATATTAGTGGAGGTGACGATGGGGGTTTCGGGATTTGGGCGCGGGAGGGCGGAACAAAGCGGCATGACGAAGCGGAGAAGGTTCTCGTACAACGCGAAGAGGTTGAGCAGGCGCGCAGGCACAGTTGATGATTTATGTGTTTCGGGTGTTCCAGTAGTCATGGTCGAGTTGTATGCGGCAACAGCCTTGTTGTCCAAGTGACGAATCTCGAAGACGTAGACGGGGATTCCGCGACGATCGCGACGACCCGTCCATTGGGGGTACTAAGCACTTTGAATGAGTAACTGTATTCACCACAAGATGAGAGATATGTACCATGCGGCGGGCAGCCTCGTAGGAGTCTACGCCGATATTCTCATACAGGGCGTCAATGGCATTATCCTTGCGCCAGTCTTCTGTATCCTTGAATTGGGCCCAAGCACCCTCGACATCAAACTTGCGGGCTCGCAAAAACCGCCTGTTGCAAGGTCAGTACTAATGCAGTATGGGGTTTCGCCGCATCGGCCTGGTGAATCGCCACATACAGCAGAGTCGCATCTCCATGGCTGGGGGTGCCCTGCTCTCCGGCAGGAGTGTAGTACTTGCGCTCGGCGCATACTTTCTTGAATTGCTCTAGGCTCTGTTCCTGTTCCGGTGTAAGGTGCTGCAAGTGGCCGGCGAGCCATGCAGTACCGGAAGCCTGGGAGGCGGAAGCTGCCGGATCGTTATTAGAGGAATCGGTGCGGGCGAGGTCCGGCTCGGAAGCCTGCGCGGCTTTGTTGCCCCAGAACATGGTTGCACTATGTACAGAGTACTGCGGATTGTATTTGGGTATTTGTTTGGGGAGGAGATCGGCTAGATCGATCTCGGGGGGCGGCGGGCAGGAGGCGGTGAAATAAAAAGATCGGCGCTTCGGATTGTGATAGAGTAGATGGGAATACGAGCAGAGTCTACTACATATGTACAGAGTACGAGTACGGGTCAATGTGATATACCGGAGTATATACTCGTCTCTGTAAGCCCTGGAGTACTGAGTACTGAATACTCCATACTTCAACGTATATCAGACCCCGCAGACAAAAAGCTAATCGGCAAGGATCAACCAGGGACGCCCTAATAATGGGAAAAGAGGCTCTGCGGGACATAAAATCCAAAAAAAGAAGATTGAATACATTTCCGGCAAATGACACGGATGCTAATTGGGAAGGACACAAGATACTATTTGTACAGATCGCCCTCGTACATCGCCACAAAATCAAAATACACAACGCTTAGTCCTCGGTGAGATCACCGTATTCCCAAATACCACGGCGCTCAGCCTTGGCCTCATCTTCGAGTGTGCGCAGGTTGGTCAAGGTGTCGACGGAGGCACGCTCCCAGTTCTTCAGCTTGCGGGGCACCATAGCCAAGCCCTCGCTGATGACATCGGCGTTGATGCTGTTGTCCAAGTTCTTGGAAGCGGCAGGGTCGAGGAGGGTGACGTGGAGGGTACCGTCCTGATCAACGTGGTCGACATTAGCGACAAGCTGGCGGTCGAAAGTCTGATCACCAATGAAGCCAATAGCGTCCTCAAGGTAGTCCTCTGAAGTAGGGAACTGCATCAAGGACAGGACCGCATCAACAGCCTGAGGTCGCAGAGTCTGGCTGGAGAACTGCGGCTGGGTGAGAGGGCGGAGCTTAGCCCAGGGAAGAGATTCAGAGTTACCGAAGTCAATGTAGACAACTTCAGCAGTCTGGTTCTCGCGGTCGTTGCGGCGAACCTTGGCACGGTACCAGTTGCCATCTTCGGTGAATTGAGCAGCAACCCAGTCGCCGGCCTTGGGTGGGCCGGAGAGAGGAGTGTCGTTCGCCTTGTTGATATGGAAAGCACGGAATGCGCTCATAAGCTCAGTGAGAGCATTGGTACCGGTACCGATTTGTTGCAGCTTAAGCTTGGCAGAGGCAGGGTCAATGTAGGTGACCATAACGTCGCGATAGTCCTTGCGGCGCTGGGCAGGGGCGGCGTCACTCTCGGTGCCGGTTCCATTGGCGGCCTCGGCTTCTTCGGCCTCGGCAGCCTCCTTGGAGGGATCATAGTCGTGCCAGAGGCCCTTGCGGGCATCCTTGGCCTGCTGCTCCGCAGCGAAGTACTCAGTGGCGTGACCAGACTGCTCGGCCGAGTATGCGTGGACGGTAGCCAGACCCTCTTCTAGCAGGACCTTGGTGAAGTTCTCCTTGTTGATGTACAGGCTTCCGATGAAACCACCGACCTTGTCGATAGTCTCAACGTCAATTTCGACATCACGCTGAAGGGCGCGGCGGTTAGCCAGGTCGTGAGCTTCCTGGCCAAATGGCTCACCAGCATCGCTGGGGCCACGAGCAGAACGAGGAGCTCGGATACCAGAGAGAACAAGGGTGAGCTTGGCGTTATCACGAGGAACAAGGATGGTAAAGCGGGAACCAGACTTGACAAAGTCAACAACGGCCGGAACGCGCTTCTGGCGCTGCAAGATACCGAGCTCAAGCTTGGCCTTTTGCACGGTCTCTGAGTAGTCAACGACTTGCTTGGCCTTGGGGGGCTTGGGGGACCACATTCCACGGCCTTCCTTCTGGGCGTCAGCCTCGGCGGCGAGCAGAGCATCGTAATCCGGGGAGCGATCGGCATCATCCATACGGTGGCGGATGACAGAAGAGTATCCAGCCTGCACAAGGGCGACTGCGACGTTGGTGTTACCCTGGACAACGGTAGCGACCTCGCGCTCTTCGTATCCCTCGTTGGCGGGCTTCTTGCCGTTCACAGTGACCATGACGTGCTTGGCGATCACGCGCTTGCGGAGATACTCCTTAGCATCGGCAGCGAAAGGAGCCTGCTTGGGGTCGGAAGGCTTAGGTTGACGAATACTGGCGAGGCTGATCTTCTTCTCCTGACCGGCCTTGTTGCGGATGAACAAGGTGTCGGCATTCTGCACACGAGTGACAACGTAGTCGACGGCAGCAGCACCGGCAGTCGTGGCTCCACTGTGGTTAACCCACAATCCCTTGCGGTCTGCCTTGGCAGTCAGCTCGGCTTGACGGAGGAGAGCCATGTCGGGGCCCAGGAGAGTAGAGTGGTGATCCTGGCAGCGGGCCAGACCAGCCTCAAGGAGGAAGCGAGAGATATTTCCGTTGGGGTGCAGAACAGTGGCAACCATCTGGCCCTGTGGCGTAACACCGAGCAGGGAGACCTTCACCTTACGCTGCAAAAGTCGTGACTCGACGAACTCCTGTGCCTCATCGCCGAACGGCTCAGCAGCCGCCTCCTTGCCCTCGGTCGTGCGCTTAGCTGAAGGCGCACGGATACCAGCAATCGCAATAACAGTTTGAATGTGCTCCTTGGGCTGGAGCAACAAACGCAACACAATACGGTCACCGTTCAAAACCTTCTCGATGATACCCTCCAACTGCTGACCCATATTTTGGCGAACCAATTCCCGAGCACCGGTCAATTCATAGGTGTTGTCGATCTGGCCATTGTCACCACTAGCCCAGGTTCCCTTTCCTTCATCCTGGGCAAGGGCCTCAAGAGCACGTAGGCGGGCGAGGAGTCCAGCAGTCTCCTCAGACTCATCCCCGCGCTTTCCTGCCTCCTCGCGGACCTTAGTCCAGCCCTCCTGGACGCTAATATCGGGCAATGAGGCATCAAATCCAGGCAACTTGATGATACCGTAGTCGCGCTTGGCGCCGGTGGGAATGGTGTAGAGAACTTGGAATTCGATAACCTTGCCGACAAGGAGCTCACGGAGGAATTCACGGGATTGGAAAGCGAAAGCCTATAAATAATCCATGTCAGTCCTATTTGTCCGAATGTCGCTTTTGCCTGAATCACAATCTTAAGCCCTGATGAAGCACCTAAGACCGAAAGGCCAACTAAGGCTCAGCGCAAGCAATTGGGTGTGTATGCGAGTGCGTTTCTGCAAACTATTGTGTCATAAAAATTCACCTACCTCATCACCTTCCCTCCTTAATCTAGGAGCAGAGACATAGGCCAAACTCAAGACGCGCTCTTGTGACGGATTGGTGACATGCGACAGCACGACAGTATCGCCGGACAGGACAGACTTGACCCGGGCTTCAAAAGGCATGTTGAATCAATCAAACTCCACAACCACAGGATTGAAAGCACAATCAAAAATAAATAAGACTAATGAAGCAGAAATAGGAGTAGAGAACAACTAAGAACGCTAAGGGGACAGGTGTTTAGACTTGTGGGGGAGAGCGGGCGGTCAGCCGATCTGGAATTGTGTCCAGATGTCGCCTCCGGATAAAGGGGACGGGGTACTCCGTATATAGAGATCTGTCTTGATGATACTCGATTTGAGGACACAGACATGGTTGGAGAATAAGGGTTACCATATTGCAAAGGTCATTCTTCCACACGCTTAAGTGCAAGTGTTTGGCTTTGGCCAGCCAAACCTGACACAGCTCTAGAGATCCACAACCCATCAGCGATGTCCAAGTTAGCTTGGTCTGAGCTTTGATACACAGGTCTCTATTCATCTGAAATCTTCCGATGGGCCGTTTTCAATACAAAGTACCGCAGGTTGAATTCGATGATTCAAATCGCTTAGGAGATTATCCACCAAGGCCATCCGCTTAGGGCCAAAAACATCGATCTTTATGGCAGATTGACCTCTACAAAGTACAGAAGGAGTCATATCGAGTCGTGTCAAAGATGGCATTCATTCATGTATCCTAACCGGAGAACGTCAATTTTTCCATCGGGATATCAAGACCGGAAATTCGTGGAGAGAGGTATGCATTTAAGCGGCAATACCGATGACACCTGAGGAACATATTAGCTTTCACGTCCGATACAGCGTATGCGCATCAACCTACCGCAAGCGGGGCGGAGACCAGCGTTACCGGTCTTCTTGGACTCCTCGTTGGAGCCCTTGCCAAGGTCATCAGTACCGGCGTGGACGACGAGAGTGCGCTGAGAATATGTTAGCCACTGCCAGATGCAATGTTCATGGAGTACTTACACCGAGGACGGACTCAGCGCCAATCAGCTTGACAAGGCTGTCCTCCTTGGAGCCGTTGGCGTTACCCTCAGCATCGGTCTTGAAGTTACCGAGATCGCCGACGTGACGGTCAGAGTCGGTGGGAGCACCGTGGTTCTTGCCGAAGGGGTTGACTAAAGCTGTTAGCTTGCTGGATCGAATATGTGATGTGCGGACATACAGTGAGGGCCAGCGGAGGTGCAGCCGTTGGTGTTGTCACCGAACTGGTGGACGTGGAAGGCACGCTCAGCGTTGGCGTCGTTGCCGGTGATGTTCCAGGTGATGGTGGTGGGGGCGCTCTCGCTAGCCTGCTCGAAGGTAACAGTGCCGGCGACCTTAGCGTCACCACGGAGGACAGCAACTGCCAAGATTGGTCAATAACATGCTTCCAGAAGAAAGGGTCGATCTCCCATGAACTCTGAGCTCGATCTCGGGCCCTAGCAAATGAGCTGTTCGCACTGCCAGCTTGTCCAGGGACACATATATCTGGATATCTTGCAGTGGAGCATAGCTCTGTAAGCCGATAGGCCCGGAATTGAGCTCAGGGTCACAAGGTGCTCAAATCTGCTCAAAGGTCCCCGGAAACGCGGGGGATGCAGGGGACCTTGGGGAGCTTTATGTATGATAGGATCATCGTTTTGCACACTTACCAGCCTTAACCATTTTGAAATATATTTATTGGATTTGGAATTGAAGATTGAAATGAGTTTGGGAGAGAAGAGGAGGAGAGGTGGGCGGACGAAGCTAATAAGCGGATGTTGACGTGACTGCTAGTACTGCCCGCCCACCTCTTAGCTATGAAAAAATGTACTGGGTACATATGTTAGTGCGTAAATTACATAGTATAGCCAGGTACTGAGTACCTGATAGGATACGCTACCCCCACCTTCCCAAGCGGGCGAGTCGGAACATTAGGGAATGACATAATGGAACTAGTATATCTCGTCTTGGTATCAGTACCAGCTGTTGGTATCATCTCTAGCTGGCATTCTATGTACTGGTACTTGGGTTCTATCTCACTCAGTTTGCCCCGGGGAATAATTCCTTCGTTGGCGATATATGGTTGCACATGAGCTCTCACAAGCTAAGAATTGTAGTTCTGTCAACCATTGAAAATCATGTAACCTCGGGTAATAAAGCAAGGGTGTTGAATTCGGCTTTTGCATTAACGCAGACCGCACATCATACGGAGTACAGCACGTTGCAGGGCCAACCCGGCGGGGTCTTGTAAGAACGGCCCGTCTGGCCCTGAAGCTGACCAACAATGGCCCCCGCACCTGGCACCTGCAGAATATTTCTGTACAAATCATTTTCAGACCGAGATCACCATGCTTAGAAATGTTGGATCTAGTCTGCCACTCAAGATGAAAGATCCAATTTCAATTACGGAACTTGGTCCCGGGGAATGCCAAGGTTTACAAGTGCAGAAAAATACAATGTATAAAAAACATCAGAGCAGAACAAGTTCATCAATTCGTATCTACCGATTCCAATTTTTGGGGGATCGCCAATTTACACATAAAAATTAAAGACGTAATAAATCAGACCCAATCTAAGCCTGGATCTTCTGGGCGAGGAGCTGCTTGAGGGTGACGGCATCAGCAGCGAACTTGGAGATACCCTCACGGAGCTTCTCAACACCCATAGCCTCCTCGTTGAAGTCGAAGCGGAAGTCAGCCTCGTTGTTGAGGTACTCGCGCTTCTTGATCTCAATGTTGGCGGCGTTAGCGGCGTTGAGCTTCTGGGGCACAGCCTCGGTGGAGTTGAAGAGATCCTCGAGGAGGTTGGGGGAGATGGTCAGGTAGTCGCAACCAGCGAGCTCAGTGATCTCGCCGACGTTGCGGAAGGAGGCACCCATGACAATGGTGTTGTAGCCGAACTTCTTGTAGTAGTTGTAGATGTCCTGGACGGACTTGACACCGGGGTCCTCCTGGGGGGTGTAGTCACGCTTGTGGGCGGCCTTGAACCAGTCAAGGATACGGCCGACGAAGGGAGAGATGAGGTAGGCACCGGCCTCAGCGGCGGCGATGGCCTGGACCAGGGAGAACATCAGGGTCAGGTTGCAGTTGATGTTGTGCTTGGACTGGAGGATGTGGGCGGCCTTGATACCCTCGTAGGTGGAGGCGATCTTGATCAGGACGCGGTCCTTGGAGATACCGTTGTCCTCGTAGAGCTATAGGGGGCATAGTTAGTGGGAGTGTTCAGTCGAAAGAGAATAGATGGTGGCAATTTACCTTGATGATCTCAAGGGCCTTCTTGACGGAGCCCTCAGTGTCGAAGGACAGCTTGGCGTCAACCTCGGTGGAGACCTTGCCGGGAATGATCTTGAGGATCTCCTTTCCGAACTCAACAAGGAGACGATCGAGAGTGGCCTCGACCTGCTCATCGAGGGTCTTGCCGTTCTGCTTGCCGTAGGCAACGGCAGTGTCGATGAGAGCGGCGTACTCGGGCTTCTTGGAAGCGGCGAGGATCAGGGAGGGGTTGGTGGTGGCATCCTGGGGCTTGTACTTGCCAATGGCTGCGTTCGGTTAGCATTACAACTCAATTCACAAAAGAGCCTGCGGCAGTTCAATACATACTGGCGAAGTCACCTAGAGATGCAGGTTAGCAAAAGTTCGTAAGATAGACATGACGTTGATCCAAAGCTTACCAGAGTCGCAAACGACGACAGTGCCGGAGGCCTTGAGCTGTTCGAGAGAAGAAGACATTATGATTTTGAGATTATCGATGATAGATGAAGAAGGGAAAGAAAGAAGGGAGAAAGTGGCGGGAGCCGCAGTATTTAGAAGCTCGCCGAAGGAGGGGTGGTGTCATGAACCAGAACCAGTGCAATTACCGGGTACTTGATGATAGTATGGTGGCCACATAGTTAACGGAAGTACCTTTCCCGTGCCCCGTTTTCAAGGTGGGATGGTGGGGCAAATGACGCTGCGCATGAAATCAGAGCTGTTCGTCAATTCTTAACTTTTGCCTGTACAATTGTTGTTCTGGTTTGGTAATGGCGCCGGCTCACAGTGTTCCTCTAGACGATTCCCTTGCCATTGATTCGTTCAATTACAATCCCATCCATCTGAGGCATGAGTATACAAATCCGGCGCAGAGTGCTCCGACCCCAACCGGAGGATGGTAGACCGGACAACGGCCCACTACAGCGCGGCGGCTACAAGACTCACCGGGGACCCGGATAAATGCCGCATCTGATGAGTCGGGGCACCTATTTCCGATCTGGCTTATTCACTACAAAGTACGGAGTACGGAGTACTGTACTCAGAACATGGCCCAAATAGGTAATGACAAACGCCACTGTCTAGACCCTGTCTTTTGGCTTTTGCTTTGTTTTGCATTTGAACTGGCAATAAGTAGAATAACTAGAAGAAAACTAGCGGCGTTGAATGCAGTTCCACTCGTACTGCGAAATGTGTTAGCTCATGGCTCCTTGGAGGGCAGCAAGTGGACTCACAACTCGGCCCGCCTCATCCCCCGTGTATACCACGTGGGGAAGGGCCAGCATGCAACTGATACCCGCACTAATGTTAGCGCCATTGTCGCGATTGCTGTCCGTATGATGCAGCTGTCGGATCAGCTCCAGTTCAAATTGACCGCCTCGAATGCTCTTGCTCCAAACGTTGACAACACCGCGTGTATGACCAGTCAGCACCAACTCGCGTTCGAGCCATTCATTCTGTACACCTTCGTAGAAAACACAAGACAAGACGCGATCATCACTAGATTCGCTAACCGGTTGATCCACAAGCACAACCCCATTGAGGGTGTAGAGGCTCAGGCGAGTGCCGCGGCAGACCATGATGTCGCCGGTGACATCGTTGATCCGAGCACACTATGGAATTATCAGTAAACCAGAACAGGCAAAATGAAGTCATGAACACTTACGTCTACCGCACCTTCAGTAGGTAGAGCGCGCACGAAGGATCGCCGATTCAGATCCCACAGCATGATGTGACCGTCATTAGACGCAGATAATAAGACACTGAAGGAACGGGACACGGCTAATGCCGTGACAGGGGACCGATGACCAAAGAGAGAGCCGATAGGCTGCAAGTCGACCGACCTGGACGTTGCAGTGACCGTCCACAATGAGATGGTACAGTCTGTGCCACAGGTAACAAGGGTGCGAGAATCCGCAAAGCTGGCACACGACAATTGACCAACATGCAGGTGTTCAAAGTGACCCAGAAGCTTGCGAGTGTCAGCGGTGTAGAAACGAACGCTACCATCGAAGAACCCCCATTCCATGTAATATTCGAAAGTTGGTGGGACATTGAGCCTGAGGGCTGCAGTGCATAACAAACGATCCTGTTTCATTGACAGAGTAGCCACGCGCTCATCTATGTTTAGCAAAGACAGAGGCATCTGCGTCAATGATTCGGCGAGAGTATCCAGCCGGGGAACACGATGCTTTTGATCTTCCCGAACGGCATGAGATCTATGGAATATCTGATGCGGGGTTTGCCCAAAGTTGTGAATGATACCAATAGTGGCCAGCCGTTCCATTGGGTCATCGATGGCATCCAGATCTTTGGCGCCTTTGTAGGACAAGTGATGGAAGACATTGACGGACTCAATGGCCGCTTCGCCTTTTTGCTTACTGCCGAAAACGAGATCAATCCAGTGATGCAGGTTCTCAGATACGTAGGGACTCTCGAGTGCCTCTCGGTGCTTGGCAATGAAGATTTTGGGGTCGCCCTTGGCCCATGGGGGCAGCTCAACCGAATCAATCGCCGTGGTCATATTTTGGAGAAGACCAAAGTCGTACTTGTTGGAGTTGGTCAGGAACTCTGGAAGATAGAAGAACTCAGGGATCAGTTCTCGAACGTCCGTCATGTTTCCTCTGGATGCCGACTCCCACGCCTTGCGGATCGAATAAAAGAGACGATCAGCGTGGTCAAAGGACCCGCCTTGGAGAAGGAGGTAAGACTTGACAAACGGTTGCAAGCGGATGAGGTACGAGCAGACAATCATGGCCGAGGAGTAATGTGTACCATAGTGGAAGGGAGGGGAGTTATCGTCGCCCATCTCAGCGAAAGCATTATACCGTTCCCGGAACCCGGCTTCTCGCTCCATGGTTTGACATCCCATGGGCTTTGAAAGGTCCCTGAAGGTTGCAGGGTTGGTGAGATCGAGCTCCTCACTGGTGTAGTCTGCCAGAACCCATGGGAACACCGGGTATTGGGTTAGATCATTGAAGGTGCGTCCGGCAAAAGTGTTAATCAACATGAGATAATGGAAGTTCGAAATTTCACCCTTGACCCATTTCCGCGTCGCTGGGTTTGACGGGAGATGCCCGAAGACACTGGCAAACTTGGATCCAAATGACTGCGGTGCATCGTCCTGACTGCGAAGGGTTTCAAATCGCCAAATATCTTCTGGGCGTGAGTGGCCAGTACTCCCAGTAACCTGCGGGGCCCTGACGCCAAGCTGAGTACACAGATCATCTCTTGCCTTGGTCGACATCAAGGTCAACAAGTAGCTAGTTCCATCCGTGAAGAATATTTCCAGGGCAACATCGCGGAACAAGAAGCGGCGTTTGGAAACGCTGACCGCATCAGACCATTTCCAGCTTCTGGTTTCATGCTCTTGTGAGCGACGGTCATTGGATTCACGACCAGCAATCATGCGAACGTAGGGGTCTCGCTCCTCGTTGGGGGCTTGCCAGACATTAACAATTTCACCGTCTGCTCTTTGGAAGAAATTGTCAAGGATGTAGATGCAGTCTTTGCCAAGTATCAGGATGCCTTCAACTGCTTCCAAGCCAATTATTCGGGACAAGTTGCAAACGCTTTGCACTTGATCCCCACGCTGAAGAGATCTCATCACCTTTCGGTTTCTATCTTCGTAGTCTTCCAACTCGATCTTGGGGTCATCGATCAGCTCGAAATTGTCTTCTAGAAGACTTCGATTGTCGCTGTCACCGTTCGCCGACACGGGTTCCACGTTGTCATTCTCCGGGTTGAGAGGATTGGGTGTTGACAAGCCCTCACCCTCCGAGAGCGCACGTATCCGGGTGTCTAGCTTGATTGCAGGAGGCTCCGATGCTTTGCGCTTTGGCTGATAATCCTGTCGATCCCCTGACTCGTCTGGGACGAGACGCAAACGCATACGACTACGACCTTCTGTTTGGTCGAGCCACCATCTCCTTTCCTTGTCTTCCGAAAGAAGGCCACCGGGGCGTCGCAAATCGAGGAGCAAGTCGGACAAAGCAGACCACATGAAGGTAGAGCTGTCTTGCAAGTCTTGCAGGAATCGCTGGGATTTCAAGAACTCGGAGGCTGCGATGTTCGAGATCCAATGTGGTAGTGTCGCGTCATGCTTTCTGATCATATCTTCATCGAATTTCTCGATCTGCGCCCACTGCCTGAGCTTGTCTTTCCGCTTTGTAACTCGAGTTCTGACAGATTCTTCGCAGCTGATGTTTTCTTCGTGCACGAAGTTTTCCCATGATCGAGAGAGATATCCGAAGAACAAAGCATCAAGATCTTCTCGTTGCTCATCGATCCAACCTAAGAAAGATTCGTCTTCCATCCCTGATAGTGCGTCAAATCCATCTGCCAGTCGGCGCTGGAGAGACGCAGGTCCGTGCCCAAGAAGTGCAGTTATCTCATCCGGTGCCTGCACAAGAATGATTCTCCATAAGCTAGCAGCAGCAGAGCGAACCTCCTTATCTGTGCTGATCAATTTGTTGTACAAGAGATAGCAAAGGAGCTGTAGGTGCTTTGACTGGGTTTCAGTCGCCCCGAGCACAACCACTTGCCAATAGTTCAAACGAGTAAGCAGTGGGACTGTCGAGGCATCATCAGCTTCTGAGAGCTGAAGCAAGACGACTTTGTACAGCGTCGATCGAATTGTTGTCACGGCTGGACCACACAGACGGATGCTTTTCAGTTCGGAAATGTCTGGGCGCTGGAGATATTCCAAGATAGTGCCGATGTACTCCAAAGTGGAGGACCCTCCGTTGATAAACCAACCCTCGTAAACCGCCTCAGTGAGATGTATCGCGAGGCGTCCGAGATTGGTCAATGTCCGAGGCTCATGTAAAAGACCTGGCCGCACTATAGGTAGGTCTTGTAACGTCGAAAGCAAACAGCCAAACACCCAAGAGTTGAAATAGGCTTGATGTTCCAGGAAGCCAGGCGGAGTCTTGAGATAAAGTCCAAGTCCTGTGAAGTCTTTACGCCCCAGAAGCTGATCCTGGAATACATCAAGGACTAACTCCAATATAGCCTTAGCAAGAGGATGGTCTGTGGCAGTCTTGTTCCCAGTGAAAGTGGGGTCGACGAAACGCTTGATACGTGCGGATGATGGCTGTAGTTTTGATTTATCAGAAGAGACCAAAATGAAGGAGGAACCTCGTCTCAAAGAGCTTGTACTCTCATGGGGATTCTCTGAACAGTCCACTGTGGTTGTCTGCAAAGGCGCAGGTGTGCCGGTTGTACCCGAGCGTGGGCGCAAGACCAAATTGCTGTCATCAAAGCTGAGCCCACTGTGTCGGAAATTCAATTCAGCGTTGGGACTGACAGTATCTGCACCGACAATGACAGGGTAGAGCACGGAAAGAAGCTCCTGCACGTAGGTAGAATGTGTAGTGAACTCTTGGAAGATGGGGGACTTTCGACGTGCTTCTGCCAAAAACTGGACAATTGAACTGAGGAGGGCAAACCCGGGTATGTTTCGATCTGATGCATCTGTCAATGTTAGATGAAAGTGATACCTCGTATTGAACTGAACATACCTGGTAGTTTGAGTGAATTCATGCGAGGTTTTTCGCACTCAGACGCTTGTTCTACTAGCGGTTTCTGACTCATTTCCTCTGTCTCTGTTGCCATAATTGTGCTCCGTGTGCCACTTTTCAGCATGTTGATGATGACTGGTAGCATATCAGGGAATACCACCTTGGCCTCACCCCCCTCCAAGAATGCTTTTAGCAATTCAGCCATGTCAAAGGGCTTGCTGAGATCCAGTGAAGCATGGTCAACGCCGAAGAGGATAGAGAAACAAATGGGCCACAAAGCTGGAACGCTCCACCATCTCTTCAGATGATGCTCTAAGATGATGTATCCACCACTCTTCTCGGCGAATTTCTTGCTGTATGCACTGCCATGAATCACAAGCAAGCGCGCCAGTATCTTTGTTGCAAGTAGGGCGATTTCGGGTTCATCCTCGCACATTAGGTAAAGAAGCCACTAAGGAAATTATTAAATCATGTGTTCATTAGGGGTGAATGATTTACCACATACCTTGCTTGTCACAGCTTTAGCGAACTTCCTCAGTGGAGCAGGATCTCGTGGATTGCATAGCACAGAGCAGTATAGCCGCAACATTTCAGTGCCCAGAGTAACACTGGAAACATATTTGCTATCCGACCTCGCCGATGTAGGACGGGATGACGGGGTCAAGTATCGAAGGCTCTTCTTTTTCTGTAGACTGGTCGGGGCTTTGGGTTTGTGGAGAACATAAGTGATTGACAGTGATAGTGACCGTAGTAAATCAGGAGAGGGGTTGCTCGCCATCAATGACCGAAACGCCGACAGACAGGGCTGAAGAGATTCCTTCGTCAAATCTCCACTCTTCAAAGTCTCCAACAATTTCTTGTTGACGCCTGGTACAATTAGCTTTATCAATCAAAGAATAAAATAAACAATGAGGTTCCGGCAAAGAACTTACGCATTCGGCTGAGCCGCCTGGCGTTGAAACGGCGGTAGTTGCTGTCCGAAGAAAAAGTGCAGAACTGGGAGTAGTATAGCTCGAGAACCGGTGAATCACCTAGTCGCCAAACATCCAAGTCTACTAGCAGAACACGGTAAGCGAGTGGATTTGTGATGATGGAGCGATTGGGGCGCTCAAAATCGTAGCCAACAAACGCGAGCGTCAGATGCAATAGATCGAGTGTCAAAACAGACAACTCCTGAGGATCAAAGCTGACCGCAGCTATTTTATTCGCAGCAGATGAATTGCCGACGTGAAACCCAAGTTTCTCCCTGAGCAAGGCCGCGAGAATGCCATATCCGTTCTCTCGTTCCATCGCCTCGCTGTTTCTCCAATTGTCCTGTACAGCTTCATAAAGGGCGGACACAGCCATTCGGATGCTTTCCGCCGTATTTGCCGCCTTGATCAGGCTGAGATGCACCGCGGCACAACCTCCAATACACCAACTGGCGTCGTCCATTGCCCTGGGGACAGCGACAACGGGATCACCTGTCAGGATACCGACTCCTTGAGGCTGGGTGAGACCATCGTTGATGGCCGGAGTGCCGCCATTCATTGCCACCGCATTGCCGCCAGCCTTTGTTAGCTGCTGTAGGCTCTTAGCTGCCTGTCTTGAGAGGCATTTGATTAACTGGGATTCGTCGACATTATTACTGTCATCGTCATCGAGCACAGCAATAGGTGAAACGTTGATCAGAATCGAGCTCTCACGGACCAGAGTGCTGGCTCGTCTTCGAATAGCAGTCACAATGTCGGAGGCTTCTTCTTTGCCAGGGTGAAGATGTTCATTGCGCAGGTTGAGGGTTGCGGAAGCCTTGTATGTCTGGAAAGAGCCTAGGCAATCTTGGAAATTTCCATAATACCTCGGCCCAAGGTTGTAAAATACGGCTACCATATCATCACTGTAGGCCTCGTCGAAGAGCATTCCATTGACGAGAGACCATCGAGAAGTGGAGACCCCCTTCCCGAGACGCATTGCCAAGTCTTGGGGCGTGCCGAAGAATGCCTGGATCCGGGGAGGCTTGCTCGGGTGCTGACTAGTGGGCACTGAGGGGTACTCGATCTTAAGCTGTTCGACAAACTCGCCGTCTATAAACAAGGACGCCCGAGACGAGGACATTGGCTTCGGTCTCTTGTGAACAATACAAATGTGATACCAACGATTAGGCTCGAACTTTGCGGCCTTGAATCGAACACTGGGCCGGGCACCCCGAATGGAGGTCTGAAGGATAAAATGCCGCGTATCTCTCTCCAGGTATGCAAGAATAAAACACGTCTGGCTCGCATCAAATGCACCAAAAATTGTAGTATGCGTATTGGGGTCGAATTCATCGAAACGAGCCCAGGCTGCTAGGGTGTAGCCCGAGGACATAGTGGGGGGAAATGGCCGACCAAGTGTTGCAAACTCGACGGAACAGAATCCATGTCTAGACATATCGAATTGTATTGATGGGGGCTCCTTGGAGGATTTGAGCGCAGACAGCAAGACTTTCAAGATCTGAGGATTTTCGTGTGCCCCCCGATACAAAGAGACAGCATCCTCCAAACTACTCATACCCTGCACGCAGAGGGACTGTGCAAGGTTTTGATAGATTGTCTTTTCACTGTCGGATCGTACGCCATCGAACAGAAGCGGGAGGATCGAGGTCAGCATGTTGGTAGCATGCAAAGCCACGATGTTCCTCCTGGATTGTGAAGCCAACTGGCAGAGGCAAGCGGGCAAAGCAAGACGTAGGGTCTCATATCCGGGTGAAAAGGACGAATGTATTAGCCACACACAAAGGAATGGGCCAAGTAATTCTGGGACTTCGACCGTTTCCGCGGAGCCTATGCAACGATCCACGGCATCTTGTATGTCTTGTGCTGAGGCTGGGGGCGTATCTGACGAGAACTTTGTGCTGAGCGTTACGAATATGCCCGATACTGTCTCCTGGCATAGCGCTGCGGCTAAGATGGCGCCGTAAAGGTGATGTGCGTCCCCTTCAGCTGTGCCTATCTTCCTGACCAACGAGGTCAAAATTCGTTCCAGTGCAGCGATACCACCTCCAGCTATTTTCCTGGTAAAATATCGTTTGTTGCCAAAATGGTCCTTCAAGCCTTCTGCCACAACACCAAGCACATCTTTGAATATGCTCAGTAGGCCCTTGCGCTCCTCTTTAGATAGATTTTCAGGGTGGTATAGTTCGGCGATTTGTTCAGCGAAGCCCAACAATGTCTGGAATCCCTGGAGATAACGGAAGGCATCTTTAGCGGCGCGAGGACGTGCATCGTCGATAAAGGTATGGCGAAGGCGGAGAAGAGGCTCAGTGGTCGAAAGGGCCTGGGGAAGAGTGATCGCGGCGCCCGCGCCGAGATTCTTCAGCTGGTCAATTGTTGGAGCAAGCTCCTCGGCCAATCGTTCGGTCGATCCCGAGGGGGAGGGAGGGTGGAGGGCCGGCGGAGCCATAACCAAATCTTATCCTCTCCGTATGACCATCAGTAAAGTTCTGATGCGGTCTGCATATGTGACAGTGTTGGTGCCAAGGGGCGGTTAGCAGGATTTCCAAGGCATCGTCATCGGAAACCCATGTCAAACGTTCAGCCACTGCTGTAATTGGTGTCGAGAGGGGAACGGATCGTGATGACTAAGGGTTTGGGGCTGGACCGCAACTGCTCCACCATGTGGACATTTATAGATCTCGATGACTTGCGACACCTTGAACAATTCCTCTTCTCATGGGCTTTTATATTCCTTTTTCTATTCCAATTTCTGTTACGTTTTCTATAACTAGTATCCTCATAGTCTAAAAGCCAGCTGCCGCATCTAAAAAAAGAAAAAAAGACCGACTCTGCTTACCTAGTACCTACACTATTAAGCTTAGTGCTTCCTTGCTTTGCAGGCAGAAATACTAGTGCCTATTATAAAGGGCATCAATATTGGAACCAGGCCCAAAATCAGACACTAAGGGTGTCATATTATCCGCGAGGGTGTCGATGGATCAACCCCCTAGATGTTAAGTTGTCTAGTCGAATAAAATTGGAAGGAGACTATCTATAGATCTGCTAGTAATAGTAGTGTGATGGGACCACAGACAACTGGGCCGAAGAATGATTTCACAGGTTTCCCCCAAACTTACAGGAGCCCGCAGTCCAACCTGCTCTGGGGCTAGTCCCAATCTCAGCCTTGGGCCCCGGAGTGGGCTTGTGGGGTTTGCTGCGCTTTGGAGCTTGGGTGTGATTCAGCCTCGGAGTACGGAGTAGGGAGATAACTAGGGGTTGAGTCATGATAGCCTCGTCAATCACATCACATCCTTCCAGGCGGTCGTGTCACCTGAGCGCCATCACGCCCGACAGTAACCAGGGGGTTGTGTCTTCTCGCCTCCAATAGGAGCCCCGCCATCAGTTGCAATCTCCTACGGCCAGACAATCTCCCCGACGCCCATCGGTGGACCGACTGTCATCGCTGAAGTTGCACCCTATGTCACCTGATTCGACCTCCGCTGCCTCTCAGCGGTCATCCTCAACGGTTTTGTACAGTCATGAGCCGCTAGAAACCTACCAGCACCGGGTGGTTGACTTGTGTCTCGCCGTGCTGGACAAAGGTAGCCCGACGGTCGAGAGACTCCAAGGCGGCGGCTTCAACCGCATCATTGGCCTGCGACTACCGGGATGCGACCATATTCTCCGGGTTCCTCGATACGATGATGCCTCCATGTCCCATGACGTGGGACCATTGGAGCTCCTACGACACCACCCAGGAATCCCCGCTCCGATCCCGATCATGTTTGATATCTGCCAGGATAACGCCCTAGGAGAGCCGTACATGATCCAGGAGCGGATCTCAGGGAAACCACTGGTCTACGATTATCCGATTTTGCCGCATGAGACCAAGTGCGCCATCGCCCGGGACTTAGGTCGCGTCGTCTCTACTATGCATGGAATCCGGAACCGGGCAGCAGGGAGACTGATCTGGAAGGAGAATTCGCTGCGTCTGGAGCACTTAGACTCTGCGCAGAAAGATACCCCCCTCGACGATGGTCGCGCAGGGGAGTCGACGGTGGAACTGATCCTGCAAGTCCTCCGGTCAAAGCTTAGGATAGCCACCGAGCTCAATCAGGAGCGGGATATGTCCTATTTAATGGAGTGTTTTGAGAATCTCAGTACAGTGGCTATAGAGATGGAGCAGGTGGGGGTCTGGGATACGGAGTATGTCTACTGTCTATGCCACCGAGATCTCGAGCCCCGGAATATCCTGGTAAGCGACCAGGGCGTTACCGGGATCCTGGACTGGGATAGTGCACTTTTTGGGCCCCTCTTGCTGTCGTGTGGTCCCCCGATGTGGCTGTGGGCATGGTGTGATGATGGGACTGAGGACGAGCGTCAAGCAGGGGAATTACCCCCTACAAGAGAGGCACAGGAATTAAAACGTCTGTTTGAAGATGCGGCCGGGCCGATCTACATGCGATTCGCCTACCAACCGCAGTATCGACTGGCGCGGCAGTTGATCCGATGCATGCTAGATGAGCTTCACACGACGGAAGACTTTCGTGATTTTGAACGGTTCTGCGAGGAGTGGGCGAGCTTGAAGGACAAATTGAAGGACAAATTATGATGTCGGGGGAGTTTGCCTTGGACAGTGGAGTCAGCGAAAGTTAATCTTCTACGCGCCGGGCTGGATGTGTCCGATGAAGAAGTCGGGGAACTGCCGAACAGCGCCAAAGGGGAAGCTCTGCACTGTGCACCATATAGTCTGCTCTGTCCACCCAGCTATAGCCCATCTCGAAACTGAGACCTGCCCGAGCTGCGCGCAGTAAGAAGCCCTATATTCTAAAGGGAAATCCTCGTCATGAAACCATCCTGATATGATATATCAACCGCAGGACAAAGGGGAATGAGGAAAAGGAGAAGGCAGTTGTACGCTTGATAAGACGTCATGCGACAAAAGACATCCGTGTGAATACTGCGAAAGCAATCAGTTGTTATGCACGTACTCTCGCGTCTTGTCTCGCTCTCTCTCTCTCAAGACCCTCTGCAGGAAGTAGCCCTCAGCAATCTAGAGTTGGCAAATGCCACCAGTGGGAATGAAGTAGAAATTTCCCCAATCGCTTCCAGGAACCCAGGCACTTTGACAAAATCGCGAATTCTGTTCCTGCTGAACTATTACGACGACAATAACACACTGCTTGATTACTCCCCAGCCCTTGTGGCTGGCCGCACAAAGAGTATCGCCCGCTGCTCTGCCTTGTCTCCCAGATCGAGCCGCTTTCATGTCTCATGATTTTCCAGCGCTTGATCTCGAATAAGTCTATTGGTATTTACCTGATATTCGGCCGAGCAATCATACAAATCCTCAAACAACCCCCTACACACCCACAGATCATCAATTAAACGAAACCTTCTCACAACGCGCCTTAGAGGTTGTCAAAGTATTGGAACCTTTTGCTAGCGATGATGTGTCCCGGTCCAGCTTCCACAAAGCAATCGATCAAAACCTCTTCTCGCCAACCAACATGCGGGACTTTGAACATCTTTACAAACAGCATTCGCACAAAAATTGTCCGATCCTTCACATACCGAACTTCAACGCCGAATCTACAGCAATGCCCCTCCTATTGCCATATTCTTGGGTGGTTCACTACATTCATATCCCAGAGACACTTTTCAGTTAGCAGCTGACTGTTTTGACATTGTAGAGTCGTATTTGTTCAGCTTGCCTGTTTTTCAAATCAAAAGAAAGGAATAAATTACCGCCCAGCCTCAAGTGCGAGAGAATCACGAGAGCCTCATCGCAGCGGTTCTTCTATTGAGTATGCAATTTGGACAAAATGACCCCGTAACCCGGCGGATATTGAGGTACCAGCGATTTCCAATGTTGGCACATGCTGCACGTTCGCTATCACTGTTTGATTCAAACATGATGGTGAAAAGACGACGTCGGGTGACTAGATTTGGGATCCACAGTCGGAATCACTCATCAGGTCAGTGACCTTATTTTTGATGTTTCTCATCTCCACAGCTTGAATCAAGCCCGGCTAAATATAACGCACAGAACCGCCAGTTATATCTTACTGCTAGATTCCCAATTTGTTGCTTCCTTATGGTCTCTTCCGATCTATAGATGATATCAATTTCTGAGTTCACTGGGCATTTTCCCTGTGCTGAGGCTATGTTCCACCATGAGCGGTGGCCATTATCGGTCAACATTCCTCGTCCATCTTCTCTCGTGGAAACGATTGATTTCCTCATGAATGACACCGATACTGATGTCAGCTTTCACCCCATAAACAGCATCGGAATATTTGGACTTTTTGCTATCATATCCGGTTTTTATTATATCCTGCCCAGGTGGAGAAGTCGATCATGATCCGAGCTAAGCAAAGGCCAGGGCTACTGTAGACCCTATAATGTTTACTAGCTTGGCAAATCGGATGATACACCACCAGCTCATACCATTGGGGCGGGCCCTGGCTAGATGGAAATCTTGCTGAGAGATCCTGATGTCCCAGATCGACCCCGATGAAATAGAGCTCGCTGGTTTTATGGCCAGTGCAAATGAATTCTGGCTAGTTGATAGAGTGCTATTAAAGACTGACGTGCAAGAGTTCTTCAGCCTGGATAGCCAGTCAATCCGGCCACTCGGCACTTTGCTGCGACACGTCAATGAAACCACTGACATTTGAGCAATTGTTCTACGAGCGAATGCTTCACTGGACTGCCAGCCATTCCACATCAACGGGGCCTATCTGCATGACTATGTGACAGTGTTAGCGCCAAGGGGAGGGCGGTTAGGAGGATTTCCAAGGCAGCGCTCGTCATCGGAAACCCATGCCAAATGTTCACTGTAACTGGTGTTGAGAGGGGCCCCGGGAAAAGATCGCGATGACTAAGGATTTGGGGGACCGTAACGCCAAACGGTAAGTAACCGATCCCTCCGGGGCAGCTGATGGATTGACGTGATAACCGCGCCCGGGCGATCAATTGGAACACCTGATTGCATTGAGCTACTTAACGCCTCTGAATGCTCAGACTCGATAATTTTACTCTCCGCACTCAAGAAGGTGCACCACACGGAGTACTCCGCATAGTGACCTCGGGACTGTGTATAGGTTAATCGTAGCAGCTGCCACCGAAAGGATATGCGAAAGCAAGGGGTTTCCGGCGGGGACCTTGGCGGAACTATTCATGAGAGGTCTATCACATACGAGCAGGAGCTATATATATCTATGTATACTTAAGTACTGTACATCCAGGATGCCGTAAATCAGTAGCTTGGTAACGTCATGTATCGTGCTGATAGGCCCGATAGGATGTGATAAGCGCGATAAAGGCAGTGAGCAATGCAGAAGTGGAGACGGACACCCTCGCTGGGGAGGCAACCTATGAGGTGACTTTCTCCGCAGATTAGGTGGCAGTGTGGCCCAATAATGCACGTCCACGGAAGATCCCAAGGGAGGCGGTCCAAGAATTGAGTCACCCGGACATAAGCACGCGACGCCGGAGGGCGAATTGCCTTGGAGAGTCTGAAATGGGCCGTGCGAGGGGGTGAAACTGCCAGGTACCCGGGGGGTGCACCTTGCCGTAAGGTGTGCTCCAAACGGGACCAAGTGAGAAAGTAAAGGCAATTAAGCTGGATAACAACATGCTGATATAGTCATGGTCATCCAAGCTTAGAACCTAGAACTTGGTTGACATAGTGATGGTGTATCTCCCGAGACAGCGTTTCTCCACAGTAACGAGTGTCGATCCGACCCCCATTTCTATGGGTCATGAGCAGCCTTAGGTAATCCGGTTATGCTTGCATCATCGATCCGCCCCCCGACTCCTAGATAAAGACGAGCTTCTCCTCATTCTCCTCTTCTCCTCCCCCAAGCTTATCCTTCACCCCATCCTTTTCACCTAACGAATTTTATCATTTACATCTTTGGTCCCTTTTCCATTTGCCCAGCATGAAAGGCTTCCTTAGCCTAACACTGCTCCCGTTGCTGGCCTCGGCCTCACCCATGGTGGTGGGCTCGATCCACAATGACGCCGCTCCTATCCTCTCATCTATCAACTCACAGGAAATTCCTGACTCCTATATCATCGTGTTCAAGAAGCACGTTGACCACAGCTCCGCTTCAGACCACCACAACTGGGTGCAAGAACTCCACACCGCCCAGAACGGTCGGATGGAGCTGAAGAAGCGTTCTCTGTTTGGCTTCGACTTTGAGGCCTTCACAGGTGTCAAGCACACTTTCCGCGTTGGTGAATCTCTCATGGGATATGCTGGTCACTTCCACGAGGATGTCATCGAGCAGGTTCGCCGTCACCCTGATGTGAGTAATTCCACCCTTCCCCTCACGGGCATCCCCGAGGTCGGCGGCTAATGAAACCCTTCCCGTCGATAGGTCGATTATATTGAGAAGGACTCTGAGGTCCGCACCATGAGCGAAGGCACCGTTGAGAAGAACGCTCCTTGGGGTCTTGCCCGTATCTCCCACCGGGATGCCCTCTCCTTCGGTAACTTCAACAAGTACCTTTACGCCGAGGAGGGTGGTGAGGGTGTCGATGCCTACGTGATCGACACCGGTACCAACATCGAGCACGTTGACTTCGAGGGCCGTGCTTCCTGGGGTCAGACCATCCCCCAGGGTGATGCCGATGAGGATGGAAACGGTCACGGAACCCACTGCTCCGGTACCATTGCCGGTAAGAAGTACGGTGTCGCCAAGAAGGCCAACGTCTACGCTGTCAAGGTGCTCCGCTCCAACGGCTCTGGTACCATGTCCGATGTCGTCAAGGGTGTTGAGTGGGCCGCTGAGTCTCACATCAAGAAGTCCAAGAAGGGTGACAAGAAGTTCAAGGGTAGCGTTGCCAACATGTCTCTTGGCGGTGGTAGCTCTCGCACTTTGGACCTCGCTGTCAACGCCGCCGTTGACGCTGGTCTTCACTTCGCTGTCGCTGCTGGTAACGACAACGCCGATGCTTGCAACTACTCCCCTGCCGCTGCTGAGAAGGCCGTCACTGTCGGTGCTTCTACCCTGGCTGATGAGCGTGCGTACTTCTCCAACTACGGAAAGTGCACTGACATCTTCGCCCCCGGTCTGAACATCCTGTCTACCTGGACTGGCAGCAAGCACGCCGTCAACACCATCTCAGGTACCTCCATGGCCTCTCCCCACATTGCCGGTCTCCTGGCCTACTACGTCTCCCTGGCACCCGCCAAGGACTCTGCCTTTGCCGTTGCCGATGTCACCCCCAAGCAGCTTAAGGCAGCCCTCATCGCCATCGCTACCTCTGGCGCTCTCTCTGACATTCCCTCCGACACCCCCAACGTAAGTTTCTACTATTCTCCAAACGCACATAACTTGAGACTAACTTTTCACAGCTCCTCGCCTGGAACGGTGGTGGTTCCTCCAACTACACCGAGATTGTTGCCGGTGGTGGCTACAAGTCCGGCAGCAGCGTCGAGGACGCTGTCAAGGACCGTGTTGGCAGCATCATTGAGGATGCCGAGAAGGCCTTCCACAAGGAGCTCGGTGCCATCTACAGCGAGATCAAGGACGCTGTTTCCGCATAGATTAGATAGTTGCTCGGGTCTTGTCAGCGATGACCCAGCACTGGGCATATGGATGAATGGTTAACACTGGCGCACGTCTCATTTTTAGTTTTTCTCGGTCTTTTTTGGGTTCTTCATAACCCCGGGTCCATCCCGATACTACTACCTATACACAAATTGTCTGTTGCTATATCACCGGTCTTTACATCATATTACCGTAGCCATACCTTGTACACCATGGTCTTAGTTGATGTCTCCAATGTCATGCACTGTTTTCCATGTACACATGATGCATGTTCACAACGGGCCAAACTTCATTGGTTCTAACGTCGATTCAAAGTTCCAGAGGATACAAGGTTCTGGTCACACCTTGAAATAAGACGCTCGGAAGATATCAATGGATGCCCCGGTCGTATACCCCTGAGGCTCAGGGCGATGTCTATCGTGGATTATGTACAACCACCCAGGCATACCCACATAGGCAGGATGTGTATACGCAAGCTGAGATCTATATGTAAGCCTCATAATATGTCCTTGATCCGGCGGACATCGTCTTGTGTCACCAAATCCCAGCACCATTGACTAGCCCTGTCAGCCTTGGCCTGTCCGAGAATACCAACGCTCTGATCCATGAACTTGAGGCTCAACTGTTCATCCGTCATAGGTCTCTCCAAGCTCCCCACCGCGTAGTCAACATGTTTCTCGATATCGCCCCTCCCCTTCACCTTGATAACAATATGACACTCATCAGGCCGCAAGGTCTTATCAGCAACAGCCTCAAACCTATCCCTGAGCTGCACAACCCTACCATCAACAACGACATCATCCTCATACTGCGCCGGGGTAGCCTTTCCAAACAACAACCCCACAGCAGCACCATGATAAACACTAAACTTAGCCTCCAGCCCATCCTTGGGCTCCGTCTTACCCGTCAACTCAAGCACAAGCGGATGAACCCTAACAACAACACTCTCCACATCCCCAACCTCAACCCCAACCCTCTCCAACTCCACATGCCCCCAAACACACCCGTCAATAACAGGATGAACAACAATCCCACAAGGAAATGGCTTAAAAGCATTCCTCAAAGTCTCCCACCTCCCCCCAAGCCCCGCAATCTCCTCCCCAAGCCTATGTCCACCCCCAACAACATTCCCCCACCCCCTCTTCGCCTCAAGAGCCTCCAAAGACCCCGTAAAGCCCTGCGCAGCAAGCAGCGCAGCCAATAGTCCATTCTGCGCAGCCCGCCCAGGATGAAAGGACTTAGCATGCGATCCGAACATTTCCCGTAACCCCGTGACCTGCGTACACGCCAGAGCAATCGCATGCGCCATCCGATCAACGTCTAGCATTAGTATTTTCGCAACAGCAACCGCCGCCCCGATCGAACCAGTCGTAGAAGTAATATGCCACCCGACATCATAATGAGCTGGCCAAACAGCAAGTCCGACTTTACATTCTGCCTCGATACCAGCGACGAGGGCAGTGAGGAATTCTGCGCCTGAGACTGGCCGGTCCAGTGTCTCGGTTATGGATAGGAGGGCTGAGGCGACTGGGCCGGTTGGGTGGATGATTGTGTCGAGGTGGGTGTCATCGTAGTCGTGAACGTGGGAGGCTATGCCATTGAATAGAGCTGCGTGTTGGGCGTCTGTTGACGAGGAGGTTCCTAGGAGGGTGGATGTGGGTGGGCCTGCGAATTGGGAGAGCGCCTTGCGGGCTATGCTTGTTGCAGCGTGGTTGCTGCCGCCCACTGTGCAGCCGACCCAGTTGTAGAAGCTGCGGAGGGCGGCGTGGGTGACTTCTTCTGGGGGGTTGGTGAGGGAGGTGGCCCAGGTGGCTAGGTTTTTGGTGGCCATTGTGGATTATGGATTGCGGGGTGTGTTTGTGTGGATTGTATGATGATCAATAGTTGGACCAAGAGTTGGAGTGTGTCTACGATCGAGATTTAAACTTATTCTAGTTCGGAGATTAGGGCGGGGGTAGGGAGTCCACTTTTTGGCTCGGCGATGGATCTTAGGCTTTGGAGCTGAACGGGAAGGGAGATAGGGCTGAACGGCGTTATGCTTGGCTAATATAAAGATGTGTCTAAAGTATGCTAATGCATGGTCCACGACATCAAGTCAAAATGTGGAAGAATAGAAAGAAAAACAATGATAAATGACCCCTCCGATGCCTGGATATGCCGATGAACGCCCCTCGCATGTAAAATGTACGCCGAGAATGCTTAATATGCCCGCAAAATAAACGATTTGATCATCCCCCTACTCATTCGCCCGTGGCTTGCGTGGGGTTTCCTCAGTATCGGAAGAATCGTCGGCGGACTCATCCTCCATGTCCTCACCACTTGATTCTTCCATGTCGAGATTATCGTCCGAGTCACTTCCCCCAAACACATCGCTGTCGACATCGCTATCGGCCCAGAAGTCGTGGTCCTCTTTCTCCATGGGCTCAGAGGCCATGGCTGCGTGGGTAGGCATTTCAAAGCCCTCGGGAATGTCCAGTCTGGATTTCTCCACATCGGCCTTGACGAGCCGGCGATAGACCTCAGGTTCGTTGCGCAAGAGGACGGCAGCATCAACGTTGGCTGGGGAGGAGCACTCCGCATCGTCAAGTAAGGAAAGTATAGAGATCAAGACGGACTCGACGCGCTGGGCGGGGGACCAGCGTTCGGAGGCCAATTCGCCGGACATTTCATCGTCGCCGGGCGCGTGGAGGATAGAAATGCATAACTTGCCGTCGGGGTATATGTTGGGGTGGTGGAGAGGTTTGAGGAATTGGAACTCTGCGCGTGACTGTCAGTTTCATCAAAGTGGGGGAAGAGGGGGTGTGGCATGGGGACATACTCGGCGGGACATAAGGGTAATTTGAGGGGAACCTCATTACCGCTTTGAAGTAACCGCCATAGTACATGGAGTCCGGGTTGACGACGATTAAGGCGATATCCCATTGAAAGATGTCGTCATTGTGTAACTGCATTTCGGTTAGATCGTTGATCACCAAGTGCAGAATGTGCCTGAATCTATTGACTCCGTTGACAATAGGGGGTTGACTGACTGCAACGTGGACCCATCTCTCTTTCTGCAGACTCTTGTATTCATTCATTAAGATTCGCTCAGCCATGATGTGTGCTTCTACTATGTCGAAACACCGTGATGTGAAAAAAGCCGTTGGTGGAGGCGGAGGTTGGAAGAGTCCGGTTGAAGATGTCCGAAGACACCTGAGTTATAGGGCATATGAGTGGCGACCTCTGACTAACTTGCCCCAAAACTGAACAAAGCGGACAAGACTAAAAAACAATCAAATTCTTTCATTTTGAAACCCTAAAATATTCAAGATTCATAATTCATAACCGATTAATTCCTCAGAAGTAAGCACTTCTATATTTCACTGCAATACAGCTGCACTATAAAAAAGCCGATAACAGTGGGGAACTATAGGCGATAAGCAAAGGATCGGCCTGCAGGTCATATGAAACCTCCCGTTACGTGACAGAATTCGGGCTCCCAATGTAGTCATACAAACGGAATATTCCGTAAAATATCTATAATCTCATTGTATGAAAATTATACTAAGAAAGAAAAAAACTAATAGTGTGGTACCTCGATCCACACCCTAAACTTGGTGGCGGCCCATGTCACTCGGACGTCCGTCCACCGCCGGTTTTGGAATCTCGAGTTCTTCTGTTTGCATTTTCCTTCAGACTCCGCTCACTATATTTTACCCCATACACCCAGCACTACACGGGTATTGCTCAATCCTCGGCTCTGCGATATCCCCCATCACTCGACATTGCGATGCCAGCCTTGTCCAATTACGTCAAATCTTGCTAACCGTATAGGGTGACATCCCGGTCGCATTGTCACATATTCTGATCGCTCCAGAGCTGTGCGCGCCTTCGCGAGCTTCAGATTCTGAGCTTCCCCAGCGTTGCGACCATGTTGCCACAATGCCAGGGTCCTGTTTGGGCCATTGACGACTTGTCTCGTTGCTTCCAACGCAAGTGAGTATGCCCTCCCCACAGTGACAAGGATCCCATGTCCCTCTGACGCGGCACACACACACAGTGTTCTTCAAGTTATACTCCCTCTCGCCGTATGCGGCACTTCCCTGCTGCTGATCCTTCTTCGCCTCGCTCATCGATATGCGCTCACCCGGAAAGGTGTCGCCTACAAGGTTCTCCCAACCAGCGACACCAATGACTCGGAGGAATCCACTGTGGCGGAAAATGAATCTGATGCGATGCTGTCCCAAGCCCTCCAGCACGAACAAACCAAGGTCGAGGTTGACCGCCCGCGCGGAGAGGTGATGTTTGTGCTACTCGAAATTGCAGCTTTGATTGGCCAGGTTGCGGTATACATCGGCATCTTGTCGACTCATGCCTGGGGCCGACACGGAACACTTCCCGCGATCGCCGGACTGGTATCATGGGGTTACATATTGTTCTTGGTGCTGGTTCGGTTCCTGCTATCGACTTTGGATGTCTTCACTGCGCCGAGATTGTGGAATCACACGGCCAGTCTGTACGGTCTACAGTGGATTTTCAACGTGATGGTCTTCCGATCCGCTATAATTCACCCGTTATCTCAGCGCGCCCTTATCTTGAGCAGCGTACAGTTCGCCTTAAGCTCGGTACTACTTTTGATTGCGCTCACGACTCGCCGAGGCAACAAGCCGGTTTTGGTGGAGCGCGAAGGCAAGCTAGAACCGCCGACACACCCTATGGCCAGTCTACTGTCCCTTGCGACATTTTCTTGGCTCGACACATTGGTGCTGAAGGGATACCGCCAGCCGCTCGAGCTACAGGATGTTTGGAACTTGACTCCTTCGCAGAAGGCTGCCAATGTTCTCTCGGAATTCCGCAAACGCCAGATGAAGGGATCTCTGGCATGGAAGCTCATTCGTTTCTTCATGGGGACGATCCTTGAGCAGGGTGCTTGGACTATATTTGCCAATCTTTTCGTTTTCATGCCTAGCTTGCTTCTCAAGGCCATCCTTGAGTATGTCGAGGACCCTCGGTCGACTACACCTAATGCCGCCTGGCTTTTCGCTATTCTACTGTTCTGCTGTGCTACCGTGCAGGGTGTTGCAGATGGCCAATCACTCTACATTGGTCGTAAGATGGGTGTGAAAATTCGCGCGATCATCATTGGTGAAATCTATGCAAAGGCCCTGCGCCGTAAAGCCGGAGCTTCTGTGGAAGCTGCGAAGAAAGCGGTTGATGATTCGGTACTTCCCAAGGATGCGCAGGCAAAGAAGAAGTGGTTCTCCTTTGGCCGCAAGAAGAAGGCGGCAAATGCCAATGACACTGAGTCTGCGCCCAAGCCCGAATCTAAGGACGAAGATACCACCCAAGCCAACGTCGGAACCATCATTAACTTGATGGCTATTGATTCCTTTAAAGTTAGCGAAGTTGGTGCTTACCTTCACTTCCTGTGGGCTAGTGTGCCCGTGCAACTGATCATGGCTGTCACTTTGCTCTACCACATCATGGGCTTCAGTTCATTTGCCGGCATTGCATTGATGGCTCTCATGTTGCCAATCAACCTCTTCATCGCCCGCCAGTTCAACAAGGTACAGAATCAAATTCTCAAAGGCACCGATGCCCGTATCCATGCCACCAATGAGGTTCTTCAGAACATTCGCATCATCAAGTACTTTGCTTGGGAGCAGCGCTTCCAGGATATCGTCAACGAGAAGCGTAAGACTGAACTCAAGGCCCTGCGGAACAGATACATCCTGTGGTCCTCTGCCGCGACTATCTGGTATGGCACGCCCATTTTGATCACATTCATGTCTTTCTTCCTCTACACTGTTGTCGAGAAGAAGCAGTTGACTCCTTCTATCGCCTTCCCTGCTTTGTCAATGTTCTCTTTGCTGCGTGTTCCATTGGACCAACTCGCGGATATGGTTGCCCACGTGCAGGAATGTAAGGTCTCTCTCGACCGTGTGGACAAATACCTGAACGAGGAAGAAACCGGCAAATATGACCAACTGCGTGATAGCACCACTGCCGGAACTCCTGCTAAGATTGGCCTCGAAAATGCGACCCTCTCATGGAGCAACTCCAAGGTCCAGGCCAAGGACACTGCCTCAACTACCGATTTGGACTCTTTCCGTTTGATCAATCTTAATGTCGAATTCCTTGTTGGCAAACTCAATATCATTGCCGGACCCACTGGATCCGGCAAGACTTCCCTGCTCATGGCCCTGCTTGGAGAGATGCAGCTTGTTGAAGGCCAGGTTCACCTTCCTGGTGGAATGGCCAACAGATCTGACCTTCCAGTGGACCCCGAAACCGGTTTGGTGGAAAGCATTGCCTATTGCGCTCAGGAAGCATGGCTTGTCAATGCTACCGTAAAGGAAAACATCATCTTCGCCTCCCCCTACGACGAGCGTCGCTACCGTGCAGTGCTGAAGGCATGCGCACTCGAGCGCGACCTTGCAATTCTGGATGCCGGTGACCAGACTCTGGTTGGAGAGAAGGGTATCAGTTTGTCTGGTGGTCAGAAGCAGAGAATCTCTCTGGCTCGTGCCATTTACAGCAGTGGTCGCCACTTGCTGCTCGACGACTGTCTCTCTGCCGTTGACTCTCATACCGCTAAGCACATTTTCCGCCAGGCTCTTACCGGCCCCCTCATGTTGAACCGTACTTGTATCCTGGTCACTCACAACGTTGCCTTGACCGTTCCCCAGTCCGACCACGTGGTCGTTCTGGACAATGGCAAGATCTCTGCTCAGGGCCGCCCCAACGATGTTGCTGCCACTGGTGCTTTGGGCGAGGAATTCCTCAAATCTCGCCCTGTTTCCCAGGCCAGCTCCCGCGGTTTATCTCGTGTACCCTCAGACCATGAAGCCCCAGATGAAGATCTCAACGGAACTGCCAATGGAAAATCTCAGGAGGAGAAGACTCAACTGCAAGAGTCCAAGGCTACTGGTAGCATCAAGTGGTCTACCGTCAGCATGTACCTCCGCTCTATGGGCCCTTGGTACTACTGGATCGGAGCTGTGTTGGTGTTCATTTTGCAGCAACTGGGCTCAGTTTCCACCAACATTTGGATCAGACAGTGGGCTAACTCTTACCACACCTCCAAGACTGGCACCGAGGATGCCGGACAATATGCTGCTGCGGCTCACCTCAAGCCCCCAACATTCAATGTTGGAAGCGTTGGTCGGGTGAGCAGCTGGAGCTTGCCTCAATTTGGCGCAAGCTCTGCCTCCGAGGAATCTGGTGAGGTCAACGTCGCTTATTACCTGGGTGTCTATGCTCTTCTCGGATTTCTCTACATCGCGATCTCCCTGTCTCGGGAAGCCGTTCTTTTCTGGGGATCGCTCCATGCATCCTGGAAGATCCATGATCGTCTTTTGAAGGCTGTCATGCATGCCAAGTTCCGCTTCTTCGATTCCACTCCCCTTGGTCAGCTGATGAACCGATTCTCCAAGGATGTCGAGTCTGTGGATCAAGAGGTCGCCCCTGTTGCAATTGGTATGCTCCACAGTCTAGCATCAGTGATTATGATTGTCATCCTGATCTCTTGGATTACTCCCGGTTTCTTGATCGCCGGTGTGTTCATCACACTTGTGTACACTGCCCTTGGTGCCGTGTACCTGAACTCTTCTCGAGACCTCAAGCGTCTGGAATCTGTCCAGCGTAGTCCTTTGTACCAGCAATTTGGCGAGACACTGAATGGAATTGTCACCATTCGTGCCTATGGCGATGGTCCCCGCTTTATTGTGGACAACCACCAACGCATCAACGCTTACAACCGACCTCACATCTACCTGTGGGCCAGCAACCGCTGGCTCGCCCTGCGTGTTGACTGGACAGGGGCTTTGGTGTCATTCTTCGCAGCTACCTTTGTGCTCCTGAACGTTGGAAACATCGACGCAGGTGCCGCCGGTCTCTCGCTGACCTATGCCGTCACCTTCACCGAAAATGTGTTGTGGCTTGTGCGCCTCTATTCCGAGGTCCAGCAGAACATGAACTCTGTGGAGCGAGTCCGTGAATACCTCGAGGTGGATCAGGAAGCTGAATCCGTCATTGAAGGATCTCGCCCATCAGCGAACTGGCCTAGCCAAGGTGCCGTTGACTTCGATGCCTACTCGACCCGCTACCGACCGGACTTGGACCCGGTTCTCAGGGAAGTTTCGTTCTCCGTCAAGGCCGGTGAGAAGGTCGGCATTGTCGGTCGCACCGGTGCAGGCAAGAGTTCTCTTGCCCTGGCTCTCTTCCGCGGTCTCGAGGCAGAGAAGGGTCGCATCCTCATCGATGGCGTTGACATTGGTTCGATTGGCTTGCGCGACTTGCGTGAGGCAATCACCATCGTGCCCCAAGACCCGACTCTCTTCACCGGAACCCTCCGCAGCAACCTGGATCCATTCGGTCTGTTCAGTGATGAGCAAATCTTCACAGCTCTCCGCCGAGTCCATCTCATCGGCTCCAGCACCTCAGGCACCGCCACCCCGACAACTCCCAGCACTCTCACGGCAACAGAAAGCAACGGCGTCAACGGCGTCAACGGCACCGCAGTAACAGTCGTCGACAACAAAAATATCTTCCACAACCTCGATAGCCTCGTCTCCGAGTCCGGCTCAAACCTTTCTCAAGGCCAGCGCCAACTCCTCTGTCTCGCCCGTGCTCTCCTCAAAAGTCCTCGCGTCCTAATGATGGACGAAGCAACCGCCTCAATCGACTACGCCACCGACGCCAAGATCCAAGAAACCCTCCGCGAACTCCACAGTAGCACCATCATCACCATCGCCCACCGTCTGCAAACAATTATCGACTACGACAAGGTCCTGGTCCTCGACCATGGCCGCGTCATCGAATTCGATCACCCCTGGACCCTCATCAACAAGGACGAAGGTCTGTTCCGCAGTATGTGCGATAACAGCGGTAATATGGAAGTTTTGCTGGATGGTGCGAAACGCGCCTGGACACAGAAGAGACTCGTCGATGACTCTTGAGCTTGTGTTTTTTTAATCTTGTTGATTTCTTTTATCTCTTGTCATCATAGATCTCGTACATATCCATCGTTTGCCTTTGTTTATTACTTTCACATCGCTCGTCTCAGGACGACATTGGAAAAAAAAAGAGACACCAATGTAATCATTACTTTTCATTCAAATTGGGGTGTCTGAATTCAATCATTTTGATCGTGGTATCCATTTCTCATAATAGGAGTATCTGGTTGGCTATGTAATATTTGTTTCTATGGCTCCTGGTTAAAATCCAAAGAAGCCCAGTATATGCCGTGTTGTTCGAGCGACGAATTCAGAACGGGTAGTTCCCTGGTTGCAGGGCGTCGCACCAATGACTCGCTGTAGCCCTACCACTCTAGAGTTCTTCGTGAATGGGGGTTTAACCAAGCGCCACGCATCACGATCAAAGGAGTCCAATCTCCGGGCTGGTCCAGAATGTTCGGATGAAAGAAACCATCTTGGCAATTCAGGCACTGGGCCTATCGCGGCGTTTCTACCAAAGTGGTATCCCAGATCACTGCTGGGAGCCGCGCAATCGTCTCGGGTATCAAGAATGGGGCAGGTCCGAGTCCAGTCCAAATGGACAATGAAGAGGTGTCCCGAGTTCGGTAATAGTTTCCGATCGGGCATCGAGGTGTACGCCTAAGCGTATGGGGTATCGTGGCGGCATTTCATTCAGGAGTGTTTCATAACCATCGCCAGGGCGATTTCAAAATAGCGATAAGGGCGTTATTCAAGGTGTGTTTCAAAATTCCAAAGGAATCAAGTAACAGCGTCAAGTCTTCGAACCAATACCTCTGATGATCGTAAAGACACAAACCACCGCAGAGGCAAGAGCAAAGAACTGCCACTGCGGTAAGAAAGCAGTCGCATCCTGCCAGTGGTACATCCGTAGCGATCGGCAAAGGTGTGCGCTCGGGTGCACCGGCACTGCGATCGGCGCATCCGAATCCGCATTCGCATTTGCATCCCCAGCATCCGAGTTATGCACATTCATCGTCTGCTGAGACTGCGTTTTCGCGGATTCAGATGTCGCAATGAAGCCTGCTTCGCGCATCGCTTGTTCTTTCGCTTTGGATAGAGCTTCGAGTTCATCTTCGTCGGGTAGTGTTTCGGGGTAGTAGTAGCGCTTATGCTGCATGCGGGTGACTGGTGTCGGTGAGACGGTCTTGGGTAGCGAGGTGGACTGGATCGCGAGCTGGATTTGATCTGGCGTGTCGGATGAGGTGAGAATAGGGATTGCGAGGATTTGAAGGAGACAGAAAGCGAGAAGTGTGAATAGGCTGCGTAGCATGGTAGCGGATGCCCGCGGGTGGGGATTGATAAGATCGGCGTTGTGCAGAAATAGTCGATCACTTTATCGCAAGGTACCAGGAAGGTAGCGAAGTAGAGGAAATCATGAGGATAATCCAGGGATAAGGAAGAAGGTAGAAGATATGGTAGTAATCGAAGGACAAAAAAGACAAAAAGGTCTAAAAGGCCAAGGGCCGAAAGGGAAGCGGAGGTGCGCGGATTCGGCCTTTGGGTCGGGCCCGGATTCGTCTGCATAAGTTGCATTAAAGCCTAGACCTGAGCTATGTACTTGAGTATATTCAGCTCCAAGGTCACTTGAGCAGTATAGCATTTATTATGAAGTTCTAATATGCAAATCTACCCAAAGACATTCAAATATTCCGCTTGTCACCAATAAGCTTGAGCAATTAGACACACATTCTACTGTGGAGCAAAGCGAAGCAATTAAGAGATAACCTCTTATCACGCGGGATTTAATCTACCTCGTATACGTATTGACGACCTAAACAGAAAATGGCGTGAGAAGGCCGAATATCAACCTTTGAATGGCGGAATTATTCTGCAGACACTACACGCCGGATTTGGACATCCGATTCCGACATATACCTATTAGAACCCATTACTCTCTAGAGCTGTACATCTGTATGGGGATAAACTTCAGAAGAAAAGGATTTCTCTCGTATACTTAAGTATAACTAAACGCTGAAGCTAGAGATGCCCATTCTGTAGTGGAAAGTTCCTGAAATGGCCGAAGTTAACCAAAATCTTCCTATTGGGCTCCACCGAAGTGGCCTCGGGACACAAGAGAGCGGAGATAAATAGAGAGCTATGGGGACATCCTGATATGAAATGCCAGAACCTGGGAACTATACTCCAGTAGATGAAAGGAGAATATGATGGGGTATTACTCCGTGCTCTGTGGATTGTACAGACCCACTTAATGCATCAGATCTACTGAATTGAGACTAACACGTTACTTTGATTCCAATCCATGACGGCATACAGCTGAAACCCCAGCAGTTTCCGACAAAGACATCTGAATATTAGGCTCAATTTTTGGAAAGAGAAAAAGATCGAACGTTGATGCAACTCAGAGCTGGCCTTCCCTAAATGTATAGGCTAGTTACCTACACAGACATCGGGGGTATCATCCCACTTGATTGACCACTTGAGCAGTACAGATGCTGAAACTCAAAATATAGAATTGCCCAGACGGACACCAACTGTTCCAATGCTGGAGGTTGACAGTAAAGGGACCTCCTCTAACTACTACCTACTGAAGTAGGGGGTTTATATCCTGTTTAGGTTCCTCTGGTTTGTTTGAATCTTTCTAAAACAAATTGAGCGAATTCAGTTGATAGGGCAATATTCCACTCTATAAAGACCTCGAAATATCTATCTCAACTGTTGTCAGCGCACGAAAAAGCCGAAGAAATCTGCCCGTCCCGGTACGCCTTGCTAATCTGCACAACCACCCCGTACGTTCCACCAACTGCCATGAACAAGCCAAGCAAGATGAGAAAGACATGAAACACATACAAAGCCACCTGGAACCAATTCCCCCGCCAATAATTTCGATGGCTATATACCCATAACCACCCAGGCAAGCTAATAGCCAGCGGCGCGAAACACAAACTTCCAACCAGCGCCAAAACATAATTGAAAATCGGAATCGCTGAAGCCAGCACAAATGAGATGGCCGCTGTGCCAATCGTGCATGACAGCCACGTTCCCCAGTGCACGGCCGTATTAGCCTGCAGGTGCCGGGAGTTACGCAATATCCGTACAAAAAGATACTTGGCGGCGACGTGGACGTATAAACATCCGCTAATGATCAGGCCCGGTAGGGCAATCCCGTACGCAATGCGCTTAACTGTCTCGCCGGCACTTCCGAGAGACGGGGAGGCAATCCATTTCCCGCACCAGGCATAGATCACTAGACTGAAGGTGAGATAGGAAGCCGTCACCAGAGTCATACTAAGGTAGACGGCCTTGGGGTAGTCCTTTGGTCTGCGCATCTCCGAGATCACGGGAAGGAAAGCAGACGTCGCGGCGCTGGAGACGAAGATAGTGGCAGAGGCCGTGATGCCTGTGGTGAAGTCTGGGTTACCGATGACTCGGTAGCCGAAATCGAAGTCGCCTGTTTGGGGTGCTGCGGCTGGTCGGTCTCGTACAGTGACGCCGATACTGTGAATATGGTGGTTAGTCAAAACAATACGCAACCGATGGATGTGGACATACACGATGATGAACACGGCCACATAAACGCTCCCGAATCCAAGCCAGGTGAGCCAGCCAATGTGTGAGAATTTGCGCACACTAGCGCACATGGCGATGATGATCGTTCCGATGAATGAGAACCAAACTGTACAGACTGAATGGAGAGATAGTGCATTGAATGCTGTGGATACGCCGATGATCCCTGATGCGGCGACGATCACGTAGCTTATGGTGAACAAGGCGCCAACGAGCTCTTTGACCACGGGGCCGCCAACTACCTGTGCCATATCTGCAATTGAGTGGCAGCCCGGGTAAGCATTCCGGAAATTACCCTGGACGAGAGCGCAGTATGTATTCAGAAGACTCCATCCCACGACAGTGATGGCGCCTGGGAAGGCGCCTAACTCGTACATCAAGGAAGGGATGGACAGAACGCCCGTGGCAAAGATAACTGCGATCGGGTTAACGTGGTGGCCGGCATTAGGACAGGAGGACTAACTCTTTAGAAAGATCACCGACGCACGAATCCAAGAGACAGTACGAAAATCAACTTGGCCATCGCCTCGTTTGAAGACCTCGTACTTGTCTTCGACGTCGCCTTTTTGGGTGTCGACATGGGGGTCGTCTGAGTGGGGGGCCTCTTTGATCTCGTCCGGCATGGTCGAACAGATACTCTAGATGCAGCCCAGTAAATTATATGGCTTTGACAAAAGCACGAATTGGAGAATCCCGAGGGGGTATATAAGGTATGCAGGCCTCGCACCCTAACGGCATTTTTGTCTAGGCGATCGAGGATTGGTACTTTCTATACGAAGTCGAGGGCGATAAGCAAAGGGTTCCACTTCATTTCCCCGCGAAATCCAAAAGGGAATCTGTCAGGGGGCAGTTGGGGTAGGAAAAAAGGCCATTGGGGTACAGTAGGCCCAAATCCACATCTTGACGAAATGACGATTTCCACCATGATTGATATCAATTGGGGTAATTCTAAAGTTGAATTGGGGTAGATAAAGATCAATCGCTGACTGGAAATATGACACCTGATATCTTTGCAATAGTAGACCGATAGCAAGCGCGACTTGGCTTGGGGGCAATATCCACATCAGCCCCTGATAGCGCTTAAGGCTCGGGGGTTATTCGGCTTAGTGAGAGGCGCCACGGTATGCCTCGACACGAGTCCCGCGCTGTCTTGGGACCCTGATACTTTAGATAATTTAACAACTTTAGAATTAATTGAGATACAAATTGATTTTGAGGGTATATATTCTGAACAAAGTAATATTGTTTTTTTCTTTTCGTTTTATATAGAATATCTCTACTTCTGAAGCATCGCCCCAGCCTTCGCAGGCATCAAAGCTCCGGGGGGAGGAGCATTCTTGCTCTTAAACTCGTCGCAAACTTGCTCCATGGTCACAAATTCCACGCCGTCGTGTTTTTTGAAGTGTTCAATCAGCCTATCGTCGGTCAGCCAGGTATCTCAACTATTCATCCAACATTGATAGTTCCTACCTTTCGTGCATAAGAAGCACATGAGGTCGTCCCGAAACATCCGGATGGATTGTAATGGGGAAGATAAACTCATCGTATTCCCGGTAGAAGTAATCAAAGTGATCACGCCAGATATCTTCCACATCCCGTGGGTTGACAAAGCCATGGCTGTTGGGCGCGCTCTTGATGAACATCATTGGGGGCAGGTCATCGATGTACCAATTTGAAGGAATCTCCACCAAACCCGTTTGTGGACCATGCTCAAGGGGCTTCATCCATTCCTCTGCCTTCTTTTTGTAGTCGATGTTGGTCCAAGTGTCACCCGTTCGAAGGTAGTAGGCTTGACAGTCCTCGTGGCTCATACTGTGGTCGTACTCGATTCCATAATCGAGAAGAAGTTGAGCGCCTTCCTGACTGGTCTCCCACCTGTTGATACTTGATTAGTGGATTTCCTCCTAATTTCCGGTTGGGTTCCACTCGGACTTACCAAGGTGCCACGCTTCCTCGAGGCGGCTTCCCAGCGAACTCAGTCAGCATTCGGTATGTTTTGTCCAACACATCACGCTGTTGCTGAAGCGACATGTCTGTTGGGTTCTCATGGGAGTAGCCGTGCAGACCAATCTCGTGGCCTGCATCGCGGACTGCGGCCATGTCCTCGGGGAAGGTTTCGAGAGAGTGACCGGGAATGAACCAGGTTGATTTGATGTCATATTTCTTGAACAACTTCAGCACTCGCCTAGTTCCAATTGTGCCTGCCCAGTATCCTTTGAGGCGATTATCGATTAGAGTGACATCTTGTCTGTTATCGGCCCGGCTTACCTCTGCTGATGTCGTTGGTGGAATCCTCGCCGCCATAAGAGCCTAGCCAACCGGCGACAGCATCGACATCGACACCGTAGGTAATGAGCACTCGCTTTGGGGCCATGTTGTGTATTGAATATAATAGTAAGATTTGGAGTTAAGAAAAAAAGAGAGGGAAATGTACATTGGCCTTTTGTATATGCGGGGAAAGATAAGCCCCTCGGATCTACGTCCATTACACCGCTGACTATTTCCTGCCTCCCTTCTAACCCGTGAATTTGCACTCCACATCCCTGATAAGGTTATTATATTTCTCGTCTCCAACTCCGGAGTGAACAATCGCTATCTGCGTGTACCTGCGCCGAGAGGTGTCTCCAACACTGCGTTGGGGTCATCTCAGTTGGGGTAAGCATTGCAGGCGACGAGACCCATTTTAACGGACTCCACGAGTGACGGCGGGGGGTCGCCGATGGAGAAGGTGCAAAAAAAGGGCGAGAAAAAGGACAAAAAAAGAACGATGGCCATGAGTTTCATCATAACCCACTATTCTCTCAGATCATTTTGAGATCGCGGTGACAGTGTTGCGAGATCATGTCGGTTCTTTTCACGAGCATTTCGGAGTGAGTTGCATTGAACCATCGCCAAATAAAACCACTAACAGTGCGATCCAGGACCAACCCGGTCAAGGCGGACGATGCGCAAGCTCTCCTCGAACCACTTGGTTTGACCATTGATCCAGCCGAGGCGCAAGACTTTCACACCCTCCTAGCAGCAGTTCATGACTGCGCCGAAGGTGTAGCCGCTTTACCAGACTACCAACCGATTCCCGATCAAACCAAGTATCCCCGCGAGAATGTGCGCCGACCAGGCCCCGACGAGCAAGTGTTCGGACAAGCCTGGGCACACCGATTTCTGATCCGAGGCAATGCACAGGGCGGGCCCCTAGCTGGTAAATCCGTCAGTCTCAAGGATGTGATTGCGGTCGCAGGTGTTCCTCAGCTCCTGGGAAGCGATATAATCCCCTCTTGGACTCCGACGACGGATGCAACCGTTGTCACCCGGCTGTTGGAAGCCGGTGCGGATCTCGTTGGGACCTCAACGTGCGAAAACCTCTGCCACTCTACTTCCTCGTACACCAGTGCTCAAGGAACAGTGGAAAACCCCCACGCGGTTGGATACTCGGCTGGCGGAAGTACCTCTGGAGGGGCTGCGCTAGTTGCGGCTGGTCTGGTGGATATCACAATTGGAGGCGATCAGGGTGGAAGTATTCGGGTCCCAGCTTCGCTCTGTGGATGTAAGACACCAATCTACTACCAATGAGGAAATTTGTGCTGATCGAATTCAGGTGTTGGGCTCAAACCTACACATGGGCGTGTTCCGTTCACTGGAATCGCCAGTGGCGATGCATTGAATGACCATGCAGGTCCACTAACTCGAACCACATTGGAAACTGCCAGATGTCTGGATATAATCAGCGGATATGATGGAATCGACGATAGGGCAGTTGGTAGTTCGAAGCCAGGCTCAACTAATTTTGAGCTCGCCACTCAGAACACACCCGACAACCTAGAGGGCTTCAAAATCGGTATCTTGAAAGAAGGGTTCGAGCACAGCATGGTGAGCCCAGCTGTCAGGGAGACTGTCTTGAATGCGGTCCAGAGGTATAAAGATCTGGGCGCCACTGTCGAAGAAGTGTCTCTTCCTGACCATCTGCAAGGACCCGCAATCTGGACCACTCAGCAGCGGATTGCTGGAGCGCAGACATTACTCGGTCAGAACACCGGACGGAGAGGTCTCTGTATGACTGATATGGAAAGGGCACGTCTCCCATGGACCGACGATGGCTTCCAGCGTGCATTCCCGTCCACCAAGAACGTCATCGTCAACGGCCTCTATCTCATGCAAAAGTTCCCTGATCTGTACGGGAAGACTGTCAACTTTGGGCGACACTTATCCGACCAATATCAAGAGCTGTTTGCGAAATATGATGTTGTGGTCATGCCTACAACGCCGGTCGTTGCGCCTCGACATGGCAAGCGGGAGCTGCCGCTGGACTCGCTCAAGCCTAGCATGGGCTTGACCATAAACACTGCCATCTTCAATGTGACGGGGCATCCAGCACTGTCCATACCTGTTGGATTTGCACCGGCCAATGATGATGATCAAGTCATGTTGCCAGTTGGGATGCAGATTGTCGGTGGGTTGTGGCAGGAAGAAAAGATTCTTCGGGCTGGTCATGCCTGGGAGAGTCATCATGATTGGAAGAAGGTTCATTATTCCACGGGCAAGAACTAGAAGGTCCTATTCCTAAATATAGCATAGAGTTATTTGTCTTATACTTAGCTTCGCGGTCAAATAAACCAGACATCATGTTTGACGATTACCATATGCCATCACATCAAACAGCTTTTATGAAAGAGACCAAGACCAGTGAAGATAGAAGAGTTGGCTAAGAGCAAACTGAAGAAACAAAGAGAAAAAAAGTAGAACAAAAGAAGCAAACAACCAACACGTGAATCTTGGAAGGAGCCCAGGTGTTTAACAACAGTCCCAATTAGGAATGCACCCAGGGTATATAAACCCCCATCTTCCCACTTCTCCTCTTCTCTTTCTCTTCTCTCCACAAATCCTTCTTGGTGGGGAAACCTGCTTCGTTGGTCACAGACGTTTGAACTCGGATGCTCAGGCCTGGGGGTCCGGGGGATCGTGGTCTATATCAAATTCACTCTTGTGCGTGAAAGGCGAGCAGGTGAAAGTAGTACGGAGACGTCCCGAACCCGGCATACTGATCTTGCGCCCAGTCCCCCGCACAAGCGACATGTGTTCTTACCCAGGTAGTGTAATGCGTAGTGTGTATTGAAGCTCAAGTGAGACTCTAGATATACTCGTCAAGTCGCTGACCACTTCCAGGTGTTGGGAAGGGGTCAGCGACGTGACTAGTGTTTAGACAGTGACATATCCGCCATCTACCACCATAGCATGACCCTGTACAAATGATGCCTGAGTAGAGCACAGGAACAGGATAGCGTCGGCGACTTCTGCAGGCTGCCCCATTCTCTTCATCGGCGCAGTTTCCACCGCCGGCATGATAGCCGCACGAACCTCGGGTTTCTCCATCACCAACGGAGTCTCAATGACACCAGGACAGACGCAGTTGACTCTGATATTATCTTTTGAATAATCGATTGCATCGGCGCGTGTCAAACCAATAACAGCCGATTTTGATCCACAGTACGCAGCTGGCCTTTATCAGTAACATGTTCTCGCGATCGGCACTGAGAACTCACGAGCACCGGGGCGACTGACAATCCCCAGTTGACTGGCAACATTGACCACAGAGCCCCTTTGTGGTGGTCGGGCCGGGTCATGACTAGGGAGGCCATCCTGCGAACTCATCTGCCTGAGCTCGGCTCGCGATGAAAGCCAACAGCCTCGATAGTTGATATTGTTTACGCGGTCAAATTCCTCAAGACTGGTCTCCGCGGATCGCAAGGGTTTCCCAAGTACCCCTGCACAGTTTACAGCATAGTCTACTCGACCAAATAATGTGACCACCTCTTGAATGAATGTGTCTGCAAAATGGTTGTCTGCAACGTTACCCGCTTTGACCAGAAGCTTGGTGTTAGGGTAGGTTGACTCGATGGTCTCCGCTGTTTGCCGCAAGGAATCTTCATTCAGGTCTGTAATCGCGATCCTCTCACATCCAGCAGCAGCAAAAGCCTTTGCCGTCGCAGCACCGATTCCTTGTGGTAGATGTGTAAGCTTGTGTCCGCCTCGAGGCCTCAAAAAAGATCTACCTACCTGTTCCCCCAGCACCAGTGACCACAGCAACACCCGGAAACATGACGAGAAAGCTTCCAATGCAATTGAAAATAAATGTATACACAGAAATGAAGCAGTGTGCAGTACAATGTCCGGAGTATATACCTAGACAAGCCCCCGAACCCCACCTTTATCGCTTATCGCGGGCCGAGAAGTCGAGGACGCCGAGTTGGAGCAGTTGGAGTCACCTCCTCCCCATCCACTTGCCCAGCTCTCCAAACCAGTTCTCCATCGTTTCAATGCCGTCTCCATCGCCCCCAAAAGCCCGTGGGGGAAGAGCACGCATCTGTGTACACTGCGGTCGGAGTTTCCGCCGCACTGAGCATCTGGAGCGACACATTCGAACTCGTAAGCCCATAGCCGACGGCTCCCGAGCTAGTGATGCTAACCCGGTAACCCGCTAAGACACAAAGGAGAAGCCGTTCATTTGCTTCTGTGGGGCAGCCTTTACTAGGAGGGATCTACTCAAGCGTCACACGCGCATATCACACCAAGATGGCCTGACCTCGCCCACTGCGCCGCCCGAACCAACGACAAAGACGGAATTCCAGCCTGCACCTCACCCTGCAGGCGTCCCGTCGCAATATGACACACCAGCCAGATCGGCTGTCCCCCTTGCAGGGCCATCTGCCGTACACCAATGGGCTGGCTCCCAGAACATGCCTTATTTAGACCAGAACCACTCTGCCGGCATGCTCCCCGCCGCTGCTGCACCCCCAAACCCTAGCCTGGAGCCTCATTCGGCCATGGTCCCTGACGCGAACATGCTTCAAGCGGCTCAGCTGCTGCTTCCCGGTGACTACCGTGCAACAGGTGCGTTTCCCCAATGTGTTGCCAAGGCTCCTTGCAAGCCCTGCCAGCATAACATCTTCCTCGCCTTGGCATGGGACGCATGGATTCACTGTTGCGTTCAAGACCCTCAATCTGACTATGAGATAGCACAACCGATGCCATACTTACCTGAAGACCTCAATCATTTCCAAGAATTTACCCATTTCTTGGATTCTATTGGTTTGCCTGGGGAATGGCTCCCCAGCGAAGGTGAAACATCTCAAACCCAAGAGGTGGGCTTGGAAGAAGCTCATAACCAAAGTCGATCGGCCCAAGAACAGGAGCATGAGCGGCGCCGAAGAAGCGGAGAAGGCTCTCGGGGAGACTCGCCATTTCGATCCTGGCTGCCGTCTGTTCCGAGGGGTGACCAAAGCCTAGGGAATCTTTCTGATTCTGGTATGCAACTTCACAACTCGTTCGATGTTTTTTCCCCGCTAACAATAATCTAGAGCCACCGCAAAATGCGCGAAGGATCTCGCGGTTCAATGTCACCGAGGATCAACGCTTTCGGCTTGCGGCTTCTCTGGAAGAATTTCGCAACGTGATACCTGATTTCGTATTACCTTCACGTCATACTCTAACCCGGTACCTCACGTCTTATTTCGAAGGGTTCCAGCCTCATCTCCCATTCATACATATGCCGACTTTCAATATCGCAGACCGCACCCCTGAGGTAGTTCTTGCAATAATGACGATTGGAGCTCAATATCGATTTGAGCATCGCAACGCAGAGAGAATCTTCCATGTTTCCAAGGCCATTCTCTTCGAGCGCATGGCCAGAGAGCCTCGCATCCCAGCCAAACCTGCCTACAGCGCAGTATCCCAGGTCCCACTGGGAATCTCTCCGTATTCCAATTTCGGGGATCAATCCCTGACACAACCTCAAGTAGCAGCGGAGAGAACCGCTGCATGGAAACAGATTGAAATCACTCGCTGCCTTCTCATATTGATGGGATACTCCACGTGGGAGAATGCAAGACTGGTGCAAGAAGCATTCCATATCCAAGGCCTGCTGGTGCGACAACTGCGCGAGGGTGGGCTGACAGAAGACACAAGTCGCTCTGATCCCCGCGCTCCCCTTGATTGGCATGAATGGGCGGATCAAGAATCGAACCGTCGCACCAAGCTGATCGCATTCTGCTTTATTCATGTCCATAGCATTGCATTCAATGCATATCCATCCTTGCGCAGTAATGAGATACATCTGCGCCTCCCTTGCTCTACCATGGAGTGGTCTGCAAACACTGCGGCGGAATGGGAAGCTGCCCAGCAGGCGAGGGGTCCTCAGCAGCTGTTCTTCCAAGACGCATTGACCCTCCTCTTGCAGAAGTCCCGGTCGGCAACGCCTTTGAACCCCATACCAGCGCCTCTGGGCAATTACATCCTTTTGCATGGGCTTTTGCAAAGAATTCATCTCGTTAGCGAGCTGTCATTACCGAACGGGAATCACTCAACCAGCCTTCCAACCGAAGAGCTGAATAAATTAGAGTATGTATCAAGAAACAAATGCCTGAAAGCCACATACTCACAGATGCAATGACAGACGGGCTCTTCGCTCTTGGACTTCAGTTTGGCAACAGGCCCCGGAATCCAGCCTTGACCCGCACAATGCAAATGGGCCAATACCTTTCACATCCAGTGCATTCTTAGGTCTAGCCTACGTCCGACTTTCTCTCAACCTCGGCCCCCACCGCCGTCTTGAAACTCGCGATCCGACAATCATAGCCACGGCACTTCATCGCTCGCCACGCCCAGAAAGAAGCTACCGCCTTGTGCCCGCTCTCATATACGCTGCTCATGCACTAAGCATACCCGTTCGCTTAGGTATCGATCATATTGCTCGCAGTCAAGCATTCTTTTGGAGCGTGCGACATTCCCTTGCCAGTATCGAGTGTGCAGTGCTGTTAAGCAAATGGCTTTTCACCTTAGCGGAAGCAGGCCCAGACCAGTCACTAAGTGGTATGTTGACACACAAACTCGTCCGGCATATGCTATACAGATTTCCTTCGATACTAACATGCACATAGAAAATGAAAGTCGTATCCTGCGCTGGACGCGGTGTATTGTTGAGGAGGCGTACTCATCTATTGACACAGAGGAAGGTGAGGCACCGCTGGATTTGGAGCCAGCTTCGCTTGGCATGGCAGTCCTCAAGCTGTGGGCCAGACTGTTTGGGACAAATACCCAATGGCCTTTCATCAATATTCTTGGACAAAGTTTGGAACAGTACATAACTATGATTCGATGCTAATATTCTGTTCTGGCGCTCAGAACTTTTGATCTGAGATGATCAGTTCATGATTCATGATTTTACAATCGTGCCCGGGTGCTTGACTTGGGACATTGATTTTCTATACTCTCTTGATAATTATTGTCTGGGTGGAATTCTAGTCATATTTAGTCCACGGGTACATACAACTACTTAAGTACATATTAATGAAGGCTTCAATCCTATCCTGAACACCATTGATCATACCTGTAGACCTCGAGATGAGAAATACCTACCATTGACAGCTGCACTGGACTAGACTCCGAGGGGTGTTGATTTGTCTATTTCTGTTAATCTACCAGCAGCCACCGAGACACCGTACCACTTTGAAAACAAGGCAAAGCTCCGGTACCCCGAACATGGTGTTCTGACGCATTCATGTATACTGTTCAAATCGTCATACACTACAAACTGTACATCAAGCCCTACTTCGAGATCAGCTGGCGCCAAGCTTCGGGATAGTTTTACCCTTTTGGGCAACGCAAGTGCTTCCCCTTCGGTATACTTCTTCCCACTCCTTATCTCGCTGCGCGTTGCATGTAATGATATTCCAAGAGAGTTTGGGTCTGTGCTAACCCCATAGATTGTTCATATGAGCACTAGCTCCATTTGGTGCTGCATTGGGGTATATCTATAGTGGAGGACATCAACGCTGACCTCGGTAGAGCGAACACCCCTTTGGTAATTGAAGGTCAGGCTATTTAGGTGTAAGCTTAAATGGACAGTTTTGTTAGATTTGTCTTTCTACTAAGCACTAGTCGACGTGTCCACAAGATAAGAGCAAAACAGCAGGGGTATCAAAAGTCAACCTGTGACGTTGCCACGGCCAGGATACCATCTATCCCAAGCCGGAAAGACTGCTCCGTTTATTAGACTAAAGAAGCTATGCGATGCGTGGTTGTAATCTTTGAATGCAATGAATGCATGCGAGGCTCGCCCCCGCTTTGATCATCCAACCCTGGAAGTGTATGAATATCCTGCGTGCATCTCGGCCAAAACACTACTTATATACTCCGAATGCCGTCAATTATTAAAAGAATTCATTCCTCTGTAAGACCTGCCCTGTGAAACTGAGCCATTCAAGCCCTGAAGCGTCGACAATATTTGCCTATTCGGTCTGCCCAACGCGCATCAACCTACGAAGTATTATACAACACTATACTATGGATACCCTCCCATCCATGGGCAGCCTTTGGCTTTTCGGAACAATACTTCTAGCTGGGACTGGATTTTACTTCATCACTGCTTGGGTATTCAACATATCCCTTATTCCCGGAGTGACCCTACGCGATCGAAAACACTCAACAGCCCAAACGCCGCCTCGATCCATCTCTCCAGATAGAAAGCCCACAAGCTCCAACACATCCAACCATGCTATCACCCTACCACCCTCACGCAGACACACACTCATTGACCTTGGGCACGAAAAAGTACCCTGGCGCGACGTGACCGATGACGAAGTACGCATGAATCTCTTACCCATGAGCGCCAACTATCAAACAAGCCCGAGCAACAAGTATACGCCTATGGGATTCTCAGTCAAGGAAATCAATGATTTAGGAAACTTCCCCGACTATGCAGCCCTGAGTGGCGTCCCACTTCCCAGTCCATATCCCGAATTTGATATTGCCAAGGCATTACCCCGGCCATATCGCCCTTTCCGATGGTCCTATCATCAAACAATGTGTAGGTCTTCGAAGTCTCACCTTAATAGCTACTGAAGTATCACCCAAACAGCTAATATCCATATAACCCAGCCCTCACGAAACTCGAAACAGACTGGTGGATCGAACTCGAAAACACATACACGAGCCGCATCGCGCAACGCAAAGAGCTATTCGCAAAGCATGGCACAAATGTATTGAACGCCATGCCCGGCTCCGAATTAGCATGCAAAGAATTGATGGAGATGGTCTTGCAATTCATCTGCGCAAGATATCCCCAGTATTTCACTCTGGTTGACGGACGCATCTTGCAGAACAGGATCCTCGGTACCGAGCAGGATGTAACGGCAAAGCCTCCACTCGAGGTACTTCTGGACAATGTGCCTGAGGACTTTGGAATCATGCTCCGCGATGAAACCACTGGTTTTTATTTTCTGCGTGCAGCCGTGATATGTTCGTCGTTGGGCTGGAATGTGGCCTCTAAGGTGGGGAAGCAACTGCATGAGATTCATGAGACTATTCCCGACTATAAGGAGAAGATGCAGTTTTCCATGGACCGGTAAAGTTGGTTCGATTCAGGTGTTATCGAATAGTCATTGACACACTCTGCTAGGTTCTTCACGAAGATGCCCACGGAGAAGCCAATTCAGCGGGGGTCCTGGGGCCTCGAAGTGGGACAGCCTTTGTATATGCCCCCGGGTGATCCTCATGAATTGGCGAGGCTGTCGCAAAGGGAGGACTTGACAATCGATGAATGTCATTTGCGGGTCGACTGGCAGACATTAAGGCGTCTACCGCTCTCAGGTGCGGTCGTTTTCAACTTCAAGGCTCTGTTCACTCCTATCAGGGAATTCCGTGATGAGCCTGGCGTGCCGGAGTTGTTGATGAAGGTTCTTACTGAGGGAAAGAAGAGTATAATGGATTACAAGGGTGTTTGGCATGTGCAGCATGTTGTGCTTCCGAATTTGAGAGCATGGGCTGAGGAACAGAAGGAGAATGGGTTGGTCCAAAAGGACTGGGAGGTGGCTACCTTAGATGACAGTCCATGGTTCAAGGGCTGGCAAGAGAAGTGGCATCGCCAGCAAGGATTTTGATGTGGCTGATTTCTATATTAAGAAAATATCTGTCTCCATTTGAATGAATAAATGCCATTTCCGCAGAGCGGCTTGAGACATAGTGACCTCCAGCATGGTACTCTAGATGTCCAATGTGAAAGCCGCAGTGACGGGCTCGAGTCCAGCCCAGGTATTGCGTGAGTTCCCAGCAAGCACGGTTTCTTCCTTGAAAGCTTGTTTTTGGGCGGTGCATGGAGGTGATCCAATCCAGTGGAGGTGTCTGAATAAGAATGAGGCATTTGTGCAACGATTGCAGAGACCAGATGGATCGAGAAACACAATCTGCTCGAGTGACATCCGTTGTACGGGCAGCAAATCCGGGCAGTAAGTTGCGTTCGTGGGAGGTATGATCCGCGATATTCGCAGAGTACTCAATCGTCGCCCTCGTTGCGCTTGGGATCTTCGTCTCTAGAGGGAGATCCAGCAGGACTGTTTTCTCTGCTTTTCTCGGATTCCTCGTTGTGTTCTCGGTCCAATTCCTCCAGCTCATCTGCGAGCGGGCTGATGCGCTCGTCCAATAATTCCAGATCCTCTAATTGCGCACGTGGTGGGAGCTTCCACAGACTTGTACCGCACACACGATCCTTGGTGAGAAGATCATCGACGAATTGATCCACATACGTGAGTGTGAATGTGTCGCGCACACGCCGTTTCAATTTCCGATAATCGAGGAGAAGCGGTTCCAGCGTCTTGTAAACGTCAACGGCATCAAAGGTCAATCGCACATAAAACGCAGCCAAGGCGCGCAAATATTTGAAATCACCTCGCGCCTTCACGACATTGTCATCCGCATTTTGTCCCTCCTCGTCGCTGCCGGGGTCGGTATAGTTGAGTAGTTCAAGGATGACTTCGCGGTCTGGTCCAAGTTGGAGTAGCTTGAAGGCGAGGCAGAGGAACGGCGTCGGCTTTTCGGAGATACCGTATGTACCACCCAGGGAAGTCAGCTCAACTGCGCGATCACACAGAGTTGCCGCGTTCAGACCGAAGCATTGTTCCTTCCAGTAGTATGAGTCGGTGATGCGGTCGCGAACGGCTTTTTCGAAGAGGGTAGCTGGATTCACACCACGGACCAAGGGGCCCTTGTAGCCGCGATTGTCGAGAAATGAGCTGGCGTCAGCGCGGTGGGCAGCCATTTTGATGTAGGGGAGGAGTAGAGAAGAGGGAAGTGCAAAAGGCGAAGTCTGATGCCAAGACTCTCTTATCGATAGTCGCATGGGACAACACCGTAAACAACTTTGATGTCATATGTGAAACAAGACACCTGATGGCGATGCAGGTCTGATATTTTAATCTTGTCTATCATTTCCACCTATGCGGTATTCCTGGACATGGTTCTCCTAACATCCTCCACGGTTTCGACCATTGTGTCGATGGGAGTGATCTGCATATTCACCACGTTGTTGTTCATCTCCGGGTATGTCTTACAACAGCAATCGGTCAAGAACATTCAGCATGCCTTGAAACCCCAGGAAGCTGCCCAAATGGCCAGGTATGGCCCGGGTTCCGCATTCCAACAGAAACGCGGTGTATCGGCTGGGGACGATCATACGTATGGCACTCCACAGCACCCTGTCTCGGGGAATTACGCCTATCTCCAGTTATTATCAGAGCCAGATCCCTCGGACATATGCTCTGCAATCCTCTTCTTCAAACAACTGGCCACCAATGGAACTGCCGTCCAAGATCGGCTCTTTGTGTACCCGGAGCAATGGGACCGCATGCCCGCACAAAAGCTGGGCAGTTCTACCAGGCAAGCATTGTCAATATTACGCGCCGCCAGCTCAAAGTACAACATATGGCTACTTCCTATCGACATGTCAGCAGCCACAGCTGCAGGATACACTACAACCAATAGCAAGTTACTCCGACTAGCCCAGATCCAGTTCATGCAGTATGACAGTGTCCTATACGTGCAAACGCCAGGCCTACTGATGGACACAGGCAAGCTGGATGATATGCTTTTATCCCGTCCACTGCCTCTCCGCCACGATAAGAATCGGCTAGAGTCCTACAACAACGAGGCGTGGATTCCAATGCCGCTTCGCGCAAATCGGGACGCTGCACTACCCCCTGCATACTTGATTACAGTCAACAATATAGAGAACGGGAATGTGGAAGCAAGGACACATATCCCAAATGACTTCTTGCCCGGTTTTGGTAGCCTCGTGGCTGGACCTCGGCAGGCCGAACTGTCAAAATCCCTTGGCGATGAGCCTGGATATGTTTATTTTGAAAGTGACCGTGACGGACGTGTGAAGTGGGCTGGGAATCCTTACTTTGGCACCTGGCGGTCTCAACAAGCCGAGGTTTGTGAGGGATTGGACCTTGACGAGATCATTCATGATGAGCAATGACCATTTGATGCTTTCATATGATAACGGGGACTTGGAGCGGGTTCAGCGCTGGCGTTCGTGTTCATTTCAATTAAATACCTCTAGCCCATCAGCTTTGACGGGGTTTCCAATTCAATTTTTTTATACCACATGTGATTCTCAAACAGTTCATAATCGTGAATTATATATCATTGTCGTTGATGCTTTATCATTGGGTATGAGACTGAATTATTGAGGCACCCCGATTTCATATCCTAGGAGGACCTCAGTGGTGTTTCCTTCCCAGCCACGATTTCCGCTCGTGGAGATCATGTAGCGACATGCGTTATCGACAAACAGTTGAGAGATGGTTCCAGTCCGGTGGCCAGGAATAATTAAGAAAGGCACTGCTGAATGGCGCGAGGATTGATCGTTTTGATCGTTTTGAAGATCATATAATCGAAGAATGTCGTGAGAGGCGCTATAATGAGAAGGAATTAGTACGCCAACGGAAGATGTGGCTGCCAGGTTGATATTACTTACCACACAAGATGTCGCCCATTAGGCATGGCCCTGAGTGCTGTGACCGGGCCACTTCCTTGTGGGAATTTGAATGTGCGTTCGACATTTCTAAGCCCATTGTGAAGGCTGTATTCCTCAACAGTTCCATTTCGTCGTCCCGCATAGATATAGTTGCCATCTGGAGACCAGCAGGCATTCATACACCATAGTGGAACGTTGGGCGGAGGGGTTATGCGGGCGACGGGATCGGGTTGCCTGCGATCCCATACTCGAATTGTTCCATCGATTGAGGCAGCCAAGAAGGTGTTATCAGCAGAATGGCCTTGTTCTTGTGGTAAATTTTGTGAGAACTCTGAGTCCGGTTGCTGGGTTTCCAGATCCTCTGCCTTGGGGATTCCATTGACAACGGGGTGAGGTGGGCTATTGGGAATGTGCGAGTCTGTGGCCTCCATATTCTCATTTGGTATATCTGTATGAGAGGGTTGTGTATCCTGTGTGGCCTGGGTATGCACGGCGTTGTGTTGATCAGGGACGTCGTCGTCGATCTCTCCTGGTGCGTCTGCGTCCGCCATAGCACCATTGGCCACAGCGCGACCAAACTCATCGTCTTCGTCTACCCCAAAGACACCACCAGACGGCTCGCCACCATCTGCAGCCCCGCCATCTGCGTCGCCGAATAATGAGTCTGCTCCGCCGAATAATGAATCTGTAGGGGAGCCCGCCTGCGGGTTCTCAGTCTGTCCCAGGTCTTCAGCCCCTTGATTTGCATCGGCATAATTCAGGTTGTCTGTGCCAGGAGCGGCATAGTTCGAAGCGTATGTGCCATTGGTCTGATGAAGTTCGATGGTATCCTTAGGCACAGGCAGGCTGGACTCTGGCCGGATTTGCACAGCAGATATTTGTTTGGCGCTGCCCCCGAATGCACGCCTAGCCTGTCCAGTATTCAGGTCCCAATCGAAGACGCGTTTGTCCCAGCTTCCAGAAAGTAGTGATTGTTCATCCGATGTGAGGTTGAGCGTCGAAACTGCAGATGTGTGTTGCTGGAGCGCCACAACTTCTTTGCCTTCATCGTGTCGCAGAGTTTGCAGTCGAATGGCTCCAGATTCCAAGCCAGAAAGCAGCCACAAGCCCTCGCTTTGACAGGCCAAGGAATACACTGGTGACAAGTGGTTGGCATCCATATTTTCCCAGTATGTCATGAGCACGCCAGCCTTGACCACACTATCCACGAAAGGATGCCTTTGAGCCACAGTCAACATCAGCTTGCTGTTCATTGACTCGGCCCAGTTATATTTGCGCACGAATCCATCCGATCCACCAGTGAAGACCCATCGCATGTCAGCCGTTGCTGTGATCGCATTGATAGAGGTCGCATGCGGGGCAGCGGTGGTTGGGACGATATCGTACGTCCTGGCTGTCAGGCATTCGGAACGCACACTAGGATGATAGATCGAGAAGGGTTCAAAGACGGTGTTGGTACCACTGCCATTCGTGTCGTGTTGCATCCCTGCGCCCTCCGACGCCTGACTCGCATTTGAGGGGCTATCTGCATCTTGGTCTCCTTCTCCATCCTGGTCGTTGTCATTGTCATTGTCGTTGTCACCTTCGCCGTCGTCGCCGTCGCGCATTGTGTCGTCCATGTCATTTTCATTCTCGTTCTCGTTCTCGTTCTCATTCTCGTTATCGGAGCTTCCATCCTGGGATCCTAGACAGCCGCGAACGATTAGCAAGGTCTAGGGCGATCCAGCCAGCTATTAGACAAGTAAATTGCCTTACCTCCCATGTCGCGATCCTCGTCCTCTTCGAGAGACACCATGATTTCCCTTTGTATCTTCGCAACCCGAGCTGATATGCACTGTGCACAATGATTATGGGTTATATCTGAGCAATTGAAAGCTTCACAGCCACCAATCTCAGACTAGGAGTGTCGCGAATCACCGGTGACGTGAATTGCGGAGGTTGAGCTGAAATGCGACGGCACAATGGTCAATGCTTGGGCTCCGGACCAATGAGAATGTGTTTCGGTCTGCTCTTGGAACCTCCAACTGTTAAGACTTCTACACTTTCAACACTATTGGGAATACTTTGGGGATTTTGTAATCATTTGAAGAGATGGGATTTCCTTAAAACTATCGACTGTTTTTTTGTACTTTTTTTGTTTTTCATATCCTATGGCCCAGTCCGTAGCCTATTTCCCTTGCATCTCTTGATCAATTGGCATAGCCCAGAGACCGACCTAATCCAGGTCGATCAGGATTCCCTCCGGAACCTTCGGCGCGCCACTCACACTACCCTTGCTCCTCTTATTGGCAGTGTCGTCGATACCACCGGTCTTGGTGGTGCCATCACGGGTTCCGGGCACCAATCCAGACGGCATCGACGGATCCAAGGCAGAGACCTGCGAAGCAGCAGGTCGTGGGTTGGTTCCGCGAGCTCGGTCTGGTACTGGCAGTCCCGCCCGTCTGTAGTCGTCCACAATTGCACCTCGCTCGGCGAAAACTTTCCATTTCTTGAGGCTCTCTTGGACTTGTTCTCTGGTGGTTGCTGTAATAGAGCCACTGGAAGCAGCAGCTGCAACCCGGGGTGCGGCAGGAGCTATACCAGGAGTGCGATGCTTGGGAGGAATAGCGCCCCTGGGAGGAATGGCGCCTCTGGGAGTACGAGCAGCCCTGGGAGTAGGTGTGGCCTTGGTAGTAGAAGCAGTTTTGGCATCAGAAGTGAATGGGTTTTCACGGGTAGCAGGAGCTTTTCCAGCGACAATCCGAGGACCAGAAGTTTTAGCACGGGGCTTCGAATAGCGAGCTCGCCCAGAAAATACTACAGATTCCGCTTCGGAGGAATCAGACTGTTCCTCAGGTTTGCTATAGCGCCACTTTACTGAGCCGGGAGGCGGCGTCAGATCACCCATGTCATTGCAGTGGCATTCGTGGATATGTGGGGGTGAGCATCGCTTGTTGCATCGCACATCGCAGACCGTGCAAAGCTTGTCACAGATCATCTCACAAGATACCCAATCATGCTCTGGTCTAGACGAAAAATGTCAGTAAATATGCTCAGACCGATTCAATATGCAGAGCGTACCCATGACATTTCCTCTTGCACTGATGTCCACAAGACAGTTTGTGTACACACTCCCTGTTGCATCCAACATTAATGGGCGACCAGTCGAGTGGTTCTGGGTACGAAAAGATTAGTTTGTGGCAATGCTTTCGAGGGGGTTTCCGTCAACTCACCACGGATCAAGGTTTCTGCTTTGTGTGAATCACACCACAAAGGCAATCCGGTGCCAAAGCGTCGCGGCAAATAGTGCTTCATTTGATGAATGACCGACTTCCAGAAGTCACTATCTCTACTCATGCATTGGGCATCGCCAAAGATAAACAATCCATCTCTGGCCCGAGACAAGGCAACACAGGCCCTGTTCAACAGAGCAGTAAAGCCAATACCGCGGAACATGTTACTCCTGACCAGGGATAGCAAGACAATACGGTTTTCCTCGCCCTGGTAGGAATCGACTGTCGTAATATCCACAGGGAAGTTGTAACCCATGGGAAGTTCATTCTTCAATTTCCTGAGTAACCTGCATTGGCCTTGGTAAAACGTCAGGATCGTGATATCTTGGGCCGGAACACCATTCAAAATAAGATGATGAAGCAACCCGATCACCATGACTGCCTCAAATTGATTCACGTATGATGAAAAGCGATCGTTGCCCTCCGGTTTGTCGTGGTTGAACCAGTAGGTTCGACGCCTTCCCATGCCGGGAATGTATGGCCTGTTCTCCACAGATGGGTGATCGATCAGACGATGATTGTAGAGGGGCGTCACGAATGCGCTGATCTCCGGGATCATTCGTCGCTGCACATTCAACATCTGGAGCGGAAGTCCATTATCGATAAGACGCTCAAACAAAGAGGTTTCAAGATGGAACGGTTCCTTGGCCAACGCCAGCATGGTGCAATGGCCCCTCATCTGCCTATGATCTCCCATAAGGATCAGTTGCTGTACGGATGGCAGGCAAGCCACTGCGACAGGCGCCTCAATGACATGGCCTGCTTCCTCGACCATCACCACCCGGGGCTTCACACTTGCAAGTAAGCCTCGGTTTTTGCTCAAGCCGGTTGTGGTCACCCCGACGACTTTCGCGTTCCGTATGACTGGATAATCGCGTTCGCACTTGGAGACCACAAAGTCTGCGACATTCTTTTCGTAGTCCGCTTGAAGCAGGCGTACTTCGGAATTGACGATTGAGACCACCTGCTCACGGAGATACTCATAAACTGCACCACGGTGGTCCAACGGAATATCCCAAAGATTATCACTTTTGTCCAGATATTCTTTGACGGAGTAATCCCGAAGTGCGTGCTGGTACATTTTGTTCCTTGCCACGTCCGGTGCAAATGTAACAGACTGGCCAAGCAAGATGGCCCACTCTGCTTCATGGTCAAGATTTTCTTCGTTAATCTCTCGGAACTCTTCAACCCCCAGCGACTCGTCATCCTCGTCGAGTCCACGATATTTGGAAGAAGGGTATTTAAACTCCCCTACTGCATCTCCAAGCCAGGCAATGAAAGGATCTTGGTTGGTGTTGTTAGAATCAAGGTAGCGAGCATTCCGCCACTGCCACCTACGGCTTTCAACGGGAAGAGAAAGAGACTCCGCTTGGGCTACGGTCAAAATCCCCCATTGAACAAATGTGGCTAACCGAATCGGATTTGAAGTCCTGCCAGCTGGGCCGAGGCCTTCTGACAATGGCTTAAGTATTTTCGAAATCCGCGTGCAGAGAGCCTCATGCCTCTTCTTCACCGATGGCAAAGAAGAATCAACCACTGTCGGCGTGAGATGCTTTCTCCTGAGCTCGTAGATAGTGCGCTCGCGAATCTTGGGCTCGCCACTTCGTGAGCCCAATCGGACGAAATTGGGCTCAAATTCCGAAATCAACTTGAGCAGCTGATCGAGAGCATGGTTGGTCTGCGCGGCAACAATGATAGGCGGATCTTTGGGATCCTTGTTCGTGATCATGAGTTGCAGGGCCTTGAGCGAAGTGTATGTTTTGCCGGTTCCAGGAGCACCATGTGTAAGAGATAACTCTTTGGTAACCATTTCCCTGAGAGCTGACCATTGGGTCTCATCTAGCTGTGCCATTGGGGATGCTGGCCAGTTATTGATGACATCATGGAAGTAGCTTGGGGGAGGATCCTCTCCAGTGGGTGGAGCCAGCGACTCAAAGTTCAAGGTAGATCGAGATCGAATGTATTCAGAAACCCCGATGTTGGCCGACAAACCACAAATTGTCTCATTCAATGGAAATCTAGGTGTATGGTAAGTCTTGTGCGTAGTGGTCAAAATCCCGGGCGACCTACGTCTCAGTGGACATCTTTTGCAGAGCCTTCATTGCGTGCCGGGTTGCCTCGAAATACCCCAATCGGGCTTCAACCATGATCCATTCCTTCTGGGTATCAACATCGAAATCGCGGTACGAGGCCAGATAGATATCCACTTCGGGGGGATCTTTTTGGACCTCATCGAGCAACCTGGATGCTACCACTCCCACGACACACTTGCTGTTAAACCCATTCTTCTTTGGGCTTAGGGCAACCAGTGTTCCCGGTCGAAGGCGATCCGAAGATGCCCAGGCGATCTCCTTACCAGCACGGCGAGTGGAGAAACAGACGTGAATTGCTAGACCTGACAAAGTCATCGTGACGCCTCGGACGTAGACCTATACATATCGTCAGTATATGGTAGCAACATAAGAATGGTTTTATGGTGGCGGCCTTACCCTCTCGTAGACGGCGAGACCTCTCTCGTCACGCCGCCCAGGTGCATCCCGGATCAAAGCAACAGCATAGCGGAGTGGGGCGACTGCATCCTCCCTCAGAAGTCTGTAGTGGGCCTCGAGGTATTTTTCCTTTGACTCCCATGGCCCGTCGATGATGTTGGGAAGTAGAGCAATGGTTCGTGAGCCATCATTCTCGGTGCCGAGAATCTCCTTCTCATCTGGTATCTCCGGTTTTGATTGCCAGTCTGAAAGAATTTGATCCCGACTTGATGCATAGTACTGTCCAACGTCTCTATTCGCGAGTTCGCCCTGGAGCCTAGATCGGCAACTGAGTCGCTGGTGTGACGTCATGGTGCGTGAATCACGTGCGTCAGTCACGTGCGTTGGAGATGGAGAAAAGTGGAAGGCGGTCGCGGTTTCATTCTGCTGGCAGGTGGGTCCGACCGCCCTCCTGTCCCCTCATCTGATTGGTTGGGTTGACTGTCATGTGACTGGGGTGGGGCAACCCAGATCCCCTTTCCACCTTGGACCTTGGCCTGTTACCGCAGTGCTTTAGGCTTGCTTCATACATATTCTCTAACTAATTCGTTAGCTACGTATGAAGTAGTTACGGGATAATACTAGCTAGACGCTAATGCAGCCATTACACATAGCACCGCCTTCAACAAAATTAGAAAGCAGACTACGGCATCAGCTGCAGCGCCCCGCCCCCAGCACTGTTACAAATACTTTCCTGTATTATGTACTCACTCCGTACTTTGATTCCAACTGGCTAGCCCTGGAGTTCCTAGAAAGTATACTTCGTTTTGTTCCACCATTTCGTCCCATGGCGGTTTATGAAAGAATGATTTAAATAGCCCCTGACCACAGGATGGAAAGTGTTTATCATGAGTCCATGCTGGACAATGCTCTCTTTCTGTGTCAGGGACACTCCAACTACAGAGGATGTACCCCAGCACACGGTGATTTAATGACAGTCCTAGATCAAGGTACTTTACAATGTGCCTCAAGTCTAACGCGATTGAAGCTGACTCGCCATAGACAGCCATGATTTTGAGAGTCGCCTGCAGTCAGAGTCCCCAATAGACTTAGATGATTCCAGAATACTAAGTGTAATGTAAGTGAGTGGCACTCAGTCATAATCCACAAAGCTTATAGAAGAAAGATTATTGAGCGAGCAAGGCACGTTCCCGGAAGACCAGCAAGAAACCCACAGGCTATTTAAGACATTTTGGGATGTATACTTGGAAGATGTGGCACTGCTTTCCTCTCCATTGATCTCAAGCTACCATGGCCGATGTATAGAGATTAATGGCCATCTGTATCTAGGTGAGTGGTGCAGGATAATGCGGATGGACACTTCAAACTGACAAGTCTACGGAAATTTGTTATAAAATCAGTGAGAATCTATCATATTCGGCCAGCGACACCAGCCCTTTGGACAGTACCTCCAGTGTGAACTCCAGTGGACCAACCGATACGAAACTTCATCACCAATACGAATCCATCTACTTCCGTTACGATACCCTGACCGGGCACACCCTATACATTCTCCCGAATTCCAAGCGTGATTTACGTGATTTGATTCATGTAATTGGCGACACGCTCCAGCAGCCCTTTGAGAAGTATCCACCTGCCGAGAAGCTGGATCTCAATACAAAAAGTGACTCTTTACATCCGTTCGTCCTTCATTCAGTGGTCATGCTGCATGCTCTTTCGTCCCGAAACACCGAATTGAACAACCTGGTCAAATGGCTACTTTGGATCGAGACACAACTCCACCAGGGATCAATCTTCGAAGTGACAGGGTCGGATCGTTTCTCGAAATACATTCAGTTGCTGCATAATATGTCAAGAAAGTTGATAACCCTGGAGCACAACAACCAGCGCGATGCATCAAATATCAGCCATCTTCTCCGTGACCATGAGCGCCTGGGAAGACTGACCGAGCTCCATGGAACGTATCTGAACCGAACAGCCCATCGGAGAGTATATGACGACCTCTTGATGCTCCACGACCTATGCGACGATCGCCATCGCCGAATCCTGAATTTGCAAAGACGGACTAGCAACTTCGTCACACTCCTTTATCATCTTATCACTGGTCGTGACAGTACAATCAATCTTCAGATTGCCAAGGAGAGTGCCAAGATTGCCCGCGATGCGCGGAAAGACAGCATGTCTATGAAAATCATCGCGGGAATGACAATGCTCTATCTCCCGGCTACTTTTGTGTGTAGTCTTTTCGGAACGAACTTGGTCTCTTTCGATACTCCAGATGGCCAGAGTGCGCCCGCTTTTATGGTTTCCCATCTCTGGTGGCTTTATCCCGCATTTGCCGTGCCCCTGACGGTGTTTACGATGGCCGGGTTCTTGTTGTGGAGACGCTATCGTGAAGATACTCCCGAGATACGGGCGAGTGAGCCAGGCTCGTCAAGGGAAACACTCTCATGAGGGTATGCTCAAGGCTTGCAATACCTTTAATTTGAGCCTGCAAAGGGTATACTACCTGGACAGCACTTTTACCAAATATCCTCATTAATGCTATCACGGTCGCTAGTAGGATGAAACCATGGATTATATTTCTTGAGTTGCTCGGACCGTCCCCGTTAGATTTTGACACGGCCAACGAAGCCATTCTTCCCAGTGCGCGCCAAGATATTGGCTAATTGAGCGGACCAGGTACTCGCCGCCATCACGAAATAGCCATATATCCTTTTGGGTATCAACAAGGGCTCCATAGTAAGCAAAGATGACCAATGCCTCGCTTCTCCGCTCCGAAAGCAAGTCAATATACTCCCGGGAGACAAGTATCGGCCATGCAACAAGTATGTTTACACTGTCGGCTCCCGGTGCTTGCCCCTCTACTATCGTCATCACTGACTGCACGTTTTGCACGGCCTGTTGATAGATTCTGAAGGTAGCATCGTCCAAACCAACGCTTTTGATACGATCCAGCAACTCCTGGCATACTGGGCCTAATGTTGACTCCAATGGAGGAATCTTGGTTCCGAAATCCAGGAATGGCTTCAAGTTCGTCTGCTGCAAAGTCTCCCATCTTCCTTGACCTACGACAACGCGCACTCCATGATGCAGTCTCACATACTGCACAAATCGATCAAGAAATCCCTCGAAGTCATCATCTCGATACACCAAAGTCTCACATAGCTTATGCAAGCCCAGGATGGCAGCGAAGAGGAATATCGGGGGTGTATTTTCGGCTGTAATGTGTGATGACATGGCATTGAAAGAGTTCAATGCATAATTTTGCAACTGGGTAGAGTGATGCTGGTAGTAATTTCGTTTTTCTGGTCGGACGATGCTCAGATGCAAGGCACTGAGAGATAACAACTCATTCATGAGATAAGGCGCATCCAGACCATGGCAAAAAAAGTCTTGGAATGAGATCTTTTCTGCAGTTTCAGAACTGAGGAGCGCGTTCATCCCATCTGACCAGAGATTATGAAGTAACTCGACGTGAAGCATATTAACGGGCGCATCCTCGGTAAATTTGCTGGGCTGCTGGAAGGTCTGAGCGGGTGAGAGTGCAGATTGTGATTGAAGCGAAGGCGAAGCGGTCGTCAATTCACGACTTGCACTGCGAGAGCCATGCACCAAAGGCAAAGGCCCCACAAACTCGCAGTGGCGTTGAGAGCTGGTACAGTTGGAACATATGGGTCTTCTCTCATCACACTAGGCAAAGTCAGGAACTACAGGTGCAATTCAAGTCAATGACGAACCTTCATGTGGCGGCGCTTGCATTCGACACAGCCATTCCGTGACTTCTTGTGTGTTCTTCGGACCATTTTGCCACGCGTTTAACGAAGGGATCTGCCAGGGCGGAAGTCTCGGCTGCAATCGGCGAATGCAAGTAGTTTATTGATGATCTGAGAGGTCCGAATAGTGTAGCCTAGACCACAGAGATTTCCAGGGCAATGAGCCTAGCCGTTTGAAGTGAAGATCCCGTGAAGTTGAGATGGGAATACGCGTATGCACGGACCACATAGTCCACTCTTCACTTAAGGTTACTCCACACTTCTATACGCGTATACTAGGGGATTCCCGACTCTAATGTTAACAGTTTGAACGGTTTTTTATAGCCTCTACGGAGTACCCCGTACCTTTTTAGCAATGGAAATAGTCTATATAAACGCGGAGTCAGTCTCTGTCGTTCTCTCTCTCTCATCGTCTCGTGTCTATACCGATATCCAATCCTTTCGACTACTTAACAACTAGTCGACTATCGAAAATGCCGGAATTGAAGGCCTTCAGAGGTGATTACTACCTGTGGAAATATGTGCCTTCCCTCCCAGCGGCAATCATCTTCTTGATACTCTTCTTTGTGGCCACTATATTCCATTTCTGGAAGATCCATCGTACTAAGGCATGGTTCTGTTTGGCCTTCGCGATTGGAGGACTCTGTATGTACACAACACCCTATCGATACTGTTTCAGCCACTGACTGTCCCTTCGCAAAAAGTCGAAGTTATTGGATACATCGGACGAATTGCTGCATACGATAGCACGGATTCTGTGACCGTCTATGCCATACAAAATGTTTTCCTCCTCCTCGGCCCCGTACTTTTCGCAGCCTCCATCTACATGGCTCTCGGACGAATCATTCGCAGTGTTCATGCTGAGAAACATTCTCCCATCCGCATCAAATGGCTCACCAAGACATTCGTCATGGGAGATGTCGTATCTTTCCTGGTGCAGGGAAGTGCATCAGGACTGATGGCTACTGGCAACAATGCGAAGATGGGCTCGAATATTGTGGTGGCCGGTCTCGTCATTCAAGTCATCATGTTCGGTCTTTTTATCGTCACATCAATTGTTTTCGATGTTCGCATGCGTCGGTCCCCCACACCCGAAGCTTTTGATGAACGGATTAACTGGATGAGTCAATTGCGCACATCATATGCCGTGAGTGCGCTTGTGCTGATTCGGAGCATCTTCCGTGTCGTGGAGTTCGCAATGGGAGTTGATGGATACCCACTCACTCATGAATGGATGTTATATGTGTTTGATTCTGTCTTGATGATTGCCGCTATGTTCATTTGGGGTGTATGGCACCCTGGAGCTTTACATAGATTTATCAAGGCCGAAGAGCGGAACGTGTCAATTTTGACAGGAGGAGCAGAGTTAAAGGCATAGAGAATACCCCTTTGGCCTATGTCCTATTTAGCAATACATGATTATCTCTATTTGATCAATGATTAGAACATAACGAACATCGCGAAATGACCAAACTTTCAAATTATTCATTCCAAATTATTCATTCATATAAAGAATCACGATCACCAATGTTTGTTCATCATCTGGCCTCGGTCCAGCCGCAACTTGGAAAACCTAGGCAATTTCCAGGACTTGACTTTCATGTAGACACATCATAAGCCCACGCCATGTAGTCACTGATCATACCCTCGACAAGGGTAAGATCATGCCGCATGGGACTCGATCTCGACGTGATCGGTGATAACTTGTTTTTCGGCCTTGAGATCCTCCAAGTTCTCCACCCCAGCAAGCCCTAAGCTCTCGTTGATACGCATCATGCGCAGGCGGTCAGCCTCAGCGATACTATTTATCTCACCACCGAAGAAGACATCCAGCTCTTCGAGAGTCTTGTCTTTTGTCTCGGGGGCAAACTTCCAGACAAAGAGACCTCCCAGGGCACTGAAAATGGCAAAGAAAATGTATGTGCCATACTTCATCGAATCAAGCATATCCTTGGTGGTAAGTCCAATGACGAAGTTGAACATCCAGTTGGTAGAGGCAACGAGGGAAACACCACGTGAGCGCTGGCTGTTGGGGAAGATCTCTTGGGCCAACACCCAAGTGACGGGACCTGTGGCATGTTAGCATGGAGTGTAGTATAATACAAATGAGTGTTAAAGAGTGTGACTTACCCCAAGAGTAGGCAAAGTTGATAGCAAAGAGCCAGATGAATGCAATAGCAACCCAACCCTGAGACTTGGCTAATCCTTCATTCAGGCTCCACTGATCCTCGTATATGCCCTCAACAATGGCCACCACAATGTGACAAAGGAACATGCCTGTGGCACCAACGATGAGGAAGGTCTTTCGGCCAAATTTATCAAGGTAGAGGACAGAAGGAAGTGTGAAGATGATTTGTAGGATACCGGTGACACCTGTAGCGAGGAGTGTTTGCTTCGTGGAGGAAAAGCCGAACTAAAACATGACGAAGAAATTAATTTCTGATCCCTGGAGTGAGGTATCTATAATAAAGACTTACCGAAGAGAAAATCTGGGGCGCGTAGTAAAGCACAGCGTTGATACCAGTAAACTGTTGAAAGACCATCATACCGCATCCCAAAGTCAGACGCTTGAGCATGTTGGGGGCAAAGAGTGCTTTCCAAGGAGCGAGCGCACCGCCAGTACCGACAACTTCGCGCTCGGTCTCTTCGTCAAACATAACAGCAGCTTTGATTTCCAGGTACTCGGCCCGGACAAGGGGGTCGTTTTCCGGCAGGCGACGCAACTTGGAAATGACAGCCTTGGCCTCATCATCACGGTGCTTCATCATCAACCAACGCGGAGAGAAGGGGAAGAAAAAGAGACCAAAGAATAGAATCCAAGCGGGGATGATCTGCAAAGCCAGAGGAAGTCTCCACGAGATAGTCTTCTGGCCCAGGCAGGTGTGGCCATGGTTTTGAGCAGCATTGAACGTCCCATCCTTCAGGTAAGCGTTGGCGATACCTTCAGGGTTACATTCCACTCCACCAACAAACTGCATACCATAGTCGAGCCAGAATGCAATAGCAGTGCCGACTGTGATAGACAGTTGTTGCAGGGAAACAAGAGATCCACGAAGCTCAGGAGGAGCGATCTCAGCCTGATACAGAGGAATGACCATACTGAACATACCAATGCCCACACCACCGATGATACGACCAGCGAAGAAATAAGCTGGGTTCTGAGCTCCGGCTTGGAGTCCAGTGCCCAGGGTGAAGATGATGACCGCAGTCATCATGGCATATTTACGCGAGATGCGATCTGCCAGAACACCGTTGATCAGAGCACCAGCCCAAGCACCCAACTCAAGGGCCGATACCAGCCAGCCCTGCAGTGTGGAGTTCTGGAACGTGGGGAAGTGGTTCTCGAAGTTCTCCATGACAAGAACAGGACTCATCACACCCTGGTCATATCCGTACATCATACATCCCAGCGAAGCAAACAAGCAAGTGAAAAACACATAGGGGTTTGAAACAAATCCCTTAAAGCCATGAGGTTTCTCCGCATTGGTGCGTGCAACCACTGATTGACTGACTGCCATCTTGAAATCAGAATGGAGACACGAGGGAAACAAAGATGGACCTGACCAAGCGCTAGGTTCTACAGACCGGGCAAACCCAATGATTATATACTAGATTCCACGCTACACCCGAACTACTTTTCTCTTCTTTTTTTTTCTTCTCTCTCCCCTCCATCTTTCTGGGGCTAGTGCCTTTGGGGTGGTATTTCCCCGGAACTAGCAACGAAACACGCATACCGAACCGAAAAAAAACAGCACCTGGACCGGAAACCCTGGATAACGAGATGCCATGTGCCGCTGAGAGGGGCTAACCAGCACGCTAGATTGCAACTGGATGGCTAGACCGGCAATGACATGATCCGGGCAGTGAGACTACATATAAAAATGTCGGAAGCTAAGGTGCGCCACAAACCAAAAGAAGCATCACCAGTCAAGCCTTGGTACTAGGGCAGATTGGTACCGAGAAGTGTTTGAGAACAAGCCTCCAGGCCCGAGGACGCCACAACTTGGCGGAATCTTGTGTTGATTCGTAATATGAATGTCAGCGTAGGATTCCCATTATCTCCGAGAGATGTGACAGCACTTTTAGTGCTGACCGCTTGGACGACTTGATGAGCCCTATTCAGCTAGATCATGGCGGCTGCATTCCCGATAATTGACCGCGGGCAATGATTGGAAACATTCTGGGGTTGGCTTGCGGGGAGAGAATTTTTCTCCTCTGTCCATTGTCTCGTCTTCGTTTTGTACTAATTATGGAGCATCAAGCAGTAGGTTCCACTCGAGGCATCAACTTTTAGAACATCGTGGGCTCATGTGCACCACACTCGGGATCTCGAATGTGGGACCATACGAGGCGAGAATATGAAGCAACGAAGAAAACATTGGATCGGGTAATGTTCGGGTCAGCTAAAGTTCTTCGAGCTTTTTACGTTAGTCTTTCTCAATCTAGCATAGTTGATTTTCTTTTTACTCTTTTTTCCCACACCATACAACCACAAGCGTATGGAGTGCATAGTCGGTACGCCACAATAATTTTTTTCTTGTGGGAACTTCCTCGGATTGGTTCAGCATGGGTTCACAGTCGGCTTACGGCCCCAGTGAAAGACAGTCAACCTCTGCCGTCCTCATTTACGACGCCGAAGTTGTTTCGGCATTGGTCTTGGCTCGGGATTGGCTATTCAATGTCGGGGGACCGACATGTAGTTGGAACGCGTGGCCCGTCAAAGATTTTCCCATGGGGTTGATATTCCCTGGGAATATCCCCTCTTTTGACTTTGCCTGTTACAGACACTCGGTGAGTTGCGATTCCGGGGAATAAAATCTGGGGATGGTTATAGTATCGCTGCGCATATATTATTCGTTCGGCCTTCGCTACGGGTTAAAAGCCGGGTTTTGAAAACCCTAGGCTTCCGGCTCTTCCGGTCACGGCATACCACGATCTGTGCGGAAATGAAGCCCCATGTGTCTCTTCTCGAGAACCAATCGATGTTAGGTCGGGTCTAGCCGAATTTGAACTGGAGCATATCCACTGCTTGCCCAGGTGACAGCTTCACATTATTTCCAAGGCTTGGTATGGTCTTCAGTTCTAAAGTTCTACTAATATGATGCACCAAAAACTTAAAGTAAAATCAACTGTGCTATGCTTGCGTTCTAGTGCTAGGAATTTTAGTGAAGAGAAAGTCAATCATTACTAAATGCTCCATGTTTCTAGTCTAGCATACGGTAGATGGGACGGTCCTAACCGCCCATCTCACTGTCAGAGAAAAGAATAGTACATACCCATTTAAGAAACTCATTAAAAGGCAAATTGTCTGACAATGTACCGAGCTCTCACTCTCTACCTAAATCTCTGCCTCTCTTTCTCTTCTCTTCTCAACTGTCCTGCACAATAGAAGCAGTGCAGCCTCTATTTTTATCCTCAATGACTTACAATCAGCATTGTCATTTTTGAACCTTGAAATACAATACGCCTTGGTGCAGTTTATTTTGGGTCAACTTTGGAAGTTTCAAGCCTTGCAAAAATGAATGGGATAAAGATATCCGTCAAGGAGCCTTTGTATTGCACTCTTCCAAGGTTCAAGGATTGAATGATTCTTTCTTTTCTTTGTCCTCGGCCATTATCTGGTCCTATTTCGGACGTTCTCATCAACTCTGCAACATATAACCTGCGCTTCTCTCGATCATCCAATATACTCCATCACCAATCACTCACAACTTGCCAATTTTCTGACTCTGAGCCTGACAATATTCCAAGGTCACCACAACAGTAAGAGGCATCTCACCCTATATTACCTATCCCTAGAAACATATCTCAGCTCCCACCACAATGGCACCCACAAGAATGCCCAATTCAGACTGGAGGCGCGTCCACCCGGTTTACGGGGTTCCCGTTGCAGCCGAACAAGCCGTCCAGAACCCGATGGCCATGTTCAACGTTTACAGAGGTGATCAGCCTCACTCAATGGGAGGCACAGTGATCGCTCATTGGATCAACACTAACTATTTCCTATGGGTTCTATCAGAAAGGCTTGCACATTCCGGCGTAGACGCAGAATGGACTGCTTACTTCGACGCACACCACCGAGGCCACTGGAACGAGATTCGTTACCGAGCCGTTGAAGTCACCGGCAGCGCCAGATTTACCTTGCCCATTCCACCCCCGCCCGTTTTCGAGGCTGTAGTCTCCCACACATCTGATCCAGACGTGACCTTCACAGTTTGTCTAGAGGACCGCCCATCTAGTCTTGCTCCGCCTGTAACTAGTTTACCTGAGCATGCTGTTTGGGGACTTTGGGAGTTCCTTGATTCGAATCGGCAGGCGGAGATTCATAGCTTCAATGTCGTGCTTGAAACTTGGAGCCCTGGAAGCTCTTCATACTCCTGTCCTTCGTCTCCACGACAGAATAATGGGCCTTCATGCGGGCCGCCCGCTTACTCCGACCTTGAGGATGCTCCTCCTCCTTACTCAGGGTAATAAGAACTTAAAATCAGTGATAGTTTTCAAGTCGATGTGTCGTTTGGCAAGGCGTATACAGTCATCTACGGATGTCGAGTTGTTGAAAGCCACCACCTTGGGGGTGAAGGGATGGAAGGGATCACGTAGGACGATTAACTAAGCCCATCTGTTTCATATATAAGTCTTTCGCAATCAAATATGGAACTTCGCAAATATGCATAACTTGAGAAGTAAAAACTCTACGTCGGGGGCCTGTTCAATCGCACATGTGTAGATTTTGATAAAATGGAAACGAGATAAGAGCCATTTTTGGATACTCACATTAGTTTGAAATACGTTGTAACTTACTTGGGAAGCTCTTCATAAAACAAACAAAGACAAAGCATGATCATCGCGATATCACAGGCAGGGACGAGCAAATTACACACTATTGCCTACATCGGCACGGCAATCATATAGGGCTCAAACCTTGGAAGGGATTGAGTATAGAGCTGAATGTCAGAATGGTGTACATTGAAGATCTATAGATTGGGGTCATCACAAGATGGATTCCAACCTTGGAATGTTGAATGACCGAGCTATTTTGAGCTCCCTTTTGTGTTCTATTTTAAGAAACACAAGCCGATTCGAGGACTCAGAGCAGATAGACACGATATCCAAGCTCTTAGGCCCTAGGGGCATTTATTAATGCTGTAGGGAGTATGTTGTTGGTACTAGTTGCAGATCACAAAACCCCCAGCCCTGGAGGTCCACGAATACAGCCCAAGCTCCTGAAGTCTTGTCCAAAATGTATCACAACTTCAACACCACCGAGGCATGTTACAGGGGACTTCTATTGGCTAGTCGTACTTAACAGTCATTGGGGGGCATTGCATCGAAGTGGCATTTAATTCGTTCTCGGGCATCCAGGATATAAATCCGCGATCTTATCAACCAAAGCTCAGCCAAAGACACGCATCTTATACAATATGGTCCCAGGGCCACACACGTGATCTCGGGGCTGAGAGGGCACTTCTGAGACAAAGGCCAATGACAAAAGCAGCCACAAACCTTGGAAGCTTCCGTGGGAAATCGAGCCCAAAGTACGGAGTACGGAGTACCCTATCAGCCAGACCCGAGGTCCATTCGACGCCCTGCTTACTTCCAAGGTTGCCAAAGACCATGTCTCACTCGACCCGAACACAAGACGTGGAAATCTCCAATTTTCGAGATACTGAATGTGACGGTGTGACTTCATCCCAGAGCCAAGCATCACAAGGACAGATATCGGACTCAAAAGTAGTTTCATTGGATCGGTCTAGGAGCGCTGGAGACTTGTCCCCTTAAATTGAAGTAGCAAAGCTCACATTAGGATGTAGCGTTGAAAAGAAGACGGTTTATTACAGGAAATCACAAAAGCAAAGCTAAACAGCAGATTGAAGATAGGACAAGAACGAAAAAAATATCGGACAGAGCCCAGGAGTCAGGCCACAGCGGTGAACGGACACTGTTGACAAATGACACCGGCGTGGTATGTATGCAAATATTGTATGTGTTGCGCGGCGAGGCGGCAAGGTGACGTAAACATTTCAATTCAGGGCCTGGGCTCAATTTCGTATCCTTCTAGCTTGGTGGACTGCAACATCGCAGACGCACGAACCCATTATTTCCCTGGCGGAGTCGGGGGTTTCATGTACTACCCGTGTCGTCCGCCACACAGATAGATAGGATAGGAATATGAAAAGTTGTGCGACAAGTGGGTATCATAACAAGACTGTTTTTGAAAGTCGGCGCGATATTAATGAATTGGAGCCGGAGCGAGGAGGTAAGCCATTCGGTTGCATTTTAGTCCACCCGTGGGCATTTAATCGGGGTTAGTGAGCTAGAATATGGTCAGTGGGGATTTCAGAGGGGTTAAGAGGATTGACATACACGAAGAACAGGACGAGAGTAGTCTTCGTTGTCTTGCAGTGAAACACTACTGTCCCGAGCGCCGTTGGGGTAGAGCACCGTGTTGGTCTTCATACGGTTGTCGGTGAAGGTCGTTCCAGAGCGTGTTGGGATGGAACCACCAGCGGCACCTTCGCCTTGTGGGAAGATGCCACGCATGAAGCTCGATCCTCGGCTAGTTCGGTTGTCGGTCATGTCCTGGCTGGGGATGGGGCTGACGGAGCGGGCGCGCTTGCGGTAGAAGAAGATCAGGAAGATCAACGCTCCAACTAGGGCGAGTCCTCCCAGAACACCGATCACAATTCCGGCGATTGAACCTCCACTCAATTTTGAACTGTCGGCTTCACTAGTGTCGGCGGAGGCAGACTCAGCACCAGTAGGGCTTGAACCAGCAACTGTGATTGTCTTCACTTCACCCCCGGAGTTGGTTTCGACGGCCACGCTGGCGGTTGTGTCGGTGGTTTTTTCGGTACTCGATGAGGTCGTGGACTAAGCGAAAACGTTAGCCATCCGTCGATGCATTGCGTTGGTCATGCTGCAAATACAGTTTGGAAAGTCGAAGTCGTAAGACCCGAGGCAGTCACGGTGACAGTTTCGGGCCCCGCGCTTGTTGTCTCCTAACCCAGGATTAAAATAACATGTCAAAGCAAGAGTCTGATGCCCAATGCTACAGGAAGTGAAGGTCTGTTGAATGAAGAGAAAAGGGCAAGCCAGACGGCGAAATAAAAATAGGAAATGGGGTGCTTACCGAGCTTGACGAGGAGGATGTGCTTGTCGAGCTTGTTGATCCACCTGCGGTACTGGTCACATCGTTGCCGGTGATCGAAACATAGGCAAAGACTCCTTTGGACGCACTACCACAGCTGTCCGAAGGGTATCCAGGGCATCCAGTGTCACAGTCAGAAGTGTCCTCTTGGGAGGTTTTCGACGGAGCGACATTGGTGCACCAACATTTCTTTCCTTGTAGAACACCTAGTGCGTAGTTGGCGCAGGTTTTTAGACAGGCTCCATTGGATTGGTATGTATCGGACACTAGAAGAAATCAGCGAGGTGGCCTGTCTGTCGATTCAATCTCACTCACCCGCTGAGTAGGAAGATCCTGTGTTATCTGTGGCACAGAATGCGAGGTCTGACGAGGCCGATGCGAATGGCTGGGCCAGGAGAGCAAAAATCGAGACCGCCACCGAGGCCCTCATTGTGGTGGGTGTCGATCAGCAGTGAAGGTGACCACTGTTTCCTGGAAGGTTTGTGTATCGTTGGGACTGTGATTTTTTTTTTCTTTCCACCTCCCAGATCTCCAGTGCAGGTGTCACAACGACGGGTAGGCGAAGAGGACGAGATTGAAGTGGGCCGACCGCGGTGATGGTCGATCACTAATGACTCCGAGCTTGGTGCCCAGGTGGCCTATGATTCCCAGCCTCTGACTCGATTGAGGGCTAGATGTTCCTGTTGATCCCCCACTCAGGACGCGAAAGAAGGACGGGATAGGTTGTCAGAGAACTGGCATGATCCGAGGGGAATCCTGAGACAGCCAACAGAGGGAAAAAGGTGAGAAAGTACGAAAGAGGTCGGAGTAATGTGGGAAGAAGAAGAGGAGAAGGGAGAGTATGAGCATCCCGGCATACCCGCTTCGGTGGATACCGATATCTGACGGGCTCTCTGTATTTAGAATTATTTGACAGTAACATATGATATATCTGAATTTTGTTAGAGCGTGTTATTTAGTTTATTTAGTTACTATTTACTTCACTTTGTTTTTCCAAGTTCTTCTATTCCGTACTACGAGTACACAGAGTGATCTGTCCGAGTAAAGTACACGCCAATACACACCGGGCTATTGACTTTTTTCCTAATTAAATCGGAGCTCAGTTCCATGGAATTTCCCAGGGGAAAAAAACACACACATTCCACCCTGCATTCCTTTTTTCTTTTTTTATCTCTTCACCTACAACCACTACTCGTATATTATTTAAATCATCTCTTTCTTTCTCTTCTTATCCGAAACAGATGATCGCCATGCAGGACGACCGGGGTGATAGTGCAAGCCCGAACATACGTAATTAGGGTGGGTATCAGTTGCATATAGCTTGCCAATTAGGGAGTCCTGGAGAGTCTAGAAAGCCCAAGTGGCTGACCTGGGTGCCTTGGCCCTCTACACTATACAATTCGTGCAATTGTACTCGTAGTCGTAGTGCGAAGTACTCCGGTAGTACTCGTAGCTCCCAAATGTCGCACAGCAATATCCAGGTTTCAGAACCCAGGGAACTCATGCATATCCCAGTAGTATACAAGTATTCTTTGTACAGATTGAGGATCGAGTTTCCCCTTTCTTGTTTTCCTGTTTTTCTTGTTTTCTGTTTCGAATGGGCCAATAACACACCCGCGATACCCCCCACTCAGCAAAATCCGATCGATCGAGTGATTCTTGCGCCATTTATCATAGACAAGTACAATTGATTTAGGCACTTTGTTCAGACTAATAGCCTAGATAGACTTACGGAGTACTTGTATCTTGCCTCGGTGCCCACTCCTACTCGTAAGTACTATGGTACAACCTGGTCTTATGAATAATGCATAAATCCTACTCGTACGCGATGCAAAAGTACGTGGCTGTGCGCAGTAACCTTCACGGGAATCTACTCGTACTCGTAGCCTGTGGCCGTTAATCTGGCTGAGACAAATCCACAACGGGTGGCAATGGACGCTCGCTTCTCGGCCCAACGAGATTAGGGTTACTTTTGACATACAATTCTATCCATGGATGCTCTGTAGACGATTGGCTTTTCGACTCTTAAACCTGGAAAACTCCAATTCCAAGGCCATTCAAGCCGAGCGGACTTGGGATCATCGTGATGCGACCTATGTAATTATTGTGCCTGGTGGCTTGCAGGTGGCGTTGGACTCTGAAACAGGACTACAGTGATGATCATTACATCCACAGGTCAGATCGAAACTTTCGGGTCATTACGAGGTCTCGACTCGAGGACAAAATTATACGAAGTATTCGTACGGAGTAGCACTCACGTCGGACTACGGAGCGTTGGCATTGCTGTATTTACCTGGGGACTGGCCCGTCCTTAACAGTCTAGACCCCAGGGCCATCTAATGGACTGGATCGAGCCATTGTCATTCGAAACCTACGAAAAGAGATGTAGAAGCGGAACAAAGCATGCCTTGAAAGTCAACAGAAAGCCAACGCTCACCCAAAGTATCGGAACGGTCCCTGGCAATCACCCCACGGTCGATCGGTTTCATCCCCATGCAAGCGATAGATCATCGCCGCCTCGCTGCCTTCTGGACTCTGGACTCTCCAAGGGCAGTTCATTTCGGCGTTCGCCATACAAACTAGCATGATCGCAAACGAACGCGGAAATCTCCGATTCAATCCGCAGTGTTCGAGGCGGGGATCTTAGGAGACCCGCGCCGCCAGCGCATCGCGATCGGCGGCCCGACTTGGAATTCTGACGGTTGGAACGACAATTGCGACGGGCACGTCATGCCCCGCAGAATTCGGTCTGCGCCGGAATGTTGGTTGGGCTAGATGTTGTTTTGCAAAGCTTCTAGATCCATCGATCTTCATATTGTACACGGTGTACGAGTACTATCGTACCTGGCACGTGAATGAGCATGAACGGTTCATCAATTCATTCAACGTATCCACGCTGGTAAATATGGTACTAGAATTTCGGTTATCATAATCTCATGGCTCATGGCTAACGACATATCGTGATTAGATAGAGTTCCCACCCCCATCACCGCCGATGATACGTCCATTCCCGATCCCGCATATCCTGCATCTGTTTCTCCATCATCCGTGTGCGCGGGGGCACAGGCATACCCATCCTGGGTGGTCTGAAGGGAGAAGCAGGGGGTGGGAAAGAAGACCGTTCTCGCTGAATATCCCGTATGCGTCTACGACGAGCACTCCGAATTTCATCGGACAACTCAACCAGCTCGTCGATATCGTCCTGTGGCAACAATGTTAGAGTCGGATGGACGAGGGGGCGGGCGATGAGCAATACATACCGACTTGAGGTAAGAGAAGATGTAGTAGCAGCTTCTTGTTTCTTCGTACTCGTATCCCATCTGTTCGATGGCTTCTTTTACCACCAACTTCTTCGTAATTTCAGTCCAGCGGTCGTCGCGGGGGTCCTTGGAGTCTGTGACTTGTTGGGCTACTCGTCCCATATCCCCCTTTTCCACTGGCGCATGTCGTGGTTCGACTTCGACAATGTTCAGGGCCCCGGTCATTTCAACCGATTCGGCCTTGGGTGGTGATTGTACTACAGACCAGTCATCTGTACCCTTTGAGATGCGATTTCCCCGAGTACTTTCAACGTCTGTGTCCTTCATATCGCGTTGGGGCATTTGTGGCATCGGGGGCATTGGCGGCATGGGTGGCATAGGTGGCATTGGATATCCTCTAGGGTTGAACGAGGATTCGCTTCCACTTTCGCTTTCACTCTCACTCTCAGTCTCGATGTGCTTCTTCTTAGGCCGAGCGTGAGATTTGGATGGCGGTTGATCCCATGGGTCATTGAACTCAGGGACAGATTGACTGGCAGGGGAAATTGAGTCTTCTGGGGCAAGAGACTCCTCGCTATCACGGCGTGTGAGGACGATGTCCTCCTCGGATGATCGCCCGCCTCGCGTTCTTCTAGTAGAAGTGTGAGCCTTGTGCTTTACACGCAAGCGAGGCGTAATAGCAGACCCTTTGGGTATGTCAATTTTATTTGGACTCCCTCTCAGGGGCCGTAGCTCTGGTGTAGGCACGCGAGGATCATCCTCCTCATAACCTGCACGTTTTCAGTTCGTGGCGCATGTTCCAAGATTGTATCAGACTCTTACCATGATCAATTTGTCTATGAGAAAACACCTCCTTGGGAATTGGAGCCATGTTTATTGGCTCCATGGGGGGAGATGGTGGGGAAGGCGGTATCTCAATCTTCTTGGGCTTCCTGGTCACCACTTCTTCCTCCACAACAAGGCCTCGTGGGCGAGGGCTGGAGTCAGACTGAGAGGGAGGACCAAAGGGGACCTCGGGTCTACGACTTCGACGAAGGCCTCTCAGCTCATCGTTCACATCTTCAGGGGGCGAGCTCCTTCGTCGTTCACGCCTTCCGCGCATGCCAATCTCCTCTTCTGCGATATTCACTGGTCGAGACCCTTTGCCTTTCCACCGGGTGGTCACTTCTTCCTCCTCGAAATCCTCTTCAGAGGGATCGATTGGATCGACTGGAATCCGACGTCGGTCTGGGGGAACTTCATTCACAAGTTCTTCTTCCACTTCGATCCTTCGACCTGGTGGAGGTCCCGGTGGGGGTCCTGGCCTTGGTCGACCGTACCTTTCTTCCTCGAATGCACGAGCTCTTTCGTGAGATCGCATATCGCGCTCACTATCCCAACCACGGCGTAAGGGGGGTTCCCCTTCTCTTCGCCGTAAGAGAACTTCTTCCTCCTCGATTCCGCTCTCATGCCGACGTCGTCTTCCTGGGTGTCTTGGTTCCTCGACGACGATTTCTTCATCGAGTTCTCGCTCTGGACGTCGTCTGCGCTGTCGTCTTTCTCTCTTCTCGTGTAACAAGTCATCCTCCGATCTACGCTCGGGGTGCCGTGCGCTCCCCCTGCGTCTTTCCCTTTCTTCCTCGAAAAGATCATCTTCAGACCTTCGTTCGGGATGACGCCTGCTTCCACGACGGATTTCCTTTTCTTCGAAGATAATGTCATCATCTTCAACGGTTCGAGGATGGCGCCTACTGCCTCGACGTCGATCGCGCTCAACGGGGAAGTCCTCCTCTTCGATGTCCGGAACTGAACGATGCATTCTGTCTCCTCTTTCCCTTATATCCGGGATGATATCATTGTCAGGAATCTGCCGGGAACGAGTTCTTCTCTCTCTTGGTCTGTCCTCTTCGTCGAAAATATCTGGCTCGATGTCTCGATCAGGGCGAGATCTCCTGCCCATGTGCCGCTCTCTTTGCTCCGCGATCAATCCCTCTTCGATATCCCGTGGGTGGCGACGACTGCCCCGGCGGCTGTCTCTCTCCTCGAAAACGAGCTCCTCTTCGTCGATCTCTTGAGGGCGGGGTCTGCGCCGGGGTCTAGGTGGTCGGGCATAGACATCCTCGCGATCCAAGGGCGGAGGCCGTGAAGGTAATTCCATATCTGGCTCTTCCCTCGGTCGCCTAGGCATCATGTCCTCTCGCTCTATGGGTCTTTCGAAACTCTCAGCCATAAAGTCGCGCCTGGGCCGCTCGCGCATCCCCATTCGCGCCATATCCTCGACAAGAGGCTCCGACTTCCGTCGACGGTAGTCATCTTCCACATCATAATCGCGACGGCGCGGTCGGTACCCTCTCTCCTGTTCTCGGTCCATCTCGTATATCTCATCTTCGTAGTAATCGCGGGGCGGGCCCGGGCGGCGGGGCATGTTGGCAGGCGCGGGGTATCACCGCATTGAAAATCGGGATCGATATACCGGTATACCGCTCTGCCGTTATCCCGATCGTTGTTGGGATCAGGGTATACTCCAGGGCTGGGAGGTGTTTCTCAAATCCAGGTTAGGGGGTGAGATGAGGCGGGTAAGGTAAGGCAGCAATTAGATCGCGAAGCGCTCCGGTGGGGCTTGCAGAAAAGACCAGTTCAATGTACGTCGTATGGAGCCAGCAGTTGGGACTGAGATGTTTCTTCTCCCTACGGGATACGAGACTCGCAGAAAGAGTACAAAGGCCCGGGTGACAGAAACACTGTGATCGACCCCGCTGATGTCACTCATATGGTCTATCCATTACCCGTATGCAGTACGCAGTACGCAGTACAGTGAAGATATCAGGTAGCGACACCTATTTCCATGGTTGGGTACCTTCTAGAGTCCGTTGGAAATCTTTTACAACAACGGTAGCTAAATGCCTGATCCTTGGTTTCACCCTTGGAATTGACAGTTTTGGGCCAATTCCAATGGATCTGGCAATGCTTAACCATGGTTATATATCTATGTGGGAACTCCCGAGATCCATCCATGGTTGCTTTGTACTTAAGTAGCCCTGCTTCAAATATTTGACATGGGCTATTGTTCGCTACTTCTGCAGTTCAACTCTAGAACGGATTCACCTTCTCCTACTGCCGTCAAGTTGCGATGCGGTTAGCGTGAGTTTCAAGGTTTCAAACCCCCTCTTCCAAACTGTCCCCCGCAAGCCACTTGCTACGGTAAACCACACCTCTTCGTCCAAACGAGAACAAATACCAGGCTCGGCCATTCTGTGGTTTCTGCTAATCCATTGTGATTTGATGTGCACATGGGGTGGTACACGTGCACACTGTCCAAGTACTAGTCGACTGTGGAGTATGGGAGCAGGAAATGTGCTGTTCTTTTCCCCGTGGACTTGGTCCTAACCTGTAGCTTGTATGGATTATTTATGCAGTAGACCTGGATATATTACATTAATCAACATGGGGGGCGATTTAATTGCAAAGAATTCCAGCCCCTGGAGAACACAACTCGTCAACAATTCCTAAGGTATATTCCAGGGCCACTTATGTCGATCACTTCAGACGCCTCGTGAGGCCCGGTGGACTCCGACCGCGCTAGGGGTAGATCCCATCCAGTCAGTCATGCTCGTGGACTTAGGATGCTTATCTCTGAAACAACAAGTCTCTCTGCTACGGTAATCGTCGGTCCACGCTCAAAGCCTATCAACTGTTCATGTGTAGTATACTCTTTTCAATATATAAATACGGTGTCACGAAACCCTCAAACCTAATTTACTCGGAGGCCACTTCCAAGGTTCTATACCGCTCTATTTCCATAACCATACCAACACTCAGCGATGGTTGCCCTATCCAAGTTCGCTTTGGCTGCCGTTGGGTTCGCTCATGGTGCAAGCGCATGGGGCTCATTAGGTCATGCGACAGTGGCCTACGTTGCCCAGCATTATCTATCCGAAGGCACGGCATCATGGTGAGTGTTGCTCCACTTGACAACCGCGTGGACAAGATGCATAGGAGGACCCTTTACAATTGAAAATATCCAGCACTAACAAAGCCAAAGGGCAAAAGAGGTCCTCGATGACTCCTCCAGCTCATACCTGGCAAACATTGCATCCTGGGCAGACCAATACCGTCTCACAGATGCCGGCAAATGGTCCGCCTCGCTTCATTATATTGATGCCGAGGATGACCCACCAACAACATGCAATGTGGACTATGCCCGCGACTGCGGCGACTCCGGCTGCTCGATCTCAGCCATCGCCAACTACACCCAGCGTGTGGGAGACGGACGACTCAGCCCCAACAACACAGCAGAAGCATTGAAGTTCCTTGTCCATTTCCTGGGCGATATCACACAGCCTTTACACGATGAAGCTTACGAGGTCGGTGGGAATGGAATCGAGGTGACTTTCAATGGATACAGCGACAATCTCCATTCCGATTGGGATACGTACATGCCTGAAAAGTTAGTTGGCGGCTACGCACTGGCAGATGCGCAGTCGTGGGCTGATTCCCTGGTCGAAGAAATCACATCAGGTGGTTATGAGGCTGAGGCGCCGAGCTGGATTAAGGGTGATACTATTGGTGATGCTGTCACGTCGGCTATGCGATGGGCATCAGATGCCAACGCCTTTGTCTGTACTGTTGTGATGCCTGGAGGAGCGTCTGCCTTGCAGGAAGGCGATCTCTACCCGACTTATTATAATTCTGCGATCGGAACGATTGAACTGCAGATTGCGAAGGGGGGCTATCGCTTGGCTAACTGGCTCAACATGATCTACAATACCAAGATTGCGAAGCGGGATCTGGAGCGATTTGTCCAGGAGAGCCGGAATGAGGCACCTGCGCTGGACATTCTGGGTCGCAACTTTCTCCCCGAGTCTCGCCCCTTGAGCCGGGCGAAATTGGCCAGAGAGGCCATGGAGGGTTCTTGTTGTAGCGCGGAGAAGCGAGGCCATGTACACTAAATTTATCTTGGCTGTATATGTTGCCGTTTTTATATGCAAGTGATGTCGTTGTTGAACGTTGGATCCGGGTGTTCCCCCATAAGAACCTTGGAAGCCATGGTGCAAGTGCAAGTAAGGAAAAAGAGAAATTCTAATTTGCTCATTTAACGAGAGCAGTTTCTCATATAAACTGCCTGGGAAGTACAGCCTGGTGGAAAAAGCGTAACATCATTCATGTCATTGAGTATCTCAGCACCATCGGGACAATGCTGGAGTAGGATGTAGAAATACACAAGGTATCAAATACAATGGACAGCCAGCAAAGGGCGAGCACGTCATTGAAAAGCAAGTCGCATCTGTCCTTTCTCAGGTTTGCCCCGAGCACTGCCACCCCGGCCGCCTCGTCCACGGGCTGCTGCGCCTCGGGGGTTGCTCTTGGGGGGCGGTAACGGTTGAGAAGCTCGTGACTCTTCGCGGTCTTGTTGCGCAAGGTCTTTGGCAAAGTGCCAATCGTCGTGTTCCTCTTTTTCGTACTCGGACACCAATGTCGAGCATCGTGGGCATGTGTACTTAGGGATGGTGACTTCTTCCGAGTCTGTGACAGGCTGCTGAGGAACTCCCTGCGGCTCCCCGACTGAATCTTCAGAATGATTCCCAAAGAACTGCTTGATTCTGCCTCCATCCAGCCTCCTTTTCTTATCGGCTGGGGGCTGCTCATTGATGACATCTTCAGTTGCGCGAGGCCTTGCAACATGACTGAGAGCTTTTGCTTGATCACCACGGACAAGAAAGCCCTCAATGGCCTTGTTGTTACTCACGCCATCTTCAAAGCTTGACACGCTCAGCGAAAGATTAGAACATGGCCATGCTTGACCATCGGCCACTATCTGACGAAGTAGTGTTTTGGCCAGATCGTAGAGCAGCTCTTCGTCAATTGTGTTCGATTTCGGAATTGGAATTTGTCGAGAGCGGAATTGAGCTGTTCGATGGTGCAGCGTTATCACTCTAGGGCGGCGTCTATTTTCAAGTACGCCATCCTCCACAAGCCGGCCATAGATATCAGCGGCGAAAATGTGAAGCCACTTGTCCGCTTGGTCTAGCGAGTTGATGCTTGGCCTGAAGGACTTGGCTGATAACATGGATTTTATTTGGGTCCGGGGGTTGACTTCGCTGCGGTCGTCCCCACGGATGATCCCATAGAGCCAGGAAGCTGTGTGATCATCTAGCTTTGTTCGTAGTTGTTCGAGTGACACGTTGAGAAGCTCGCTGACTTTTTCGGTCCCAAATGAGCTGGTGATTTGGTCCCCAAGTTTCCCACCCAGCATTCTAATCTGGGTGAATTTGTATCCACCCAGGAAGTTCTGCACCGCGCGGTTCCGCACCACGGTTTGCAGATTGGGCTTGTTACAAGAGCTTCCCAGTTTAGCAATCATTTTGTTACGGCCCAGGCCGGCAGAACAAGTGTAGCTGAGCTTGTCCCAAACAGCATTCCGAACCGAGCGGACAATCTCAGATCCAATCAACATCACAACATCATCCCAATCCGGGTCGTCTTCCTCTGTTTCATGCTTATCAAGGTCTATCAAGCAATCGGTGTCCCACTGCAACGCCGTGGTCGGGGGGATGGGCAGATCGGCATCGCGATTCTCGTCTTGGGTGCCTGATTGAAGCTCAGGGTACCTCTGAAGAAGCGTCTTGTATATTAAAGGAGACAAATCAATGAAGACTTCGTCAATACTTGCTTTTTCCAGCCCAGCAGCAAGTTCTTGTTTCGGGCGTTCGTTTTCGTTTTCGGTTTCATCAACACCCCATGCCGCCAGGGCCTCTTTCATTGTCTGGAGGATCTTTCGCGACTGCGCTCGGTACGGATCCAGGGACACTTTGTCCGTGCTGATATTGCGAAACGAATCATCCCTGTATGCCCATCTCCCTCCTTCGCCCTCTCGAAAGGTGGCAACATGTTGTAGGACCAAGTCTGGGCACAGTTTCCTGGCCTCAGTCACATTGATCAATCGACTGATTCCGAAAGGGCGCGCGGCGTAGTTGATGGCAATCAATGAATCCCATTGGCGCACGGCTAGAGGGGTTTCTCGTGGGGTGCCCAAGCGGACCATCTCACATTGTGCATAGAAGGCATCGAGGTCGATGTGCGCAACCACGCGCAGAGGCGTGGCCGTAGATCCGTGTCGCAGCCCTTGTAATTGTCGATAGGTGAACCGGGAAACCTTCACGGAATCAGATGGGTCTGTGGGTTCAGACATTGCGGGTGCATCCTGACGGTCTCAATTGTCGTCTGTCTGGCTTGGAAGCTCAGGTTCGTCACGGTACGATGCCTGGAACTGTGATCTATTCAGGACTAGCGTGGGCACGTGCAGAATTTAAGCCTCAGGCCTGTATTTGTATTGTTTGCAGTGTTTGTCTCTGTGTCTGTTTGTTTGTTTTGTGCTCTGCAACCCGACAATAATGAGATGAAGACACATATGCTCTCTATTTTTTGGTCTTTTCTTTTCTTTTCTTTTCGGTTATACGGAGTACGGAGTACGCCAATAGTTTCCAAGACCTTCAAGTACGAAATGTACACCTACAGTCTCTAATGTACGACATGCGCACTTTGCACAATATTTCCCATGATTATAGACCCAGGATCTTCCGAGCCATCGATTAGTGACTGCTTATTTTTCTTCACTGAATCGGCGGCAGAACCTGCTCAAGGCCTCGAACACGAAAAAAAAGAAAGGAAAGACGCAACAAGGGCTCCGATCTGTGCGATCCTGCTGACACAGCCGGACTATGAGTGGACAGGAGGGTCGGAGCCTTTGCACAGGTGCCCAAAGCCCACGCATTACTGCCCAACGACTGGCGTGTGGACATCAGCCGCCAACTTCTCAAGTGGCAAGTTCGCAGGTCGCCACCGGTTCTTTCTTTCGACGTATTCGGTCTTTGATTGGCATGACTGTTTTTTTCATGAAAGGCCGGAGGTGGTCGAGTGGGCAATCAGAGGCAGCAGTTGCCCCATCGATGCGGGCTTTGAGCACATGAACATATGACAGTTATGATCTCATGGTCGGCCTCTTGACCGCTGAGGATAATTCCCAACGGTGGAGTCCTGTAGAGTTTCGATATTAATTCGGTCCAGGGGCACAGACTAAGGAGCAATCCAAGCTGGTCGAATGATGGGGGATCGGCCTTTGGGTTTTGATTTGGGACCTTCAGATTTACGAGTATTGATTTCTGAATTTTTTGCCTCTTGAATTTAGCCATGTCGACTCTATGCTAGGGACATCTTTGCATATGGGGTAAAGCAGGTACGTACATAGAGTAGTACTCTGTTGACTCAGAAGTACGAGGATAATCGAACAGAATAAGCAAGTCATAATCACCAAAATGAAAGAAGAAAAAAACAGTAGGCGGCTACAGACAGGGTCACACACCAGTCTAATCCTCATTTGACCGTGCATGCTTTTCGCCTGGATCTCAGTGGGGAGTCGTGGCACCAGCCCAAGACGGCCCAACCGCACCTTTAGCCCACTTTAGTTCCCTTCCCCCCCCTCTCGCTCTCTTCTCGTTTTCTTTCTTTCGACTTTCTCTTTCACTCTCCACCTCCCTTCTCCCTTGTGAACAACTCTTAGCGTCTGGTGGGATTCCTTCTAGTCCCATCCTCCTCAACAACCCGGAACCTCTCAATTTTGTCACGAATACCCAGGATAATTGCCGGACATTCGTGGATTTCTTCTCTCCCCAGGACTACCCGGACTTTTTCCCCCAGGACTTGTTACTATTGCCGACCAGGATCAATCTTTATCTGGCCACTTTCCCAAGGATCATATCTCGCTTTCCGTTTGCCCTGGAATCGAGAACAGAAAACTCAAGTCGTGATTGTTGGCTTTGAGAGAAAAAAAACCCCTTTCGCCTGATAGAAAACTGTACTACCTTCAATATAACGGACTCACCACCATCAACTTGAAACGGGACTTTCAATTCTGCCACTCTCGGACATTCCTTCTTCACTGGCCTTCTTGGATCCGAGGACTATAAAAAATTAAACCGGATTTTCCCCTCGGAATACATTATGACAGGCCGTTATGAAGCACGCCCGGAGCGTCAAAATGAATATTTCATCCCGGGTGAAGGAATCAGCCGTGAAGTCATTCAAGCAGATATCTGTCGCTACCTTGGAAACGATGCCCTCGTGAGACCTGGCAACCACAATGTTCGTCCATCTACTTTCGTCAACACGATAACCCAGGACCTTCAGACTGACCATAAACAGGGCCGCCCAGGTTTCTTCATCCGTGCCTATCGGAATCTCACATCTGTAAGTCTTGGAAATCGTCGACGGGGAAATGTCAAGTTGGGATTCTAACCACACCATGGATACAGGAGATGATTACTGATCTGAAGGCGGACTCTGCTCGCTGGGAGGCGGACGTCTCACGTCGGGCTGACCTAGGCTACCCGCGAGGCAGTTACATTCAGGACATGAACGTGTCCCATGCCCCTAACCCTCCACCAGCCAACTATTCCACTTCATCTATCCACGAGGTTCGCCAATCACAAGGCCCATCTCCCACACCTTTCACTGCCGCTCCTGCGCAGTCATACATGGACCCTTATTCTCAGAGCCCTTACAGTGGATCCCAAAGTGCCCCCTACACCAACCCTTCTTCATACACATCTTCAACTCACTCGCCGTACGCATCAGGTACAGCTCCGTACCCCCCGCCCCAGGTTTCCTACTCTGGCGCCAGCCAACCGATTGTGACCGCTGCGGACATGCACCCCCAATCGTACACATACGCCCCCACAGGCTACGGTGGTTACGACAATGGCCGAAGCAATGCTCCCCGTTACCCGGGGCCTGGATATGATGCCGACCAGGACTACTCCCCCGTAACCTCCGGGATGGCCTATCCTACAACCACTGCCCCGGACCCCCGGATAGGAGGAATGGAGCCCAGATACACCCCAGAATATGAGCGCAGGCCGCAAGCAACCAGAAATGACCCTCACCGTCGGCGGTAAACAAACAGAATGATCGCCCAAGGGCTGCTTTTTTTTCCTGCCTCCATTGGTTTCTCCTTCTCTCCATCTCCGTCCTTGGAGTTAACCTGATTCTCTCTCCCCGGACTATCTCCACCATCTTCCTGGGAGTAATCTTGATTCCTTTTTACGAATATTTCCTGGACAATCTCAACACACATCTCTCGGTCACGTTTCTCAAGAAACCTACTTTTGCATCTAGTCCAGGAACCCCTCAGCTTTTCCAGAGATGTCTTGCATTCCACTATGGTTCGGTCAAGAGGGACTCCCACTTCCCACCGGACATGCATCCCACTTATCCTCTGGACTTCCACTGGAATTGAATCAATCTGCCTCCTGGCAGGATTTTGGACTCTCCCATGGAACCTTGTCATTATTTTTGCTTTCTCTCCAGTATGTGCAACTGGTCAACCAGGAGTAGGAGTGATATGTCTTGTTTGATTTTGCGAAAAGGTGGCCAGGACTTGAGCGTTTTGTCTGTTTCTTCCTTGGTCCTGCGGATTCCGGGAATACTCACCCCCAATAATGCGATTCTTGTCGTTTAACGGTGTACAGGATTTGTGTGTTTTAGCAATTCTCCTCTTTTTTTTTGTTGTTTTCCTTGGAAGGAGGCGGAGTCATGACGTTCGACTTTTTTTTTTTTTTTTTTTATCACTTGGTTTGCGAAGAGTGCTATGCTTCGATAAACTAAGGCTGGTGAGCTACATGTAGATATGAGCATTTACGGAGTTGGTCCGTTTTCTGTGTTTGCTTGTGCAAGATCATGGACTCCACGACCTTAATGAGCCTGTTTCTTCATTGTTCTTGGCTTGAAATGAATCCAGATATCCATCAACATATTTTATTCAATTCTTTCTTCTTCCTGGCGTATTATTTGGATGCACCTCCACCGTCAGAATTGGACTCGGAACAAATCTCAGGCATCAATTGCAAGGTTGTTGCAACCTTGGAAGTCGCCTCATGCTCGACGCAAGAAATTCCAAGGTTGTCTGTCGGTCGAGTTGATCGGACTCGAATTACGTTGCTAATCCTGGGTATTTGGAACCTTGCGAAGATACTTGGTACGGAAGAGGGGTTGGATGTTATATATCCACACAGTGCCTTGCAACTTTAGAAGGTCCTGCCCGAATCCACTTGAGCAGAACTGCATTGCGTGAACTTCAGATATACCTCAGGTACCTCCCTCCAGGGCTCGAAACTCCAAAGATGAGAGCTTGCCAGCGAAGAAAATACCTATGCTGATAGTACTTAGGTAAGTATATCACAGTCCGAGGTCAGACTGGACATGGATAAAATAGAAACCTTTAAATCGAAGTGGTGGCCAACTATCAAAGCCTGGGAGTATAGAAAAGCGACATAACGTCGGATTGATTGCACAAAACATAGTACATACACCGTAGCGCAGCCTCGATATCCAAAGTAGGCGCAACAAATAGTGGTATCAAAGCAATTGAAGGGACAGGAGAGCTTGTCCGGGAACAATCTTTTGGGTTTTCCACGCTGACGCGATGGGGGCTTGTTCGTCATTCCACCATGGGCAGTGGCGGCCAATTTCATCTCCTGCCATCGGCTAATTCGTTTATCCCAAGCTCGAAAAAAAACAACACGGCATTCTTTGAAGTTCGATTACTCGACCTTTTCATAATTGAATACCGTTTATTGGTCTTCGTAGCCCTGAGGGATCACTCGCGGACCCTGCGGAACTGTGGGTGAAGAATATTCGTTAGTTTATTGTTCCTCGCTCAAATAGAAGGATTTGTAAGAAATAAATCCAAAGACCGGAGAGTCATACTAGGGTATGTCAAAGGAACAGGCTCGGGGTCGACATCGCCGAGTGCGTGGCGGATGGGGGGAATAGTGGCCAAGAAGACAGGTCCTGACAAGCCGAGAAGACAGGCGCCCATGTAAGCGGGTCTTTCGTGCGCAGCCCAGCGGAGGTAGCGGAAGGGAGTAGACCAGAACTGAGGGTTAGACATGATTGCGAGAGGTTGGCCACCGGTCGGGGATTTTTGCGAGTAGACAATGAGGTCGATATTTGATCAATCGAAATCTGCTGAATAGACGGACACAAATGCACAGATGCGCAGGTCCACCAAGTGGTTGTTGAGTAGTTGAGGCGAAAGCGAAGAGCAAAATTGCAGCCGTGGGGAAGAAGTGAAGTCGAAGTTCGGAGATGCGGACCTAGCGCTCTCGGGTCTTGGCACTCGCCCATTAACACGTCGCCCTTTCTGGCTATCTATACAACTTGTGACCTTCACGCTTCGACCTTCATTTTCTTTCGCTCATCATTTTGTCTTTGAATCCGTTCTGCTGTGCGGAATTAGTTCAAGATGCGGTGGTGCCTTGCGTTGCTTGTCTGCTGCTTGTTGGCTGCCGTAAATGCGCTGAGTAGCTCCGGCAGCCGCCTGTTGGCCGTCCTGGAAGACACAGACCAAAAGGACCTTTACTCTACGCTGTGGGCTGATCTAAAAGGTAATTGAATGTGCCCAATGTCAGCGCAGACTCGCTAATACCAATCACTAGCCCGCGGATACGATGTCTCGATCGAATCCCCCAAAAGTGACCAGCTTGCTCTTTTCAAGCATGGCGAAAGAGCTTACGACCACCTCCTGATTCTTCCTCCCAAGTCCAAGGGTAAGAAAGCGCAACCTAATTGACATGGTCGCCAATCAATTGACCCAATACCCCAGGCCTTGGTCCCTCTTTGACCCCCAAGCACATTGTCGACTTTATGAACAAGGATGGCAACATTCTCCTCGCTCTCTCCGGAAAAGCCTCTACCTCCAGCGCCGTCAGCTCTCTTCTCCTTGAGCTCGATATTCACCTCGCGAATGACCGCTCGGCTGTTGTCATCGACCACTTCAACTATGACACTCTCTCGGCCGCTGAGAAGCATGACGTCCTTGTCCTTCAACGCCCCGGACCCCTCCGTACCGATGTGAAGGCATTCTTTGATGGCGAAGGTGTTCTTGCCCTTCCCCGAGTTGCCCCGCAGACTCTGGGTGGTGAGAGCACTCTTCTTGCTCCAATTCTCTCGGCCCCCGCTACCGCATACAGCTACAACCCCAAGGAAGGCGTGCCCGCACCGGAGGACATTCTGGCTACAGGCTCTCAGTTGAACATTGTGTCTTCGATGCAGGCACGCAACTCGGCCCGCTTCACCGTTCTCGGCTCCGTGGAGTCCCTTGAGGACAAGTGGTTCTCAGCTTCCGTCAAGACCCCCAGTGGCACCGAAACCCCCACCGTCAACCGCGAATTCGCCAAGCAGTTGACCGCTTGGACTTTCAAGGAGACTGGTGTCTTGAAGGTTGAGAAGGTTGAGCACCGCTTGGCCACCGAGGGCTCAGAGCTCAACCCCTCCATCTACCGTATCAAGAACGAGACTGTATGTTGCACAATGCTATCATGGTCATTCACAAGCTAACTACTCTTCTCCACAGGTATACAAAATTGAAGTTTCCGAGTACGTCTACGACAAGTGGGTTCCATTCGAACTCCCCGCCGATGATGAACTCCAACTCGAGTTCACTATGCTTTCGCCCTTCCACCGTCTACCCCTCAAGCCCATCGGCCGCACAGAGACCAGCACTGTTTTCAGTGCTCAGTTTGTGACCCCCGATCAGCACGGTATCTTCTCCTTCCGCGTCAACTACAAGCGGCCATTCTTCACCGCCATCGAGGAGAAGCACGAGGTTACTGTTCGCCACTTCGCTCACGACGAATATCCCCGCAGTTGGGTTATCACCGGTGGTTGGGTTTGGATCGCCGGTCTCTGGGCCGTCATTGGAGGATTCCTGGCGTTCGTAGTCGTCTGGCTCTACTCTGCGCCCGTGGCAGACAAGCTTAAGAAGACTCAGTAGATTTATGTCTACCATGTATGCACTGTACTGTCTATCTATGATTTCGAAATACCTTGCATGAACTCAATTTTCCAATTCAAACCAAATATATGATTTATCTTACATCTGGTTCTTGCACGGAGTAGCCTGGAGGTACTTGTAGTTTGGGTGTAGCTTGTGTTTGTCAAAAGCTTGGAACTCATGCCTGGTTGCAGCTGATGTATATCATTTGACGTGTCTAAATCTGCCGATCATTCCCGTGATTGACATTCTGTACCTTGTTTACTCCATGGCTCCGTTCCCTCAGACAAGACGCCAAGCTCTAGAGGCTGATTCCAACATGAACCCTGGAAGTTGAAGGAGCTTGACACAGGGCCCTTATTTCTGACACAGCGTCTCCTGCTTCCATCATTGACAAAGAAGCCATAGCCCTGAAACCTACCACTTATCGTTCTTGAGTACATCTAATCGGTAGCCTCAAGTGTGTTCTGGGGGAAGGACTCCAGGAAGAGTGCAATTGGACGGATTATCGATTCAGGATATGAAAAACCATATTCGAACAAGAGAGAAGCGAGTTTGTGAAAGATAATGTATGTTTGAAGCGTAACCGAACTCCGGGCCATGCCAGCATGTAATCAACGAATCCAAATTTCAGTATTCTTACAAGCCACGGGTCTTCTCAGGGTCCATCTGCACCTCGTCTCCGTTGAGTTCCTTGACAGAGGAGTATGCGGGTTGACCGGCATAAAGCTGTCCACCAGACGAGTTTCCGGACTGTCCGCCTTCTTCCTTGGACAACGCGATGGGCTGGTTACCACGGAAGCGTTTGCGCATATCGATCATACCACGCCTGCACGAGAGAACACCCAGCCGTTAGCCATTGCGATCTCGTGTGTACCTGGAAGTACAGATATATTCTCCCAAGGCCGGTCTAGACTCACTTGCACTCGCTGAATCCTTTCCGCAGCTGCTGGCATCTCATGGGCAACTCCTCGGCGAGAGGAGATTGGAGACACTCACGGGGTGTATGGCGCTGGACCATTATGCATTCCGATTCCTGGAGGCATTGGGCCAATGCCTGGCCTAAAGTTTGGAACTTATGATCAGCATGTGCTCGGAGGGTTGCGATGAGGGCCCAGATGGTTCGTGGAGGTGATGGGTGCTCAAATGATAGAGTCCCATGAGGGCTATGACTTACGGATATCATTGCATGAGCTAGGCATGTTGTCGCCGTCTTGTGAACGAATGCGCAACCACACGGAGGGACAGACGTCGAACGGGTAAATTTGGGATGTCAGTAATCTCGACTGTGATTGGTCGGTGTGCCTGGACCCCGGATGAGATAAGCGTCTTTCACATGCGGCCCTGACAAGGTTCCAATGACGTCGTGGCACCCTCATCTCTTTTCGTCTCTCCTGTGCTTGACTGACTGGTTATATTTACTCGACAGTTAGACATATGTATAGCATTCGTGATGGCGCGCGTTCCTTTCATCGGCAGATTGTTCTGGTAAGAGCCTCAACTTCTTCTTACTTCAGACCATTTGATCAATCGCGCTTATAGGTTTGAGTACCTGGCGTTATTAGGATCGCTGGTACTGGTTCTACTTGAAACGGTCATTCATTTGATTACTTGGTGTCTCCGTGAGTAGCACACGCCAAGGAAGATATGAAGGAAAACTAACCCCTAGCTAGCAAGCCCTATAATCCGGTTCTGCTATGCGCAATCCAAGGCACTCTTTAACCTTTTGATACCTACGGAGTCTCGTCAAAGACGTACAAAAGAGGAGATATTTGCCAGTTCTGTCGCAGATGCTTCAGACTTTACCGAAATATGCGCCCTCTTCGGTTACCAAGCCGAAGAGCACATAGTGCAAACAAAGGACGGCTATCTCCTCGGACTACACCGACTTGCGTACCGAAAGGGAGAAGAGAACCACCAGGTTAATCAAGGCCCCGAGGGACTTCAGAAGAAAGTCGTTTACCTTCACCATGGGCTCCTCATGTCTAGTGAAGTCTGGGTGGCCTTGACCGACGAGCAGAGATGCCTTCCTTTCCGGTTGGTTGAAAAGGGGTACGATGTCTGGCTGGGGAACAACCGCGGAAACAAATACTCCAAGAAATCGATTCGTTTCTCGCCAGGCTCGAATGAATTTTGGGATTTCTCTATCGACCAGTTCGCCTTCTCGGATATCCCTGATAGCATCGAGTACATTCTCGAGGTCACAGAGCAGCCGTCTCTCTCATACATCGGTTTCTCCCAAGGGACAGCCCAGGCATTTGCCACGCTTGCCATTCACCCGCTGCTGAACAAGAAGGTTGATGTCTTTGTGGCTCTCGCGCCTGCCATGGCTCCTTCGGGTCTGCGCAATCGCATCGTCGATTCACTAATGAAAGCGTCTCCCGATTTCCTATTCTTGCTATTTGGCCGCCGCAGCATCTTGTCATCAACGACGATGTGGCAAACGATACTCTACCCACCAATTTTCGTGCGCATCATCGATACCGCTCTAAAAGCTCTCTTCAATTGGAAGTGCCGCAACATCAAGCAAACGCAGAAACTAGCTGCTTACTTGCATTTGTACTCCTTCACCAGCACCAAATCGGTCGTGCACTGGTTCCAAATCATCCGCCACAAGAACTTCCAGTTCTACGACGATGAACTCTACGCCCCATTTAGTATTGCTGCCAGCGAGCGGTTCTACAAGCCGGTCAAGTACCCGACGCGCAACATCAAAACTCCCATCGTCCTGCTTTACGGTGACAGCGACAGTCTGGTCGACATCGGAGTGATGCTGAAGGGCTTACCTCGAACCACTGTTGCCCAAGCGATCCCAACCTACGAGCACTTAGATTTCCTATGGGCCTCCGATGTCGATCGCCAAGTATTTGGCTATGTATTCGATGCGCTTGAGACGTATAGCCGCGGGAGCCCCGACGCGATCAGCACAGTTTCAGGCTCCCCCAGCAAACACATCAAAGGATTTTTGACCGACGGGCGCGCTCCTAACACGTCAGTCTCCCGGAAAACCCAATTCCCAAACGGGGTGCACGGGGCCACGGTCTAAGCAAGGTACAAGCGCTGTACGAAGCACCTGCATGTAAATCGGATTTTAGGCCGCAAGGGGCTTGGTGACCACAACAACGCTCAATGTTTTTCTATTTGCTCTCAAGTACTCCGTATATACATGTATCTGCCAAATGTATCATGTTAAATTACAAGCTGTTCGTTTCGGCCAATTTGGTCCACTTAATCCAGCCCCGTAAGGTTTCTTGCCTCAGATAAATTATGCGCGGTTGGGCCCGTGGCCTTAGCCGCTCGCGGGTGGGTATCGACAGCCCTGGAGTCCGGGGGAGAAGCTCCATCTCAACGAGAATTGGTGGATATTAATTTAGACTTAGTTAAGGGAATGTATGCAAGTACTCAATAAAAATCACATTTGAACTAAGATTTTCATTCAACTAGGCGTAGATCGGGCGTCTAATATTTATTCATTATGGTCAACAAGAGCTGTTAGGTTTTCTAATTGGGTTCTGTAAGCGCTTGCTCATACGCCTTCCAGTATCCTCAGTCTTTTCATTGGGCGCATTGGATGACTCTCTAAGATTGGCCGTTCCATTCTGAGTCCTTGAATCTGATGTTACTGGCCTCGCGGATTTGGAGATCTTTCGTAGCGATTTCTTTGTGTCAGAGTACGACATCCCCAGGTGTATCGATTTGGAGTCGTTCGCGCTCTTTTGATACCTGATAAATGAAATGGAGGGGACGTGTTATCTGATTTTTGAGCTCCTCATACTTTGTCGTGAGATCTCAACGCTGCACATGGTGTGATGGGATTGACTGTAAGCCGGTTTCTTTTAGGCGAAGGAGCAGATCGGGCTCCGTTGATGCATCGGGGTCTGGCTTGATCGCATACGGAACAGGCAGCTGTTCGTGTATCCAATATGATCCAGGCATATAAACCCATGTTTCCGCTCCATTCTTTATGCCAAATTCCTTGTTCAATCCAGTTTTGCTTGACAACCTCCTGGAAATCGATGGCTGCGTCTGCCCAATCACCTACTTTCTTTCTGATTTCCTCCGCAGTCTTGCGATGCAACTGTGCGGACTGAGATAAAGATTGCAAGTAAAGACGTGAGAACATCCCATGTCTCGTCTTATCGACCGTGAGTCTACCTCGGGAATGTCATCGTCAGAATTCAACGCGGTTGAAGGGGTATAGCACGACGGTGGACGTCGTCCAAAACGTGTCAGCCCATAGCTCCAGAGTCCAATCGTCTTGGATTATCCGCGAGAGATTCGAGTGCAGAGGTGAGTAAACCAGACGCAAGCAATTCGGTCATAGGGGACCAAGAGGAGCATATATTTGAGAGGGGAGATAAAACACAGTTTTACATTTCTACAAGTTATTCTGGGACCACACTATACATGGCCCCGAAAGTGCTGAAAGCCGAAGATAGGCTACGTGAGATAGATGAAATTGACATTGATACCCTGTCATTTCCAATGGATGTTTGATCCGTTTTGTAACCGTGGTATAGATACTGGATACTGAGGAGTTTCGCCAGCGTTCGGAGCATTTAAAATGTTCTCATGACGCTCAAGAGGCCATCATGGCAGCGGCAGCAGCACCAGAGTTCGAGGAAATCCAACAAGCGAAAGTCAATCCGCAAAAACGTGCCTCCGCGGCACAGATGTTAGTCAAGTGCTACGATGGAACAGGTCTAACAGCTCCCAGGAAAAGGCCTACTTACCAATAGAGTCAGACACCAGAAACACTGAACTGTGTACCGGGTCTGAATCCCTGGCCCTAAGGCGTACGAGTATGCGAAAGCGTTCGACCCAACTCACCAGTCAGTTCCGTGCCGCTAAGCCCCAGACAGGCATATCCGTAAGGAGGCCTCGTATTTCTCGCAATATTCAGTATCCTGGTTTTGTGAAGAGATGAAGAGACACCGCTTGCACTCGCGACTGACGGAATACGATGTGTCATTCTTTTTAGGAGAGTCTTTTTCAGCAGATAGATGAGCCCCCATGACAACCTACAAGGTTACTGTCGGGAGGTGAAGCCATTATAATTGAGCGTTTTTTTTTTTTTTAAAAAAAAAAAAAAGATCCTACATACTCATAAATGTCCTCTAGCTAAAGGCGCATATTAATAATTGTTCGGGATGTGCGGTCCTATGAGGTTCGCTCGCGTTTTCGAGACTTGATCACTCGAGCATGGAGGGCCATTAGGGTTTCCCATTCCCAAACAGCCTGCGTCAAATCTAGGACACGTCTGAAATGACTGAGTTTTGCTGCCCAAGCCATGCATACGTGTGCAAGGCAGACCGTTGTTGTGCGAATTAGCTAATGACTGATTGAGTTTTCCGCTAAACGAAGAATCAAACCCATCGGATCCGATACAACGAGTGCAGTACTAGTTAATTTTTTGACTGTGTCCCCATTCACAGCCAGAGCCCGGAGTGCGATGGGTGCCAGAGCTCAAGGGTGGGGGGACCTTAGAGGGCCCAGATGCGCAAACGTCATCTAGTGGCATTGGCGGGTTCTATGTTGTAATGGTGAAAGACAAGCCCTAACATGTGCCAAGTGAATTTCTCATGGGCTCCAATTGTCCGAGAGCGTATTGTGATCTGGTTTGTTCTGGTGGATAAAGACGAGGGGTCCAGATGCGTCCTTTATTCGCTGGACATTAATCGAATGGTACCCTAGGTCGGCTTTGTCTTGCCCTCGCCATCAGTTGATACGAATAAGATCTTGACACGATTCACCGAATAGGAAGGAGCCAACTTATTACACGAGCAGCAGAACGGGGCTGAATACTGGCAGGTGATGCGCTTCGTATAGAAGATATTGCGATTAGAATCCGGTACGAACACCCCAACAACCTTGGAGTGAGCTGTTCGTACCCTAAGATCTGAGTACAATGCAAGGTACCCGACCACGGTTGTGGACTTCGAGCGGGGTTGTGGCTTGGCGGGAGGCACTCGATCTTTCTTTAAAGTATGGCCCATTGTGCGGTACCATAGTGCAATGTGAGATGCAATCGCCACAATTCACGCTTGGCACGATAATTTCCGGCAGAGTTTTCTAGAAAGCACAAAGTATGTTGCCTAAACCCACCGAAGTGGCGGTAAAAACCAGCGCATGGCCCCTTCGTTCCGACGTGTACCTGACTAGGCGAGCATAAACGGTAAAAGAGTGTCGAGGAGTAATTTCCCTGTATCCACACTACCCAAGGCCCGTTGGACGGTACGTTAGGGCACAGTGATGATCTATTCTGTTTATTAACCAGTGTCGCCCTAAGAGATAAGCTTAGTTATTGATCAATGCTTGGCCCAGGGATGGAATCTGTCAAAAGATTTATATGTCTCTCCGAAATGATAGTCAGGGGGGATTCAGGCACGTCAAGCAATAGTACGGGTGACAGCGCGAGGGGCTGCGCAATTCCTTTCGTAAGCCTATGTCCCGACGAATCGGGCGCAGTTCGTGAAAAACTCTTTGTCCGAGAGTCCGGATGGGTTATGATTCGATCTAGACCGCAAATCCCCACTGGGCAAAAAATTAGCCCAAAACCGAGCACAAACAAGTGGGAGAAATTAAAAGTGAGATTCGTGTGGTTCGGCGTCAGGTACCCATGGCCCATCGCCAAACAAGTTCATTCGGGTTGGTCAAATCAAAGTTCGGTCCCTGGCCCTGACCGTGGGTGCACCAATGGGATCAACTGAAACCGAGTGAGCCACATGGCCCCAATCTAGATTTCTTGGTATCGAGCGTATTGAACCGTATGGGTCAGGTACCATTGCGTATCACAGTAATATTGGATCCGCTTGCTCCTCTGCCCCGAATAAAACGGCGCTATGCCCTCGTCCGCGCTCCCTTTTCCCTTCGACATCACGATCATTCACACTCATTTGGATATCTTCCAATCTCATTAAGGCTGCGCCTTAATTGAACACTCTCTTTAACAGTCTGTAGATCAGACTAAAGTCACTCTCTCTCAACGGACCTTGTCCAATCAACACACACACTCTCTCATTCATCGGATCTTACGTTTCAAGCCAAAAAAATGCGCTTCAACGTCATCGGCCTCTCGGCCCTTCTGGCAGCTACTGCCACTGCTCTCCCCGTCGCCATTCCCGACGTCCAAACTGTCCAGAATGTCGTCTGGGAGACCGTCTATGAGACCGTCTACCAAACTGCTACCCCGACCAGCGAGGTTGCTCTCTCTGAGCCCACTGCTCCCCTCGCTGTCGAGAACTTTGCCGTTCCTTCTGCTTCTAGCACCGAGACTCCTACTGTCGCCCCTGCTACCACCGCTGTCCCTACCACCAGTGTCCCCACCCTGAACGTCCCCAGCACAACCAGCGCCCCCGCCGTTGTGCCCACTCCCACCAATGTCGCCAGCACCAGCACCCTGGTCCCCAGCACTTCCAGCAGCGCACCCAGCGCTACTGGCAGCGGTCTGAGCATCCAGAACAACCTTGACGAGACCGTCTACCTGTGGGTCGTCACCGAGACCCAGGGTGAGATGCAGACCCTCAAGTCTGGCGAGACCTTCGACGGCCACACCTGGTTGACCAACTCCAACGGCGGTGGTATCTCCATCAAGATGTCCACCAGTGAGCTTTGCGACAGCGTGCTGCAGTTCGAGTACACCCAATCCGGCAACGTCCTCTTCTGGGATCTGTCTTCCATCAACCTCATCAAGACTTCTTCCTTCGTGACTGCCGGATTCGGAGTCACCATCAGCGACAGCTCTTGCAAGTCTGCTACCTGCGCTGCTGGTGATGCCAACTGCATCGAATCCTACCAGCACCCCGACGATGTCAACACCTTGGCTTGCACCGTCGATGCTGCGTACACCCTCACTCTCGGTTAGATTTGATTTTCTTCTTCTTTGATTTTATATATTTCTTTTCTTTGGATATCCACTTGGTTTGGAGATTGTGGGAGTTTTTATGTTGAACAAATTGCGAAATACAAATTTCACACTTCTTGCACAAAATGTTTTCTTTTTTCTTTTTGATAGATACTAGAAGAATGAACAAATGACGGTCAATATTATCAAGCTTTACAGTTTACTAGTATCCCATGTTTCGACTGAGGCTCTGCTAGCTAATCCGTGGAATGCCACATCGACCTTACTTCCACGGTTCGTCGCCTGACTTTCTATTCTATCAGCACTCAGGATGTCCAAATATGTCTTCGTAATTGAATATTGGAGAAAATAGTATATTAGCACAAGGGGAATCTCAACTATGTCACAATCCCCGCCCTAGTCAAAAATTACAGTCGGTCTGCAAATTGAGTCACACGTACTCCGTACGGAGTACATCCCTCCCCAGCAATTCGAAATTCGCCAATGACATTCAATGTCCCGTCTAGTAGACGGGCAGCTTGAATGCAGGGAAAGTGTAAGTCCAGCTATCAATGGAAGCCTTGTCGTTGACACAGTTAAAGGTGCTGTTGCTCTTCCAGATAGGACGAGTAGGCCACTGGCAAAGCATCTGTGTCTCACCCTCATAATCACCAGAAGAGACGGTAGCATTGAGACGCGAGGGCTGAGCACCATTCTCAACCCAGTTGATCATAGTCTGCATGTTGTCCTCCGGGTATGGGCCAGGCTGGAGGGTGTTGGTTCCACAGTGTGCCGCGCCAGGGATGAGGTAGAATTGGTACCACTCGGCCATTTTCTTAAGACTCTCTTCCGAAGAGAGATGGGGGTACATGATAGAGCGGACGGATTGCCAGTAGTGCACCGATGAAGGACTTGGGATACTGGGATCGGACTCGCCGTGGTAGTGTAGAAGCTTGCCACCGGTGGATTGGAAGGTGGTCAGGTCGGGCAGGGTGGTCTGCAGACTGTCCATGTAGCGCACCATACCAGTTGTCATCCAGTCGACCAGGGTGTCATAGGTGACATTGTTGAGGTCGGAGAGGTTGTCCAGGTTGAGGAGCTGCACGAACTTGGTAACGTACTCGCCGCCAGTGGATGGGATGTCGAGTTCCCACTTGCTAGTATCGTTGTTCCATTGAGTATCGCCGTCGCTGAGCTCGGAGCCGATTTGCCAGGACAGGTAGGCGCGCTCGCCCTTGGAGTTGTGCAGACCGTCGTAGATAGCCTGGGCAACCTTCACACCCTGAGCAGTGACCTTGCCGTTCTGAGCGGGCTGGTAAGAAGTGCTGCTTCCTGCGGCGCGCTTGCTGAAGCCGAAGCCAAGGGATGTGCTGGTCTCTGCGTCACAGTGGTACTTCTCACCGATGATGGAAGTCAGGTTAAAGTGAAGCTTGCAAAGATCGGTACGAGAGATGACACCGTCAGTTCGGCCGTCAAGAGGATCACATGCAGCGATGGTAGCATTGACGATCTTGGCCAACTCGCAGGGTGGTGGGTAGTAATCCATGGTCTGCTCAACGGTAGCTGGGAATACGTGGTGGACTTGCTGTTGAGCAAAGCGGAAGGCAGGGGCACCGGTGATAGCACCATCATACTCCTCGCCGTAACGCTGAATTTGGCTCATACCCTCACGTCCACCATCGGAGCAGCCCTCGTAGTAGGTGTAGACTTTGGCGGAAGAGGACATGCCGTAGAAACCGCGGGTGAGAACCTTGCCGATCTTGGTCATCTCACCAAGAGCCTGGTATCCAAACATGTAGGTAGCATCCCAATTGATGGTTCCATTGCCGTAAAGAACAACATCGTCGTAACTGTTGTCGAAGGCATCGTAGCCAGCGCTGGTGGCACCACCGACAGCACCATACTCAAGGCCACCAGTTGCATCGCTGGACAAAGAGAAACCACCACCACCAGCAACGTAGAAGCGCTTCTTGAAGTCCGAGGGCTTAGGGAAGGCATACTTGATAACGACGGAGTCACCCTTTCCAGTGTGTTCGTAGGTGACGGTCACGTTGCAGTATGTGTAGGTCTCGGTGCTACCCATTCCAGCGCTGGCATTGTATACGGCGGCGGCAGTGACGGCGGAAGGAATCATGTCGATACCCAAAAGAGTTCCATTGGAGGGCAGGGCAGAGCGAACGTTGGAGACGGTACAGACATCAGCGAGGGACGCGGCGCTCGCTGAAGCTGCCAGGGCAAGAGATGCACCCAAGGAAAGACGCATCTTGGAATCAACCAAGTATAAATATACGTAAAAGAAAAGAAACGAGTGTAGAGAAAGGTATGAGTAGAAATATTTGATTCGGAGACATATGGTGATACTTATAGTAAGTACTCAATAGCATGGGCCGCAGCCGGTGACTGAGGCGCAGATCTGTAACAGACCATGGCAGTCAAGAAGATGAGTCGTCGTCATCCTACGCAAGTTTCAACATAGAAAGGACGACGCAGTAAATTATCCCATGATATCAGGTGGAGATGAGTCTGAAAAAGCTAAAAGACTGATCATTGGTGAGTTTAATAGAGGCCGGGTAAATCTTACTCCCTATAGTTTCATCAGGTTAAAGATCTACGTGGCTAGGCTTGATGCGGTTCGCACGAGTCTATTAATTTTGAATATTTCTTGCCCGTCACTCCATAACCTCCCGAAAGCTACTAATTCTTCCGTGAGTTAAAGTCAAGGCGAGCGCGTTAAACAGCCCTACTTTGGGTCTTGGGGGCGAGCAGTCGGCCCGCAACCGCAGCCTACTTACATCACTTCTACAAAAGCTGGTCGAGTTAGAGATTTTTACGCGTCTTAATCTTCAGCCATCCGGTGAATTTTCGGAAGATCTATTTTGGTTACAGGTAAGGCTGATTCCACATTCCACATTCCTGAACGGGGTACCCCTATCTGATTTGAGAGTAGAGCCCTGCAGTGATCCACCATAGTATGAGACTAATGTCGTGGACATTATCAGATCAAGCTGTAGAAGGAACTATTCTAACCGCTGTGGGTATTGATTAAAGACGCCAGTCGCTCTTGTCACCCGGTAGAAGTATTTGGATGGGTCACTGCGCAGGTGTTTGGCGCCCAGGCCACCTGGGCATGAAGCGGATGAAGATTTTGTCAGTCTGAACTGGGGTGAAAATTAACTGAACATCAATTCTTGATTCTGGATGAAAGGCTGTGGATGAGAAAATTCTATTTAGTAGAGAAACGTCATTCAACAAAAGGAGATTTATTCCATCTATCTGTTCATCTAGACCCGACCATCATCCCTTTCATACTCACTGACTTTTGATACGGCTAGGACACGAGGCGATCGAACTGGAGCCCGGGACTTGCAACTTCCGGAAGGACTGTAATCAATGATTTGCTTCTCTCTGTAGAAACAAGCCCCATCAAGAATACTCCAGGATTCCGAAAATCAGGACCCTAAAATAGACTAAAGACCACAGGCTCGCTAACTGCCAAGAACTATAGATTACAAGACGACTATTGTGCCCCTGAGTATGACTCTACGGATAAACACGGCTCTTGCTGGTATCATGTTAAGTGAATCAACAGCAAATATGCCGATGAGCCTTAAGCAAGCGAAAAGGCTGCCGGTGGTCCTATGAGACAGCTTGAGTGAGGCAAGTAATCATTTCCATTTGGATGAGCAAGCATATTGTTTCTGGCTCTACGGAGGAATGAGAATAGAAAAGCCGCCGAAATTGAAATATCTTGCCTGTAGATATCACTAAGACAGAAAAAGAGAAGCACACACCATATCATGTAATGTAAGATATAGCCACAGCCACGAGGCCTGTCTTAGCGGAGCCACCCCACAAGTTCAAGTGCCATTTGCTCCCATAGTTTACAAAGCTAGTATTGATTGCGCGTCCTAGCCCTTCCCAGATTTACCACTGCTAGCACTTAATGTTTACACCTTTCACCAGGCCAGGTAGACACACTCAAAATAATATTCAAAAAGCCAACCCGGAACTCAACCTTGCCCGAAAGTGGTCCAATTCTCACACCATCGACACGCTTCAGCTTCTCGCATTCTTGAAGACTAAATTTTTTGAAGAAGAGAGCCTGTGTTGATGTTCAACTACTTCGGCATGCAAGGAACTGAGAGTATTCTGCAAGAACAAAAAGCCTATTCAAGATGATGTTGCTCATGATGATGGCAAATCAGAGAAGTTGGTGGGTTCTTGGCTCAGTCTCGAAGTCGTCCTGGGTCCCAAGGGCATGGCTTCACTCATGACTGGGATCCCTATTGCCTAGGCTTATGGATCTTGTATGACTTTGCTGTCGATTATGGGAAGATCGCAAACTCTGCTTGCTTTCATTTGAGATGCTTTCCTGGCGGGCTCTTTTTTCACATGAACTCTTGTTTGAACTAGAAGATCAAGTTCGGTTTCAACGGCGGCTTGCCAATCATTCAGTTGATCACCTGGGCAGAGTCAAATGCCACCCTAATATCGAGCTCATCGTGCTAGACTCAAAGACCTCTTTCGGGTAGAGTAACTAAAATCATAAAATTTAAGAGAAAAAAAATCTTGCAGACTGTCTCGCATAAGTTTCCCGGAACCTGGTAAATGTTGACGGCATACTGTCGTATTGACCTACGGCAGCTTCCGAAAACCTTCTGAACGAGCATCATCTTTTCCAGAGGAAAATCACAGCAACTTCCAAGCTCTGAGCATCAGGAAGATTCCGCTTCTCGTCATTCTCTACCATGGGCCCACCTACAACAAAACAAGCCAACCTGTTCTCGGGCGTGAGGGTGTTCTACCGCGAGCAGGGCAATACAGTAAATGCCCCGACCATACTTCTTCTCCACGGATTCCCTTCGTCGTCGCACCAGTTTCGAAACCTCATGCCGCTCCTCGCGACCAAATACCGCGTGATCGCCCCGGATCTACCAGGGTTCGGATTCACCGAAGCGCCGTCCAACTTTGTGTATACCTTCGAGAGCCTCACCGCTACAGTTGCAGACTTTTTGGATTTACTTGACATCCAAAAGTTCACCATGTACATTTTCGATTACGGTGCACCCGTGGGTCTGAGGCTTGCTCTCCAACGGCCGGATGCCATCCAAGCCATCATCACTCAAAATGGAAATGCATATCTGGAGGGCTTTGGGGCTGCCTGGCAGCCCCTGAAAGACTTCTGGGTCAGCGACGATTCGCTTGAGGACAGGAAGAGAATCGAGGATGCGATGCTCACCTTCGAGGCTATCAAGTTTCAATACGAGAATGGAACCCCTGATGTTTCTCGAGTCCCGTTGGAGTCGTATTACTTTGACCACGCTCTTGCAACGCCCCAGGATGAAGGAGATTCAAATCGATCTTCTGATGGACTATCAAAATAATTTGCCTTTATGCTCCGAGTTCCAGAAATATTTTCGAAAGTCGCAGGTTCCTTTGTTCGCAATATGGGGTAAAAACGACGTCTTCTTCATCCCTGCCGGGGCAGAGGCGTTCAAGAGAGATCTCCCAAACGCCGAGATCAAGCTGATTGATGCGGGTCATTTTGCGGTTGAAAGCGATACAGACCTCATTGCCCAAGATATTCTCACATTCTTGATTGAGAAAAACCTCTGGGAACTCGATGTGGGGATGGGGGTCATGTAGCCCTGAAGCTCAACATAATTGATTCTAAAGTTCTATTTCGCGAACACACCTCGATATTCAGCGGATAAATCCATGATGCTCAAATGATGTATAATCAATGACATAAATCTTCACTAGAACTTTGCAACTACCTTAGTGCGGGATGCTCGGGTTGATATAAGCTTGAATGGACAAGAACTGTCTAAATCATATAAGCACCACCCGAAACCTGCCAGGTTTGTCCAGTCAACCACTGCGAGTCAGGACTAGCAATCAAAGACGCAACTCCAGCAACATCTTCTACTTCTCCAGGGCGACCGAGTGGGGACCACTTGCTCAGGCACTCGTCAATCTGTTGCGGGCTCATCTTATCACCACCAGGAATATATTTCCCCGACATCTCGGTGTACATATCAGTCTTTACACCACCCGCAGCAATGCAGTTGACAGTGATATTGCGGGATCCAAAATCCACAGCGAGACACTTTGTCATTCCCTGCACAGCTGCTTTAGACGCAGCATATACTGCATGTCGAGGGACACCCTAGCCCAGAATTAGCAGTTAGCCTCAATGGATGAGCTCAGTTGCTCACCTTGACGGCTGAAATCGAAGAAGTCAACATGACTCTGCCATAATCCTCCATGAAGCGATATGCTTGTTGTGCGACAAAGTACTGTCCCTTGACATTGACTGCAAAGACGGCATCGATATCACTACCCTTTACCTCGGAGAGATCTCCGAAATGCTCAATGCCCGAGTTACTAACAGCAATATCGAGGCGACCGAATTCGCGGTGTGCAGCTTCAAATAACTCCTTCACTTCTTCTTCCTGAGAGACGTCCGCCTTGAGCGCGATGGCGCGCACACCAAGGGCACGAATTTGTTCAGCGACAGCCTCGGCGGCTGAGGCATTTGACACGTAGTTGATGACGATGTCGGCGCCTTGATGGGCGAATTTTAAGGCTATGCCAGCTCCGATGCCGCGGCTTGATCCTGTGACTGGTTGGAGCTTTAGCGCTGTTGTTTAATCCAAGAATGATCGGGGCTAGTACTCAGGGCGACTTTTCCAGCGAGAGTTTTGTTTGCTGACATTGTAAAAGGAAAAAGTATGCACTGAATAGTGGATAGGAGGGGTTTGAAAGACAGGTTTCAAATTATTGCAAAGCTGTGCACAGGTTGATCAGAAAGAACGGTGAACATCTGCATGCCCGGGTGGTCGATATGCATTGTTGGACGCGGCAGGCTCGAGTGGGCAGACATTGGTGGTTAGGCCTCCTGCGCCTGCATCTCCCCTCTGGCGCGAATGGAAAAGAAAGGTCTTGAAGCCCCAGGGCAGGTGCAAAGACGCAATGGTAAAGATTGAAAACAAGTCAGTGAGATTTTATCCATTTGCGAGTATTTGGAAATTACCCAGAGACGCTCTTGAAAGTCCTGCCTCAAGTTAAGTGGCGTTGCACACCGCTGGGGTCCATGTCATTCATTCAACAGGATATTGTTTCTTTTTCTTCTTTAGGGGTGGACTTGAAGCAAATGAAAAGTATTGCTATCATCGAAAGCTTTCGAAATCTGTTGAGTATCTGTATTGAATTATTGTTGATTACTGGATCGTTCTCACGGTTTGATCAAGCGCCCATGCAAACTGCTTCACGTTATGATCGTTCAACCCAGGAATAGATACCCGCGAAGTTTCTACCATATATATGTGGAATTGATCTGTAAATCTGGTTAGAATAGACGAGCGGGTGAGATATTACGGGCAATTTACTCACCTTCAAGATGCTTGACCTGAGCCTTGTTAATGCCAAGATACGCAAACATTCCCGTTTGTCGAATAATGTGAGACCAGTCACCCGGCGTGTGAAGACGCTGCAACTCTTCATACACTCGTTGGCGCATCCTCTGAATGCGACTTGACATCACAACAAGATCCTTTGACCATTGCTTTCTGATCGAAGGCGTGAGCAAAACAGCAGCAGCTACGCGGGCCCCGTATGCTGGGGGTGCGGTGATTGTAGCTCGCTGCACGTTTTGAAGTACCGACTGTGCAACTCTGGCTGCAGAGGATGATGACAGGGCGCATGCAACAAGACCAATTCTCTCTCCATAGAGACCCATACTCTTCGCCATTGAGAGGCAGACAGCAAGCTCAACGTTCAAGTGCTCTAGAAAGTATCGGATTGGCCAAGCATCATCATTGAAAGACCCGGAGTTAAATCCAAGGTATGCAGAGTCGAAGATAGGGAATAATTCTATCTCTTTGATAACAGAGCCAATGGTCTTCCATTGCTCTCTTGTGGGGTCGCAGCCGGTAGGGTTGTGAGCGCATGTGTGGAGCAAAATTGGTGACCCTGGGATAGCCTTCTTCAAAGTACTGATATATGAGTCGAAGTCAAAGCCACCGTCTTTATAGTATGGAATTTGTTGAACCTTAAATCCAATCGTCGAGAACATCAACTGGTGGTTCACCCATGAAGGATCAGTGATATAAATGGTATCAGGAGCGGCACTAAGCTTTTTCAGAGTCAGACCGAGGAGCATGAGAGCTCCTGTTCCAGAAAGGGATTGGCAAGAGGCGACCTAGATAAATTCAGCCTCTTCGTAGAGATTGCGGCTGATGATCGGGGAAAATATTACCTTTTGTTCGGCAAGAGCCGCAGTGCCATCGAACAAGAGTTTAGTCGCTTCATCCACGAATGGCTGGAATCCAGCAATAGGTAGATATTCATGATTGATTCCTCCTAAAGAATCCTTGGCCATTTGAACAGATGGAAGCACCCAAGGTGATCCAGTCTCATCTCTGTATGTCCCCTGGCCAAGATTGATCTTGTTCTCTTTTGGATCCGCAAGAAATCGTCTAGTGACGTCAAACTGAATGTCAGGGGGAACAAAATCGATAGGCTGGAATGTTGACAGCGGGCGTGATGCAGTCGACATGATGCGAGATTTCAGTTTTATACCACTTTGAGTTCCCCTCTGAAGAAATTTCGAACACAATGTAGGCAGGGTTGACATTGTACTTAACCCGGGAAATTTGATCGTATCGTGCGTTACTTATGCTATATATACATATTTCATGCTGATCCGTCACCCTAATTGTGGACTATCTGAACATGCGATCGGGCTCATTTCGGTAAAATTATGATTACGCCGGCGGCACACTTCTTAGGGACCAGGGGGTCATCCCCGCCCGTTGGCCGCGTTTACTCGAGTAGCTGCCGCAGCATCCGGGGCTACTTTGCCGAGCGGCTCCCCACTTGGGCATGCCCCCGGGGCAATTTCCATACTACATTTCACTGACAGATACCTTGATCCAGCTCTAGAGCTAAGCAAAAGTTTACTGTGTAGTAAACGCTTATTATCTTCGAGAGGCATCCATGGATATATGGCAAGGTTACCTCTGCGAACAACTTTAGAAAGGACTGGAAAAATATAAACTTAGGTTATATGCTTAGTGATAGTTGAGAAATTATATTCACCGGGCAGTAAATCATTGTTGATTCTTGGCAACGAAGCGATCTTGAGCTTCAAAGACGGCAGTAGGTGATTTGCCCACCAAAGACTCATAGATCTCTGGGTCTGTTGCGCCCTCCAGGCCGAATATGACGACCTGGCTATTACCATCCAGTCCCAGTTTCTGACGAAGGTTCGGGTCGGAGCCAGATCCAAGCATGACGCCTAAGCTGGCAGCTGATGATTCACCACACACCACGGGGATATCACCCTCGTCCCCTTTCGCCAACGCTTTCATGCCATCAACCGCAACGGAATCGGGAACAGCAATGAAGTCACTAGTCAGCCAGGTGAGGAGCTTCCAGGCGGCGGGAGAAGGTGCACGACAGGCCAGACCAGCCATCAATGTTCGGAGCGTACCTTCAGACTGACAAGCCGCACCATTCTTCGCGCTCTGCAGAAGACAGTCTGCCTCGGACGGTTCAACAACAACAAAACGAGGCACACGAGCAGGTGCATCTTGATCCTCACGAAGATGAGTATAGAAGCCCTGGAAAATGGCAGCAGCGATACTACCCACGCCACCACATACAAAGACGTGGCTGATCTGGTCGAGTTGAGGGATTAACTCGATTGCCTCCTCGAGGACGACCATATAGGCGTTCATGACGTGCTGAGGGACGTCGTTGTCGAAGTCAGACCAGGAGGTGCTGCTAACGAAATACCAGCCATTCATGCGAGCATCCTCCTTAGCCCTGCCAACCGAAGCCTCGTATTCGCCGTCAATGCGAATCACAATCGCACCCAAGTCCATCATAGACTTGGCGCGGCCGTCACTAACGTGATTATGGATGTAGTCGACGCAGCGACAACCAAAGATCTTAGCACCGTATGCTAATCCACGACCTTGGTTACCGTCTGTTGCGACGCAGACAGTGATGTTCTGTGTAATGTCGTGATGCTTGTCAGTGCGAAGCTCGGCTGCTGTGGGCCAGACTCCCTTCTTCGCGTGCACTTCCTCCGCCAAGATTTTGTAGATTGAATAGGGCGCACCAAGGGCCTTGAAGGAGCCAAGGGCCTTGAAGGAGCCAAGGGCCTTGAAGGAGCCAAGGGCCTTGAAGGAGCCAAGTGAGGTCCCAAATCGTCTGCTCTCATCCTTGACAAAGATTTCCTGGACTCCGAGTTTGTGTGCGAGTTTTGGGAGAGCGCGCAAGGGTTGTCGGATGTACTCTGGCCAGGTGCGAATTTCATTGATGGCGGGCATCCAGTTGGGAAGATTTTTCATGCAAACGGCTGCAGGGGCCTCTGCTTCGATGGTCAAGCGGTCTGCATTGGAGTAATGAGAGTACTCCATCTTGAGTGGTTGGGAGATTGGGTGATTGGGATTCGTTTGGTCAATTTGTACGTTGATGTCGGCGGCGTTGCTTTTTTATGTTATCCTGCCATTTGCCTTAACTTACCGTTCACCTCTCAGTTTGTTCCCTGGTTCCATGGTGTCCTCTTTTCCCACTAAGTGATCCTCTCCTCTCTCTGTACCTTCGGCATATTCGCCGTCGTGCCGAGCGGTGTTTAATTGGCCACGCCTCCTTGAAAGGCCCACATCCACTGTGCCCCCCATAGCTTTTCCGCGTGTTACGGCATTCCTGCGTAGTCCCGAGATTCGGTGCCCATGTAAGGACCCGTGTGTTTTGGTGTTTCTTCGGATCGAGGACAGTTGGTATCGGTTGATTCGTGAAAATGTGGGGTGGAATGGCAGAAGGCGCAAGGGGTTGACCTGTGACAGGTTGATGGTTTTGGGAGGACTCTTCAGTTTTACTGTACAAGTACTCCGTTCCTTTGGTCTATTTTCCAATCCTTTCCTAGGTGACCATGCTGAGAAAATCCATCGCGAACGTGCTATATGTTGACCATCCATGGATACCACTTGCGATCCGCCTACACCCACGGGCGCTCCGCCTTCGGGTGACTATTATATCCTTACTGAGTCTAGAGGAAGTTTGGGCAACTCACTTGGACCATCCGATCTACGCTTCTTGATTTCCAAGCTCCTGTTGCTGGTTGGTCTGATTAGACACTCGCCTGAGATCACGACTTCACAAGAATTTGAACTCCAACAAAGTCTATCGATTGTGTTTCTATTATAAACAGATGCTGATAATTATTCCAAGGACTCTTCAGGGATGACTGTTATCCAACCATGCTGAGCGCGTCCATACATCATGTCTCCCAACCATGCTTTAATCTTTCCGGTGATCTCAGCAGGGCCACCATCGGGACCAGTTGGGATATTGATATCCTGTCCACGGTGGTGGATCTGGGATATGGGGGTAATAAACCACTTCACCTGGTCAGTTTCACTCATCATTTCTTTTAGGAAGATCAAGACTTACAGCAGTACCTGTCGCAAAGGATTCAATCAGTCGATTCTCAGCAGCCGCCTCTTGCAGATCATCAATTGTAAACCTCCGTTCGGTGACTTCGAGGTCCAAGCGCTCTCTCACCAGCTCAATGCAACTCCGACGAGTAACGCCATCCAAGATGAGCTGGTCATCCAATGGAGCAGTGATCAGCTCTCTCTTCCCGTCTTCCTTGCGATTCCACAGAACAAAGAAGTTGCTGCCACCGGCCTCGGTACAAAAGCCCTCTGGGCCATACAGCCAGAGGATCTGGTGATATCCTTGCCGAATTGCTTCTTGATTTGCCAAGACTGACGGGCCGTAGTTAGCTCCAACTTTCGCAAAGCCGAATCCTCCGACCCACGACCGGACCATGTCATTTGGCGAAGTCAGCAAGCGTTTCCCGCCCAGAGGAGTATCCACTTGGGGTGTGAAACCAAGGATGATATAAAGCAGAGCTTCTTGAGGTGCTGTCACACCAAGCTGTGAATCAGTGCCTATCATTGTTGGGCGCACATAAAGGAACTGCCCGGCACGCTCCTTCGGGAGCCATTTTGAGCCATCGACCGACACCATTTTGTGGATAAGCTTCTCCAGCTCATCGGGCTCGAATTGAGGCAGAGAGATACGGCCCGCGGACATCAAAAAACGACGAGAGTTTCGATCGGTACGAAACATACGCAGCTTTCCATCGTCGCCCCGGTAAGCCTTGAGACCCTCAAAGCATTCATAGGCGTAATGCAGGCATGATGCGCTTGGCAAAAGACTCAAAGGGCCGAAAGGCTTCAACTCAGGCGCGGACCAACCAGCGCCGGCCGTCCAAGAGGCAGTGATCATATGGTCCGTGCATATCGTTTGGCCACTTTTACGGAGAGTGGCTTCGCTTGGGACTTCTCGAGGACTAGTGGTGTATGTGCAACTCAACTTGGAGGCGTCGAGGGGCTGCTCGTTGGCCATATTAAGCATAAATGAGATACCAAAAGTGCTCGGCCTTTTGGAGTGACTGCGGCTCCGCGTTCCTCAATCTCCCCAAAACGTGCCTTGTGGCCGGCCTCGATCATGGCCTTCTGTGACCCATGGGCTTTCATGTTCCTGAAGCTAACCGCTTCCTCAAGAGCGAGAAAACTGGTCTGGTGCAGCAGGATCGGACATTCACGACCTGGTGGACCTTCAATAGCATCTTTTGCAGCCATACCGGCTTTTTTCATAGCCGAATGAACTGCCGAGATATCCAGAGTCCGCGGAGTGAGGTGGTTGATATGTGCGCTTTGAAAACATGCGATATCTGCTAAAATGGGATGCTCGGCTTTCAGGAGTTGGTATTGATCAAAGGTGGCCGCCGCGACAGGCTGCCAGCTGAATGTGGATATAGCCTCTTTGATGAAAGTCTCCCCCTGCTCCTTCTTCAGCCGTCCTCCCTGTATATCTGCCACATCTAGCATACTCAACAACACATTGCTGAAGATGTTGCGCTTCTCAAGTAACTCCAATGAGAGCTGACGGGCTTCCTCCGAAGCTAGTAACTCGGGTCGTAGCAAAGTAGTGAACACACGAAAAGGATTGATTTCGAGACTGGACACTTGCAGAGGGCGAAAGCAAGTTGCATGCATTGGTAGTCCTGCGATCGAGAGATCATAGTATCCGATTGGGTGCATACCCAAGACCTCAAATACCCTCTTCATGGTTCGGAGCTCGTAAGGGGTACCGAGACGAATTGCACCATGTCGTTCTTGAGTCAGGCGCTCAATGTTGGCATGTATGCCTGTGACGTTACTGGGTTGGGCTTTCGTGTTGGCACCACCTAGCATGGCCTCGTTGATCTCGCGCACAATGTCGATTAAGTCACCGTAGAGTGGCACCTCGCTGCGGTACATACCGGACATGGCAGCAGCAAACTGAGTCCTTAATGCATCCTTGTCGACGTACCCCGAAGGAGCTGTATCAAAAGCCATGACTTGGGAAATCGTCGGTGGAAACTTCGAATGATAGATAGTCTGATTGGAGTTCATGTGCACCAGCTGTGTCGCAGATGATTCAATCAATATCTTTGGCAGGAAAAGAAGACTTGCTTCTATTCTATGTCTTGGCCAATCACTCATATAGTCACGCTTTTTGATGTGTTTGTTCATGAACCAAAGCATTTCATTCGTCGAACCACATTCGGGAGGCTGCTTCATGTGCCGACGGCCGCAGACAAGTTGTGCCGAGAACCTCCAGGGCTCGTTGAAACCGGATCAGGTGAGAGATTTGAGCTTAGAAGCTTGATCTTGTAGACAAATATAGTATCTGACCAAGTAAGCTGCAACTAAAGTAATTTAACAATAAACCTTTATGTCCGCGTTGCTGCGGTCAGAATTGAGAATACTTAAGCAGCAGGAGCCCCGGAAGCATGAGGTATGTCAGGACTTCCCACACACTCGCAAAGGAGAATAATGGATAGTCACCGGGGCATGCAAAGGGCTCCTTGTGTTATTGTGAGCCTCAGCCCGTATTTTTTCTTTTTCTGTGCTTCTGTCCGTCATCTGGTTGAATCGAAGGAGCACATTTTTTAGCACAAGCATCCTCTATTGCCCTGTGTCAGATGTCTCCTTGCAGCTACATCCAAATGGTAAAGTTTTTGAGTCTATCCTATCAAGTACGAGCATAATGAACATCGGCATTGTGCTCGATATCGATTTGTACTATGCTGCTCAGGTGATAAGATAGCGTATTTGCTTCTCGCCAGTAGGCTCAATTAAGCCCGCTTAAAACTCAAGCTGTCTTCGCCTCTTCTTCTAGATCCATAGTGAGCCATTTCACTCCCCCTCTTTCCTGCTCTTTTCTTTTCATCTCTTTTCGTGTTTTTATGGTGTCAAGCACGGAGTATGGTATGCGGAGAATTACTTTTCCGACTCCGCCTTTTCTCCGCAGCGGCCTCCCGTCGTCATCCATATGAGTTGTGCACCTGTGACGTCGTCGCCCGTGAGGTTTCAAGAAATTCAGGCCTGTAATGGGCATGGCTACAGGAGGAGAAACGCTGTCGGACAGAACGCGTCCAGTCTCACTTCTGTTGAGAGAGCACGGGGATCGAAAGAACCGATTGTATTGATCTCTCTGGGGAGAGAGAAAGAAGAGAGGAGAGAAGGACTATGGAGATAGGATCTTATCTACAAACGGGGGTTGTGGCAAACATCCCTCACAACAACTTCTAAATCGATCGAAACCCGTCGCGTTCGTCTTCGCCCGTTTCTTTGCTGTCATCGTCTTGCTAAACCCGTCATTTAGTTGTCGAAAATGCCATGCAAGAAAAGTCAGATGTCCAGGGGGCCAACCTTGCCTGAACTGCATTCAATTGGAATGTGAAAATCTTTGCAATTACCCCAAACGTGATCGAGAAATCAAAGTTAGCCAGAGGTTGCTTACCTCGTCCTACAATTGCATACTCACACTAACCAAGCCACCAGTTATGTCGAGGGCTTGGTGCGCGAGATTGAGCAATTGAAATCTCGGAATTCTGAAATTTCCCCTGGCCCTGATCCAACTACTCAAACCAACAATCCCGAGGTTAACCTTACCCTAAACCTTCACACTACAGATGAACCATCCCACAATCCCGTACTGGACGAAAAACCCTGGTTTCTACCTATTGATTCCTGCAAAGTACCTATTCTCATAGGAGAAGTCGCTGATACTGTATTTGTGACCCGTTTACGCCAACTTATCACAGGAAAAACCCTGAGTCATATCCCTCGTATCGCATACCCTGGTCATGATCAGATTTTAGAGCTTGCGCAGGCTGAGATTCCTCATCCTGGAGCTTCACATGCCCGTTTTCTTCTTCGAGTCGCTTTGAAGTGCTTAGGGGGATCTTTTCATATTGTCCGCAAAGACCTGGTTTCCGACCTTTTAGAGCGATTTCTCCAAACACCCCAATCACTTGATTCACTTTCAACGTGCAAGATCCTTGCGCTTCTTGCTCTAGGGGAGCTTCACTCTAGTCGTTCCCAAAATCAGTCAAAACAGGTACCTGGTCTCGCCTACTATAGCCATGCTAGTCGAGCTCACGGGCTACTTGAAGAAAGACCTTGTGTTGACTCAATTGAGATTTCACTGATCCTGGTGAGCTTAATATCTCAAAGTCGCATCCAAATCTCCTAACAATCTCAAAGTGTCTATACGCTCTTTGTATCAACAGACGCCATTCAGCTTACTTTTTAGCGAGCTCAGCCGTTCGCCGTGGCGTCGTTATGGGGCTTAATTTCGACTTCCCTAATACTCATCTGAATGATCCCGAGCTCAAAGAGCATCTCAAAGGTGTTTGGTGGGCTTCGTATGTGCTGGAGCATCTGTGCGCATCCATCAGCAGCCAACCGGTGTCGATTGCGGACAAAGACATTTTCGTCGATTCTTCGTTGAGCACAAACGTTACAAACCAACTTAATAGCGATTTTCCACATACGGAGTGGATAGTTGCAAGGGTCAATTTAACCAGGCTCGCCAGAAGGACCATAGAATCCGTCTATGGGCGCGGGGAGCGAAAAGTATCATTTTTAAAACGGATTCAATATTCACTTCGGGACCTCAAGCAATGGTTAAACGATCTGCCAAAGGACATTCAAATGGACGCAGAGTCTTCAAATTTGAAACCGCAGCCTATTCAGTCTCTGCACCTCCATTTCAACCAGGTAACTGAACCACCACTCCAATTTTTCGATCAATCTAACCCGCACAGTCTGTTATTCTTGCGACCCGGCCCATATTACTCCACAAACTGCATATGGTCAAAGAATCGAATGGGATCACCCCAGCGAGTTTAGATCAAGCAATTTCAATAAACGTTGAAACGTTGGCAGAAGCATGCATCAGGTGTGCTCGTCACTCATATTCTACAATCGTCGAATCCTGGATCGAAGGAAACTTCGGAACATTCGATTATTTCAACACTCAGCACCTCTTTTCTGCAGCTACCGTCCTGGCCATCTCTTGCCTCATTAGTGGCCCTGGTAGTTCCAAGGATCGAGAGGACTTTGAATTCGCAGGTGAACTCATTGAAAGGCTCCAGGACTCTGGAAGTTTTGCCGCCATGGAGTTCTGTCGTCACTTTGATGAGCTGAAGGCAGATAATCTCTTGTTCGGGTCCGACTTACCAGGGGCAGAAGCGCAAAGCTTTGGACCTGACATCACAGGCACCGCCGACCCAAATCAAATACAACCCTTCCTGCGACCGGGGTATTCAATGACCTCAGGGATGGCATTAGCAGAGCCATCTGTTGAGGCATTTCTTCAAAGCGAACAGGGTTTGGCTCAGCTAGACGCCCTCTGGGATCATACTGGACAGCCTGGGCTTTATTGGCCAGCAGGGGATTTGATGTAAATGACTACAACCGCCACTTGTCACAAGCCCAATGTACGTTTCAGAATAATCTTAATACTCATTCTTGCTCACAAGTCAGAAATCACCCATTACGATGTTCAAATTACCCGAATTTTGACAATCAAAAGACCAAGCGAGACTCTGAACAGATAAACTCCATATTCACAAAGTGAACTGAGGGAAGCGACGAACAGCGCTCATTAAATTTAATTAATACGCAGTAATTGGAAACGAAAGTATAACAAAACCTAGACATGTAATGTCGATGCCTAAGTCACCAAGCCCAAAGGCTCGGCACTTTGAAAGCTCGCCGAGGCTCGCAAGGGGAATTCCAACGTGATCAAATTCATCTCTGTCAATTTACTTTGTGGCCTGCAAACGGAGTAGCAAATTTCAATTCGTGTACCACTCTAATATAATGCATCGATCGATCAAGGTTCTTCCTTCACAGGGAGCTGGTGTACGCATGCAGGCATCTTTCCTCTCGCAATCGCCACTGCATCAAATCAACCGTTCCTCGTCCACTCTTGAGCCGAACCGAGCGGCAGCACCTCTGTCACAAAATGGTCAGTCCGATGGAACCCAGGCATTACTGCATATTTTTCTGGCACGTCATCGTCACATCTCCTTTGAGCTGGAAATATAGCAGCTGCCACAAGCCATGTCTAATACATAAACGCTCCAGGCTATTCCAACAAAATCCAAGCCCAAGGTATACTGCGCCTGATGCCTCTGGGCGGTTCGGTCACCCGTGGTGTGGGGTCATCCCACGGGACAGGATATAGGAAATCGTTGCTAGAAATACTATACTCCTGCCGACAACTTTGACCCCAATGCTGCTATTTTCCCACTCGAAGGCCCCATGCATGACAGTCCTCCAAGCACAGCTCCAGGATCCTATGTGGCAACATCTGGTCACTCCAATACCCAAGCGCATGATGACTTTGCGTGGATGGATCAATCCTTACAAACATTGCCTGCGCACCAACCCACCCATAATGTTCAATCGTCATCGGATCAAGCAACGGATTCTGTCACCACGTTACCATCTCAAACCTTTGAAAGCGAAGAGTCAATATCAAGACAATTACTACCGATGGATCCGTCACAAGTCTCCAGAGGGCTTCCTCGACGGAGAAGTAGGTATCTAATACAGAATTTCGACCAACGATCGAATGCCATATTCGTGCCCCCGGTCGGACATCCAGCGGATCCGCTGGAACGCTGGAAAGAGTCGCCCCCGGAAGGAGAAGCTGCGAGTCTATCGGCCATCCAGAACGCGCTTGAAGATTCGGCGATGTATCCCAGCAGAGTTCTAAGCCCAGGCATGCCTGATTCCAGGGCAGGGAACTCTTTCCAATCGTATCGTCGTTCAGGATCCCGCGCAACTTCAACAACTAGTGGAGAGAGCGCTACAAGTGCGTCTTCTCAGCGCTCTAATCGCTCAGTATTCTCTGCCTTATCCAGTGGCGCAGGAGTCAAAAAGAAACAAACCGGTGCAGGCAGGCAAAAACGCAGCTCGGCCAATAATGCACGCATATTTTGCTGTACCTTTTGCTGTGACAAGTTCAAGAGCAAATTTGACTGGATGCGCCACGAAAAGACTCTACACCTGAATCTAGAAACATGGGCTTGTGCCCCCTTTGGTGGGTCTGTGGTTTGGGAAACCACTGGCAGAGCCCATTGCGCCTATTGCAATCAACTTGATCCATCATTAGAGCACCTTGAGCAACACAACTATGGGCCCTGTCAAGAAAAAACGCGTACTTTTCGGAGAAAAGATCATCTCATGCAACATCTACGACTCTTCCACCGCCTTGAGACAACTCCAATAGTGAATGATTGGAAACTTGTCAAGACAGATTTTCCCCCCCGATGCGGATTCTGCGACACTCGGATTTCCAACTGGGAGGAGCGGGCTGATCATTTGACAATGCACTTCCGCGATGGATGCACCATGGCCAACTGGGCAGGCGATCATGACTTTCCTCCGGATATTACCGCACAAATCACGCACAGTGTCCCGCCCTATATGCTTGATTTTGAGTCCCGGACTTTCATTCCATTCTCAGCCACAAGCAGAGATGCAAATGATCATCTCTCTCAGATGCTGTCTCGAGCCGCGTACGTGAGTGCTGCAGGCGAGACTGATCCCCTTACAGAGACGCCGGAGATGGAAATGCCGCCGGTCCAAGAACCCCAGTTGGAATCTTACACAGAAGTCCTCACGCGTCATCTAAGTCATTATGCACGACGTATGATGAGCAGTGGTATAATTCCCACTGACGAAATGTTTCAGTTGGAGGCAAGACAGCTTTTGTTCGATTCTGAGGATCAGTGGAACCAAACGATGGCCGATAATCACGAGTGGTTGACCAAATTTCGAGAAGAGCACAGCACCAATGATGCTCTTCGGCCCCCAGAATGAAGGCTCGTGGTCTAACACCGTCAATAAAATGCATTTATCTAACAGCCGACCAAGAATCATGTCGATTGGTAGGGCGTAGCTTTAGCCCCATGCCGAGAGAGAAATCTCGCCCTCCCTCTCTCCTCCCTGACTACAAGTAGTCGGATCAATTGTCTCCATACTACCTACTAGGTAGTGGCCCTCAAAATAGAGCCTTGGAGGGATCCACTCAAGACCCAACCTCTGAGACTATGATTGGTTCGGGGTCTTGTCTGGGAGCCGATTACGATACGAACAAGTTGAAACGGGGTAAACCCTAGTTGGAGCCTTGAAACTTTGTAAGTTATACGCTGTGAGAACAGTGGCGCGAGCCTCAGTTCCCGGTCGACAATGATACTTCCAAGGCCTTCACGGCCGGTTCATCTACTTCAGTATTAAAATTGGGGAGCGGTGCTGCCACCCCCCCTTTGCTTAGATCTACCCCCCTTTGTGTTGCTTCCACCCCTTACCCCTTTTGGACTAGCTCCACTATTCTGCCGGTTTTATTTTTGCATACAGAACTACACCATTCGACTGCCAATTTGATACTGAGTATTACCCTCATATACTGAATAAGCCTATACATTAGATGAGCCTATGCTTCATCACCGAATTCATCATCTGACGATGTATTTGGGTTGTAAAGATCCAGTGCTGCGATACCAAGGGCCATATTGAGAACTTGGGAGGATGGTAGGATAGTGGGAACGTCGAAATTGAGGATTGAAAGTATTTGGTTATCCAAATAAAATACCGGTTTTTCCCTGTCTTTTGCTTGATGCCCCAGAGTTCAACACTTTGCACTGAAAAGTCTCGCGAAATCCCAAGAAATTTATATGTAAATAGCATCTAGGTAGGAATTTGTCTTTGTCACTATCTGAATCCCTTTGTAGTGATCTTTAATTTCTTCTATTAACTATGGTTTAGAAAAAATAGGAAAGACTAAGAGTTTTTCGATTGAGTGGACATACAGGAAGATACTTAAGTAGCTACAGATCTCTAAGTACTACATGCTAGATACATAGCTACCCCATGCCATCTTTTAGTTAAACAACACTAGTAAGTCATGTTTATGACTTACCATTAGAGTGACAGGAGGGATCTCCTAAGGATTTGGTATATCAAATATCAGGCAATCCATTCCAGTAAGATTTATCGTTGTTAGAACTTTACAAGAGATGTGGGTCATCCCCAAAAGACAGAAAATGCTAGCAAGCACTCTATTACCATGGTCATATATTACTTCTTCTAAGAATATAGTCCATAAATAGAGAAATTACTTAAGTAGTGCCTAACAGGCTAACCCCTCTAACAACTACGCGTATAAATACTTAAGTAGGGTCTACACCATACGATCGCAGAGTGCAGGGCTACATTCCTCATCTGTCCACACCAACATTGTTTGTGATAGATTCCTCGAACAATTCTCATAACTTAGCCCCAGTCCTAACTATGATCCCTTCCTCATCCCTCTCAATCCCATCACCATCCAGCAACCCTCGACGAAGAATCTTCCCACTCGCATTTCTCGGTATAGCCTTAACAAACCTCACCCCCCCAGTCAACTGCTTATACCTTGCCAGATTTTCCGCCACGTACTGCTCCAATATCATATCAGATACACCACCCGTTCCAGGTGTCAAAACCACATAAGCGCGAGGCTTCTCCAACCCATCATCATCACCATTACCGCTATCAACACCCACAACAGCAACATCCCCCACTTGCGGATGCGTCAACAGCACAGCCTCGATCTCCGATGGTGAAACCTGAAAACCGCGCACCTTGATCAAATCCTTCTTGCGATCGACAATGTACCATTTCCTCGTGTTCGCGTCGTACATGGCCACATCACCTGTTCGGAGCCACCCATCTGCGTCAAGGGTGAGGTTGTTCGCAACATGATTATCGAAATACCCTGGTGTGATTGTGGGCCCACGGATGTAGAGTTCGCCTGGTGTGTTTGAGGTGGATACCTGTCTTCCATTCTCATCAAGGAGCCTACAATCGACATGTTAATACTGAGTTTCATTTTGGTGAGTTTTAGGTAAAATATTTTTAGGACGTACTTCGCCTCCATATTTGGAACAAGTCTTCCCACAGACCCCGTCTCGTCACATTCCGGGTACGGGAACATCATCGACGCACAGCACGACTCGGTCATGCCCCACCCCTGCGTCAAAGGTACTCCGGGTGCAAGGTGCCGGGTCGCTTTAACCTGTATGCCTCGGGATAGAGGGGCGGCGCCGCAGACTACGTTTTTCAGTTTGCGTAGTGCAGTTTCTCGGCTAGGATGGGTGGATGTTATCAGGGCGTGAAGCATGGGTGGAACGACGATGAGATCGGTGATGTTGTATTGATTGATCAGGTCGAAATATCGGGGTAGTTCAAAGCGGCGCATGATGTACATGATGTAGCCAGAGCGGAGGGCGCCGATGTGAACGAGGGGGGCTATGGCGGCGTGGAAGGTGGGGAGAGCGATGAGGAATGTCATCTGTTTTTGTTAGGTGTATGTTGACCGACGGAATAAGCAACAAGGGCATGAGACCCACCCGGTACGGTCTTGAATGTGCCTCGAACACGAGGCAATGCTGAGCGAGCAGATTGTGGTGGGTGATTTCCACGGCCTTGGGAAGACCGGTAGTGCCGCTGCTGAAGAAGCGAGCGGCCGTGGTTTTCTTCGGGGCGATAGGTCGCAGCCAGTCCGACTCGACATCGTCCAAGAGTGTTGTCCAGGATTGCAGGCCAGTGGGAAAGATGTCGTCCCCGTTGGGATTATAGACCCAGATGTGGTCATGACCGATACCGGCATGCTGCGCTGAAGTCATCACCGAGTCCGACCAGGCGGACTCGGTGATAATGAACTTTGCCTTCGAGGTTTTTAAATGATGTTCGAGCTCCCAGGGCCGATAGGAGGGGTTGGTGCCTGTGAAGACACCACCAGTTCCGATGATTGCCAGGACGAAGAGGCTGTAATGGATCTATATCACAATTGTGAGTCATTTTCAAGGCCAATGACTAGGAACTAGGGTTTGAGACTGACGTTGTTGAAGGCATGTATAGCGACACAATCCTTAACTTGTACACCCGCCGCTCGCAGGCCGGTGATCAGACGGCGGATGATGGTTCGAGCTTGGTTGAAGGACACTGTCCGCGTTGGGTCCTTAGTATCGACGTAGATCTGAAGAGAAAAGATCAATTTGCGGCGGCCAGACCGGACAGAGAGATGCGCATACCGGTTCATTTGGATCATAGGTTTTTGCCTCGTCAAAGATATACGAGAGTAGATCTCGTTCCGATATGGGGAGTCGTTGATCAGGCTCGATTATCATGTTTGCTTAAGGTTGAGTGAGACGGGAGACTGAACAGCAATGGATGGACGGAGTAGGGTGAATGTGATGCTTTTGCTCGGAATGATTGTAGGTCGATGAATAAAAGCGATAGACTAGCAGCTTTCTTCAGAGGCACTATTAGGTTAAACAGAGTTGTCACGCTTTTCCACTTGATTCCTACGCCCAAAAAGAAGGTCGGGGGCAGAGCCGCAGAGTTTAAAACAAAAATCAGGATGAGATTAGAATCAAAATGAAAAGTAAAAATATTAGCATATAAATATACTCAATTATCCTCGTATATTCAAACTTGTTTTAACGATTTATATTACTGAAATTGTAATTAATATTTTAATGATGATGATGATGATGATTATCACTCAAGTATTATTATTATTTTTTAAATTTTTATTATAAACTGCAGCTGCAACTGCAGCTGCATTTGTTGGTTTCAGGAGTTTTATATGTTATGTATATAAAGAAAGAAAAGAATAAAACCAATTCAAGTTGGGCAGCTAATTCATAGTGGAGTCCATCCTACACCGCGATTTTGGCCCTGTTGCCTTGCGCCTGCGATGCCATGAGTCTGTGGTCTGGTTCTAGGATTCTCATTTCATTCCAGGTGAGTTGTAAGAAGACTCAAATATCTCCCAGGAACCGGTTTGATAGCCACCATCACCTCAATCTCTACTTAAGTATGGGACCATACGACGCACTGGGAGCAGCAGCAGCCGTTCTATTTGGTCTATTCATCATGTCGCAGAGTTGCCGTCGCCCTTCACCCTTGCTCATCCATGAACGGAGCCAAGTCATTGTTATTACGGGAGAGTTAAGCGGGCTTGGTCGCGAACTTGCCCAGATATACATGGCTGCGGACGCTCGAGTAGCTATCCTGGATATTAAAGACGTGATCGATGACGAGGCGTGTGCTTTATCGACCCGATACTACAAATGCGATGTCTCCAACAGCAATGAAGTGGAGGCGACGGTGAACCAGATTGAATCCGAGGTAAGTGGGATGAAGATAAGAATGTAGCCAGTGATAATTGATTCCCCGTGGCTGATGTTCATTAGCTTGGACCTCCAAAAATCCTAATTAACTGCGCCGCAACAACAATCAACCGATTGTCATTTTCTGAGCTCTCCAACGATCAGTTCATGCGGACCATTGCGATCAATCTCCTGGGGCCAGTCAATACCACTCGTGCAATCTTGGCCCGGGCCGTCTCTACCCAGCGGAGCGTCACCATAGTCACTGTAAGCTCGGTGGTGGCGCACCTCTATCCTGCCGGTTTGTCCGATTACGTAGTCAGCAAGGCCGGATTGAGTGCCCTCCATCACTGTCTCGAGGCGGAAGCTCGCTCAGATACAACGGATGATCAGGTAAAATTTGTCCTTGTCGAGGTGGGACAGATGGACACTCCGTTGTTCAGTTGGATCAACCCACCCAACTCCTCGCTGGCTCCCGTCCTCTGTCCCCGATACGTGGCGGAACAAATGGTCCGCCGCCTGGGTCAGGATAGAGGCAGCAGTATTCTTAGGTTGCCAAAGTATGCCTCTTGGGTCTGTGGATACGATATGCTTCCACAGCGATGTCAGCGCTGGGCAAGGCATCTTATGGGGGTGGATTCGGCACATAGTCCGAAAAGGGGAAGAATATACACTCAATAGTTAGTGTGTCTTGCGATCTCTCATTCTGGATTTTATTGTTACGTTTCTATGAGAAGACTTTTACTGGGTCAAATGAATGAGATTTAATATACAAAAGACTCATACGAGCCTGTATATTCCTCAACATTAGCGTGAAACAGCAACATCATGTATGTCGCCAGGGTATAATAGTACTTGTAGGTGACTTCATCGGCTTCTTTCCAGCGCATGGTGATGAGACGAATAGCGGCGATTATCATCGAGGCTATGTGGCATCCAGCCAGGCCAATGATATCGGCGGGCATACTGTGAGTACTTCCGCCCCAAAACATGCGGGCTCGTAGTAGGTTGGCCACCGCCGTAACGACCATGACGGTAGCAGTCGTCGCTCGGAGCACCATCTGGCCTCGGGGGCCAAGCAGCAGCGGCAATGTGCGGCGCCCCGTGGCGCGATCGCCCTCCATATCATGGAACTCTTGAACATGGATGGTCATGATGAGCCAGAAGAAAAGGAGGCGGGCAAGGGAATTATTGACTTGGTAGGCTGGTAGGGCTTCCGAGAGCAAGGCGTCGAGAAGACCCAGCTGAAGAACTGCCCCCAGGGCCGTAAAGATATTGCGCGCAACCCAGTGATCCACCTTCGGCCAGACGTAGAACACCGTGATCCAAAGCTCCCACAAGACTAGTATGATGGCGGCGGAGCTGTCGACCATCAAATAGGTCAAGATGGGGAACATAATCCAGCTCAGGAACCAGCGAGCGTAGGCACCTTCAATGGCGAGCCTCCCTGAGACAATGGGTCGATCGGGCTTGTTGATAGCATCTTCCTCGACCGAGAAGGCCTGATTGGCAATGTCAAAGGAGTATGAGAAGGTGAATGTGATGATTGTGACGCCGGGAAGAAGCCCTACGAGATCCCTGGGTGTGCAGCTGGCGCTAAAAAAACGGGTTGACAGACACGCCACTGAGTTGCCACAATGAGCAGTCCAATTACTGCGTAGAAGGCCTATGGTCAATTGCATTTCTTCTATCAAGACGGACCATCCAGTCATCCTAGCAGACCGTCGCCAATGATTAGATTATGCATACCAGAGCTGGGCGAGGAGCTAATGGTGACTTACAGCGCATTCAGAACTGGCTCTCGAGTCATAGTAGCTCACTTGGTCAGGCTTGATAGGCCTCTGATGCTAATGTGAATCGAATGGACAAAAATAAACCGAATTAAATAGGATTTTAGGTGTGGACAGGAACTCATTTTCAGCTTCCAAAGACTGTACACAGTAATGACGTGGATTGCCATGTGTTCCACTTACAAAAACCTGTGCACTGGTGAATCTGATGCATTCCACAAAAGGCGCAAGGCGCAAGGGGCCATGCGTGATGTGAATTACACATTAGACACACCTTCCGGCTCATTTGATGGCAGTAGAAGATAATCGGGCGCCGTTAGGCTCCGAGCAGTCGTCAAGAGCCCTTAATAACCTCTACTTTTCCTTATGTTTTCGGGTATTGGTCTATTCCCAAGCTCAAATTTCAAAACATGGGTCCTTATTACGACGGGTTGGCTGCGTTTCTGTTCAGACAGCTCTTCTACACTATCCCTGATCCACCTCCGGTACGTCTCGACGGACAGAGAATACTGGTGACGGGGGGTAACTCGGGGGTCGGTTACTCATTAACGTCGATGCTGGTTTCTCGCGGCGCCGAGGTGGTCATGGCGGTGCGTTCCATCACCAAAGGGGAAGAAGCGAGAGACACCATCCCTCACGACGATTCCGGAGCTCAAATCTCAGTCCGAGCTTGTGACCTTGGCTGCTTTAAGTCGATGCGTAGCTTCATTGGCGAGTTGCACCGTGACGGGCTCACTTTTGATTTAGTTGTTTTCAACGCCGGGGTGTGGTGCGCCGAATGGATAGCGTCAGCGGATGGACTCGATATGACGCTTCAGGTATGTCTTTGTCTGCCTTCGCCATGAGACAAAGCATATCGACCACTCGATAACCAGGCAAGTTCTGACAGGTGAATGTGTTAGCCAACGCCTTTTTGGCCACCTCTCTGCAACCTCTTTTACGATCCACAGTAGGAAGACCTGCCCGAATGATATTTGTCACCTCTGAAGGGCATGCCATGGTTCCCACCAACTTCTCGCGAGACGAGAGGATGCTGGCTCGTTTTGACCTGCAGCCGCCTCGGGTCGTCTTTGATCATTACACGCATTATTACTCGTCGAAGTTATTCGGCCTATTGTGGGCCCTGGCTTTTGCTCGCCATGTGGACCCAGAAAAGGTTTCCGTTGTGCTCGCCTCTCCTGGCCTCTGCCAAAGCAACCTATTTCGACACGTCCAGTCAGGACCCACCAGCCTCCTTACTTGGTGCTTTGCGCGATCTTGTCCCGATGGTGCCCGAATGATCTTGATCGCTGCTCTTGCAGAAGCCAATTGTCGTTCCCCTCGTCTAGAGAACACCTACTACAGCCAAGGCGACATTGCCCCGTAAGTGGTGTTCCCCAAACCCTGATACAGGACACGCTCACCAATTAGAGTTTCCAGGTTTGCTTCTGGGCCAGAAGGGCTTTTTTGGCATGAAAAGCTCTGGGACGAAGTTGCTCAATATCTCAGTTCGATCAATTATGCGTCGTGATCCCACTGCAGGCCCTTGAAGGAAAGGTGGGCTTCCGGTAAAGGTCCGCATGATGTTACGTAGTGCGGTAGTGCAGAAATCCTAGCGCAGATGTATATCCAATCTTTCAGTTCACCGATTCAAGCCGAGCTCTTGGTCAAAGAGAAGAATGTATACTAGGCGTGGTACAAAGTACTCCCTTGACTAGAATTTGGCAAAGCCGAATGCAAGCGCCACTTACCGCTAGTATTTAATTGAGTAATCTAACCCCAGATTACACAGCTTAATGAGAAAATTCATGAGGATGAATACCATACAACACACCGCGCTAGTCGCTAACCTGCATGCATATTCTTACATGCGTTTGCCAAATTCTAGTCCGGACGGAGTGAAGTACCCAATGCGAAGTGGGTGGGGTTCCTGCAGATCCTGGGAATGATGTATCAACCTAGCCCTCCTCCCTTTCATTGTAGACTCTCTACCGTCACCATATGCCAAAATGGATAACTCTGAGCATTATTCCGCTGATAATTGAAAAGAAACCCGTGACGAAAACTCTAGAAACCTCAGTCAACTGCATTTGCTCGTCACTCTTCAATGGCAACCCGTTAATCCCAATCATTCATCATGGCAACCCAATTTCGACCAATGACTCTTACGTCAATCGATCATATGATGCCGATATGCTACATCTCATTTTTTTACTCGTTGTCGCTGAAAACCCCTGCCCAAGGTGTCAACGTCCTCGGTGAAGCCCTCAATCGTCTGGTGAAAGAATGTCCATTTCTCGCAGGAAACGTGGGCCGGTCGAGCGAGAATGACGCCGCCAGGAAGAATGTCCTCGAGATTCAGCCGGCTTCGATAGACACATTCACTCAGTATCCATTGCTGCGGGTCAGTCCGCATGAATGCCAATCCATCACCGATCGAGACCCGGCGGACGGTCTGTTCGATGACGCATATCGCGCACTCCCATTATCATTGGCTACTCATTTCCCATGTCCGATCATCCGCTGGCAGGCTAATGTCATGCGGGATGGAATCGTTATCGCTGTGTCTTTTCATCACTCCGTCCTTGATGCAGGTGGCTTTTACATGATACAGCAGGCTTTGGCCCGCCTCTGTCGAAACCCGAATAGCTCCTACCTGGGGATCAGTCTGGAGTCGTCACTTCTTCAGGGTCGACATTGCTTGTCTCAGATACAGAGTATCAGCCCTTGCGCCGGTCTCCAACGAGAAGATGAGAGCATTATCCGCATGGCCGATTTTGACCTCCCAGCCAATTTAATCAGTTACCGACTGACTCTCCTGCATCGCAGAATTCAATCCCTACAGGATTCGTGTAATGCGCAAATCTCGACGGAGTCAAATGGACAGCATTTGTCGCCCAACGATGTCATTTCGGGTCTCCTATGGCGATCTATCATCTTGGCTCGATCGCCGTTGAAACTATCACCAAGTATCGACTCTTGGGACGAACAAAGCACTTTAATCCTCATATCCGAGATCCGTCGCACGTTGATGCCAGCTCTCCCTCGTTCCTATCTGGGCAATGCCATTGTACAGCAGGTGGCGAACACATATACTAAAGCGGTGCTAGAACCATCGACGCCCGAACCTAACGAGCTGGTCCAGCTGACGCGCCTCGCGCAAAAGGTTCACGATGCATCAACGCAGGTGACCGATCTCCGTGTCAAGTCACTCCTCCGGCAAAAACAGGGTACTCTCGATTGGCGTCCCCAGTTCATGCAAGGAGACGTCATGTCGACGAGCCTCCGCCGGATGCCAATTTATGACCTCGATTTTGGGACTGTCCTCGGTAAAGTGGTTGGCTTTGATAGTCCAGATAATCGGATTGATGGCACCGTGTGCATTCTACCAGCGTCTTCATTGCCGCTTGATTCCCTATGGGACATCCGCATCACGCTGCCTCCCAATGTGCTTAGTCGACTGCGGCAAGACCCCCTACTCCAGTGGGCAATGGGTCGGGACGTACATCCCCGATTATGAATCAAAGGTCACAATGCTGCAGATACTATCCTTGGACCAACATTTGTCAAACGCATGTAAGAATATGCATGCAGGTTAGCCACTAGCGCGGTGTATCGTATTCGGCTTTGACAAATGTTGGTCCATATGTAATAGACCCATGAGCTGGTAGGGGACTTGAGTTTTTCCCACTGCAATGGCACCATGCGAAGGCAGCCTTAGAATTGGGCACACTTACGGTCTGCGTCAATGGTGGGTCGGCTTTTTTTGTAGCCGGTGAGTGCTCGGCAGACGGAAATGGTATGTAGAGAGATCGTATTGGAGGTGTGGGCGATGCTGGTCAATGCTCTAGCGGGATCACCTACACTGAATGCACTTGTTCCTTTGTCGTCTTTTATATCCTCTAGAGCCCCATTAATAGCGAAATCTGTCATTTCGCCGAACCCTGTTTCTATTCAGACTGCGTGCTCTAATATGTCAACTTCAGAATATTACGACATTATTATAATTGGTGCGGGAATTGCCGGTATCAATGCGGCGTATCGTGTCCAAACATGCCTTCCAGATCTCACATATCTCATCCTGGAAGGACGTAACTCTTGCGGGGGAACCTGGGATCTCTTTCGTTATCCCGGCGTACGACTTGACTCGGACATCCACACATTCGGCTTTGCATGGCATCCCTATCAAGGCGACGAGACTATGCTCTGTGGCCAGACTCTTCTCAAGTATATCCAGGAAACCGCGACGCAATTTGGCATTACCGACCACATCCGCTGCAATCACCGAGTTACCAAGGCATGTTGGTCTTCAGCAAAGAATACCTGGAATCTTCAAGTCCTTACCGGTCAGATGGACTGTCACTTCCACACCAAGTTCCTTCTCTTCGCCACGGGATATTTCGATCACGACTCTCCATTACCCTCTGAGATCCCCGGCATCGCTAACTATAAAGGAGTCGTGGTGCACCCTCAATTCTGGCCGGAGAAGATGGACTACTCCGGACAAAGAATGATTGTTGTGGGGAGTGGCGCAACGGCAATCTCGCTCGTCCCCAAAGTCGCCCAAACGGCCGCTAGCGTGACCATGGTCCAGAGAAGCCCGAACTACATCCTCTCTATCCCATCCAGCGGTGAGGCCTCTTTAGTGGCTCGCATGCTACCAGAATCGGTATCCCACAAGCTAAAGCGACTAGGGTGGCTCGCAGTGACTTTGGTGGGGTATTATCTCTGTCGAAAATTTCCTCGCGCAGCGAAAGATTATTTGGTGCGTCTTGCCAGCCAACAGCTACCTGATCACATTCCCTCAATTCCTCACTTTCAGCCAAATTACCGCGTCTGGAATCAACGTCTACTGGCGTGTCCGGATGGAGACTTTTTCTGCAGTCTGCACAGTGGTCGAGTGAACGTCGAGACAGGGTCCATTGACACATGTACACCGGATGGAATTCAGCTGAACAATGGTTTACACATCCTGGCCGATGTCATTGTCACCGCAACGGGGTTGAAGCTCCAGATTGGTGGGGGTGTTGTCCTGGAAGTGGATGGAAGTCGATGCAATGTATCGGAGAAACTGGTTTGGAACGGCATGATGCTACAGGATGTCCCCAACGCTTTCTTCGCCCTCGGGTACCTCACAACGGCATCATGGACTATGGGAACGGATTTAACGGCCATGTTTGCATGCCGATCGATCAACCGCCTGCGAGCAAATCAGTTTTCCAGGGTTACTCCGCGATGTAATCAACCCGGAGAACCAGGGCCGTTGAGTCCTATCTGGGATTTGAATTCATCCTATATGCTCGCTGGTCAGAAGCAGATGCCTTTGGCAGGTAGTCGAGGACTATGGAAGCCCCGTCGGAATTATGTTCTAGATTATTTCCAGTCTCAATATGGATCCTTTGGAAATGGTCTGGAGTGGTCAAAAGCGGTCTAAATATGATGGCTTCAGTTTCAATTTGGCCACATTCGAAAGATCGGACTGAAACAAGGCCATCTGCATGATGAAGAAAAGTCAGCACTGATGCAACACGAAAAAACACGAAAAGAATTACATGCAGCGGCTGCCAAGTTTTATCCCGTCGAGAAATGCGCTCCGGTGTCATGGCTTGCTGCTATGAAGGAAAATCTTGTTTGTGTGGCAGATTGTCGCAACCTAACATGCATATTGTTACCCACTCTGAGACACACTTTTGAGGCCCAACCCCCTCCTGGATACATAGTAGACAGCATCCGCATCTGCATAGATTTCGCAGCAAGGGACATCTGTTCTCCGTTGACCGCAAAATCAGTGCAGTGTGATACGTAGCTGGCCCCGCGCTTGGCTTTATCGATCCCACATGGAGGACCTATGTGAAGAAACATTCTAAACGAGTGGTCCATGACAGAGTACAATTAGGACCTGAATCAACATAGACTTCGATTTCAGTATGGCAATTCCAAACGCTGGATCCGACCCTTCCTCCTGCAATTCCACTACGAGCAAGTCCTTGTCCCGGAAAGAGGTCAGGGTTGTTTCATCGGACTTCAATACTGGTCAACTAAAGGCCAATGGAACGATGCCAAACCCCTCATCCCAATCCGAGGTACAACATTCCCTTTTCCTCACGTGCGGAGGTACCGGAGACTAACGGCGTCTTCCTCTCTTTCTAGATTATTGCACGCCCAATGAATTATCTCCTTGAGTCTCAGGGGAAAGGATTTCGAAGCAAATTAATTGCCGCGTTCAATGAGCTGCTTCACGTACCAACGACTAAGTTGATTGTGGTTGATCGAGTTATTGAATGCCTCCACACGGCGTCGCTATTGTGAGTGTCCTCACATTTCGGCTACCCCCCCCCCCCCCATATATGTCTACTGATTTTAGTGAGAGTTAACACACTGCGCCAGGATTGACGATATTCAAGACATGTCGACGCTTAGACGAGGTCGTCCGGTAGCGCATAGAATATTTGGCATCGCTCAGACAATCAATTCAGCCAATCACGCGTATTTCCTGGCTCAAAAACATCTCGAGCAGCTCGAGAATCCAGCCGCATTACCCATCTTCACGGAAGAACTCCTCAATCTGCATCGTGGCCAGGGGATGGAACTATACTGGCGAGACTCGTTGACATGTCCAACTGAGGGTGAGTATGTAGATATGGTCTTGAACAAGACGGGGGGACTGTTTCGACTGGCCGTTCGGCTGATGCAGCTGGAAAGTGAAACGGACTGGTAGGAACCCTAAGTCCCAGTCAAAACTCTTTACCAGGCAGCCTTAACTGATCATTTATCTCTAGTGATCTGGTCCAGTTGATCAATCATCTCGGCATTATCTTTCAAGTCCGAGATGATTATCAGAATCTCCGAGGCGAGGCATACACCAGCAACAAAGGATTCTGCGAGGACTTGACCGAGGGAAAATTCTCATTCCCCATAATCCACGGTATTCACCAAAGTCCAACCCACTCGCAGTTGTTAGATATCCTTCGCCAGCGACCGACAGATAATGCGATCAAAAGTTTTGCTGTCGAACATTTGGAAGCGATGGGCAGCTTCAAACACTGCAGGCGGACGATTTCTCGGCTGGTGGCGGAGGCCAAGCTTATGGCTGCCGACCTCGGTGGAGATAAGATTAGCCTGGTCCAAGAAATCCTCGAGTTTTTAGAGTTTGAGTGAAGGTGTCTATAGAGGAGGTCGGTTGGGACCTGATGGAACTGAGGGATGATAGCATGTGAAAATGTTAAGAATATCGCAATCTCAAATCTCTTTTCGAAATCTCCGACTCAGTGCTACCCACCATCTCCCCTTCAACGGATCTCTCCTAAAAGCAACCAATTCGAATCTTAGCATACAGTGCACAGCCTCTACAGCAGCTCCCATTATCAGGCTCCCACCAACCCTGGATCCATAACTACAACCTCAAGCGCAACCATCATAGTAAGTAAGCTCCCCTAGCCCATGGGGAGCCCGTCTGACGGAACCCAGCACGTATTTGGGCCCAAAAAGTGGGCTCCTGTATAGTTTGTAATAAATGCAAACTCTGTATGTATTTTACATAGCTAGTCACATGATTACTACCCTGTACAAAAAAGGGCAGCAGCTACTAGTAATAATGCATCAGACTTTTCATCATATTTTGACGAATATATACTTCGCTCTTATTGGCTGGGATTGTACTGACTTCGTTAGTTATGATACCAAATTGAGCAGTAGAAACCTTTTTTCTCGGAGTATTCTTCATCGAATCGAGCCTAAAAAGACCTCTATTTACCCTCATTGGCCGCCGTTGTAATACAATTCTTCAATATGCAACCCCGAACCTTATTTATTCTTAGAATACTTTTTATTCTCCACCTCTTTTCTATCCGAAGTTATTTTTCCAAAGCCAATTTGATCGAATTCTCGTCAATTCTTCAACATAGAACAAAACCTTTCTACTATAGTTGATGTTAAACTATAGAATGTTAGCGATTGGATTGTAACGAGTGCACAGGGTCAGACGTACGACCTGCCAACCCGGCAGGAGATTCAGAAGTGAACCCTCATTGATTCGAATGTGATTCGAATGTCATTTGATAGTGTATAGGACTCAAGAACTATAGCCTAAATATCACAGCACCGATACTTGTCCAGGCCTATCCGGCGTAGCCTTCTTCTTTGTAATCCTCTTCTTTGCAGCAGTAGCAGGCTTCTTCGGAGAAGCAGTAGCAGATCTTTTTGGAGCAGCAGCCTTCGTAGCAGCCGTAGCAGCCTTCCTGGGAGTAGCTTTCTTTGTCGTAGTACTCTTTATAACAGTACTTTCCGCAGTAGTATTCTGGGCAGCTCTCTGCCCACGTCGACGCTCTGGATCCCTTGGATCCTCCTATGATAACGGATCTCGGTGTATAGAGCGCTTATGCGCAGTTAATCGAGGCTCGGGAGGATGGTGGGAGGGTTGAAGGTGAGGGTTGAAAGTATGGGAAGGGTGAGGAGACTTGGGAGTGGAAGGGATTCATGACTATCTACGTGATGGTACAGTAGTGACTTCTTTTTACTAAAGATTTACATACAAATCGAGGTACCATGGGTGTTGACCTTGTGTTAAGCGGGAAACCGAGTAGTATAAGAAGCGAAGGCGGTGTAGAGGACAGGGGGCGGAGAGGCACTACACTAGTCCAAAAGGGGTAGGGGGGGGGTCGATCTAAGCAATGGGGGGGTGGCAGCACTAGTCCCCTCAAACTATGACCTCGGAAACTGCAACAATGTAGCCAAAATATCAATTATCCGGACACATAAACATCGACTAAAATGACATATTTTAACAAAAACAAAACACCACTATAAGTAACAATCTAGATGGAAGCATGATATCAGTTAAAATAGTCATGAAACAAAATCATAGGGACTCGCGAATAAAAGAGGCAAGCTTTGGGGCAAACTCCCCCCTCATCATAGTGAAATGGTTTGCACCATGCGCCCGCTCAATACGTGGTGACGAACTGGGGAACAGCGTTGCCCAGCCATTATCCGAGAAGTCAGTCCGAGCCTCTGTTAGGAATTTCATCCCTTCCGTGTCCTCGGGACAAGATGGTGGTCGTGGAATATCTGCACCATCCATAACGCTATCACAGGCCCAAATCATCGACACGCGTGGGGTTTCCCCATCTGACTGCAGAAGTGGAGATGCGTAGTATTCGTGCAGTGTGTCGATTGTGGCATTGAAGTGAGGAACCAGCCACTCTGGTGCCTTGGCCGTCTTGCCGTCACCCTGACCCCCGAAAAGGTGCACCTTATTGCAGTAGTCGTAGAAATGCTGTGGGAGGCGATCGAGCCCATGAGGCACGGGGCTGTCAATGAGGACTAGACTAGCGACCGTTTCGTGGAATTCCTCCATCATCATCTGTGTGGCACGGTAGGCTAGAATTCCGCCCGCGGACCAGCCACCGAAGTGATATGGTCCGTTAGGTTGGCGGCGCCGGACTTCAACGACATAACTCTTAATTAGATCGTCGACAGTGCAATCAAAGAGATGGGGTTGGCGGTGGTAGGGGGAGTTGAGGCCCACAACGGAGACGTTGGGATCTACACGAGGGATTCCGGCATACGATGTGGCGGAGCCAGCACCATCAGGGAAGAGGAAGAGAGTCTTCTCAGTCTTGGAGGGTGTTCCTTGCAACAAGACAGAGGTGGTCTGTGGCACGGGAGAGCGTGTGGGCTTCACGTTTGTTTCATCCTCTTGGGTGAAAAATTCCGAAGTCTCTGAGGATGGGGTCACATTGTTGCCATCAATTGAGCTTGGAGACGAAGAGGTGTTATCGCTGCTGGGCTGATCTGACAGGAAAAGAACCTTGATCTCGCCCACAGTCGGATAGTCAGTAAAGATGGACTCCAGCGCAATGTCCATCTCCAGCTCCTCAGAGAATCGACTGACGATGACAAGAGAAAGTAACGAGTCAATTCCCATGTCGGCAAAGACACAGTCATCTGTGAGCTCGGAGATGCTAATTCCACTCTCTTCGGAGATGATAGAAAGGGCAGTTGTCCAGCTGGCAGAGCTTGAAGCCACCACAGGCTGCGGAAGAGCAATGGTCATGGCGGGTAGGGGGGCTACCACAACAGGGAGGACTGATGCTTGCGGTGCATCGCTACTTTCATGCTGGCCAAGGAAAGATCGCAACTCAGCCACGGTCGGGTACGTGATGAAAAATCCTTCGACGGGCACATCGAGAGGCAACTCTTCACGGAAACGACTTGTAATGACTAGAGAAAGGAGGGAGTCCAGTCCCATATCCGCGAAGACACAGGTATCCTCTAGCTCTGCGAGTGCGACTCCACTTTCCTCTGAAATGATCTTCAGCGCGGACGCCACAAGGTAGGATGAATTGCTTGCCACAGCCGGAACCTGGGCTGCTGTCGAAGAAGAAATCTTTTCAACGCGCCTTATAGGCACCGGGGCTGCTGCAACTGCGACGGATGCTGCAGGCTTTGGCGTCTGCTTTGCAGATCGCACCAGGGCTTGCTTTGCAGAAGCTATCAGGGCCTTGTCCCCGCTTTCCATCGATAGCACATATCGCAAAATGTGTCGGGGGACTCCTTGGGACTGCATCAAATCAGCAATGATTCATTTTCAATCACTTAATTAACACCGGGGAGAGAATAACTTACCACCAGGCCCTTGTAACTCGCGACGACTGTGTCTCCGTCTAGAACGATCATGTCACCCTCGAACATGCGGCTTTCTCCCTCGACCATTCGGACGAAAGTGTTGTAGTGTGCATCTGGTCGCAATGGCTCATATAACTGCAGGCCCTTCCATCCATGGTTGACAAACACTTCCTTGTCGAGATCTGCATCATCATTACAGTTCATCACGAAACCACTGGACTGAGCCAGACCATCGAGATAAGACGGGTGGGTATGGAAGTTTCCAGGGGCCTGTACCTCGGAGAAGCAGACTTTACCAGAGGCCTCAAGAGTCTTGCTGTCAATGAGCACCTCCTCAATGGTCCTGTAGTCCTGGTGGAATTCTGCTAGTGGGCGGATCATCTTATACACCATGGCACGGTTGAATCTTTGGGTAGTACCGGGCTCCAGGCCTGCCCGCATCTCCGACATCCGCTTCTGAATGGAAGCTCTTTCTGCCTCGAGTGAAGCACGGTGACTGGGGCTCGAAAGCAGAATGGTGCAGTGCGAGTGCTCGATTGTGGGTTCCCCCTTGGACTGTGATAGAGTGAGAATTGCCCATTAATGAATGGCGTGTGAGTGGAGCTTACATCAAGAGATAAGAATCGGCACATGGCGCTGCCAGCCTCCCAGTCAACACTGACAGATGCGCGTAGAAGCTGGGTACCAATAGGCTTTGCGATGAGCGCCTTGTGGATAGTCATGTCTGCTATTTCAACAACAGAGTCGACATCAGCAAATTGGTGACGGCCGCGGAGATAGTTGCCGACTGTCAAAGCGATATCCGCATAAACCGACTAATGAACATTAGCATCAGATACAGATCATCTTGGGAGATTATGGGAAGACGACATACCGGCGTGCAGAGAGGGATTCCGTCCACGTTGTGACCTTGCACAATAGGACTCAAATCCTCGCGACATAGGTCACATTCCACCACAATAGAGTCTTTACTCTCCTCAACAACCCGGTGAACGGTAGTAGACTCGCCAAGATGAGCAGACTGGATGAGTGGTGGGTCCCCTTTGCGTAAGGACCAATCGTTCACATACTGAATCCAGTAGTCTTTCAAGTTCCAGTTATAGGCTGGAAGGCGAAGCACTTGTTGAGCGGCCGGGAAAGACCTGTGGTACTCGTGCCAGGCAATGTCCCGCCCAGCTCGATACAAGCTTGACAAGGCTTCGCCCAAGCTTTCCCAGTCGTCGCGACCTCGTTGCAAGGTAGGAACGGCGTTGGTTTGAGATGCCTTGGAGCAAGCCTTGATCAGTCCTGCTACCACTCCATGGGGCCCGACCTCGAGGTACTGGGTTTTATCGGAAATGGTGCCGGCAGCACGTGCGGACTGCATTGCTTGGTAGAAGTTGACTGTCTCCCGACAGTGTCGCTGCAGGTATTCTGGCCCAAAGATTCCATCCGTTTGAACGACATCTCCCAACAATGGCGACAAGACTGGGATAGAGGGTGCGTTGAAAACGACAGGCTGGGCTGCTTGGACAAGATCGTCCAGGATGGGCTGCACCTGAGAAGAATGGTACGCATATGATACAGGGATTGTCTTAGAGCGCACACCAGACTGCGATAGGGCTTGTTGGAGTGCCTCAATTTGGTCGTTAGGTCCGGCCAAAACTGTCTCTTCGGGCGCATTGATGCATGCAATTTCATATTCCATCCCAGCTACGGCAGATTGGATAGTCTCCACCGAGGCGCGTACCACCAGCATGCTGTGTGTGTGCAGGGTGCAATGCTCCTCGAGGAGCTGTGCTCGCTTACCCACCAAAAAGACAGTATCAGCATCCGACAAAACGCCCGCCACATTCAAAGCAGCATATTCGCCCAGGCTGTGTCCGACCACTGCGTCGGGAATGACTCCAAATGATGCCCACAATCGTGCCAGGGCAATTTGAAGACAAACACTCGCAAGCTGCGCTGTCATGGGCGAGAACCGCTTCAGATTGGAATCAGAATGATCCTCGATGAATGGAAGGAAGCTTTCAAAGCCTAGTGATTGAGCAATGCGGTCAAGGAGCTGTAGACTAGCACGGAACGGTGGTAGAGAGCCGTAAAGTTGTCGTGCCATTCCGACAAATTGGCTTCCTTGTCCAGTGAATGCCATGACTACCTTTGGTGCCACGGGGGGTCGATTGGCCCCATCGCCGCGTGCAAGGGCAGATCGCAACTGGTGTTGGATTTCAGTCACGTTGGAGCCCTGCACAATGACGCGGTGTGGGTGATGCATGCGACGAGCAGTCGTCGTGTAGGCGAGTCGCGACAATGACATGTCATCTCCACTAGCCTCGATGTAGCCCAAAAGTGACTTGACATTTGCTTCGAGAGAAGACGCACATTTGGCCGACACGGCGAGGACGTGGTACGTTCGAGGATCTTCGAGTTCGTCATCCCTAAGGACTGGCGGGGCATCCTCCAATAGCAGAGCAGTGTTACCACCGGCAGCACTGAAGTTGTTCAGGAGCACTCGACGCGGTTCACCCTCTTGTGAGGTCCACGGGATGGCTTCCTTCGCAATGCGAACATTGCGATCGTCAAGATCGGTCGGGAACTTGCGATTGATGCGGGTTTTGATGCCACAGTGAGGAGCGATTGCATTGTTTTCCATCATCAGCATTACTTTGATCAGACTCGATACTCCGGAGGCGGCCTCTCCGTGACCAATATTGGCCTTGGCTGAGCCCAGATACAGAGGCTGATCCTCTGTTCGATATGGCACAGAAGGTGGTGCCAAAGTCGACAGGACAGAGTTCATTTCACCGGAATCTCCGGCCTGTGTCCCTGTTCCATGCATTTCGGCATAGCTGACGCTATAGGGTGACACTCCGGCCGTACGGAGCAGGCTCTGAATGAGCTCCTGCTGTGCCCCAGAGTGAGGACGAGTGATGGACTCGGCCTCGGCGGAGTGATTGGTGGATGCACTTAGAATGACACCGCAGATTGGGTCACGGTCGGCCAACGCGTCGTCTAGGCGCTTCAGAATCACGGTTCCGACACCTTCACCACGACAGTACCCATCGGCGGTGTCATCGAAAGTCTTACAATTGCCAGTTCGGGACAAAAAGTGACCTCGATCGAGTCCAGCTGTGAAGTCGGGGTTGGTTAGAACATTTGTACCGCCGGCAATGGCCGTGTCAACCTCGCCGCGCCACAAAGCGTTACAGGCAAGGTGAATAGCCGCCAGACTCGACGAGCAAGCTGTATCGACCGCATAGCTAGGACCACTAAATTTGAAGCAATAGTTGAGACGACCGGGAATAAAGGCGCGGTTGCCGCCAGGGATGAAGTAAGTGTCAATGTTCTGCGCGGTGTTGGTTTCCATCCAGTCGTTAGACGTGACACCGTACCAAACACCGACTCGGTCCTTGGCCGTGGATGGAGTGGCGTTTGGCACCATTCCTGCGCGCTCCATGGCCTCGTAGGCTGTCATAAGGGCAATGCGCTGAGCCGGGTCCACTTGAGGGGCCTCGCGAGGAGAGAGGTTGAAGAAGCGGGCATCAAACGCCGCCGGATTTTGCAACCAGCACCCAAAAGGTGTGGCGCTTGTGTTCTTCCTCGCCTGTCCCGGCTCAGCGACGTGGGTTCGTGCATCCCAGTGCAAGGCTGGCACAACCTCGTGGACGTCGAGGCCTCGGATGAGCAGATCCCAAAATTCTTCGTTACACTCGGCGTGAGGGTATCTACCTGAGTATCCGATGATCGCAATCTTAGAAGAATCAGTCTGTCCTGTCTTCTTTGGTGTCGGGTTAGGGCTGGGAGAAGGCTGATGGCGGGTGAGACTGGTAGCAGATTCGATTGCTTCAGCCAACCGAGCCCCCGCTGTACTTCCAAATGCTTGAACGTGGAACTGTGGGGCATCGGGGGAATCAGATGCAGGAAGGGCCGCTATCATGCCATTTACAAGGCTCTGCCAACGCATAGTCTCTAGGAGAATCTGGCCCAGAGCAGATTCGAATCGAGATCGCACATCGGTTTCCTGTACAGGTCTGCCGCTTGTACTAGAAATGAATGACACATTGGGAGAGGTTCCAGCGTCTTCGGTGGGGAAAATCCCGCCCAGGATGTTATCAGAATCGCTCGCAGTGAAGAGAGAAGCCGAATGGTAGGGACCAAAGATCGGAATTGTCCGTGGAGAAAGAGTAGCAAATTCAGTAGACTTCTGTAGGCTGTCCAGGCTAGTGGGCGGGCCACTGATGGTAACAGCATGTGGCAGATAAGCACTGATGTAAGGTCGAGCATGTAAAGGTAGATGCTGAAAAAGATTGTTAGTTTGTTTCTTTGCTCTTCGTCTTGGGCTTGAGCCCTGAGGGCTGGTCGCTCACCTTGGTTTCTGTAAATCGATCAATGCGATGCAATATGTCGTCTGGAGATCGCGTCGCAACCACCAAAGACCACGATTCCGTGGTAGATTGGTCAACGGTGCGTCCAACCCGCGAGACCTGCAGACCTGTGCGGAAAGCTACTCGGATGGTTTGTGTGCCCAGATCTGGCAGCTGAGAGATTACCTGGCAGCAGCTCACGGCTGCTGCAGACAGAGAACCAAGGCACAGACCGCCAATGATGGTACTTGAGGTATTGGTGTAGGTAGTGGTAGTGCTTTGAGCTCTGCAAGCATGGCGTCGTTAGAATGGGGAGCAAAGGTATATCACTGAAGGCCAAGGGATAACTTGCTCGATAAACTGCGCCAGCTGGTTAATGCAAGTCAAAGCACTATCGATAGCTGGATAGGCATTTTGCTGGCGAGACCTCCAATCCAGAATACTAGCCACTGTGGAGAAATAGGGATATTGTTGACGCTCCTGGAGTGGAAGGGAGGCAATCTCCGTTCGCAACCCACGCAAGGCATTGTTGAGGAAGCTTTCTAGAAGGGGTGCTCGGTTGGGGGTGAGAAGATGTCTGAGTGACCCAAAGTCCTCGGTTTGATCACCGAACAAGATAATCTGCTGAACGCGTGCCATACTCGGATCTATGTTGAATTTCTTGAGATGCAATAGCACATTGCAGTCCCTTTTACGAGCACGAAGGTACCCTTTTAAAGTGACAGGTCTCGATCAGAAATCACCATGTGCCGCGGGAGTCGATGCCCCGAGATGCATGCACGCCATCTAAGCCATGCAAGCAATCAATATCGGTCCTTGGACCCCATCGGGTCAGCGCTGATAAGCGTCGGGGATTCAAACTGCGAGACACATGGCGAGTGACAGGACAAAATCGGGTCAGATTGATCGATCGGAATTGCGACGCGTTGACCGAGCGAACTGCTGGCTGAAGCCCGGTCTCGCTCCGAGGCCCATCAAAGGTTGCCATTTCAAAAGAAAGCATTGCCTGGAAAAATGGAGCAGCTATAACCATGATTTCTTACCTGTATGGGCTCCTGACTCGCGCCATGTCTCCATTAATCCACAGTAACGGCCTTCCCTCTCCAGTATCCCAACAGGGATCTGGTGATGATGAGACAGAACATGTTGCGAAAGACGATCTCCTGAATGAGCTGGCAGGATCTATCCTGACCAATGCTCAGCTCGTGAGCACCTACTTGCGCTCCGAAGGCCATCCTGTGCCGTCTTTCGGGCGGGATTCTGCCCCCAAAGCAGTGCCTGCTTCGGCCCCGGGTGAAGTTCAGGCGGCGCGTGAGGCACTGCTAGATGCATCCATGAAGATGTTCCAGTTAGCATCCGGACCTAGCGAGTACCTGCCGAACCTAGCGGTGCATGTGCGTTGACCTCTTTGATGCAATCAACATGTCATATATCGTCTGGATAACTGACATGTTATTATAGTATCAATATCTGTCATGTCTTCATTGGTTGATTCACTTCGGCATCTTTGCTCGGGTACCCCTCACAGGCTCGATTTCATATAGCACCCTGGCAGCGGATGCTGGTGTCCCGGAACGGACACTAAAGACAGTAGCACGTATGGCAATGACAAGCCACGTCTTGCATGAGCCTCAACCTGGAAGCATCGCGCACTCGGCGACATCGGCACAGTTTGTTACTAACCCGAGCATGAACGACTGGGCCGAGTTTATGTGCCAGGCTTCGGTGCCAGCTGCATTAAACCTCGTGAATGCGACAGAGCGATGGCCCATCAGTCAGGCCCGCACGGAGACGGCCTATAACGTCGCCTTCGACACGGAGCTGCCTTTCTTCGACCATCTCGCAACATTGCCTGATCGCACTCGTCAATTTGCAGGTTACATGAAGAACGTGACCAGCAGCGAGGGTACAAAGCTGGATCATTTGCTGAGCGGATTTGACTGGTCGGGATTGGGATCGGCACAGATCGTTGATGTACGCTTCCTTCCCCAGGTAGTTAGATACACCCGTGATACGGACTAACACGTAAACAGGTCGGGGGTTCGACAGGAAACGCGGGCATAGCGCTCGCCAATTCTTTCCCGAAACTTGATGTGACCGTACAGGACCTTAGCGAGAATACCGCCGAGGGGGCCGCCACTTTGAAACCCGAGCTGGCGTCCCGCGTTCACTTCCAGGCCCACGATTTCTTCCAAGCCCAACCTGTTATCGGGGCAGACATCTACCTTTTGCGAATGATCCTACATGACTGGGCCACGCCGGATGCCGTGCGGATTTTGCAACAGCTGGTTCCCGCACTGCGTCGGGGGTCGCGTATTGTGATTATGGACTCGGTCTTGCCACGTCCCGGATCAATGGCCCCGACGAAGGAGCGTCTCCTTCGCGTTCGGGATTTGACAATGTTGCAGGTCTTTAACAGTTGTGAAAGAGATTTAGATGACTGGACTCAAGTCTTAAATCTTGCAGATGAGCGCTTGCGCTTGGTTGATGTTGTTCAACCCCGCGGGAGTGTCATGTCTCTGCTGACCATTAGCCTGGTCGACTGATCGGATATATGTACCTCATCGTCTTTTTGGAATAACGACTATTAGTGAATGAATAAATGGCGTCGGTTATTTGACTGTGCATTATGACACATCAGTGTCCGTTGAGGAATCGAGCGAGACGCGTAGTTGTAACGCATCAGTTGAGATGTGTAGAACGTGTGCCCCATATACGGAGTAATCAAACGAATGATTGAAACTTGCTCTTGAACACTAAGTTCGTAGACATTCTCGCAAGGTCATCGATTGATGCGACAGAATCAGCAAACTGCAGGCACTCTGAGTTTAAAGTGTCATTGCGGCCTGAGGCCATAATTCATGCCTGATTCCAACGCGTATGGCGGAATCAACCGACATTTCAACTTGAGCACTCTTCTACATCACGATTCACGTTCACAATCGAAGAAGAGTCTATTGGCTCTCAATTCAACTATGGAATAACACTATACCAAGCCCCCAACAACTGGATGCACCCATTCCTCGCCCCGACTCATGCCTTTGACCATCAACTCTGCAATTCGCTGCGAAGTCTCCCGGCCGCGAGGTATATCATGACCACCACCATGATCCCAAAGTGGCGCCTCGTCACACAATGCATGCAGCTGTACTGCAGCCGGGAAACGTGGATCCCGTGATCCACAAATATGCACCGTGGGAATACGAATTCTCATATCATCTGGCTTGCACGTCAGGTCAAGACCGAAGACATCGGATTTGTTGATATAATGTTGCCGTTGGGCGGCATGGATTACAGGCAACGCTCCGGGAGCAGGTGCCCATCTGTCGATTCCTGGCCCCGGACCATGACCAGCGCCAGTGTTTCGGGCCAGCCAACTGTGATCGGTGTTCTTGGACATCAGGAGTCGGCTTGTTTCCTCGTCCCATTGACTGGCCTGTGAAGAGATTGGTAATCCCAAATCCTCGAGGATCGGTAAAGGGACACCGCCACAAATAAACACTGCTAGTCGAAAGGGCGGCGGCGTGTCTGGGTGCATGCGTTCGTGATAGAGAAGATAGCTTGCGATGAGGCTACAGCCCTGTGAGAAGCAGAGGACGCCATTATAAGGCCCATCGCGATCTAGCTTCTCTTGCAGCTGTCTATGGGCCTCTCGAATGGCGGGGACTGATTTTCCTTGCCAAAAGCTATAGTAGGGAGGGGAGTAAAAGGGCGCCACATCCGGTGCGGGCTCGGATTCAAAAGGCCCATCGATAAATTCGAATGTGGTGTCTGCGGAAAGAGATTGGAGTTTCAAACGGAAAGACGCTTGTCGATTAGCATTGACTATCTCAGTGGCGATGGTACTTTCTTACCGGTCTGCGACTTGAAAATGTGGGCGCTAGTTCCGCGTCCATGGAGGCAAAGGAAGCGCATGGTGGATGATCCGACAAGACTACATTATCTCACGACTCAAACATGAATCCAATCATATAATTGGAATTCAGTCGGATGAGCACTCGGGGGTAAGATCGGGGTGTGCTACGAGGTCCGGCGAAAGCCCTCATTTACGCTGACCCGATGAAACATCGGGTATGCACCATGCAAAAAAGATATGATTCTCATTCGTCTGAGATACACAGATAATGGCTAAGCTCGTTGGAAGTCTTGACCGTGCATGATCGGGCCCATCTTTTCTAACATCAGCGTCCTTGCCTTTGCTTTGTACACCAATGCGCTCGGCACCCGCCAGCCCCCGAGTTCCCCGACACCCCCATCTCGCCCCACAGCAACAAATTGCGTCAGTGAGACTTTCTGCCTATACTCTCTGGTGCGACGACCGAAGAAGGTCTCCCACCAAGTTTGACCCCGACGGGATGCGTCGGGGTTTATGGCGAGCTCGTCATCCCGAATACTATCAGCGAGGGGTCGGACAGGCTCAACGGCGTCGAAGAAGCTCCCATTCGTGAAGGAAGTCACAGATCCCAAGGCGTAGATCCCGGCTGCATCCTCCACGCGAAGACTGGATTGATCGGTTTTGACATAACCCCTTGCATCGAGCCAGGCCGATGGCAGGAACGCAGTATTGGGTGCACTGCCTGTTGCATCGATATAGACATCGACTACGCGAGTAGACTGATCGCTCAATGTGAGGTCCCAGGACTTTTCGCCTTGCTCTCTCTGAATGGCCGAGTTGACTCGGACTCCATGGTTGACTGCAACCCCCAACTGGCCAAGCTTGGACTCGGCAGTGGCAGAGGTCCCGGGACTGGCGTTTGGTAACAGACGTTCATTTCCCGATAGGATGGTGACAGATTTCTTAGCGCCGGGCCAGCGACTGCTCATCGCCCCGAGCTCTCCCGCGGTTTCAACGCCTGTCGGGCCCCCGCCAGCCACTAGGATCGATTGAGCGTCGCGTAAGCGATCTTGAATATGTTCAAGTTCGTGTTTGGTCTGGGTATGTGGGCCCTTGAGGGAGAATAACGGGCTATGAGAGGATGTCCCTGTGGCGATGACCAGGCAGTCATATTTGACTGGGGTATTCTCATTGGTCCCCGGCGACTTAGCATGGAGAGTGCGAGCCTTCTCGTTGACCTGGATTGCCTCCGCCTGGCTAAAGGTGAATTGCGATGCCGGGTAATCTTTGAATCCGTCTGCAATCGCAACAAAGGGCTCGGCGTTATTTTGGCTTGGTTCTACCAGGGCACGTGGTGCAGCGACTTTCCAGTAGAAATGAGATGATGGCGAAACAAGGGTAAGATGATAAGGTTGTCCCAGACGTTCCGTAAGGGCTGGTAGAGTGTGTCGTAAGAGGTAATGTGCCAGCGATATTCCAGCAACTCCTCCGCCCACAACAACGATCTTTCGTGGGGTAGTGTCGGCCATGGTGAATGGAAAATTCAGAATCGGATTGCTTTTGAGGTTTGAGCGCTGCCCAATTCGGAATCTGTTCTCGTTGGGTTTCTTAAATAAATTATGTTGTTACCGATATGTGAGACGGGGATCCTCAGCCCCAGAGGTGAACCCCGATGACCGATACAGCCCTAGAGAAGCCCGACGGACCGACGCATACAATGTTTGCAATTTTGAAAAATCAGATTGCGAATCCCGTTCTACCAATATGTATCAACTGACCAATACTACCTAGTACATCCTAAAGCCAATGACGACTTCCATTTCCTATTGCCACTTCTTGGTCTCATTCTTGACGCGCAACTCTTCGTTGACCTTCAGAATGGCTTCTTCAGCCCCGTCCCATTTCTTTCGTTTGCCGTCAAACAGCCGATAATGGAACGGTAAAAGCAGGCCATCCATAAGTACCTTACAGAGTGAGCGGTTCGACATCCAGAACCACCATCCTTGCATTCCATATCCGAGATTCTCCTTCATGCCGAGTCCCGCAGTCTCCTCAACCCAATCAAGCCAGTCTGCTCCCTTAACGAGACCCGGCGTGACAGCACCTTTAGCAGCGAGTTCAGCAATCCACTGATGTTGCTTATCAACTGCCTTGATCATCTCCTCCTGCGGTGGAAGAGGCGAACGCCCTGACCAAACCTGACCTAAGGCCATTGTGGCTAGATCGAACATAAGGAAGGCCGGGTTCATGAATGAGAGATTTCCCATGAATGCCAATGACTCCGGGTGCTCAAGAGAGAGAAGATTCTGATATAGTCTCGGAATCTTCCGCCCATTTGCACTCCGAATTCTGGACTCCTGGTAGATGGTAGGATCACTTTTGCCTAGGATCGAGTAGTCGACCGTGTATCCGGTGCACCAGATAATTGCATCCACATCAGCAGTCGTCCCATCAGTAAACTCAACTTGCTGGGCACTGGTAATCTGTTGAATGGGTGGCTTGGAGTTAATCTGCTCTCGGGAAAGAAGGTCGACCAAGTAATCGCTGATGATGGGACGCGCCTGGTTCACCGACGGCGCTGGGTCGAATCCCCATTCGGGCTTGAGATCGTAGAGCTTGTCCCGCAGACCAAGGATGACCTTATTCATGAGTTTGGTCCAGATACCTGGTGCGTAACGAGATAGCTGATCGAGGAAAACACCCTTCCGATAGGTTCGGATGTGGTCGACGGGCTTGTTGTCGACCCATCGCGGAAGCTGTGGTTTATGATCAGTTGCCGTTCCAAGGAACCCGAAAATATGAACAGTAATTTCACTTTGACCTACCACAATGCTGCCATTTCGATGAGACAGATAGACCTTCTCTGCTGTTCCCGCCAGTTCACACGCCACGTCCGCGGCAGTGTTTCCAAAACCCACAACCAGCACTCGTTTACCGGCCCACTCTTCCGGTCTATATTGTCAGAAATGAATTCAAAGAATAGACTGAGCAAGTAGCATACCTTTTAAAAGCAATGGAGTGTACTGCCTCGCCCTCAAATAGGTCAAAACCTGGAATAGAGGGAATATTGGGAATCTGATCCGGACCCATTGAGTAGACAACCTTATCAAAAGAGCGAACTATACTCGGTTCTCCATCAGTGGTCGTCTCAATGTCCCAGAGACCAGTATCGGGATTCCATTCTGCACGATGCACAACTGTGTTCAACTGCGCCCGAGGCAGAATACCAAAATGTTTCGCATACGAGACTAGATAGCGATGCATATCTGCCGCTGGTGGAAAGTCTGGTGTCTCTGTTTCATGGTCAATATCGAGATCCAGATAATAAAATTCCCCCGAATGAATATTTGTTAAGCCTACCATCAGGAAACGGGAAATCTGTAAAACACCCCTGGGACGCGGGTTCAGTTGATGGCTCAATGAGACGTCTCTTCGAAAGGCACTTACCCTGTGCTTTGATCCATTTGCAACCGTGCCTGCGATGGAATTGAATCAGTGACTGAGGTACGACAATCAAAATGAAAATCTATGGAGGCACTCACTGTGTAGGACAGAAATCGCATCCTTTTGCTCATTGAAATTCCACAAACCCCCAACATACGCATGTTTGTCGAAGCCCACAACATTGAACCCTACTTCGAGTAGGTTTTTCATGGCAACCAGACCTAGGGCACCTTCACAAGACCGAAACGGTTATTAGATTGGATTTCGTCGTGATTTCAATTTGACTACCATATTGGCGACGTACCTAGCCCAATGACGGCCACTGACGGGGCCTTGTCACCCATTGAAGTTTGTTCTGTCATGTTGACCATGTAAGCATAGAATTCCGGCCTTGGAAATTATGAAGGAAATAGAAATGAAGAAGCTAAAAATCAAAAGCTACTATTTCAGTATTTCTGAGGCATTGAATACCCAGCCCGATGATAAAAATGAGACCATTCATCACCGATGGTCTGACATGCTGGACTCGGGGCACTATAACGGGGGTAAGATCGGCTCTCGGGGGTCGGGTGGCTGTTCGGGGGTAGCGCTGGGCTCGTGCCCACTGATGGTGCCATTTATCTCAGGCAGCAACTTTGGGAATGTCACCGGGTGAGCCTATCTCCAGGGCTGGATTTTCAAATAGTTCGGGATCTCACAGATTATAATGAGAAAAGTAGCTTCGCATGTTGAAATTAAGGGTTCATTCCACCCTCTGGTTTCCATCCGGGTATAGTATTTCCAGGGTTTCGTTTTTAGGGAGTTTACACTGAGATAAATACTGGATCATGTTGCAAGATCAGGAGCAATGGCATTAAACAGTAAATTTGGAAAGTACCGATTCAGCTTCAGTCAATAAAATAGTAATTGAAAAAGAGATTCTAAAAATGTGTGTAGCGTCACCCCGACTTGATGGTTTCAAGGAAGCCGATCATCTTCCCCACCACAGAGTTCCAAACTTTTGAATGTTCATATGATTTGGCCATTTCCGTCTCAGCTCCCTTCTCTGTCTTCTCTGCGTCTCCGAGAATTTCCACTTTATCCAATTTCGTCTGTGGAGAGGGGAGGTATATCCCGGGCCGTGGGGCGGGCTGGCCCGGTACCAAACCCTTTTGATGGGGCGCATACTCCGGGGGGATCTCCGGCCATGCATCAACACCATCCAACAAGGCAACCGCCATGCCGCCTGCAAGATGTGTCTCAATATGACAATGAAACAGCCAGGGTCCAGGGTTGATAGAATGGTAACGCAACACAAGCCAAGAAGGTCCATCAAACGAGGTGACGAATGTGTCGCGGTAATTGGGGTTCTCAAGATTGAAACGATGCGGCTCAGCAGCAATCGCGTCATCCACTGTGGTATAATTCCAGATGCCTTCACCCGCTCCGACCTGCCACATTTTTCCGGTGTGTTTGTGCATCATGTGCGGGAACTCCTGGGGCTGACCCGGTTGTGAGCCAACCTGGACGATGAGATCGACCCAGGACCCATTTCGAGTGCGGACTATGAGGCCTTCATCCAGCGCGTCTGGTTGATTGATATCGTAGAGTAGGGGCGAGTATGCACTGCGGTCTTCTTGCCACATTCCACCACCACTCAACGTGTATTGCCAGGGACTCATCCATCGATGGGTGTGAAGAACAAAATGCTCATCCGAATGAGCGGCCGGCTTCAATGGCGGGAACGGTGGAAGATTCTCGCGATCAAGTGTGACAACGGCCGTGGTATTTAGTCCCCCGTAGTGAAAGGCTGCATGGCCTTCAGAGCGAGTCCCCGGGCTGCCTGTGTAGCGTAGTGTGGCAAACGACGAAATGATCTGGGTCAAGCCACTGTCGGCTATGCGTATCGTGTAGTCTTTTGGTTCCTTGTCCAGCTGGATCATGACCGCATACCGCTCACCTGCATACATCTTGACTGTATCGACCTTCTGCGGCTCGATGCGGTGTCCATCCACCTCGTACACCCACATAGGATGCTCATCAATCGAGAATATGGTCGTCTTGAAGGTAGCGGCACCTATAAAGTTGACACTAGCCCATTTGGAGGCTGCATCCACGTAAATGATTTCATCATCGCCTGTAGCAGGGACGCATCCCTTTTGAAGGTGTAGCGGGATTGTCTCCGGTTTCCCTTCATTGAGATACAGGCCTTCCGTCGATTTCATAAATGGAAAGCATCTAGGGAACATTAGTAATCTCATCAAAAGAAAACAGGTGAATAGAGTCGGCTCACCCTTTGTCGTTGACATGGTTTGGATACAGAGCCCATTTCATATAGTTGCTTGTGTGGTTGACCAGATATTCCTCTCCTGGGCAATAAACGCTGCCTTTCCCGTTGATCAGAATACTATCGACGCAACTGTCTCCATGATTAGTTCTCATTTCCAACAACATGTTCTGGACATACTTACAATATCGCATATCCGGATGACTCCTCAGCATCCATATAATTCCAGGATTTGAAATGTGTCCAATCTGACACAAGGATCGGAATCGGGTCATTGGCGGCCTTGTTCATCGCTTGGATGTGTGATTTGTCATTTGATATGAGGCTCCATGCAGCTGGAGTATCTGGGGTAGGTCTTATCCAACTTCAGCATTGGATCTGAGCAGTTTGTTTCGGAAAACGTACCGGATAAAGATTCCGCCATACAACCCATCCAATAAGGTCGTTCTGGAGTGAGCATGATACCTGTAATCATTTAGTACTCTGGATTAAAATTTGATTATTCTCAAATATTCATGAATCGTACCAATGAGTGCCACTGGGACTAGCTTTGAAGCGGTATATAAACATCTCATCGGGCTCGATGGGTAGTTGAGTCGCGCCGGGCGCACCGTCGGACCATGGCGTCCCTTGCATCCTGGGAGATCAGTCAAAGATCGCAATACCTGCGAAACAACACTCACATCAGTCCGTGCCAGTGTATGCTAGAGTTAAATGGCATCCGATTGTGGACTATGACCTAAATCACGGGGATATTAATAGAGTCCACAAGAAAAAGTGAACGCTGATTTACCTCGATATCGTCGCCCTCATCCCAAGTGAAATGTGGGCCGGGGAACCCATCATTCATCTTTATCATTTCTCTGACTTGACCGTTTGGAGCTCCCAGATCCCAAGTCAATGTAATCTCTTCGCGGACAAGCTTTGCCGCAATGAGACCGGGCAGCAGGAATACCCACAACGCCCTCCAAATGCCATGATGAGCCATGATCGCTACATACGCCAGTAATCCCACTGTATCGCAAACAGATTCCGAAAATAAACGAGTAACATGAAGAGCTTATAATTACATTTGCGCTGTGGGTGTCGCGCGACGGAACCCCGACACTCGGATGGAAATCGGGTGCCCTAAAAACAACCCCGAGTAAGCCCCGATGGAACTACATCTGCCCACTGTTAAACCGACAGATAAACAAATGTCTTCAAATCTATCTTTGGGGTTGGTTCAAAAAAATCTACAATGAAGCCGTTTGTTAAAAGAGTTGTTTTCCAGGCATCCCGGGTGACCCTCGTCGTTGTAACAGTCTCCCTGGCTGTTCAGACGTACTTGGCAGGGTGGAAAAAGCCGCAGCCCGTGGGCATCGATTCTCGACCAATCTTTGACGAGCCCTCATCTCCTCAAACTCTCTGGGATTCAATTCAGCAAAATGCGAACTTGACCAAGTTCGCCAAGTTGGTGGGGGAATTCGATGACATTGTCGGTGGTCTCCGAGCACCCAGGGCCCAACTCACGGTCTATGCGCCTACCAATGAAGCCTTCGATCTAGAAGAATTCCCTTATGATCTCCCGTGGTTCTATTGGAAATTCCTAGTTGGATACCACATGGGAAAAGGGGGTGTTTCCGCAGAGGCATTACACAGCCAAAACACAGTCTGTTCCTTTGTCAACGCCGATATTTTCTTCAAAAACCAGCAACGCATCAGCGTTCAAAACAATGTCGACGGCATATCTTTCAACTTCAATGCAAAATTGCTTGCATCGCAACCAGCTATAAATGGTCATCTTCATGTCGTCGATCGACTGCTGATGCTGCCAGACTCAACTGCTGACGTTCTGCGGTACACCGCGACATTCGGGACCTTCCGCCAGGGACTCATTGATACCGGCTTAGCAGAAGTGATCAACGACACATCAACACATACTGCACAGACGGTGTTCGCGCCTTCAGATGCCGCATTTCGCAAACTAGGCCGAAAGGTCAATGCCTTTCTCTTCGGCCCGGGCGGGCGCGCATATTTGAAAGCTTTGCTCGCGTACCACGTTGTGTCGAATGAGACTTTGTTCTCTGATGTTCATTTCCCCACGAAGAATGGAGAGCATATTGTCCTTGACCTCAAGTCTGCCTCCAATCAAGTGTCTCTCCCTACTCTGGCGCGTGGACATGAGGTTTCTGTCCGCTCTGTTCGACATTCAAGTAAGGACCGACGGTCACTTTCGATCAATGATGAATGGGAGGTCATCCGGCCGGATATTGTGGTCATGGACGGTGTGATCCATGAGATAGATGGAGTGATACTGCCCCCGATTATCAATGGAGAGGACCAGCTGGACAAGCAGCATGATAATTGGTGGTCTGTGGTATCTCGTTCTTTGAATATTAGGGGAGGAATTACAGTGGAGGAACTTATGGAACGGCTTCAGCCGCTGATTGAAAATGGGGAATAAATCAGATGTTAGATCCACTTCTAATAATTACGACTTATGTCTGTTGAAACTCTAGTTCCTCTAGTTTGATCAGACCTGTGTGTAGATAATAGACGTTCTCTCCCCCCATCTCTCTCCCCTCTTCCTCCCCTTCTCTTCTCTCCGAGCAAATCAAATATGTCACTTCTTCTGCCTTCTATTCGCCTATTATAGAGTAGTGAATGTGAAAATTGGAAGCTCTACATGAAATACCGAATTCAATTAGTCTGATTCCATCTTTATTTTGCCGTGTCTTTTAGTAAAGAAGTGCAGTAATGTGACGGTAATCGCCAGAACTATACTATCTATGACCGTAGTGGTGGAGTATCTCGCACATCTCTCATCTTATGTCCTTTGCTTCAGTACAAAACAACCGCGCTTAATGATTCAGTACAAAAAAGGAATCATCTTCCACCTAGTGCGCTGCTTGAATTGATCCCACTCTTGGCCATACTGCTATATGTCAGTACTCTGCAGGATAACATCTTTTTGGTGACTTCAGGAGAAATTCAATGAGACATACCCTCTTTTCACAGTAAGAATCCAACGCCGGGATACCTCTTCTCCGGAACTCAGCCAACAGCCACAAAAGTGTCAAACCACCCCATCCCCAGCCTGAAGCTGCGAGGCCAGCGGCAGCTTTCCAGATCGTATATCCACCATAGTTGATATGGCGCGCAAAGCGGAACAGTCCACCGGTGTATACCTTGCCTTTGCCACGTCCACTGGGATCCTTCTTGAAAGATCTGCGCTGGAGCTCAGAAACGGTCTCCACTGTGATACCCAGTGTGAAGATTGCACAGGCAGCTGAAAGAATCGGATGCCATCCGGTGCTTTGGTCAGGCACGTAAGACTTTGTTGCTGAGGTTGCCGCAGCGCAGAACATGAGGGAATTAACTGTTGTGGAGAATGCTTTGAACACCCCGACCAGTAGGGCAGTTGCAATAGGCATTCTAGCCTCCGACACATACGTCAGGTAGAATATGCCTTTGAGACTACCAAGCAGGGACATGCCCAGCAGAGTCAGGCGCCAAGGTGAGAGACGAAGCGCCACCGGGGCAGCTTCGAGTGGGAGCGGAGTACCACCGAAGACACCCAAAAGAGGCACTGCTAGCGAGGTGGCACCAGGGAGTAGAATTCCGTATTGCAGTACCGGATCTAGCACGCGCAGGGCGATAAAGATCGATGTTCCGAGTGGCGATGGACCCTTGTCGTTGCGGTCGCCATGGAGGGCTCTACCGCTAGGTACTTGTGAGGGCTTCTTTTCCACTGACATCGCCGGGAATATGCAGCTATACGAACATTCAATTCAACTGATAAGACGATTTACTGCTTCCGGAATGTGTTGATGTATATGTGATTTCGGCGCTGAATGACCCCCGAGCTGGGTCCGAATCCTCGAGCCAAGCCCCGAGCACCGATGATTACTCCGCAGATCCACTTCTCCACTCGGGGAATGTCCGTCGGGCCTAAAACAAATTTCCGGGTGGGGTAGATCCTGGCAGTTTCTAGCGCTGAGCATGCTCCCCTTTTGATGGGAAAAATTATTCTCGGTAACTGTAAGGCTCTATAGTGGGAGGCCCGACCATATGTCAGAATCGTGTACATTTCAGTAGTCTGCCTAGCTAAGGATACTCTATGGCTATAGAGAAAGACCGAAACCATAAATCGCAACTCTCGTAGTCCCATACAGATCTTGGTTGTAAAGTGTAGAATGTCATGTCAAGGTCGTCAAAAAAAATCCAACACCGGATACGAACAGAATAATGAAAAAACACCATAGAAACAAAATAATTCAGCACAAATTTTCTCGCGCCGTAAGAGCCACCGTCTTCATTTGATGTCGCAAATAAGCCTCCAAAGCCATATGCAACCCCTTCTCATCATCTTCACCAAACTCCCCTTTCTGGCGACAATAGCTGCGATTGAACGCGGCCAAGACCTCTTTCACTTTATCGATCTCCGCTAAGATCAACTGCGCAACCATGCGCCGAGTCTGACCCGGCTCAAGCGTGTATGCCCCAACATTGATCGACGGGATCGACACCCACTCGTGGAACGACCGTGATAATCCATGCATGACATTGCTATCTTGGTGCGACCTCCGCGATCCTCCAATGATACTCCGGCTCCGGCTCCTGATGCTGCCGGTGCTACTTTCGCTGCCGTCGGTATCGCGACTTGGACAGGCTGCGCTGCGATCTAGACTAGCTTGGTACCAGGATAGCACGCGGGTGCAGGAGGTGGTAATCAGGAAAATAAGGTCGATCTTGGCGGTGCAGGGACAGCCCAGGATTGTGAGCAGATCTTCCAGGGATGAGTGGCTGTCTTTGAGAATATCGTCGAAGCTTCGGGGTCCGGGGCTGGAGAATTGAAGATTGCGGTCCAGATGGCCTAGGGACGGGCATGATTCCATTGGCACATCTAGCCGTTGGATGGCAGACATGGCCAGTTGGGAGCATTGGTGTGGGGTTTGGTGGGGCGCTGTCGATCCAGGCCAGAAGGGCTTGTTGGTATCTTGGGGCAATAGCCACGGGAACCCAGTATCCATAGACCCATCGATATGAGGCTGTTGATCGGGAGTTGGCATTGGTGAGATATCGATAGCGCAGGAGATCTCATCGTGAGAAAGAGGTCTGCTGTCGAATGGTTCGAGCAAATCGCTCCACTTCATTGGGCTCATTGCCTCGGGTGCGAACATAGATCCGTCGGAGAATGCTTCATCGTTCGATTCGGGCATTGCAGTCTGGCTCATGTTCATGGATGGAGCCTCTGTCATCTGCACCTCCCGCGGTGTATCCATTCCTCTCTGAGTATTGATCTTCTCGCTCGTTGCGCTCCGGACGGAGCTCGCTGGCGGAGTTGGCGGAGGCCGCTTTCGGGACCGTTGGGAGGGACTGTAGACGCATGGTACGCCTTGATACAAGCATCGTTGGCATGAAGGTTGATCCTTGCTGCAGCGAACCTTGGACTTGGCGCAATTGTTACAACTCGCACGAATAATTTCCAGTCGGACAGGGGAGGTCATGATCAAGTTTTCAACACATCTAACGGATCTATGTGAATCTAAAAAGAAAGATGACAAGAATCTAAGCAAATACAAGAAAATGCCAATGTCTTGGCCCCCATGGCCCCCAAGTATAGCGCTGAGGTAAGGTGGCTTGACGTTACTTTCAACTCGTTGAGGGGATATTGGGGAATTGGGGGCCTGGTAAGCCCGTAATCTGCGACTATTCAGCTAAACCGTTTGAAGCAAGTAACGAGGGCCCCGTATTGCCTAAGGTTGATTTAGCCCGCACTTCGTATGTAGGCCGCAAAAGCCACCAAAATCCAGCAATCAGAGCGCTGCAGGAATACGAATAGGTAAGGGCTTGCAGTGTAACCTGATCGACCCGTTCCGTCTGACTGGCTGAAGCGATCCACATCTCACTTGCAGGAATGTGTTTGTCCTCGGAGCTTATAGTACTTGGGATCTCACCTGCAGTTGCCTGCGCTTGCATGTACTTCTAATTTTCGATATATCGGCTATCGAAACCTCTTATCATTTCTAATGCATGTTGTTCTAATGGTTCTAAGTCTTTCTACGCTTTTCGGATAATTTGAATTCGAAATGTGAAAAAAAAAAAAAAAAAACACCAAACAAATTAATGTAGATTCAAATCCATACATTTAATATTGTAGACGTATACATTGTCAATTTCTAACTATAAACAATGGCCAACTAAGGGAAGCGGAAGACACTTTCGGGGTCCACCGTCTCCTTCAGCGCTTGCAGTCGGTCCCAATTCGGGCCAAAACTCTCGCGCGCATTTTCGTCTTTCCCCATGAAACTCACGTATACGGGGTTCAGCGCGTGGCGTGTAGCATTCAATTCCTTCATGAGGCCATCGACCCACGCCTGGGCCTCGGCCATGCGGTCCAACTCGTCGCAGGCATTGATGTGGAACAACACGTGGGGTTCGCGCGTGGCGAACGAGCAGTCGGGGTTCGGTCGCGTGCTTTTTCCGTGGCCAATGTGTGCAATAACGTTATATTGGCGACCGTCGGGGATTGCCTCGGAGTACTTTTGTAACAGGGCAATACTCTCGGACGTGAATCGTGAAATTGATGAACTCCGAGTGCTGACGTTAACGGGCTCTTCCACGACACGGGAAGTAATCCCTTGGAAGGCCTTGAAGGTGGCTGTTGGGGGTCAGCATTTTTCCCGATAACGATAATGGTAGAAGGATCACGAAGACTTACTTTCTGCAACTGTGTCCACCTGGATAGCACCTAACCCCCTCACGGCTGCAAGCCACTTTTGCCCCTCGTTAAGGGTCTCTGAATCGGGCCAGGCGAAGATGAGACTCATACCGACCCCCCACTTCGTTTTCATAAAGCCCATCTGCAGACACATCGCATCGGGGATGCCCTGATCCAACATGTCTTGCAGACCCGAGAGGACCTTATCGCTTTCATTCCACTGGTATGCGATAAAGCCCGCAAGGATGACAGGCATCGGGTATACGCGAACTTTCACGTCGACAATAACACCAAAGCTACCGCCGGCGCCCCGCACGCCCCACAGCAGCTCGGAGCCAGCCTCGGCCTCGACAATCGATCCATCGGCCTGAACCAAAGTCGCAGAGAGGATGTTGTCGACTCCTAGGCCCACGTAGTCGTTGAACGGGCCATATCCACCCCACACGGCCCATCCCGTCCATCCGACATTGCCTGCAGTGCCATTGGCTGTACAGAGCCCGTGGGTGTCCAAAAACCCGACGAGGTTCTGGGAGGTCACACCGCCGCCGAAGCGGATAGACTGACGGTCACTAGACAGGGTTTGATTGTCCAGCTCACGCATGTCGATGCTGACGCTGTCGGGAGTGCAGCCTCGTCCGTAGACATCATGGCCACCACAGCGAATTCCAAGAGGGATGGGGGGAGTGGCGGATCGGGCGGCACGCACGATAATCTGGACCTGCTCGACGGTTGTCGGGCGACAGATAGCGAGCGGTTGGCCGGTGATAAGTTTGTTGTACATCCCACGGAGACCCTCAAAGTTGGGGGACGACCGGGTGTAAACTTTCAGAGTGCTGTCGGCAGCCCGAATGCTATCAACGACAGGGGGTGCATTTTTGACGTCCGCTGCAGGGTCGAATGGAGCCGACTCATGACGGTATTCGGCGGAAGCAGTGAACAAGGCAGTTTGAGTCATCTTGTATAATTTGATTCAAACAGAAGAATCTGTGTATGTCATTATAACCGGCCATACCCTCGCTATAAGTACTCCGTACATGTACGGAATATGAGGAAGTCAGGTCGGGCTCGGGGATGGTTAGGGGCCGATGCCCGAAACCCTGCATCAGACCACCAAAGCATTGAGACCCGAGTGTCAGCATTACTCGGTTTCATGAGTCCATCTATTGAACATTCTTCACAGCAGGTTATCTGGATCATCCTGCCAAAAGCCTTTTACCACTTACCTTTGTTCCTACCGCCGTGGTTAGCTTACCAGGCGAACCGCTTGGGCAGTTTACATTAGTCACGTAAATTTGTAGAGAAATAAGGCTGAATACTGATGAAGTATTAAAATAGGCATAAGCGAACGTAACATGGTAATTGATATCATTGAAAAGAGGCCTCGGGGAGGAGAGAGAGAGAGGACAAATGAATTTTGACATTACAGATACCCTGCCGTAACTATTATCATTGGGTTTTACATATCGCTTGTTATTAGAAAAAGTCGACATGCTCATGTATCAAATTCTGCCAACACTCCCAATCAATCTGCGACAGATCCATCGACGGCTCCAGATTCTCCAAGCACGGCAGCGCATTGTCCGACTCCCCGGGATTCCAGCTCCCCGGTCCCGGGAGCAGCATAAGCGGGCCACCTACCGGGACTGGCGTCGGTGAAGGGGCCCGAGAGTTCCCACGAAGGGCCCGGAGGCGCGCGACAGACTGGGGCTCGACGGGCTGGGAAAGAATCGGGCCGCGTCGAGCCCAGGCCATGCGCATATCCCACGCCCGCAGCGTAAGAGTCCCCAGAGCAAAGAAGAGTGTGTTCGTCTTTGAGGCTGTGATTAAGTCCGCGTGGTCGTGGTATGCCTGATCAACCTTGGCCCATGCCTGGTCTACGCGCTCCCCTTCCCGGCGGGAGGACAACTCCGTGACCACAAGAATGAACGCCTCGAAGGGGAAGCTCATCCCCACATGCCACAGATACGGCTGGAGATCACGACTCGCATAGGTCAGATTATCGTACGTAAGTACCTGGAGACCAAGCGAAAACAGTCGGTCCCGATCGTCTGGTGAGATATCCGCAGATCGCCGAGGATGTCGGGTCGCCAGACGCATCTGGCACACTGACGATCGCGCCAGGTACAAAGCCAATTGGTGGAATGGAATAGATGGATCACAGTCCTTTAGGTATGCGTCCTCCAATCGGCTCTCGAGTGCGTCGATTGCACCCTCTTCGACAATCATCCTTTGGGCCACGGTACTCGCCACAGGCTGATGTTCCATAGCCGTCAACTTACGCATACAATCACCGATCTCAAATCTTATTTCGCAAAATAGCATCTCCGTGGTACCAGGCCGATCACGGGGTAATTCTTGCATCGACGGTGACAGATCGCTATCACTCACGTTGCATGGGCGCTCGGTATCCCAAAAGTGATAGGAGTATGCATCCACAGCCACTCCGCAGAGCTGTGCTGCGCGACTATCCATGAGCAGAATCTGCCACCAGAGTCGGCGGCGCATCTCTCGCTCAAAGACGGGTAGTAATGCCAAACTACGTTCTCGATGCAGACCCATGACTCGGGCTATGCGACTCGCAATTCCGGTCAGGAGCCATCTGGTCTGCACATCATATCGCTGCCTGGTTGCTAGCTGGATTATCTGGTCAGTCCTAATTATATCATTGGGTGAAGGCGTTGCATACCAGGTAGAGTGTCAGTGCCTGGAGTATCAAAAGATTGGTCGATCGGAGGAAATTAGCATTTATCAATGCCTGCTCGCAAGCGCGCGAGAATCTTGCCATCAAGTCAGACCGTGATGCACTCATCACGCGACGGCTAGTTTCGTCGTTCATCGAGGCCACCGCACATAAGTGCAAACTGAAAAGCAATGCTTCCGTGGGCCGAGAAATGTGATCGAGGTCAGACGCGGCTTCTAGAATCAATTGCTGGGTAGAAGGAGCATGTAGAAGTTTGACAATGGGGTTCACGTTATTTAGGAAGATCTGCCATAATTGGAAGACCTGTGGTGTTTCAGGGTGGAGGGAGCGCACTCCTTTGGGGCATGAAGATCGTAACAGGAGTGTTCCCGCGTCTGCATTCTGAAGCATCTCATTGTCACTTTCGTCTGCAACACTGCTACAACTGTCAAGTTCGTTGGTCAGACCTTGCCAGAGGGGACTGGAGTAGCACAAGCCAGACAGATTAGCCAACGTCCTCTTGTAAAAAGGATACGACTTCAAGTCGGGTATCTTACTTCTCCACGTATCGAGACTGTGCTGTCTCCTGAATTAGATGACCCTCCGGAGCTGGCCAGGATATATTGGTAAGACGAAGAGAAGAAGGCTTCGTGTCAGGCTCACCTCGCTCATCGAGCGTTATCCCATGGGCCTGCACAGCTCGTTCACAGAGTTCGAGTCTTCGTGCTAGGGGATCAATGACTCTGGCAACTCCGAGATCTCTATTTTTCCGGGCCTGCGATTTTGATCCAGTGCGTCTCACGCATTCCTGTCTATTCCGCAGGCATGTCGAGCACGGTCGGTGGCCATCACATCGTACTTTGCGCTGTTGGCAGAAAACACATGAGTGACCACGAGTCACTCTGGAATTTGGAGATAACATAACGTCAGAGTTTGCCACAGCTCATGCATGGGATTGTACAAACTTTAGAACAAGAGAAACTGCCAGGGTCTATTAATCATTCGCCGAGATAGCCCTAGAGATCTGATCAAGGCACGGAGTCGGGGGTTTTGCCCGAATTTCCAGGAAATTAAATGACAGTAAGATATTTATAAATGTCATAATCTGGAGCTTTCGGTGTGTATGAGCCCTTAGACTTCTGTAATTCTACGAAAAACGGAAGCCCCGAAAAAAAAGCAATTCGGCGCTAAAGTGTGACTCGGACCTTCGGTGATACGGTCCCGCCGGTGCTCCGAGACTCTCATTTCTTTGTTCTGTTCGGCGCCGAAGGGCCCTCGGCCGTCACGATTTCCATCACATCCTTTTTATAAATATTACTCCTTTTCCTATGTCCCAGTAATTATCATCAATACAATACAGAGTACTTCCATTAACAACTTTACTCGATCATGGCTCACTCGATAGAAGAGCAACGACTTGACCAGTCGGACAATGCCTCCTTTAACCACGAGAAGCCCTCGGAGGTCACAGAAGATGAGAGCCACTTTCCAACAGGCACTCGTCTTTTGGTGATTGTCATTTCAATTTTGTTTGCTATGTTCCTGGTAGCATTGGTATGGATCATCAAAGTCCTCGTTCTCGCGAACAAACTAACAAAATCCCCAGGATCGCACTATTATCGCCACGGCAGTCCCCCGCATCGCCAACCAATTCAATGCCCTCGACGATATCAGTTGGTACGCCAGCGCTTACCTCCTGACTAGTTGCGCTACACAACTCTCATGGGGCAAGGTTTATACATTCTACTCCACCAAGACAGTCTTCCTAGCTGCAATCCTGATCTTCGAGGTCGGATCAGCCCTATGCGGTGGAGCCCCCAACTCCGACGCCTTCATCGTCGGACGTGCGATAGCAGGAGTTGGTTCTGCTGGAATCTTCGCTGGCGCAACAGTCATCATTGCACAGATCGTTCCGCTCGCTAAACGACCCATCTACGTCGGACTTATGGGTTCGACATTCGGATTTTCATCCATCATCGGTCCCTTGATGGGCGGTGCTTTCACAGACAATGTAACATGGCGCTGGTGCTTCTACATCAATCTTCCAATTGGTGGATTCACCATGCTAGCCCTGTTCTTCTTCTTGACTGTCCCGCACACTCCCCAACCGTGCACCTGGAAGCGGCAGATCCTCCGTCTCGATCCACTCGGCAGCGTGCTCTTCCTCCCCTCAGTGATCTGCTTCCTGCTCGCATTGCAGTGGGGTGGCACAACATACCCATGGGGAAATGGACGGATTATTGCTCTATTCATCATTTCCGGAATCCTCATGATTGCCTTCGTGGCCGTCCAGATCTGGCTCAAGAAAGACGCAACTGTGCCTCCGCATATCTTTAACCAGCGAAGTATTATCAGTGGTGTCGTCTTCGCCATGTGTGTTGGTGGTGGTCTCATCTCCATGCTGTATACCCTGCCTCTATGGTTTCAGGGAGTTCGCGGTACATCTGCCGTGAAGTCTGGCATCGACACGATCCCCATGGTCCTTGCTCTTGTGGTCGGGGCCATCACCTCTGGTGGCATCATCACTGCGACGGGATACTATGTTCCGTGGATGTTTGTAGCGACAGTTCTGATGTCGACCGGTGCAGGTTTAATGACGACCTTCAAGATGGATACCAACCACGCAGCGTGGATTGGATACCAGGTCTTGTTTGGTATTGGAATCGGTACCGGATTGCAGCAGCCTTCATTGGCGGCACAGACCATCCTCCCCATGGAGGAAGTCGCCATCGGTGTCTCGCTTATGTTCTTTGCTCAATCCCTTGGTGGTGCTGTCTTCATTGCTGTGGCTCAATCGCTATTCCAGAACTACCTCGGCGCAGAACTGCCTCATATCCAAGGAATCGATACGGCTAAGGTCTTGGCTGCTGGTGCTACGGGCCTCGTTGATGCAGTGCCAGAGAACAAGCTTAGTGCGGTTCTGATGGTTTACAATGACGGTCTTCACCGGTCGTTCATTGTTGCGGTGGCGGTTTCTTGTCTGATGATCATCCCGGCCTTGACGATGGAATGGAAGACGATCAAGAAGGACAATGTGTCTGTTCCAGCTGCTTAAGCGCTTTGAGATATGGGGGCGAAGAAGAAAGAATTGTATCACCACTTTTTAGACCAACGGTAACATCCTGGATTGGTGCGCTTGCTCAGCCAGAGCTTTTTCAAATATTTCTTATTTAATTTTGAGTCTGTAGGAAGGGGGTTTCGCTTCTATGGCCCGAATGGGTCCTTAGTCTAGAAAATTATCATTACAGCTGAATCCTAAGTTCAGCATACAAGCCTCTTCCTCGGTATTCGATCCGAAATCCCAGGATGGACAATTCAACCTAGTTTGAGTGCAAGTAGACTGCATTCCCTCTGTACCAGTTGGCCTTGGAAGTTGAATTTCGAGTGCTGCCAACCAACAGCTTTTCTACACCGGCTATGAATTACAAGCAAAATGAATACAAAAATTTGAATGGATCAATTGGACTCCTTCCTATTTCGCAGTACATACTCATCACATAGAAGGGTGGTCTCGCACATAATAATATTGACCGGGCAGTCGAGACATCGCACCCAAGAAATCAATCGCTCGGGGGGAAAAAGTACAGCGCCATCCACCTGGATACCATTCCTGATCTCGAAAAACAAATAAAACATTGATGTGAAGAACGCCTGTCCTAGATGGCACAGAAAGGGGGAAAGCAGTATTTTCGGATTACACATGACAAGAAGAAAAGGCACAAGCGGCACAAAGTAGAATATCGCATGGGCAGAAAGAAGCGTGGATTTGAATTAACTCCTCAAGTCACACGATGCTATTGGGGATTTCATTGGTCAAATCCGAACTCAGCTCCGTTGCTGGTGCTGGGGCTGTCTCGGTTGGGGTTGTTGAAGGTGAGCTTCAGCTTGGGCTGTCCGGGGGTGCCGCCGGGCACAGGAGTGTCAGCGCCTGAGCCGAGCCCGGTTGAGCCATCGCCACCTGTGGACTGGTCTTCAAAGCCACCAAGTTCGGGGTGGGCTTCGGTCAACCTTCTAAGCTCCGACAATGCTTTGTTCTGTTAAATTGTTAGTATCGAATGACCAAGGGGAACGTATTTTTTTGAGACTTACCTCGATATCATTGGCATCCTGGAAGAGCAGACTGCCGTCTTCGTTGTATGTGCGGGCGTTCTGACAGAGGAGGTGGATATCATTGCGGAATGACCTCAAGTTCTGATAATCGGAACGCTTGATCTTCTTTTGAATGTTGTCTATGGCGATGGGGTTTTGAATGATCATGTAATAATCTGGGTAGTAAGATCGTGGCGGAGGCTTCATGAAGGGATCGATAATCGCACGGATCATGGGGCCCTCCTCACTATCAGAGCCCTCGGGTGGCACTTCAGCTTCCATGTCAATCAGCGACTGAATGACGGTCTCGAGGATGCGGTTCAAATTGGCACGGTCGGTAGGGTTGAGGGTATCTGGAACCTTGGGCTGACGACCGCGCTTGCGCTTGGGTTGCGGGGTTTCTTCGATGACTTCTTCGGCCTTGCGCTTGGGGGGAGGTCCGCGGCGGCGCTTCTGTTTCTGAGGGGTATCGTCGTCATCAATGATGGATGGCTCTGGTGAGGAGTCTTCGCCATCCCGGCCAGTCTTGTTGGACTTGCGACGCTCAACACGGGCCTCCTTACGTGCAATGGCCTCTTCGATAGTGTCATCGTCAGCGTCCACTGCCATCAGCCACTGCTCTTCGGTAAGACCATCATCGTATTTGGTGATCTTGCGCTCACGAGCACCGCGACCAGTAACCTCGATCTCGATTTCCTCGGTGACAGGGTTGTCCTCCTGCATATAGATCTCGGGCAACTCCTGTTCACACATGAGTCGAGGGTAGCGGTGACCGGGGCCATATGTGTCAGTAGCCAGTCGCTGTCTGTCAATCTCTTGGAAGACAGGGATTTCTTCTTCAGAGCGGGCCATAATGTCGTTCAGTTCGTCATCGTCCATTTCATCGTCGTCGCCGATATTCTCTGCAGCCTCTGCGGTATCCAAAAGGGTGCGCAGAAGTGCATCTCGTTCCTCGTTGGTGGATTTATTGTCGAACTTTCCAGCTTGAATGACCTTGCCATCCATGTCCAGCTTAAATTGGGCACGTTCAAGAATCTTCTCCTCGACAGAGTTGGAGCTGATCAACCGCAGAATACGGACTTCGTTCTTTTGACCGATACGGTGGGCACGATCCTGCGCTTGCAGATCCTGGTGAGGATTCCAGTCGGAGTCGTAGATGATGACAGTGTCAGCAGTCTGCAAGTTCAGACCGAGACCACCAGCACGAGTGGAAAGCAAGAAACAGAAGTACTCAGATCCAGGCTCGTTGAATTGCCTCAGAAGATCGGATCGGTCATCGGACTTGGTTGAACCATCAAGACGCAGATATTTCAGGCCTCGGAGGCGAAGGAAGTCTTCCATAATGTTCATGATCTGGGTCATCTGGAAGAACATCAAGACTCTGTGGCCGGTCGCACGGAACTTGGGAAGGATACGATCAAGAAGCTCGAACTTTCCGGCCGTGCGCCAAAGGAGATCGTTCGACATGCGAGTGGGGTTCATCTGATCTTCAACGGGCTCGAAGACAAATGGATGGTTGCAAAGCTTTCGCAACTGCATAAGCATGTTGCTGAGACCACGCATACCAGTCTTTCCACCCTTGCCATCGCTGACAGCCATCTTGTTGTGGGTGACGAGTTGCTTGTACAGCTTGGCCTGCAAAGCAGAGAATCGACACTTGATGACTCGCTCCTGCTTGTCGGGAAGATCCTTCTCGACATCCTTCTTCAGACGACGAAGAAGGAAGGGACGAAGAACCTTGTGCAGACGACGAATAACAAGCAGCTGTTCTTCTTCGCTCAGGTCCATGCGATCTTGGCCACCAGTATTGGCGAACGGCGTGTTGAACCATTCATCGAACGACTTGACGGACTTGAAGATGTTGGGAAGGACGAAGTTAAGAAGAGCCCAAAGTTCAGGCAGGTTGTTTTGCAAGGGAGTACCAGTCAGAATGATACGGTAGCGGGTGGTGTAGTATGTCGAGAGAGTGCTGCTAAGCTTGGATTGGGCGTTCTTCATGCGGTGACCTTCGTCAACAATCATGTGTGTCCACTTGATCTTGCTCAGAACAGGGCGGTCCTTGATAATGTACTCGTAGGTGGTGAGGAGAACCTGGAATTGACCCCATCGAATTTGCTGCTGTTGCTGTTTGCGCGCGTTGGGTGGACCCTTGTAGACAACCTTGCCCACGTCAGGTGCCCACTTTTCGAACTCGTTGTTCCAGTTGGTAAGTGTCGAAAGGGGAACAATGACCAAGAAAGGCCCGTTGTTCTTCTTCTTCTCAATAATATGGGTGATCAAACTGATCGTCTGAATGGTCTTTCCGAGACCCATCTCGTCTGCCAAGATACCGTTGAGGTTGTTGTTGTACAAAGAAATCATCCATTGCAGACCCTTGAGTTGGTACTCCTTCAGGGTACCACCCTTAAGCATATTAGGCTGTGTGGTAACTTCTTCCTGGATACGGTGAGCAACAGCGTAGTAGTCGACCTTCTTCTTGCCGCTGGCGGTTGTGTCATCGTCCTCATTCTCACTATCGGCAAGCTCCTGGTCGGACTCTTCGTCGGGTACAGGTTCGTCGCCATAGCGGTTAGCGAGGCTACGTTGCTGTTCCTTGACGGAGGCAGCAAGCTGCTTCAAGAAGTTATCGGTCTGCTTGAGCAGGTGAGAGATACGGGAGTCCTTGGCTTGTCCCAAAAGCTTCAGGTAAGTCTCCTCATCGTTAGCCTTCAAGGCCTGGAGACGCTGCTTGGCGGTTCGCTCCACGCGTCGTTGCTCTTCGCGTTCCATGTGCTGGTGGTGAGAGATCATCATACGACCCAACTTCTGGGAGCGGGCGCGTTGCTGGCCAGCGGCGTTGGCAAGCTCCACACTGTGGTTGAGGATTGCCTGGATCTGATCGAACTGCTTCTTCTTCTCCCGGGATTCGCGAGCATCGCGCTGTTGCTTCTCAAGCTTCTCGGTAATGCGAGCCTCACGCAGAGACTGCTTCTTCATACGTCTGTGGCTTGATCGATTGGCAGTCATTCCGAGGTTACTGTAATGGAACATCTCGCCCTGGTGTTGCTTGCGGCACTGGCGCTGCTTCTGCAACAAGTTTAGGGATTTCCACTCAATCAAGGCCTTCAGCTTGAGCGAGTCGTCATACGTGGGGGTGTCGGTCTTGCTTGTGTCCCACACCCCGAGGTTGGCGGGAAGCTGGGCAAGCTCCGCCTTACGAGCAGTAATTTTGTTGTACACAGCAACTTCACGATCTTCGCGAATCTGCTCCAAGTCAATTCCAGGAGGCAATAGCGCTGGGATACGCACGCGGTTGGCGCGCTTAGCGTGATCTGTGTAGCTTATGGTGCTAGAGAGCGAGTCGTATGGCGACTGGAAGTTGTCGTACCATTCCCGGGTGAGAACCTCCGAATCAACATTTTCTGGGACCGAGCTTCCAGGTCGTTCATTGGCTGATTCGATCACTTTTTCGGCTGTGGCAATGGTCTCTGTGGGGGTGGGTGTTTGAGACTTCTTCTGGAAAAGCTGTTCTTGGACACGTGGGGGGATGGAGAGGTTCTTGGACAGCATTTTGAAAGCCAAAATCTGATTTCGCAGGGTAGCCAACTGCTCTGGTGAGAAGTTACCACCGGGCACTGGTGCATTCTTTTGGTTCTGTGCTGAGGCTGCAGAGGGATTGGGGTTGGTCGTCGATGAGGCCGAGGCAGTTCGTGCTGTTGACGCGTTAATCATGGTATCAGATTGGGTAGCCAATTCCACAGTGTGGCGAGGGTGTGGGGATATTGAGAGTTCCGGATGGCAGGGAGGAAGCTCACCATGGGCACTACTGGCACTGTTGGCAGCAACGGCCTCGGCGTTAATGCCACCATTTGTCTGCTGGGGAGGGCGCTGTTGTTGCGCCTGCTGTTGAGCCATGCGCTGTTGCTTTGCGAATGCCTGCTGTCGTTGAATCATACTCAGGAGGTTGTGGGCCTTTTGGAACTCTGGATCATCGGCGCGGACACCTTGCTCTTGCATCTGCTTGTATTTCTGTAACAATGTTAGCAATCACGAGTCATTCGAAGGATTGATGTGGTGGGAAGATGTTTTTTTGTTTGCTAGGGTGGGCTGCAGGAAAGGTCGAAGTATGACAAACTTACTTGCAGAATCTCTTGAACATTTTGCTGTGTCAAGTTCGGCGGCAAGGTTACATTGCCAGGCGCCATATTGGGCGCCGGGTGTAGAGAAGCCATGGTGACACGTGAATTTCTTTAATTCATGGGCCGGTAGGGTGGGTTGGGGTGAATAATAGTTTGAGATAGACGCGAAGTATCCAATGTCACGGTCTCCACCTGGGGTCAATTGGCCCGGATGCGCAGGTAGAGAAGGGGGGCGTCGCGGTTGTAAAGAAAGGGCAACAGCGGCGCGGATCCGGTGGAAGATAAATGCGATTTAAAGGTGACTGTATGGGATGCTTGGCGATGGAAATATGATGTTTGAGGGGGGTCGTGGTAGGAGCTTCCGATGCGATCGAATTACGGGTACTTTCAGGGACAAGGGAGTCAAAGAAAGCGAGTAAAGCGGCGGCTTCCCAGGTTAAGGGAAGGTGGGAAGGAGGCTTAAAGGTTGAAAGCGCGTTGGGATGGCGCGTTCAAAAAGTGGATGGATAGAAATGGGGACGGAGTTGCGCGACAGGCTCGGGGAAATCTGGGTGCTCAGAGCAAAGGACCAACACAAGGGAAGGAGGAGATTTCGGCCGGGTCACGTGGGTGCTGACTCAGCCCCGTGCTGGGATTTCCTGGTTGTGTGTGGAGGCAGCGTAGCTCTGGTACTGGAGACTCCGGTTTGGGAAAAAGGTAAACGAAGAGATTGTCAAGATGAGAAAGGGATCTCGAGACCGAAATCTCGAGTGAAGGCTGTGTGTTTGAGATCTGCTCTGTATGAAAAGCAATGTCGAATATGATAAAAATGACAATACCTGGTATGTTGATTGTACACGGAATGTTAAACGGTACCCGGGTCCACCCTGTCAGGAGCACCGCAGATCTTAAGTACTTCAGATGTATGTAACGAATTGGTGATCTGGGTTTATTCAATACAATGTCAATGTGCTATTCAATGCAATTCTTTATTCACTTTCAATTCACTTGATTGTGCTTGAATTAGGACTAGTACTAAGAATAGATCCATTCTTTCATAGGAATCGCCCAATCCATCATTGTAGACCAAGGATAGAACTACCAAAAAGAACGGACAATCCCCAAGGGATCCACTACCCACCGATAGTTGTAGGTTCATTCAAGTCGAACAATGTCTCCCAAACTCCAAAAACCCCAGGCTCAATATCAATAGAATCACGCTGCGAAGAAACTTTGCTTCATGCATTTGGTGCAGCGAGCAAGGTCCGCTTCATGGGGGGAGGAGGGGGAGGTGGCTTCTTCGCACGCGAGGGTGGAGGTGGGGGAGGGGCCTTCTTCAAGCCGAGAGTATTCAAATTAGATGCACTGGGTTGTCGGGATGCCACGCTGCCATGAGATGTGGCTGGGGAGATGGACCTGCCACCGGAAAACATCCGCTCGGGGCTGGATCGACCATACGAGCTAACTTCTTCCGAGTCGGCGTATGGATCAGCAGAGACTCGACCATTGCCAACTTGGGTACTGCTGCGACGGCCGAAACCCGCCAGGTTCTCGCTAGCGGTGCGCTGCTGGACCCACTGTGAGGCCGCTGGGCTTTGTTCTTGCCGGAGTTGAGCAGGGCTTTCGAAGGTAGGAACCCGGCTCAAGACAGGGCGGGAGTAAGTCTCCCTGGGGGGTGACTCGGTGCCGTATGCCGCGACAGTCTTGTTCGTTCGCAGAGGAGGGCGCGTCTCAGTGGCATTCATCAACTCTTCTTGCAGCGGGTCATTTCGATCCAGGTAGGAGTGGGCAGTATTGGAACGAGCACGGATGGGACGACGGCTAGGGGCTTGTCCTTGGCTGGAACTAGTTTGGTGTTAGCGTGACTCGATATGCAACTAGGAATGAAGGTGCCTACCCGGCCCACTCCCTCTTGAGCTGTAGGAGTGCCTCACGAGATCGTTCGTGATACTCAAGTTGAGCGTCTAAGAACGCTCCCATGTCCATCACGTTGTCTGTTTCGGCGTCTTTGACGTCTTGCATGCGACGAAGCACGTCGTCGTTTGCTTCCTCGTACTTGACCTTCTGGGAGCGTAGCTCTTCCTCGACACGGAAGTCTTCTTTCTTAGCTTTTTCCATCTTCGAGAGAGACGTATCGTATGCGAGCCGTCGACTGTCAAGCTTCTTTCGGGCTTGCTGGATAGAAGGTTAGATGGGCTTCATTTGGTGTTTTGAAAGCCGCGTACCTGGTAGTCTTTCATTTGGGTGAGAGATCGCTCCAGGGATTCGAGCCAGCTCGAAGTCGCCTGTGTGATGTAGTTCTCTTGGATGCGCGCGATGCGCTCTTCCGTGCGCCCAAACACTGAACAAGGTGTTAGTCGTGTTGAATGTGCTTGTGTGATAGAGTAAAAACCCACTGATCAGGCACTGTCCGTATTCCGAGTTCACGTCGAAGTCCTCGCCGTGGGTGACCATGCTGCTTCCCAAGTGGGCAATCGGGAGAGTCTTTTCCTTATCGTCCCCCTCGTTACGCTTGGAGATAGCTTTGACATAGGAGGTCATGGACTTATGAATGCGGTCAACGCCTGTGGGATAGAATTAGCATGGTATTCTCGAGGTTGGTGGGACTGATTCGCACCTTCATGTCGCACGCCCATTTCTGTCTCCATGGCCTTGAAGTTGTCGGATTGGCATGTTTTGGCCTCTCCGCCCATGCGCTCCCCGGCCCATTGTTTGAGCCGACCGATTCTCTTGTTCATATGCATGGTGTGTAAAGAAAGTTATAAGTGAAATCGAGACCAGCGATTGTGAAGGAGAAAAGAAAGGGAAGGTGGGAGGTGGGAAGTTCAGGGAGGTTGGGGGAGTAGATTAAATCACAGGGATGGCACGCCATTATGATTAAATCCAATTGGGATCTGGACCGCCACTGGTGTTTCTCGGGCCCAATGCGGGCTGTGGTCTTTTTTTTTCCAATGCAGGCCGTTGTCGATCTGTCAATCGGCGGGGATTAGTGTTACCGGTTATTACCATTGATCTGAGTCTATTCATTGAACTATTTTACAGGACCAATGTTCCGTCTGATCTATTGAAGAGAGGAATGTGCGAAATACCTCAAGTACCTACGAGTTACTCCGTACTGTGTACGGAGTCCCAGAATAGACTGAGACTCAGTCAAAGTTGTGACACGCGTTGGTGGGTCAGTGGAGAATGGCTGGAAATTCCATTGGAAGTCGAGAACTCGACAGATATTACTATAATTAACCGTAAATTATCCTGACACATCTGTCTCTTGCCACCGATCGACTTAAAGAACCTCCAGTTGCGTACGTACACTTTTTCGGTTATGTACGGGATGCATTGATTCGATATCTGCTGCAGGGTTTCAACGCTGTTTCAGGAGACAATGGGCCTAAGATCCAAAAGTGGAGTTGCATCGCCGCAATGCCACATTTTGATAAAGAACCGTATTCGTATCTTTTAATCAATAAGAAATCAAATGAACCCGGACCCTTCTCCATATGTTCAAGCCGACAAATCACCGTTCCAACGCTTGGAAATCCCATCAATCAGGTCCCAGAATTATTCGCGGGTCAATTGATCCTGAATCAGGCACCCAAATTTGATCCTCCATGGCGAGCAAGCTATCGAACTCGTTCCAGGCATCCACCCCAGATAAACCAGCCCCTTTCTCCCCAGCCCCGTCAAGATCTAGAGTCCCACCGTTCTCATGCCCAAAGCCAGGTGATACGTCAATATCTGATATAGACATGGACGAACCCGGTGAGCGCAGATTGCTCTGCGCCAAACTGGTAATATACTGGCCCGGCGTAACGCCAACATGTTTCTTGAAGACGCGCAAAAAATGACTGGACGTCAGGTCCGCTTGCGCTGCCAGTTCACCCAACTTTGGTTTCAGCCCTGCTGCCAAACTGTTTCGGATGGATTCACACGCTTTCTCGACCACCGCGGTTTGGGGGTTACTTTGAGCCGCCGTACCCGAATGCGGCCGACAGCGCTTGCAGGCCCGGAACCCAGCTTGCTCGGCCTGGGATGGGGTGTCGTAAAATTGGACGTTTGCACGGCGGGCTAAGCGTGCTGCGCAGGATGGGCGACAATAGATTTTAGTAGTGAGAACGGCGTAGACGAAATGGTTGACTGTAGTGTCGCGGGTTGTGATGGCTTGCCACCGTTCTGTCTGGGGGTCGATCGGGCTGAGCCGAGGGATCTGTTGTGTTTTGGATCTTGTGGGCATTTTTGGATATGATATCTCCAATAGAGCTCTGTCGCAGGTGTCCTGTAGGACCTGCGCTCCGATCCAAGATATCGAGTGGCAATTCCAACTCTGGGATTGATCCCAAACTGACCAATCAGCGGTCCGAACGACCATGAGCTTGAAAACCTGCGAAACCTTCCAGGGTTCCAAGCTTGGGATTCAGCCATAACTAGTATTTTGTTTATGAAGATTTATTTCTATTTGTTTGAATGGTCAGTTAAACACTCCCAGACTAGCGCGATGGTTTATTGATAGCAAATGTTTCACTCCTGAAGTCGTACAGAAATATATCCGTCCCACAGATGCCGAAGTATAGACATTTATTGCGCCTAACCACTACATAACGTTGTAGCACAGCAAAACAGATCCAATCAAATTTAAAATCCCAAGTCTCCTACCCATATAGACACACTGATAGGTACAAGTTAGTCCCGGAGGTGCATCCACAAGATCCAGGAAATGTAGAAAAGCGCACGCCCGTCTGCCCGAGTTTGAATGCGACAAAATCCCAATCTATGGATCCTCAATATTTGCTCCTATAGGTGAAATACCCACCTGCGGTTGCCAGAACTGGTATTAAGAGCAATGAGAAATTCCACTGTAAGTATACGGAGAGATGAGGGTGGCTCGACCTTCCAAACTAGCTTCACCTGTGGGCAAGATGGAGAAGTTGGGATATTAAAATTCTCAAGTTCAAGTTTATCAGTCATAACAATATGAAAAAAATCTGACATAGATATGCATAACCAATGGGACAAACACTCATAGATCTGTGGCGCACAGATGCAGTATAGGCAATTGCCATTGAGTGGTACAAAAACCTTGGAACTTTGTGAATTAAACAGACATGTACATGGTTTCTACAAGTTTTCAAGATTGAAACTATCAGAATGTGCCAAAATTCCCAATAGAGTACACGTAGAAGGCTTTAGTAGGAGTTTGCAAGAGATCGTGTAAATTGAGAAGAGTCAGTTGCTGGTCTATGCGCAGTACATCATGGATTTTGAACACAAAACGCACCACAACACAAACCTTGGGGTACTCGCGTGGGATCAAACCCCACCTCGAGTGTGGAGGTAAATCAAAGGACATTCATGATGTGCAGCAAGACCCACGACTTTACCAATTCAATGGCGAGGCATAGGTGTGAAAACCGCACAATCATCAATACTAGCATACGACTCACTCAAAACTACAAGAACTAAAAGATGATGAACAGGACAGAGGAAAAATTTAAAGGTGTATCATTCCACAGCCCCGAGGGCTTTTTGATTTTCCGTTCTGCCTGTTTGGCAGCCGTCCCCAAACCCCGTTCATCATCCTTTGGTTCGCTCGACAAGAGAAAGGATGGTGACCACAACCTTAATTCACTAGGGGCGTATGAGACGCTCATCTGCAGTCGCCTAGGTACATTTGTCTCATAGCAAAAATCCGTTTTCAACCCGTCACAAGAATAACTCCAAGAAAAAGCAGACTTAATCCTTGGTCTTCTGGGTACCGCGGAGCAGACCAGTTCTGCGGGCGGCAATGAGACCGGCCTTTTGACCCTGGGTGGCGTAGCGGGAGATGGTAGAGGCCTTACCGATGTGCTGGTGGTTACCACCACCGTGAGGCTGTAAACGAGTGTGTCAGAATGTGGGATCTCGGAATTAATCGCTTTCGCAAATCGACAGAAACTTACGTGATCGACGGGGTTCATGGCAACACCACGAGTCTTGGGCCAAGAGTTGCGCTTGACAGCGAACTTGTGCTTGGCACGACCGGCCTTGAGCAAAGGCTTGTCGGTACGGCCACCACCGGCAACGATACCAACCATACCGCGGGCGGTGTTCTTGATGACCTTCTTGGCACCGGAGGGGAGCTTGACACGGGTCTTGCCATCCTCGGGGTTGTGGCCAATGACGGTAACGTAGTTACCGGAGGTACGGCCAAGCGCACCACGGTCACCGGACTTCTCCTCGACGTTGGTGACAACGGTACCCTCGGGCATGGAGGCCAGGGGGAGAACGTTGCCGACGGTGAGAGCGGCGTTCTTACCGGCGTAGATGAACTGGCCGGTGTACATGCCCTCGTTGGCGATGAAGGTCTCGGTGATCATCTTGAACTTGTAGGGGTGACGGAACTGGACCTTGGCGAGGGGAGCACCACGGCCGGCATCGTGGATGATCTCCTTGACGACACCACGGGTGTAACCGTGAGCCTCAGCATAGTCGAGGGTCCGGAATTGGGCAGGGGCCTTGTTCAGGCGGGTGTTGGCCGCTGTAGTGAAAAAAAGAATTCGATATCAGCACTCCGTTTCCACCAATTCTGTGTGTTCCCAATTGTCCTCCTTCGTTTGCGTTCGGGGGGCATTTTTCGCAATCTCAAAATCTCAAATTTCGTGCTGGGATGGGTTTGCGGTCGCACTCACTGAAAATGGAGCCACGGCCCTTCCTCTGGTTGCGGATGACACGACCCATGGCGACTGTCTAGATGGTGCTAGGTTAGTATTGAAGTCGGACAAAAGTCGTGGGAAGTGGTAAGTCGTACCTCGAAGTGAAGATAGGCTTGTCGTTGACGAGTTGAGAAATCATCGGACACGGGGACTTGTGTGGGCTTTAGGGCGCGGTCGCTAACCTAACCCAATCTGGTCTAGCGCATGCTCGGTTACTCGAATTGCGGTACTACGAAATCAACGTCTGTGACATTTTCCTTGGATATTTGGAGAGATCTTGGATAAATTTTGTATTTGAGATGCACGGAAAAACTCTACATAGGTGTACAATGTTTTTTAAATTTCTAAAATGCCAGTTTTGGGGCTCATAAATTGAGTATTTGTAGTGAAGCCCTGTAGATTTTGGAGAGGGCACGTTAGTCATCATGATCCTTGTGCCAAGACCGCATCATTGCCCAGGTGTGGTTATCAAGTTTGGACTACACTGCGGTTGCACTACTTATTTTCTTTGATTCCTTCTATTACAATCCCATTGATGATCGGCAAAATCCTAAATTCTCCTGCTGTTACAACAGAGCAACATTTGAAGACACTCGAGAGGCATATAGTCTAGGTCTGGCACAGCATATAGTGCTAGAAATGATCAAAGTACTTCGTACTCTGGACATTGTACAGAGTATGGACTACGGCATATAGAAGCCTTGATCAACCATATGCCTCTATATGATACCATCTTTCTCATAAACTACCATTTCACATGTCTTGATTTCGGCCCAGGAATAGCACTTACAAATCCATCAAGGTATCCATGTCATATAGCTCAAGCTCTGCTGCCATTCTGTATACAAAATACATCGCATAGACTACTTGTAGCTTTTGAAGGAATTGCTTTCACCGGTTTTCCTAGGACCATTATGATTCACAATTGAAATGATTACATAGAAATAGAGCGGTGGTGCAGGAACCATTCATAATCGCCCTGCGGGCGCAATCGGTGCAGCCAGCGGGTCGAATGCGCGCGATCACTTCCTCCTCCAACATCTACTCCGGCACCTTCACCATGCCTTCAGACTCCGAGCTTTCATCATTATCGTCGGCGCCCCCGACAGACGACGAAGCTAACATGGCGACCGAAGAACCTGCTGGTATCGCAAAGTACTTCAAGAAGGAGTCTGAGACGCCGCCGCCAAAGCGAGAACCGTCACCACCGCATGAATACGTTCTGGCCGACAATCCTGATATCGCAGTAAGTTTCTATCCTCGAAAACTGATCTCGTTCATTGGACAAGTCACGATGTTATATTTGACGCGTCTCAGTCACGAGAGAACACGTTTGCTAAGCTATCGCAATCTAGTTCATCGTCATGTTTCGCGCGCGTTTCCACGATGTGTTCCCCGGAACAGTGCCACATTACGGTCCACAAGACATAGAGAAGGGCGTGGAGGAATCCCCACCTGATGAAGGCATCGAAAGACTTCTTTGCGCATTACTTGGACTTGTTTTGAATCGCAAGAAGGAAGTTGAGTATGGTCGCCACCCGTCAATTGATGCCGTGCGGAGGTGTCTGCACACGCGCTTTTGCCCCGCCTCTCAAGCTCGAATAGACGACTAACGATATATATCAATATTTAGACGAAACCACTTCACACGCCCCCTCGAAGAAGCAATTCATACACACCAGTCGCAATGGCCCAAAGCATGGCAGGGCAAAAACCCCCTTCATGGAGGTCGCAGCTTTGCGACCATGTCGCCCGTGGAACGTGTAGGCTTGAACACTTGCCACAGCCCTTGAATTGCCATTCTGACAAATTCACCTATAGTTGCAATTACTCAAAGCCTTGATACTTTGGTCGCTTTCATCTTCCGAGGCAGTTGCGGCCAAGATCAAGGAATCCTACAAACAGACACGCCACGATGACGACCTCAACCAGCCCCTGTCCGTTCAACCTTGGGGGCGGGATAGCTTGAAACGCAGATATTGGCTCATTGAAGGCCAAGACGATACAAATTTCCGACTCTACCGCGAGAGCAATCCGGTTCTCAAACACAACACTTGGTGGAGCATCGCAGGCAGTATTCCCGAACTGGAGGGTATTGCGGAGAAGCTTCAAGGCGAAAAAGGATTGAATTCCAAGAAACTCAGCGAGAAGATTCGCGCCTCCATTCCCAGATTCGAGGCATCAGAAGAGGTAATTCAGTACCCACCGAACCTAGGATCAAAACATTATGCTGACAACAATATAGAAACGTCGACGTCGTGAGTACCGTCTCGCCCGCAAAGCGGCTTTTATTCGCCCAGAACTAGGTTCCTCCTTGTACGAAGGTCGTACACGCGGAAAGAAGCTTAAGTACACATATTCGGATGACGAGGGTATGTTTTCTGATGAGCAGCCTACTACTCGTCGCTCGAATCGAAATGGGGGACCCGCAGAGGCCCCGACAGAGTCCAGACGCCCCCGGTTCACAGCAAGTGGGAGACAGATTCGATCTCGTGCCGGGGGTCTCTATGGCGAGGCTTTATTGTATGGGCAGCGTGGGGATGCCGATGATGATGAATTTGATGAGGAAGAGGAAGAGGAAGTCAGCAGGCCGCAGAGGACTCGGACTTCAATCCATCCAAATGGATACTCTGGATATGACGCCGAAGACTTGGAGGATGCATCGGAAGTTCACTCCAGTGCCAATGACAGTGGCAACGAATGGCGAGGTGTAGAGGATGATTTGGAGAATGAGAATGACTTTGAAGGCGATGATGAGGAAGAGCAAGCCAGTGGAGACGAGTCGGGTGACATTGACGAACCAGAAAGTCTTGTTGTGCAGCTTCGATACGGCAAGGGGAATTCGTCGAGCAATCCAGAAGTTCAAATCGACAAACCGCCCCCTACGGAAGACGCCGAGATGAAAGATGTTGGGGAAACTGCCACTGCAGCACCCGTGTCAGCTTCTGCGCGATCACAGCCGACGACACTCCCCCAGCAAACGAACTCCGCCGTTGAGCAACCAGTCAATACCCACGCATCACCACCTGCGCCGGTAGCCCCGGTTTCAACCCAATCTACGCCCATTGTGGCAGTACCCTCTACTGTCCCTGAATCCAAGCTGCCAGGATTTGCCTCAAAAGAGCAGATGACCACTTCTGTGCATACCGCTCAAGTTCCTCTGAGTGCCAGCATGGAGGTACCGAAGGAAAATTCAATTGAGCTGAACGGGACCGCTCCCTCTTGAATTACCCCTGTTGGCTCGAATCTTGGGGTTATTATGCAATATCTTTTGAAGATTTTACCTATTACCTTGTAAGGCTAGGAGTCGGATTATAAAGTTAACCCATATTAATTGTTGCTAAATGACCCATGCCTTTTATCAAGTCATTGTGTGATTCGGCTTTGTAGCTACCGCGACTGATATAGCGTGTAAGCTACGTCTCTAGTAATTTAATCAAGTGCCTGATGCCCAGGATCTGTCACCTTGTATGAACCTCGACGAAAGGCAAGGCAAGAAGAGGATCTAAGATATCATTACAATAACTTACATCCGAGTACACAAATAATTGCTAAAGTGATAAATTGGTGGTTGGATATCGTTAACTAGAGGCCAACCCTGGCATAGATAACAAGGAACCACACTCATCTCTCCTAATGCATCATGGGGTATCATCGTTTGTGGACTGGGTATCTCAAAAAGGGAATCCTGGCATCACCGGCTCACATTACTGTACACTCCCGATCCAATTTCTTGGTCTTCTCCTTGGATTTTTCCTTGGATTTACCTTTGGACTTCTCCCGCGTTCGACCTCTTCCACGCCTTTCCTTGTTCTCGTGAGCAGCTGGACCAAGTTTCATTTCGTCTACGGCATCCTCGAGTTCCAGCGTGAATTCATTGGTGTCCTCTTCCTCGGGGAACTCCTCGGTGGCTATCTTATCCCGACTCAGCCGCTCAGCAAAGCGTGACAATGTGGCACTGAGTCTGTTCTCGCCAGTTTGACTGCCAGCACGGCTACCAGCACGGCTACCGGCGTGGCTGCCGGCGCGACTTCCGGGATTACTCTTGGCCGAGCGTGATCCTCTGCGAGAGTAAGAGGTCCCCTTTGTATTTTCTTCTTCCATGGGTGCAAGTCTAGGCGATGAAGATGGGATCGAACGTGGCTGAAGACTTGCCCCCTGGTTGCTGCTCTCTGAGAATGCCACGCTGGATCGCCTGGCAGGATTGGAAAATATCTGCGAGCCAGTATCGGATGGTCCTGTGACTTCAACACTTGGTCGGTCGGAGGCCGCGTCCTCGGGCGGGAAGTCCATTTGATCACCCAGAGTACTGCCATCTGATGCTCGAGAAGAAGGCGCATTTTGAAGATTGACCATTGATGGGTCCTCGGTAATTGGAAGAATTTGGTAGAACAGAAGGTAGGGGGATTCTGTCTTCAAGGCTTGTTCAATGTCAACTAGTGTCACGCGTTCTGCGGCAAGATCATCGAATCGCATCCAGTGCTTTGAGGCCTCTGAAGATTCGGTGGAGGTTGGCGAGCCAGTGGGGTTGGGGCTGGTACCCCGAACAATGGCAATGTAATGTCCCGAATCGACAGAATTTCCCCTATGACAAACCAAAGCCTGCAAAGAAAGCTTGAAATTGCCATATATGGGTGCGTCTGCGTTGAGGTTGTCGTCTTGAATGAAGTGAGGTAGACCAATCTCGGTTGGTATGTCAATATGGGTATTGAGTCTGATGGCTTTTCCATCTGGCAGAAAAGAATAGCGTTTCAGGCACATTCCGAGAATAGGCCGCTTAGCAGAAAAGTGCGCCGCTACCTGCGCGTCATTCGTTGGCGTATTATCAGTATACCACGCTAGAAAAGTATCATATTAGCCGATGACACTCAAAGGTCGAAACATCAGAGATAACATACGGATCAAACTGAAGAACTGCCATGCAGGCATCATGACCTCCTTTTTGTAAGCACCGCGTTGTGTCTGGTTGTCTGGATTTGTTTCTTTCTCGGCATCGAGGTCCCCATTGTTAGTATCATCGCTTGAACCCGAGTCCGGGAAAAACCGCTCTCTAACGATACTTGCGCGTCTCCCAGCAGATCGTGATGCCTTGAGCGATTCAGAGAATTCAGTGAACGACGACCATGGACTGGCACCTTCGACTGGTGACGCATTTGTTTCCGTAGGGGACAACGTGGGGGTAGTTTCGATCTCCACTGCCTCGATGTGCGAAGTAGACCCTTTGGACATAGAATCCATTGATCTGATAGAGGCAGCAGTGTTGCGTCGTTCCAAGTGTCGTTTCACTTCAATCCTGTTGTTGAAATACGCCTCCAAGCAATCTTCAAGGGTGAGAGACGATCCATCGGTTGGCTCAGGCGGTATGGCAACCTCAAGAAGTCGTTCGTTAATGAACTTGTGGTCGTCACTTTCATCTTCTTTTCCGGTATGGTAGATATCCATTTTCAGCGTCAGTAGTGGTAGCTCCAGTTTCTCGGTAATGAAAGTGAATGCCTCTGATGCGTCTTGTTGGCGAAGTTTAGCTGCATCCTCCCAGCCACATTCTGCCAAGGCATCTTGTAGATGTCTTGTCTAGGGCTATTTGTCAGTACGGTTGTAAGATGAAGTCAATAACTCGGTTTGACTTACCATGTCTGTCGTGATGAGCTTTCCGGAACGTAGCAAATTGACCCACAGTCTCAGGAGGATCGCAAGCTTTCGGCGAGGCTCATCCGTGAAGGATTTATATAGGATAGCCTCAAAGCAGTCAAGGCGGGCAAACATGGCAAATAGCAGCGCATCTAGATAGCATGTGACACCTGAACGATTCTCGGCGCCCAGGAGCTTGGTGTTGGGCGTGTAGGTCCTGATAATCCCTTCGATAGAGTCTTCTAGAAGCAACAGCAAGCTAAAAGCCTTCTCTGTGTCTCCTTGTGTGGTTTTCAATGCATAGCTGATATGTTCCTCTTCGAGAGCCGTGATGCCAAGCTGCTTGATTCGTTGGACGAGAGATTTAACCTATGCGCAGGTTAGAAGCATGCAAAGCCGACCGTGATGCACTTGGGCTGTACCTTCTTGTCATGATCGTTGTTCTCTTCTGATATCGGCTCCGATTTGAAAAACCCTTGAAATAGCGGTCGTGAGAGAATGTGCGAGGCCTAGGAATCACAGAATAACGGTCAATGGAAGCTCTCATAAATTGCAATACTATCAAGGGAACAGAGTCTACTGGAGTAGATACCTCTTCTTTGCTTTGCTTGTTCAGCTTATGATGTCGGTCGCGACGAGTCAAAAATCTGTGAATGCCACTCATTGTTGCGAGTAGTGCGACCGACCGACGCTGAAGAGCGAGCCTTCTAGGTAGAAAGTAGAAACCCCAAGGTAAAAGGCGACATGCGGGGGATCCGGGACCTGTAGACTAGCTGGGAGCTTAGTCAAGGCTGCAGTATTTCTGTGCGCATTGAAACATATCAGGAGCAAAGCGCTTCTGACATAGACACGCGTTTGGAGGGGCCGAGCAAATTGACAGATGATTCAATTAAGATTGATGAACATCACAGGTGATCTGCGGGGCACGGGAAACTGACACCTAAGGTATTGACTGTGTATGTATTAACGCCTCAGGCGCCAAATGTTGCCCTAACTTGCGGAGTCTCGGTAGGTCAGGAGTATCCTTAATCTACAAGTTGATAGACAAGTGTGAACTTGTGTAAACTGAGGAAAAATCTAATCTATGTTAGATTTGAGAACCTCAAAACAATTTAGAGTCTGTAATTATGCCGGGAAAGCCACAAACTGCGTGTCACATTGAATGTCAGGCACCACCTTTTCTTACATCACGCAGAATGCCAGAATCTTGGAGACTGAGATGGCTCAAGCTGACTCTAGAGGTAAGAGTATTCCAAGAATATAGTAGCCAAGACCCTAGATAATGGAGCCTATCTATTGAATGTTCATTAAGAACTAGGCAAGTTGATACGGAGTATTCCCCAGTGTAATAGGATCCCTACAGTAATGCAATTCAAATCCAACCCATCCACTTCAGCATCATTATTCAACCTAGATACTTAAGTATGCGAATTAAATCCAATAAAACTCAAAACTAGATACAATAGTATCCAATTTATATACTGCTGTGGCAGAATCATCTCCACCACAAAGTTACATCATCTTCATCTAAAGCCCGCTGTCTAGCTACCTCTTTTGCAGTCTTCTTTTGCTTTGCAGCCATTTCTTTGCCAGCACGTTTCGTCATCATACGATTAGCATGGCCAGAAGTAATTGGACCTCCCATAATGGTTTGCCGCTTAGTTGAAGGGAGATTATTGGGTTTATTGCGGATAAAAGTATGATACCAGTCTTGTGCCATCTGTGTAGCGTCTTCCGCTTGACAATGCCATCCCTCGCAAATCAACCGCGATCGGGTTCTCAGAGTCTCAGGATCATCAAATATCGACTGAGCAATCTCTCTGTCAAGTTCATGAGTGCTTCGAATCATTTTCGAAATATCCGGGGATGGAGAGTTGGTAATTGATGCGGTAATGAGGCTAGTTTGTTTAGCAGCCATTCGTTTTGCTTCTTTTGGCTTTTGGACAGTCTGATGGTTTTGGTAATGACGTGTAATTCGACGTAGAAAATTGTAAACCCAATTTTTGTATAGCGGGGTTGAATGCGACGCGTCGCGCACAAACATAGTATTTGCAGCCGATTGAATCTGCGAAGCATTGGGTGGTGCGCCAGAATTATCTAGAACATTGATCCAGCGAACCAATTCTGCTTCCTGATCGGCATTTAGTGCTTTGTTGGTGGGAATACGCTCGTTGCGAGATTTGCGACCGCGAATTCGACCGTACAATCGGGAATATGGAACCCCAAATTCATCCGCAAGATGGTTGATTTTTGCATCTTATCTGGTTCGGTAAGCTTCAATAGCTTCAGCTAGTGCTAGCTCGTTCGTTTTAGGTCGTTTTGGCATTTTTTGGAGGTGCTTTGGGGGATTGAAGTGGATGAGTTGCTGTAGGGATTCTATTACACTAGGGAAGCGGGGGCGCCAGAAAGAGCCGGGTGGTCATTTCTCCGCAGTCATGTGATGCCTTGTTTATAAGGCAACAACTGACAAACGCACGTGACTGGTTCCGCGCGAACTTTTTGGCAGGGCCCGGGATGTACACGAATTCATCACCTCCACAATCTTGACATAATGGCTGCCAGAGAGCCATCTAGGTACCTCACAAGGGCATTGCCCCGAGCTGCGGCTCCTTCAATTCGTCCCCAGGGCTTTTTATCGCGCCGCAATGTCTCCGATGAGGCCCCGGCCAGACGTCTGTCGGACCACTTCAGCGATTTGGAATCGACATCCTCCTTGTCCACCCCCGTATCAGCCAATGCTGCAAGCTCATTTGATCCGCTTGCACGAGCTGCCGCTCGCAAGACTAAGCTGCCCCGAGGCCGGTAAGAGCACACCCAATCCAGCCATGCGCAATTGGCATCGAAATCAACGAACTCCCGCTTACCCAAACATCCTCATTTAGATACCAATTCCGTTCTCCTAAATATGACCGTGGTCCTCTCCACCCTCACCAGCCACCCCCAGAATCTCACCCCTCCTCCCGGCTGTTCGTTCCCGGTCCCTTCTCTTCTCCCCGTGCGGAGCAGAGCTACGAATCCACCGTTGCCCCCGACATCATGACCCTGTGCTACGTCCACACTCCCCCTGGCTTCAAGCCCCCTCCCAAAGCGCCCCGTCTCCGCGAGTGGGACGACAGCTCACCCTACCACAAGAACCGTGTCCTCCGCGGTCCCCGTGGTGGTGATGTCCTGCGCCTGCTCCGCAAGCCGATCAAGTTCAACAACATCCCTGAGATCGAGCGCATCACCATCCACAGCTATGTCAAGAACGCCGCGGCCGAGAACTCTACTTGGCTGCACGTTGCCGGTATTGCCGTCCAGGCAATCTCTAACATGCGCGTTGAGACTTTCAAGTCCAAGTCCAGCGTTGCTACCTGGGGTATTCACCCCGGTCGTGACACTGTTGCTGTCAAGGCTGAGCTGTTCGGTGAGAACATGTACCACTTCCTTGGTAAGTTGGTCGATGTGGTTCTGCCTCGCATCAAGGATTGGGAGGGTGTCAAGGGTTCCTCCGGTGATAGCAGTGGCAACATTACTTTCGGTCTGGAGCCTGAGAGCGTTGCTATGTTCCCCGAGATTGAAGTCAACTATGACATGTGAGTGTTTTATGCTGTTCCCAATTTGGTGCGCTTTGGAGGTCAACAGTACTAATATGTTCCACAGGTACCCCCCTAAGATGATTCCTGGATGTCACATCACTCTCCACACCTCTGCCAAAACTGATAAGGATGCTCGTCTCCTCTTGAGCGCTATGGGCCTGCCTTTCTACGGAAAGATTGTCAACTAAAATGGGGCTGTTCTTGAAATCCCTTCGTCTTTTCATTATATCTCCGCTTGGATGGTTTGGAATATCCAGCATGTAACTTTAGAGACGGCCTTTGTAAGGTCATTGTGATTATTTGCAATTGTGTACTATTTTCTATCTCAAATCCAGTCTACCACTTACAGCGATAATTACTTTACAGAAAACATGTTTTAGAACACGCGGAAAACCCAAGGGCCTCGCTGAAATGAGTAAATGCAGAAAAAGGGCCAGTAGCCGAGATAGGATTCAAGACGGAAAATCACCATCATACGTAAGGTCATGTCACAGGCGTGTATCGAGACACGTGAGGCCGGGAAGAAACAGAAAAAAAGCCGCTAATTATGCGATGGGTGTAGACAGGAACTCGCACTTAAGCAGTTCGTCTGCAGTAGGTCGCTGCTCGTACTCCAGGTGGAAAGTCATATCAAGGAACTTCTTGGCCTCTTGGCTTACATGGTCTGGAGCAGGGGGACGAGCCTTGTTACTTCCAATGGCAAAGATAGCTTGCAATTGACTGCAATCAGGGAAGGGGTGAGCGCCAATGAACATTTCAACGACAAGACATCCCAGACTCCAGATATCGGCTTTCTTAGTGTGTGCGGTTTGTCGTACAACTTCGGGAGCCATCCAGTACACACTGCCTTGAAGGGATGTTCGGTGGATGTGACCACCACCGCTGCCACTGGCGCGTGCACCAAGGAGGTGGGATGCTTCGACACGTTTTGAGATACCGAAATCGGAAATCTTGACACCACCCTTGTTATCAACCAGGATGTTGGCACCCTTGATGTCACGGTGGATGATGTCCTGGCTGTGCAGGTATGATAAACCAGCCAAAATTTGTCGAACAAAGTTCTTGACCAGAGGCTCTTGGAATGTGTTGTATTGCTTCAACATTGTAGCAATGGAACCACCGGGAACATACTCCAGGAAAATGTTCAGGTACTGGTCATCGGCGACAGTACCAAGGTATTGCACAATGTTCGGGTGGGACATGCCTTGCAGCAGTTCAATTTCATGCTTCAGGGCGGTGACCATGAGGTTTTTGCGTTGATCAAATTCGGTGCCCTTGGTAGCGGATGGGATTTCGACTTGCTTAACGGCCATTAGCTCTCCGGTGATGGCGTGGAGAGCCAAGAATACACTTCCAAAGGAACCCTCGCCGATCAAAGATCCCTTCATCCAGTTCTTAGGGGCGAAGTTGTTCCCAGCCAAGAAGTCAACAAGGCCGTCGTCTTCCTCCTCGCCATCCTCGGCCACAATGACGCTCATTCGATCATTGAACGAACCACCATCTGTAGCAGCGACGCTGAGGCTCTCAAAGCTCTGGCGTAGGGGATTGGGTTCATCAACTCCATCAGAGTTACTTTCGAATGAGACATATGACTTGCGGTTCGGCTCGGTCGGTGATTCCTCCTGGAGCGGCTGAAGAGAGCTAGATGCGATAGAATCCCGATAAGAGGCCTGAGGCAGGTTGAATCTAGAAACCGAAATGGGCCTTGGTGCCCGTAATGCCTGTGCATGCCCAGGGCCTTGAAGCCATTGGTCTGCGATGCTAGGAATGGGAGGAAGTTGGGGTAATGGCGGTAATGGTGGCGCATCTTTCATGCTTGACGCAACACTGTAATTGCTCACAACACTCATGCGACTTGCCGCACGACTGAGTCGTTGAGATCTGCGCATCGTCTTTTCAATATTTTCTCGGTCATGACTAGGGAAGAATGATTGCAGTTCGTGAATGATCATCTCACTAGGGGGACGCTGCCCAAAGAATGAACGAAGCTTGGCCGCTGGGTTGCGTTCTTCATTTGGTCCCCGTTGTTCTTCAAGGCTCGAGTTAGATGGACGATGCCGAGGACCCAGGGGAGACAGCGGCTGTTTGATATTATGCCAGGATTCGCCGGTGAGTTGCTGAATCTTATTTTTCTGGCGTGTATTGGAATTATTCATAGCATGCTGATGTGTGGCCTGGCTTTCATCATATGCTAGCTGAGAAGCCCGACGAAGTTCGTCTTGGTCAGGCTCACCAGCATGGATCTTCCGAAGAATTAAACGACCTCGCTCGGATCGATTGTAGCTCTCGCAGATGTCCATAAGCTCAGTTTCGGCAAGCTTTCGGCAATTTGACAAGTCCGGGTCGAGCCCATCCAGTACGTAGAAGCAATAGTTTCGGTACTGGTGTTCTGGAAGCTGGAGTTTCTTCAGCACACATAGAATAACTTCGTCTGGCGTTGCGCAATTCCGAATGTCCAACACCTTTGTTTGGCCACCTGTGTATATCACACGAATGACAGGTGAATTTGACGGTAGAGGGCCCATTGTGAGACCGTCGAGACTAGGGTTGCGAGGGTGGGAGCTTCCTCTGCCTTCGTTTGGTGTGAGGGGGTTTCGGCCAGAACTTGAGCCTCCAGAAGATGGATTGTTGTAATCTTTGCGCCATGTTACCCTTTCGGAGTCTCCGGCGGGTGGTGACCCAGGGAGATAACCATCATCAGCCAGCTGAGATGTGCGTCGATAGGGAAGGCGGGAGTGGGAATAACGGGAGGAATTTGAGAGGGCTGTGGCTTCGAGCGCAGCTAGAGTGTTCTATATCCAAATTTAGCATAAAGAACGGCTAGTCATCGCACCATGGTCCGACTTACCATGTTCTTCTGTCGTGAGGTCGTTCCGGATTTGTTTCTGAGTTGCTTAATGGCGACGAAAATGCGCACTCGGTCGCCCACTTTTTTAATTCCCATTTCCTGTAGGATCTTCTGGTCGCACTCGAGCAGATTGTCGCCGTTGAAGTTGTTGGCTAAGAAGCGTTAGCGCACTCATCATGGGCCCTTCGTCCTGGCAGCCAAACGTACACCTGAAGAGAGATTCATATTGCCCGCACTTGATACTGTGAAGCCAGGTAGCCACTCGTTTCTCGTCCCATGCCCTATCAAATGTCAGGATCGCCACGCCAATGCCCGTGTAGCATAAGATTGTGCCTACCGGATCGATGCAAGATCATCTTGCCCCTCTGACAGCTCGGATTTTGTGGGGCTGATGAAACCCGTTCCGTCTGGAGCTCTGGTAGCTGTTGCGGGTCTCTGCGAGGGATTGTGGTATGCGGCGGGTAACTGAGACGGTGCACTCGGTGCAGAGTATTGCTTGGGCGCCAACATGGTGAAGAGGGGTCAAGCGAATGACTTCGGGTTCGGGCACCGGGTTGCTGGTGATAAGTGTCCACGTCCTTTCCTCCGCCCGGGGCTGCGGAAGTCCTTCACGATCGTAAAATTCCAGAGAAGAGATGCGACGGAGGTCAACACATAATCCCGGTTCCCTGATAACCAGTCAGTCGCAATTGGATTTTTGAGTCTCGTCCGACCCCGCGAGGTGTCGCGAATCTGCTGCAACGGACAAGACAAGACAAGGACGCATATTGGGAGACACTGACCAGGGATAAAGCAGAAGGATTCTAGGCAGGATCAGAATGAGCTCAACGCAGCTTACCGTCTGAGCTTTTTTGGGGCGAGATCGGGCGGGCCAGATTAGTGTCGTTTCGATCGACAAGATAACGCTGGACGACGTCCCCCACTTGAAGAGCGTGAGATGAGAAGGATGAAGTTGAGGATCTCAGATTTGAGGAATCTGAAACTCGCAACCCATGGAACCCGTGGAGTTCCAAGGTTCCTGACTAAGGTGACATTTTTCCAAAAGTTCCGTATTGAGGTATGTATGGACATGTATTGAAGTGTATCATATGTATCAAGGGGCCACCCAGTTGGTGTGTCTCACCCTTTTTAAATCATAGGATAATACGGTACATTTGTATTGATTTGTATTTAGTGGGGTACTGCATACTTCGAAATCCACCTCGTTTCATCGATATAAATATAACTATCGATACAGTCCGACGTTCTGGTATGTGTACCGAGCATGGTGGAACATGTATCCACCGATGAAACAGCGGCTCTATAAAATGAAACTTCAGAAGACTCAATACATTATGCACCGAATCGTTAGTGGGGGTCTATTGAACTCAATTGAAGCCTTCGCTCTATTTTGCCCATTCTAAAGTTCTAAATTTGTACGTACCCGCACATGTCTACGAATCTCGTAACTACGGAATACTTTGCATACTTCCAGACTCTGACCGGCTTCCACCGATTCTCAAGTTACCGGCAAATTTTGATATAGCTTTCTTTTTTCTTCCGGTATATTGAGTTTTTTGTTTGAAAAGGGTTGGTCGAAAAGAGAGAATTTTGATTTCATGGTTTCGTTCTGGAGTGGTGAATATATATAATTTGGCTGAAAAGCCCTGGAGTATATCTTGATCTACAGATCTATACATGTCCTTTGAAGTACCCCCGGGTGTCCTTCTTACTTACTTCAGTACCGAGAAGCCACGTCTATATAACCCTAGAAAAAGTGCCCGAGGAGGCACAGACTGAAGCTATAATCCAAAAATATGGTCTCATGGCTGTGGTACTATGACCTTGGAATAGATCACATTTGGGGTTTTCCTACATACAACGCATGTCGGGCACTTCCCACAACACTCCGCACCCGCATATGAATATCCACCATGCACTTGAATAACAGATGATGACGATGCATAGCCAGTAAGCTAGTCCGTACCCCAAAAAGAACCTAGAACACCAGAAGTACTTAAGTATATATCGTGTTTACTCGAGGGTTATGTATACACCACGTGACCGTCCCCTCACCAGGGCCCCCCACAGTCGAATTTCCCCGCTCAAACAGCCGGCCTCAGATTCTTCCCCTCTCTACTGCGCTCCAATCCCAACCCCCCAAACCCTCATTATGGAGGAAGAAAAATCAAAATCCAAGAAGAAAGGTGCCACTCACCGCAAGTCTCTGTCGTGTGAATATTGCAGTCGATCTTTCGCTCGCTTAGAGCATCTCCAACGCCATCTCCGCACACGTTGAGTAACCCCCTCTTCCCCGGCCGGGTTTTTTAGTCTAATGTAGGACAGATACAAAGGAAAAACCCTTCTCATGTGACATCTGCTCCAAATCTTTTGCTCGGAGGTAGGCTTCTGTTTGTGCCCAATGCCCAATGCCAATCGCTCATATCATTTTGCAGCGATCTTCTAGTGCGACATGAACGATTAGTACACCCTGCCGAAAGTGCTGCCAGTCGAGAGCACCGAGCTCAGAATGACTCCGAACCAAAACATGAAATACCCATACAGTCCAACCTCATCCATCCGCCCCACCATGAGTCGCGCATGTTAGAACTTGCAGACGCCATTCCAGTACACACCCAAATTCCTCCACCTCCTGCACCCGAAGTTGTTCACACTCCATCGATCATTGATACACCCCACTTCAATCCATCGTGGGGCTATGATCTGAACCTGCTATCCCATGCCGCAAGTCATGTCGCCCTAGAAGGTCAACAGGAGAGCTTAGAGTCTATGAGAAAACCCTCACATACCTCTGCCCCGATCTCACAACCCATTCCCCAAGTCCAAGAAAGAGCGATTGCCGATAATTATGGTGTAGAGCCTTCAATCCTTGATCTCGCAGATCTTGGGGACCCTGTACAGGATTTCACAGTCTTCCTGGAGAGTGTGGGCCTATCGTCAGATTGGGACTCCGGCGTATTCTCATCAGTCGAGGAGCCCATGCTGCCACCAGGCATGGGAATGGACACAAAATCAACTCGTGACACATTACATACACGGCTGGGCGGGGATCTGATGAACGACTCGCGAGGGCCTGCGGATGACCAGCCATCATTTTCGAACTTTGGATCCCGACTTCCATCATTGCAGCCGGAATCTCACGAAATGGACGATCGAATTGGCCTTGCCGATGATAGCACGCGACCAGCGTGGGATATCTCTAATTCGGAACGACAGGCGTTTATCATGAAACTGGAAGAATTTTCATATGTCCTCCCGAAAGGATTTGTTCCGCCATCACGTCATGCCCTATCTCGGTTCTTTGCTGGATATATTAATGGGTTGAATGAGCATTTGCCATTTATACACGTCCCGACGCTTTCTGTCGCCAAGTGCTCCCCTGAGCTCACATTAGCTCTGGCAGCTGCAGGTTCGCACTATCGATTTGAAAACAGCCGGGGTATTGACCTTTTCCATGCTGCCAAATCAATTTTACTAGAGCGTCTCCGCCGAAGAGACAGCAAGCAAGTTCCACAGCCGTCATGGAACTATATTTCCCCACCCTCTGGTTTTCATAACTCTCGTGGCTCGTCGATGATGTCTAACACGGCAAGCAGTCCGTATCAGCATCATCCCCAGCATATGTCGAACGCCCCAGTGAGCGCGTCAATATACACATTAGATGACTCAGATGCTCATATGGAGGTGATCCGAACATTTTTGCTGCTGACTGTGTTTGCCTCGTGGGAACGACACCCCGAGCTCCTACGGGAAATTCTCTCGCTTCAAAGTACCCTGGCAAGACTTGTACGTGAGCATGGTTTGTCTGAACCACCTCCCACCCCGGATCCCATTTCATGGGAAGAGTGGGTACGAAGAGAAGGCAACAGGCGCACCAAGCTCATTGTGTACTGCTTCTTCAACCTCCATTCGATCATGTATAATATCCCTCCATTAATCTTGAATGGGGAGTTGAAGTTGAACATGCCGTCCTCACATGATCTTTGGAAATCAAGCAACGCGCTTCAATGGCGTCGTGTCAATCGAACTCGACAGGGTTCAGATGTGCCTTTCCAAGAAGCATTTGCCAGACTCTTCTTAAAGTCTTCGGTATCTCTTCCGTCGGCGCCGATATCCCCTCTTGGAAATTATATTCTGATTCATGCAATCATCCAACAAATCTTCTTTGCTCGACAGCTCTGCCTATCTGCACCTCACATGCAAGGTACCAGCTTAAGACATGACGATTTGAATGTGCTTGATAATTCATTGAATGCATGGAAGGCCCTGTGGAAACGCACCCCCGAATCCAGCATTGACCCCCAGAACCCTGCGGGCCCAATCGCCTTCACCTCCACGGCTCTACTGGGGCTCGCCTATATCAGGCTGCATGTTGATCTTGGTCCTTGCCGCCACTTGATCACACAAGACCCCGTCCAAATTGCGACAGCTTTGACCGAGTCACCTCCTATCGCACGCAGCCCGCGGCTGATAATGGCATTACTCCACTCAGCCCATGCTCTGTCTATCCCGGTACGACTGGGAATCGATTTCGTGGCTAGAACACACTCGTTCTTCTGGAGCATTCAGCATTCTCTATGCAGTTTGGAATGCGCTTTCCTTCTAAGCCGCTGGTTGCTTTCCATCCCTGCAACGCAATCTGAACAGAGACTATCGGAGCATGAGCGGAAATTGCTCTTGTGGATCAAGAGCATGATGGATGAAACTGAAATGGCTGTTGACCCACCCGGTGCGCCTGACATGGATTTCATGGCGAATCCATACAAGGTTCGTCAGCTGAGTGTTGCTATTGTTCGTGTCTGGGCACGGACCTTCAAAGGCAATACCAGTTGGGCGATTGTAGACCTGGTCGGTTCAAGCTTAGATGCTTATGCTGACCTTCTGGAATGCTGAGCCAAGTGTCTGTTCAATTGCAAAGTTGGCCTTTTGAGCCAAATACCTTGCACTGGCAACGACATCGGTATGCCTTCTAAAGGACCGATGAAAGTTAAAACTAGAGATCAGGCCCCCAGCTAAGGCTGATGCTGATTTCTATTTGTTTTGGCCGAGAAAAGTATTGACGGTCTTCTTGAAAGGTCATTCTAATAATGCTATCCATGGATTGACTACGTGTTTTTGGATGATGTCTGGGAGTTTGGTTTATGGGTGACCGGGATGTGGGGATATCTTTCAACTTCCTCTTTGTGTGTTTGTTTAACTCTGTATGTATTATGATTTTGTCACTTGCTTAGTGCTGTCGATACCCCGTCGATGTTTACTGAAGACAATGCCACTTGTTCATCCTGTCTGGGTTGGTTTTGTTCCTTTGGATGGATGCTTTCGACCAATTTTCTGCTACACATCTACTTGTCCTCCAAACATCTTTACGATGCCGTTCAAGTCCCATTTTAGCGATTTGCGGCGGAATATTAGAGAATACAAGGGACATAGATATAGAGATTCTCCTGAAACCAAAGACTCGGTATATTTATGCTGCCTTGTGAGAAGAGCTATTTGCCAGAAGCTTTGCCTCGGTTTCTCGCGACGCTTGTGGGCACGAATTTCAGAGCAGACATGGACTTTTCTAGCTCATCGATCTCCATGTCATCTGGTGTCTTCTTCTCAGGCAATATGTTGGCGGGTGGGTTTGATTGGGAAGCTGAGCTTCGGCGGCGCAGCCTCCCCTCTAGTGCAGATGATGTTGAGATACGCCGTCTGTGACTGTTCATAGGCCGTAGCATAGAGCTTTGTTTGTCAATCCCGTCATTGACGATAAAGAAGTTGTAACTCTATAGATTGTGTGAGTGGTATATAGATTTGGAATTGATTCGATTTCATACCCTTGGGAACATGTGCTTGTCAATCAGATGGAGACGCCGTTTCTGAGGAGTGGAGCACTTCCGCTCGCAGTCCTCGACAAAGCATCCATACTATAATTTGTTTTAGTTGGGGTCATAGTATAGCAATTGGGAGGCCAGAGCTTTGGGAAGCTTACAGTCTTCTCGCCTCGGGCTCGCCGGGCAGCAATCAGTGGGTCATGGTTTTCCTCGATGTGTACATTGAGTAAATGACCAACTGGAAAGTTCTTGCTGCACTCAGAGCAGCGATTGACATGGTTCTGAAGGTAATGAACCTCGTAGTCCTCGTAGGAAGTGAATGAGAGTGTCTCGCGGTGAGGCGGTAAGGAGCAATGCATCACCTCGGGCAAGGCTTTTGTATCAGCAACCACGTATTTTGCACGCTCGGTAGAAGTATCAGTGGCGTTTCCTTCAGCAATATATGTTGAGATCGAGTCTTTTGAAGGAGATGAGGATACCGAGTGGCCTCGGGGACGTTTAGACATGTTGATCCAACTCGCCTTGCATATGGATTGATAGGTCGACTTGGCGAGGGGTCGCGTAGTGGAGCCCAGTAAGAATCAAAAGACGGTCTATGACGGGCTTGCCGTTGATCAGTGCATTTTGACTTCAATTACTCTCATTGGAAAGTCGATAAATATTGAGAATGTATGGAGTATGAAGAGTAGATGTTCGGAGAGCACGTAATCAGCATACGGATATAATACCTCCCGCCTTGGCGCCACCAATCAACCAGAACATCGGGGCCGCATTTATGCGTTTTCCATAACTCGACGCCCAGCTTCACTTTATGTCTCCATTCTGATGGCTTGTTCACTGTCGACCTTCAAAGCCATAGCCATTTGACCGGCGAGGTTCTCGGGATCCCCCGAGCCAACTCACTCATGGCGCCCTTTACGGAAGCCTGGAAGTTAGTACTTCTTTCCCCTCGATCTCGGCTGAATTGCGAACTCCCATCTAACCAGTTTTGTATTATAGGGCTGCCGTAGAAGCTGAGAAGGGGCTTCTACAATGCTTCTCACAGGAACGTCGCACCTTCGATGAATTCGAGCATTACCTGGCCGAGTCAGTCGTTTCGAAAGCCCCGCGCGCACCGTCAGGCTGACACCTTTGCACATAGATTCCGGACATCATGCCAAAACGCACTACTCTTTGACTTCAATGCCGCCCGTGAGGCCGACGTGGAGGTTCGGTTGTGGGATGCGCATTTGAAAGTGAACAATCGGTTCCGCAAGCAGCTGCTTCGCGTGAGTGGCGCGCAGTATCCCTTTGCCAGAGTGGTATAACTGATCATGTATATGCCGGACCAGTTTCGCGAAGAGCACGGCAAGAAGAAACCGGTCGAAAGACGGAAACTCGAACGTCATTACCTCGATTTTATCAAGTCCAGCCAGCGGTTCTACAGGGGATTCATCCAGCATTTAGCCTCCCGCTTTGGGGGAATTCTTGAGCTGGAGAGAGTTGCGCGCAAGTTCAATTTTGAGAGTAAGGCACACCAAGGGCTATACGCTGGGGCCGCCGATATACTAACCACCCGATGTATTCAGACCTGTCCGGCCAACCTCCCATCAAGCCCTCCGGCGAACTGCGCACACTCATTATTCAATCGTGTCACTCGACCCTCATTCGTCTAGGAGACCTCTCCCGTTATCGTGAATCAGAACTCGTCAGCAAAGATCGAAATTGGGGCCCTGCTATTGGCTATTATGATTTGGCATCTGTGATCAAACCAGCATCTGGTGCATCTCAGAATCAGCTAGCGATCATAGCTCTGGCTGATGGAAACCATCTTCGTGCCATGTATCATCTCTACAGAGCTCTCTCGGCGCAGGAACCCCATCCTGCGGCCAAGGGCAACCTGGAACTCGAATTTCGAAAAATCATGACCGCCTGGGCAAAAAAGGAATTGATCCGCCCCGAAGATGCTGGTATTCCCGGTAGAGCATTGACACCATGGTTTCTTTATCTTCACGCCAAATGCTACAAAGGCACTGACTTTCCAGAGCATGATGAGCTCGAGAGCGAGGTTCTCAGTCAATTAGGAGTTGAAATAAGAGAAAGATCACTCGAAGGCACACTTCAGAAGTTCTGTCTCATCAACATCGCGGCCGAGGATTATGCCAACTACCGTTCTACCAGTATGCGTGACCACATTGCTGCTACTTTCGTTGAGCCTATGCTGACCTGTCTCTCAGAGGAGTCTGTGTCTGACGCGCGCGTTTTCTTCCAGCGAATTAACGTCAAAACGTTCTTTACCTTGCTCCAAATCCTTCTGGCTGAGCTAGAAAGAACAGCCTCCTTTGAAGATTTAGGCAAAGACTCACTTCCGAGCCCAGACAAAGTTTCCGTGGTAGCACGTCGGATTCTGCCTGCACTTCGCCATTACAGTTCCTGGCTACTTGCGAACAAGCAATCTTTGATCGATCAAAAGGAAGAGAAAGATTCAGCACTCTCGATCCAGATCAAGGAGTTCTGGAAGATCTACGCCAGCACACTGAGCTTGATCGCATCCTCCTTTGACATAGCCAGCCTTCCTCAAATTGACTACTTGTTGGAAGAAGACGAGGAAAGCCTTGGTTTTGCGCCTTTGGATCAAGAGGCTACTAACCGTCGATACGTTTCAGAGAGTGCTCAGCCAAAACCTCGCATGCTCGACCTTGGAGTAGAAAGAAGCCACCCTAACATGGAAATGCTCTATCGAATCCGCGATTTCGTGATTGATGGACTTTACTTGGTTTTGGAAGGTGTATGTGAAATTTGCATGAACAACCGAGCTACGCTAACCTAGTGCAGAAAATCCCGGTTGCCCTTGTAAGAAATGGCGAAGACAGGAAGACTTTCATCTATAAGGAGGAGGATCTACCATCGCAATTCTTCTCCAGCCCCGACGACCGAAACCATGAGCTTTCGGCTGGAAACATTGAGCGCGAGGATATTCCACAGGCCCCTCAACATCCCTACTCTGCCGCTGAAGCCCAAAGTCTGTTTGGTGGCTCTCAATCGGCATCGGCATCTATGTCTGCAAACATGCACCAAATTGTTGAGGGTGTTGAGCGACTGGTGGATTCGGATACATATGAAAATCCCTCCGATGACCAATACGCATTCTTGAGCCCGGTTGGGGAGATTCTTACGCCTACGCATGTATCCCCAAACCCCAATTCCTATCCTTTTGGGGAACAAAGCTCGCCGCCACTCAATAACCATATTGTTCCCCCGCCTGGGCTTGGGCCTCCTGTTGCAAACGGAGCTGATCTGCTCCGATCGTCCTCGGCTCAGTCATATACCCCAAGGCCCACCATACCCAGCATACCCAGCATCTGGAATCTAGGAAGAGATAATGCTTCTCCCAGAACCCCTCCAGGTCTAGGCCCACAAGCGCTGGTTGGCCAGCAAGCTCCGCTGCATTCCATGGCTGCTGGAAGTGGCATGTCATCTGAACGCTCACCGTCCCAAGATCAACTTGCAAATGAGTTGATGCTTCGGCAGCACCTCTTGGCGCAGAGCCACCAGAGCCAATTCTCTAATTCGGTAGATGTAGGATCAATGCCCACGCCATGGCCATCGTCCAACATGTCTTCTGCACAGTCCCGTCCCACTGGTAACGGCTGGGACCATGGTCGAACAACCTTCGGTGCATTCGAGCTACCAAGTCAAGCACCCTCTAGCAGTATGGGACATCCATCATGGGCGAACGAAGCTTTCATCGCCAGCAGCCTTGCTAGCGGAACTCCCTACGGCTCCGGCATTACAGGCCGCAAGCCCATAACGCAACTCGGGGCGGTCGGCCAAACGCCACCGTGTGGCCAAGGGGGTTGATTTGAATATTGAGGGCACATGCTCTTGATTTTTACTTTGAGTTCTTTTGACGGTGCATATGCATACAACATCCCCGGCTGGGCAACCTTCCTGACTTGACTGCAAACTTGGCCTCCAGTAATCCTGGCTAGTGCTATACTTGTCTTCTTGGGATTGTATGCCTGTGATATTCGGTGCGACTCGTTGCGTCGAATCAACGCATCTATCTCCTCACTAAATGCACACTTGCAGCGACCATTTGCGATTGTACTGCGGTGCACCAGTTCACAAACCGCAAATTCTGTCCTCATTTTCTCTGATGTGAGAATTTCGGCCTCGTAGCGAGAACACATCGGTTCTTCCCAACACTTGAGGTTACCCATGTTCTTGCTATCAAGATTGGCCTGGGCGGATATGCGCGTTCAACACGCGGCATGATTGGAATGAGGAATTGCTCAAGGCAATTTGTCTTTGAAGGAGACATTTATTTCGTTTTGCTTCTTGCCTTCTCTTCTTTGCGTGCAAAATGACTAGTTACATCCCTCGTTCTTGTCCTTGTCTTCTAGTTGTGTCTTGTCTTCCACGGTCAGGGGACAGTGCCACTTATGGTACGTTAGCTCCCAGTTTTAGGTATTGGGCTTCCAAAGACTACTCTGGTTCGGTACTCTTGATACAGTCGTGTCGGTTAGATTCTTGAATATCAATAACCTTCCTGTGGTGCCTTGTTCATGCTCTGTAGAATAGATGCCTTGGTTGTTATTGCCCAGGCTGGACTACTTCTTCTGGCATGCGGCCACAATTTTTCGCGAGATGCATATTCTGACCTTCTCTAGAACTCATCAAGACTGGCCAGATGTGCTTTCACCTTGCTTCATCTGTGGTTGAACTTCCATAAGACTGCATAAGCTAGGGATTTAAGCAGGTACTTTAGAAATTATGTTCTTTGTTTCATTCAGTTATTGAGACAGTACGTTGAAGTCATCATGGGTTGAGAGAAAGATGGGGTATAGAGGGTTGAATCATCTGGAATCATGTGGTGCTCATCCGTTGTTAGAACTGGATTATGGCACATAATCCTCCAATATCAAATTGGAAGATGTGTTGAAGGTAGTTGAGTAGTCTATGCTTTTTTCGTAGTCTACATTTTGCTGGTTTAAGAACGAGAGTAGGTCTGCTTGGGGGAGGGGAAGCTATAATTGGACAGAAGTTAGCGAGATGTCCATCGACAGTTGAAACAATCACCAGGCTTGAGCTAGATGAAGTCGCAGGGGTATGTAGAATGGAAAACTCACGAGGGTCCAAGCTCCTGGATGCTCTTGCTAGCGAGCCACTGGCCCATGTCGATGCTGTCATCGAGGGACTTTCCAGAGACGATACCGGCACAGAAACCACCAGCGAAGGCGTCACTTTATATAGGTCAGATACACGTAACGAGTCAGGTTCAAAGATCACTTACCCGGCACCGTTGGTGTCGTTGATGGCCTCCTTGGAGATCTCGTGGACGTTGAACTGCTTAACCTCGACGGCACCGGAGGCAGAACCGGTGGCGACAATGGTAGGGAGGGTGCCCTGGGTGACGATGGCCACACGGGGACGCTGGGTGTTCTTCTTGGGGAGTTGAGCGAGCTTCTTGGCGATCTCGGTGATGTCCTCGGTGCCCCACTCGTGGCTCTGAGAGTAGGCGATGGCCTCGGTCTCATTGCAGAAAGTGTAATCGGTGTAAGGGAGAACACTGTCCAACTGCTCCTTGAAGAACTGGGGGATGAAGGGGGCAGAAAGAGACAGCATGAAGGTCTGACAAACCAATGCATTAGAACAAAGTCCGATGTTGTTTTCTGCCTTGAAGTATATAACGTACCTTGTTCTTAGCCGCGGCCTCCTCACCAAGAGCGATGATGGCGGGCACGCAGACAGTCAGGTGGTAACCACCGACGTAGTAGACCTGGGCCTTCTCAACCAGAGACCAGATCTCGGGCTGCTTCAGGTGCTCAATCTTGTACTCGTTTGCGGCAGCAAGGTGGGTGCACATGCTGCGGTTGTGACCAGTGATGACAACACCACACTTACCGGTGGGCTGGGCATCATCGACACGGTACTCGGTGTGGACACCGGCCTCCTCACAGGTCTTCTTGAGGATGTCACCGTACTTGTCCTTACCGATGCAGCCGATGTAGACAACGGACTGTTCGGGGAGAATGTACTGATAGCAAAAATAGTAAGAACCCATTCTTAAGGCACCAAATAATTACTAAGAGCATACCTGAGCACCACGGGCAGTGTTTTGAGCGGCACCACCGGGGATCAGCTTAGCATCCCGGGAGAGGAGGTCCTCGTAGATACCCATGTGCTTGTCCTCGGCAAGGATGGCATCGTTCTCCTTGAGTCCGTACTTCTCAAGAAGAGCGGCATCACTAAATACAATCAGCTTGAAACTCGACAATGATAATTTCAAAAGCACCCATACCCACGAGCCTGGATGTCTAGATTGCAAGTTAGAATTGAATCTTATATAAAATGGAACATGAGTCACATACCGAGGAGAGGGTTCTCCAGACAGAGAAGAGGGTAACCTTGAGCAGCAGCCATTATGATATGATGATAATAATCTGGATAGGAGACAGAAAAGGTGGGCGAAGGTGGGAGGAGATATGGCGGGGCTGGCAGAAAAGAGCGGACAACAAGGTATCTCCACCGGTTACGGCCGATGCTTGTCCGACCTTAAGCCTGCATTGTCAAGATCCCCAAGCTACCCAAGATGGCCGGTCACGCTATGGAGATTCCGGAGATTATTCAATCTGCGAGCATAAATCACAACCCTGATCCAGCTCACGATGTCAATCCATCCACCGCAGCTTCAGAAAAACATCCCGTCGTGGTAGACCCGGACTCCGACTCCGAAACAAACAGCATTGCCTCCGACATCATTAACCCAAGTCGGGTCATCCATCCTGTTCGCCGACGTCAAAACCTTCCTCCTCTCCCGGATCTACGCTTCGAACAGAGTTACCTCGCCAGCATAAAGGATGCCGAATCATGGGGGCGCGTGGCGTGGATTACTACTAGGGATCAGGTACGCATGCTCCCGATACAGATTTCTACGACCAAGCACATGGGTGGGAAACCAAAAGCCAGGACACTGGGCTAACATATCGATTCTTTCCTTCAGGTGCTACTTCCTCTGATTCAAGGGACACTCTGGACGCTCGCGCTATCAGGCTGGCGCTTTTGGAACCGCAACGCTTCTGTCAGTGGACACACACTTGGCAGCAGAGTTCGCAGATGGTGGTACGAGGTGAACAATTGGCGTCTTCCACAACTGCCATCTGTGAGAGATCCACGACTCGCGTCGCAACTTGAAGATGTGAGCAAAGTCCCCCTAATCACCAATGTTATTTTGTCTGATTCCAGCCAGAACTAGAGCGGCTGACGGTCGAGGAGTTTTTACAGTTTTACACAGCCCAATTTTCCAACGCAGGCTCTGACTGAATATTTACGCTGGATGCAATCTTCTGGCACTTTGATTCGGAAGCTCAGCAATGACTTGCTTCTGGACATAGCTCAGTACATTAGATTGCTTGCATTATCGGCGTTCTTTGCGCGTTTAGAGGCGTCCGCCCTTGTTGATTCCCATTTGCATTCTCTTTTTCCTCAATCTCAGCAGACAGCATTGACTTTTGCCAATTCGTCCCCCAACTTGCGTGACTTTGGGTTGGTCAGTCATCGGAGTACTTATAGAATGCATTGTAGGTTGTAGTCTCGGTAACTTGAAGAAGATGGCTTTATAATGGCTCTTTTGCTGCGGGGATATGAGACGGATATCAATTCCATTGCTCATTTCTACAGAAATGTTATAATCAATTGAGAGTACTACCCATAGACGTCTGTACGGAGTGAAGCAAATCATTAGTGGCCTCAGGTGTCGAAGCGCCAGGGCCTCCGCATTGCTCGGATCCCGAGAGCTCCAACCTTGAAGTCACCAACTCGCGACCTCAACCTGCCCCAAGTCTTGTGTGATCGGCATGACATAGTGCCTGCCACAGCTAGCGCATAATGGCGCTGGAACCATCCGGCAGTTATGTTGCTCCAAGCAACCTAGAGCAGTCGAGCTCTTCTCTCCCAATGTTTGACGTCGAACAGGTGCAGTTGGCGTTCTCTGTCGCTGCGGACTTCGTTGCAGCACAGGTCGCGAACAATGTGCTTGTATTAGCATTGTCGACGAACCGTATTCTCAGAATTGATCTGGACTCCCCAGAAGATGTCGAAGGTAGACTTCCGCACCTCCCCCCGCAGCAAATACCCGCCACCGCAACTTGATCTAACGGGGCTCGTGTACAGACATCGATCTCCCAAAGAAATCCTCGGAAGTCGGAGTCATCCGGCGCATGTTCCTCGACCCTTCGGCGTCCCATCTTATTATTACCACCACCCTTGGCGAGAACTACTATCTCCATGCGCAGTCACCATCGCGCCAACCGAAACTATTGTCCCGGCTAAAAGGCGTATCAATTGAGAGCATTGCTTGGAACCCCTCTCTGCCTACCGCCTCCACTCGCGAGATCCTTATTGGTGCCACCGATGGCAATGTCTATGAAACCTACATTGACCCGTCCAGCTATCGGTTGGAGAAGTACCACGCCCCAGTCTTCCAGGTGCCTGGTGCCTCTCCGGTAGTAGGTATCTCGGTGGAGTCGGTGTTCTCTCGACCAGATCAAAAGAGGGTCCTTGTTGCAACATATGGAAAGCTACTGCAGTTCATTGGTCGGGCAGCAATGTCCAAACATGGGGGTGGTGGTTCTGTGTACTCGGAGCTGTTCCAGCGTGAGACACCATCAACCCATGAATTGCAGCATTCATCTGAGTCTGCACCATCCTCGCTTGTGGTGTCTCCTCCGTCTTCAGGAGGTTCTCAGGTCGACGGATCTACTGCAAAGGAATTTGCGTGGCTCAGCTCAGAGGGTATATATCATGGGCAGCTTGCGACAGAATCACCATTCAAGACTGCGAGAATGCTTCCACGCTCGGTGTTCCCAGCTTCGGAATCACCACGTGGAGGTCGCAAGTTGATCCAAGATCCGATCTCTGCGATGACCCTTTCACAGTGGCATGTTTTGGCTCTCGTCGGGGGCAAAGTTGTCGCTGTCAACCGTCTCAGTCAGGAAATTGTTCACAACCAACCAGTGTTGGAACCTGGTCAGAGTGCTCTGGGACTTTTGACAGATCTGACCAAGAACACCTATTGGCTTTTTACAAGCCAGGCGATCTACGAGGTTGTAGCAGGTGAAGAAGACCGTGATATTTGGAAAATTTTCTTGAAAGAGCAGAACTTCGATGATGCCCTCGAGTATGCCCGAGGTGCTTCGCAACGAGATACCGTGATGACTGCTTGGGGTGACTCCTTAGCAAGCAAGGGCCACTTTGTGGAAGCAGCCAAAGTATGGGGCAAGAGCAGCAAAGGATTCGAGGAAGTTTGCCTCACTATGATCGACAATAAGGAACATGATGCGCTGCGGAATTACCTCCTCTCCCAGCTCGCAACATACAAGAAGGCGTCCCTGATGCAAAGAATAATGGTCGCAAGCTGGCTTGTGGAATTATTCATGTCCAAGCTGAACTCGCTTGACGACAACATTGCCACTAAAGCCGAGTTGGCCGGGAGCACGAGCACCGGAGAAATCAAGGACCAGCTTGGTAACATCCGAAGTGATTTCCAGGACTTTGTGAACAGCCACAAGGCGGACTTGGACAAGAAGACAGTATACGATATCATCAGCAGTCACGGGCGTGAGGAAGAGCTGCTGTTCTTCGCAACCGCCACAAGTGATCACAATTATGTTCTTTCATACTGGATCCAACGTGAGAGGTGGCTGGAAGCTTTGAAGGTTCTACAGCGGCAAAGTGATGCCGATGTGTTCTACAAGTACAGCAGCGTGCTTATGACACACAAGCCTACAGATCTAGTTGATATCTTGATGCGCCAGACGAACCTTGATCCTGAACGCCTCATACCCGCGTTGTTGAACTATAACAAATCCGCCAGTGTCTCTTCACTCAGTCAGAATCAAGCTGTCCGGTACCTTAACTTCATAATTGTCAACCACCCCAACCCAGCGGCAGCAGTCCACAACACTCTCATTTCCATACATGCCTCCAGCTCCTCAACGTCCGAGGCCGGACTCCTGACTTATCTCCAATCGCAACCCTCTTCGCCCCCTCCCTACGATGCAGACTTTGCACTTCGTCTTTGCATTCAAAACCAACGAGTTCAGTCTTGCATCCACATCTACAGCACTATGGGCCAGTACTTGCAAGCTGTAGCCCTAGCCCTAGAGCACAATGATATTGACCTTGCCGCCATTGTCGCCGACCGCCCAGAGGGCAACGACAAGCTCCGCAAGAAGCTTTGGCTCCTAGTCGCGGAAAAGAAGATTCGCCAGCCTGGTACCGGCATCAAGGATGCAATCGAGTTTTTGCGCCGCTGTGAACTCCTCCGCATCGAAGACCTGATCCCCTTCTTCCCTGATTTCGTCGTCATCGACGACTTCAAAGACGAGATCTGCACTGCCTTGGAAGACTACTCGCGACACATCGATGCTCTTCGCCAAGAAATGGACAATTCTGCGCTCACAGCTCGTCAAATTCGCGGTGAGATTTCTGGTCTTGATACGCGCTACGCGATTGTTGAACCTGGCGAGAAGTGCTGGATATGCTCGCTGCCAGTTCTGAGTCGTCAATTTTTCGTCTTCCCTTGTCAACATGCTTTCCACAGTGATTGCCTAGGGAGAGAAGTTCTGGACGGTGCTGGTGGCAAGAAGAAGTACATTCGAGATCTGCAGGCACAACTCAGTAATGGTGATATCTCTTCCTCACGGCGGGAAGAAATCGTCAAGGAGTTGGATGGATTAGTGGCCGAAGCTTGGTTTGTGGACTTATTCCTTATATGCATGCCCCCGATATGCTAACCGTTCTTAACAAACAGTTTTCTTTGTGGTGACCATGCCATCAAGCAGATCGATAAGCCCTTCATTACCGATTCAGAGACCGCTGAGGACTGGGCCCTTTGATAAACACCATACTATGCTTCCTTGGGGTTTACCATCAGCCACAAACCAGGTCTTCACGTTTTTTTTTCTCTTGGTTTCCGTCATGAATATACAAGTTTTGTCCCCAAATTTGTTGCTCTCATGTCCCTTTATCATTCCGCAATACCCTTCTTTGTCGAGCGAATTCTACTTGTCGTCGGGTCCTCGTGTATAGAAATGAATCTACTCAATGAATTCGAATCTAAGCATGAACCTAAACCTAAACCTAGGCACACATAACAAATCAGCAAAAAAAGCCATCTGGGCCTTCCACCCAACTCCATGCGCAAGAAATAAAAAAAAAAGCCACCAACACAGAGGGGAATTGACTACCCATACACACACCATATCTCCATCTATCATTGACTTTCAGGCCATAGAGACCGCAACAAGTCCAAGTCCTGCGCAACAGCCGGACTATGCAATGCACAATCCTCCAAGAACCCTACCATCTCCTCATTCCAGCGTTCCCAGCCTTCAGGCAGAGTCTCACGAACGCGCTGGCTAGGCGAGTGGGCTATGCAATAAAAGAGAAGAATTTGACCAAAGAACCTTTTAACGATAAGCTGATTAGTCTCCCGATGTAAAAGGCAGAGCGGGTTTCTCTGGAAAGAGATTTCACTTACTGAGAGCAGAATGCAAATCTTATCGGGATGCAACTCTTCATTTTTCTGAAGATGCCCTGGGTCACTGGCCATCCCATGGCATTTTGAAGGCCACTTCTGACCTGGACGAAGTCCTCGTCTGATAGAAGGTGCGGGATGCGAAGTGCTTTGTAAATATATGGACGGCCGATGTGGAAACGTGCGATTAGATAGCGACCTTGGAGCATGGCGTCTGTTACTGCTGTTCCTGGCGTGAGGGGCCGGGTCTGGTCTGTTGGTCTGGGTCTGGGTCTGGGAGAGGAGAGTTGGGCTGGCGATGCCACTGATGCGGCGGGGGAAGGATGAATGGAGGGGGTTCCGGGGGTTGGGTGAGAGGAGGCGAGGTGAGAAGAGTATGGGGCGTGGTTGAATTGAATTGAGATTGGGAGATTGTTGCGCCACTGTTCTAGCTGGTGGTGAAGTTCGGTATTAACAGCTGGGAGAGGGAATGTTCCTGAATCGGCTGGGAGGATGGATGTTAGAAGATGCGAGGCCTGGGTACTGTTTTCCGAGATGAATCACTTACAGTAGAAATAGAGAGAGTGACGGATCCGTGTTAAAATAATGCGGTGGGCCACTTGGGCTAGGAAATGATATTGGAAATATGAGTCGTCGATTCCGCTGGATGAGATGAAGCGGTTTGAGGCGTAGCCATTCATTTCGAAGCCGATGAATTTGGGTATCGGGACTTGTTCCTCTAGCCGCGAGAGGCCACTTGAAGGTAAGTGAAGTTCTTGTACTAGAATAGTCTCATTCATGAGACAATTCCAATATACACGGGATTTCATGTCGCCTTCCCACACATCAAAGTTTACATCATGGCTAAGAAGGGGTCAGTATCATAGCAAAAGTCTTGAGATCTGCACAAAAGAACTCACTTGGTCAGCATGGACAAACAGCAGGTGGCCGCACGATGAATCATGGCCCAAGAGTCCATAGGGCGAGGGATTTGGTTATAATATACACTGTGAAAGATTAGCATTGACTCAGCTGGACGATCTTCCCTTGTAGCAAATCAGATACGTACGAGGAGAGAAGGTAGAATTGACAACTTTGAATATCGTTGTCACACATCAAGAAGCCAATACGTCGCCGGGCTTCGTTGAAGAACCGCAGCCCGGGCTGTTCTTCATACAGAACGTTGATCCAGTCTGGGGATTCAAATCGATGGCCTTGAGTGCCAGGCAGGGGATAATCTCCTTCCTGGTAGGCGAGAACGGCAAGACAGCCCAATGCCAACACATTGAGAACCAGACAGCTCTCTAGGTTATACCCGAATCCGCTTTCAATGGCAGACCCCAGCGTGAAGGAGAAGAAGAATCCCCTGTCCATGATCGGGGTGAAGGGGTTGAAAACGTCAAAGAACGCATCGGCCAGGCCCCTAATCATAGCGAGCGGGAGAACCTCTAACCAGTGATCTCCCGCTTGTAATGGAAATGGGGTGATGAACATGGGTAGTGGAGGTCGCTCAGATTCCAGTTCAATTACATAGTTTTTCCCGAGCATTTCGTAGGCGGCAAGCAACTGCTTCGGGAGGATCTGTCGGGCACCAGGCCACTGAATGACACCATGTTGACTGAAAGAGATGGAGACCCGGCCTGCCGAGTCTGGCTTGGTCTGGCTCTCTTCGAGCTCAAAGTCGTCACCATCCCCTGCTGCTGCTGGCGTGAAGTTTTCACCCGCCGTGGGTAACGTTGATATGAGCTGGTTACCCTCATCACCCACGGCAGGCAATGACTGGGTCTGCAGGTCATTTCCAGGTGTCTGAATTTGGCCCCGGAGAGACTGCAGGTCGCTCACAATGGATGATGGGATATTCTCCAACTTTGTCTCCAAGCGGTGGAGAGTGCTCATGATCATTGTGATCGACTGATCGCGTCTGCATGGTATGAGCAACCGGCACACGTTACGCGTCGCATTTACTCACTTTGACGTTTTACGTTCATTATAAACACACTCCAGCCCCAGGGACTTACACAGTCCACATCTGGGCCGGGATTCGTCGCATCTGGTCTTCTTCAGCCGACACGTCTCGCATGCCTGAGGCGTGTTAGCTCAGCCCTAATCGGTCGGGTTGGATTCAAAGAAACAGATCAAGTCACTTACAACCGTGGCAATGAAGTTCCGGGGTCTCTTTGAGTTTCCAGATGGCTGACCGTGCTCTTCGCCCGAGAGCAGGTCCTGGATTGGCAGGCCATCAGGATCGGGGGACTGTGCCCCTGCTATAGAGACCTCGAATGAACGCTTGCTCATTTTGCATCATTGGGAGCCTCTTTTCTATCGCGACATGGCCAATATTTTGAGGTCTCAACTCTTTGATATTGGCTCGTTTTTTTAATCGGGTGGAACGCTGGCCGTCGAACCACAGCCAATCAGCGCCAAGCAGCCGTATGAATCATCCGCGACTTTGAAGGGCATTTTAGTCTCTTTTTCATTCACCTGTTCGATTGTAGACAATTGGCCTAGAGAATACTAATGCCGAATGGTAAGCATTTCTAGATTTTTGGGGGGGTCTCTTCCCTGCTTAAGTACTAAGTATGAGGGCCCAGGACCATCGTGATATATTTCAGCACAATTCAATGAATCTTTCCAGTTGGCCATAGGTTAATAATTGCCCAAACACCCGGAAGACTTTCAAGGGCAAACAGATTTGAAATAACATTAAAATCTGATGAGTATATAGATTATCCAGGGCTGATCTACTGACGAAACGCCCTGGGCTACCCCGTATACTCCGTTGATTCAAGCGGTGAAGGCACTCAGGCAACCTCCAGATTCCTAAGGTCGAACTTAAGAACACCTGTCCTACACCGATATCTTCTGATGTTGTACAAATCCAATAGATTAAAATCTGCTTCACTATGCCTAAGTAATCATGGAGTCTACCTCATCCTCTCCCGAAAAGGACTCTACCCATTCTCCCTGAAGTCGAATGTCGTTACCCTGCCCCTGAGTCCCATTCTTGGCATCACTTGAGCACAAATACTTAAGGAGTAATTGAGTATAATAGAGTACGGAGTACTCCGTATTTCACGCCCCGACTCTATCAGAACCAAAAGGTGAACCCGATTTCAATCCACCCTACAGATCACTGTTAGTCCTTCGACACTACGGAGTACGTAAACCATCAATTCGACGGGAGAGCTTGCGAACCGGGATGCCTATTCCCAACGCAACCGATACTCAATCCAATGGCAGCTCGAAGATACTCGTCAGAGTTATGCATGGAGCCCATTCAAGCGGAGAGAGTCTAGACGCAAGCGGAGTCCAGTTAGTCATGTTCTAAAAGTGAAGAGACGCAGTCGGACTGTAAATAGAAGCAGACCCCATTTGGCGCTGTGGTCTCCACCGCATTACTCATTGTTTCAAACGTCTCAACGTCACAGCCTGCCGAGGCCGTGATGTCCCTTTGATTACCTATCTACTCGTAGTGCCCTCGTACAGGGCAACGATGTATTGTGATGGAAGGGCCGATTGTAACAAAAACCCACTTTAAATTGACCGGCAATATATCACCCAGGGCCGGATGACGTCATCCCACAGGGTTGGATGATTGGCCCCTAGTACGAGTAGAGATTACAAGGAGCAATGGATATTGATATCCTGCTAAATAGAAATCGTCACAGATCGTCAGAAGGGTCAATTTTGCACCGGCTTGATGAGGTGGATCGTCATGCTATTGAAAAAGGCGTGTTGGAGCCAAGGCACCTGGCGCGGCAGTATACTATGATGAGCTTTCGAGAGAAGTACGGAGTACGTGTATGATGGGTAGATCGATAATCATGACATCTTAAACAAAAATGCAAACATGCTTATAAGGTTCTAAAGTTCTTACGGACCTTAGGCTGGTTGCAATGCTAGTGAAGGCACCAATGGTATTGACAGACATGTAGACGTTGACGGAGTAGTGTCTACCTTTTTCCCGATTTGGGTTTCGCCAAGTTGAAGTGACCAACAATGAAAAGGACCCGAAGTTTACTGAGTATGTTGAGTGCCGTGTGTACGAGTGCGGAGTACTCTGTAGTGTTTGTAGTACTGGTTGTCAGGCCGAATGACGGCATGTCCGGAATGCGGCACGGGCTGCCCCGGCAGAGGTATGAAGGCAGACAGCATATTCTATTCCGCATTTGTTGCTGTGCGGAGTACTACTTGGATATAAGATGATCTGACATTGAAAAAGGCGACAGTCATATGTCAAGGGAATTGTATGATGTGCCAATTGATATGATTGATATACATACTTTACTCAAGTTTGTTATTTTGACGTTCCTATGGAAGGTTTGTCATTGTCACGCAACAGCCAAGGATGAAGGCTACAATGGACTTGATCCATGGATCATGTCCAATGAATTTAGAATGCTAGTCAATTGTAACCAAAGCCCGTAAAATAAGACAAGCACCATGTGGTCTTAACTCAGTTCCGCGCTGCGGATGCGATCTGACTCAATTGGACCACCCGCTGATCTCGACATGAAGCAGCAACAAGTGTACAGAGTACTCCGTACTTGCATGTGTATAATTGTTTATTTCAACGCTACTCGTACGGAGTACTCGCAGCTCTAGAGCGACTCCACATCAATTGATGACTTGTGCAGTTACATAACATGACATCAGAATGAAGAAAGACAAGCCGATTCGTGGACAATCATTGCTCGTAGACAATGCCTCGGAAAACATACTCGTAGCCTTGATGCGCAGTGTGGAGTACTCCACAACAGCATTATACACTCGTCAGGCAGAAAGGAGGGGTGCTCGTGTTGACTCGGCAACTGTGGGAGGAACTTGACCTGTCAATAATACCTCGGCCTGGAGGTACACAAGCAAGTTCAAATGTTCCAAGGTTGTCCCTTTTGATGCGTCAGAAATGAAACCAAATCCTCAGGCCATCAATGACCCTTGCATGGGTCTTGGAAAATTTCATGTTTGTTTTTCTTGCCTGCAGCTGTGTGGAGTCACACACGGAGAAAAAAAAAAGACTTACAGGAGGTTGGGGTCATGCTGTACAGTGGTCAATGCAAATGCATATTGTTGGTGTCCTGGATACGTGCAGTCGCACAAGCAAATGCAGTGCGACTACCTCTCATGCAGTGCATCCTGTTCCTTGAACATATTCTAGGCCCAAGTCAGACTGAGTTAAAAAGGCTCACTGTACAATGTGGGTGAAATCTTGTTTATAGGGAGTGAGGGGAGTTTTCGCTCCGATCGTGCATAATGAAGTCGTTGGGATTGCAACTTGCGGTAAAGTAAACAATGACCCTGGAATCAGCCCTCTGCCATGAAAGGTTCATCATATTATGTGCCTCGTTGATCCATTATTGGTATTTAATACCTGAAAGAGAGAAATAGAGGTCAATAACGGGAGAACCGCATAGCCCGGCTGAGACTAAAATCCGGGGGAGTGGCTCCGGGCTGTACTCGTACAGTAGTCTCCGGAAAAAGGACGGATGATCTCATCCCAAATATTGGAGGAAGAGTACAGCCACAGAGTTGCATATCTATCACCATAGGATACCGTTTAGATGAGAATGCCGGAAGGAGAATGCTGATCAGTGCGGGGTAGGAGTATGACAACCTTGAAGATGAGCAAAAGATAGGCGTAGGGATCCACGGTTCGTATAAGAGAGTCTTATCGGGGGCCGTTTCCATTGGAGTAAAGATGCTATCGTCATGATAACGCTAATCTCTGTATTCGGAGGTCTATACTCGTATCTCATATCACTTCATATCGTAGATTGCGTGGACTCGTCTCAGAATGATCATCTCATGTTACATGTATTGGGGTCATAGGTTACGCTTTCAGATAACACGTTTCACCCCATATTCGGGGTTTGGATAGGATTAAGAGTCCGTTGGGGGATCGGCTCTCTCTCTCTCCCTCTCTCGAGAGGAGAGAGGGAGTTACGCTGAATGATGACATACCACCCATGAAGCACAGGATGGGTTTAGTTTAGACGAGATCATAAACACAACAATGCAGACGAGGCGAGATTGACGTTATATTCGGAACGAAGGCTGCATGAATAAGAGTGAGATTACGAATAATAGAGTCGCAATGGCCGATGGAGGGGGAGATCTCAAGCTGAACCGTGCGGGACAGGGTATATTGCGTATCGCTGAGGATGTTACGGAGTACTCGTACAGAGTCAAGCCCAAGAATTGGGGCTTCAAGGTTCAGAATTTCCCAATCGGAATGCACAATGTAGATACGTCGCGTGATGCATAGGTTGCCGAAGACCGAAGTCGTGCCACAGAATCCACTCAACTTACTCAACTTTATCGTAAGCTGTACTTTTGAGTCTGGTGCGGAAAAAGGTCCCCTTTTCTTTGAAGGTTTGGCCTTGCAGCCCGCATCAAGCGGTCTAAACTGGTTTAAGGCTAGGCCTCGACAGGGTGTCCCCTTCACCGCTTGACAGGGCTGCGTGGGTGTCTGAAGTGAAGTGGTTGGGACACGCAGATGACAGCTGTGCCGCTCCACTCGGTACGTGTTGGTCATTAAGACCAGATCGCTACTCCATAACTACATTATACTCCGTATGTACATAGTGTGATCTCCTATTAAGCCCCCTCGTATGGAGATGTGACCCCCGTTCTGGGAGTCAGGTAATTTGCTGCTAACGAATCGATAGTCTCCTGATAGATACTTCTGTACACGAACCCCGCAAAACCCATGGGAAATATGGGTCGAAATCTTGTCTCGAAATCCCGCGCGGCAAAGAAATAACGTTAATGCAGAGGTGGTGTGTAGGGGTTAGTCCAGGTTGGATCCACCAACATGAAAGCATCCAAAGGAACGGAAGTACCTGAGCAACAAACATCCAACTCGCAAGTGAAAATCGAACGGACAAGACCTGCAGGAGGTGTCCGGGGGAAACCAATAAGAAGAAATCACGCCATGCTCCATCCAACTCGTCATGCAGGCTGGAAATAGTGACCAGACTCGCAATGCTGATTGGCTACTCCTCCCCCAAATCGCTGCGCAATCCCACGCATCGGGGTTAGTGCGCCACCTTGATCCGCCCTCGGCCGCCAGGGAAACGGAAATTGGGGCAGAACTGCGACGCCCCTGCTGATGTCTTCGACTGAACCAGATTCCGTGGAAGTTTGGTGTCTGGGACAGATAGGGTACAAGATCAGTGTCCGAAAATTGAGGTGGCAATGTGAATGATCGCGTTATCAGGATGAAGGTAATAAGGTAGGGAATAGGCGTGATGATATCGTAATTCCTTATGTGCTTGTCGCAACAGGATCACGTATAACATTGGTAGTGACGCCTTCCAAGGGTAAGGAATGCCTGGAAGGTTCATGAAACGGGCAGATCGGGCGGTTAATACCAGTATTCATTACATACCTTACCATTCTTCCAGGAGACGGAAACGGACGGAGGACCTCGGACGCCAGGCACATTGGGTGGGCAGTGCAGATCACACGGAGAGAGGGTCCACGAGGGAAGATTGGTATTTTACCGTATGAGACCGTACAACCAATCATTTTGCCTCTCCAATTCCCCTCACGCCTTCTACAACGTCCACCTTCCCTCTCTCTCCCTGGCTCCTTCTCCTTATACACATCAACATCACCTTATTTCCTTCTCTCTCTTCCTTCGCTTCCCTATTTCCCCCTCCTCTTTGCTCACCTCACCGCCGCCTTTTTACCTCACTTCTATCATCACCTCCTCCTCAGATTGCTTTGATTTCGGGTTCCAACGGGTCCTCATTATCGGGTCTACTTGCCATCTCAAAAGACCACCTTGTCAACCATCACTCCGTTCTCCGAATACTCTGTCCAGTTCGAAGATTCGATCTCAATCAACGTCCTGCGATAGAAGCATCTCAACGTTTCCGCCCTATTCGACCGCCCCTTTTCCTTCAGTCTATCGGATCCACTCTCAGGCTCCGGTGACTCACCTATTACTTTCAAAAGGGTCTCCTATCCGCAACTTGTTTTGCAATTGCGCAATATCTGTTCAACTTTTGTCCGCTCAACCATCGCGAAGGCCTTCCCCTCCGTCCCGGACATCCCATACGTGCTTCTAGCCGAGTCTCGTTGTGAAAGAGTTTAGGGAGTTCCACACCCACGGGGCAACCTGGCATCGAGTACCTCTGCTTTTCCATCTCTGGATTTGCAGGTGCTCTACCGGATCCCTTCAACCCCTCACTCGACTTTCTACAACTTCCAACTGGCCTCTAATGACTCACTAATCTCAATTTACTTCAACTTTTGAGTCACGGCCCTCGACCTTGAACCCGGTGTTCACAGGATCGTCTTTCTCCTATACATCTTTGCCTTTCTTCAATTACGATCTCACGCAGCGCTTTATCTCAACCTCTCTTCGATCCGGTATCAGGCCGACTTTTCAACTTGTCTATCACCTTTTGACACACTCGTGCCGTCCATCTTGGGTCCCCTTCCCGTTTAACAACAAAAAACGACATACAAATGAGCACATAACGGTCTTTCAAACCTTTCCTTAGCGTCCACAATCCCTGTCGGATTCATTCAGCTGCGCCACTGCGCCCCATCATTCTCTCCACTTTTCATCTGTTTATCACATCTTCACCAGTACATTTTTATATGACATTTCGAGCTTGCAGCCAGGTCTCTTCTCACCACAACCTGACCGCATCCCGATCTATTCATCCGTCCCACTCCTCTCTGGGACCTCGCGCCTGATACTTCTCTTCATTGTCTCTTTTAATCTTGCTTAGCCTGGTTGCTGTTTGCCTCTCACACTTCGACGCGTTCTTGACACTCACAAGTGTCTTTCTGAGCGGTTCATAGATTTGTTTCCACCTCATCTCTTTGAAGCATTACCTCATTTCGCCTTTTATATTTTTTTCATCTCATCTCTTTGCATTATCAAGCCAACATGTCGACCATGGAGTGCTTGAAGAACAACTTCGTCAAGGGCCAGTTATTGGATGGCCGCTTCCGAACACTGGCTCCTCTCAACCATGGATCTTTTGGAATGGTGTTCCTTGCCACTGACATTCAGACTGGCGACGAAGTCGCCATCAAATGTCTACTCAAGGGTTCCCAGTCTCAGCAAGATCGGTTCGAGGAGCTCGAGGCCCACCGCCGATTCGGCTTCCACCCGAACCTGGTCAACCTCATTCACACCTTTGACACTGAGCACCATACATATCTTGTTTTGGAGTATTGTGCCAATGGCGACCTCTACGAAGCCATTCGCCTCGACCGTGGTCCCCTTGAGACCGAGCATGTTCGCGATTTCATGCTGCAACTCTTGAGCGCCGTTGACTTCATGCATGCCAATGGCTTGTATCACCGTGACATCAAACCGGAGAATATCTTCCTCACACAAGATGGCTCCATGAAGCTCGGCGACTTTGGTCTGGCTACTCAGGAATCTTGGTGCCACGAGGCGTGTGTCGGTAGCGATCGCTACATGGCCCCCGAGCAATACGATCCCTCCACAACTGGGTATTCTCCTGCAAAGGCTGATATCTGGTCCGTGGGCATCTGTTTGCTGAATATTCTTTTCGCTCGAAACCCCTTCACCACTCCCACCGAGTCTGACAAGATTTTTGCCGACTACGTCCTTGACCGCCAGTCTCTGTTCGACATCTTCCCTAACATGTCTCAGGATACGTATGACATCCTGACTCATGCCATGGCCATTGATCCTTCCAAGCGCTCTTTGCTGGACGTTCGTGACTGTATCCTTCGTGCGGTCTCCTTCACAACCGACGACGAGTCTCTTGATGAGTTCTGCACCGAGGATCGTGAGGTGGTTGCCGCGAGTGCCAACCGCGAGCCTTTGCGCACACCATCGCTTCAGAGCCCTCATGTCAACCAAGGGGATTCCTTCCCTTGGGCCAAGGCACTTCATTCCAGCCCGCCCCAGACCATGCGCCAGCTGTCTGCTATTCCAGACAACGAGAGCTACACCGAGGATCTCTTCCCACCTTCCGAAGCTGCGGGAACCTCATGGTTCTCGACTCGCATGGAGACACCTTCCATGGCCTCTGTCATGGGCTCGGCCTTTGGTGGATCCTTCCGCTCGTTGCACCTGCACAAGCGTGAGGTTCCATCTCTCCCTCGCTCTGATCCAGTGGCTATCACTGGATCTCTTCCCTCACATGCCACCAAGCCCCTACCGTCACTGTCTATGGTGTTCGGCAAGAACAAGGGTGCCGACCAGATCTCCAAGAGCTGGTGTGATATGTGGGACGAGGAGGAATCTGAGAATGAAGATGCCGCCATGGTTACACGACGTGAGCAAAACTCTCGCAGCTGGAGCCATGAGAGCCAAGGAGCTGCAGTCGAAGGAATGCGCGAGCCGGACTCCGCTTCCACCAAACAGCGTTCTCAGTCACCCGACGTTGGTTTGAATACCGATGACTTCGAAATCCATCGCATGTCTTTGGACGAGGACAGTGACTCCAGCAGCACTCCCCGTCCACTACTTCACTCCCCGCCCGAGCCCTCAAGTGCCGATAAATGGTCTATGCTTGGTGATGTCCGTCGCAAGTACAAGCCCGAGGAAGAGCCACTCAAGTACAAGACGCGCAAGTCTCGTGAAGTATTTGGCCCCAAAAATGTTCTCGCCAACACTCGGCGTCATGATTGGGGCCGAGGTACTTCCGGGTATCATCAAACCAAGTCCAAGCCAACCTCGCCTCTTGACGCTCGGCGCCGCCAGCTGCTGGAACAGCAGGACTGGCGCAGCCACGTTCCCAAGCGCTTCACTCCTACTTACGATGAAAGCGTAGATGATGATCTTGATCTCGTCGGCGGATGGCACGAGACTCACTTCTAAGCTCTCAGTCCTCATTTCCCCCCTTTCACCTCAACAACACTCCTCTCTGTTTATCCTTCCGCGTGTTTCGATCCAGTTGGAAAAAAAGTTCAAAAATTTCCACGATAAACTAATCCTCCACTTTTCTGTCTTGTCTCTTTGTTCTTGAATTGCGTGTTTTGTTTCTCTCCGCTTCATTTCAACGCTGATGCCATACTGTGTGCTCAGCTCACCCCGTCTGGTCGCCAAACTGTTCTTTTTCTTTATTTTTGTACCATATCAGACCATCGGGCGGGGGACACGGACGGAGATGCATTACACGGGAAAAAAAAAACCACAAAAAGGTTAGAAGGCTGGGTGGGAATGCGCTGATGGATATTCTATTTTTGGAGTTGTTCTTCTCATACGAATCACCGAGAAAAGGTGCCATGGGTGCACATGAATTGATTGTCTTGGTCGATGATACATCGCGGCCGTTTCTCTTTGACAACTGTACCTAGTATAACTGTTACCAACAGGAGAAATTGATCCTATCCGTGAAGATATGAGCAACATGTACTTGGTATTCTGTAAGATTTAGTGCTTCCTGCATAGACGTACTCCATACATCTGCACCATGTAGGTACCGAAAGGCGGTGACTTGAACGAGCTCTGGATGCCGAGATGGCCACGGATCCACTTTCTCCATTTCACGATACCGCCATTTGATATAATTATTGCAAAAGTCCTAGCACTAGCCTCTGGTTGGGGCTTGTGGGAACTTCTGAACACACAGAGTGATATTGACTCACTCCCAGCCACCATGCGCATAGCATGCGACACAACCTCATAGCTTGGAACTGACCGACTCCTCGACCTGCGATCGTGACAGGTAGCCTGTGAAACTGGCGTCTGACCCCACAGATAACAAATAAATTAAAGCGAATCCGCACCCCGAAACCCCTGTCATTCCATCCCAACAGCATGATGACCGCAGGCCGGTCATCATCACCCTGGACGTACAGCACCTCGATCCTTCTGGCCCTATGCACGACCGTTGTTTCTCATGCGACAGCCCAGCCGTCCCCAACGGCCGCACAGACCGCGATCCCGACCACAACCGTTGTGTCCACATGTCTCGCGAAGAGTAGCTGGGAGGTAGAGGCAGAGCAGTTCAGCCTGCCACTGTGCTTGGAGACGCGCTGGGGACCCAACCATGATTCACATATTGCTCCAGCCTTGGGGACGAACGCGGTGAATGATGATTCGAACATTCGTTCGTCATCTGTTCCGAGCGGGACACCAGAAAGAGCAGCGAGCAACACACCCGAGCATACCGCAGACCCGGAACACGATACAGATTCACTCCTTGACGGAGCCAGTTTTCTTTCCTTTGAGGACTGGAAGAAACAGAATCTTGCCAAGGTTGGACAATCTGCCGAGAATGTTGGAGGCAAACGACCTGCAGCAGCTGGCAAGGATGATCGCCGACAGCCAACCGGTATCAATAATGCATTAGACTCTTTGGGCGACGACTCTGAAATCGAGTTGGACTTTGGCGGGTTCGGTGCTGAGACGCCCGAGGCCAGCCCGACTGCTTGGGGCACTCATATTCCGTCGCGGGAGGGACAAAGAGAGGGTGCAGGTGGCAGCGCAGATATGGATGTTGGCGCACATGGCGCGTTTCAGCGTGATGCCTCGCGCCGTAAAGACGCTGGCACGACTTGCAAGGAGCGATTCAATTACGCTTCCTTTGACTGCGCCGCTACGGTACTGAAAACGAATTCTGAGTGCAAGGGTTCATCCTCTGTTCTGATTGAGAACAAGGATAGCTATATGCTGAATGAATGTCGAGCCCAGAACAAGTTCCTCATTTTGGAGCTGTGCGATGACATCCTTGTTGATACGGTCGTTCTGGCGAATTACGAGTTCTTCAGCTCTATCTTCCACACTTTCAGGGTCAGTGTTTCTGATCGATACCCAGCCAAGCCTGATCAGTGGAAGGAACTCGGAGTGTACGAGGCACGAAACACTCGCGAGGTGCAAGCTTTCGCGGTTGAAAACTCGCTGATCTGGGCTCGATACCTTCGCATTCAATTCTTGACGCATTATGGTCATGAATTCTTCTGTCCCATTAGCTTGATCCGAGTTCATGGAACTACCATGATGGAAGAGTACAAGCATGGCGAGAGCTCTGACCGTGCCGAGATCGAGGAGTTGGCGTCCAGTGAAGCCATCAAGCTTGCTGGACATTCAGAGCCTAAGCCAGCTGAGGTGCCTATTGATACGACCCCTCCTGCAGTAGAAACCAGTTCTACCAGTCCTACAGCTGGGCAAGTCTCCCCGACCTCTCCTTGGGAACCTGGTCTTTCTTTTGCTGCACTTTTTGATAGCGAAATTTGTAAAATCAGTGATGGACCACCCATTATCACTACATCAACACCAGGCACTACTGCCCAAACCAACCCGCCACCAAATGACCACACGGCTGCAGAAGCAGGTGCCGCCGCTCCTGTGACAAAGACCAGGCCACCTGCAGCTCCCAAAGGCGCAGAGGAAGTTCGAAAGCCTGGAGACGCTGCCAAAGGTACCGTGACTACTCCTGATGCCTCCGCTGCGCCTTTGGAGCCTACCCAGCAGAACTCTACCACGGAGACCGCCGGCAAGGTTGCTGCGAACGTGAAAGAGGAACATAACTATCCCCAGGAGTCTACGCGACCTACAAACACACAACCCCCATCTTCTAACCCGACCACCCAAGAATCCTTTTTCAAGTCTGTCCACAAGCGGCTTCAGATGCTTGAGTCAAACTCGACTCTGTCTCTACTCTACATCGAAGAACAGTCCCGTATCTTGCGCGATGCGTTCAACAAAGTTGAGAAGCGACAGTTGACCAAGACGTCCACTTTCCTTGAAAACCTCAATATTACCGTCCTGAATGAGTTGAAAGAATTCCGCGAGCAATATGACCATGTCTGGAAATCCGTTGCTCTTGAGTTTGAGCACCAGCGCATGCAATATCATGGGGAAGTTCACTCCCTCAGTGCACAACTAGGCGTTCTCGCCGATGAATTAGTATTCCAGAAGCGGGTGACTGTGATCCAAAGCATCATGGTTCTTTGTTGCTTTGCTGTAGTCTTGTTTTCCCGTGGGTCGGTCAGCAACTACATGGAATTCCCAGGCGTCCAAAGAATGGTGGCTCGGTCCTACAGTCTGCGATCCTCGTCTCCCATTTTCGCTTCGGCTTCCCCGTCCGCGAGCCCGGGGTCCACACGTCCAACCTCCTCATACCGTCAAAATGGGGGTCATCGGAGGAATCTTTCAGACTCTTCCGACCAAGATAGTCCCGCAAGCCCGACGACGGCTTATGCTCCCCTGACCCCAGCTTCCTCTTCCCCACGGGAGATGGAAGCCGAGGAAGTCGTCAAGGCCGAGCCAGAACCACTTGATCCCGACGAGACTATGTCTGTGCCCACTCTGGGAATCCCACACCCTCGTCCACACAGTACCCCTCCTGTGATGAATGGACATCCTATCGAGCTGAACCCCGATACTGATATTGATACCCCAGTCGAAGACAGTCCACGATCGCACGAGTCTTGATATGCGACTGGTCCCTGGCTTTGACCCTAATTCCCTGTAATAACTGTGAACTTGCATTCTCATATTTTTTCATGTTTGGGCGCTCTGCATACACCGTTTGTACATCACTGGACGACTCCACGAATTTCAATGTGTTTATTACGAGATCATAGCGCATTCTAAGTAGAAACCTGACTTTTTCCAAACAAACAAAGATCTACAGTCTACTATACTCCGTACTTTTTGGGAATGTGTTGTGTGGCGTCATATACAACGTTGCCGGGCCAACAATCGAATCCCATTTTTCCCACACGTTTTTCCTCTTATCCGATCCATTGACACTGTTTTTAAGATCCTCCACATCAGATCTCTGCGATTCATCTCAACAAGTACACATCTCCCGTACACAAACAACCACAAATATACAAATCCCAGAATGGACGCAACAACACAAGCCCAGCCCCTGGCTGACCGCTCCACCAACACCCACTTGGGTGACAAGACCGATCTCAAGGGCGACATCTCATCGATGGAGTACCACCGTCAGGTCCTGCAGGAAAAGGTCGCAGGCGAGGAGTAAGTCTGCCTTCGAATACCTTGCAGTGGAATCCAAACTGACCATCCCCAGACAACCCACTTCCTACGTTTCCCCCTCAGACGAACTCATGAGCCCCTGCACAAAGAAACTCAGCGACATCAAGGGCAAGCGATTCAAGAAGTATGTTATATATAACTCCTTTCGGTTATTCTACTATCTCCTAAACCCCTCATGAGATATGCCTCGGAACGACATGCTAACACCTCGCCATAGTGCCGGCAAGCCCCAATCACTGTTCGCTAAGCTCGGTAAGAAGAGCTACGAGCAATCCTCAGCCGAGAAAGGCCGTGAGGATTAAATGCTTTATTCTTTTGATATCGGCAGCGGATGTCTCGTTCTGACGCGTTCGGGTTCGGGCTCTTTGGTCGTCTTTCCTTCACTTCATCTCGTTTACTCCGCGCCGGTCGCTGTGTCGGATGCATTGAGGAGAAAGCGATTTGACATCGATTGACTGGAGCCCAAGCCCTGCCGATTTTGTTTATTGTTTTTTTGATGACCCGCGATGTCCTTTTGTATGTTTATGGGGTTCGGGATAGGGATTGTAATTGGGTTTTATTGGATCCCATGGAGCACATTTGGATCAAATGCAATATTTTGCACTTTGAATGATCTTCGTATACAAGTATTCTCTCGTATTTGGGGAACCGAGTTGCCGAGCGTAGCTACAATGCGGTACAACGCGGCCAATTAGACCGACAACAGGCCCTGGAGTGCCTAAGTGGTCTGAAACCCGACGAAGAAATAGAGTAGACTATGTTTTATTCATTCTACATATACCAAGAACCATTCGAGATCGAAGTATAGGGCAAATAATGTACTTTCAGTGTAAGGCCCTGGGCCGAGGCAAAATCCGACCCTCTCGGCTTCTCCACACTCAGCTCTCCTTCTCCGCAATCCTCGGACATGGCCTGACTTCTTTATAACTTCCCCTTATATTCTCACTCTTGTTCTTCATCTCACCACAAAAATGTCTGCCTCATCTCGCATTCCCCCCATCGCACAGCCGTTCGTCAGCGAACAGGCAAAACGGACCCTCGACCTGGTACGTACTCATCTCGCAATACTCTCCGAACCCCCACGCACATTCTCCTCACACTTTCTAACCTGATGAATCAATGCTAATACCTTCCAGGTCGAGGAGTTCGTCGAAAAGGACTGTATCCCCGCCGACTCAGTCTTCCAGGCTCAGCTTGGCGAAGGCGAGCAGCGATGGAACACCACCCCCGCCATCATGGAGACACTGAAGGAGAAGGCTAAGAAGCTCGGCCTGTGGAACATGTTCCTGCCCAAGAACCACTTCACTCAAGGTGCTGGGTTCTCAAATCTCGAGTACGGCTTGATGGCCGAGCTGCTCGGTAAGAGCAAGGTTGCCTCAGAGGTAAGATCCACCACGCACTTCGTGCTGGGCGCATCGCCCAAAGTTACGGGTAATTTCTTTTGAGAAAGTTTGCTAATAGTCTATGAACCAGGCTACCAACAACGCTGCCCCTGACACTGGTAACATGGAAGTGTTCGCCAAGTACGGCAATGACGCACAGAAGAAGCAGTGGCTGGAACCCCTGCTCCAGGGCAAGATCCGCTCTGCTTTCCTGATGACCGAGCCCGACGTTGCCTCCAGTGATGCCACCAACATCGAGTTGGACATCCGCCGCGAAGGCAATGAATACGTCCTGAATGGTTCCGTACGTTCCGACCCCCCATACTCCTGCAATGAAGCAAATCTAACCAATTAACAGAAATGGTGGTCCTCCGGCGCTGGAGACCCCCGCTGCGCAATTTACTTGGTTATGGGTAAGACCGATGCCAAGAACCCAGACACCTACAAGCAACAATCTGTCGTCCTTGTCCCCGCCGGCCTGCCCGGCATCACAGTGCACCGTATGCTGACAGTATACGGGTATGACGATGCCCCACACGGCCACGGCCACATCACATTCAAGAACGTGCGCGTTCCCATCTCGAACATCGTCCTCGGCGAAGGCCGTGGGTTCGAGATCATCCAGGGCCGTCTAGGCCCCGGCCGTATCCACCACGCCATGCGTGCAATTGGTGCCGCTGAACGCGCCCTCGAGTGGCTAATTGCCCGTGTGAACGACGAGCGTAAGAAGACATTCGGTCAAGCCCTTGTCGCGCACGGTGTCATCCTCGAGTGGATTGCCAAGTCGCGGATTGAGGTTGATGCTGCTCGCTTTGTTGTCCTTAATGCTGCTATCAAGATCGATCAGGGTAATGCCAAGAGTGCACTGAAGGAAATTGCCCAGGCTAAGGTGCTGGTGCCTCAGACTGCACTTGCGATTATTGATCGTGCAGTCCAGGCTTATGGTGCTGCTGGTGTTTGCCAGGATACTCCGCTTGCGTACTTGTGGGCTGGTATTCGTACTTTGCGTATTGCTGATGGTCCTGATGAGGTTCACTTGCAGCAGTTGGGTAAGCGGGAGAACAAGACACGTAAGGATGCTGTTACGGCCAAGCTGAACTGGCAGCGTGATGAGGCTGATCGCTTGCTTTCTGCTTCTGGTTTCAAGCCTAAGAGCCACCTGTAGGGGTTGGACAGTGTCTTTGTCATATAGCCTGGCTCAGTCATAAGAATACATCAATTTATGTTGTCTACTTGAATCTTCTAGGATGTATTACTGTAGGAATGTATTCTAGTAGTGGGTAATTGACTGCTATGGTGGCCATCTACGGTGGAACGATAATGTAGAAACATAACCAAGTGAATGAATGACTGGTATAAATCGTTATTCAACTCGTGAAAAGAACCCCCAACGCCAGGTAATCTCAAACATGATCATGAACAGATAGTTTCAATCCCGACATAAATGCATTCCCATATGTAGGATCATATATCATTCATCCACCCAAGATCCAATGAGCTGAAGAATGATACCTCACGAAGCAAAGGAAGATATCTCCCAATGACTCGCGAGCGCAAGAAATGATGCAACAAAAGAAGAAGAGAAAAACAAACAAAAACACTTTTTTTTAATTCACCAATCGTCCTCTTCGGGGTTGTTGCGCTTACCCTTCGCCCGGCGCTTGTTACCCTTGAAGTGCTTCTTGGAGTTTCCGGCCTTGACCTCGGAAACATCCACGCCGCGCTCCAGGGCAACCATCATGCGCTCCTTGCGGCCTGTGGGTGCCTTGCGCATCTCCTGACCCTGCTGGGTGTACTGGGCCTGGAAGGGGAGAGTCATACGGCCAGCAGAGGGGCCAGTTTCTGAGCCGAAGAAACCAGTATCGACGTTACGAGAGGTGAGACCGAGCTCGGGCTCAACGGCAGTTTTGCCGGGGACTGACAGGTCCTCTGAGATAAGATCTTCCTTGAGTTCCTCAGGACCCGCGGGCTTTCCAATCTTGGCTTGGGAAATCTGAGCCTGGCGTCTTTCGGGGAGATGGGCAATGTCGTAGAGCTCTTTGTTGAATTCAGCGGTGTCGTATGGAGTCTCGTCATCCGCAACGGGGGGAGGGTTGACCCAGAGGAGCTTTCCGTTGACGTAGTCCTTCAGGACGTAACGGGCAGCACGGGACTCGTCGGGTTGACCGAGACCCTGGGTGGAGAAACCGCGAGCGCGGGCATAGGCGCGGAGGATCTCGCTGGCAGTGGGGACACCAGTACCACCCTCTTCGGTGGGACGCATTCTGAGTTTCACACCGTATACTTGCTCGTAGAAGTGCTTGGGGATACGCTTGGCGACGATACCGGCGGGACCGGTGAACTCGCGCTGCTGGTCAATAGGCAGAACACCGTTGACAACGAGTTCGGCCTTGGTGGTGGCGAAGTTGGGGAACACGAGACCGGGACAATCGCACAGCATGATTTCCGGGGAGAGGTAAAGAGTCTGGAAATGCTTGGTCTTACCGGGGGTGGCGGAGACAGAGACCTTCTTGGCACCGAGAAGGGCGTTAATGGTACTGGACTTACCCACGTTGGGGTAACCGACCAGACCGATGGTGGTCTTCTTCTTGGGCTGCTCGCCATCCTCGGTGGTTTGAGGGAGTGTTTCTGGGGAATTGGCCAGGAAAAGCTCTTCGAGTTCTTCGGTATCCAAAATGTGAGGTCCGAGAGACCGTTCAGGGTCGGCAAGCTTGGCCATTTCAGCCTCGACTGTGTCCTCCTTCTTATATCCATCATCCTCTTCGGGGTGTCCATTCACATTGATCCTTTGAGTGGACATAGCCAGCTCAGCATCGAGATCACCTCCCTGCTCTTCCAACAAGGCAAGGGCCTCGTTCTTCTCCTTGGCAAGGTGAGCAGAGAAGAAACGGAAGTTGATCTTGTGGGTCTCAAAGTAAGTGGCCCAGGCCTGTCTTTGCTTCAGGGAGAGCATGTCTGCCTTGTTGACCAACAACAAGTTCTTCTTTCGGGGATCAATCTCCTTGACGTAGCTTTCCAAATCCTCCGAACGGAACTGCAACGGGTTTCGTGCATCGACAATCTGAACGACCAGATCGGACCGTTCGATGACACGCCACAGCTGACGCCAGACCTCCAGGTTGCGCTCGAAGGGGGTCATGAGCAGATCGTGGTTCTCGATCAGCTCGGCCAGACCGCGCCTCCAGTCCAACAGACTAGCCTTCTCCATCTGTTCCAGTTGGTTCCGGGTTGTGTTCGAGTCCCACTTGGGTCGGCGGGGGACGGTCAAGCGATCCTTGTTCTGTTGATGCTTCTTGAAAGCCTTTCTCTCATCGCTAGCGGAGAGCAGGAAAGGGTTCTTCTGGTCGGAGTGGATGATCTTGACGTTGTTGATTTTTTCGGCGGTAAAGTCGGTGCCGGCCAATTCGGCAGTGCTCAAGAATTCATCGAGGGCGGCCTGCTCGGTAATACTGCGCATCTTCACCCATGATGCCTCCTTTGCCTCGTTGGTGACGTAGGTCTCGCCATTTACACCTGTGCGCTGAATGGCGTTGTTGTGAGAGGCCTTCTTCTGAGCAGATGCTTTGCCCTTTCCGAACCGATCGTTCATGAGACTGGAACCCAGTCCCACCTTGTTTTTGGATTTAGCGAGAACCATGACGAATTTTGATCCGAGTTGCTAAGTTGGAAAAAAATGAAGTCGAGAGCACAACCCCCACCTGAAAAAGGGAATTTTGGATTATTCAGGATAAGATAACGCTGACTCAGCCACCCCTCTATCGCCATTTTCTCTTGACGTTCGTCTTGACTCTTGATGATCTACTTAGCTGTTATTATATGTGAAACTGCTACTTGAAGGATATATCTACTTATCCTGCCATGGCCAGGCAACACCTATAGCCCTGGGTTGGACAGCCCTTGAAGGCAACGATCTATAGTAATAAAGCGGGCCTGTTTAACGAGCCCAATGGCATACTAGTATATTATGTGCCCAAGTCTCCAAGCGAAGAAGCACAATGAGTCAAACAGCGGAGAAATTACTGAAATTCGAAACCCCCAGTCTCCATCAACCCAGATTTTCGCACTATAGTTACTACTTAAGTAGGCATTTGAGCACATGCGAAGGACCCCCGGAGAACGAGGGGCGATAAGCACACACGTGACCATATCAATCCCACTTTTTTCTTTTTTTCAATTGTATCCTACTTTTTAACCACATTCAAGATGCCTCCTAAACAGTGGATGTAGGTATAAGAAGAAACCAATGATCGCGCTGTAACTGACTCTTTCTCAGCGACAAGAAGAACGCGAGCAAGTTCCAGCTCTTCCACCGATCCCAAAATGATCCGTTGATCCATAACGACGAAGCGGAGGACCGCTTCTTGTACCAGGTCGGAGGACCTGCTCCTGCTCCTGCGCCTGCGCCTGCCTCGAAACCCTCGAAAAAGAACCTGCCCAACCTTTCAGATCTACAGTCCGAGTATGGCGGCAAGGCTCGCCAGAATGAGGGTGAGGCTGCCACCCATGGAGTCTATTACGATGATTCCAGCTACGACTACATGCAGCATCTCCGCGACCTGGGCACCGGAACTGGAGATGCATACTTTGTTGAGGCCAAGGGAGAAAAGACCAAGGGCAGAGCCGGCCGAGGCATGAAGCTCGAGGATGCGCTGCGACAGGTCTCCCTGGTCGACAAAGATACCTATGCCCCAAGCGCATCTGGTGCTCCTAGTCTCTATGGCTCGCAGTACGGTGACATGCGATCTACCACCTCATCTTATGTTCGCAAGCCCACCTACCAGGACCAGCAGAACGTCCCAGACGCAATCTCTGGCTTCAAGCCAGACATGGACCCCCGGTTGCGCGAGGCTTTGGAGGCATTGGAAGATGAAGCCTTCGTCGATGAAGAGGGCGATGATGACATTTTCGGTCAGTTGACTGCCAACGCAGAGGAAATGGATGAGGGCGACTGGGAAGATTCTCTTTTCGACCAGGAGGACGAGGATGATGGATGGGAGTCAGATGCTACCGAGAAGGCGCCTGTGCAGCCCCACAGCACAGATGTCAAGCATCAAGTGGACGAAGAATCATCAGATGGACCTGTAAAAATGCCTTTGGAGCTTGGCGAGATGCCCGCACCCGACGAGCCAGCTCCTGACATGCAGCCCACCGATCAAGGCTGGATGAGCGAGTTTGCCAAATTCAAAAAAGACGCCAAGGCTGGCAATGCTCCTGCACCTGCTGCGCCCACCATCGCTGCCTCACAAACTATGGCTTCAACCGCCTTCACTGCTGGTGGTACCCCAATCCGTCGCAAGAAGCGCAAGGGTGCTATGACCAACCCCTCCGCCTACTCCATGACCTCTTCTGCTCTAGCTCGTACTGAGGGCCATCGCCTTCTTGATGAGCGATTTGACAAGGTCGAACAACTGTACGCGCTTGATGAAGAAGACGAGTTCGACGACAGCATGTCAATGGTCAGTGGAATGACCGGTGCAACTGGCATGACTGGTATGTCTATGGCATCGTCCCAGGCCCCAAGCTTGGTCGATGGCAATGGCGAAGCAGTGGGCAGCCGCAGCAACTTCAACAATGTCATGGACGACTTCTTGTCCAGCTGGGACCCCAACACCAGTGCGCAAGCGAAGCGTAATGGCGCTAAGAACAAGCGTGGAAAGAACGGTAACGAGGCTATCGGTATCAGAATGCTTGACGAGGTGCGATCCGGTCTTGGTCCAGCTCGCTTCAGGGGTGAGAAGGGCAAAGCTGCCGGAAGAGCTTAATTCAAGGTTATACCACTGCATATGAGACGACGCTCAATGGGTACTCCCAGTCATGACTTGGCGTTTGGCTTTTTCATTTTACATTTTTGTTCATTTTCGGCATTCCCGTGCGTTAGGGTTGATATCTCTTGATGGCTAGACCAAAAGTTATGTTTACTATGTCTCTTCATGTCATTCTATTGTGCTCTTACTCTCCACGGACGAGTATATTTTCTACAGTCGCCCACGAATTCACCCGCAATGCATTTGCGTCTTCCAAATCAGTGATTGCCGTCGTATCATAGAGCACCGCTAGAAGCCCCTCTGCTCGCGCAGCCTGGATGTCGCGCACCGGGTTATCGCCAAAGTAGATAATCTCATCTGTGGCAATTTCATATTTCTTCAACACAGTGCCGAAGAGCCCGTCCAATTTAGATCTTCCAATCTCGTTGGTCGTCACGAGCACGTCGATATAAGGCCGTATGCCAAGTTCTTGCACAGTCCACTCCTGTGCATCTGCCGGGCCCTCGGTGATGACAATGACTTTCTTCCCTCGTTGGTGTAAAGTCTGCAGGAGATGCAATGCACCATCCTTGAGGGTCAAATTCCCTCGCAAAGAGTCGTGATATACTTCTAGCAGACGTTCGAGAAGAGCAGTATCAGAGAATCCCTGCGTCTGAAGAAGCTGGTCGAATCGTTCGCGGCGGTACTCGGTCGAGGTCCTTCCATCCGTGAAGGCATTGGCGGTTGCATTACGCAGAATGGTCCGGTAATCATCCCTGAGACTTTCGATACTCAGGTGTTGATTTGCAGTATGAATGGTTTGGAAAACATGCTCTGAGGCGAAGGCCGATGCTCGTCGGAATTCGTGAAGTGTGTCGTCTAGATCAAAGCCAAACCAAGATTTGGCAGATATCACCGGAAAAGACATGTCTTCTGTGGACAATATGAATTTCTCTTTTGAATGTTCAATTGAACATTAAACACAAGGCCCAAAATGGCCATGTAGAACCCCCCAAAGTCACAAAGTGTGAGTCACGTTTCCGAGTGGAAACGTTCGATGGCGTGATAGCCTCATAGATGCATCGGTATATGTTGCAGTATATTACAAATTCGCTATTATATCAAAGTTATACATATCAGAATGCACCGCCAACCTTCTCCACGATCCACATGGAAAGTCGCACATTCCACCCAACACGACGCTCAGTTCTTCTGAGGTCATCTCTCGAGACAGGACTAGCATCTTTCTGAAGACGCGCTGTCTCCTCACCAAGCTTACGCTTAAGCTCTTCATCGGTAGTCACAACGAGCGCACCAGCCTCAAGATCTAGACTGTAGCTGCGCTTGGTGTAGTTGCTGCTGCCGACAGCAGTTACACTTGGGTGTTGCTCGTTTGGAAGCGTAATCCAGAGACCCTTTGCATGGTAAGTCCAGCCACCGGGTGTGCCAACGGTTCCCTTGCGCCATTCTTTGAGCTGGATGAAGTTGGAGGCGTGCGCCTTCGCAACGCGGTCGAGGAAGCGAGCTGAAAGGTGTGTGTAGGCGGCTGGAAGCATTCCTGAGATGCCGGAAGACCCATAGAATCCATTCGCCCACGGCGAAGCTGTTAACACAGTGCCCTGTGTCGTGGAGGGGGTATTTGATGCTGTAGTCGTGCTAGAAATCAGGAGAGAGGAGAGAATTGGGTGGATGTTGAAGTAGCCTGCGGTGAACAGCCAACGTGCGCCGGCGAATGCCGATGAGCTGGATAGAAGGCGCAGGACGGTTGACACAGCAGGGTAGTCGGTGGAGGTATCATTTGATCCCAGGAGTGAGGTGAACTGTGAGACAGGGTAGACGTAGGTGCGACTTTCCTCAGATGCAATTGCAGGTTTATTTTCGGTAGCCCGGATAATCGGAGTTAGATAGTTTGAGGAGTGTTTGATGAAGTCCTGAGGGTCGTCAAGAGGGGACGGAGCACTATTTGCCACTGGCCAGTCCAGTACATAGTTGGATTTGTCTTGAGGATCTGGGAGCACCTTGAAGCTCAGATTGCAAATGGCATGGTGGATTGTTGAGTAGTAATCGGCAAGCGCCTTTGAGCTGAAGACGTGGTATCGGTCCAGACGGTGGGTGAAGTATTCCTCGGAAAGATTTGCGCTATTCATAGATTAGTATCCACGTCGAAGCCATGATCTGATCATTATCTCTTACCCCGAAAGGATGATTTCGTCGTCAATTCCATATAGCTTCATGTGCTGCAGACCCCAGCCTTCGTTGATGCGGCGAGGAATCCATTTTTTCCTTAAGCCCGTCAAGTTGGGGGTATGGAACATCCGAACCTCGACTCGTTCCGGTCCATACTCTGCCACCAAAGAACAGAGGAGCGATGCGCATGACGGATTAGGGGTTTCCCTTGTGCCGCGCAGAGCGTCCGTAAGGATCGAGACCTTGAGATCTGGGTTGTCGCGGAGAGCATCACTCAAAGTTTCAACAAGATCATGCTCTGTCTTGCCGATGTACAAGGTGGAGAGATAAACGCGCCGCCGGGCATTGCGGATTTTATTCTGCACGAGCTGATGTTAGCTCCAGTGACCTCGGAGGGGAAAAAGTCCAGCATACCTTGAGCGTAGAGTAGAAATTGGCCGGAGTATCAATAATATGAATCTGAGATGCTGGCACCTCGAACCGAGGGGCAATGCGATCTAGCTCCGCGGTGATTCCTGCTAGAGGTGAAGGGGCGGATGCAGCAGTCGCAGTGCTGGGGCTGGTGTGTGCCGAGAACTTGCGAGCGCATAGCCTCCGACATGTGACTGAGCGCCCAGTGCAACGAAGTGCCTGACCACTAATGCGACCGAACATCTCTGGAGGAAGTACAATGTCGAAGGATTTCTGAATCGGGAAATCCCATGCTCGGGTGCAAACAGTGCAAACACACCGCCCTTCTGCAACCTCAAATCGCCAATCTCTCGCATCCCATTCGCTCCACATTATACCAGCAAAGATGTCGACCATTGTGAGGACGCTGCGCAACCTTCGCCGGGTTGGCTTCAAGGTAAAGCTTTCTTTCTTCTTTCAACATAGATCACGGTACTAACTCTCTCTCACAGGATGCTGCCCACCAGATGCAGGTATGACCGCGGACGAATCCCCCGGAACACCAGGTCAATTGGATAGATTTGGGGCTAACAAGCGTTCTTTTTCTTGGTGTTATAGTACATTGGTATGTTATGCTTGAGCCGGTATACGCGCGACATGAGACTGACAATTCATCCCAGGTGATACCAAGGCCGGAACCCTGATCGGTACCGATCGCTTCGGAAACAAGTACTTCGAGAACACGACCGAGGAACTGCCCCGTAAGAAGCCATTCGATCTTTGCTTTCGTCATTGGAATATATAGCTCTAACCTTCTTTCCCCGCTTAGTCCGCACACGTTGGGTTGACTACAAGGAGGTCGAATACGACGCATCCCACATTGAGCCCGGCTGGTAAGCTCTCTCTCTCCCTGAGACCCGAGCGACAAGCGCTTTGCAAAGCGCGGAGCTAATGTATATTAGGCACGCCTGGATCTCCTACCTCGTGGATGCGCCCCCATACGCCGACAAGATCATGCAGACCGGCGTCCGTCCCTGGGAGCTCGGCGAGCACCGCGCCAACCCTACCCTCAGCCGCGCTGCTTTCAAGACCTACTCGACGTACGTTTGATATTTCCGCATATCTGGTTGTGACTCTGCTAATTGACTCCCCACAGCACCCGGCCCAAGATCTCTGCTTGGACTCCCACCGCTGCTCCCCGGTAGATCTATTTGCAATAGCAGTCAATTCAAATTTTTGTGCTGTTTAACCGAACCTGTCTCCTGGTGCGCTCTACGAGGAGGTTGTTTGGAAGTTTTGGGAATTGTATATAAGGACGTCTGACCCGTAGTGCCTATTTTTTTATGAAGAAAGTCTGTTCCAAAAATGCGCTGCACTAAACGTTTGATATTAATCTAACCCACATGACAAAACTAAGGTATCTTATTTGTTGAACATTATTCAAAAAAGACATGCGTTACCAGAGGGGGAAATGAAGTAGATACAAGAAGATATTAACACCCAGGATTTTGTTTACCATCAGAGAACATAGACACCAGAGCCAATGTTCGACCAGTGACGGATTGGTCGTCGATCCTCCAATTCAATACACCACCACAGCACTTCCTTCAGCTTTTCGATTTGCTCGCCGGCTTCGTATGCCCTTGAGAGCGCGTACCACGCCTCCGAGCTATCCCAGGAGCTACCGAGCTTGGTCAAGGCTGATAGGAGGGCATATGCACGATCGCGAGCCGCCAGACGATGGAGTTGCTTGGGCTCGACGTCCTGTGCGGAAGTGGGTGCATTCTCCGGCTCCTCGTTTTCTGTCTCGCGCGCGATCTTCAAGTCGTCAGTGGAGATTGCCTTCGCAGACTTGGGCTTAGGGGTCTCCGTTAGCAACGATAGACGTGAGGCGTTGAGATCTACGTCGGCATTCGAGGGTTCCAGGGAGAGTTTCTCGTCCCATATGTCCAAGAGAAGGTTTGCAAGCCCAATGGTTGCAATCGGGTGGTTTTGGTAACGAAGCAGCGCGTCCTCGAAGTACCTGATAGCCTGATGAGGGTTCGAACGAGCCTGAGACAAAAGTCCCTGCTCCGCGTATACGTCGGCCCACAGCTCCTCGGAGCTCTTTGATGCACCCCATCCACGCTTGTTGAAGGACCGAGCAGATGACTCAATGGACGCAACAAGCGCTTCGACTCGTGCGACTTGTTTCGAAGCCTCTTCACAAGCTTCGTGGGCATCATCAAACATGGACGCCCGACGGTACAGTCCAGCAATGACAAGCCAGATTTTGACAAGCAGGCCTAACGCTTGCTTCTGGGATTGGACCAAAGAGAACTTTGTGATAGCGTTTGTGGGAGAGTCAAAGCGATGAGGCCTCGGCTGCCGGATGTCTTGCTGTGGAGGTTGATCTCTATGACCGACAGGGAGAGCTTCTTGCTTGTAATTGACGTTGTGTGGTATCGGTGGCAGTGGATGCTTGCCCCTGACAGACTGGACAGCAGAGTCTGGTGTGGAGTTTCCAGAAACGGCAATACCGACCATATCCGCAGATGTTTCAATGCCATTAGGGAGCGGAGGCTCCTCGACACGTGGGCGTTCGTGTCTGTGGAAGCTTGAGCTCCGCTTCTTCTTCAGTCTCTTAGAATCTGTCCTTTGAACCGTGGACTGCCTTCCTTGGCGATTCTGAGGGTCTTCATCTGTGACTTGAATCGAAGGGGCCTCAGACAGGTGGCCAGCAGGAATGGGTGGTGTAGGCGGAATAGAGGAGTCCAAGCCGTTAGTATGACTGACACTTCGATCCGGCAATTGAGACATTCTTCGACCGAAGATGCTGCTACGGAAACTCTTCGTTGTTCCAGCAGAGCTCTTTGGCGGCACAAGATGGTCGTCTTTGGCTTTGGGTTGCCCAGTTTCGAGTTCAAGATTCTGGAATAGGGTCCCAAATAGACTCAGAATCTGTGAACTGTGGTTAACAGCGGCTTCAGGGCCTTCCAAAAGCTCAATGAAAGCAAGTTGTGTGATGCGAGTTTGAATGATGCGCTCCTTCTCCCTGCCTTGCAATCGGCTGACAACTGGGCGCTGGCTGAAATTTTGTGCGTGTCTTGATAACCGTCGATCACGGATGCCCTTAGAAAATATGTCTCGCGGAAATTGCTCGAATGCAGCTTCGCAGGAGCGACCCGCAATCTCGAATTCCTGCTTCGCACTAAGAAGCAATGCCAGCAAATGCCAAAGGGGAATCAAATCTCGCTCCTTTGAGAGATCATCAGAGTCTGCTGGGGGTGAGCCACTTGGAGTCAATGCGGATTTGATATAGTCAATTGCAGCATCCAGCTCCCTGTTCTCGGCCAAAACAAGACCCAATGTGTACAGGGAGGCGTAGCTTGAGCTGCATCCTAGCTCTGGTGCAAGACTCTTCTCGAGATATTCGATTGCTTCAGACCTAATCTCATCGCGCAGTTCATTAACGGGGGTCCAGTTTGCCCAGCATGCAAGACCAACACCGATGGCACGGTACGATGAAGCCAGCACCGCAGGAGGGATGATTAATGAGTTTGAAGAGTCACCGTTAGCATGGCCATTTGTGACAGGTGCGTCATGCTTATCAATATACTCTTTAATCATATCAGTAAGATCGCGAGCTTTCTCTGCCTCTTCCAAGGAGCCAAGGCAACTCAGTAGGGTTACGCCTTCGGAGAGTGTCTGCAGAAGGATTTCATCCTTCTCCAGCTCACCATATTCGGCTGACTTTTGGGCTCTTTCTTTAGCGGCGGTGACAATTTCAATATATGAATCAAGCGCCTTTAATGCGAGATCAAAGTCCGCCAAAGCGGAATGGACATGGAAAAGACGACGCAGCACTAGATGAGAGTGATAAGTCTTTGTTGCCGCGCGATACAAGATCTGGAGCCAGATTGTTAGTATATTAGAACCGGCAGTTGGTATGCGCATACTCACATCCAAGACATTGCGACCAATGGCATTCTGGCCTCCCTCGCCAAGATCCGAGTCTTGCCATTCAGGGCCACACATAATTTCCCAATTGCTGATAACCTGCTCGATCCATTCCTCGACTTGCGAGTTATGGGATTCAGCGGTAGGGAATCTGGTCTCACGGAGAAAACTACCCTCGCAGATGGTCTCTACGCGGCGCAATTCGTTGGCCTGCTGAGGACGATGCGGTCCGTCATTGGGACCGGTGTACGGTAGTCCTTTCTGCAGGATGGTTGTGAGAAATGCGTAGTAGCCAGTCCAGATCGATGACCGGGAAGCCGGTGCGGAGTCATCCACATTGGATGTAGCAGGCGTTCCTTGCTTCACAGAAGGATGGGCCGCCCACAATCGAAGTAGTCGCAAAGCGGAATCCACATGCCTGGGATCCGCGTAGGCCGGGTTCCTGCTTGCTTCTTGACTGGCCAAGAGAGCACCCTTGCCTAGAAGAGACTCGGACCAGCTGAGGAACTGCGGGGTGGTGATCGACGATAATTTCCCGCTATCAAGCCACGGAATTAGAGATGCGAAGGTCTCAAGCGTCTCGTCGGTATTAGCAACGCTAGATTGTGCAGAAGCTGGGTCGAAGTCAGTACCACTTATATCTTTGGATCACAAAGTAAACAAACCTTTGATATAGCACCCCTTCACCAAGCAAACCTCGGTCCAGGTACTCGGTTCCTCGCCACCACTGGCCAAACTCTCGACTGTTGTAGCGAAATCCCTTGGAAGACGTGCAGCCGCAAGCCCAGGTTCATTCAAAACCCAGTGAATCCATCCCAGGCAGACTTGCGCTTGCAATAATTCTTGGGGCGACCCGTCGCTCTTCTCGATTGTCATTAACAGGGCAGGGATAAGCTCGACAAGAGTGGGTGATAGCGAGGAGTCACCGGTAGACTGTTGTTGAAGGTGTGCAATCACTCGCGATTCGGCCGTTGCGGTCTGTATCAGGCCTAGATACAGCTCGGTTAGGATGAGATCAACAAACGAGGGGTTAGGCATACATACAAGTACTTTGCGGTGCATGTTTTGTGACTTTCCTGATCAACTCAGGCACCTCGTCCCAGTTTCCTAGGCTCCGCGCCTGGTCCAAGGCTGCGCCGTAGCGCTGCCCCTTCTCGGTATTACCTCCCTGCACGTGTCAACAAATAAATACTGGGTGTGTATTGGGAAGCTCGTAGAATGTTGAGTCTTTGGGGGAGCGCTTGGGGGGAGCAGAGAAAGGCACTCACAGGCATAATTCGAGAGTATAGTGGATTGGAGAAGAGAGAATGACATTCAAGCTTCCAACATTCTAATGATCGTCTACCTCGCAGGGGTGGAGAGCGGATTACGTACGTGACGGTAATATAACGCCGAGGCTTCACATGGTCCAAGCTTTTTTTTGGCAGAAAAAAAAAGTTGCGGAGATCAATTGATCTTCTTTTTACCGTTTTTCTGTTCGCCGCATTTTTGAGTGTCAGATTTGCAGCATGACTTCGGCTACTTTGCGTGCTATCACGCACCGCTTGACAACTACCCCGGTGGAGCAATTGCCCTCCAAAGCTGCATTGCTTGCGACCTCATTGAACGACTGCGCCGCTCTCCTCTCAGCCCCGCAAAATCAGAAGGGCAAGTCGGATTCGGACAATGCTGTTCAACTCCATAAGTTGAAGACCAGATTGGCTAGTCTGTTGCAAGATCGCAGTGTTGAGGGAAGATGGACTGCTGTGGTGCTGGTCAAAGCGGCGGTTGAAGCTGGTCAATGGGAAATCCTGCGTGGATATGAGCCTATTGTTCGCAGCTTGATTGGAATCCTAGCAGTATGCACCAATGTATTCATCTGGAGTTAGGATGAATTTATGACTGATCTTTTACAGAAACCTGATCCGATCTCCACAAGAAAGATGTGTATCATCACACTCACTCGGATATTCCATCTCACGTACCAGTACCCCACGCTTGTTCGGGAAATCACGACCCCTCAACTCCCAGGATTCATCACTGCTGCCTTGAACTTGGTTTCGACTGCAACAAAGACTCCTTCAGGCTCGACCCGGAAGTCAAAACCCAACACTCCATTCATGGAGGTTGTTCTGCACGCCTTGCTTGAACTGATTCCCAGACATATCACTATTTTCAGACCATTCAACTCCCAACTCCGATCTCTTCTGACCGAGGTCATTGGATCCTCGTCTGGACAGTTCCCAGGACAAGTCATCGAAGCAGCGGAGCAACTGCTTGTGTCCCTTCACAAGTGCGCGCCGAAGGACCAGGCGACTACTGGATGGAAAGATGACTGCAAGGCGACAATCCTGGCTATTCATCAAACAACCGATCATGTTTACCGAGCCGTGGTGGAACAGTGGGAATCGGTGGATGGGAGCTTGACTCATACGCGCCCCAATTGTAGTCAAGAAATTGGCAGCGAGGGACCGGATAGCCTTGGACTGCCAGAGTGGCAAGGATTGCACTTGGGTGTGGATAGGCTACTTGCGCTTCTAGAGATCCTCTCTAGTTTCTTATCAACACCATCAGCGGCCGCAGTCGCTCTCCCCGTGGGCGCTATCCTCGATGTGACCTCCAGACTTACGTCTGTCACTGTTCCACTGAATGGTGAACCGTCTCAATCCGGAATCCAATTCAACAAGGAAATTAGCCGTGATGAGCGGGAGGGACTTTGGATGGAACTCCCTCGCATCCACATTGCGTGCATGGGTCTGCTCTCTAACCTCTTTGGAGTTCTTGGCACAAGCGCCACTTCGGTAACACAGACAGCTCTTGAGCAGGCCGTTTGGGTGTTCAAAGGCGAGAGCTTCAACCAAGACCTTCGATCTGCCGTATACAGCTTGTTGCGTTCCCTGGTCCCTGTTAACGGGCCTGCGATGGCAAAGGAGAGCGTGGTGTCATTGTCAAACGTCGTGCGCTCTTGCTGCAACGACCTCCTTCCGTCAGTTGAAAACCAAAGCCAAGCAGGAAACCCAGGCTCTGATCCCAAGTCGAAGTCAAAGGGCGGGCACGGATCAGCCAATGCCGATGCGTTCTTGAACCCCGAGCTGCAGAAATTCCGTCAAAAACAGGCGTCGTCTCCTTTCTTACAGAACGCATCTGGGCTTCTGCAGGCTGTGTTGGTTTCAATCCCCGCCGAGCTTGTGCCGCCTTCTGTCAGAACTGAGATCGACCGCACTATCATTCTCACCACTGACAAAGATCCTATGCTGGCCAGTGTTTTGAACCCCGTGCCTGCGGCCAAGGGTCGTGGAGCAGGAGCCAGTATCATCCCCTTCTTGGTTCGGCCGTACGCCGATCAGATGGAAGTGGAGGCTCTCGTCCGTCCTAGAATGCCTGTCTTGATGACTGCCCCCGAACTCGATGCCTATATCGACGAAGACGAAGAAGAAGTGGAGGACGAGGAGATGGCTGATGACGCGTACAAAGCTGCTCCCAAAACCGCCGAGTTCTTGAAACAGCCTGTGTCTATGCCCATTCATGTGCCCCAGGCCGAGCAGCCGAAGGCCGCCGAACCGGCTCCTACCTTCCAGAAGCGAACCTACACAGAGGATTCAACGACGCAGGAGCCAGCGACCAAGAAACAGGATGTTCAGGTGAAAAAGGCACGCTTTGAGGAACTGGTTCCAAACGCAGTTTCCCAGCCCGCTCCCGCAGTCACTCAATCCGAGGCTCCCAAGGTCTCAGCTCCCGTCACCACCACTTCTACTCCTGTGACTTCACAGGCCACAGAGGAGCTTGACGAAAGCGATGATGAATTGCCCACTCTGAACGTCGACTCTGACACCGACGATGACGATGACGTCACAATGGAAGGCTAAGTGCGATTATATATACCCAATTTCACTGTCATATACGTTTCCCACAAATCTTAATGCTCATTGCGGCGACGGGACCCGAAAATCTATTATGTTCTCCTAATGATGTCTTACAACACTCGTATGCCACTTCCCCAATATGAACCATCACTCCAATATCGGAACCAGGGTTCTCTCCAACACCACCACCCTTCACCCTGCAGTCCAAACCCAAGACCACGTAATGGGCTGACTGGGATAGGCTCCATCAGCCACAGACCTCCTCTCGCAAAGTCATCTGCAATGAGACCCCCTGAGGTCATCAACCAGCAATAGACAAACAAGAAATTCGCCGTCCGTCTGACCCATCTCGGTGTACCGCCAAGGGGTAGTCTTGGAAAGATAGCAGTCTTGAAGAACTGCTCTGCCATTACTGCAACGCCCTGCAAGGCAAAAAACAGAAATGGACCAGAAACGGGATGTGTACCTGGTATCTGGGTACGGCTTCCGCAGGCATGGATAAGACCACTGATACAGAAAGATACTGCCACATACACGACACGTCTGAAATTCAGATGAGATGTCAGGCTAACAGGAAGCAAGGATAGAATCCATCGTGCTGCACTCATGAAACCATTTCGGAAAAGCTGGTGCCACCATTTGCCCCAGCAGCCTGCCAGTCCCTGATCAAGCACTGGTTGAACAAAGGGTCCAAATGCCTCGGAATATAGCCATGAAGCGCCGAGTGGGGTAGCGGTAAGCTTCTGGGCTGCATTGGGAAATGCGAGAGATAAACCCAAAAAGAAGATCGGGTTTAAGGGTGTCACAAATTCCAGGGCAAAGTAAACACTCATAGCGCTGTACATGCAGCGGCAGAGTTGGGCCAAGGCAGGGTTAACTGCGATGCTTGGGAAATAAAAGAATGGAAACGGAGGAGGTGAGACTGAATTTGATGGTGCAATTCCTTGGAAGTAGGGGTCTGGCATCAGAATGATAACCTTCAGGACGTCCAGGATTAGGTATGATATGCAAAATTTGCGAAATGCAGCCTGGAACCGTTGTTTACCGCTGGGATAGGTGGAATCTGCTTGTGCCTTGATCTTTTCTGTGAATCCTGTTTGTAATTGAGTATGAATTGAATGAGGCAGGGGACCCAGGTGCGGAGCTCGCCAGTTCCATTCTGGTCCTCGCAAGTTGAAGAACAGCCCGGCAGCCCACTCTAGGCGATGTGAGAACTTTGGGGGGTAAGACTGCCAAATGAAAGCATTGCTTTTCTCTTGGTTGGACGGTGAAACCTCAGAGTTAAGCTTTTCACCATCGACGCTGGCTTTCTGAATAATTTGCGTATCCTGAACTTGCTCAGCAGAAGGATTTCTTTCGATGCGCTGGAAGTCTCGCTCGAGGTCCGTGAAGATAAACAAAGTGGCAGTCCAGATGAGCCACCATGCCGTCATGAGACCAAGCATGTAGCCATTTCCCCCGACGACTGCGCGGCGATTTTGAAAGATGTCTATGGCTATGCCAACACAAATAGCAAACAAGACTTTGCGAATATGATGACCACCTCTGCTACGAGGAATGACCAAGCCTATCATAGGCAGCGCGTGAATGATAACAACATGATAGAGAAAGATAGGCTTGTAGACACCCTGTTCGATCAGGCCATCTAGCTCGCTCTCGAAGTGCTTGGCAAGATCCCTGTAGGAGCCATAGCGGGGATCGGCCATGTGGGACGCCACAGCCTCGGTGCGCTAAGAACGGGGTAATATAGGAGGATCAACGCTTGTAATGAACCAATGCAACCCCTGAAAGATCTTCAGGGATGTAAAATATGGATTGAAAAATGGATTGTAAAATGTAGCACAACTAGGCAAACGCGAGAGAGTCACAAATCAGGAAATATGGTGATCACGTGGTCATGTATAGCTGCCTCAGGCCTCATTTAAGTATGACACGTAAAATCGGCTTGATGTTCACTCCAATTGCCTATCTCCCTTGAGATGTCCAGGTCGTCTCAGGACCCCGCATTTCTGAGGATCTGGAAAGTCGTGGGTTCAAAAATCGCAATCAATTACACATGGGGCGGAGCATCCCCGGTATCTAACCAAGCATAGGGGCCTCGGGAGGAGCTCCCCTCTTATCCGGTGGATCTATGCGGGGAGATGACCGGCAATTATGGCCAATTTCTCAACTGTCGATAAGCCGGAATCAGCTGGGGTAGTTATTGAACAGTGTCTGTTCAATTGACACTTTCACTTACTCCAGCCGTTATTTTTCTTCATCCGATTTTCACAATGTCAGCGAACGAGCTTCAAGGTCGACTAGCCCTAGTCACAGGCGCATCGGGAGGGTAAGTGATATGAACTACCAACACTAACTCACAATGTATGAAAGAAATGGTTTCTAACGGTAGCTCTCCGGTTACAGTATAGGAGCAGCTTGCGCGCGCCAACTCGCACAGCATGGAGTTCACCTGGCTTTGACTTATTCCACCAACTTGGCCTCGATGAACACTATTGTCGCCGAGATTCAATCTGCAAATGCTGAAAAGTCACTCCGAATTTCTATACATCAGGTAGATGTCGGGTCTGGAGATCAGATCCAGGCCATGTTCCGAGACATCGATGCCAAACACGGTCAACGGCCAGACATACTCGTCTCAAACGCTGGATATGGGAAGCGTATACCTGATGTATCCGAAATTTCCCTCGAGGAGTTTGACTATACCATGGATATCAACCTTCGCGCTTCATTTATCTTGGTGAAGGGCGTGGTAGAGCACATGAAAGATCAGAAATGGGGACGTATCATCTTTATGTCCTCGATCGCTGCTCAAGGTGGAGGTATCAACGGATGTCGTAAGTTTATGAACAATATTGTTCCCGAAGAATACTTCAATGCCCCAAGTATATCTTCTAATCTGGTTTCTTGGTCCAGATTACGCAGCTTCCAAAGGCGGTCTTACAGGCATGATGAAGAATCTCTCAACCCGTTTAGCAGAATTCAACATTAGTGTCAACGATGTTGCTCCAGCTATGATTGGCGACACGGGCATGCTTTCCTCCGCAGCCGCATTCCCCGAAGTGGTGGCAAGTGTTCCGCTTAAGCGACTAGGGACGCCCGAGGAAACAGCCAATGTTGTAACTATGCTGGCAAAGACTGGGTATATGACAGGCCAATCTCTTTTGTTAGCCGGAGGATTGAAATGAAAGACAAAATGTGTTACTAGAAAGCTTCATTGAAAAAGACGGTCATCTAATCTGCGTTCTATATAGTTCAAAGGCAAGAAAAATGCAGAACAGTGTACATTCGATATTTGCACATTCCACCCCATGGTCGGTATTCACATTTTCCCCATCCATGGATAGCGGCAGCCATAATTCATATGTCGATAATCTCACAGTGAAGATTTATTCAAATCCGTGGGAAGTTAGAATCAAATTCACAGGTTAGAATTAGATCCAGGGGAAATTGCTGCGACAGCTTGTTTCACCCCTTCTTCATTGGATTCACTCTCCAACCACAGAATCTGCTGAGCAACACAGACTCTGGCCAAGACCTCTGTACCCAGGATTATCTGCCAGCCTGCGCTCTTGGCAGCCTTCACAAGTCTTGTCTCCGGTGCTGGCATATAGCACATATCCACCAATAGCCCCCGCTTGGCTTTCGCGAGGAATATCTCGCATATTTTCCAGCTCAGCAGCTCTCCTGGTTGAGAAGGGGGGTAGTCTGGAATCGTCCCAATGATCAGTGACGGGCTTGGGAGGCTGTTGGCCATTGCAATATCTGGGATATATCGCAGCTTGATGTTCGGAATTGCGGTGGTGAAGTGGTCCACAATATCATCAACCTCGGATTTAAGTCGATTCGTGATATAGATCTCGGAGGGAGAGAACCACTTCCAAGTTGCATATATAGCACTTCTGGCCGCTCCTCCCCCTCCCACTACCATCGCAGGCTTCCCCTTTGTGAAAGCGGCGGCACTCGGATCTTGCTGAAGGATTGCCTCCCGAACCCCAATACAGTCTGTGTTTGTTCCGATGTATCGTCGTTTTCCGGTGGGGCTGAGGCGAACAAAAGTTGTATTAGTTGCTCCAATTGCCCGAGCCTCGTCGGTCAGATCGTCCAGAAGCGGGCCAAAGGTGATTTTGTTGGGCATGGTGATTGATGACCCGATTGTCTCCGCGGCGGTGAGAGTGTCTAGGAATAAAGACTTGTCCATTGTCTGGGAGAGGTGGCATTTCCACGATGCGCCCACTGACTGGAAGAGAATTCCATGGAGGAGAGGTGACAGGGAGCGAGAGATGTCACCGCCGAACAAGTAGACTTTAAAGGGCGCAGAGCGGGATGAGGGTGCCAGAAGGGAGGTACCATACTGGTAGGATTGGCGAAGGACGTCCATTGTGACAGTTTTGTTTTTTGTTTTTTGTTTTCCTGAAGCTCCCAGCTCAGTTGAACTTCAGAAGATACCCATGAGTGCAGCTGTATTTTAGGCAAGAGTTTCCGACCGACAAGATCATGCGGGGTACGGCCTATTATTTTAAATGCCGGAGAACCCAATCACATTGGAGACATCCTGCACACCGGATCATGTTAGCCTAAGCTACAAGCTGTCGTAGTCGCCGCCGGAGACATCGGGAGACGAAATGTCACCCCAACCTACTCTTGGGGATTGTCTTGCAACAAACAAATATTGTTGCTTATAAATTCATTCGATGCACTGAGATGCTATCGGCGCTATATTTCCGGTTGATTTATGCCCTTAATATGTTTTACTTTTGGATTTTCATCCCAAGCGAGGGGAACCTATAGACCCGCTGAGTTCGCACACGTATCAACAAGATGAGGTCTAGATGTAGCTACCGATGATACTACTGAGTTAATTAATAGGATTAAATGTATCTCAGCTGCTCAAGTTATGGTTGGGTTATGCTTCCATGGTTTTTGGTTAAAGTAGAGGAATGGTATACTTCAATTGATATTGAGAATTTTAGGATTAAGCTAACTGCATCTGGCTGGATAAATCCTGAAACAGCAATTTATTGGCTATATTTGTTTATTAAAGCTACATATGAAAAACCGAGTTTCAAAAGGCCGACCGAGGTTTTTGTTAATGGATAACAATTATACGCATTGCAGCTATGGATTCCAAGAACTTTGTACTGAGAATTGGTTCATTCTAGTCTGGTCTATCCCATATACAACCCACTTGATTCAACCGCTTAATTATTAAGCATTCCAATGCCTTAAACACTTCTTTCATCGGGCGAATAATGAAGAAGTTATATGGGTTGGAAGTGCGAGTACAAAGCGGGACTTTTTTGGAATCATCAGCGATATTCGCCACAACGCCCTTAAACAACGAACCATCTAATCATCATTTAAATCTCGTGGTACTCTCTCGCTGAATATAGGGCTATTACTTGATTCTTTAGAGATGAATTTGAGTAAGAAATGGTTAAGATTAGTAGGTTTAAAGTCGATTCACCTGAGCCAGATGTGTCCAGTGCTATAACTGATTCACTACCTGATACACCCCACTTAGTCCAAAAAAACTCAATTCTAGAATTAATAGTAAGCTATAAAAGATCAATATATCGACTATAAAGCTTCGAAAATGGATTAAATGCAGCACAGATACTAGTACAGTATTGGCACGTCGGAATAAAGAATTATAGCGATGTTTAAGACCTCAGACTAAACAAGCTCGTGCTGCTATACCGAGATCTCGAAAAACAATTCTTGGGCAAAAGAAGACTGTATTATGACCCGCATCAGGTAATAAACGCTAGGAAGCCGAGGTTAAGAAGGATATTAGGGCTCGGCAGAGGCATGCCTAACATGAAGCTCAGGGTCAGGAAGATCAATTACAGCGAGATCAGGCGGAAGAAGAGATGGTGGATCGAAGAGCAGGATGGTGGCCATCTCATAATGTAGGCAGATTACAGCGGGGGCCTGTAATTATTCGTGAAGATTAAATTGAAATTGATGAATTTTGTAAAATGTACGTTTCCTGCGACAGACGGAATAGACCGAAGGGATATAGAGGTGGTCTACCCACCCTGCGAGGCTGGGTCAGGTAAGACGAATACTTAAGTATGCAAGAAAGATATTGCGATCTTATTGCTTCGCCAGATGGATTTTTAAGTATTGGCTTTAACACTGGTGGAACTTCATGCTACTTATTGCCACTGATCTTGCCTTGAGGGTTTCTTTGCCTGGCAGATTCGATTTTTCCCCCGCTCTTCGTTTTCGCTTTTCCACATTGCTATAACCCCAATTTTTCTAATATATAAACTGTTGAGATGGGTGTTTGCCCCAACCCTCGTTTGATGTAGATAGACCCTACTTCCATAGGCCTTCTCTCCTCTCCTCTCTCTCTCTCTCCTCAGAGAGTCAATACATTCGGTTCTTTCTATCGCTGTACGCTCTCAACATAAACAAGGAACTGTCTGCCCTAGACCAGGCTAGCTCTGCACCTGCAGGCCTGTATTGAGTTCAGTCGTTGGGTACATTTGTCTTCGAATATTCAACTACCGAGGTATCCTTCTGGCCGCTTGTCTTGCTCACTAACTGATATGGCCACTCGTCCTTGCATGTGCTGGCACCCCCCATTCCTACTGCAAGAATTACTGGTGACACGCGCTGTCACACGCTGTTGCCCTGAAGCGGTGAGAATGGAAGGCAAGAAGAATAAATTTAGGGGACTATTCCTACCACACCCCAAATCCTTGCTACCACACCCCTTTTCATGCCGCTAACCCGATTGAAAGGCGGTCAGCTGGAAATACCTACTGTCCCCGAAGTTTTCAATACCGCCTCAGATCAATACACAGGATACTTTGCTTTACTATGTAGACCCTATACAAACCCAGGTCACCCCTGTAACCTTACAATACCATTCACCTATCTTATCTAGACACCCACCAACTCTGCACCTCTCAGCTCTCCCCATCTACTTATTACATCAATTTGACCACATTTTCTTCATCCCAGAATCCTTACTGCCGCCGAGTCAGTCAATCAACATTCCAGATCCCTCGCTGCCAGAACCATCGCTCTCGTCGAATCTCCACAATCTTGAAAACCAGCCTCTTCGATCCATTATTACATATCGACGATAGGTAGCGGCGACAATGAGGTGGCAGCGCCAGTGAGGTGAATATACGACTACATAGCCCGAAATAGAAAGCAGATGTCAGTTTGTAAACCCTGCAAAATTACATTGCTTAATATGAGGATCCGAATGGTGTATTTTATGTAAGATTCGGTCATGAGACTTTTCTGCCAGTAAAATATCTTTACTGCCGGAGTTTCTCGTTGACCGCCCCCAATTGGGTTAGCGGCATGAAAAGGGGTGTGGTAGCAAGGATTTGGGGTGTGGTAGGAATAGTCCCCTAAATTTAAATATAGCTATGTTTACATTGATTTACATATGGCTATGTATCCATTCGTCTTCTGCTAGCTCCTTGGCTGAGCTACGCTTACCGGGCTCCCATTGTAGCATTTTGCGCATAAAACGCAGAAATACTTCTCTCTCCGCTTCCCCGTCGAGAGTGGTTTCCCTCTGTTCAAGCGGTACTGAGCCCGTCAGTAACTCCGGATTCAAGAAATTGCCTGGAGTGACCGAGTTAGTGGACCTGGATGCCGAAATTCACCATGTACCGCGAGAAAAAGAAACTTACCTTCACTCGAAAAGAATTTGTCTTTCAGCTCCCCTTGGGTAAGAAGGCTAGGAGGCGGGGGGCCGAGAAGATTGATCATCTCGGCAAGATGGGCTCGGCTCCGGTATCTTTCAAATTCGGGATCCTGGCCTGTAAATAAGGAACCGCCTTCGTATATATCCCAAATCTATATTATGACTATTAGCGATTATCAGATCATGATCTAGCTGTTAATCTTACCATGCATCCCACATTCCATATATCGGCGCTAAACGTCGATGGAACGCCCAAAATCACCTCAGGTGCTCGGTAGATTTGAGGTTGAATGAATACCGAGTGGTGCTGATCACCGTGTATGGCCGAACCGAAATCGCAAAGGATTGGGGAGCTGACTTGTTTGGGTATTTTGAGTTCCTGGGACATGTAGATTAGTCTCCCGTCTGCGTCTACTTCTTTCCTTGGAACAGGTTTTTGAAGTTCGTAGTCTTCGAAGTCAGTGAAGACTGAATCATCTTTGATCCCGAACATGATGTTATCAGCCTTGATATCTAATATGGAAATCAGTAAGGAAAGTACAAAGGCCGGAAGTGATTAACAGGGCCACGAACCAGTATGTGCAATATGGCACTCTGTATGAAGAAAATCCAATGCTAGAAACAGGCGATGAAGAACGACTGCGATGACTGGCGAGGGTAGTCTCTCTACCGGGTTGCGGCGTAAGTAAGCTAAAACACTCTCCCATAACGGGTGATGCACAAGGCATCGATGCTTGTCCTGAGGTCCGTCGATGTAAAATGTATCAAGCAACGTTCTTATCACGTCGCGACCGGGATGAACCGCTGGAGACTGCTCTATATATTTATAAATATTGAGCTCGTTATCCACTTGCTGACCCATAGACGAAGCCTGGATGAAGATTTTGAGCATAACATAACGTCGGTCACTATGAGACTGGTGTATAAGTATCTCTGATAAGCCAAGTTATAAATTCATGAGGAATCTCACTCCATGTCCCGTGCAAGCCACACAGTTGAGGTAGACCCAAATCCCAATTTACCGATGATTTGATACCGCTCCTTGATAACTTCTCCAATCCGAGTTGGATAATACTCTGAAGCGATGTAGTCTGGGAGAGTCTCCTCTTCAATCTTGTGCCACTCAGGTATACGGACGAAGTTGGGGTTGGAGAAATTGAGAGGTTTCCATCTCCGCCCGAGCTGAGGGAGGGATCGTAGAAGCGATGAGAACATAGTCTGAGGGAAGAAGAATAGCGTCTGTTGGGAAAGTAATCTGAGTATCGAAGAGAGAATGGGATGTCTTTTGAGGTAGAGTTGAGCGTATTCAAATTGTTTAGGTCGCTGAAAGGGCGCCAACCGCGATGCCGGATTTCACCAGATCAGGTGATCTTGCTCTCGAGGGCGCGCTGCAAAGCGCGTATGTATAAATGCTTGGCAAAATATCATCTAGCCGCAGGGGATGCCTCTATAAACGATCGGCACTTCCAATGTGATGTTCTGTTCATTTTACCAATTAAAACAACTATATCAAATTCACTATGCTGCCTCGCTTAAAACCCAGGGCGTGACGCTCGACCGTGATATTTAAGCGCCAAGCTAGAATGCTGCCTACCGCCGGTGACCAACAACATTTCGCTTTCCAATCAACAGCCGCCCCCGGGAATCATCGCTGAATTGGCTGTTTATAGTGACCACAAATGGGCCCGAGTAGCCCAATCATTCTTTCTTTCGCCAGCCTCCCGTCATGGACATTCTTTTATCTGGCGCTGTTGGTACACGTCTATCATGTCAAAGGGGATAAGATCCATGCAGTATCAGAACATGATTGGCAGGATCGAATTATACGGGCGACAACTGATACATACGGACAACACCCTAAACAGGATGGACATCTATGGATTTTACATGGACTGCCCCTCAGTTATAAAAGCCCAAGAGCTTTCCGCAGACAGTATGAATTGAACATAGCATTTGAATGTCTCAAGAGTTCTTCTAAAAAAATCTGTTTCATTATTACCCTTTCCGTGAAAATCGAAGTATATACTGAAAACACCACCATGTCCATAAAAAGATCTTTCCACTCTGCCGCACAATCCCTCGTGAGGTTTTTGGGCTATCCTGCTGAGAAACTTGAGGCTCCTTTCGGTGGGGCCTTTTTCACCTATCTCGATAATGGCGCCATCAAGGTATCGTTGTCTCCAATGAAATTCATTCTCAAAAAATTTGGACTGATTGTTTCTAAGAAAGTCGGCGAGATTGAATCTGCTGAGATCTTGTAAGTGCTCGAATATAATGGGTCTTTGCTATTGCTCTTTGCTAATAACATGTAAAACAGGCACCGCAACGATGGCAGCAATCCTATTCACAAATCTCACTACAACCGCAAGGACCTGGCGGATATCATCAGTGTCAGGATCAAGCCAAAGAATGGTTCAACTAGAACCCATCACGTCTTTGGGGATGGCACGGGTACCATGAATGTGCGTGACAAGAGGGAATATTCGACATATTCCAGGATTCGTGACCAAGTCTGTTTCTTGGGGAGGGTGGGTGCTGAGAAATCTACATTACAGCATGGGAAAGGCTTGATGAGTGACTTCATTGGGGGTACCTTGGCTCGAGCGTCCTGTGGCCATAGGTATTCTACCCCTCTATATATACTAAGTATCTATAGATCTGGTTTTGAATTGAACAATATAAGTTATACCTACAGGTGTTTGAGATTGAGCATCGTGACTATGAAAGCTTTACCGAGTCTTCCAAGTTCTTATCATAGCATTTTAGAAGGCTACTTATCAATGAAAATAATCTTCTCGAGCTCAGACTAGTCGATGCCAAACATACCCCTTTTACGAAAAGAGGTTTACCATAATCCGTGCCATGTAGAAAATACCACTCTAATCGAAACTTGACCATTCCCTCGATTTCTCTTGCATCACAAACAACAAACCACAACTTAAATAAAGTGAGGACTTTCAAAATTTGCCTTTTCGAGTCGTTTTTGCCATTTACGGTTTGGCAGAGAGAGGAACTTATCGGAGACCCGCGGAAGCACTCAGACCCACAGGAGATCTCAAGCCGGTCCCTTGGATTACGGTGGCTTACCGGGAAAATAGGTTATCTTCGTGCTCAGCATCTGGATAGGAACGCCATGCCTTAAGCTTCTCCGGGAAGACCTTGGCCAAGTCGCCTTCTTTCGTGCGTGCGGCATCACCCGTCCTCGAACTCCCGAAGCCAATAACGCTCCCGTGTCTTTAGATCGGATGTCAAGGGAGTAGCACATTAGCAGCACTTTATGATAGGTGGTGGAATCCCGAGAGTCGGGCGCCCAAATTCGTCTTTCGGTTTCCCGTCGTATGAGTTTGATACCTGCATCGCAGAGCAAGATTCCGCCTCTTCGTCCCCCAACTGCGCAATGATATGGCCATGCGAGCGCCAGACGGGCTTGATCTGGAATAATCGATCCATTCGCTCCAATGGCACACCTTTTGTCTCGGGAATGAAGACGAAAACAAAAAAAGTAGATATAATCATGAGACTAGCGAAGAAAAAGTAGACACCATAGCCCATGTTGGCGAACATTTGAGGCGTGAACCTGGATATGAGAAAGTTCCAGAGCCAATTGCTAGAGGAAGCAACAGCTTGGGCCAGAGAACGCATGTTAGGATCGAACATCTCAGCGTTTAGAACCCATGGTGTACCATTCCAGGTCGGTGAAAACGTCGCTGTGTAAATGTAAAAGAAAACAATTGCCATAATACCAGCACTGTCGAGCTTTGCACTGGCGTTGTGTTCAGGTTCTTTGATCTTGATATAGGCACCAATAATCCATAGACTGATCGATCCACCAACAGCGCCTCCAATCAGCAACTTGCGTCGGCCAAGATGGTCTATGAGGAACAATAACCATATCCAAGTGACGACCGTCTTGACGACGCCGAAAATACCGGACATTTGCTGGTTCAGAGAACCAGTGATTCCCATGCTGTTAAAGACAGTGGGGCTGTAGTAGTTGATTGCATTTATGCCAGAGCAGTTCTGCCAGAAAAAAAGCATAAAGCCCAGGAAGAGCCTCCACATGACCCTGGGATTTGTCCCGGCTGCACGGAATGGGTTCCAAAATCCGGGACCAATGTGAGCATTTTGCTCATCAATAGCTTGATCAATGGCCCCGATCTCCTCAACGATGTAGACGTCGTGCTCTGGAAGTTGACGAATCCAACATAGGGTTGCAATGGCCTCCTGGCGACGACCACGGCCAAATAGCCAACGCGGAGATTCACGTATGAACACGACGCCAACAAGCAACAAGCCCGATGGGATAAGCTGCACGGCAAATGGTATGATCCATTGTTTGTGGCTCACGGGAAGATGCTGTGAAACGCCGAACTTTACCTGTGTTAGTCTTATCCACACTCGAATATCATCTGGAAAAACATACGTTGATCCAGAACCCGACCAAACCACCAATCTGCCATCCCAGTTCGTATATACCAACGAGTCGTCCCCGAATTGCGGGTGGGGATAGTTCCGAGATGTATATTGGGGTCAGGTTCGAACCTGATCCCACACCAATACCAGCGAGGACACGCCCGACATACATCAGATCAAGACCACGGTCTCCATTGGTGCCTAGCATCAATCCAGCACCGAGAGTGAAAATCATACCAGCGACCCATAAGCCCCACTTTCGACCACAGTAAAACCCGATGGGATATGCAAGTAATGCGCCGAAGAAAGCACCGGCCTGGTAAAGGGAGACGATGTTGGCCTTGACGAGATTCTGTTTGGCCGCGGGCCATTCCCCAAAGTTGAATTCGTCACGGAAAGACTGCAATTCGATGGTTTGGCCGATGAAGGCACTGTCGTAGCCAATCATGCATGAAGCAGAGGAAGCGATAGCCGCAAGCAGATAGATGCGCCAGTTGTACACTTGAGGGGGCGTTGGCCTGTCTTCGACGACTGTGAGGATACCCATCGTCAACAATATTGATTAGACCATAATAGGGAGGATGAATGTGTTAAATATACAAACCCATGTATTTCGAATTGAGTTCCGGTCTATTCTTTTGAGTGCCGGAAGGCTCAGATCCCGCGAAACCCCAGCTGCCCTGGGGATAAGCAAAAATGCGGGTGTCTTGGCACGGGCCGGGGCTCATGTTGCGGGGAGCATTACCCCGTGGCTCGGGCCCGTTGGGCGATCCCCCCCCCCCCCCCCCCTCCAGCTTCCCTGAATTCTCTCTTTGCTCACCTAGGGGTTCGCTTCGTGATAGAATGATTTTCATCATTTTTGGTCTTCAGAATAATACTTTGAAGTACCAGTGGCAGCTAGCCTTGTTACTTTTACCCCAGGTGATACTGTTGGGAATACCTTTCGTTAGAGTGACAGGTGCGCGAATTTCTTTGGGAGAGCTCCAGCATTCTTTAGCAGCAAGGGGAAGGCGGTATGATGAGCTTTACAAAACTCGTAGCCCTGGAGGTATACAGATTTCACAATGACATTGTAACGACGGACCTGTGAATTACTGTATCCGGTTAGTTTTGCCGTATTGGGTTTAGCGCCCCAATACGCCGTCACGTACAGGGGAGCTAGAAAAGTAGTTGCAACACAGCCGTGCTAGCTGTAACGTAATATGGGTGAAATACGATGGAACGAACAGATCCGCAGAAGTTCTTCGATTGGTTGATAATGGTAAAGAGAACTATCTGAAAGGTGAACTGAGACTATGATACTAGTGGAGCCCAAATCACATGATCTCCGCATAAACCTGCTGAATAAGCGGTAATGATGTCCACGGGTTACCCTGCTAGCTGTCACATTGGCTCAAAGCCGAAAGGAGACCGCCCGATAGAACTACATAGGGTCATAACATCGTCACCTCCTCGTCCATAGCCTTGCAGCGATCAAAACGCACAAACAAAAAAGGGATCTTACCGCCTTGCTCTTTTTATCAGTCGTAAGTGCCTATTTTAACTACCTGCCTTCTCACTTCCTTCTTACTTCCCACCCCACCTTCTCACCCACCATGGATTTCCTTCAATCCACCTCGAACGCGTCTCAGTCTTCAACTTCTGAACTCTCATTTTCTGGGTTCTCGTTAGTTGAATACAAATCTGAGGATCCTCTTGCGCAACTGGCGAAGGAAGTGAAGCAGCAGCCATTCACCACCAACAAGAGCTTACAAAAGTCCTTGGAACGCCGTCAACGAGCTCTCGAACAAGACCAAACTCGGGATCAGCACCTCATATTTACGTCTGTCCCCCCGGTGCAAGCTTCCAGACTAAGTGATGAGCGGTCGCGAACAAGCAAGTACTGTCGATTCTTTTTCAATGCAGAAACGGGAATCTTGATCGCGAAAGTCAAGCTAAATTTTGCACATGAGCTTGCAATAAGTTTATTTGAGGAAGTGATCACTTTCGAGCTGCATGCGGTACAAGTCCGTCGTAACATAAGACCTTTTCGTTCGACAACAGTTACGATTGGAAATTGGACAAAGGAGGCTGACTGTTGTTGGGCTCCAGCTTTGACAAATGCAAGACTGAGTTTTGTGGTGGAAGTAGGATTGTCAGAGTCTACGCGGCAACTTGCTCTTAGTGCGCGGAGTTGGCTTGAGACTTACTCCTCATCTGTGAAACTTGTGGTTACGATTAGCATTCAACGGGAAAATCCCGAGATCATCTTACGCCGATGGGAACTTGGTTCTCGACAATCCAGCGTCGTTACAAGACCATCCCTTCCTTCAGCGCATTGTACCTCATTCCTCAAATTATCTCGAACAAACAACACAACATCAGTTACCGGGGAGTCCTATATAAATGTCATAACTACGACCACTACACAGTTGGACCTACCCTTCAGCAAGATTGTTAACCGTCCTCCCCAGCAACCTCCGGAGAGAGACTTAGTGATACCCGAGCAAGAGCTGAGAAGTTTTGCCGAGGATATCTGGAGTGTGCAGGGTCTCCTATAAGTTGTCTCGATTCTGATATGTTCGTTGGCCACCAAGCGGCAGACATCATGGAAGACGATGTTATACTCACGAAGGACGTGTTGATTCAAAAGATTTCTGTGGAGGTGCGTGGCTGCCCGAGACTCAAGCCAGGGTCTCATATAATATTCGGGCTGGATTGCTGATGTCTCACGTGTTTAATGACTATTCCATTCGTAACGTTACTTGACTACCGTGGGCCTCTGTATGTGTATAACAGTTGAGCGGGCCCCATAATAGGCCGCCCAAACGTGGGCAACTGAGTTGCTCTCCGTTCAGCGGGGCAATAGGTGTCTGGGGTCTGATTCGCTCCCAGGCCGCTGCGGCAGATCTTGGGTGCCGAATAGGGGGCGGTACAGGCAGCGGTCAAGCGGCAGCTCGCCGTCCGAAGTTACGGGTGGAAAGGCGGCCGTTTCTGGCGCCAGAGGCTGTCATTTTCGGCGTCGATTTCACAGGTCCCCTTATTCTATGTGTAAATTTCACGGCGAATATAGCCAAAAGAAAAAGCGGTGTCTTAAGATGGAGGCCTTCAATGAATATGCAAGAACAGGTAAACAATATTGTAGTAGGTATTTTTCCCGCCGAGGTGCAGCGATGGATCAACTGGGGACGCGACATCTAAGTGTATTCAACTGGAAAGGCCCCGGCCCAGACTAATACCTAGGATTATAACTTCTCCAAAGATCGCTTTTGGCTCCGTAAGCGTTCCATAACCTGGACCATGGCTTGTTGAGCATCTGGTTGACTTTTCCAGAAAGGAGGTAAACACTTTATGGTCTCAATGAGCGTGCGGAGTCCATTCATTCCTCTAGCAGAGTGAATTGTTGGAACATCATCTCCAGGTTGATTCAATGATTCATTGAATACCTCAAGCGATACTGGTCCCTTATAGCCTGCTGCCAAGACCGCAGCTCCAACGAGTTCAACCGGCATATAGCTACCGTGCGATTGCTCTAGGGGGTAAAGACGATGATTCCTGGACCATGGCAGAAGAGCAGGAGTGCTGGGATCGGAGGGAGGGAAAAATGATGCTGGATTCACCAATTCTGCATCCCCACACTGGAAGAAGAAGATTCGGTCTCCAGGCACGGTAGTCGCCAAAGATGTCATCGAGTCGGTGAGAATCTGAATAGATTCTTCGAGTGTAGAGTAGATGCGACCATGGCCTTCAGGGTTATAGGGATCCGCGAATTCGACAGCCAAAATATTGAATGCATCAACGATCAAACCGACGTTAGAACGGTTGGCGAATCGCACCACCTCCCAGGATGCCGACCAGGTGTTTCTTGTTGCCCATGACAATCCCTCATATCCGATTCTGAGCATAGGGCCACCATCAGCCTTTGAATATGCTGCCGCCATATCACCAAGCTCTGCCAGATCGCGTGCAACAGTCTTCAGGTCGGGTGTGACACCGCCATCAGTGCGAATATTGGCGCACATGAACACAAGGTCGGTATCAAAAGCACGCATAAATGGAAAGCGTTTTGCGACCAGGTCTAGCGTTGCGCGACGCTCAACTGGATCTTTGATTCCCTCTATTGTTCGGAGTGGCTGTGTGCAGGCGATGCGCATGCCGAGAGACTTTACCAGATTGCCAAGCTTGCGGGCCACGTTCAAGTTCTCAGGTGTGGGTTCCCATAGCTGGTCTCCTGGTAAGCCGTGTTCAACCAGGTATGCGGCCCAGCATTCGTCAAATAAATCGATCCACTGGTAGCCATCTTTGGCTGCTGCTTCCAATCGAGGTGCGAGTCGATGTTCTCTCCAGTTGCCGAGGGATAAGGTTGCGATGCCAAATTCGTTTGCACCTGAGGGAGGCCAGAGTGTCGACATTGTTGTGTTATGATTTGATGTGATGTGATATGCTCTGGATACCTTGCAATAGCTCGTCGCTATTATAAGCAGCGTGGATGATTAAATACCCGCCCAATCCCGCCCCACCCCCGCAAACCGGGCCATTTTTTTAGTGACCGGGGGGTTGATGACATCAGGCGCTTTGGCTTGGAATAAACAACATTGAAGATGTTGATATGTACTCCAGACCGGGTAGGTCCGAAGAATCAATTGCAGGTGAAGCAATTGGCTTGCCCAGAGAGAGATTTTGGCAACCTCAAGGGCTCAACACTCTAGACACTGAAGGATAGTGAAGTGAATAAAGCTCAATATTTTTTGAGTACAGAGTACATGTACGGAAGTATCTAGACGAGTACGGAGTAGACAGCACAGGTAAGAAGAGATACCTGGCCGAATGGCCTGAATATTTGGCCTGAATGATACCTTGCGGCCTGGAATTCAACATTTCAGAACCGACCAGCCACCCTCAACCCCCCTAAATGCCAATTTGATTGAACCCCATCAAGTTTTATCTATCTGATCGAAGGAATCCCAGTACCCGAAAAGGCAAAACTTGTGACGAAATTTCTGAACCACCTCAAAGGCGGCTCTGGGGAGGCTTGTCTTCTCCATCTCGAACATCGGCAGCAGGCAGGCAAGGCTCAGGCAGCCCTAGCTGGCGCCCTACCTCTCGTGCAGCCCAGAGACCAGTCACGAAAGCGAGGGCAAGTCCACCGGCGTATCCGATGTTACTGAACCCTCCTGCGTCAACACCCGCGACGAGCAACCCTGGAATGCTAGATTGATCGGCGGTTAAGGCGTGTCCTTTGTCGTTGATCGCGATACCGCCATAGGTGAATGTGATCCTATCGAATGTCAGACATGAGCAACCAAGTTATACAAGGGGGGGGTTCCCATACGATGGCTGAACTTCCATGGCATAGAAGGGACCCTCGCCATCGACCAAAGGTATAGGGGGCGGACCTCCACGGCCAATAGGGGCGTCCAGGGCGACGTTCTTGTTTCCCAACCGGACCACTTGATCGTACTCTTCGATAGTGCGTCTCGCACTCGAGTGATCCACGCCCCACTGTTGAAGGATATCGACCAACCCAGCCAGTGTCACCGAGCTTGCAACATTACAGCCGTGTTCGCGAGCTTTCTGCAGACGATCAATGTCACCTGCATTGGGGAACAACGCCTTGACACAGTGTTCTATGCGTGTTTTCTCGCTTTTTTCAGATTTCGAGAATTAGTCCAAAGACTCTTTCCGTGCTCTTGTAGAATAAAAATACCTGAACAACAAGAATCCACGGCGCTTCTCTTGCTTGGCAAGGTACTGGTTGATGATCTCGTCACCCGTACTTTCGTCAGCAAATCGCCGACCGGCCTCGTTGAGCAGTAAGCAATATTTGCTTTCTGTGGTCTGGTTAGAGCGAAATGCAACTCTAAGAAAGGATTGCTCTTACGGTATTGAGCGAGTGGAAGGTAATCCTTTGGGTCGACGTCTTTGGCTTGAAGCGGTGCCGCCAAAAGATGGCCATAGTAGGTGTTCATGCCCCTACTAGTGCCTGCACCGGCTTGGATTGCCAATTTCAGTCCGTCGCCTACCGATCCACGGTTGGAACGTACAAAGATATTGTCTCCACCCTGTCCTAGATATTTTGATGTCAAATCGGGAGAGCCTTGGAAGCCCCCTGTAGCCAACACCACCATTTTGGCCTTGACTTCATGATGTACGGCTCTCGAACCCGGGAGATTGCGACGGATGACCGCACCAATGATTCGCGAACCAGCAACACCGGGCTGCTGCTGAGTCAACTTGACCACCGACGTGTTGGTGAGTATCTCAGAGCTTGTCTTGCTTGACTGGATGCGTTTTCTGTGAAAGTCATGAAGATAGGGAATTTTGACGGGGAATCCAATGCCTTTTTGACTTGTCAGAATCACTTTCCACCGCCATTTGTCCGCGTTTCTCTTACCGATCGTCATGATGCCGTCGAAACGGTCTGCCGTGGGCACTCCGCTTTCACGCATCCATTGTACAGCCGGCAGGTAATCTTCCAGCCATGCCTTTTGCAAATCTGGATCTCCGTTTGGAACCCAATCTCTGAGTTTCTGATACGTTTGTGGGGCCCAACTGGTTTTCGGTGGCATCAATTGACCCGCTTGCTTTCATGTTCGATTTGATTACTTACAACATTCCAGCCGAGTAATTTGACGAGCCGCCAATTTCAGCCTGTTTCTCGACAACCAGCACTTTTGCGCCGGCCTCTGCAGCAAAGGCAGCGCATGCCATTCCGGACATGCCTCCTCCGCAGACTAGGACATCGACCTCGATAGTCTCCATGGTGGAAAATTTGGTTGAAGGTTAAAAAGTATCAGGGCTCAAGAATTGCGTGGAAAACAAGAAAAAAGACAAGACTGCAAAAGCTAACGATTAATTTTGGCATCATCATATACTGTTGTCGACAGTCATTCCGGAGGCAATGCCTCGGCGCCGGTGGTTTAATTAAGTGACCGGGTGGGTCCCAGCTTGAGCAGGCTATTCAATCCCCCAAATTGTTGAGGTTGAAAGTCCTACAGGAGCAGGCGAACGCGGCTGAGCGTAATCCCAGAGGACCCGACCTTCTGACATGTGGCAATGCAAGATGTGATATGAGACCTTTTCCAGCTGCATTGTCCACAGGCGTACGCCATCGACCGGGATGCATGTTATCCTCCGGTGTAGCGTTGGTTATGAAGGTTTTCGATTTGTGTCTACAGCTGTAGAAGTGGTTATGAGGATTTTGCATGTAGCTCTTGTATCTGCTTGACGTGAGTATAGGTGACAACGAGTGTGCTCGTGGATAGACAATCACTTTGGCCCGGCGACTCCGCTGAGGAATCTTCACCAACACAAAAAGCCATTTCGAGCAATCTATCCATCCTAAGTTGCAGTATTTTGCATCACTTTAAATTGCTGCAAGGTAAAATTTCAACACCGTCGAAATCTTTGAACATCAGAAGTGTTCAGGTAATCGCCAACCTTGAAAGGTAATCAAGATAGCCGACCTCGGGAAAATCCCCCCGCAGCGTTAAGTTGCATTTCTGACAACTACGCACTTTCAAGTTGATCTCTTTGTGAACAAATGTCTTTGTTGGATTTTCCACGTCATGTCTTCACGTTCAAGGGTTGACACACGCAGTGAATCTCGGCCCACCACTGTGGCGTGTGAGGCGTGTCGGAGATTGAAGGTAATGGCTCGGAACGACACCTACCTACATCCATTACTGACAGGAGTGTTTAGATGAAGTGTATCCGACCATCAAACTATGGGGAAGAAAATTCGACAGAGCCATGTCAGCGATGTAGAAGCACCAACCGCATATGCAAAATCCCAGAACCGAAAAGACTTGGCAGAAGGCCCGGTGCCATAGGTCGATATCACGGTATAGAAAAGGCCTATAGAAAAATTCAGTCGGAGTTGAAAAAGAAAAGGGGCCCTCGTTCTGACGCAAATTCCGATCAGGGTGCCGTTTTTGACATGGGTGACGAGCCCATCCTAGACTCTTTGCTCTCCAGTCAGCCAATTGAAGCAGTCGAGTCTACCCAAATACCCCTCGAGCAAGAATCCGAGGGCTCAAGCACTCATGGCTCAAGCCAGGAGTCTATAAGTCTGCAGCAAAACGAGCCTTTGGCAGACGTGATTCCGCAGTCCAGTCACGAACCAGTGAGCAATCCGTTGGCCTTGTTGGCGGATGCCTCAGATGTCCTCCAGTCGTTGGAACCAAATAAAACATCTAACAAGACCTTGTCAACATCCGAACACGCACCGTATGTGACGCACACATCAGCCACATTGGGCAATGGAATGGGGTTTGACCGGGAACTACTTCATAGGCCTGGCTATGTTTCCCTTGGCCTCAAATTGAGCAAAGACAAACTACAAGCAGGAATAGATGCTCTCATCCACTCTCCTGAGAGTCCATGTTACTATTCAAACTATTTTGCAACGCCTACACTATTGCCTCTGCGTGATGTTGGCCCCGAATTTGACCCGGTGGACCTTGGCCTGGTGACCATGGATGAGGCCTGTTACCTGTTTCCAGTGTGGGTCAATCTGTTGTTAACCCTGTCGATTTGCAAGATACTGATATGTATTAGATACTTTATCCGCCTCCACCCAGTAAATGGGATCCTGGATCCGATGCTCCACACGCCGGATTTTGTCCGCTCGCGGTCGGCTCTCTTATTCACTTGGATACTGGCTTTGACTGCACAGTTCGATCATGGGTCAGGACCATTAGCCAAGCGACTACGTATTCATGGCAAAAAGCTATCGAGGCATGTTCACACCTCCGGTTATAAGTCCGTCGAAATTGTACAAGGCTATTACATCTCCCTCGTATCGGCCAACCCAGCAGAGACATTGGCACAAGAACGTTCATGGCTCTACACAATGCATGCCTTTGGTCTAGCAGCCGAATTAGATCTCGACCAAGATCTTCATTCCAAGCATGCATCAGGTGCCCAAAGCCTGGATCGACCCGCCCGACCACAGTCCCCAGAAACACCCTTTTCATATTTAACAACGGGTAGTGCTCAAAGTGATTCTCATGATAATCAACGTATGGCTCGGAATCGTCAGAGAACATGGCTGAGGATTCTGTTATGGGAACGTGCGAACAGTGCTGCCTGTGGCAGAACACACACCTTTCCGGAAACAAGCTTGACAAAAAGTGTCGACAGTTGGTGGCTCCACCCTATGGCAGATCCCACGGACAAACATACATGTGCGTTCATCACTTTGCGAAGAATTCTTGCCTCGCTACAGAATGATTTGAGACACAAGGCTCATTCAACACATGTTGATCCCCATTGGGTGCGAGAAACGGTTGATGTAGCACTGAAGCCCTGGTGTGAGCTTTGGCTATCACATCCAGCACCAAACTTTATTACATCGCCCTCTGAAAAGCTGTCGAGTATCTTTCTTCGGTATGTTTATCTTCATGGAAGACTATGGACTTTGTCTTTTGCCCTCCATGGGTCAATCAACGGGGATCGACACGTCAGTGAAATCAGGGCAGATTGCTTCGAGGCTGCAATCAATGCCTGCGAAGTTGCTGTGCACGATCTAGACACTATCGGTGAGCCATTGTACTGCATGCTAGCTCCAACGTGGGCTATGATATCTTACGCCGGCGTATTGGCTTTGAAGCTCTTCCCCGCCCTATATGGCCATCGCGTCGGAAGCGATGTCGAACTTCTTGCTCTTCTCAGTCAAGTCGCTATCCAATTAGAGTGTGCAGGAACGACTCCACCGCATCGATTTGGTATTGCCGGGTTGTTGGGGCAACATCTTATGATGATCCTGAGATCGAGAGCGACAGGGTCGAAATTCTCAGCACATTCCAGTCAACCCACGTCAGATACACCTCATTCCGCCACAAGCTTTGACGGAGGAACACGATTATTTGCCCAACAGCCCTCTTCTACACGCCCACATCACTCTCTCGTTTCCGATTATGATCCTTTCCTGACGACAGCTTCGATGTCTACACAGGGGAGCTTGACTGGAGAGAGCTTTGCTGACTTCTTTCGGGAAACTTTCGGGCCTGGATTTGGAGGTGTATTCTGACAACATTGAAGTTTTCATGAAGACTCGAACTCACAAGATACCCATCACTCTTTGCAAATTGAAAATATTAATCGCGGTCTCTGAAACACAAATAATACATTAAATTGGAAACCACCAAAAACATACAAGATATTCAGATTATGAATAAATAAAGAGTTATCAAATTAAACGCTCGAGCAAAATCAATCTCACATACAGTCTGTTGGCATCAAGGATACACAGGGAATCTAACGTAATGATATCAAAGCAGCACATCACTGCCTTTCGCAACTCTTTGTTCAAACAGGCAAAACAACCTTCACACCCATGTACTCTCGTTGGTGCATGATCTTGCCATCAATGAGCACCTGATCGGCACCGACACTGTTGCGAACTTGATCTGTGGGATCGGTTGCGGTGGCAATCTGGATCTCGCGCCATTGTTTGTTGGTGGGAACGAGCTTTCCTTGGGATGTGAGGTTTTTAAACTCTTTGTAAACGCCCTGTTCCTCGATACAGCCCTCTCGTTGGATGAGGGGTGATGCTATTATATTTTGTTAGTACAATATGTACAAAGGTAATTATTTTGAGGAGAAAGCTCACATGTAGCAGGACCCATCCGCAAATCACCAACAGAGCTGTTGAAGAGCACCAAAGAGAGACGCTCCTGGTCCAGTTGATCAGCAGGAGGCTTGAAGACACGGTGACGAGTGGCCTTGAAATGACCACCAGACACAATCTCCAAGGTATCACCGATGTTAATGACCAGCGCACCAGGCTTGTAGGGCACGTAGTACCACTTCTCATCGCGGCCCCAGATCTGGAGACAAGAGATTGGAACGGAGAACAAGAGTGTGGTCAGGCCAAAGTCGGTGTGGCCGTGCATACGCAGGCCCTTGGAAGCTTCTTGAGTTTTCTTCTGCACAGGTCGGAAGAGTGCGTGGCGGAAGTAGCCCTCGCCGGTAGGGCTACCGTGTGACTGCACATTATCCCAGAGGTAATCATCGGGCAACTCGAGAACGCGGGAGAAGAGAGTGAGGAGTCGGCGGTTGACGGACTTGGTCAAGTAGTTGGAGAACTCTTCGATCTCGTCCATAAAGGGGTGTAAACAAGAAGGCACACGGTTGATATCGGCCCAGTCAGGCTTGTACCAGTTGAACTGTTCGATGCCATCTTCGGGTCCACGGTTGCGCTATTCAGAAAGGCCAAAAAGTCAGTCAAAGCCATGGTTAATGGCTAACTCAGTTTATTCATACCTTAAATCCGAAGGGGTGTTTGTAGCCAGACCATTCACCGGTCTCGGGGTTGAAGAGAAGGCGTTCCTTGTCCTCTTCACTGATGTTGTGGTACAGATACTGGGCAAGGGAGAATTGACGGTGGAGCTAATTGCAAATGAGTGTTAGTCACGCTGGCCAATATCTACGGTCAGAAGGAAAGCCTTACCTGCTCGAGAGAGATTCCGTAGTTCTCTAGGAAAAGGAAACCATCATCACGGATGGCAACCTTGACCTGCTGGACAAGCTTTTCAACAACAGCAGGATCATCTGAGTCCATCAGTGAGAGATCGATAGAGCTGAGCTCAGCGAAATTCTCCTTTTGCTGAGTGACTGGAGGAGGAACCCATGTTGGCACGAATGGCTTGCCAGCAAGGTCAGCAGATGGTGGGTTGAAAGGGGCGGAGGGTGCCATATTGTGTATATGAAGAATGTTCACTGTGATTGATAGAGAAGACGATGAAAGTTATCAGATCGAGTCTTATATCTTTATACCACCCTCACGATGCCAGTGCCTATCTGTATATCGGATGTCCGGGGACAAGTTACGCCACATTTGGTTAGATTGCATGAGACCAGGAGCCTCGATACAAACCTTCTCTCCGATAGCTGCTCTCTACAAAATCTACCGAAATGAGAGCTCCTCTTAGAAGAGACATGTTGCATTGATAGACCAGAGTTTGCCCTAAACCATAATCGGAATAAGATTTACTGGCTGCATTGCGGGGAAGAAACACGATGGGCGATTGCGGCCATCCGGTAATCGCCATAACCTGCGCCCGCGACAAGAGCGGTATTGCAGTGTGGCCGGTATCCACAACTGTCTTCAAGGTGCTCCTCCCACTCCTCCCACTCCTCCCATTACTCTCCACATGGCCTCGTGCTCCGATAAGATTTCCCTAGCGTGCTCCTCCATGATAGTGACTATTTGCCAACTTATCTACCCCTCTCGATTGGGGTAGCTCCAGATAATTTAAACAAAGTCGATAGCTACATTTGGATCTCAAGAATTCTACACACAATCTCATACTTTCTCTCATCCTCCAAAATCACCAACCACAAACCACCATCAACATGTCTCGTCAACTCATCTCCAGCGAGAAGTTCCCCACCAAGCCTCACAACTGTGAGTAATGACATTGGTTGATCTTCGACGCTCTCAAGAAATATACTTACACATTGCTCACAGGCCCTGCCGTTAAGGTTCCCGGTCTTGTCTTCTGCGCAGGCCAAACTGCCACAGGGGAGATCAAGCAAGCCACAGTAGGCCCTCCCTATCTTGCTTCTATCTGTTTTTAGAAAATCAAAGCAATTGGCTAACATGTTGTTTCTTCTCACAGCGCACTGTTTTGCAAAACCTCAAGGAGGTCCTCGAGCTGTCTGGATCTTCCCTTGAGCAGGTCGTCAAGTACAATGTTTACATCTCCGACATGAAGGATTTCGCCGCCATGAACGAGGCCTACATCGAGTTCCTCCCTCAGCCTATGCCCTCTCGCTCTTGTCTCCAGGCCCTCGCTCCTGGCAACGGAACCGTCATCGAGATTGAATGCATTGCCCAGGTTTAAATCACGAAATAATGAAGTGTACCCAAACATATAGATTAAAAAATTTAAGTCGAATGTATAATGACGTTATTTTCCTCTGAGCAGCTACAAGTAGTTTGGATGCCGTAGCATTTATTTGGAGCTTTTTGAGTCAGCAGCAGGCCATGGTTGATGCTTCCTGGCAACCAGATGAAGTTTTTGAACTACTCAGTAGTAAAAAATAAGTTGCATTTTATGAGATTGACCCTTTTAAAGTTCAACTCCAAAGGGCTCGGGTGGCCACCAGAAGGCTGTCAGTTAATCTTTGGAAACATAATAATGAAAAGCCCATTGGATAATAATGTCTTTAGTCGCAATATCTTCATTTACTTCAGTGCTTTTTTTGAATCCCCGGGTCCTCAATTTCGGGTTACAGTGACGGATTTTCAAGGCCCGGGCTGCTAACCCGCACTACAAAGTTCAATTTAAGTACGCAACCCAACGCTAGACTCATCCATGCCCTGGTGCTTTTTAAAACCGCTCAGAAACATTGCTTTTGAAAGAAGATTTGATTGACATAAATATTGTGTTTGCTTATATTTTGATGCAACATTCTAATTAAGGTATCATAACAAAATGCGAAAATAATCATGAACGGGCAACTTCGAACTCTGCCATATACCAGTTCTGGATAGCCTTGGTGTCACCAGTAATGGCGACAGTGTCGTATCTTTCGCGCGCCTCCTTGGCGGCGGAACCGTTGTTGACCATGCGACCAGCCCACTTGCCGTGCTTGCGAGCAGCAGCAATGATCTTATTCACAGCGTTAACGAACTCAGGCTCATCGCCGCGAGCAGGTGTGTATCCAAGCAGGGATTGAGCGAGGTCATTGGGGCCGATAAAGACAAGGTCAACACCGGGAACGGCACAGATAGCATCGACATTCTCAACACCGGCGCGAGTCTCGATCTGAATCATGGTGATAATGGTTTCGTTGGCGGACTTCATGTACTCCGGGGTTGTGAGGCCGTGACCGATAGCGGGGAAAGCAGAGCCCTGGCCACGCACACCCTGAGGGGGGAACTTGGAAGAGGCCACAATCTGCTCGGCCTCTGCGGCGTTGTTGATCTGGGGAACCATGATGCCATGGGCACCGGTGTCAAGGGCACGCTTGAGGATATCGTGGGCGGGGCCGCGGATGCGAATCACGGGGGAGACACCGAGAGCAGAGATGGCTGCGACAGAGTTGTGCATGGCATCATCGCCAATGTGACCGTGCTCGCAGTCAATGATGATACCGTCGACGCCAGTAAGGGCAACGATCTGGGCTTGGCGAATGGAGGGAATGGCCATGAAAGTCATGAGCGGGAATTCGCCAGCCTTCATTTTGTTGAGCAACCTCAATCGAGAGTTATCGATTGTGGTGGTGAGGGCAGTAGGGTAGGGCGCTGTGACGGTCATTGTGGCGATTGAGGGAATAGAGTGAATCGAGATGGCAATTGGATATTGTCTTTTGAATATTTGAGTGAATGATACAGAAGAGGGGTCGATGATATACTTGTTTAAGTATCTAGAGCTTTATCACCCCTCCTTTACCCCTCCCTCCTCCACTTAACGTTAGTCAATTATCAAAAAACGATCGTGAACAGGAGCTCCTACATGGGGTTAGGGCCGGCGGCGTGGCTAGTGGCAATCGGACGGCGAGGCTTATCGGGAAAGCGACGGACGATAATAACGGCCCTCCCGAAATTATCCGCGTTTCACACCAATTTTGTTGGGAGTAAAGGTACTTTTGTTGAAAAGGCCACTAATACCCGGCGTACCCCTCGGAGGAGAGCTTCGCCTCCCCGCCTGCACCTCCAGAGACTTCGTATCGCCATGCGTGAGCTCCTCCCAAGCCTAGCGCATGTACCCCAGATCTCAACCGAAGTCTACGTCTGGGGTAATTGATTCCAATTGGATGGATAACCATTGGGCGTTTCTAAATCCGCTATCTGTCCCATTATCAACTTATCACTTCAACGAATGACCACCACTTGACCAATCAATGCCTTGCGATTCTTTGCAAAAACGTCCTGGTCATTGACTCGGGTATTCATGATGATACCCGGCTATTGGGAGGAGATAACGGCCTGAGCTGAACTATATAGAGAAGGGGAGCTCAGCATCTAAACGACATAGACTGCAGCCCTCTTTGTGCAACATACTCGCAATTCACCCTTGCCGCTACGCTCTTGGCGAAGCAGGTCTGCTCTGAAGATGTCCTATTCTATGGACGCAAAGAAAAACCCGGACTCGGCTTTGACCGAGGACAATGTCTCGTCTGCTGAAGGGCAGGTTGATACGGCATACAACCGCATGCCTGATTCTCTTCGTGACCTTAGTGAAGATGAATTCAAGGCTCTCAACAATAAGGTCGTCCGTAAGGTCGACCTCTTCGTCCTTCCTACCATCGGCATCTTATACATCCTGAATTACATTGATCGCCAGAACTTGGCTGCGGCCAAGCTCCAGGGCATCATGGACGACCTGAATATGTCCACAGAGCAGTTCGCCACGGCTGTCTCTATCCTCTTCGTTGGATACCTTCCCTTCCAGATCCCTAGCAATCTTCTCATCACCAAATTCTCCCGGCCAGGAATGTACATCTGCTGCGCTGTGGCTATTTGGGGTTGCATATCTGCCTGTACAGCGGTTGTTAAAACTTACGGTGAACTTCTTGCCGTCCGAGCCATTCTCGGAGCAGCCGAAGCCGTCTTCTTCCCAGGTGCTATCTACTACCTCTCGGCCTGGTATACAAAGAAGGAGTTGGGCAAGCGTATCGCCGGTCTTTACATTGCCCAACAAGTGGGCAATGCCTTTGGCGGTTTGTTTGCTGCAGCAATTCTCCAACTCGATGGACAACACGGTATCCGCGGTTGGCAATGGCTGTTCATCATCGAAGGATCTGCCACCGTCGGTATCGGTATCATCTGTGCCTGCATTATGCCAGAATTCCCACACAACAGCAGAATTCTCTCTCAAATCGAGCGAGACTGCGCGGTGTGGCGTATCGAGTCCGAATCAGGTGCAGCAGAGGGTACTGAGAACGAGAGCGTCATGAAAGGATTCATGAAGGCTCTTGCTGACCCAAAGCTGATCCTGCTCATCTTCTGTAACATGATGTCTCAAACACAAGGCTCCATCGCCAACTACTTCCCCACCCTCGTCGGCTCGCTCAACTTCTCCAGTACCATCAGCTTGCTCCTTACCGCTCCTCCCTACATCCTTGCCGGCATCGTCTACTACTTCCTCATGTTCTACTCCGATCGCAAGAACACCGTCTACAACATTATCCTCATATGTATCGCCATCTCCATTGTCATGTACATCATCCCGATGGCGACCACCAACATCGGCGCCCGTTACTTCTCCATGATGATTCTCCCCTTCGCCTCCGTCGGTCCCCAACTCCTCCTATACAAGACAATCAACCTGCACTTGGCACGTCCTGTCTCCAAAAGAGCAGCAGCCTCGGCTCTGGTCAATGCTATTGGTGGCACTTCCAACATCTGGGCTTCATACCTCTACTTTGGCGAACCCCATTTCTACGCCGCGTTTGGAACATTGATGGGTGCTGCTGTGCTGTTTGGGATCACAATCACCGCTTATCGCTGGCTCGTGTTGCGGGAGAACAGACGTTTGGACTCGGGTGATCCCGCGCAGATTGATTTAGTCAAGAAGGGCGGTGTCACGGATGAAATGATTCAACTTAACTGGCGCTACGAAATGTTCTGATAATTTCAATTCGTGCTGGGCAATTCTGTTTCTATATTATGGAGGTCATGAACATGCATCACTTATGCTATTTGTATTTAATCATATATGATATCGTCATTGACAATGAATGAACTCGAACTATCTGTCGAGAATATCTCAACTCACAGGAAAATGAATCATGTTGGCGCTGGCGGACTTCAAAGATTTCACTTAAGTACGAAGGGTTCTTTCGGACCACGGAGGGTTGCACATGTGCATTGATTCTCTGAAGTCGAAAGTTCCTTCAAATTCCTACTTAAGTAAATTTTTAAGCTTACCGCACTACTTTAATAGATGTCTCTGCTGAGGCCGGGTTCAGTCTAAAGAAGGATACATGACATTGGCTTGTTGAATAATCACTAGATACTCAGGTATTCATGTAGCATCATAACACGTACAAGAAATAAAATTACAGATCAGTTCTAAAGTTCGTCACATCATGACACCTTCCAGGTCATGCTCATTTGCACAACTCATCCAGACAAGACAGAATCAGCTTTCCAAGTTGTTTCTTCTGTCGCCTTTGGAAAACTTTCCTCGCCCACCGCATAGCTCCCTCCACGTCACCATCCTGGATCCCAACGGCCTCCATCGCACCCGCAGCGCCACCATTGATAAGTTGCCAGGCAATCAAAAATGCTTTATACGCATACAAGGTAACCCACGGTGCCTCAGAATCCGGAACCAATGTCTCTTCAAGGTACCGCAGAAACCAGTTGACATGCGGTAGTATAGCTTTGGCAGTACTGGGCTCACACAGATACTCTGACGTGCCTAGAAATGTTGATTGACTCAGCACAGCATCAATGCTGCCTTCAACGATACCACCAGTATGGGACGGTGACCACATTTGTAACTCGAGCATGGCAGTTTGCCAAGTTGCCGCGCAGGATGCTGCGGGGCTCATTTGCGAGCCGTGTGTGTCCGGGAAAATATAGGGACCGAGGGCGACGAGAGATGATCTCAGTGCTCCGAATCTCTCCATGCTTAACATTCCAGTCATGGTAGACCAGCCTGAGATCTCACGGGCGCTTGAAATCAGGAACTGGGCGATGTTTATAGCACCATATGGATCGAAGGGAGATATTGTAGTAATATCTGCGTCCGAGGAGAGGAAGCATCGAACTGCATCTGTGTATTTAATAGAAGCCCCAGAGCTTCTGGCAATAAGTTGTCGATGAGCCCATTCGGCCGATGAAGATGATTCCCACTGGTCTTGAGGGCAAGGTAATTTGTGCTTGATCTCGAGATGTGAGATGGACCGAGGAATAGATAGGAACTGATACCACAGTGCATCAATCTGGTGGACTGCAAACAGCGTTCGTTTGTAGGACTCCGCCTTGATGAACTCTCGCCACAGAGACTCCAAGTCTGCTGTGGCGCCAGACTCAACCGGGAGCGGTTGTGTCATGCGTCCTGTGCGTGCGAGAGAAATCATATGCGAATGCATTTTTAATCCCGAGGATGAGTTCTCGCCGCAGAGGTACATCATCGCACATATTTGGAGAAGCAGATATGATTGAACCAAAGTAGGTATCATTGTTGTAGCATCTGGTCTTCCCTCATCCGAGGCAAGTAAGGCCCGGGCTTGGTGAAAGCAACGTATGGAAAAGCTCTCCCCAGAGCCTTCTTGCTCACCACATTCTGGGTCCTCACCATGGTGATAAGCAAGAGCTAACAGACTTAGAACCAAATGAGGCGGACTTTGTGTGGGATCGAAGGTAGGGGCATGGAGAAACGGCAGGAAGTGTGAGACTCGTGAAAAGAATAGATCGCAGCCTCTTGATATTTGAAGGGCAGTCGGCGACCAATCGTCCTGGAGCTGGGGTATGTCATTTGGCGAAAGACGATCTAGAATAGGCTGGTTGAAGTTGAATGCGCTCAAATTGGCGTCAAGGGTATCGTCTGGTGTGGTAATCAAGGGTAGTTGCGGTTCCGGGTGATCGGTAGGTTTCAGGAATGAGGTACCCATAAGCAAATTGCGCTCCATATCAGTTGCATCTTGAACAATTTGATCAATTAAGCTAGTCTCGTTAAGACCTCTTTGTTGTAATTGGCCTGCTGTGAGCTGAGTCTTTGTGGGGTTGGGATTTTGGGATGTGTCTGACGCAAGAGCGGAAGTTTCTCCGAGGTGAGCCCGATCGAAATGCCGCTGTTGGTACTGTATCGCCGAGTTCCACGCTGTAGTCTCAGATCCAATTCCCTGTTCTGGGCTCGAATGTGCTGTATTTGGAGAAGGTGTGGCTTCCTGGCTTCCAGCCGGCGACACAGCCGCCGGTGATGAAGAAGGGTGAGCCCGAGGTTGGGTAGGCGCTGACCGATGTACTCTTTTTGAGACTCGGTGCTGCTCCTGCTCCGGGTGCTTCCTTTTCATGTGCCTGTTTCGCAGGTCTGAACGGGAAAAAGTGGCGTGGCAAAAGTCACAGGGGAGCGGTGCCTCAGCCTGAGAACGGGAATGTAGGGCTGAATGACGCTTGAGGTTCTCATGGCGAGTAAACCGACTTTGACAAACAAGACATTGAAATGGCTGATATGAAGGCATCACACTGCGCGAAATCGACATCACGGAGGGGGAAAATGGACGCTGGTGGAATCTGTCAGTCACGGGAACGGACGAAATCCGGGGACATCTACCCCACGCATAAACACCGGGCTTCTCCGCACGGCAGTAGCCAATGGCCACGACTCAAGACTCGACTTACAGGACCATGAAGAGCATGTGTAGAGCTTGATAGATTACAAGATCAGGAACATCACATCCGATCTTGTTTCTGCCCTGGAGCTTATCAGCCTGCTTGTCATCCACCGCAAGTCGATCGGGAGATAAATGTCTGGTGGGGCTCCAGCTGACCATTCAGAAGACAGCAACTTATCAGCAGATATGGAGATCACGTGGTGGTCACGTGGAGTCGTGAAGGCACGCATCCGGGCGCTAAACCGGATTAGTCCAATTGGCGTCATCTCGAACGTATTTCAATTGATCTATCATTTCACATCGCGACAACGTTGATCAACTTTCAATGTTCGCCAATCGTGTTTGAAATATGGTAGACCACTCTTACCGGGCTTTTTTATGCGAAACGATCGGCAAAAGCGGTACATAGACCGCGTGTTTCTTGCATAGAATTTTCACCTTCACCATAGTCGCGTCACCGAAGTGTGCGCACTCGGCTACGCGCAAACATGGTAGCAAAACGCAAATCCAACATTAATTCCGAAGCATTGGCCAATGATGCTGGTCATGTCTCCAAGATCAGCCGCGCATCTGCCGGGAGCCCGGAGGGTGCCAGCACGGGTCAAAGATTCGGGGAGACTGCCCACTTCATCCCACTGCCCCCTCTATCGCAGAGCTTCGAGCTCGATGGAGATGACGAAGAGGCAGCTGATGAAGTTCAAGGCTCCCAGGATGAGTCTTCTTTGACCACCTTTATCTTGTACGGTATGCAGCCCTCAAGAGCCCCTGGATGGTTCCAATCTCACGATACCCCCAGGCATCCTATCAACAAAGATCGTCGGTGTTCGCTTCTATCGGGGTCGTGCCAATCCCGGTGAAAGTGTTCTTGTCCGTCGTGAAGCCAACAACCAGTACGATCGAAATGCCGTCAAGATTGAGAATGTCATGGGTGCCCAGATTGGCCACCTCCCACGGCAGATGGCAGCAAAGCTAGCTCCTTACATGGTACATATCCCCGACCCTGGCTAACTGAATGTCTCTAACCATGATAGGATGCCCGTGATCTCATTCTTGAAGGCAGTTTGGCCGGAGAGATCGGATCTTTCACATGCCCGGTCGATCTGAAACTCTTTGGAACGTCTGACCCAACAAAGCGGTCCGATCTCAAGCATAGAATGCAAAATGACCGGCTGCCTGTGCGTCAACTTGCCGAGCTAGAGCGCGATGAGGTCAAATCGCAAAAGGAACGTGAGAAAGAGGCCAAGGACGCTGCAAAGAAGGCTCGTGCTATGGCATTGGGCAAAGCTGCAGGCTGGGAAGCCAATGAAGATTCCCAGTACTCCAACCTTTCGATGCCTACCGGGCTTGGCGACTCAAGCCAAAGCTTGGAAGACCTCCTTGGTCAAAGTACTGTCTTTAATCCTCGGGACATTGGTAAGGTCGTGGAGGATTTCGGTCGGAAGGAGTCTGATATGGTGAATATGCCAATGGTGGATAGTCCAGCTGGTCTTTCTACGCAGCTGCTTCCTTACCAGCGCCAGGGACTGGCTTGGATGATCAAGCAAGAGTCACCCAGTCTTCCGGCAAAGGGCACTGATGACATTGTTCAGTTGTGGAAGCGAAAGGACAATCAATACCTCAATGTTGCAACCAACTTCTCCACTACTACGGAGCCGACTCTTGCCAGCGGTGGTATTCTGGCCGATGACATGGGTCTGGGTAAAACGATCCAAATCATTTCTCTCATCCTCGCGAATTCTAAGCCACTTTCTGCGACATCTTCCAAGGCCACTTTGATCATTGCCCCGGTGGGTGTTATGAGCAACTGGAGAAATCAAATTCATGAACATGCTCGTCCCGAGACCGCCCCCAGTGTTCTCATCTACCATGGCTCAGGCAAAAAGGAGGCTGCTAATTTGGCCAATTATGACGTCGTTGTCACCAGTTATGGTGCTTTGGCCATGGAGTTCAAACCTGATGCCAAAAAGCCGCCGGTCAAAGGAATCTTCTCGCTTCATTGGCGCCGTGTTGTTCTTGATGAAGGCCATACCATCCGCAATCCCAGTTCCAAGGGCTCTCTTGCGGCTTGTGGCCTAAGGGCTGACTCTCGTTGGTCACTGACCGGCACGCCCATCATCAACACTTTGAAGGACCTGTATTCCCAGATTCGTTTCCTCAATCTCTCGGATGGCTTGGAGAATCTTGGCATCTTCAACAGTGTCTTGATTCGTCCCTTGAACTCGGAGCAACCTGAAGCTCGATTGCTTCTTGAGGCTCTTATGGGTACTATCTGCCTTCGACGCAGAAAGGACATGGATTTCATCAATATCAAGCTACCCAAAATGACGTCTCGCGTCATGCATATCAAATTCAATGACCACGAGCGGGAGAAATACAGCGCATTCCAGTAAGTATCAATATCAATGAAAAGGGCACAGAGAATTCACTAACCATGTTCACAGAAAGGAGGCACAGGGTGCTCTTCTGGACTTCAAGGAAAAGGACGGCACGACCAAGTTCTCTCATCTGCTGGAAGTCATCCTTCGCCTTCGTCAAGTCTGCAACCACTGGGCACTTTGCAAGGATCGTGTTGATAAGCTGATGGGCCTGCTGGACCAGCACAAGGTGGTACCACTCACACCCGAGAACATCAAGGCTCTCCAGGACATGTTGCAGCTCCATATCGAAAGCCAGGAACTTTGCCCCGTCTGTCTCGACAACCTTGATCAGCCTGTGATCACAGCTTGCGCACACACATACTGCCGAGGCTGCGTCGAGACAGTTATCGAACGTCAGCACAAATGCCCTATGTGCAGAGCAGACATTGAAGATACCAACACACTCGTTTCCCCGGCCGCCGATCTCGGTGAAGATACTGCCGTCGTGGAGGCAGACCCAGACAGTCCTAGCAGCAAGATCGAGGCCCTGATCAAGATCATAACTGCTCAGGGACAGGCACCAGGAACCAAGACCGTCGTCTTCAGCCAGTGGACGTCATTCCTGAACCTCAATGAGCCACAGCTTGAGAGGCACGGAATCAAGTACGCCCGGGTAGACGGCAAGATGAACTCCATCAAGCGTGATAACTCTATCCACGCATTCTCCAACGACCCCGAGTGTACCGTCCTCCTCGCCAGTCTGAGCGTGTGCAGCGTTGGTCTCAACCTCGTGGCGGCGAATCAGGTCATCTTGTCTGATAGTTGGTGGGCGCCGGCCATTGAGGACCAGGCCGTGGATCGGGTTTATCGACTTGGGCAGAAGCGCGAGACGACGGTTTGGCGATTGGTTATGGAGGATAGCATTGAAGATCGGGTTTTGGGAATTCAGGAGCGGAAACGAGCTCTCATGCTTGCTGCGTTCCGTGAGACGGGCAAGAAGAAGGGCGAGGACACGGCTGCACGCATCGCTGATCTTGAAACACTGTTGCTGTCATAGGATACCTTGAATCTGATTACATCAAACCTGTTATTCTCGCTGACGGTAGGGATGGGCGGTGCGATATTCAAGGGCGGAGACATATCTGAGATGCGAACACCCCATCTCGTCTGTCAATTTCCGTAGGAAAAGGAGATTGGGGTAGGTACACGTAGAGGGTAGCTCAGATATACTCATTTGCCAGGTAGTGTCTACGGGCCCAGTTATATTACCATTTTCCTCGCAGCATGATGAATGTGAAGTGAAATATAGGGGGATCTCTTTCTCTATGGGTCTTGACCTCTCACACGGATGCCCGTTTGTTCATCTCAGAATCATATCCCTTTGGGTCGGTAAAGCGCAGTCGGAGGAGCCGAACCTCGTCATCAACAGAGGACTGCTCATCGGCTGTCAGAATTTCCTCTTCATGCCTCTCTTCTACTATCTTGATCTCATTGAAAAATCTGAGATTCGCGGGATTTTGGAGAACCGGCATGACGACCGGGTCGTAGAGACAGGCCTGTTCGTTGACTTTGTCGACCCTTGGGGTATTCTCGCAGTTAACCAAGTATGTCGAAATGTCATTGGTGCCCTCTCGCTGAACTTGTGTGTTGTCAATCACCCGGGTCGCAATTTCGTTCTTGAAGAGGGTTTTTTTGTGCATTTTTTCCTCAAAGGTACCGGCTGAGATGAAGCGGTAAACGAAGACAGGCTTAGTCTGTCCGATGCGGTATGCGCGGCCGATGGCTTGCTTCTCCCACATTGGATTAAATGAGAAGTCAAAGATAACAACCCTGTTGGCACCTTGGATGTTCAGGCCCAAACCACCGGCACGAGTTGAGATAAGAAACACTGATTCAGGGCCAGGAGAATTGAATTTCTTGACCAACTCCTGGCGTTTGCCAATTTGCAGATCCCCGGTCATAGTGCAAAAGGGTATATTGCTGTCATTGAAAGTCCTCTCCAGATAATGGATGGTGGGAATAGTTTGCAAAAAAACCAACACCTTGTCCCCGACTTTGACTGATTCTTCAATGATGGCCATCAAAATTGTGACGCGAGTGGAAATGTCAGTGTCGTGCCTGTCGGCAACCTGGTTGAGCAACATATCTATTTTGGGGAAAAGTTGCTCTGCCATTGCACGTTCTGGGTTTTGATGGGGGATTTTCGAAGTGTGATCATTATATTGGTGTTCAGGAGCAGTGCCATTGAGGTCTTGTTGAAGCTTTTCTTTGAGGAGACTTGGATGATTGCAGCACAATTGCAAAATGTGCAGCCATGACCAAATGTGAGCCGTCCTCGTTCCAGCGCTTCCAGATCGAACAGCCCCCACAACTATATTGTAGGCCGCTCTCTGAAATCTGGTAGGTCTCAACATCATCTGGAATTCGTACTTTGGTGGCAGTTGGCTTTTGAGCACGGATAGGTCGGCCCGGTCAATTTTGGGGCCAAGGAGCTGGTTCAAAACAGACAGTTTGAAGAAGCTCTTTCTCTGTTCCTCTGGTGAGCTGTACATGTCGGAGCCAGCTTCAATTGGCTTAATAAAGTGTTCGTCAAACCACTCTATGTTCCCGAGTCCCCCGGGTGAAATCCAGTCGAACATGCAGAAGTACTCTTTTAGCGAATTGCTCAACGGAGAGCCCGTCAACGCAATTCGCCTCTTTGTAGAGAACCGAGCACAGAGCTTGGAGATCTGAGATTTCTGACCGCGCAGTATGTGTGCTTCGTCCGCAATCACAATGTTGGGTCCGCGCAATAGCCACTTTTCCAACAGCGCAACCTGATATTCGTCAAAAGGGGGCGGGTTGCCCTTGTTCTCCAGCATTGCCCTGAAGAGATCATAGCCCAAAATCAGAATGCCACCTTCCTTCATCCAGCGTTTGATGTAGAGCAAGCGGTCCTCGGGATTTGAAACGGAACAGGCACAGAGATATCGAATTCTGCCCAGGTGGTTATGCTTGGGCCTCCACTTCTCGAACTCCTCCACCCAGTTGTCCGCAAGAGCTGCGGGGCATAACACGAGAGTCCGCAACACCCGCAAAGGTGCCGGGACCTGGTCAAAGATCAGTGGCTCTGCGCATGATCCGGCAGCGGCAAGAACGCTCAAGAATGCTACACTGTAGAGAGGTCAGTAAATCGGCTGACACTTCATGAGATATTCACACCGGATCAAACTTACACTTGGAACGTCTTGCCTAGACCCATCTCGTGTGCCAACAGTGCGCCACTAGGCAGCTTCTCCTGAACGATCTGCCGAAACAGAAACGATACACCCCGCACCTGGTGCGGCTTTATCCCTGTGGCATGATTTTGGTCGAGGTAGATGGGGTGGCCAGTCCCATTCACCTGGATCATGCCAGAGGTTAGGCCATCATCCAGCTTCTTGCATGACCTCCCTCCCATACTCTGGATGCCATACCTGGCCTCACAGAGAGACTTGATAGTCTGCCGGAGACTCCGACACTGTCTCCATAGCTGGTCACGGGTGCCGCCACAAGCAAGGATGGTCTCCCTGAGCTTCTTCAATCTTTCTTCAAGGCGATCTTTGTCGTAACTTAGTTGCTCCATCCGCTTGTCCCAGCTTTCGAGCTCGGGCTCATCTGTCTGAAAGTCATTCCCGAAGGTCAAATCCTTCCAGAAATCACTGGTCCTCCCGGCGATGTAAGAGTCAACCAAAGATTCTACTTCGGCTGTCGAGAGATCATTTGAGACAGAGGTGGCGGGGGCGACGGACTCCGTCACTGATTCTGTGCCACATTCCACTGACACAGCACTGGTGGTTTCCTCCGCCGGACTTGACACCTCGCTAACCGTCCATGTTGTATTGTCCGCAGATTGAATGGCGTGTGGAGGGTGACGGTTAATGAGGGACTGGAGAGATGGCGGCAGATCTTCCATGAGCAGAGGAGGCAGAGCTCTGTTGGGAGGGACCTCGCTTGTAACTTCTCGTGGGTCAGACATAGCGAAGTGGAGATAAGATGTGAGATTGTGAGGGAAGGCGTCTGGAGGATTCCCTTTCGTTGCAGCACGTTGGTGAAGAGACAATATTCCGATGGTAGTTTGTGCATAAAATCTTGTGGAATGAGCGAGGCGGTCTTGTGTCAGGCAATCTTTTGGGAATGAGAGACATGGTAAGATGGAAGAAGTAAAAGTGACGAGAATGTGAAGTAAGAGAAAATAAGGGAAGATTGAAAGGAGATAATTGAGGACTGGCTTAATGCAGTGACGTGACCCGGGATACTGGGAGGTGAGCATCAACACTCCACGCCCACGACTTCTTAGGGCTCATCCCAAAATGGAAATCGTGTTCTGCTGGATTATACTACGGGCGGTAAGGCCGATAAGAAGGCGGTGCATTGATTGCGAATTCATGCCTCAGGTGTCAACAAATGCCCCGCCAATGACAAATCCACGTCCCAGATCTCGGAATTACGAGGACCTCTGGACTTGGAAGTTTGTGGAAGACTCAGGATTCGGATTCTTACAAAAGCAAAGTATCTCCAGGCATCAAAAAAGTGTGAACTCTCATTACAATTCCTCCGTGGGTGTATCATGACACAATCAATCTATTCCAACTACCCACCTGAGCTGTCAGCAGCGCAACAAAAGTTTCTCGTCACAGCTGTAAAGGACTGGGCCATTCAAAACGGTCTTGCCGTTCGTCCTTCGCCAGCAATTGTCCCAGCAGGAACGGATCAAAATGGGGTTTTGGCGACGAATGCACCGGTCACCCTATTCCCTAGTCCGTTTCCCAGGACGTGCTTTGATGAAGCTACTGCTCTTCAGGAGATCTACAACGAACTCTATGCCTCAATTACGTGTAATGAAGAATGGCTTGGAGACATCGTCAAAGGGTAAGGTCCTATATATGATGACTGGCAGGTCACTAATCTGCAAATGAATTAGACTGATTGAGGTCGATGACTTTGTTGCAAACTTGTGGAAGGTCCACCTGGCTGTGAAGAAAGAGGGCTATGTCCAGAACTTGTCACTGGGTCTCTTTCGATCTGATTACATGGCCCATGTGTCTGCTACGGGTGACACAGCTCTGAAGCAGGTTGAATTCAATACTATTTCCTCTTCATTTGGGGGTCTCTCCGCTCGGGTGCGACAAATGCACGCCGAGTTCCTGACATCACCACCTGGCCCATCAATCAACTACCCATTCCATCCTCTGCTTCATTCTGAGGTTCCTCCTGAGAATCCTGCAGTGGAAACTCTTTCATCTGGTCTTGCCCGGGCTCACGAGGCTTATGGAGTGTCCAAATCCACTCCGGCTCTCCCTCTTTGCGTGGTTTTCGTGGTTCAAGCCACCGAAAGAAATGTCTTTGATCAGCACGCGCTCTCGGAACAACTGAAGAAAGTCCACAATATCCCGGTCTTCCGCGTCGCGAGCGTGGACGTATTGGAGCAAACGTTCATTCCTAGCGACAACTCTGCCCGTCCATTGCTCTACTGTCCCCCTCATTCGCCCGAGTCCACGTTCGAAGTGACAACCTTGTACCTACGGGCGTTCTACTCACCAGACGATCACACATCCAGTCGGGACTGGGACGCTCGGACCCACCTGGAGCGCTCCGCAGCAATTAAATGTCCCACCGTGCTCAACCAATTGTCCGGTTGCAAGAAAGTCCAACAGGTCCTAGCAGAGCCGACTGGATTGGACCATCTCTCTGCTTTCTTAAAGGGCGTCGATCCCAGTCTCATTGAGAGAGTCCGGAGCACGTTTGCCCCTCAATATGATCTGTCGGCAAACAGCAAGGGTCGCGAACTGGCACTCAACCCGGAGACTGCTATGAACCATGTCCTCAAGCCGCAACGTGAGGGTGGCGGCAACAATATCTACAAGTCCGATATTCCAGGGTTCTTACAGTCTCTTCCCGAGTCGGACTGGATGGGTTGGGTGCTCATGGAGCTGATTAATCCCGCAGCCAATGCTCAAAATGTTGCCCTGCGTAACGACGGCGAAGTACTCCGCGGCGATGTCATCTCAGAGCTCGGCATCTACGGTACTATTCTGTGGGAAGATACCGGCAAGATCTTGCACAACAACCATGGTGGTTATCTCTTGAGGACAAAGGGCAAGGAGGTCAATGAAGGCGGTGTCGCTGCAGGATTCTCCAGCTTGGACAGTGTTCTTTTGTTCTGAGTCTACATAGGCCGCTCGGTATTTAGATTAGACGGCAAATTGATTCATTTCTGGTCGTTTCCGTTCCCCAGCTCGTTCAAAGATCGTAGGAAGATCCTGCTCAAGTGCTACATACTATATTGATGCTCTTCTTGCGGCCTTGGGATTGTGATAGATCTGCTTGTCACTCCTCAAATATAATACGATCATATTCAGAACATGAATGAAATAGTGGACTCATAGTTCACATTCAGTTTCACCTAATTTTCCTTGAGTATAAGCCAGGTTCCAAAATCGGGTCATCTTTATGACTACCACAACCTAACTTTCCACTGGGCAAGATTTTAAGGTTGCTGTTCAAGCTTTGCTTCATTAACATCGATCGTTATTGTCAGAATGCTCTACGGAGTTTTACTTCCTTGTCATATCGGCCCAAAGGTCTTCCATCACACCCTCACAGCCTGGATGAGCCGGGCATTCGGTCGCACTCAAGCCCTGACGGTCCGTCGTAGATTTGTTGGTCAAGAAGTCTAGTATTTATCTGGCAATAGCAGGTGAATAGGTATATCTGAACCCTGCATGAAGGTTTCGTATGGGAGGACATATTGTATGTTGACTTACATGTTGTGGTCCAAGGTCTTTGACATGTTCCACGCCAAGCAGACGCATACAGGTCTTCGTCTCTTCGCTTAGAACTATCAAGATATGTCAGCAGTATTCTTTTGATCTTTGTATTCGCCCCTTGGTTCATACTTTCCAATGTCCTCTTTACGCCGTCAACGCCTCCAGCACCCAGGCCCCAGAGCGCGGCTCTTCCTATTCCCACACCCCTTGCGCCCAAACATAATGCCTTAACCACGTCTGTTCCTCTCTTAATGCCCCCATCGATCCAGACTTCCAGGTTTTCAAAAACCTCAGGGCAGTACTTCCTGATCTCGAGCAGCGTGTGAACAGCGGGGGGTGCCGTATCGAGTGAACGACCTCCATGGTTGGATAATATGATACCCTTGACCTGGGATCTATACTTCATCGCAATATAAGCATCCTCGTGAGCCTGTATCCCTTTAAGCACAATTGGAAGAGCTGTGTGTTTGGCCAACCACGCCAGAGTCTCCGCCCATGTGAGAGAAGGGTCCATTCCAGCGAAGACCTGGTCTTCAGTCTGATGCTCCGGCTTGATAGCATTATTTTCAAAATGCTCAAACAGACCCCCTTCCGAACTGGACTCTGTCATGGTGTTGTTGACATTGCCGTGGCGTTGGTCATCTTCCCGTTTTCCGCTCACAGGGGAATCTAGAGTAAGCGCGATAAACTTGATCGCTTTGAGCTTGTTAATACGAGCCAGCATCTTTTCGCTCTTGGTACGGTCGCTTTGCACGTATAGCTGCCAACCAAACGCTTGGTCTTCGGTCGCGCCTGCAACAATCTGCTCGGGGGTCATTGATGCACTGTTCGAGATGATTTGCAGAGCTCCAAAGCTTCGACATGCTTCTGCGATGCCAGCTTCTCCAGATGGGTGACCTAGGCGGGCCATAGCTGCCGGGCACACGTAGATCGGTAGAGAGACGGGGTTCCCTAGCAGTTTTGTGCTGAGATCACAGTTTGTGCAGTCGATGAACACCTTTGGTCTAAGCTGAATCGAACGGAAGGCCTCTGTGTTTCTGTACTTGCTGATCTTGTCGTCGGACGCAGAGTAATAGTATCCCCATGCCTTGCGGCTCACTGTTTTGGTGGCAACATCCTCAATCTCATCTAGGTTGAGCCAGTTTTCAACTGGTGGCGTTTCTTTGTCCATTTGGATATTTTCGTTTCTTGTCGTTGAGCAGTGGCGTCGGATTGGAGGACTCTCGAGTATATGAAGGGAGGTTCAAGATCTCCATGGTAGCCAGTTCCGGAATGACTTGCCATTTCTGGAACAATCCAACCCCGCGTTCGCCCACATGGCAGGAACCAATCTTTGGAACCTTGGAAGTTCATACGGGTTAGTTAAGCACATCCCCACCCCGGGGCCCGAAATGGAAGGAAAGATGACTGCAGGACAGCACAAGAGGGCAGGCTCATATTATTTTCTGTATTGGGAGTATTCCTGAGTCTGAGTTTTTGATTTGAGCCGACTGAAAGAAAGCTGTTCTTTGTCTGCTTCAAATGCCGTGCCTGATGGATGTCAAGATTCCAATTCCAACCTCTCGAGTCCTGGAGTTCCGGTCAAAATGCAATTCTGAGGAGATATCATATGCGATGCGAGTGAGACTTAAGGCTCACAATCTTGGCTCGTACTAGTAATATCAAGTCGCCTGTGTCTGCTCGAATCCACGACCCACATTTGTGAGGAAGGGGCAATAGCGAATAGGAGACTTTCTCTTCCCCAGTCCACAAAACTGCCAACTCTAATTTACCAGGGATGATTTGACAACGAACTTCTGATGGCTTCACCCTGTTTCAGCCATGGGCTTTCGCCACAATTCTGTACCCGAAAATTTGCTCATAGAACAAGATGCTATCGATTTCTGTGCAGATTTATTTTTGGGGCTCTACACAGTATTGACTAGTAGTACAACAATCCCGTTGCAGGGGCTGTGTAGCAAATCCCTAAAAATTTTCCATAAATTCTCGGCGAACTAAGCCCAAGGAGGACTAAACGTCGAAAACCCCTGGGCTAAAATTAAACATGCGGACGTGTCCGTCAGATCCACTCTGACGTGCGGTCTAGATCTTGCTGAAACACCCCTTGTCAAGCCCCCAGAACGTGTTTCACTTCTACTATTTCTCACTCCCTTTTACTTTTCTTTTCCTTTCTTCTTTACAGTTGGTATACATTCGCTTCGATTCCCTAACTTTTTCTGCTTTTCCATCGTTAGATCTACGATTGAAACCCCGACCGACCCACTTCGGGCCTCCCTGACCCTCTTTTTTCTCTCGTTTCTTTTTTTGTTCTTTTGATCACAATGACTGAAGGGCACAGTGCCCCTCCAGCCGATGCACCGGCGCCCGCTGCGGCTGCCGACAGCGCTGCCGCGCCTGTTCCAGCCGACGTTCGCTCGCATGCTGTTCATCATGATACGACCCCAGCCCATGAGAAGGAGCAGGCCTCCGTGGGTCGTATCACCCCGCGACCGACGTTTTTGGAACATCTAGCTACTTCGCGAGACTCGCAGTTCCATCTCGATCGCCGAGATTCAAGCGAGTTGGAGCGCTACTTCGTAAGTCCATATCACCCAGTCCTTGTTTCATCCAATTCCATATGAAATTGCCTCAATGTTCAATAAAGTGGTTTGGATTTTCAGACTGATCATTTTCCTATCCAGCATGGCCCCCGTAATATGGACAAGCACTCCAAGTGGCCCATCATGATGCGGATGCACGGCAGCGTTATGCCAAAGATGATCCTCCCGCTTCTGACTGTGGCTGCTTGGTCAACTGCTGTCACTGTCTTTTCAAAGAAGGTCCATGACCGTGAGTATATCTGATCGAGAGTGTTGTATATTCATTGAAGCTAATCCAATACCTACGCAGTTGGTATCAACAACATCCTTCTCACCGTGCTGGGTTTCGTGGTGGGTTTGGCATTGTCTTTCCGCAGCTCGACTGCGTATGAAAGGTATACATACATGTCTTTCGTGCAACACACTCGGTATACTAATGATTGGGTAGATGGGCCGACGGACGAAAATATTGGGCTCAGCTCGTTCAGACATCTCGCAACCTGTCACGTATCATCTGGATTAACACCGGCGAGCGAGAGGGAGACGAAGGAAAGGAAGATATCCTGAGAAAACTGTACGCACCACCCAACATGTTACACTTACCTCAAGGATTCTGGACTCTAACATATAATCTAGCTCCGCGATGAACCTCATTCTCGCTTTCGCTGTCGCCCTCAAGCACAAGCTCCGCTTCGAGCCGGATATTGCTTATGAAGACTTGGCTGGTTTGGCCGGACACTTGGACACTTTTGCTCGTGACGCTCACGACCGCATGGTTGTGAACCCCCCTTCCAAGACCCTTTGGAAGTCGGCAGGCGAGTATCTCGGTGTATCCTTTGCCGAATCCAATCCTCGCAAATATATCAAGCGATCCAAGAAGCCACTTGGACATCTGCCACTGGAGATTCTCAACCATATTTCCGCATACATCGATTCTTGTGTTGCAAACGGCACTATGGTGTCGACCCTGCACCAAGGACAAGCCAGTGAGTTTTCCTTGAGTTTATTTGTGTCAATCAAAATCTAACTCGGCCAGTCACCATGGTTGGTACATTGAATGAGGTTCTGACAGGCATGGAACGTGTTTTGGATACACCTTTACCCACTGCATACAGTATTGCCATTGCTCAGATCTCATGGATCTACATCTTGGTTCTACCATTCCAACTATTCAATGCCTTATCCTGGATTACCATCCCCGCCTCAATCGGTAAGCACTATCATTGGCATGTTGGGTACTATATTCTAACAATATTTAGTGGCCGCGTATATCATTCTCGGCCTGGCCACAATTGGCAGTGAGATCGAAAATCCTTTCGGTCACGATGTGAACGATCTTCCTCTCGACAGTTACTGTCGTCAAATCGCAGTAGAAATCGACATCATGACTGCCACCCCTCGGCCAAATGTCGATGACTTCATGGCACGCGAGGACAACTTCGTTCTCTTCCCACTCAGTCAGTCAGGATACCCTGAGTGGAAGGAGCGAAGCCTTGAGGATATCCGAGGAGCACTGAGAACCAAGGTGGTCGTTGGTCCATCGACCGCCGGTTCGGACAGTTCCACTCTCGTGGAGAATGTCTCGACTAAAAACAGTGGCCATTCAGTTTAGTCTTTTCGAGGCAACGTCTAAATGATGGTCTTGAATTGACGGGTGGCTGTGGGAATGGATTGTGCATTTGAACCAGCGACATTAAATTGTTTGAAAATCATTGAACAGCGAGTGTGTTAGGGCGTTTGGAATGGGTTGTAGTGACTCCAAAATTGAACATATCGGTTTCATTTTTAATCTCATATTTTACTCAGTCGATGGGACACAGTAATAGCTCCGTGATTCGGGCTTTGGTATTCCCTTAATCCAATCAAGGGATTCAGTTCGCGTCAGTAGCATTTGTTGCTGACTGACCCAGGGAACTAAATGTCCCTTTCATTGCCAGCGGACGGTCTCAAAGTATGTTGGCGTCAAAGCCCTGCGGCCAATAGGAGGCTCCACCGAGACTTGAATCCATCCTCACACATGCGCAAGCGGCGCAGCCTTGCTGCACCACACGCATATCAGGATGCCAGGACCTGGACGGGATGGCGAGCGGCCCACATAGCCTGCAGGCATTATCGTGGTGTTATGCCCAATGCCAAAATGTCCATCACCTGGCAGATGGCGGGATCAAAGGACCAACCAAGCCTCTGGGTAGCTCGCGTAGATATTGAAAAGCATTGATAATCTTCCGATGATCTAGGGGACGAACAAATCCTCACCAGACCCCGCAACCAATGCACCCAAAAAGTTTCCTTTTGCACAGATTCTCCACGCGACATCAGCGGAGCCCACGGATTTGTTTCCGCCCCCGATCCAGGAGCTGACCGCGCTCACAACAGCGCTTGCATCTTCGCGTGGAACGCGTAACCAGACAGTGTCGTATTTCTCGGTTGGTTGGCGTGCGTTCTCGATTTTCAAGATGTCGATCGGGATTGAGGTTCCTGTTAAACCTAGGAATTGAGACAATGCGGAGGAGAGGTATGTTCGTGCGGAGAGGGCATCCAGGGGTTGGGGAGTATTGCCAGGTTGGGGAATACTAGAATTGGGGTATTGTCAGTTGGAAGTCTGGGGGTTGGCAGATTGTGGTGTAGCTTACAGCTTAAGCTTGAGGTAGGTCCAGGGCGGGTTGCGGGAGGTGAAATGGATATTCTTCGACTTTGTTTCGGGGGCTTTGCGCTTCGCAGATTCTCCTAAAAGATTTGTGTCGATGTCCATGGCGATATCTGCCATCTTTCGTAATGGTGTACGGTGTAGTGATCAATTGATGTTGCGGAAGAAAAAAAGATGGTCTTGCGTCACGGGATCTGCACCCGTTAAGAAACTTAACCACAATGAACTGAGATTAATCGCGTCGCGTTGTGATCGCATCTTGGAGGTTTTGAGTTGCGCGCTGTAAAAATGCTTCTTCGCTGTCGATCTCCAGATCGGTGATGCACAGCGTCTTCTCGCGCGACTTCGCACCCCGAATCACCCCCACACTTGTTTTCGGGACCTTGAAGATCTTTGGCATTTCAGTAAAACAGGATTCATCGATTCAATCTTTGCGCATCAATTGATGTATTCAAGGGATGGCAAGGGAAACCACATCCATACTGACCTCAGCAAGTATCTGCGACACAGCAAGATTAGCTGCTCCGTCGCGTGGAACAGCAGCCACCGAGATATCGATCTTGCCACTTCCCACGGCCGTTACTCCGCGGCGAGACGCGTTGGCTTTCACATAGCAAGGGATGTGGAGGTGGTACGTTTTACTGGAGGCCTTAGCGACAAGACGGAGACAGGAAAGTGGCGACATTCCAGAGACTACGTCGAATTGTCCAGGGAAAGTATTCAAATTAAAGATATTAATCGACGGCATAGTAAGAATGATACTGCTAAAAGGCCCGAGTCCACCTTAAATCCCCGGGGATTCCTCCGAAACCCCACTTCAATCAATTCAACCTCCTATTTTTCGTCGCGATTTTCATAAGCAGCCTAGAGTCGCCGAGATAAGGATGATCAAACATTGATCAAACAACCTCCGCATGAGCTTCGGCCTCTTCAGTCTTGTTGTTCTTCTCAGGTCGAGTCGAAAGCTCAAAGGTTGCGTCGGGGGCATAGTCTGCAATCTGATAGAGCTTGGGACAGACAGCGTCCTTGCGCCTGAAGATGTATCGCTTGATCCACCATGGAAGGACCTGGGTGAGCTGATACTTGGCGTGGGTTCGAGTCGGCACACCGAAGACATAGTCCAATTCCTCGAGGGAACGCTGCATAGTCTCGGGCATGAACAAGAAGATGAGAACAAAGGCAACCAGGTTCAAGCATGCATAGAACCCGAATGCACCCTGTGGGGTGAATGCACGCAGCATGTAGGGGAATGTCAGCGAGAGAACCGAGGCCCAGAAGTTGTTCGTGGCAACGGCCCAGGCCATTCCCACTTCTCGGTGGGAAAGAGGAAAGACCTCTGCAGAATAGGTGAATGGGACAGGGCCTTCTCCTGGGGAGTAAAATGCATCAAAGAGATACACGAAGAATGCGATCATTCCAATGTGTGCATTGCTGCTTGTGGGAATCCAGAAGCAGAACCCAGCTGCCAGGAGTGTCCAGCACATCTGAGGGAACGTGAAAAGCAACAGGCCGCGTCTTCCGAATGTATCGATTGTCCACACAGCAGGCCAGGCAAAGATGAAGTTGATAAGTCCGAATCCAAAGGAGGCGAGGAGAGCCTCAATGTTGGAAGCACCAGCCAGTTGGAAGATGGTGGAGGAGTAAAATGAGATGATGTTGACTGAGTCTATGGTTAGTTTGGCTCGTGATATGTGCATACTTTGTCTGGAAACTCACTTCCACACATCTGCTGAGCGATCATCACGATTCCAGAGGCCTGCACCGCGCGCCGAAGACGGGGCACGGTGAAAAGCTCCACAAAGCGAACAAACATGTTATCGCTCTCAGAGAATCCAGCCTCGTTGATTAGCTGCTTTTCCATCTCCAATTGGGCATGAATACGATACAGGTCTCTGGCAGCCTGCAGAGGGCTGTTTCGCAGCTTGAGTAGAGATGCGTATGCCTTCTTGTGATTGCGCTTGGTCATCAGCCAACGGGGAGATTCAGGACAAAACCAAATTCCAAGAATTAGTGGGACTGCAGGGATGAAGGCAGATCCAAGTTGCAGCCTCCACGCGATATCACCGGTGTTGGCAACAACAAGATTAGCGCAAGTTCCCAGGAAAATTCCAAAGGCTGTCCAGAGCTGCCATGACATGACCAGACCTCCTCGAATGTTGGTTGGTGCATTTTCTGGTATCATTAGCTTCGATTCTGCAGGTTGAATGATATAGGGGTCTTGTGGGGCTTTGGATGACCTACCGGCGGAGTACACAGGGACTGTCACTTCTTTCAGCCCCATACCAATCCCGAGAAGCACACGACAAGCAACCAGCTGACCCCAATGCTGCGTGAATCCGGAGCCGAGGGGCGCGACAAGACTAAAGATTGCAGCCAGGAAGATCGTGCCCCGGCGGCCGAGGATATGGTTCAAAGGATCAGAAAGCCAAGCAACACTATCAATCGAGATAAGTCTCGAAACGAGGCCCGAACATCATATACCTTGACACTCACAAGAGACAGATGGTGATGTAAGGAGTCGCATTGATGAACCCGACGATCCACTGGTTACGCTTGCAGACTGCTGCATCAGAGCAACCGCTGTTGGGAATGCCAAATTGGACATCGAAGGTCAGATTGGCGCCGTTTGAGCCTGTTGAGCCTATCAGCAACTACATAAAGCCACAAACCGACATAGAAAGTCCAACCAGTCTGGTCCCAGCCTTGAATAGCAGCCGCGATCGAATTCAAAATGATGGTGTAGTACAGTGCAAACGGATGCTTCCAGCGGTGAGTTTGCTCTTCGTTGATGATGCGGCGATCGTTATCATCAAGCTCAGCGAGACCATCGATTCCTGCAGGTGATTGTGCAACCAGAGCACCTTTCTTGAGAAGGGGCAGGATATGTTCAAGGTCGTATTCGGTAGCATAGGCCGTCACGTTGGCCATCAGCTGGTCGTGGGGGATACCGGCGAGGGGATTTTTGATCCTGTCATGTCAGTGCTTTCAAGCCTACGGGGAGGCCTTTACACGGATTCCCGGTGTAAAGCTTACTCTCCAGCAATGTTCTCGGTCATCCTAAATCACAAGTTAGCGCTGGTCATTTGAACTGAAGGGTGGGCACCCTATATTCACATACCCCCCAACTGTGTCACTTCTGGCTCGGTGAGACATCTTGATCGAGTATCAGATACTCTCGCTGCGTATCAGATGACGCTTTGGTAAATGGAGAAAGGCAGTTCGGTTACAAACGAGATCGGATGTGGATAGATCAAAGGGGGAAAGGTTGATGGGGATAACTCGAAAAGGCAGAGAGAAGTGAAATATACGAAAAGAAGTAAAGGTTACCAGTAATTTGGGGGAATAGAGTCATCATTAAAAGTCCAAACGCCTTTGCTTGCTACATGCTCACGTACTTGAAAAAATTAAATGGCAAATAAAAACAGTATGAGACCTTCAAAAGCCTCTCTTTCTAGTAAGGGTCAGCCAGTGCCGCCCCGGTCACCTTGTTGCTTACAGTGTAAATTTGATAACATTAGAAACTAATTCCCGCTCAATGTATAGCTCATCTTCTGTTCCCTTCTGGCGTATACAGTCAAATCCTTTGGGGTGAGCCGAAGTATACACGTAGAACATGAACACTGTCTCGGCAATACATTTTTCAACACAACTTCAAGAACGTCGCTTTTGGATACAAATCCATAAGTGTGAGTCGAGGGGTTTCAGCTCATGCAGTCAGCATGGAAACACAAAACGCGTCGGGGAGATGACTCGAGAAGGTTGCACTACCTCACGACAACGGAAACAAATAAAGCCAGCTTCGTGCAAATATCCCCGCACTATATCATATGACCCGCTTAGTTTGTGGCTGAAATCTAAGCTCAAACGGTATACTGTTGCTTAGTAGGATTAAGCAGGGCCAAGTTACTGGGCATGTTTTTTGTCGGATATCGTTGGTCAAATACATGCATGACATCTTGGCAGTTGTCCAAATGGTTACAGCGTGTCCAGCAATGCCTCATGTCAGCAACGGCATTCTAAGCCTAGAAGTCTATAGTCTTGAAATACTTCAGTGCCCCTTGGGCATATTTAAGCGAGGGTGGAGGCACCCCCCTAATCACATGTTGACGCTTGGATATCTCGGGCATCCATGGATGTATGGTGATTAAGTATGCTTCTTTCCAGGGTAATTTATCTCTGCGTTGATACTTGGTGCTGACTGCTGTACTGCTTCATGCCGCATCATCGCCGAAATCCAACTCTTTCGTTTTCGGAATTTTCCCAATTGTCATATACTATTCAATCAAGCTTCAAAGTGTTAATTCAATTATCTGCGGTCTCTTCCTCACTCTCTAAAACCTTCATGACTTGATCATAGAAACCTAGCTTTCCAACACAAGTATACGCGCCATACGAATAAGCTATGGCCTGGGTCCTCTTACTGCTGAGGCAGTTTGATAGCAGGCTATCGCTGAGCTCGGCTGATCTTACCATTTCGATATATTCTCCTCGCTCACGCCATAATTCTCGTAGTTCCTCATCAAAGGGCTGCCCATCCTGGTCGTATTTTTGAGGTAGATCGAAGGAGATAGGCATAGCCGTAAGGAAGTCCGGAAATGCAAGAAGCTCGATAGGGACCGTACAAGCTCCTTCCCAATCGATGATTCCCGTCACATCGAAGTTGTTCTCGTTCACCATAATGTTACTATGAAGAAAGTCATCATGGGCTAGAGGAAAAGGCCCTTTGTCGCACAAGGACAGCTGGCTAGCTATCGATTTGATCTGTGGTGGGAAGTCCTCGATAATCGCCAGCATTCGTTCCGCTGGGATTGGACCTCTCTGCATCATGCGTGTGATTGTCTCTTTATCCCACTTAAATTTGACGTTGTCGGCCCACGCCTCGAAAAATGCAGTTGCTGTGTCAAATGGACCACCCAGTCCTGGTAGAGGACCACACTCATATTTTCCCTCTTGAGTACGGATAATCGACCCGATCTTTGGGAGTCTTAATGAGGTTAACTGGACCTATAGTATAAAGTAAGTGGCTAAGCAAGGAGAAAGCCTATCAGGCGGGCTTAGGGGACGAACATGACATCTTGCGACGGAGCGGTAAAAGTTTTGTCGGTGTTGTTTAGGTATCACACCACGATGGGCTTCGTAGCCGCCAAGGGCGTCCATAGCGACGCTACCAGGAAGAACCTCCATCAGTATGAAAGCGGCGCCCACCGAATTTTTTTCGTCAAACTCATGTGCAAAAACTCGGGGAACTGGTAAGCTGGAATGCTCCTTGATGAATTTCATTGTTGCAACTTCATTTTCGAGTTTAGTGCTGATGAGGATGGAGGCATTCCTTTGAATATGAACCCGGGCCGCCCAACGAGTCCCATCAGAGAATTCCAGTAGACGAACAATATTATTAAGCCCGCTAGCAACCTGATCCAAAGCGATACATTCCGAATGACCATTGAGACCCGAGGCAATTCGACAGAGCTCACTCCATTGAGTTCGATTGAAATGGTCGGCAGTTTGACTGTCACTCTTTTGCAGGAAATCTTGAACCGTAGCCCAAGAGGTCGATTCGATAGACATAGTCGTCTAGATAGAAAACAGTTGACCTAGTAGAGCTGATAATCCTGCGGGGATATAAGAGTAATAAGAGCAGAATATTGTTTCTTTATAGACTTTTGTAGATGGGATGAGAAGAAGAGCGAAAAGGTCAAAGGGAATTAGCGGTGTGACTCATCAGCAAGACCCTCAATATATCGCACTTAAACTAGCATACCGTATCGTACCAGAAATAAAAGCCAAACGGAATGCGACGGGATGAAACAATCAACCTACAAGCGTTTTGCTCTGTGGGTGCGTGAAGTGTCAGGCTCCAGTGCACATTATTTGATAACTAACGAGAGCTCGAGAGCTTCTCCCTTCTTTTCCTCTATCTCTTCCTGTGTCACAATACAATAACTTACCCTAAGTTGCTGCGCTCGCTCGATAATAAGGGAGTGGCAAAGGACTAGGCCTAGTAAGGTTCATGATTCCTACCCGCGAAGATGGGGCAACTGGAAAAGTCTCGACGGATAAAGGGAGGGTCGGATTTGAGTGCAAGTCACTAAGAACCTCGCTCTCCATCTTTGCCATCGCAGGCCTTAGTACTCAATAAAATTAATTGTACGTTACAGTAAGATTACGGTTACCAACAGCGATATTACGAGTAGCAGCTCTGCCTGCAGCTAGAGGATTCTTTGTTATATATCTCGTAGTTGTGTCATATTTATCTATGGATAAGTGCTCCTACGTTTTCTAGCCTAGCTGGGAGTTTTTTTTTTTTTTTTTTTTTTGTTTTTCCAAGTATCTATGGAAAGACCTACACTGATGCGGCATATAGGATACTATGCCTGAATGCTCGAGGCAAAGCACGGAGTATAAGTATCTATAGATGAAATGCCTACTATGATAGGATTGATTGAATTTCGACAAGATATAATTCACATATGTTATATGAGACGATAAATTATGTCTTGTGTTGTGCGGCACACGGGCACTCGGTAAGGACTGTATTGTCTGCAGTCCAAATAAATGAAAGGACGCAAACCAAACAATGGTAATGCAATTTCAACAGCAATAGCAAAGCTCTGCTTCTACTGAGCAACCTAGAAGAGGGGTCCCAAACTGTGACCCAGTCTTTGCCAATTACTGCCCATCATTGGCAGGGCGAACCCATCCACATCCCTTTGGACACGGTTGACCACGCTGAATGTCCTTTCCCTCGCATCCAACGGTAGCGCAGCCAGTATAAACGCTTGTGGATCCCTGAGGCATTGTGTCTTGAAGGTTGTAAGCAAATAATGTCGAGTATGACTTGCCGATTGGGTAACCATTATTCACCTCTTACCTTGGAGGAAAGATTGAATAGCACAGTATATCTGAATAGACCGGTCAGATTTGATAATGCATTATGGAAGTTCTTGGGCTCACCAATTATTCTATATGGTGTACAGCGGACGAATGTCAATTTCAGGTGGGAGGCTGAGAGGCGAGAACTTGCTGTGGTAGAAATGTTTCCAAATGACGGGAAGCTCCCTACTTTATATACATGTCGTTAGGCAGACTTGATGTTGGTAAGCGGAATGTGTTACCTGACCGCATGAGTACGAGTAGATGTAAAACTGTAGATAGCTCGCTCCCTTGCCCTCTTTTCTCTTCTTCCCGTCTGTTTCGGCGCTTCAGACAGGTAACTCGAAGCTCGGGAGTTGGTTCAGCTATACGCGAATGCAGGTGTCTGAATTTGGAAAAACAATACAAAAGGGATCAGAAAACAGCGGGAGATGGATATCCAGTTATTTAGCGCCTCCCATGGTCCATCACATTACAGCATACTATTTCCTACAGCTCCTGAAAACGGACGGCCTGCGTCAACCAATAATGAACCTGTCGATTTAGCCAACTGGCAGGCTTTTCACACTTGAACTTGCCGAAAGACGAAATTTCTCTTAGGAGAAGACTTGCTACATGAGGAGGAGTATTTTGCATAACTCACCTTAGCGCTAGCACACCCCCATGCCCCACGGGAGGCTCCAGAGCCCCGGCTACGCCGGTGGCTCCCTGGGTGTAAAACAATACCAACCAACCAACCAACATTACAGCATGCTCAGATCTCGCAAGGCAGACTCCGATGAATTCCAAGTTAGTTTGGATCAGCATTAGACTGACACCAGTGCATCTGAAAAACACATGAAATGTGCACGCTGTTCTTGGCTAACCTCGCGCACAAATAAATGACTCCTTCTTGGGTCACCATGGCAGATGAAAATTCGGTGGAAATGTCTCCTGAGTAAATAATGGCCGTTGTGCGCATGGCCGAGGCCATTAATGTTGGGAGAGCCTCACTCATGCACCTCGGCAGATTGAGAAAAGTTTGGGAAAAATGACATGCTGATCAAAGCCCCAATGTTGAGGCGGGAGCAAGGTGATACAATTGCCCGGACAATTATCTACCATCCCTGCTGCATTAGCGCAAAGGTAAAGAGAAGGTAAAGCGCAAAACCAGCCCCGCGTCTCCTCCATATTCGTAATCCTCTGCGTGCCATCCGCTATCACGTTCAAAAAGATACAATCAAATGACACACAGAGGCTAAAGCTCTAGAAGCACTCGATGGCACTTAGAACAAGACATCCTAGAGATCAAAAGCTCTTCCTTTAAACATATGAACATGACGAACCCACAAGCAAGTTAAAATCCTAAATGCTGCATTGCTATACCGACTAGACATGTTTCAATCAAGAAATTCGCGCGAATCTTCTCAACGTCGATCGAATTATCCAGGAAGCTGGAGAAAATGTAAGTATTGTGGTGAAAGGACATGAGACCGAATACTAAATTTCCTAGGAACTTAGCCATTTGCTGGATAGAATTATTCGATCCCCAGACCAAATAAGCGCTCTGCATGATGCATTGAGCAAAATATTGAAACGCCGGACAATGAAGAAAACTCAATAGAATGAATCAGCCTTGGAAAAACGGCGAAACTAGTTTCGTACTTTTGTGTCGAGGGATGGTGAAAAGCTGAAAAACAAAGATGTCGAAGACCATGCCCGCATCACAAAAGAGTGGGAAATACTACTTAAGTAGCAAACTAAGTCAACGCTTTACTAATATTCTCAACGCTCTGGGCTTTTTTTCCGGACTATTTTGGTGTAGCAGTTTAGTTGACCAAAATGTTTTTCAAAGCTGCTTCAATGATCTGGAGAGAATGTGCGAAGTTGATTCCTTGAGAAAAAGGATTCTTTTGATAACACTTTCGGATCAAGTACAACAATTTCAGCGAACATTCTAAACAAAGAGCAAAGCAGACACAAGAACGCAGAAGCAGAAGACCAGTTCAAAGCGAGAACGACCGTTTCTTTCAACAACACTGTGTTCTATAACCACCGAGCTTTCATCCAACGTCAATCCCGAAAACCAAGAAAGGATCAAGGACAGAATCAAATTTTATTCTCGTGTTGGTTGGAAATGGCAACAACTATTGCACAAATGCTTGTCGCTTTCCTTCCAAGATAGCACAGTAAAGGGGTATGTCTTTCGATGTGCACGATTATACATCAGAGTGCTCACTTATCCAGTTTTGAGAGGCGTGCATGAACGCTCATAGAGATTGAAGCAATAAATCTCTTTACGGAAACGCTACCTCAATACCGCATTTGGTCGTGTTGGGAGAAAGCGTTCGAATCTATAGTAATGGACTATTCGCGAGTCTCAAGTCCACGCCATGATCAGTTTGACGATATACATGGCTCTGTTCACGATTCAAATATCACAACAGATAATCGATTCCTTCAAGCTTCTGCGTCAATGCCAGTAAGCTGTTCTCTTGAAGACTCGCAAGTCTCTCGAAAGTCTCCTGCGACAGCCGTGGTTCAGTCGCCGAATTGTACATCCACTTGGGAAAGTGATCGCTCCCACAAGCTGTCTACTATCAGTGAGGTATCAACAACGCCGGCATCACCGAGTGGTGCGGCCCGGGCGCGGTGACGAGCGGTGGAAGGACAGGCAAGAACCGTTTGCCTTCTGCCTAGGTGCATTAAAAATGATGGGTGTCTTCAAACATGCTCTGTGATTTAATGTGGCACTTGTAACTTTTCCTTCATTTTATCAGGGCATGATGCTATATTTCTCAACGCAATGTTTCTTTGTGGGTCTTATAAGAAATAATAGTAGTATAACACAGTGCAATTCATCTCATTGAAAACAGTATGAGTCCCCTGTTCAATTTTAATAAGGACTGGACTATATAAAGGTGTAAAGCCTGCTCAAGTGTCGGTACGTTCGCGTAACCTGAAACCCAAACTTTAGAAACACTGTTTAAAGTCAAGAGACCACATATACTAGAGGACCGACTCTAAAGTTGTTCCGGCATGCGGGCAAAGGTGAATTCTAAACCTTGGGAAAGTTATTGCCGATCGAGGATTTCCCAGTTGCATAAGGTGAATCTAAAGATATGAATGCATTCATAAATTTGATGTTATCATCTCCAGTGTAACAGAAGCATGAAGCTCCAGGTTTCTGGACTCAATGTGCTGAAAGATTATTGATAGGCAAGACAGCAGGAACTAAATTCTAGGCTAAGCTTTCGCAGGTCCGTGGGGAAAAACCGACCCGACCGCAACTGAATATGAGCTTATTGGGTTGTAGATATCAATGGAAAACTTCCTCGTGGCTCAGATTCGAAATTAACTTGAATTTCATGACATGATACCACTGAATACCAAAATCAAATATTGCAAGTTGAACTATTACTCCTTGACCGAAGGGAGAGATTCAATTGATGCATGTTCCCTTACCCCGTGGATCCGATAGGGCTTCGGTTCGAGTAGACAGTATAATCTGGCAGAGATCGCAATAATGTAGGATCTCCTGGCCTCATCCAATCATCTGCTATAAGGTTTAAGATGCGAGTAACGTACGAGATTCAGATCTTGATTTACATATTCATTTTTCCTCTCTCCTATGTCAACAGAGCTGGGATAACACCGGAATTCTGACTCGGCCGGGTCCCACTCTTGGCGTGTGATGTGCAGCGAGGTGGATCGAATAGATGAAGATCAGCCTGAATGACACTACTAATCACTCGTATGATACGTGCATTAGAAGCTTGTTCTAAGATTGGGATTCGGGATCTTCGGAGAGCAAAGACCAGGGGTTTATCGGATGTTTTCTTCGTTTCTGCCTCATTTTCCTTACTAAATTAACGCCCAGAGTACAAAGTTCTCATCGTCGAGAAATGAAGTAAAATGAATGAATGCCATCTGGAAGGTGTACAATACGGCTTCACCCCGTCAAATGTCTCGATAATTGAAGTGGGCCGTCGACAGGAGGTCTAGATCTTGGGCACCTCCAGGGCTGGTCTAGCTAAACGCATGCCTAAATTAAAAGGATTCTGGTATGACGTCTTGGCCAAGCAAGAACCGTTTATGCGAGTATTTTCGTTCACACAGACTCTCTATTACTCGTAACTAGCACGGAATAATAGGCACTGGACACATCAAGAACCTTAACAAGCCACAGGCGCGGTGTCATGCCTCGTAATTCAATTCTCTTGGAAGACCGTTGTGCTAGCTTACACCGGCCGCCTTACTAGCGCATGTCATGTCAGGTACTCCGTACTTTGTAACTAGACGCTAAAGAATCTGACTGGTAAAACAAATCAAATAAAGTTGAGTAACTAATGTGCTCAAAGGTACTGTATGCATATTTTTCATTTCAAGTCTAGATATCGGGTGTAATGAATACAAAACTAAAGTTCTCTGTACGGAGTATGGAGATAGGGACTTGAAAGCCGCCGTATGTAAAGCTTGCAGCTTAAAGTCTTTAGGATGAAGCGCCCAGAGACTTCAGGATTCTTTCGACCTTTCGAGCTGTTTCCGATTTGCCATGTCACAAATTCGATATCGCAAAAAATGGAGTGATGGAGCTTGTGATCTACTTACATATAGCCCTTGGATGGATCATCTCTCCACATAAATTATCGGATGTGTTGCTTATTTGGGTTTGGCGTCGAGCCTTTAACTCCTACTGCTCGTGTGGATTGGTGGCTTGGCTACGCCTTAGCAAGGTCTTTATGTCTAGACTTAGAAATTTAGGACATTTGAGATTGAGAATCAATCCTATATCTTCCAGATTCTTGGACATCCATTCTTCTCTTTCTTATCCAACTATGTGTTAATTATCTTCCTTTCTACCTTTCTCTTTCTCAGTCGCTGGCTCGAGTCGTGTCTGTGACACTGATCTGATTTCAATCCCATTCTTCTTTCCAGGCCTAATCTGATGCTGCAAGGCCTTTCCACTTGTTTTTCTGTATAACTTTTTTCTCTTTCTCTTCCATTCAACACACCATGAATCTACCTCCACCCGCCGTCCTGGCTACATGGCCAATTCCGAACTATATCGACCCACCCACTCGTGGGCATGGTGTATTGATTGTGAACATTGTCTGCTTTTCTTTGGCGCTGATGATTGTCTTCCTGCGGGTATATACTCGAGTCTGGATCACCCGTAGCGCGGGCTTTGACGATGTCTTGATTCTCATTGGCTTGATGTTCGGTATTGGGATGGCCGTTGCCACCTCGCTGTCCACCGAGTACGGAGGGATGAACCGCCATGTCTGGGATATCACTATCTCAAAACTGGTCACAATTCAACAGCTCAATCTCGCCTGGGAAATGCTATTCGCATTAGCCTCATGCTTCACCAAAATATCACTGCTCTGGTTTTGCCGGCGACTAATTAGCAAAGGCACCCATCCAACTTACAACTTGCTATTTATCATGGCTATGGTATTTGTCGGTTTTAACAATCTACTGTTTGTATTTCTCAGTATCTTTCAGTGCTCGTGAGTGATTCAACCTTTATGAACCCTGAGCAGTACTAATATTTTACGAAGGCCAATTCATGCATACTGGGATATCAACCACACTGGGCCCTACCACTGCTTGAGTGATGTCGGCATCATCTTCTCCGGTAGTGTGATCAACATTCTTACCGATTTGATGGCTACAACTTTACCTATGCCTCTCATCTGGAGCTTGGATCTCCCCACCCTTCACCGTTTGGCGGTTATCTCCATCTTTGCTGTTGGAGTCATTGTCAACGTCGCAGGCACTGTACGAACCGTTTATGTGTGGGAGTGTATGGTGGTTACTTACGATGCAACCTGGATGGGATGGCCAATTCTCATCGCTTCCACGGTGGAAATTAGCTTGGGTCTAGTGAGTTATACAATTTCTCAAGGGTCCACAGAATGCTAACAGCTAATAGATTTGCTCGTCGGCCCCAGCCCTCCGCCCACTGGCTGCGGCCTTCTTGCCCCGTCTCCGCAACTCAACCCGCAACATCTCCTCTTCTTACCATCGAAAACGTTCCCACAAGCTTTGGTCTTCAACAGATCGCTCTAAAGAGTCTCGCACAATTTCAAACGAAGGCCAGGCCGGATACGATAGCGATCACGTCGAGATAATGCGCACTGTGGAGATGGAAAACTGGAACGATTCCGACTGCACCAACACGAAAAAAATGGGCCATGTTCATGAGACCCCAGTCGACAACCACGGCCGCGTCATCAGTCCAGTCGAAAGCATCGATATGAAGAATGACGTTACTTACGCGTCTCCAACGAGCCCTGCATCCTCACTTTCCAGGCCAAGGAATAAGCAGGATGATTGTGAAATTGGACGGGCACGCTAGTAGCCCCTTTACGGGTATAGTGTTTCCCCATTAGGATTGGGGAACTTGAACGTTTATTGCGGGGATTGACACAAAATTGATACACCGTTGAAATATAAGACTCGGGCCATTATGATTCCCGAATGAGAAAATGATTGCAACAATTCAATAACCTTTTAGCTCACATGGCCCTGTCAATCAACTAAATAACGGGATTTGCCTTGATTAAACCCACTTTTCGGATCTGACACGTCTGTTCCCGGTTAGATTAACGTGTGGGTCACGATCGACATATCCAGTCTTGCCCACGAAACTGTTCTCGTCGTGCGTACGGAGCATGTGTCTGATCTTCTTTTTCCAGCCAATTGCACTGAAGCAAAGGACTGGCTGAGACTAGCGATCGACACAATCTCTAGAGTAATTTGTACTTTCAATGCAATGGCACGTCGAATTTCATCTCTCAATCCGACGGAGCGCCCTCTTTCCTTGAATTGTACTTTTGTCCCAGGAATAATCGCGCAATTAGCTCTGCTAAGATTAGGTAAAATGAACTGACAACAAAGAAACAATTTCCTCATACCCTCTATTAGCCTTGAATTCTAATTGATTGACTGAGTACTCGTATAGGCAACAATCTCCAGGGCTGCAATCCGGCCGAGAGTCAAATGCCAACGCCAAGACATCTACGGAGTACTACTTGTACATACTGAGGGGCTTCCGTTTGGTCCATGAGTCCAGCGTATTTTATTTTCATTCTGAGCTGCCTAGATCTTTATCAATGCAGATTTGACAAACTTCGATAACGATGTTGCGCGGAAGGTTGCTCGAGTGCATGAACCGGAAAGAAGGCTTTATGAGCGACAAAAAAAAGTCACATGGCCAGTGATTATATAGGGTGCTAAAAAGACGCAAATTAAACAAACGCGAGATTGCAGAAGCGCAGGCTGCATAGACAGAATTCGGACCTCGATCAGAGACCATTTCAATCATGTGGAAGGATTGGCATCCGGCTTGTCAGCTGGTTTGACCAGTTCCTCCACGAGAACCCACCGCGGCTTTTGAACAACCGCGCGATAGTTTTGACATAAATCACCATAATCGTAATCATTTTTGAGTTTTATGTCCATCCAAAACTCCATATTCTTGTGTTCGATGTTGAAACGCCCGAATTTGAAGTTGAGTATGTTACCCTCGAGCATTGTCACCTCGACGATAATCAGCTTGTCACGGGGATTTCGATTCGCCAGCTCCGTTCTCCAGTAATTTCTCCGAAACTCTGTATAGAATTTTGAATAGTCTGTTAGACACCTGATAGTATCGGTGGGCTGCTTATGCATCATTCTGAAATCCAAAATTACTTTGCAGTCATAACATCCCATGGAGGCCATTTGATAATTTCTTATCCAGAGAGAATCGTAGTCTTGCTCTAGGGGGCGGGGCTTAGTGCTAGATTTTCTGTTCACGAAGAAGATTTGCCCCAAGGAGTCTTCGAAAATTCTTTCAATGAACAGTTTCATGTCAATGGCTCTTCCGGTTCTTTTGCAAAATTGAGCACATATTTTCACTTGAGTTTCTGGTATTGTCATTCCTGTCTTGAAATCGGGTCAATTTGGCACTCATTTTCAGAGGTGTTATTAGTCCTTACTGTGTATAGCATTGCAGCTCCATCTTTTCTTTTTGCAATGATCGGCATGATATCCAGTGTGTTTTTGGTATTAGAGATGCGTGTTGATGCCATTTATATAGGCTACGTCAAAGGATAATTGCCAGGGACATGGCTAAGCAGTGACATCCATGACTCTCCTAGTGAGACACAGTCGTGAGGTCCCTATCCACAGAATAGTCAACCAAATAAATTATGATCCAGGTCATCCGTAAATTTAATTATTCTATGGCTCTTGAGGGCCAGTCAGATCACTAGATCGGTTTTATTGGGTCGAAGCGCTCCTAGGGTAAAAGCGATCGAAAGTTACTGTTTCAACTGTTCTCCAGTTAAACAGGTAGACTGACCATGCTTCATTCTATCCGGGGCTATGTCTTCCAACGATTAGTATGCCTAGTCCGCTTTCTTTGATGTTCCGAACGACCAGGCATGCGCAGTCCTTTTCGTCGGAACCTATGGCTTCCTTCCATCATTCTTTCGAGTGGGTAGGAAGACACGACGTTATCGGAAGGCTATACCTAGGCTAGCGTTGGGCTCTGCCACTCTCGATCCCCTATATTAATGTTTGGGCAATTTTGACAAGCATTCGACGTCCAGTGGTCCTCCGAATATCTTGTAGGCTTATTTGTAAATGAGAGGTTTGACTTTCTTCTAAAATCTAAGTGAGATTTGGGCATCTAATCCTCATAGCCCGATAAACTTTGTGCCTGCTTTTTTTCTCGTCTCCATTTTGCGTCAGGGGGAAGATCAGAGGCGAGTATCTATGCAGCATGAAGCGGAATCAAATACGATTTTCATCCACCACTGATGCTCACCCAGATATTAGATGCAATGTCTACGTATACCTGAGGGTGTTATACTCCCCTCAGCTACATAGGCGCCAGGGGTTGTTGAGTCATACAACCATCAATCCATTGGATTTTAATGGCAGGGCGGTCCTGGTCAATACCAGGTTGAATTCCTCAAAACACCGTGGCTGTGTGCATATTACCCTTGTTCTTGATACCTAACGACTCCAGAGCTATCTTCATTAACGCAATTGTGTTTGTGGTTCCAGTGGAGATCAGACAGTTATTGGTACTAATCATCCCCCCTATACCGATATCAATCGCTGATATAGCCTGGTGCGCCGCAGCTAAGGACCGGCGCTTACGTTCAGCACTGTATTCATTTGGCGTGGTTGATCTTGTGGCCTGAACTAGCTGTTCCATGTGCTGTCGACAGGTGATGGTGTAACATTCAAAGCGGCACAGCCCACGGGTGGCAGGCACGTTGTCATGAGTATCCCAGATATAGGCTTGCCATATGTGCACCCTCAAATAAGTAGGGCTTTATTGGCACCCACACTCTGATCAACCGAGTGACTATAGGCCTGTGGCATACAAACAATGACAGTCACGAAAAGATTGACATCCCCATCACTTGAACAGTGATTCCTGAGGATGCAAAAAGAATGGACTCGCGGGGAATCGAACCCCGGACCACTCCCATGCTAAGGGAGTATTATACCACTAAACCACAAGCCCATTTGATTATTCAGCGCATCGAAATTGCGCTACATGAGCCTAATCGGATCTTATCAGCACGTGAAAAAAAAATTCACTTATCTGCGCTAGCCCTGAAGATGGTCTCCACAACCACAGTGAACAGAAGCAAAAAGATCTGGACTCGCGGGGAATCGAACCCCGGACCACTCCCATGCTAAGGGAGTATTATACCACTAAACCACAAGCCCAGTTGATTGGTTAGAGGCTGACTCTTTGGCTACACAAGGGGAGCGGGTGTCTACGAGGCAACATAAGGGGATGTAGGTATGTGAATGGCTGGCATATGAGCCCCAAGGTCGACGATCCGTCTTTATAACTCTTCGGGAGCATGATGTCTGGGTGTAGAAACACATTAGAAGTGTATACAGGGTGACTGGGGCTATCATGTGGGAAATGGTGACTTGCTCTTCGGTAGCCAATATATATATATATATCGACCTCTATAGATCCGGTTGTACATGAATCACCATTGCATTAGAACGTGCCCTAGCATTGAAATGAGCAGAAGGAGAGGGGGGCCCATTGGACCATGACCATTGAAGGTCGGAAATTCCAAACCGCGAGAGGGAAGAGAGAAGCCATGTGTGGAGAGAGCCCCAGTGGTCTGCGACAGCGATCAAGGACACCTCACAATGAAGATAAACCACAGCAAAGACCTCGACATATTTATCAGACGCCCTTTAAGTAGACTGAATCTAGGTATGCATACTCCGCACATAATATGGAACCCAATTGTACAGTTATCTGCAGTGGTCGTTGCATATCGGACGCATCAAGCCCCTAGCTAGATGTGCGGAGTAGAATTGCGGAGTACAAGAATGCTGATAGATTTGACCTCACAGTGGTAGAATCAGACGCGTGCATAGCATAGAATCTAGACCCGTGCTATAAGAATGCCATTGGCAGAACTAAGTATTTCTGCTCCCAGGGATGCTGTACTCCGTACTGAGAGCGCATGTAGATAAGAGTGCCAAGCCTGAATTCCACCTGTGCACCTGTGCAGGATCGACACCAGGACAACCCCGGGTTTTACGCGTGACTCAATGGAATGGCTAATAGCCGTCCAAATGGAAACTCTTACCATATCGATTTGACCGAAAAATCCACCTGCGTAGACTTTCTCAATTCGTCCAGAGACCGCATCGGATCCTCGGCGTTTCGTCGTCAGGCGGGGCTCTCTGATTGGTCAGAGCCACCGAGCCAAAAGCAATCTACGCGGGGAGAAGCTCCAGAGCTTCCAGGATAAGACCGATAAGAGACTCCCACCGCATCTGCTATAAAGACACCCCGCGCCTTTTTTTTTGTATCACTTTCACTTCTACTCCCATTCTCTGCTTCACTTTGTATCCATTGCTCATTGATCAAGGTTGCTGCCTCATTGAAACTCCCCAATAGCATAGATTGCTATATCACCCTCGCCACTCCTCACACACTTCTCATACTTCACAATGTCCTCAGTCTTCCGTGCTAGCACACGGCTGCGCTCCGCAGCTCGTCTTCCGTCTGCGCGGGCTCTCTCTACCACAGCTGGCCTGCGCGCATCGGAGAAGCCCTACTTCCCCAATGAGCCTACAGCCCCTTCCGTCTCGGGTCCTATCCCCGGACCTAAGAACCAGGCCGCTGCCACCGAGCTCGATGAGGTCTTCGATGTTCGCAGCTTGAACATGCTGACTGACTACTCTCAGTCCGTTGGAAACTAGTAAGATAACCTGAACTCCAGCCAGCAGAAACAACGCTAACCCCGCCGTAGCATCGCTGATCTCGATGGCAACAAGCTCTTGGATGTGTAAGTACCCATATCTGACCCAATTGCAGACAATTGTTCTAACTTTCGCAGGTATGCTCAGATTGCTTCCATTCCCGTTGGTTACAACAACCCCCACCTTCTCAAGGCTGCCGGCTCCCCCGAGATGGCCAGTGCCTTGATCAACCGTCCCGCTCTGGGCAACTTCCCCTCCGCCGACTGGGCCCACACCCTGAAGTCCGGTGTCCTTCGTGCTGCCCCCAAGGGATTGAACCAGGTCTTCACTGCCATGGCTGGCTCAGACGCCAATGAGACCGCCTACAAGGCCGCTTTCATGTACTACCGCCAGCTGCAGCGTGGTGGCCCCGAGGTTGAGTTCACCGAGGAGGAGCTGCTTTCCACCATGAACAACGCTGGCCCTGGATCTCCTCAGCTGTCTATTCTGTCTTTCAAGTCTGCCTTCCACGGTCGTCTGTTCGGCTCTCTGTCCACCACTCGCAGCAAGGCCATCCACAAGCTGGACATCCCCGCCTTCGACTGGCCCCAGGCTACCTTCCCCCAGCTGAAGTACCCTCTCGAGGACCACGTCCAGGAGAACGCTGCTGAGGAGAAGCGCTGCCTCGCCGAGGTTGAGCAGCTCATCAAGGAGTTCCACAACCCCGTTGCCGCCGTGATGGTTGAGCCCATCCAGTCCGAGGGTGGTGACAACCACGCCTCCCCTGCCTTCTTCCAGGGTCTGCGTGACATCACCAAGCGCACCAACGTTCTCTTCATCGTCGATGAGGTGCAGACTGGTGTCGGTGCTACCGGAAAGTTCTGGGCCCACGACCACTGGAACCTTTCCAGCCCCCCTGACATGGTTACCTTCTCCAAGAAGGCCCAGACTGCCGGTTACTACTTCGGCAACCCCGCCCTGCGCCCCAACAAGCCTTACCGTCAGTTCAACACCTGGATGGGTGACCCAGCCCGCGCTCTGATCTTCCGTGGCATCATCGAGGAGGTTGAGCGTCTCGGCCTCGTCGAGAACACCCGCATCACTGGTGACTACCTCTACGGTGGCCTCAGCCGCCTTGCCGAGAAGTACCCCGAGCACTTCCAGAACCTCCGTGGTAAGAACCAGGGTACCTTCATTGCCTGGGACACCCCCAAGCGTGACCAGCTCGTTGCCAAGGCCAAGTCCTTCGGTATCAACATCGGTGGCAGCGGTGCCTCCGCCGTCCGCCTCCGTCCCATGCTGGTCTTCCAGAAGCACCACGCCGACATCCTGCTCGAGAAGCTGGAGCAGATCATCAAGGCCATCTAAACCGAGACTTGACACTATCAATTCTGCTTTTATGATTGTCAAACTCACTCGGGCGTTTTCATTGGATTTACTAGCGTTTCTTTTTCTATTTCTACTTGGTTCTTTCCGCTTCACTTTTGCTGCCACGAGTTTATGTCCTAAAAAAGGCTATGTATATTGCTAGATATCTTGGTGATTGAATTACGGGATTGCCACTAGGGACCCCACATTGACTACTGCACCCCCAGACTATACATATATTAGAGCGATCACCCCGAGCTACTAGGATTAAATGCCAAGAGTAACTCATTTCGAGTTTTGCTTGAATCAAAGCAAGCCCAGTAGATATCTAACAACATAAGGCTAAGTATTTTGCATGTGTGTCAAAGTAGGACTCTATTCAATGTGCAATCGATTGCTGGCGAATGTTTAAGTAGGGTATGATTGATACGCCAAACGAGGAGGTCTGGTGGCCCATCTCCCTTCTACGTCAAAATAAGCAATAATCGTCTAGACCGTCAAAACCCAAACCTTCTGCTCAGAGTGACTTATAATCGTTAGGGCCTTACATAGTGGAGGGAGGTACCGGAGCCAGCACAGCCAGGAGGCGGTGGGAAAAGCGGTCAGTGTCTACAGAAAAACCCGGCAGATGGGTGTCCTGGTCATTCCAAGTGAATCAAGTAGAGTACTTCCTTTTTCTTGAAGAAGTAAACCAGAAGCAACAAATCGCTTAACTGAGTTGGAAAATTGCAGTCTTATCCTGCTGTTGATGCTCTCTGATCCAATGAGTGATATGTTAAAACAAAATGTGATGCCTTGCACCCGAAACTCCGAACGACCAGCGAAAGGCGAGCCCACTCCCTCGTCCCGCAAGTCTTGAATGAATCAATGAAGTTTGCGCTGTGTGGGTATCCGGACCAAGTGGTGTGAGCAAGGGTGAGCTCGCGCGGCGCTAAAAACCAAGTATAGATGCTTCATGCATCTTCCTCGCCAGTGCTCCCATCTCGTCTATAGCAGTCAATTGTCAGCATGGGGTGGACATCGTATAAGGTTGGGCACCGAGCAGGGGTAAGGGTGACACGTACGGAACATATTTGATACCGGAATCCTCTAGACTGTTGATGATGTATTCCGGAAGCTGGTGATGCGACGAGACAAGATTAGCAAGTCTGTTTTGAGCGAAGACTATAGGGTATATCGATTCCCAAGAGGGCACCGATTCCCTTTCTCAAAGAGGTCACTCACTGTCCCCGTCACTTTAGTCGCATATGTGCCCGCCACGTAGTTATCGAGTCGCTGCCAACGAGCGACCCAGCTTGCAGCCGGATCTCGAACGGCAATTAGGCCCTCGAAGACCTGGGAGGTACATTCTTGAATGGCATCGTTGTTTCCGCGGAGCTGGAGGGTACTTTCGCAGTTTGGGCAACCTTCACGCATGAATTTCTGGAGTAGTTGTTAGACCGGGCCTCGGAACAAAGATGGAGATGGGCAGCCATTACATTGTGGATTTGGACAACGGAGCAGACCATGCAAGCGCGCAAGCTGCGCTGCTGGTTTGGAGGGGCGTAGAAAGACATGTGGCGAAGAGGCTAAGATGTTGTGAAGAGTTCAAAGGAAAGCTATGGGAGACAGCCGTCAAGGCTGGATCGATGCCAAGACCCTCTGCGATCGGGGAAAAAGAACATGACAGAACCAGGAACAGGAACTTTTTTTCTTTTTCTCTCCCCTCACGCTTCTTCTTTTGCTTTTCTTTCTAGTCTGTCTCTCTCTTGATCTCTGGATTGGGAGGAGTTTTGTTTCTTCATAGGAATCGTTTCCCCCCCTGTGCCTCGCCCTTGTCTTGCACCGATCATCGCTGTCTCGTGCCCCTCGCATTTTCTCTCCGCCCCAAATGGCCACCGACCAAGAAGCGGGCACTGCGCTCAAAGTGCAAGGAAACAAGGCATTTGGTCAACACGACTGGCCTACAGCCGTCGAATTCTATAACCAGGCTATCGAAAAATATGACCAGGATCCCTCCTTCTTCTGCAACCGAGCACAGGTACGTTCCTGACGATCACGACGGCGCATTCACAGTTGCGTGCACACTGGCCTGGATCAACATGGCTCATAATTTCGTCTTGGCTTCAACTATAGGCTCAAATTAAGCTCGAGGCTTTCGGATTTGCTGTTGCGGATGCCACCAAGGCTTTGGAACTAGACGCCAACTACGTGAAGGTAAACTGATACCCGGAAAACCAGACACAAGGATCAACAGATGGGTTCGCATTGGCATATGCTAACCTAGGGGTTACACAGGCCTATTGGAGACGTGCCCTGGCCAATGTCGCAATCCTGCACTACAAGGAAGCCTTGAAGGATTTCAAGGCTGTGCTCAAACGCGAACCAGGCAACCAAAATGCGAAGCTGCGAGCTGCAGAGTGCGAGAAGCTTGTGCGCCGCATAGAGTTTGAGCGGGCCATCGAGGTCTCGGACCCTCCCTCTGCATTCGCAGATTTGGATATCGACGCTATCAAGGTTGAGGATAATTATGATGGTGTGCTCCTCGGAGAAGAGATGACACAGGAATTCATTGATGATATGATCCAGCGATTTAAGGATGGAAAGAAGATCCATCGCAAGTACGTTTTCCAGATCATCAAGGCTGTTAAGGAACTTGTCTACAACGAGCCCACGATGGTGGAAGTCGGCGTTGAGTCTGGCAAGAAGTTGACTGTTTGCGGTGATACCCATGGTATGTATCACAGCTCCGCGATGGGTTGAAAGGTCGCTAACAGATCAGGCCAATACTTCGATTTGCTCGAAATCTTCCGCCGTAACGGTGCTCCCTCCGACACCCACGCTTATCTCTTCAACGGTGATTTCGTCGACCGTGGATCCTGGTCTTGCGAAATTGCATTGTTGCTCTATGCCTACAAGTGGCTCCGACCTAACGGTCTGTTCCTCAACCGCGGCAACCACGAGACAGATGATATGAATAAGGTTTACGGATTCGAGGGTGAATGTAAGGCTAAGTATAATGAGCGCGTCTTCAAGGTGTTCTCAGAGTCTTTCTCTGCCTTGCCGCTTGCCACCTTGATCGGTGATAAGTACCTTGTTCTGCACGGTGGCCTTTTCTCCGATGATAAGATTAAGTTGGATGATATCCGCAAGCTTAACCGTCACAACCAAAGACAGCCTGGCCAAGCAGGTCTCATGATGGAGATGCTTTGGACTGATCCTCAGGTTGACCCTGGCCGTGGCCCTAGCAAGCGTGGTGTGGGTCTTCAGTTTGGTCCTGATGTGACCAAGCGTTTCTGTGAGAACAACGGACTTGAAGCTATTATTCGCTCTCATGAAGTGCGCATGGGAGGCTACGAAGTCGAGCACGATGGTCGCTGCATCACCGTCTTCTCCGCCCCCAGATACTGCGACGCCACAGAAAACAAGGGTGCATACATCAACATTGGCCCTGAACTCAAGCTTGCTTATGAAGTGTTTGAGGCTGTGCCCCACCCTGATATCAAGCCAATGGTAAGTTCATGACTCTCGCCCAAACGTGCATACTCCCGTCCACTAACTCTGTCAGGCGTACGCGCAAAACTCGCCTCTTTCCGGAATGTAAAGGGATAATGAATTTGAAAGCGAGGCGTTGCGAAAGAGATTTAGAATTGATGTTAATGTATTTACGTGCATGAGTGATGTCTGTAGCTGTGACGCAACTTGTATACTTCACACCGCTTTTGCCCCGCGGCACCCCCTCGATTCTGCCATTTGGGGGTCTTTTTGTCCTCGGCCTAGAGATTAACCTCTTCAGACAGTACAGTAATAATGGAATTCGACCCCAAGACACGTGAGTACTTAGTCCAGCCAGGATGTGCACCGGACTGACACGAACAGCCCAATACCTCACATCCGACAAGTCGAGCTTTGCCTCGATCTCGGCCAACGAGCGCTGGCCTGTCATCCTTGTGAGCCGACACCGGACATCCGATAATTGAACGGTCAATGGCTGATGCGATATGACGAGATTAGACCGGTGCCATTGATGACCTACACCGCACGGTTGTAGGCGTAAATGAAGATGAGAAGGCCAATGAGGGCAAGAGCATCATTGCCAACCTGGCCAAGTTGAAGTATGAACTTCAACATAACCGACAACTTACGTGAGTAACCCGAGGTAGCATGCGAGAAACAAATCCATTGCGAATGCTGATTGTGTCTGTTAGCACAATTGAGGACGACGGACACCGAGATATCGCCTCGTATAATAAGGAGCTGGAGCAGCGGGGAAACCCCCAATGGCACGATGTTCCTTGGCTTTTCTCCGAGTGCTATCTTTGTAAGATGCATCCGGATCCATTGGCACAAAATGGAACATCTCAATACTGACTATGACAGACCGTCGGATGGAATCCCTCTTCGCCCTGTCCAAGCACTGGAAGGGATACGACGTTTTCGCCCGCCAGAAGATGAACACATTCAAGTCATCGCGCCCAGCCGTATTGGAGCTCGCAGCGAGATACCGTGATATCGTGACAGAGGCAGAATCAAGCAAAGGAAAGGAGGACAAGTCCCCCGAAGAAGTCGAGGCTGCTGAGAGACTTCTCTTTTCGGAGATGTGCGAGATTTGTCTGTGGGGAAATGCCACAGACCTATCTCTCTTGACATCCCTCACTTATGAGGATATCCAGAAGTTGCAGGGCTCACAGGCACGCAAAGATTCACAGAAGAACATCCTTGTCAATGACCTCGATGCCGCATTCGATGCCATGCAGAAGGCCCGTCGTGAAAAGAAAGATGGTGATCGTCGCGTGGACATCGTTCTCGATAACTCTGGATTTGAGCTCTTTGTCGACCTGATTCTGGGTGGATACTTGCTTTCATCAGGCTTGGCAACCAGTGTTGTGCTTCACCCTAAACGTCTGCCATGGTTCGTGTCCGATGTCACACCCAAGGACTTCTCGGATCTGCTCAACAGCATGGTCGACCCGCAAGCATTCTACACGGCCGCCGACGAATCAGGAAAGACCTTCCCTCCCCTTTCCGAGAAGGAGGTTTCAGACGTCCAGTTCCTCTTCAACCAATGGAGTGAATTCCACCAGGACGGTAAGCTGATTCTGCGTCCACACGCATTCTGGACCGAACAGGGTGGCTTCTGGCGTATGCCCCATGATGCACCAGAGCTATTCGAGGACCTCAAGGAGAGTGAGCTTGTTTTGTTCAAGGGTGATTTGAACTATCGGAAATTGACTAGCGATGTAAGTTACCCATCCTTGATATCAGAAACCGTGTGGTCTTTCTTATACTTACAAAAACCAGGCGGAATGGGATCCCACTACCCCATTTGTAGAGGCCATTGGCCCACTCGGTCCCAAATCTGGCATCCGCGTGCTAGCGTTCCGCACTTGCAAGGCCGACGTTGTTGTTGGCCTCCCAGCCGGTGAGGATGAAAAGCTTCGCGCGCTGCCTGGTGGCGGTGGCTCCGAGTCTCGCAAGTGGGCTTGGAGCGGGAAGTGGGCTGTCGTCTCACTCTCTGATGGAAAGGCTTAAACTCTACTAGACCGGACTCACGGCAGACTGAGATCTGTTACCTTTTAGATTCAACGCCGGCATAGGCACTGTGTAGATGGATATAAGGCATCGACTAACGACAGCTGAGGGCACTTGAGTAGATATGTCAAAATCAGATCTAGAACATGGGTACGCACTTGAGCATGACATTTTATTGAGCGTAATGGACATATATCCGTCAATTAGAACATAGTTCTCAAGCAGCAAGACATATGAAAATTCCCGCAACGACAGACCCCATGATCCCAATACCTGGCTTAGAGGCACCAACCACAGCCGCATTAGTAGGCGTAGCGGAAGCGGAAGCGGAAGCCGAAGTCGAAGTAGACGACGAGGCCGTGGAAGTGCCAGAACTAGACGCGCTCCCAGTTGTGGTGGTAGAGCCCCCTGAAGTAGTCGTGCTGGTCGATTCAGATGCCGTAGCAGCGGTAGCACTAGGGTTGAATGAGGTAGTGGCAAAGGAACAAGAGCGAACAAGGTCATTGGCGTCTATCAACGTCAATTGATTAGCATTAGCATCATCAGGGTAAGTGAATCGGATCGATCACTGCGGCAACTATGCTGACTTACCATTATCTCTTCCGTCCTTGCTGTACTTTGTGATGCATGCATCGCACATGGGGAGGATAGAAGCTGCATTCTTTCCCTTGCAGACACAGTTTAGTTCGGCAGTATCGTCGTCAGAGGTCTTTGCATCGCATGCGGCGGTGAGGCTGACGACTGGGGAGCAGACGGCTTTACATTCTGTTGGTAGGTCGTTGGCGTCTATGTCTCCTGCAGCGGCGAGGGAGACGAGGAGCGCCAGGGCTGGGTAGGTATAACGCATTGGGGGTGGTAGGTTTCAGATGCTGTAGATAAAGTATCAATTGATGTGTTACTTTGTTTTGGGGGGGCCTCAGGGACGATGGAATGCTCTATTTGAAGTATTTCCCACGGAGACTGAGAGTCCGAGAGCAAGTGCGGTCCAATACTTGACACATCCATTATGTAAATGCAGGGTCTCCTTGCGGGGGAAACGGGGGGCTTGGGGGCTTAGCGGCGCCACTGAGATCACCGGATCGGCAGGGTCCGAAGTTTGTGGGGGAGCCTATGAGGCCCAATTAGGGAAAGGAGTGTTGGGGGTCAATTCCCAGGAAATTAGAATGTGAATCTCTCAGTAGATAACAAGGGAAAGCCAAACAAACAAAAACGCTCCAGTGACTCCGTATTTCCATATCAGTATTCAAGTAACAAAGAACCAAGAGCCAACACTTAGTCCAAGATGGCGAAGACGTCATACATTCTCCTTCCCAAGGGATTTCCTTTGCCTATACCGCAATTTGGCTGCAGCAACTCGCTCAGGCGAAGGAAGGTCGCGCTGTACAGCAGCAGCAGGCGCCGAATACCTCTTGCCTACTCGTTCGCCTGCTGAGATGGTATACCCTGGATAGCGGTTGCGATATGGCAGGTCTGCGAGCGAGTCCAGAGTAGTGTTGATGTGGGGCCGTTCACGCTGTGCAGGTCTGATGCTGAGCTTGGTGTCATCCTGCCCAGTCACGTTCAGAGAGCGATAGGAGCGCTGGCCGTCTCCAAGCCGTCGCCTCGAGAATGTACGGTTCAAGGACTTGAGAGCCGAGACGTCAGGAGGTGACGAAGGTGGAGCCTCGTCAAACCCTTCTTTGTGTGATTCATGGCGTGGCTTGGGTAGAATCTTGTTCAAATAATGTGTGACTTCGTCCTCGTCTGCGGCTATTTCCTGTGCATTGCGCCTAGCCCTCAAGCTTCCCAACGTGGTGCTACGCGGGATAGGCCCTGACTCGCGGACCTTGGAACGTGGACTTGGACTGGGAGGTGGCTCGATGTCGTCGGTTGGCTCTTCTTCCGTTGCTTCATGCTCCTGTACACCAAAATCAAATGTCTGAACGCCCGTGTGGTCTTTTCGCGGAATGTCTTTGCGTGGACTAATGAATTGCCGCTCAGCTGAAGGTAGTGCCGGGAAACGTTCGCCAGGACCAAGTCTGAGCTTCAGAAGATCGATTTGCTTCTGCATATGACGACGTTCTGTCTCGAATGTGTTCCTCAAATTTTCCTCCGATTCACGATGGTCATGGGATACCGTTTTGAGCTTCTCTCTGTATTCCTGAATGCGCTGCTCCAGCCTTGCCTCCCTCTGCTTCAGTCTGGTTTCTTTGTCTTTGCGTCGCCCTTCATATCGCGACATCTCCTGCTTCACTCGAGCCAACGTTTGCTTGAGGGTGTTATTCTCTTGTTCCAATGCCTGGGCTTTCTTCTCCGAGCTCTGGGCCAGATCCTGCAGGGTGCTGAGCTCCGAGACTTGGCGTTGCATTTCCTCGATCTTAGCATTGGCCTGTTTGAGCTCTTGTTGTGTTTTGTGAAGTTCATCCGAGGGCTCGACAGGTGAGGATTGTTCTTTCTTCTTTTCTGCAATGTTTGCTGCATCGCTAACAACATCATGCTTCTCTAAAGTGTTGCGCAGAGACGTGACCTGCTGTTTGTATTGCAAGGCAAGTGCCGTCTGTTTAGTCAGGTCTTGGACCAGCCGCTCTTTGTCACCGGTTGACTCCTGTCCCACCATGGAGGAAGCCAGTCGCGAAACCTGTCTTTCCATTTCGGCAACCTTTTCTTCCTCCTCTTTCAGTTTATCGGCTAGCCGCATAGCTTCAGAGTCCTTCTTCCTAGCATAGGATTTGGCGATGGATCGGTAATGGACCAACTTTTTGATCTCACGGTTGGTCTTCACACGGTAGTTGTCGAATTCGGTTTTCCAGTACTTGCCGGATTCAGAGTGTGGATCTTCCAGATTTATCGTGATATCCTCATTGTCGAGCGTTTCCAATTGAGGACTGTCGGGGTTCTCTGTACTTTCATCGGTTTGGGGGCCTTCTGAGTTCTTTGATGCATTGTCGCGCGCATTCATGAGTGTTTGGGTGAGCTTGCTCCGCGGTTTGCCGCTGCCATCTGACGATCCAGACATCCACTGGCTACTGATGGACCCAGAGGGATTTGGTGGAGTCTTGGCAGGCTTGCTGGCCGAACCAGGGCGTTTCCCCTCATTATCGACCACACTCTCTCCAAATGAGACTGTTTTGCGACGCAGGGCAGTTCCAGGGGTGACAAGTATGCTTTTGGTCGGGGATCCTGAGGGGTTGACCGTCGCGTCATCAGGTGGCTTCAAGTCGGGCTTAAGTTCGGGTGGGGCTAGCTTGATGGAATCACTCTTGCTTCGTTGGTGTTCAGATTGTTTTGGTTGGGAAGTTTTGCTCTCATTCTCTTCTTCAGCCCCAGGGGTGCCAAAAATCGCGCTTTTGAAGGCCCGGATCGCGAAGACATGACCGGGGGTTTCAGGAGGTTCCTGCAATTTGGAATCATCTGTCCTGTATCAGTAAGGTAAAGTACACAGCCACAATAGGAGACAAACCTGGAGCATTTGCACCTTCATTCCCCTTCATCCAGTCCAACATGTTGGGTGTGGGGAGTGGTGAGTTCAAAGAAAGTCGTTGTTTGCGCGGAAAAAGCACAGGTGCCGATCACCTTATCGATAACACACTCGTGTTCAGCTCCGAGCTCCTTTGTACTTTGTACTTTGTCCTCTGCACTGTGTCCTCTGTCCTCTGTACTTTGTACTTTCCACGGCGTGAATGTCAGAAATTGGATGAGACAACTGAAACACTGAGATGTGTTGAGATGCTGTCGAATGTTGAACACACCCCTCGCTACCTACATACAGGTGCATATGCAACCTGCCATCTATATACTGCGAGTACTCCAATGCCAACCAATTCTCCAAAGGTGTTCAACTACGTCAATCTGTTGTTGCTCATCTCAAATATGATATACTCAAGTATGGAACCTGATGGAACTGTGATCATAGTGCTGAACTCCTTGGCATACATGGTACTTATGATCCTGAATATTTGCATAGAGTCACTGGTCGCGCAGCCCATAATCTTCTGGAGATGTTTGCTAAATACCATTTTTGTAGGATTGGTATCTTGATACTTCGTACGGAGTACACATTGATATGCTCTGTACAACAAACAGCCTGTACACCATATTCTGTGCTCTGTACTCTGTATTCTGTAACTATGTCCAACTTCCTGTACACTCACCTGTACACCGCGGGATGTCCCTTGCAGCTTTCCAGCCGAACCTTCTCGAATTCCCACACAAATGGTACGATGCCGTTTGATAACTTGGCCGCTTGGCTACCGACGCTATTGCAACCTTGGCTTCGGTATCAACACCAGTTTGCACCAAGACCAAAGTGCTCAAGTGGCGTTGTATTGAATGAATTTCAGTCTGAAGTGGACTGATCGGCATGCTGTTGACTGGTTACACGTGGAAAAAGGCCATCCACATGTCGCATATTGTTGCGGTGACAAGACTCTCGGGGATATGCCTCAAGACGCGGGTCCCACTGTTGGGCTTCTGTTCCTGAGCACAGCTTTTGGGCTTTGCCAATCAAAAAAAAATAAAAACATTCACAGTAAATGATCAGTGAATAAAGAATACGTAAAACCCGAAATGTCATTGAGCAAGCTCTAGAAGCAAAGACTCCAGCGTCTCCACCAAGTCGAAGGGCGTGATATCTGACCGCCTGTTCCAAAGGAAAAAAAATAGAATGCCCATCTTCCTTCACCTTTTACACCAAACCCCTACACTCCTGTTAATTAGCCCTCATGCCGTACAACGCTCAGGGTCGCATGTAGGGCGTCTCGCCACGCCCCGCGATGTCTCCCAAACAGAGGAAGCCATCCCGCCAGAAAAAGCAAACCTCCGATTCCTCCGCGAGCCCTATCCACCCGACCAATTACCGAGAAATCCACCAGACAGAGGTCGAGGCCCTGCGCTCAATCTATGGCGATGACTTTGAAGAAGTAGAGAACAAACGTTCAGCCTGGCAGGTAGGGCTTCCCCCGGAGCTGGTCCCCTCGTGCCCGCTAACGGTGTACACCTAGCAAACCTCCAATGTGACATTCAATCTCCACCTTCGATCCTCGTCTAATCCAGATGTCATACTTATTCTACAGGTGGAACTACCTGCCACTTATCCGAAAACAATTCCCAATCTGTCACCAGGCAACCTCGACGGGTTTCGCGATGGAGCCCGGTCCAGAATCCAAGACATCATCCGCACCAAACCTAATACGCTTCTCGGCAGTGAAATGATTTATGAGCTAGCTGTATCTATACAGGATGTGTTGGAAGATGTAGCTCAGGCTCAAGCCCAGGACAAGGACTTGCCGAGCCTCGAAGAAGAGCGTATGGAGCAAGAGGCCGCAGCTCTTCAACGTGCAGATCTCGAGCAACAGGAGGAACTACGAAAACAGAAAGCGGCAGCAGCTGAAGAAGAGCGCGCATTGCAGGAAATGCTACGAGATAAAATGCGACAGCGGAACAAGGCCCGCATTTTAAGACGAAAGAGTCGAACTGGGGGAGCGGACACGAGCGACACGGATGACCTGGTGGGCAATACCCCCGGTGCTATTTGCTTCGATCCCCCATTGGTGGTCAATGACACCGACGAGCAGCCACTGGTCTTCCGGGCCGTGCACGGCAAGACCCTAGTGCAAGGAAAACCGGGAAAGAAGACTTTCACCGTCAGGCCGGTGGTTTCAGAGAGCAGATGCCATGTGCCGTTGCTCGTTCTCAAAGAGTTGTGTCTGACTGAGAAGGGATCCGAAGCGCTGGTCTTCCGAGAGCAAATGCGGACCAGTGAGGACAAGTTGGAGGCCATCAAGCGACTGCGACATTCAAATTTGGTTGAATTTGTCGGTTTCAAGATCAATCGCCCTCTTGGTCACTTCAACTCGTCCGATAATGCCTGGACCGTTTTTGCCCTCTTGGAGCATGCGAACAAAGGGTCCCTCTCCGAGTTACTCGATATAGTTGGAACTGTGGCTGTGGACATGCTGCGTGGTTGGATGATCCAGTTACTTGAAGCCTTGGAATTTTACCACCGAAGTGGATTTGTACATGGTAACATCCACTGTGGCCGAGTCTTTCTGTTTCGAACTCCCTCTGGGGGAACTATTGTTAAACTTCAATCTAGCATTGAAGAAGCGCTGCCTGATTCTCCTTGCGTGAAGCCCTCTTGGACCGCATCGAAATCGCCACTTTGGTTACCCCCAGAGTTGACTCAAGATCATCCTTCTCCCTCGATGAAGACCGACGTTTGGGACCTTGGAATCGTTCTTCTACAGATGGGCTTTGGAAAAGATGTCCTCCTTCGATACACCTCTGCCAATCAATTGATGGTGTCTATGGGACTCTCACCCCCACTGCAGGATCTACTGCGAGAGTTTTTCCGGCCAGATCCTAGGAAGCGTCCGACTGCTTTCCAGCTCCAACCGTCGGAATTCTTCCGCGTCGATGCCCCTCTCAAAATGCGCGACAGAGATTCTGGCTCTGTCTCATCGCACAGGCGACCGCGATTGGACTCATTTGGAGCCATGCCGGCCTTCTCTCGTTACCACCAAGACTTCGATGAAGCAGGTCAACTGGGCCGTGGTGGCTACGGACAAGTAGTTAAAGCCCGAAACAAACTGGATGGCCGATTGTACGCAGTCAAGAAGATTTCTCAAACTTCGGCGACGGCGTTGAAAGACACGCTCTCTGAAACGATGCTGTTATCTCGACTGAATCACCCCTACGTCGTCCGATACTACACTGCTTGGCTGGAAGAAGACTTCAATCATATTGAAGAAGAGGCTATGTCGTCCACTGAAGGTGATTCCTTTTCCAGTCAGGAACACCACGGTTTCAGCACAGGAGGTCTTGATTTCATCAGTTCCAGCGGGTATCCAAAGATCGAGTTCGCTGGGTCAGATAGCGACGATGAGAATGAAGGAACCTTGTCCGACCCTGCTCATCCAGGTACACCGGAGACGCACCGAGTCAATGGAAACGGCACTGGCACCGGAACTGGAACTGGCAGCGCAGAAAGTGCTGAGTTTAGTCGTGCGCGATCTGGCTCTTATTCCAGGCCTCTTGTTACCACGCTCTACATTCAGATGGAGTATTGTGAGAAGCACACGTTACGTGATTTGATCAGAAATGGCTTATGCGATGACATTGAGAGCTCGTGGCGCCTGTTCAGACAAGTACTCGATGGCCTGAGTCACATCCACAGCCATGGCATCATTCACCGAGATTTGAAGCCAGATAATATTTTCATCGATGTCGCGAACAATCCTCAAATCGGTGACTTTGGCCTTGCCACAAGCGGCCAATTCACTACTGCAGTACGCTCATCTGCAGCTGCTGACTTCGAAGGTGACTTTACGCGCAGTCTCGGTACAACGTACTACGTCGCACCCGAAATGAAATCAGTAGTCTCAGGGCATTACAACGAAAAGGTTGATATGTTCTCGCTCGGTGTCATCTTCTTTGAGATGTGTCACCCTCTGCCAACCGGCATGGAAAGGGATCAGACCCTCCGTGAGATCAGAGAAAAGTCTCATACTCTTCCATCCACCTTCCAGCAATCCGACAAAGTGCTTCAGGGTCGGATCATTGAGACGTTGCTGAGCCACACACCGAGTCAACGCCCAACTGCATCTGAGCTTCTTTCAAGCGGGAAAATCCCGTTACAGGTTGAGGAGGAGACATTTAGACGAGCCATCGTGCACTTGCTCTCGGATCCTAATTCTCCAGATTACAAAAAGATTTTGTCGGCAATTTTCTCGCAGTCGCCCAAGAAATTCGAAGACATTGCCTGGGACATAGACTCGCATGCAGTGCCAGCGGCCAATGAGTTACTTGTACAGGGTCTCGTCAAGAAGAAACTGACCTCGATTTTCCGGAGACATGGTGCCGTTGAGTCAACCCGACAGATGCTCTTCCCCCGATCTCAGCATTACAACAACGGCGCAGTACGGGTATTGGACGCCTCAGGCAACCTGTTGCAGCTACCATACGACCTCACCCTTCCAAATGCTCGAGCAATTCCCAGACAAGACCGGTCGCTGGAGAAGACCTTTGCATTCGGCACAGTCTACAGAGAATCTACCCATGGCAGCGAACCACGAACGCACCGTGAGGTCGATTTCGATATTGTGTCTCATAATACTTTGGATCTGGCCCTGAAAGAGGCAGAGGTCATCAAAGTGCTGGATGAAATCATCGAAGAGTTCCCACCTTTGCGGTCTACTCCCATGTGTTTCCTTGTCAATCATTCCGACCTGCTGCAGCTGATTATGGAATTCTGTCGCATCACGCCTTCCCAAATCCCCAAAGCAAAGGAGGTTCTCAGCAAGTTGAATGTTGGAAAATATACCATGCAGAAGATACGGAGTGAGCTCCGAGCTCCGGCAATCGGTGTTGCTTCAACTTCGCTGGATGACCTTGCGCGATTCGACTTTAGAGGTAATGCACTCGACCTCTAAATTGAAGATAAATATGCTAATCACAAAGAGCAGATTCCTCTAAGGAGACCCAGCGCCGTCTGCAAAGCATCATGGAGGGAACTGAATATGCCGAACGAGTTTCACCGATTTTCGCCCGCTTGAATGTGCTGATGACCTATCTGCAGAGCTTTGGCGTGAAGCGCAAGGTCTACATCAACCCATTGAGCAGTGTACATGACAAGTTCTATCGTGGCAGTGTTTTGTTCCAATGTGTTTTCGACAGCAAACGGCGGGATGTGTTCGCTGCTGGTGGTAGATACGACCGGTTGATCCAAGAACATTCACCTAACGTTCTGTCAAATCGTCCCCAGGCCCATGCAGTCGGCTTTAACCTTGGCTCGGATCGACTTCGCTCGTCAATGATTGACTATCTCAAGGCCAAGGCCCCATCAAAAGAGTCTGAAGCAGGACCTGAGTTATACTGGGCTGCCCGTCGTGTAAGCAATACCTTTCCCGATTGGCAATTGAATCTCTGTGACTAACAACCACGAACAGTGTGATGTACTTGTCGCCAGTTTTGACGCAACTGTTCTTCGTACAACTGGAGTCAAGCTCATCGAGGAGCTCTGGTCCAACAACATAAGTGCAGAGCTTGCAGTTGACGCCTCATCTCTCGAGGAGCTCATGGCCAAATACAAAGACTCCAACCACCGATGGATCGTGATCGCCAAACAAGACAGCAAAGAGCGAGGATTCAAAGTCCGCAATTTGATGCGCAAGGAAGAATTCGACATCCGTACCGCCGAACTTGTAACATGGCTTCGATCAGAAGTGCAGGCGCGCCACCACCGCGAGGGAACCGTCGAACCTCGTCCCTCCCGTCAACCAAGCCAGCAAGAGGCACTAGCGTTCCAAGAACGGGCAAACGATGTGCGAATCCTCGTTCCACAGCACCGCAGCAAGAAGACGAATAGAAGAAATATCGTTGAGTCAGGTATGTTTCTGACCTCCTGTCCCACCCTTTACCAACCTGTATACTAATACACGCGTTCAGCACTGGTTTCATCACACGAAGTAGCAGAGAATGCACGCAACGGCCCTGTTGCAGCAATCGACACTCGCGACGAAGTCCTCGACGCCATTCGAAATACCCGACTCTCCGACGCAGAAAGCTGGCGCACAGTTATCCAGAACGCACCACTCACAGAACGGAAATATCTAAGCCAAGTGCACGAGCTACTCGCCGATCTGGCGATTGAGAACCGTGCAAACGACAGCTCAGAAAGCCACACGAATGCGTTTATCTACAACTATCGAACAGGATCATGTGTCTACTACGACCTTGGTCCCTAAATGAATTACGACTGATTGTTTTCATGAGAACGAAATGGAGTTGAGAAGCGGGGCGAGTCTCAGGCGGATTAAGGGGATTCTTTTTGCATATCTTTATGGGCGGATGCTTTTGTTTTATCTGACACATCTCCCCTCAATTCCATAGTTTAGCGAGTACTTGGGATGATTGATACCCCAGTGACGATTAACGCCGAAAGTCTTTGGATGTGCGATCTTTGGGAATCCGTGGAGTGTTGCTTGCATGGATGTGCGTAGAGTAATCGTCGATAGAGGCGAATCTTGAAGACAGCCGAGCCAGTCCAGTTTAGCAGGAGATATTTCGAATAGGAATACAGTCGAAGACGCAAATGAATAAACAAGTGTCATGTCAAGATTGTCATATCAGGTATCGCTGCTAGTGTACAAATTGCATGAAAGGGGGAAAAATTGCTATGTTGATCAGTCGCTATCTTCGTCACTTCCATAGCCAACCAGTGGCCCCCCAGCAGCCTTGGGAGCTTGAGTCTGTACCGTTCCATTCAAGCCCCGTAGCGCCGTGAGAGCAGAGCTGGAGAAGATGGAATTGCCCTGGGCCTGTGGCTGCTCAACCGGCGCAGGAGCAGACACTGACTCAGATGTAGATTCAATCATAAGCGGTTGTGCCGGGGCCTCCAATTGAGCTGCTTGATTCGCATCCTCCAACTGACGAGTCCTGGCATGCCACACGTCATCCGGAACATCGTAGCCCTGAAGCCCGAACGATCCCTCGATCTTCTTCCGCTTTTTAGCCTCGGGGTCTCGGCCTTCGATCTCTGCTACAAAGGCTGCGGGAAGTGCTCGGCGAACGGCCTCGGCGGCTTGCTCCTCCAGACGACGGGCCTCGCGCTTCTGTGCCATAGGGTTCGGGTCGACAGTTGCCCAGCGTACATTGATAATTTCCTGCTTCGCGTTAGTAAATTTGCCCGTTGATACTGGTGAAAGGAATTGAACTGACTTCGTGGTCTAGACTCTGTCGTGCCATTGCCTCCATTGCAAATTGGGCATTGCTCTCTGTTGAGTATGTGACGAATCCAACACCCCGACCAGTGAGCACTCGGATGCGGTCGATTTGTCCGAATTCTTGGAAGTGCCTGGAGATAACCTCCTCAATATCATCTGCGCGGTCATATTAGCAAGGAACAGGCATACCAGGGCGGTGGATATTGTAACACGGCAGTCGACTTCGCAACTGGCGTGCATGGAGTGCTACTTACCAGTCACATGGCACCGTCCAACATATAAGGTCCTGTTCACTCTCATGAAACTACCAACACCACTCATGTCCTCCTTGTAATCCGAATGCTTCTCGCGGCCAAACACGTCGACGTTGGGGTTAAACATATCATGGATTGTAGGTAGGCGATGAAGGTACTGGCACTGGGGGCCCTGGGTGCATGATCCACGAGCGAAATGAACACAGAAGTATGACCCGACTATACGATCAGCAACAGTATATCCTGAATCGCGGGCGATATTGACACGGTAAGGAGCCGGCTGGTTGAGGCCGTATTTGTCGTCGTCGTTTCCTGATGCTTTATTGTACCAGATGTTGTCTGAACGAAGTTAGTCACTGGTCTGTGCAGAACTTGGATCAAACTCACAATCTGCACCGGGTTGCGCTGGAGACTCGGTCACGAGTGTGGATGCGTCAACTTGGATACGCGCGGGCTTCTTCTTTCGTCTGATCAACTTTGTCTTCCTGGCCGGCTGGACCTGCTGATCCCCCTGTGGTGTGGTCTCGGATGCTTCATTTTGTGTCGCGAGTGTCTGCTCCGTCGCAGAGACGGGCACTGAAGGCTCTTCAATTGATGTGTCTGCCATGGCTATGGGTATAAAGATTGGCCACGGCGGGCTTTTGTCGCGGTCGATTGGTTCAGTCTGACTGATGTGTCGTGTACCAGATACTGCTGTTCACGATGAGGATTCAACGTATTGATCAGAGGTTTTGATCGGATGCTTTAATCGTTCGCTATGAGCGTGGGCGCAAGGTTGTAGACGGGGAGAGCTCTGAGCTTCAAAAAACGTAAAGTCGAATTGTGGTTACATAAGCAGGCTTGGCGGGCAGTGCGGGATTTTGATATCGCGGCCTCATTTTGGATCTTGCTCGTTCCGTGATTGCAAGACCGTTTTTCACTCATTTACGGCCAACAAGCCTCACAAACCGGCAAAATGGTGAACATTACAGAGAAGATCAAGGAGTATGTTACTCGAACGGCCTCCGGCTGCCCACTTTTCAGTCCCCAATTTGCTCAACTTTTGATCCCACAGGATTGAGGATGAGATGCGTCGGACGCAGAGTAAGTCCAGCACTGAGAAATTCGAGAAATTCACGAAATTCCATTCTAACGATGCTTTGCAGAGAATAAGGCGACAGGTATGTTGAATATCATGAATATCAATCCATAAACATGGCTTTGATCTAATATTCGAAATAGAATATCATCTGGGTCTTTTGAAAGGGTACAGTCATGTCCACAGATTCAAACAAGACATTGAAACTAACATCATTGTCAGAAAACTTGCCCGGCTTCGAGCTCAACTCCTGGAGCCAGTTGGCGGGGCTGGCTCCGGAGGTGGCATGGGATTCGATGTCAGCAAGAGTGGAGATGCCCGAGTGGCCCTAGTCGGCTTTCCCTCAGTTGGAAAGTCTACATTCTTGTCTAAGATCACCAAGACCAAGAGTGAGGCTGCTGCCTACTCTTTCACCACGCTGACTGCCATCCCCGGTGTCTTGGAGTATGGTGGTGCCGAGATCCAGATCCTTGATTTGCCCGGTATCATCGAGGGTGCGTCCGAGGGTAAGGGTCGTGGTCGTCAAGTCATTTCTGCCGCAAAGGTAAATCGATACTCTCAATTGGAGCGAGACTCAGACTTACAAACATGTTTTCCTAGACGAGTGACTTGATTCTGATGGTTCTGGACGCCACAAAGCGTGCCGAACAGCGAGCTTTACTGGAGGCCGAATTGGACTCTGTGGGCATTCGTCTGAACAAGGAGCCCCCGTATGTGAATTCGAAAAAAAAAAAAGACATGGAAGCAGAAACTAATGAGATTCTAGCAATATCTACCTCAAGATCAAGAAGGCGGGTGGCATGAAGATCTCCTTCGCAACACCCCCGAAGAACCTAGACGAAAAGCTCATTTACAACGTGCTTCGCGATTACAAGATTCTTAACTGTGAAGTGCTGGTGCGAGACGAGAATGGTACGTCGTTTCAATCTGAATCGTCAAGCGCAATGCTAACTTATTTCCAGCTACAATTGATGACTTTATCGATGTGATCATGAAGGATCACCGCAAGTACATTCGCTGGTATGAGTGACTCCAATGCGGTCATCTGGTTGATAAATTCTAACTCTGCTCTTAGTCTATACGTTTACAACAAGGTCGATAGCATTGGTCTCGAGTTCCTCGATGCCCTTGCTCGTGAGCCTTACACAGCCGTCATGAGTTGTGAGCTTGACCTTGGTGTGCAAGATGTCGTTGAGCGTATTTGGAAGGAATTGAGACTGATGCGACTCTACACAAAACGGTAAGAGTTCTGCTTGGTTTTCATCACACAACAACTGACCACTTTCAATATACAGAAAGGGAGAAGAACCCAATTTCGACGAGGCGCTGATCGTACGTCGGGACTCGACCATCGAGGACGTTTGTGATCAGATTCATCGCACTATCAAGGACACATTCAAATATGCTATGGTGTGGGGAGCAAGTGCGAGACATATCCCCCAGCGAGTGGGACTGGCACATTTGGTTGCGGACGAAGATGTGGTATCTATAGTTACTAAGGACAAGGCTTAAGCCCTGGAGTTGAGAGCGACGATGAACACGTTTATGACTAAAAAAGGCTTACTGAAGTAAAAATCAAGTGCATGAATCTAATGCAAATATTCAATTGATATACCAAAAGTATGAAAAAGTTACAAGAAAACCGTATCCAACATAACCCAAAACCCAATTAACCAGTACTCCCACCCGGATCAAGACATCTACGCAGTAGCAGCGGCAGCGGCAGCAGCCATCACGTTCTGCTGACCAATGGTGGGCTGAACGCCGACACGCTCCTTAGCGAGCAAGTCGACCAGCAGAGGGCTGGGACGGCTGTCACGGGTGGGGTAGAGACCAGCCTGGTTGTTCTTGTACTTGAGCACGCTGTCGAGGTAGATATCGAACAGGTAGGAAGAGTCCAGAGGACCTCCCTTAGCCTCAGGGTGGAATTGAGTGCTGAAGATGGGACGAGACTTGTGGATCATACCCTCGTTGCTCTGGTCGTTCAGGTTGACGAAGTAGGGCTTCCAGTCGGGGGGAAGAGTGTTCACGTCAACAGCGTAACCGTGGTTCTGACTGGTGATGTGGCAACGACCAGTGCTCAGGTCAAGAGCGGGAATGTTGTGAGCACGGTTACCATACTTGAGCTTGACGGTGCTGGCACCACTGGCCAGAGCGAGAAGCTGGTGGCCCAGACAGATACCGAAGATAGGGATCTGAGAGGTCTCCATGAGACGCTTGAGGTGGTAGACGGTATCCTGGCAGTGGGTGGGGTCACCAGGACCGTTGGAGATGAAGACACCATCGAAGTGGTGGGCGACCTTGTGGATGGGGTAGTCGAAGGGGAAGACAGTCACGCTGGAGCCACGGCCAACCAGGCTGCGAAGAATGTTCTCCTTGACACCGCAATCGATGACAGCAACGTGAGAGTGAGAATCGGCAGCGGCAACGTGGAAGGGTTGCTTGGTGCTGACCTGGCGCACCAAGTGGATTTGCTCAGGGTCAGTGAAAGCCTCATCCTCGTTGGCATCGTACTCCTCGCCAACAGTGATACGGGCCAGAGAAGAACCTTGCTCACGCAAGTAAGTGACAATAGCACGAGTGTCGACACCAGAGATGGCGGGAACACCCTCACGAGCACACCACTCACCCAGACTTTGGACGGCAGTCCAGTGACTGTACTGCTCGGCGACATCGGCGACAACAACACCGGCCGCCTGCAGGTTGGGGGACTCGAAGTACTTCAAGAGTCCATTGGAGTCCTTCTCAGCGGAAGGGACACCGTAGTTGCCGATCAGAGGCTGGGTGAAAACCAGGATCTGACCACGGTAGGAGGGGTCGGTGAGGGATTCGGGGTAGCCGACCAAGGAGGTGGTGAAGACAGCCTCGCCGGAGATGTTGGAGCGGGCACCAAAGGACTTTCCGGAAAACATCGGACCATCACGGATCGTGAAAGTAGCAGGTTCCATCGCCGCACGTTGGCGCACAGTAGCCATGAAGCGAACCTGAGCAGGTCGCTTCATGGAGGCGAAGGCAGCAGCCCTGGGGGGCATAGCCTTGAAGAGGTTGAAGATCATTTTGTTTTGTATGTGTAGAAATTGTAAACTGTGAGAAAGCGGATAGGGCTATTCAGTTGATGTTGGCTTTCCAGAGATGGTCCGAGATGTAGTCCTGGGAGGTAAAGATTGAGGGTGCCAAACACATATGCGCGACTGAAAACTTGCAGTCAGGATATGGTAGATATGCGGAGGGGGGTCGCTATTTAGCAGAACATGGGGGGAAGAAGTGGTTGAATTGGAGAAGAGAAGGGGGGGAAAAGGGTGTAGAGGAAAGAGGTTTTTCACCTTTGACTCAGTGGCACGTGCCCATTCACCGACTTTGCCGCAACCAGCCAATCGGAGGCCGTGAAATTCCGCTATCGGCGCCCTTATGTAATATTGGATTGACCAACCCGCAATGAGATCACGGCGATTATCACTTTCCCTTTTATCTTTACGGGGGGCAATTTCAATGGGGTCATCGTTTTTATAAGACTTCAGGAGATAGGGCATGACTTTGGCAAGTTACACCGTATCATCCCCACTTGAGACTCGTCTACGAGTATGTACGAGTACGAGTACTTACTAACTCACTAAGACATGGTGCATTAGCCCCTGCTGAGCCATTGGCCACTAGGAAGGCCTCAATTATCGGTATGCATACACATCTGTGCGTTTGCTCTTTGCCCTTCGCTTGGTAAGATACGTATATTTGTCGGTGTCACAAAGAGTAACCGTGTACAAGGTAATATGCTCGAAGTAACGTTGGCCCAATTGGGTAGCTTGAGGTGACAGATAATGTCCTCCGTACATCAATATAAGGATAAATAAAGAGGCAGTTTCTAAAGTTTCTTCCAACTGTCAACCCAGATTAGCTTCCCATTCTATTACGCGATCTGAACGATGATCTTCACTAGATATGTACTATGTGCTTTAGCGGCAAGCCTCCCAGTGTCTGGAGCCATTCTCTCCGGCAACCGCCAGGATGTGCTGCAGTCTGGCTGTGATGGCTCTGGTGTTGTGGATGGCGGTCACTGCAATGGCACCGGAGTGGTGGACGACCCAACCCCCCATCACCGGGAAGGGTTCCAGTTTGAGAACCCATCAACCGACTGCAAATACGTGTCACAGATGTACATCTGGGATTCCTTCAAAGTGTTAGAGAAAGATATGATGAAATTGTTTACGCTGATCCACAAAGACGTCGATTTTACCGTCGTTGGGCACCACCCCGTCGCCGGCCACTACCACGATCTGCTACATTTCTACGTGAATGCCCTGCGGCGAGTGAGTGTTGTGTTTCTCGACCATGCAGATCTCTTCGAGATCCACCCGCAGGGAATCTACGGTGGATGTAACGCCGAATGGTCGGTGCAAGAGATCCAATTTAAGGGAGTGATGAATTCCGGTGAGTAGGATATCCCCCGGTCTCGATCGTCGTTGACCCCACAGGTGACAAGTTCGATATCATCAACGTGTGGTTCACTCGCTGGCATCATGGCCAAATGGTGGAGATCCGCACCTATATTGACGCCCCCAGGATCATAGAGGCCTTGCAGAAGAACGAGATTTGGTGGAATGGCACGACACACAGAGAGAATCTGCATTATATGCCCGGACCAGCCGGTATGCCCGATCTGGAGAAGCTTGAGAAGATGATGGGATATCCAGATGGAAGCAAATACGTAGCGTAGTTGCAATAGTTAGTACTCCGTATGCACTGCGGACTTCGCGGGTGAAGCAACGGGTGCGTCTAATTTGCTTGGCACCGACCCTTCACCCCCGCGAAGTTCCCCGTATTTCCCCAAAGATGTCCGAGTCAACACCGCGGAAGCGCTCTCGCCTCGCGTGCACATTATGCCAGTCGCGAAAGCGAAAATGCTCCGGTGGACAACCCTGTAGCACTTGCGCCCAAACTGGCGCTGAGTGCCAATACAGCGCGCACAAGAAACGCGCCAGGTCACATAGCTTATACCGGACAAGTCTATCTCTCGATGAACGGCTTCCAGATGGCTATTCTAATCCAATTCCAAACCCCGCCCCTGCTGGGAGTACCACCCAAGCCTCCCCCTGCCAACCAGGTGGCTCGGCAGAGTTAACCTCGATACAAGCGAATTCGGGGGCAGCTTTCGTTCGCAAGTTGGGGTTGCGAATTGACCCGGCCCATGCACCGAGACTGCACCTGTTCGCGTGGAATGTTGGCGAGAGACGCCTATCACCATCATTGCCTTCGTCGCTGTCTTCGATACCCGCGGTCTCATCGCCGGCGAGCATTACGAGAATCATATCGCAAGAGGAGATGCGGCGATTGACAACAATATACTTTGAGAAGGTCGATCCATGCTATGCATTTTTAGACCGGAAGGTCGTCCTTTTACGAGTCGCCAAACGCTGGGAGCTCTCACAATCGCCCACTGACTCGCCAGAAAACTCCTATGATGCTGTTCTATGCGGCATCGCGGCCTTTGGGTATCTGTTCTCGCGGCGCGAGATCATAAACTCCGAACTCCAACTGATCGAGACTGCACGGAATATTCTAGACAAGAGCATCCTCACCGCTGAAATGCCATCAATTGACACAGTGACGGGCTGGGTGTTGCGCGCTGCATATCTACGCATGACAGCTTCACCGCATGCAGCATGGATGGCCAGCTGCACACTGATGCACCTGATTGAAGCGGCAGGATTGCATCTCGAGACCCTAGACCCAGAGACAGCGGGTCTCCTGCCCGCGTCGCCGGCCGATACGCAAGATAGTAACGATACGCATACCGGCGAGAGTACTAATAACCCCGAAACTCGACGGAGACTTTTCGGCATGGCACGCCATCTCAATACATGGATCTCCTTCGATCTGGGTCGCTCTCGGGTCATTCTACATGGTGCCACAACACTCTCGCCCACAGCACCCACCTCTCGCAAACCATCCAACCCACCAGCCCGAGCACCTCGTGCAGACCTTTTCCACCTCCTCCCACTTTCCGAGAGCCTAGACCCAACAGGCCCATCCCCCCAAGACCTCCCAGAACTTGAGCTGGCCCTCACCTCTGTCCTCGACCTCATCTACTCCGAGCCATCCCTCATTCTTGTCCAATGTAACTTGATGCTCTGTATATACCGAAGACTCCGCGCCCTCAACCCCCACGGTCCTCTCTCCTCTCACCTTCTCGATCGTGTTCTCGCACTTGCAGGCCGTGGCCTCCGAGCCGCACGGGGAATGGTGGCTTCCACCTGTCCTTGGCACCAAGTTGCCAACGTCCCCTTCCAAGTAGTCTGTTCCCTCCTAGCCATTGACAACCGAGCAGCATTAGCACTGCTCACCGATGCCATGCGGACACTCCGCGAAGTTCTTGCCGCCTACGACACAGCCTCCATGCGCGAGGCGTACTCAACCGCTTACTTGCTGATCGCCTTACACCAACGGAGAAAGGAAGATGATACCCGTGCTCTTGCAGAGGTTTTGCATGCCAATTCCGCCGCCGCTGCGCCGGTGGCAGATCTGGACAAGTCGACCCTGGACCCACAGCCTCCTGTGGAGGAATCGGGCCGTGATAGGGCACACATCCAGATACCGAATGAGGCAGCGCCGATGTCTGATACTGAGTTCTCGTGGTTGGGTGATCTCATGATTGATATGCCCAGTTTGCAAAACTTTGATTTGGATCAATTTTTACTGACTGATGTTCCGTGGCCACTGCCTGAAATGGGGATATAAGGTACATGGAAGATCTCGGCGAGTCTGGGCCTAGTGCCACCTGCAGTAGACATAGCCCAATGGCCCAATGGATATGCAGCGAAACGCCTCTGATACATGTGTATCGGGATCCAGAAGTCGAATTGTTACGAGTACTTTGTGTAGTACTTTGTACTATGTAGTTGTATGCCAGGAGTGACATAATCGGGTGGGGCCGATGATGTTATGGATCGCGGGAGCTTCGAAGTTGATCTTTTGCGAATCGACGAACTTCACCAAGTCAAGTAGATTTAAACTACTTGGACTAGAGACGTGTACCTGCAGACTACCCCGGCTCCCCGTCTGTACAAAAACGAGTCGATCGTGGACAGTCGAAACTTCGAGAACATTCGATGGTACGTCACACGTCACTCACCTGGAGACTTCGATCCCTGGCAGGTTCTGGGTGTAAGCCCTGTTCTATTTCTATTTCTCTTTGAGGTCCTTTTGTTTCCTCTTTTTTTTACTCTTTTGAACTTGTCTCTTTTTTGAACTCTTTGTCCCCTCCCATTTATCTTGAGCGGAATTCCCCCTCTGAATCTTCTACATCATTCGAGAAGTGCCTTCTCCAATATCAAGACGAAGGTATAAAGGGCCCACTTCCCGTCCAACGCGCACGCCCTCAAATCGAAGCACTTTCTCTACACAATACCCCGCACTATGGTAGCAGAGACCAAGCTCTACGACGCCTTGAGCGTCAAGCCCGAGGCCACACAAGATGAAATTAAGAAAGCATACCGCAAGGCTGCTCTGAAGCACCACCCAGACAAGAACAAGGACAATCCCTCATCTGCCGAAAAATTCAAAGGTACGTTACCCCGCACACCTAACAACTCATTCCTCTGACTAACACCTCTGGCAGATGTCTCACAAGCCTACGAAGTCCTATCCGATCCCGAAAAGCGCAAGGTCTATGACCAGTACGGACTCGAATATTTGATGCGCGGTGGTCCGCCACCACCACCCCCAGGAAGCGGCAGTGGCGGAGGAACCGGCTTCGACGGAGGCATGCCCGGAGGCTTCAACTTCGGCGGTATGCCCGGCGGAGGAAGCCGGAAGTTCCACTTCTCTACTGGGCCTGGTGGCGGTGCGAGCGGATTCAGTTTCAGTGACGCCGACGACATTTTCCGAAACTTCGCCAAGGGCAGCGGCGGCATGCCTGGTGGTATGGGTGGAATGGGTGGCATGGACGATGACGACCTGCTCTCCAGCATGTTCGGCGGTGCAAGAGGCGGCGGAAGTAGTTTCCGCGGCAGCCGTCCGGGTGCTGGGTATTCGTCAAAGCCTAAGCGTGCTCCTACGCCTGAACCTACGATCGTCGAGAAGGACTTGCCGCTTACCTTGGAGGAAATCTACAACGGTACATCGAAGAAGGTCAAGACCAAGAGCAAGGCGTTTGACCCTATGGGCAAGCGGACTACGCAGGAGGTCACACTTGAAGCCAATATCAAGCCTGGCTTGCGGGCTGGATCGAAGATCAAGTACAGAAACATTGGCGACCAGGAAGAAGGGGGTCGACAAGATGTGCATCTTATCGTGAAGGAGGTAAGTGATCATCCCGTTCTACACAAATCATTCCGAACTCTGGCTAATTGTTTGTCTATAGCTTCCACACCCTGTCTTCAAGCGCTCCGGGGACAGCCTGGTCACGACAGTTGAACTTACACTGAAAGAAGCCCTGACCGGATGGGAGCGAATCATCCGAACCATCGATGGAAAATCGATTCGCGTTTCCAAACCTGGCCCAACCCAGCCTGGCCACGAAGAGCGATACCCCGGCTTGGGCATGGTGCTCTCGCGGAATCCCAGCGAACGAGGCGACCTCGTCATCCACATCAATGTCAAGTTCCCCACCAGTCTGACTGCATCCCAAAAAGACCTATTGAAGGATGTCTTACCTTGAAATTATTTTGTTTAATTGCATATACCAGGCGTTGGGTGAGCGTTTGATCTTGGAGTACCTGATGACAATGACACGGCAATTGTTTTTTTTTCTTATTCTTTGAACCTGCGATCTCTGTTCAGGTCTGTGACCTAAAAAATGTACTGTAAATAGTGGTAGTCCCAGATTACTGAACAATATCATAAACACAATCAATTCAAAAGGAAATGTAAAGCAACTGACCTCGGAGCATATCACGAAATGGAGTCTAACCCGATTAGGCGAGTGCGGAGAAAGACCTCGGGACCTCTGTTGACATCGTGCACCTTAACTACTCATACTCAAATTCACCATGAAGCGCAGAATCACTTTTGTCCAGCGCATCGATGCTGGGTTTAATCCCCAGCAAGTCACTCTTACCCCGTCATCCCTCTCCGTGCGCGGCCTGGATGCCGCGCGGGAGGACCGCATCACCGTGGAGCTTGACCAGCTCCCGGAACAGGTAAGGGAACAACACACGAACTCCAGACCAAAGAGTGAAGGTTACTGATTTTGTTATGGTGCCACTGTCTAGTTGCGCGCTGTCCTCGAACAATCCAGTGGGCTTCACCTCCGCTGGGCCTCCGAACGACCTTATGACGCTCTTGCACCTTTCACCAGCCGAGTCTCCCCAGGACTGCATGTGCATTATACCCCTTTGAAAGCGGAAGATTCATCGTGAGCTTCGTACACTCACCATATAACGAGGACGACTGGTTGACGTATTTGGCAGGGAGGAGCTGTGTACGCTGCTCCGCACGGTGGTTGGACCCGACGAGGATGCTCAGTATAAGGATTGCACGAAACCGGAGGTATTTTGACCCTCATTTCCTCCCATGAATGCATTTTGCGAGGAGAATGCGTGTCATATCAGAACTGACTGGATTCGCCGTATAGGAATCATTCATCTCACCCCCACCCTCCACGAGATTCGGCTCGCTACAATATCACACCCACCTTCCTACTGTGGACAACCTCGTCAAATATATCCAGGATAATGTCTGCATAACAGGAAGCACCGAGTGCCACACTCACGCCAATGCTCTTCTCAGCGCAGACTCCGTTGACATCGATTATGACAGCATCTCTCATGCCTTGACAGTGTCAGGGTTCTGGGCCAACCCTCCCCAAGGCGGCTGGAACGATGAGATCTCGAAGCCCTCTTCTGCCGCTGATCAGATTGAATTCGGTCTCCTTGGTGCCGAACCAGGGCTTGAGCCAGAAGAGATCAAGATGGGTGGGCTGCTAGCTGTTGTTGGCGAGGACCAGAAACTCAGTATGTGACATACATCAGCATCAGACAACACATTGACTAACATTTACAGAACCAACTATGTTCTCCTTCCCTTCGCGCCATCAACCCCTCATCGAACCATCCAGCTACACTGTCTCATTCACCCCTCCAACGGGTCTGCACCCAGAAATGTCAATAACCATACCTGGCTCATCACTCAAACGACCACCAGCGCCCAGCGACGCAACCTGCGGACTCCACACATATCTCACCCTCCCATCCACCGTATTCGGAGACCAATACCAGCTCAAAACAACAGACCCCCTCTTCCTCGAATCCCACAACCTCGCAGCCCTCCACGCCCTAGCAGGCGAAACAGACCTCGAAGCCCCAGACTGGGTCGTCAACCACTGGGGCTCAACCTGGCTCCTGGAACTAGCAACCCCCAAATCCCAAGAAACAGCTCCATCAAACTGGACAGCCACTATCCCCCTGCACCTGCGATATCTCCCACCCTCAGAATCAGGATACCGCACAGCACATATCCCCTGGCCCATCGTTTTCTGGGCCTGTACCACCGAAGATGAATCAGAGGTAGGACCCAACCCATTCGATCGCACGAACCTCGGCTGGGACGGTCTGTTCAGTCCGCAGACGACCTTCTATCAGCTTCAACCTGCGGGTGCTCGACTGGTTGAGGATCTGGATGTGCCGGTTCTGCGGCTTAGTGGAGAGGGGCTTTTCCAAGGCAAGTCTATCGAGCTGGGCACTTGTGCGGTTATCTCGCTTGGATTCTTGTGGGTGCTCTGGAAGCTGTTGCGGGTTGCTTGGGTTTCTGGGGTTGGGTCGAATGATAAGGCTGGACGGGGTGTTCATGATAAGAAGGACTGAACCGCATTCCAAGGTCTTGTTAGACATATTGTTTACATCCGCAGCTTGAAGGATTATTCTACATTAAATCCATGGATTAACACCAACTTGTGAGAAGCCCTTGGCACATTAGTGCCACAGGGCCTTCTAGCGTATATCCCTACATCTCTCCCTACATCTACATCTACATGGGACTTACGACTATACAATATACAATATACAACAGAAGTACAGACTACAGAGCCTATCCCACACCCACCAACATATCATCCCCGTCGCCTAATCAGGAACAAAGCAGTCGGAATTCAGCATCACAGCCCACCACAGCAAACCAGAGAGCTATCTCCAGCGAGCATTCAAAGGTTTTAGTTCCGAAGAACGCACCCCCATACTTAAGTACGCGGAGTGCAATGCGCGGTGGGTGTGTGCTCAGAGTTCTCTTCATTGCACAACCAGAGGGTTATCTCTGGTGTTGGGGTTCCAAAGATTTGGGGACCTGAAAGTATCGGAGATACAGAGAGGTTTTGCAGAGGGTTTGATCAGCTTGCTGCAACATGCTGGTGAGAATGTACCTGAATGTATCAGAGATACAGAGAGGTTTTGTTGTGAGTAAAGTTGGTGGATTGGTGAAGGCTGTGGTTAGTACTGGAAGGGGGTTTGGTATAGAGTAGGGGAGTGTGGACTATGTACAGAGTGATTGGGTCAGTAGTGGGGTGTGTGTGTGTGTGTGTGTGTGTGTAGGGTGTTGAGAAGGGAAAGAAAAAGGGAAAAAGAGCAGGGCAGCGGGCCATATTTATATGAAGCTCGCCGCCGCCCAATTCAGACAGGGTGTAGATACTCTGGGTCCATTCCCGCCGGTGCATCTACAAAACAGACCTCGGAGTATGTTACCAAGTATCAAAAGACTTGAGTTTCAGAGGCATTGACGTATCAGCCAATGGTGGGACCTGCTCTAATGGATTTATCAAGGACTTTTGGTTGATCTCGAAAAAGGAGCGGAGGGCCCAACTTTGTTGTATAGAACAATCGTCGATTTCTACTCAGATTCGCACCGGAGCCGACATATAGGACAAAACAGGCAATGGCGAGCGAGAAACATGGGCAGCTCTTCCCAAAAAAGATGCGGAGGATGTCCAACTTTGGAACATCCCTGGATAGTCAGATCCCATGCCAAAAGCTTTGAACAGGCATCAGAGCCTGGGCTTGGATGCTAAAAAAGTGACTAGAAATATTCTCGAAGATTTAAGACTTGACTTTTCATTGCTACCATGGCATAGATGACAGGAGACTGTCCTTCAGTCGCAAGTAGAATTCCACGGCACCATATCCGAGACTAAACAATTATCATCAGCTCAAAGCTATGACGCCAAGAAAAGGAATACAAACCCAGTGACATCAGATGAACATGCAGCGAGGGAGGCAATCGAAGTAGAAGTCAAGAATCATATCCCGCTACACCGCATCATGCGTATGTAGCTATGGGTTTCGAGTATCCGAGAACGTTTATCTTAATCCTCATCGGCGAGAAACAGAGCCTAGCTAGATGGAGTGGACAATAATCAGCAGCTGGAAACACAGTGGACCGTCCAAGGTAGAAGCCACAGCGCTGGAACTCACTGGCACTCAGAATCAATATCTTTTTCGAGCTGCTCATTGAGTCCCCACGTGGACTCAATGAGCCATAAAGCTCTGGGTCAAGAGAAGCCAGTATATGAGGGTCCAGCATGAGACACTGTGCGTCTGAGAGCATTTGGTGAGTATTCGAGGGCTCTCGGGCTCTGTAGTCGTGCGGTTGTAACTTGAATGGTCGGATTGTAGGAAGTGGCCGGAGCCTCAGGAGGACGAGGCGAAGGAAGAACATGGTTGTCTGTGAGATCGATGAGGGTGGTGTTTTTCACGAGTGCTATCCACTCCTGTCGTGAGGTAGGTGTAGGGGATCACTCGGAGTGGGTGCGGGTTTTAGGATGGATACAGCGATTGTAGCGCATGCCTTGACGATGGTGCAAGTGATGTGATTTATCAAGAGTGAGAATCAAGAGTGAGAATCAAGAGAAGTCAGAGCAAAATGTCCAGTTGGAAGTACATCATTCGAACCTTCCAAGGTTGAGCCGCCACTGCGGCTCGGGCCGTGCCACAGCCCTTGTTCTTGGCAGATTTACTGTATAGCATTTATGCTAGTTATTTATGTGATCTTCAATTCAAACGCACTAGAAATCCATGGAATTGCCACGAGCATGCGTAGGACGCGTGTTTAAACTTGCATCTTGCACCGTAGACCGACGTATCAGTTTCATATCCCTTGATCATTCACAATCTACTCCGACTTTCCATCTACAACAATGTAATCCTGAATGACCGCAGTGCCATTTAGCACACTTGCAATCTGATCATCAGTGCAAGTTGCCCCAAGTGCAAGAATATAGCAAACGGGATCCGGGCTCTCATCTGCCTTGTTCTTGATCTGCCAGGTAGACGCAGGCCCTTGTGTCTCATAGGATGCGTTCCGAGCGGTATCAATCTTGCCGGTAGCCAAATCACGGTTGAAGAGGGAGCGATAGAAGATCTCATAAGCGGTTTGGGGCTGGTAGGCCGGAACCTCATGACCCGCGTTATAAACGCGAGTGAAGGAGAAGTTGCCATGCTGGCGAACCTGACCGCCAATATAGGATGAGTTCGTATGGAGAGGTGCATATCCAGCAGACCGGAAAGCATCGGCACTGGAATGATTGACTAGAAGACTGACATCTTCTCCACCAATCCAGTTACAGGCATAGTCGCTGTCACCATAGACGAGGGCGACCTTGATGCCGGCATCGAGTACATATGCCAGGTCTTCTAGATAGCCGTGTACGTCGGATCGTGGATAGTCTCCTACGGACGAAAAGCCATTGTAGACGCCGTCGCTGGACTCGGTGAAGTTGATAGGAACACCGAGAGCACCTTGCACCCAGTGCTTGTTCAACCAGCCCAGGAAGTATGATGGTGGGAATGGATCAGGGTTCTTGTGGGTTATGTCGTAGTAACCGCGATCAGCGAACTCCACGTATGCGCCCTCGACGTTGTTGGAGCAGAGTTGGTCGGCCTTTTGGCATGCCTTGTTGACGGTCGCGTTGTGTCCGTACATTTGGGGATCGCCTTCTGCGGCCAGGGCGCGACATTCGAGAATCAGATCTTTGCAACCACCGGGACGACTCCATGTTTCCATGGCATTGTCATAAACTGTTTTGTTGATGGTCTCAATACCGTAAGTATTGTTGTATGCCATCACGGGGTAAGTCGGCTCCTGGACCAGCAGATCAATGCAGCCGTTAATGATGCCTAAGGTGTCGAGGTGAATATAATGCGAATCTTCCGGGGCATCAATGCTGCCATTCTGGATCTTCTCGTTCTGTTCTTGGAAGAAGGCCGTGAAAGATGGGCCGTAGCGACCGCCATAAGATTCAGTCCAGATGCTCACGCGATCATCATGCGGCTTATAATGGGGGAACTCCGTGAACCACGTCTGAGCGAAATGCCACAGGGATCGCGCGGAGTTTTGAGTACTGTTCGCAGAAGCAGACGCCTTCTGGCTGGCTGTCGTGCCGACATAAAAAGTGTTGTTCTGGGTGGGCACCCCGTGGGTCCACTGGGAGAAATTCCAGGCCCCAGAGACCTGATCAAAGGTGCCGTTGGTGGGGACGTCGTAGCTGAAACCGACCTGGTTCGGCTGATCAATGTACAGCATGTTGACATAATTGTTCCACGACCAGGGATTCAGTTCGGTAGAATTAGAATCCTCATTCACTATGCAGGGGCCATTCTCCTGCATAAGACCGATCATGGACGAACTACCTGGCCCTCCGTTCATCCAGATCGAGAGTGGGGCATTCTTCGGGTTGTGACGAGCCTCGAAGAACCAAAAGAACGTATTGATCGGGTAGTCTTGGTCGACATTCACGTCGTCCAGGGAGCCTGGAGGCAAGTGCACATATCCCGAGTACGATCTTACCCCGGGGGTTGTTTCGCAAATTCCCGGCTACGTGCTCTGATTAGTTGGTGTGTCGGTATGGTGATCGACCGAATCGAACCTGTTTGTATGAGATCTTCACCCCCTTGTGGTGCTTCGAATCAACAATCTTCAAACCCTCCGGTGTAGGTGGGAAGTACTGTGCTGCAGTATTTCCTATTAGGAGAGCGATAATCCATTTCGAAGCCATGAGGAGTGTGGGCAACAGGAAGACTTCAGGAGGACCCTGGGCGGTGTTAAGTAGACGTCGATCAATGCCAAGACCTTGTCTCCTCTTCCCCTACGTCCGGGCCTCCGACGGCATTTGGAGCTTCAATTTGCTTCAATTTGCTTGAATTGAGTTTCATTTGATTCGAAAACTAACTTTCTAAGCAATTCCATTTCTCAGTTTCCAGCAGGGATCGGCCTCAAAGCAAGACACATCACTTCAGCTTGATGTGAAACAAGTATCGCTGGATGACCTGAGCTGGGTCATGGGCAATGTACTCGCAGTGATACAAGCCCGCTCCAGTATTGGTGGTTGTACCGGCATTAATATCTGGCACCCTCACATTCATGAAATCCGGGTGAATATATCCAGCAGTTCGCCATGCGTTGTGAGTGGTGGCGCCTACTCTTCGGCCCGCTACTGCTTCACTGAGGCCCAACTCGACCTCACACAGCATAATGAGACATTCTTTGGTTGCAGTAGCTCCTGAGTACCCGGCAGATTTGGTCGACATATCGGCAAAATAAATGCCTGGAAGAAATGATTTACCATTGGGGGAAACGAGTCCACCGCCGCGCAGGCCTTGCGTCAAGATCCCGGCAAAATTGGCACAGCCTGAGCCGTGCCAGAGCAGTCGCCGGTCTCCCTTACCACCAACCCTTTTCTGCCACTCGGAGAACCTCTCTCTATCTCCTGCACGTTCCAAGCGGAATATGTTAATCACGTTCTGGACGAGGTTAGGTTGCGTGAAAGGCTACAATTCAACTTCTCCAAAAGGTAACAAACCTTGAACTGATGCTGATGATGTTTACTTGAAGTGTTGTAAAGGTACTCGTGGAGCCCTTTGAACTCTGCTGAAGTGTCATCAACTATTTATCTTGGTCAGGGTCAACTTTCCAATCGCTTGCCGCAGAGGGCTCATACCAAGATTCATTTTCGCCAAACCAAGACTATGGTATATCTGGCTGAGGCTCCTTGCCAAATCATCCGAATACTCCATAATGTCAAAAGCATCTTGCAGCTTCAGCAGCAGTTCAAAACTTTCAAACACTCTTGCATCGAAGTTGAAGTTGCCCGCTTTTGCACTGGGGATATTGAAGACCGAAACAGCGGATTGAGCGGATTGAGAAACCATCGAATAGATCATCTTTTGAAGGGCAATGCGCGTTTCCTTCTTGGTATCATCAATGCCAAGTTTCAAATTCATTTCCACACATGCCAACGCAATCCGAAACCACACTTTATCTTCTCGGGTGGTGAATGAAAAACTGTATCCCCTTGCAGTGAGCGCAGCGGTATAGTGGAACAAATAATCTGCGCCAAAGATCAATCTCAAAACCGCCAGAACCTCGGGGATTACCTGCTCAGTCTCCCGCTCAAGAGGAGCCATACCATGGCTCATTTTCAGAAAGATCCAACGGTGGACAAGAGGGTCGGAATCACGGTCATCCCAGTCCAGTCCAGTGAACTTCCTGAAAGCCTTCCCAAACCTCATCTTGGTCGAAGCAAAATCTTTGAAGCGCTCTTCGAAGTGCTCTCCGTCGATATCTTTGACGGCGATCGTGCTATGGTAGCGGCAGAGCCAGACTGAAAGCCCACTGTCATCATCATGGGAATTCAGGATTTGAAGGCGCAAGAACTTGGCAGCGCCATATTGTTCGTCAAATTTCACGAGAATGACATCCCATAGGAAACCCGAATCGTCGAGCCAAACAGTAAGCTCCTCGTCTTGTGGTAACAAGAAGTCAACAAACAGAAAACACCAGGTAGGGGAAATATCACTGACCGCTGTCTTCAAAATTGTAACCCACCAGATCACTCAGTGTTTCGAAGTTGTGCTGCCTGATGGTCTCCATCCTGCCCCTCTTCGAAGACAAGGCTGTCTTCTTCGAAGCGTTGTCTTCCTTGTCACTATCATCTTCACGACCACGCTTCGATGATGTAGTCTCAATGTCATTCTTCAACTTGATGCGCTTAAGCAAGTACTTCTGGACCTTTTGCGGAGCTTTCTTTTTGAGGGTCTTGAGCAGCCAGTCCATGGTGACGATGTGACAACCTTCGCTGTCGGCCAGGGTAACTAGCAAAGAGCTCATATTAAACCATGTCCTAGGAAAACCTGCATGGACTCACCTTTTCTGTAGCTTTTGTTGACACCCCTAATTGTGGTAATGAGATGCGTGCAATCCTTGATGCCCCCTTCAACCTCCACAAATTGAGCACCGCACGCTTGAACCAGGCACCTGATTTCTCCTGCATACACAACAGTTATATATTGAGCGTTCAAAGAATGATGATTCAGAGGTTCAGAGATTCAGAGATATGAAAATTAATATACCGTGCAAGAAACCAGGGATTTTACCACTGGCACCAATGACCAGCTCTTTCAGGCTGCCTGTCAGCTTCTCGACACTCTTATCGGTGGTCATTTCATCGAACGAGGAGTTCCGCAGGATGAGCAGTTTTTTTTTTAAAATGGAATGATGGAAGTTGGAGTAGAGAAAGAATCAATATTGAGGACTAAGAGGAGTTAACGAAGAAAAAAGTTTGTAAGATAGCAGATTGCTCTTTCAAGCCAGGTGGTTGTTCGACAAACATGCTAGTGATTGTTTGGCACCTGGATTGCCTACAGGGAAACAGAACAGGGAAAGGAAATAGAAAAAGGAAATCAAGCAAATTGAAGTTGAGTGGTTGACGAAAAAGATAATAACTATCAAATATCACTCAACGCCAGAGAACCAAGCCCCATAGCCTATTCAAAAGGAGAATTCATCGCAAACCCACTAAGGCAAGTCGATCAACACGTATGATCTAGTTGCAGACGAAATAGTTGAAAGCAACAGGGGGACCCAGCTTGGCCTGCTCAGCCCACGCATCAAGATCATAACGCATACGATTCCAGTTCGAGAGAGCCTTTCCATCAGCAGGGGCATGATCCTTGAGGTTGAAAGAATCAGGCTGCTCGTACAGGAAGAAGATGTAACGATGAGGCGCACTTCCAGGGGGAGGAGCAGGTCCAATCCAATTAGCAATGAAGGGAGCGTTGAACTCGAGTGCAGAAGACTCAGTGACTTTGACGTCAGATTGGATCCAGTGCAGGATGGGACCCAGTACCCCGAAGGATGGGAAGGGGGCGTCGATGTCCAGGCTCACGACCACGTATTTGGTGTCGGGCTTTGCGCCGGCGAAGGAGAGCTTTGGTGGATCTTGGGCATCTGGTTATGGTCAGTTGAGGTTCAGGTCGTATTGCTTCTAAGCTTGGCTGATATTGGCTTTTCTGGGTCATACCTTTGCGAGGAAGACGAGCTCCGGGCTGCACATTCTCGTGCTTGCCGATGGTCATGGTGAGGACCTTGGACTCATCATTCTCGATGAGCGAGAAAGCGGTGTTGATATGGCCGTCAGACATCTTGAATGAGGTGAGAAGAGATGAAGTGAAGTGAAGAGGGAAAGAGGTTGTCATCACACAATATAAAGTTGCAGCTACGGACTTAACGGACTTAGCACTTCCTCGATTTCCTTCTGAGCTTTTCAAGTACTTAAGTATTTATTTCAATTTTGACTCTGCTAGGCTTTCAACCTGCCGATAATCACAGATCCACAGGGCTTGTATCTGCTGAATATGACCCTCAATCCTCAATCACCTTCGTGACCATAGCCCGCACACAAAGATTACCCTCATCAGGATACGGGGTACCAAAGTCACGCGCAAATGCAATGTCCTTCTCGGTTGTTTCGAAAAGCTCCATATCATACCGGCGAACGAATGCCGCCAGCACGAGGAACAACTCGGCATACGCCAGACTGCCGGGGTTAGCAAAAATCCAACTCGAATGCTGGTCGGTTCTCTTACTTCATGCCAACGCATATCCTAGTTCCTTTCGAAAAGTTGACCATATACTTATCCAAGCGCTGTCCCTTTGCTGCAGCACGCAGCCACCGGTCTGGATCGAAGGTGTGTGGATCAGGGAAGATCTCTGGATCTGTAAGAACAAAATAGTTCGTTTCGCTGACCGGGGTCTAAGGTGAGTGTCTCAGTATAGCTCATATGAACAGGCTTTTGGGGCTTTGGACTACTCACACCAGGAGGAATGGTGTATCCCTTGTATACCAATGCCTCATTAGGCGCAACACGAGGTGATCGATTGGCGATACCAGTCGAGACACGAAGTGTCTCCCAAACGACCGCAGACTATGAAAGATAAGTTAGAAACACTTGAAATTTCTCATGCTGGCCATCTGGGTCAAGCAGAGATTGAAACCCACCATATAAGGCAACTTTTCAAGCTGATTCCAAGTCGGACGAGAGTCAGGCGCAGGCATGACGGTACGCAATTCCTCACGCAGTTTGTTTTTGATCGAATCATTCGTCATCAGTCTGAATGCAGCAATGGCCAAAGATCGAGCAGTTGTCTCAGTTCCACCGATGATCATGGCAAAACCCTCATTGTTGAGACGAGCAGCTCCACGCATTTCCTCAGGCATTTTGGAGGTACTGAGAATCTCCATGATAGGCCTATTCTTGAGTTCAGAGGATTGACCCTGTAGGAATCTCTTTGTTCGATCGAGAAGATCCGCCTTTTGGCTTTCCAGAGCGTAGGCGTACGGGTTGCATTTCTCCAGAACCCACAATGGAAGCAACTTCATGACATTCTGAAGAATTGGAATGTGGAATAGGAGGTGAGCAAGCTTGAACAGTCCATTGATTCCATCTCTGACGTTTTCATTGAAGTTTTCGTGGTCCAGATTCCCGCTGTTGAAGCCGTAGACATAGTTGTGAATGATGTCGGAAGTCAGACCCGCGAAGCCGGCATCAATACCAACAACTGAATGGTTCTTGAAAGAACGTTGGAAGTGCTCATCAAGTTTGTCGATACTTTCATATATCACATGCTCTATGTTAGTGACCGACGTCTTGGAAAAGTACTTTTCCACCTGTGCGCGACGCTTCCGGTGGTCCTCTGGTGAGATGCTGGAGAATCCTGTACCGTCGAGGTCGAACTGAGCCACTCTCTCTGGGACTTTCTCACGCCTGCGCTTATTCGAGGCGTAGATCTCATCGTAGTAGTTCGAGTCTTTGATGTGGACTTCGTTTGGAGTAACGCGTATTATGGGCCCTACTCAACGTCTGAGCTGATGGTCTGTCATATTCCTCGGACAGCTAACCGTATATTTCATGGAGGCGCTCCATTTCCCAAATGAACATTCCTCGCTTAATGACATTGAAGTAGAATTCGTAAGCACCGGTGATGGCTGCAAGTTTAGGTCCTGGGATCTTTCTCAGCGGGTGGAAGTATAAGCGATAGATGCTCTTGATGGCAATGTAAAGTGGCAGGCCATACAAGGCCAATAACCACACGCCAACCATGCTTGCCCAGGTGAATCTCCAAATGTTCAAGTGCGACTAAAGAAATCAAAATCGGAGTCCGAGGGGTATCTTTTACTTATAGCCTGAAAGCGGGATATTCATTGACTATTAATTCCGCGGGTCTCACCATCCGCCACGAGCGTTGGAATCGCTGATTCAAACTATGTGGAACAGCCGAAGGGGGATTGGCTAGATTATTCTCGCTTGAATAATTCAGTCTGCTTTGCCTTAGAGTTGGACGGTTTGGACACCCAAGACACTACTAGCGTACTTCTGTTGCATTTAGCGTCGGGTTGACGACCTAGTTGGGATACGACCTTCGGTTATTTGAGAATGACAGCGCTGATCCACAATCCACATTGGATACGAGTAGGAAGAGACATTTCCTCAGAAGTGCCGAGCTGCAACAACGGCTCAGACGCCCCACTCAAGTCTAGAAGCTCGGATTACTGTAAATTATGAAGTTATTCACAGACGGAGAACAATTGATGGGTTGAATCTCGGAATTTATTTAAGTTGCTTAAATCACTTCAATCGCGTAGATTTTTAGGCTCAAACAGTGAGGCACTTCAATAGTAAAAAAGTGTCTTCACGAGAAATCCCCACTTCGTCGATCACACTAATGTAAATAAGCGTAGCCTTGTAATCTGCCCGCTATGATACGCCAATATCGCAATTATTATTATGGATCCCATAGACCGTCTATGAGAGCCCAAACTTGAAGCTCAGCCTCGCATCGGGTAACTTTAGAATGAGGTCGATCTATTGCGCTGAAAACCTGTGATTGAGATATCACTCTAGATATACTATTATTTCATTTGAACCATTGTTCTAATAGAAACGCAAAACTTGAACGCAAAATATCATGATCCCCAACAAATCCATTCAAATAGCATCATCTTGAAGGGCAGAATCAGTGACAGGCAGATTAGACGTCATTTCGGGCTCCGTATTCTTAATCGTATGCAGTAACATGAATGGAAGACACATTCGGCCATTGGCAGGTTCATCCTGAACAAAAGTTAGCAAAGACTCGCGTCAAGCCTTATGTCTTGAGCCTACCAGGCTGCCCCCTTCATCCCAGTATCTTCCAGGGCGGTATTCTGGCTGTTAAACCCGTTAGTGACTTCTAGGAAGAAGACAAGATACACCTACCCGCTCTCCACTGAGGTGCCGACTTGGATTAGGCGGGAACCCCAGCCAACGCCTGAATAGATCTTCGGCCGTTTGAGTCGCGAACATGAATGAAAGGCGATACCAGAGATAATCGAATTTATGATCCCAATTCCAGATACTGAACTGACCACCGTTAATATTTTCCGGCGTCCCGCGATTGAAAATGCGTGCCATTTCAGCAGAAGTCCATTTCCCATCGACATAGATCGGCTGCGGGACATGCACGGCTTTGAAGCCATGCAATAAAGCCCAAGATGGAGCTGACATCTCAGAAGCGAAGGCTTGTCCTTCGAGCTGGGCGTTGTGCATTTCTCCCAGGAGGCGTTTGGAAATGCGCCATTGGGTGATGACCGAGGCGCGGCGGGGGATGTTCTCGTCTAGATTCCAGAGCATCCATGGGAAGGTCCAGGATGTGTTTCGGGGATCGAAGATGGGTAGGAAGGTTATTAGGTCGGCTTCTTCGCCGACTCCCCATTCGAAGTGATCGCCTTGTGGTCGTGAGATTGGGGGTGTTGGTCCTGCGGGTGATATACCTGGGTGCTCAACTGGACCCCAGATGCTTGGTTTGCCTTCCATTGCTAGAGTAACCATAGTGGAGAAGTCACTCCAGTCACCGTGGGCTCCTGGGGTATAGAAATAGGCGTTACGTTCCCATAGATACTTCCTGGGTTGTCGCTTGGCGAAGGCGATGGTTTGTTCGAAGAAATGGTAGGCATGTGCGATGATTCGGTTGTCAAATTCAAGTTGCCAGTAGTAATCGAACTCGGGATACATTAGGGAAAACACTTGAGTTGCCTGGAGATGTTGATAGATAGCGCGGTGCTCGTCTAGTTTGGGATACCATCTTTCCAGTAGACGTTCATTGAAAAAGACAGTCATGTTGCGGAATTCGGCCGGCACAATCTTCTGCTTGAGCGATTGAATCGCTTCTTCATCATTTTCGAGATCAATGGATGGATTGTGCACGTCGATTAAGAAAAACACTTGGTACTCAGACCCTGAGTGCAAGGATAGCTCCATGATCAGGGAACGAAGATACTGAGCGTGACTGGGTGTCCATCTCATGTTATCCGAAGCCCGGAGAATGACAGCCGAACGAGACTTGTAAGAAAGAGTCCCGAGCTTCTTTCTTTTCCCACGCGGTGGAGTTTCTCGGGGATACAGCGAGAGGCTGTGCTGGGTGTAATGCTGATCGGGTCGATCAGGGTCATACCTGTCAGCGTTACGCTCAAAGCACGCCGATTGAAGATATCCCCAGTTTATATTTCCCCAAAAGATTCTGGGGGGTCTTTGGAATCCTGGAACATCCTCACCGTTGAACTCATCTAGTCCGTATGGCCCATACCGCGAGTAACGATCCACACACACGTTGTGATCAAGGCCGATTGCCTTATGCGATCCGAACATGGGAAAAGGGAATTCTGTGGACCTGTAAGTACTCATGGCATGGGAAGTATCCGGGCGCAACAAGACCATTTTGAGTCCCGCGATAAACCATCATCATGTCTTCGTTGTTGGTGCGATCAATGTCCCTGCCTCGCGGCCCACGGCAAGGTACATGGTTCCCAGTCCATGTTTTGTGCCATTTGAAACTGTTGTAGGCAGGGTATGGATCATAAATCGCTGGTTTGGGGTGTTCTTTGTGATCGCTCGGCGTGCTCAAGGAAAGCGTTCCTCCACGGTAGAACCTGTCTTCCCTGGGAGTATATCAGAGGCAAGCACGAGAGAGAGAGAGAGAGAGAGAGAGAGAGAGAGAGAGAGAGAGAGAGAGAGATGTTCAACACACGACACGTCATTCAGAGTCCCTTCGCCGTCGGGTTCGCTCAGGGCATAATCTTGAACCGGCGCAATGTAAGGATGGGGATACCCAGCAGGATCATTGAAGTCCCCCGGGTGTATGATGTTGGGATCGACCGGTGCGGGAGGAACTTCCAGCGGAGGTTCCAGATCGGGGGCCGGATGGAGTCTGTACAAAAGCAGGAATAGCAGGAAGGTCAGTAGAAGGAATGGCCAGAATGCCCGACGTGAGCGAGACATCGCAGCAATGAGTTGGAGAAGTCAAGGATCAACAAGAAGTTTGAAAGCACTTGATCTCCGTTTGAAGCAACCTTGGGCTGTGACGGCGAGAATCGTCATGAGCTCCAGGGCCCCGAGCCAAACATTCATACTTTATATGTTGTGCAATCCTGCAGAGCGTAGGAGAAAAGACAAGAGAAAATGGTATGAAGTTAGAGTGGAAATGTCCAAATATGGCATAGATTTAACAAAGACGGTATATGATGCACTTCAAAGACAGTGCAACCCATGAGACTCCCCTATAATCAAAAACAAACCAGACCACCCATTCGCTGAAATGCAGACACGCTAAAATCCATAGAATAACAAAAATCCAATCCGTTTTGAGAGACAATTAGAGATGAGATGAGACCTGGAGATGCCTCTTCAGTCCTTCAAGAGTCGAATGCGCGTAAAAACAGGAGAAATCGTGATGATGGGTATATACGAGAGAATCAAGACAAAAGAAATCAAGCGAATATGCAAAGCAGAGGTCACCACTGGGCAGAGGTCAAAATCTAGTCAGCCCTGGCGTGAGGCAGAGTAGTGTCGATCTTGGTGCCGCCAGGGGACTCCTCATGTTCCTCGCGGTCAGCGAGGACATGAGCGTATGTCTTGTTTGACTTTTGGCCTTCGGGGTGGTCAACCTCGGCTTCAAGCTTTGCTTCAATCTTGTCAAGGGTCTCTTCAACCTCAGGTGTATCCTCGACATTGGGGGCGAGCTTGGGGAGGTTGGGAGTCTTCTCGGGTTGAGGGGACTTCTCAGCTTCGACGACTTCCTTGATCTCTGGCTCGCGATCTTCGAGGGTAATGGTATGGTCCTCAGCATCTGACTCATCACCATTAGCAGACAGGAACTCTTCCCGTTCATCTTCTTCGACTGCAGGGGTGATCGCAGTAGCGGACTTGACATGCTTAGCCAATGGAGATGCCTTGAAGGCATCGAAGCTCTCGCCATGTTCGGTCGCTTCAGTCACATCGGTGGTGGGTGAGGTGTTGACGCTGGAGTGAGACTGGGCCGTGGGCGAAGTAGACTCGCGGCTCGAACCAGAGCCAAAGACGTGTTGGGGGTGACGCGGGGGCAGAGCGGGCGGGCCACGGGCCGGGATCGTGACGAGACGAGCCCGAATGAAGCTTGGCGACATGCGCTTGGCCTCGCTGTCTGGCGATTGATCCTCTGGCTTGGTTGGCGAGGCTGGCATGCTCTCCCTCGGTGTGACCATGGCGTTGCTGACCTCGTGAACTTCATAGTCATCCTCTTCATCATCTCCCTCGAAATCATCCTTCTTGTCATCACAAGCATTGGCACTAGCCTGTCTGTTCTCTGCCTCATCGCCCTCCAACTGACGGACCTTGACCTGCTCTTCTTCGCCCCCATGGATAACAACCGTGTCCCATCGAGCGGAGTCCCCTTCCTCGTCCCAGGTACTCATCGGCGGCGACTCCTTTGCGCTGCGAGATGACGCACGACTCACTGATGTGGGCTCGGTTAGTGACGAGTCATCAGTCTGGGTACCCCGATCGACACTCGCATGGCTCTTAGAGCTCAGTACACTGGCGCGCCAGCTGTTCCGCGGCGAGCTATCCACGCTGCGCCGCGAGAACGTGCTGTAGATCGGACTTCCCGGATTGGGGCGGAATTCAAAGATTTCATGATTCGGCCTCACCTTCGTGCCGGCCTCGCGGATGAACAAGCCCTCCGCCTCCAACGCCTTCACTCCATAAGGATCCGGGTCGTCCTGCGCCGGTACACCAAAGGGGTGGAAGTCCTCTTCCACCAACTCCATGTCGCCTGGTGTTGCGCCCGGTGGTGGCACTAGGCTTTCGTCGACGTCTTCGTCTCCCTGGGCGGCCTTGAGAGTCTGCATGAGGGTTTCGAGTTCATACGGCGGGTGTCGGACTTTGCCTGACAGGATCTGATCTACGGACAAGCGCTCCCCGTAGAAGCGTTCGTTCTCGTCAGTGCGCTCAATGATGATCGTGCCATCGACGGCAACCCCAGCATACAGCCCTTTGCTCTTCATATATGTCCAGATCGGCGCCTGGCGCTTATGCACCTCTGATTCCAGCACGCCGCCCATCCCCACGGGACCCGCTGCGGCGCTGACCTCTCCCCCCAGCGTGCAGCGGAACTTCTTGAAGGCCTCCAAGGCCTCAAAGGTATTGATAATGACCACGCAGTCATAAATATCCACACCAGCCAAGAATCCTATCCCCGCAGTATGCAGCATGATGCCTGATGGGGGACTCCATTCGCCGGTCTCGGGGAGGCGACCGAGCAGCACGCCACTTCCACCCGAGCCACTCATCCACAGACCCGTGCGCATAGTCGTGAAGATGGCGATACCCTTGGCGTTGCGGAGGACTTTGGAGGGAATTTTCTGAATGACGCGCTGCTTGCCCTTGGGGCGGTTGATCTTGCCGTTCTCATCGGTGTCTTTGGTTGACTCGGGAGCGTAGAAGCCATCCTTGCAAAAACTGCGCAAAATGCGCGCTGCCTTATCTGCTTCCCGGTCGATTGTCATGGGCCAGAAGGCTTCGGCGCCTAGTTTGTTGGATAGGCGGTTGACGGGCCCGCCTAGCTTGTCGACGGTATCCCATGCTTTGTCGAAGCCTTTTTTTGATATGCTTTTCGTCTTCTCCCACCGTGTTGGAGGCATGGTTGCCAGTATCGCAGTGTGTGTGTGTGTGTGTGTGTGTGTGTGTGTGTGTGTGTCTATAATTGACAGTGAAAGTCCGATGCGCCGGTCCGCACGGATCTATACAGGGCGCGGCACTGCAAACGGGAGTTGAAAACGATCAGGAATGTAAATAATGTAGATCTGCGGAATGTAGGAATGCAACCAAAAGCAGAGGCCGAGCAGAGAGCAAGCAAAAATCAGACAGAGTCTAGGCAGAGGCAGAGGCAAGGCAATTATAAAGAGACCGGGTCGGGCGGAAATGGACGTTAGAGAGCTGTTCCATGGTTCGTAGAGGGGCGATGTCATCATCTAGAAGTTTTCCTTTTTCGTTTTTTTTTCTTTTCTTTTTTCCTTCTCTTTTGCTTGTTAATACTGTTTTATTGTTTAATTACTTATTGTTTATTGTTTTATTGTTTCAATAGTCTATTTGCTTAATCACCTTCTACATATTCTACATATTAATCGAGATTTGCTTCTTCACGATACGTCACTGACCTCGCGAGGTCTAGAGCCTGACTCAGAAACGCGTGTCACTGACAGGTTCCAGGGTTGACTATGTTAATATATAGTGTCCAGTCTATAGTGAGCTATATGTCTATACCTTCCCTGTTTTCTCGTCTTCTTTTTTTCTCTTTTTTCTCTAATTAAAGGAGTCTCTGTTGAAACCGAACCCTTCGATCTGGGGTCGCCCAAGCCTCAGTGGATCCGTGACAGCTCAGCCCAACGAGCCCACTAATAAGTAGCGTACTCGTACCCTTCTAGGCAACATACTCCGTAGTCCTCGGCTCGGGTTGCAAATTAATCTTGACATTTTAAAACTCGGCCTGAAAACTGTATTCTGCATTAATAATGTGATCTGTTTCATTTGATCCTTTTTCCTGTTCAGATGAGTACGAGTGACTATTCAATGGAGGCATTCGGGCTGATCTCATACTGCATTCACGCTAATGTACTGCACTGAAGATAGCTTGTGATTGATTACACTCCATGACCCAGACTAGCCCCCGTGTCCAGATCATTCGATACTCGGCCGGAACTTAACTGGCTTACACTAAAATATAAAATATGGGCATTGCCTCAGCTCAAGCTACAATTGGGACGGCTGCATGCTTCCGATTGGACCAGACGCCTTGGATCGGATGTATAGACCTTTACTCCGCTCGTCGCCCCCAGACAGTGAACAAGGGTACTTCATAGCCGAGATCTAGCCAGTCTAGTGCCGTGAGGTGGCGCAGGGACATGATCATGCTGTGGCATATCGATGACCACATTGGCAGAGGCGAATTAGATGTATCCACACGCCTGGTGACAATCTAACGAACAGGTCGGGATTTACGAGTAGCTAACTATGGAGTATGGGGTAATTAGGAGTGATTGTTTTTCATTTATTGGTCTAGTGAGCACATGGCGCATGCCTCGCCACACGGCATGGCCATTTGAGAATGCGAGGAAAACATGCACTCCAGATCCAAAACATTTCAAGGCGATGGTATAGAAACAAGATAAATTCACAACTGGGGCGCAATTACAGCGCACCAAGCTCCTTGAGCTTACCGACAAGGCCGTCGACATCCTCGACCTTGCCACCACCCTTGCGTGGTGGGGGCTCTGCAGGACGAAATCTGATTAGCGCAAGCTCGAAAAGAGAATAACCATGGAAACATGGATGACATACCGGTAACCTTGAGAGTCTTCAAGCGCCGTGTGTCCTCGACTCCGAGGTCGGCAAGAGTCTTCTTCTCAAGAGGCTTCTTCTTCGCCTTCATGATGTTAGGCAAGCTGGCGTACCGCGGCTCATTCAACCGCAGATCCGTAGTGATGACCATAGGCAGCTTGGCGCGGAGTGTCTCAACACCACCGTCAACCTCGTGGGTGACCTCGACTGTGCCGGCCTCATCCTTGATCTCGACCTTGCTGGCCTGGGTAGTCTGAGGCCATCCCAGGAGACCAGCGAGCATCTGGCCAGTCTGGCCCTGATCACCGTCAATAGCCTGCTTGCCCAGAAGCACAAGGTTAACGTTCTGCTCCTTGACAACGGCCTGCAGCATCTTGGCGATGGTCAGCGGCTCGGGGCCGCTGTCACCCTTCTCCGGGATGTCGATGTGGAAGGCTCGGTCGGCGCCCATGGCCATAGCAGTGCGCAGAACGTCCGGGCATTTCGGACCACCTGCAGAGAGCGCAAGAATGTCCTCCACCTTAATGGGGCCCTTGCGCTCACGCAGACGGACAGCCTCTTCGATCGAGAGCTCATCGAATGGGTTGAGGGAGTGCTTGACACCGGCGGTCTCGACGCCAGTTTGAGCCTTGTTGATTCGGGGCTTGATCTATTTGGGCGAGGTGTCAATTCCGTCTTCAGGGTGGGGAGTCATAGTAACGTTGCTGGAAGGATAGCTCCGAGCGACCGCTTGGAGCTGGGGGTTGGATTGGGGTGCGAAGTTGAACATACTGCGTAGTCAATGACCCGCTTGACGGGCACCAATATCCTGAGACCACTCATTGTGTAGAAGTTGAACGACCAATTCCTGAGTTGAAGGAAGGTTGACACTCGCGAGAGAGAAAGCGTGCGGTGACGGAGTGCCAAGAAATCCAAAAACGCCGACGCGGCCCGAGTTTAACCCTCATCGCACCACTTGGCCGCCCTCCTAACCGTCCATTCTTGCGGCCAAAATGGCCAAGGACGCTTTCAATCGGAGTTTCCTGCGAGGTTCGATTTTACTAGGGGATGAAAATGGCAGTATGACGGCAAAAGCCCTGGATTCAATATTGAAAAGAACATTTTTAGATCAATGAATAGTTCAATATCGCTTTGATCAGACCGCCAGCAATCTAAACGTGTATGGAGCAATATTTAAGAAGTTCAAACATTCAGTGAGTGTCTACAGGTGGGGAGGAGAGAGAGAGAGCTTTGGCCTGGCAAACCCCGGAAAATGCCAAAGTGTCTTGATGGCCGCAATTATGCACTGCATCAGTATCACCGACGCTGCCGAGGTAAACCATACAGCCTACATACAACAAGGCAACTTTGAAATGCAATTAGCCTAGGGTAGAGCCTCGAGCTGGAGGTATTGCAACTGGATATTTGGGATTGTATTCCGAAGAGCGTTGAAGTTTTATACTCCATTTAGAAGCTTGGATTTTTCGGTGCAAGACACTGAAAGCACATGCTTCTCACATGCATTGGGATCTTGATATTTCCAATATACTTACAAAGCTATCTGGGCATATCAAAGAATCACCATGTCTCTTGCTTATACCGACCGATCTTCTCTAATTTAATAAGATACTCCTCGGCCTGGGTGCGAGTGAACGGCTGCCCGGGCACGGGAGCCCCTCCATTTTGGAATGCCTCGATAAGGGCTTCACGGACAGCCTGGGGCATTCGTCCTGACGATCCGCAGATATAAACAGAGCCCTGCATATCATGTAGCAGGCGGAAGAACAGAGCAAAGTTTTCCCGTATGGTGTCTTGCACGTAGACCTTGCGTTGCTGATCTCGCGAGAATGCGGTTAAAACCTGCAGTGGAATAAGCTTACTGAGCTCTGCCCATTCTTCCTCGAAGAAGAAATCAGATTCACGATTACGACCACCGTAAAGGAGGACTGTTGGGCCAACGGGTGGAGTGACGCCCGGGTTTTGCTCGCGGTAGGCTTGGACTAGCGCTGCTTTTTCCCAGAGCATGGATCGGAGAGGCGCAATTCCGGTGCCTGGTCCGATGAGCACGGTTGCTGCTGTGAGTTGCTGGACAGAGGAGTTGAGGCCGCCTGGCTGGAGTTGGACCTGCAGTGTGCTGCCTGGTCGAAGCACAGAGAGATATTTGGTGCAAACGCCCTCGCGGATTCTTTTGATCACGGTTTGATATTTAACGATGGCGATCAGTAGTTCGAATTGTGTTTTGCCGTCGGCTGTCTGCTTGCGCTGGCCACCGCTTGCTATGCTGAACTGGCGAGCGCGCATGACGGGGAGGACGGATATCGCATGCTGCCAGGGGATTTTGACTGTGTCGAACTCATGCAGGATCTCGACTATACTGCGACGTGGCCGGGTGGTATAGTCCCAGAGTTCGTCCAGGTACTCGGGATTTGTGAATTCTAATAAACGCTCTTTGTGCATTTCGTCGGATGTGTAGTGTGCAATAGTCGAAAAGAAAGACCTGCGTGGTATTCCTCTGAGATCCAAGGAGTCTACGAGGAGCGCACGTAGTGTGAGATTGGGATATGATTCGAGATTGGGAATAGGAGGTGGAGATGCTGCGGCCCCAGTTGGGACAAGGCAAATTGGTTGATCTGCCTGGTCATGCCAGCCCATGAGATCGATCAAGACTTGTGCATCGGCTGGGGAACCCTTCGGTGTGATGGCAATCATATCTCCCGGGACGTAGGATACCGCGTCTGGGACCGTCAAGGTGACATGACGCACATCTTGCCAGTGTTTCTGCGGAGTCACCCGTCGATTTCCGGTCAATGTTGCAGATAGAGTATGAGGAATAGGACGACTGTCATGATCGAGGTGATGTAATCCTGGATATTCATCTGCTGGGGCTTCAGGATCTGTTTTAAGGGGAGGATTAGGCTTCAAGACAGCTTCTTTTTCCTCTCCTAACTGTAAAATCCACTTTGGAGGAAGCTGTTCGTCATCTGGGATTGGATGTTGTCCATCGGGAAGTGGATGTCTATCGAGCAAATGCTTTCGAAAATCCATCATCCATGGAAGGAAAGTCCCTTCCAGTCTGTACTCAGAGCCAAGTCAGTTACGATCAAAACAGAGAACTTGCCTGACTGCTTCAGGGTGCAGGAGGGCGGTGTCAGTGGTATAGTGAGAACTGACCCTTCTGGATGTTGTTGATCGGCTTCACCCGTAGGATAAATCTCATTCGCACCCAGCTGCAGTAGGCGCTTATAGAGCTTACGGATTGCCCAATTGAATCTGTAAGAATCAGCCAATTGAGCTCAGGACACCCCAGCCAATGGTCCACGTACTTTGGATACGAACTATCTCCAAGTCCAAAACATGCGAAGTTGACTCCCTCCAAGAAGGTCGGAGGAAGCTTCTTCAGCAGCAGTGATTTCCAGAACTGACGTGCGTTTGCGGGTAAATCGCCCTGTCCAGTGGTGGAGGCAACAAACAGAGTAAGCGTGTAGGATGAAAGCAGTTCCTATAATCTATCAGAGTGGCACCTTCTGGGTGGTTCTATGGGATACATGCAACATACCGGCTTGCATTGATTCAGCTCGGATACATGCGTGGTAAAGTGAAGCCGCTCAGTCAAGGCGCCCAATTCCTCGGCCACTTCCTGTGCATTGCCTGTCTCAGACCCATAGAGAATGAGGACCGACCGCTCTACGCAGCTCGGACTGGCGTCTCCCATTTTTTGCAGGATGTTGGACTTTCAACATCTTCGATCCGCATGTTCTGCCCCTCCGAAAAAGAATTGCTGACGTCATCCCCGAGATCGGCGTCTACAATATAAAGTGCATAGCATACAACAGCATACAACAGCATACAGCAGAGCCAAATGAAATAAAAGTACAACTTATTTATGTTTACAAGTAAGCAGGTACGCCGTAGGAGCAGCGGTTATAATATCAGATTGAATGCGAGTCGCGTTAGACTCAACTCCGCCGAGAAAAAGCATAGGTCCGACAGGGCTGCAATGAAATGGTACAGAGTATTCAACAGTTGAGTTCTCAACTGGGGAGCGCGACAGAAAGGCTGAATAAAAAGGAAAACTGGGTATCGTGGGTCCGCATTTTACATGTCATCGTCGCCGCCGCCATCTTCATCACCCATATCATCATCTCCACCGTCAAAGTACTGCTCGGCATTGTAGTCACCGCCCATGTCATCGTCATCCTCGGAGAAATCATCATCCAGCTCATCCTCTGCCTGTTCCTCGTCATCATCCAATGCCTCAGCCTCCTCTCCTTCACCCTCATTCTCCTCGTCGTCTTCGCCAGCCTTGCGCTTAGAAGGTCCGTCATCTTCTTCGTCTTCAAAACCGCGCTTTACACCCGCAGCAGAGGCTTGTGTTTGGTAGCCGTCCAATGAGGCATCGGGTCGGAAATTGGGCTGGAGTGTCTGCCATAGGTCGCGGGGGAAGAATTTCAAGTCTGTATAGTTCAGTCTGAGTTAGCTGCCTGGTATCACCTGAAGCTGAGGAGCTCTAGTCCCCGGGTGGAGCTTACAGTATGACTGTCCAGCAATCTTAGGGAGGGTGCGGCGCTTCCTCTGATAACGACCAGAATACGTGGGCATGCCGTGGAAAGGATCAAAGTTGACACGGGCAGCGCTGCCCTTCTTCGCATTGGAAGAAGAAGCATCTAGCACAGAGTAAAAGGGGCCATCGTGGAATCTCTCGCGCAGCGTTCGGTAGTAGTCGACCTGGGTTTGCTCGGCGGGGCTCAACTTCCGCGCAAAAGGAACGGTGTATTTCTGGTTGTAAGGATAATTAGGTCTTCTGGAATTCGGCATTGTGGGAGATGAGGAGGAAAGAGTGTGTCTGGTGATCCAGGCCAAGAAGCAAACATACAGGGTATAGAGGGGTCGGAGCTGTGTCTGGCTCACCACCTGGGTCAGCATCCCAGGTGATCTCCGAGCCAGGGGGCTTCCTTCCCTTTGGGGCCCCACGACGCGACATGGTTTATATATTAGTTGTGTCTTGTGCAATGACTCCTGTCAACGTGGTGGAAAGTGACGACGGCTCCGGAAAATTACATTTCTTCACCGCTCACCAGAAGCGCACTAGATCTGGCAGAATCCACCCCGCGCCAAGATAACAGAGATAAAGAGATAACGGATAACAGGTGCAGATCCCTTGATTTGATACTTAAGATGATGCAGGTTACTATGGATTGGGCTGGAGTACCTAGGTAGTGGTGATCTTGTATGAATGATATCAGAGCCCAGTAGTCAGTACTTGGGTACCTGAGCTCTGGGCAGGACCCCATGGACCCTCGTTCACACGTTGTTGTAGAGTCCGCATAATGTCCTCGAATCCTTCTGCATGGCCGCCTGTCTCTTCTAATCGATTGAGTAGCGCGACGAGAACATCATGTTTGGCAGTTGCCACTTTCCAAACCACACTCTGGGCGTCGCCTGCGCCGCCCCCGACAAAGTCAGCGTAGGTTTTAGGGGGCTTAAACAAGTATGGGAGAAGAGTAGTCAGTGCAGGTGGCGTAAGGATTGCCCATGCGCCTGAAGTCGGTAGCAATCCTCCAGCAGCAGGAGAAAGTCGACCTAGATCCTCTTCAGAGGGCAGTTGGAATCGTGACACATGGGGATGAGGCGGCGCCGGACTCAGTGACTTCCAGTTTGCAGTCGCAATGGCCCGCATGAAAGTTATGGCTGACAAGGCGACATCTTTCATCACTAAAATATCAGCAGCACCCACGATCCCGTTCCAGAAATTGGGGTGTTTGTTGAGATATTGGAAGTACAGAATGCGTGCTGCAGCTGCTTCGTGCTCCCAGTCAGTTGGTGTTTGACCAGAGGTATTCAAGTCCATCGATCTGGATATCTGGGTCCGGAGTGGTCCATGGAAAATCTTCGCGAGTATTTCCAAAGCTTCCGCGCTTGGAGGGTTGATGGGGATTGCCAGAACAGGATTGGGGCCATGTTTACCGGCTTCTACGAGAAGAGTTCGGGGTAGTGAGGCTAAAATGGCCAGGTGGCCCGTGGGAACTTCTCCATGTGCCCATTGTGTAGCGGAAATCGTGAGAGATCTGTTGATTCGGGAGATAATTTCGTCGAGCACAGACGGCGGGTTCTGCAAGAGGTGGATCGGATAAAGCTCGGCATACCGAGCCACATATGCCATGATAGGACCATAAAGGTAAAGAGAATCCACCGCATCCAGTTTTGACTCATTCAGGTAGAGCGAGAGCATGTTTGAGTGGACCTCATGTTCGATTAGGAACTCGAGAGCAGGGGATGTAAAAGTCGAGGCAGACTGCACATGACTTCGAGCGACAAGACCGGGACCATCGATCTCCAGCAAATCGCAGAAAAAGGCGAGAAGGGTCATGTGCATCAATGTATCACTAATTTGAACCATTTGACGTGCTGCAAAGTGTAGAAGACTGGCGCTTTGGTATTTAGCTTCAATTTCTGAAACTTGGGATGTTGAAATGATGTCCCAGCGCAGCTTCCCAGCCTTGGTCAGAAGTGCCATCAATCTCCCTTGAGCAATAGTACGTTCACGCTTCGACAGCTCGCCAGGTGCATCGGATTGGAGGCTGCATAATCCGAAAAGCAGGCCATAAATGTCTTTGTCTGTGAACACCCTCCTCCAAAACAGACCCTGGCCTGTATGGCTTCCATCGTTGGCATATTCGTGTTCCCCGTTCTCAAGATGGCTTGCGGCATCAATCTCCAATAACACCCATAATGTATCAAGTGCAGCTTGTGCGACTTCTGTGGAAGCAGTTGAGAGCCACAACTCAACAAGTGAAGCCACCAAAGTGGGGTCCGCAGCAACTATAGCTGCTTCACTCGATGATTGTCCGGCTTTAGCTAGCAACGACAATGCAAGAAGATTAATCGGGGGCGAAGGAGCCTTGAATCCGGCGATGAGGTTGATTGGAGGCTCAAGAGATTGGAGATTAGTGAAACTGAAATATTCTGTGGCTCTGATAGCTAAGGTGGTAATGGGTGTAGGATCTTCTTGTAAAATGGGCAGAAGAGCTGAGATTTGTGATAAAAGAGTGGAAGGGACCACTGGATCAGTCGACTCAATCAGTTGCAGCTTCAGCTTCTCGATGAGGGGGATGTCCAACGGTGTCGAAGGGTTCTCGAGGACTTGGGTCAGGTGGGCTTTCACACCATCAAAGGTAGATGGAATACTCATTTTGGCGATTTGAGTCAGAACAAAAAAGAAAAAAAACCCCAGAAGTATTTGAGCTGCTCAAAGGAACCTTGAAAATAAAAAGAGGTTAGGGACTCAAGAAAACTAACTGCTCCTTCAACTGCTCCTCCCGCGGGGAAAGCTTCCCACCGCCCTCCAACCCTCAGCTGCTTTTTTCTCACCGCCTACTTCTTTCATCTTCTACCTCTTCCACCGCCTTCTCTACTCACCGCCCTTAGGTCATATTGCCAAGTGGATCAAACATGGCCTCCAGGCGGGCACAGCAAACCACCTACTGGTCGGTTGTGCATGAGAAATTCCTTCCTATTCCCAATCTCAGCTGCAATTTCAGTGCTATGCAAATCAACAGACCCCTTGTGTCCCCAAAGGGATCAGATTCAGGTCTTCATGTTCAGCTCCACCCTCTGGTTGTGCTCAGTGTGTCCGATCAAGTCACTCGACACCTGGCACGCCAGCAAACTGGCCCTGTGATCGGTGCTCTTCTAGGCCAGCAGAATGGTCGGGAGATCACGCTAGAACATGTGTTTGAATGCCCGGTCACCGTGGATGCGGCCAATCAAATCATCTTACCTGCTGCTTGGTTTGAAGAGCGCCTGCAACAATGTAGTTGATCCTCCTTCCAGCTTATACAAGAGCCAAGCTAACCATTTTTACAGTCAAGGATGTTCACAAAGACCCCGCTCTTGACTTGGTCGGATGGTGGTCAATCGCTCCGGAAACTGGCCCAACCTACGCTCATCTCGCTCTTCATCAACAGATCCTCCAAGACTATAACCAGTCGGCGATCTTTCTCACGTTCCATTCCTCTTACACCCGAGCTTCAGACTCGCGTGGTGCCAAGGTTCCTATGTCCATCTACGAGAGTGTTTACGAAGGCGAGGCTCCCGAGCTCGACAAGAACATGCAAGTTGACGGCGAGGAGTTCCCGCTCAGGTTCCGGGAGATTCCATACTCGGTGGAGACCGGGGAAGCGGAGATGATTGGAATCGATACCATAGTTCAGACTTCGGGCGATGCTTCTTTGACGGAAGCTCAGGGATCGGCTAAGGGCAAGAAGGATAAACAGACCGCTGAGAATGAGCTCACGCAAGAGGAATTGGAGAGTAAGTCATTTGCTGGAAACATTCTACAAAGGATACCACTGACTAGTTTGTACAGTGATCGGAAGCTTCCGCACCCGCATTAACGCCGTTCGAACCTTGAAGTCCCGCATTGCTTTCATCGACGAATACCTTGGCAACTACCAAGATCTGGGAAACAACCCCGCAGGCTTCAAGTCAGGAAAAGCCCCCGCCTCAACTCATGAACTTCTTCGCGAGACCAAATCCCTTCTTTCACACGGCTCCCTCCTATCGCCAGCTGAGGATAGTTCCTTCAACGCCGAGATGACTGCTCAAAGTAACGACGTACAGTTGATCTCTCTGCTCGGTCAACTCGGTGAAGGTGTCAAGTCTATGCGGGACCTCGGCCGTAAAACTGCCACCGTTCAAGCTAGCCAACAAGCAGCCAATGCACGCCAGGATCCCCGCTCAGTCATGCAAAGGATGAATCAGGATTTCTTTGCCCAGGGTGAACATGGTGGAGACGAGTCTGGAATGTGGTAGTTTGAGACTCTCCGGGGAATGTGGCTAAGGTCCATCACTGCCGTGTGTCAGCGGTCGAATATGTGCTCATACATTTGCTTAGTGACTGACATACGGTGCTGCTTTAATAACCCTCATATGCTTTTAACGAGACAACGAAATATGAAATGAAAAATGAAATTCTTCTTGAAGCAGCCCAATTCCTAAAGCACTCGCATACGTAGCTCGGAGATTGATTAGTTGAGTACTCTGTACATTGCAAAAGCTTTGACCACCGTCGGAGCCACTTGGATATGTGCCTGCAGCTTGGCTTTAGGAATCATGCAGGTAGATCGGTGGCTGATCCACTCGCAGTGAAAGCCGAGACAGGCTAGTTTGAAGATGGAAATTTAACATTCCAGATGAGTTTGAGATATGTAGGTTCAAATGCTCTTCGATCAAGAAAGTAGTAATACTAGTATACAAGAAATGTAGTCCTGCGGATGCTAAGCAAGTATGCAAGGATAATAAAATGACACCAAGAAAGAAATATGCCGATAAGTGAACTGGCGGGTATCCGTATCCACGCAAGAAGACATAAACAGAAGGTAAAGACGCAGAAGGTCTGAAAGTGCTCGTGGGTAGCGTGAGGTCAGAAAAAGATAAACGATGACGCCTGCAGACTAATTCCAAGGGGAAGAAGCAGGGCATAGAAAGCTGTACGAGGATGTGTCATACAGACCAAGTCATAATTGGATCGTGCAGATAGATCAATGGTGATTGCTGTCTGGGTACGGGGGCGGAGGCCGGTATGGATCCGGCATGGGCATGGGCACCTGCTCTCGAAGAGGGCCATCAGACGGGTAAGGGTGGACTAGCGGCTCAGCATGCAGATTGTCATGGCTTTGAAGGGGAGATTCGTTAAAAGGCGAAGAACTTTGACCATAGTAGCGAGTGTTGGGGTCATGAACATGGTCATCGAAGTCGGACGCATACGGCGAAGTGCCAATGAGCGCAATTTCAGGGTTTGATTGTGCGTGGGAGAGAAGCACCGCGCCCTCCTCATCGGGGGTATAGCGGCCCGCACGGCCTCCTGACATGGCAGTTCCAGCGCCAACGTAAGCAGTTCCATGCTCAGTGGGCTCGCTGCCTTCTGGGGATGGCTGAAGACCGATTGTCTCATCTTGTGGTCGGTAGCTGGGGTCCAGCATGCGCTGCTTACGGCCAACGAACAGCCAGCGAGCACTTCGGCCAATGGCTTTGAAAAGGTCAAGTGGGTTCATGGCATCGATCAACGCCCTCACACCATAGCGACCGCCTTCATACGTGGTCTTGCCATTTCCGTAGAAGTCGGTCACTTCAGATGAATGGTTTAGAGCGTATGGCTTCCAGGCAAAGGCCCAAAGATGCAGAATCCCAAAGATGGCCATTTCAACGTTGATCATCAACTCCGGGAGACCGGTCTTGAGATCATTGAGCGCGATTTTGTCTGTGGCTTTGATGGCGCCCTCGGACACCAAAAGGTTGATCAAGGTCTATAATTGCGGGTTAGAATGGAATCAACATGCGGAATCTGTGAAAAGAACTTACCGATTGCCAGAAGGAAAGGAAAATGACGAGCTTAATAGACAAGATCTTCAAAAAGGGCTGATGTTGCTTGATGTCTTGACTGGTCTGGTGGTAGAATTGAATCAGGCAGTACATAGCGATAGTGACGGAAACCGATTCAATGACGACGGTCTAACGAGGAATGATTAGCAAATTAGGACGAAATGAGCCAGAAAGTAAACAAAGTCTTACCCAGATATGCGAGAACGCAGGACTAAGAGACTCTTCGCAGTATACACCAAATGCTTGAGTGACAACAGCAACGATAGTCATGAGAACACGCATGACACAGTATTGGAATACTCCCACCCAGACAATCTGTACAGGAACCAGTCAGTACTTGGAAACCTCGGATCGCTCGCATCTCTCTTACATTAAACCATGTCAGACCACTGCGCGGGGTCCGCCAAATGCGCTCGCCGCCACAGCACTTTTGCATCCAGTTCAAGGGCCAAAGCCATGCCTTCGGCTGAATTCCACGGAAATAATCCTTCTGGCTGTGTAGGTCCGGAGCGATGTAATGGCACATGAGAGAAAAGAAGGCCGAGATACAAAATGCTTCGTAGCAGTCACCGAGGACCTCAAAATAAACCGAATCGTGGTAGAAGAAGATGCTGAGCCATGCGACGAGGGAGTATACGGGGACCATGAAAAGGATGCGAATGATACTAGAGTCGGAATGTTAGCGACGTGCCTCTGCGAGTTGCGCCTTGCGCCTCAATAGACCCTGGAACTCACTGTCGCTGCTCGATAGGCTTGCTGTAATGTGTTGCGTGTTGTAAGATCAGCCATGCTGACACACCACATGCGATGATAGCGCAAGCGCCGCCCACCAGGAGCGCCAGGAGGTGGAATGTGATGCCGCCATCCCAAAGGTCAACCTCCTCGACTATTTTTCTGGTCAGTTACCGAACAACACCGGGGATGGGATCACCATACTATTGAGAGTTTCAGTTGTTGAATTGCACACAGGCCAGCCCATGTTGGCTGTGGTTTTGTTAAGGGGAACTCAAATGTTGTCGGTGAGATTCCCTTTTTTTCCGTTTATCTTATCCGCGGATCGACAGGGGAAGACACGCCACAGTCTGAAACGGCGAAGGCCAAGAAAATCAAAGAAACGAGTGTGTTTTGGCTTAAGCCCTGAATATTGAGAAAAATTCCAAGGCCCTTGGGACGATCTTTAAGGCTTGGTCTATTTTTACTGCTTGGTTCACAGCCTTGGCTGTGGAGCCTAACGGGTATCGGCGCTTGGCTTACAGGGAACAAAAGAGGGCTGTGTGTTTTGCATTGAACGTGCTCTACCTAAAGATTTATGGTACATGTAATCCGTGGGGGGTTTTCTTCACGATTTAGTGCCAGTCTCCACGACGGCCACGTCCCCGTCCACGTCCTCCAAATCGAGGGCCAGGACCCATCCTTTCTGGCCCGACGTCCACAAATTGATCCTCGTTCTCAAAAGTGATTCGCCGCATCTCGTCACCGCCGCGGCGAGGAAACACTCCCTTCTGAATCAGGTCGTCGAATTGGTCCAGGCGCTTGTCTGCAACCGGGCGGGGAACGGGGAGGTAGTACAATTTGGGCTTGGCGGTAGTAGATTCAAAGATCTCGTCCAAGGGTTTGAAGCCCTGACCGGGGCGCGGAGCGGGCGGCGGAGCGGGGATAGAAGGGCGGTGATTAAGTCGCTCAATATCGCTGCGTGGACCAAGAGGAGGAGTACGGTTGAATCCGGATTCCCGGCGTCCGGTAGGAGCAGAGCCTACCTCGGCGTGTATGGCAGTGATTCCATCATCAGATGTCTCGTATCTAACTTCCCATCGGGGGGCAGGACCAGCACGGTCTCGGGATTGCTCTTCTATGTGGATCCATTCCTTGGTTTTGTCGTCTGGGATAAAGTCCGCGCGGAGGCTCTTGCGGTTGCGTTCGTTCGGCCAAACGGTACCGTGAAGGGCAGAGCGAACACGAGAAGCTGCAACCATGCTGGTGAAGCTCACAAAGCAGTGAGTTTTGATAGAGTCGAGATAGAACTCCACAATCGCGTCGGAATCGGACGTGTCGTTGGGGGTGGCGGCTAGGTTGGAGAGGTGTTTGCGAAGCGTAGCTGGCTGGAGCGGACGCATGAGACCATCGATGTAGAGGGCAGATGTGGCAGCGTGCAAGGCCGGACCTGCATCTACGTCTGGCATCGCCATGTCTTGAGGAGATGGAGGCCGAGCGGATTCCCCGCTAGGAGCGAACAAATTGCGGAAACGAGCATCTTGTTTGCCAGCGGGTTTGGGAGACAGTATTTTCTTGTCAGCGGGTAAGCAGTCATTTTGACTCTCCGCTGGAGTCGTTGTAGGCTTCTGATCATTGTTTCCCTGATCTTTCATCAGCACTCGCGGCGCCGCTTCCTCCGCACGAGCCTTCCTGTTGGCAATCTCTTCGAGCGTGGGAGCGGGGCTTTGACTGCGGCGTTTCCGTTTGCGTGTATCTTCCAATGCTTCCTCGGTAGGTAGGGGTGTTGAAGTCGCGGTAGTCTCCTCGGGGGTCTGAAGGGAGGAAGGTGCTCGGGTTTCTTGAGGCTTTGCGGAGTCCTCTGTCTTTGAATCTTGATCCGTTACAATCGCGGGTGATTTCTCGATAGTTGGAGATTGTTCCTTTGGAGCTGTTTGATCCACGATGGCGGATTCCTCGACAGGCTTTGTGTCATGTTCGATTTTCTCATTGGATACCGTCTCAGGGTGTTTCTGGGCTGGCTCATCTTTCTGATCCTTCTCATTCTCTCCCTTTTCGGCGGCAGATTCTGGGGCAAGGGTTTGTTCTTTGGGTTGGGTTGGTTCTTCGCTGGGTTCTTCGCTGGGTTCTTCGCTGGGTTCTTCGGACTTGGATTGCTCGGGCTCGGGGTCTGGTGCTTGTGAAACGACATCTGGGCTAGGTTGTTGTGGAACGGCACTCTCATCGAGAGCTGCAGCTTCGGGTTCAGTCTGACCTGTCTGTGAGTCAAGCTCGTTCAGCTTATCAATGAATTGCTGCTTGACGCGGAGACCCGTTTGAGGGATCTCGCGCTTTTTGAGCTCGGCCTTCAGGTCAGCCACCTTCCATGAGGAATAATCAACCATAGTGAGGGAGCTGTGCGCATCAATTTTTGAAATGTGTAAAGGTTAGTAAGGGCAATTGAGATCGGTTGTGTTGGTAAATACTTGATCGCATTGAATTGAAGGGACTTAAAACTGGGGACGCGATGCAGCCGATGATGTAGGTGCTAACCGCATTCGGACTAGTGTGTTCCCCATTCGGGGGTTATAGATCGAGTCCTTGGCCTACAGAGGACGTTCGACACTCTCTGTCTTTGGCTTCAGCACATTCTTGGCTTCTGAGAGTTTACTCTTCACTCGAAATTGGACCTCGACCTTATTTGTATCAAACACTATCTACACGCAGGTCTCTTGTATAAAAAAGGGGAATTGTTGATGCCCTTTATAGTAGATATCGATATTTCTGCCAGTAAAGCAAGGAAGCACTGAGTCTAATCGGGCTCAGCAAAGTCGACTTTTTTAAATGCGGCAGTTAGCTTTCTAGATCCGGGGGCTTTCCAGACCATGAGGATGCTATCCATAAAAAGTGAAATAGAAAGAGGAATATAAATTGCCATGAGAAGACGAAACACTTAGGGCAAGCGGTCCTCTGGATGATTTCACGCTGAACCAGGAGAAGAAGAATCTATTCCCAAGAAATGATCTCAAATTGCTGCAATTTGGTACAAACATCTGGTGTTTGGGTATATCTCCAAACCTCCCCAATCAGGAAGGGAGCGAAGAAATGATTAAACAGATAAGAAAAATGGGTATATACAAAATTCGAAAAAATAAACACTCAGACCACTCTCTCCTCTCTCCTCCCCAATCCAGCCAACTTCCTAAACAACATCGAAGCCTTCTGTCGCCGATTCCTCGGCGGCGAACTACTCGGCACAACGCACGAGTACACATTTTCCTGGTGTTTGAACTCATCCGCCAAACAGCTGGACGAATACGACATCCCACGGGATGTAGCCCACGTCCCATAAGGGTAGTTTAGATACTGTGCCTCTTCTTCGGTCGAAGTACTGCCCCAGCGTGGAGTCACTGCTCCATATCTGGATGTTGGTCTGGAACCGATGGGAGTTCCAGTGGAAACACCAATTGGGGCACCGAATGACGAACCAGGCAATGAGTCGTGGGATCTTTGGGCGCGATCTTCCCAGAATGTGCGGGTGAGCCATTCTCGCGAATCGACGGCCATGGCTGTTGCGTTGGTGCCGCCGTAGAAGCGAGTGTTTCTTTTGTCCTGTTTGGATTTGGGGTCTGCTTTGTGGTTTTCTTTGTTGGAGTCCCAGTTTTGGGCTCTTTCGGTGGGAGAGGGCTTTTCGGGTGATATGGCTGGGGATGGCTCGGTGGGTTTGTTTCGCGTTTGGTTTGTTTGGGGTTGGAGCTTTGGGATTTTTCGTTGGGGCTCGTTGGCTGCGTGTTGTTTATCGGTTTCGTTGAGGGGGCTGACGGGACTGCCGAGGGGGTTGTCGTCGGGTGGACAGTTGATGTTGGTTTGGGGAGGGTTGTATGGGAATGGTTCGGGGCTTAGACAGAATGACGGCTCCCTTGGGAGTGATTGGAGGCTCTCTTCTGGTCTTGGGCTCCGAGAACGGTTCCTGCTCTCTGGTGGTGTTGAGGAGGTCTTATTATAGAATCGGGCTGGAGACAATGTGCCGGAGTTACAGCCACCTGATGATTTGCGTGCTTGCTTCGTGGGGCTGTCGCTCATGCCAAAGCCGGAGTCGTGCTTATTATTGTTTTCTGTCTCGTAATTGAGTGGTATGGGTGGTACGGGCACTGGCTCGGTGGTCTGTTGGTCTGACGAAGGCACTGGGACCCTTCGCCGGGTACCGGGCTTTCGCTTTCCTGTCAGTCTCGTCCTTGGTTTTCCGAGCCAGTTTGGTGTAGTAGATTCGTGCGGTGTGTTTATCCAGTCTGGCACGGTGATCGTCGATTTTGGCGTGTGTGACTGTGTATGTGTCTGTGTCCAGCTGGGAACACTCTGTCTCGGTGTTTGGGGATAGTTTGGCACAACACTTTGCCTGGGGGTTTGCGTATAGTTTGGCACGATGCTCTGTCTTGGGGTTTGGGTATAATTTGGTACAACGCTCTGCCTCGGGGTCTGTGTGTAGTTTGGCACAATGCTCTGTCTCGGTTTCTCTGCCCAGTTCGGTACAGTACTCTGGTATGACAGTCCAGCTGGGATACCTCGGTCGATGCTGTGTGAAAGCAAGGCACATGCATGTTTGACATTGGCGAGCAGGTCTTCATGGATCTCTTGACGACCCATTAAAGGTGACTCAGGACGGAAGTAACCGTCTTCATCTGTGAAATTGTAGCCCTTACCAGGCTCGAGGCTATCGTTGTGCTCCATGAGGTTGAGGTTGAGGGACTCAGGGTTTGTCGCTGATGGAGATCGACTCCTGGAGGGGCTGTCTGCTCCAGGTGAAACTTTTTTGGGCGTCCGATCTTTCACTGAGCCGCTTCGAGAAAAGGAAAAGCGGTTGCGCATCCGTGTTGCTTTTGTTGATAGCTTTCGATCCATCACTGTACTTGTTTTGTTTTCCGACGGTCGCACAATGTGTTTTTTTGTCGACCGGACAAAAGTCAATTGACTTTCAAGGGTTGATTGAGAAGAGTAAACGCAACGCTCTAGGCAAACAAATGGAACGGGCCAACCCTAATTATGCGGCTTCGAGTCGCTCGCGGTCCAAATACTCCGGAAATTCACAGCCGGCCGAACGATTGGATCGGATGTAACTGAAGATCACAATTCATCTAACAGAAGACAGTTCCCGAAATATGATGATGTCAAAGTTGGCAGTTGACTGGCAGCTGGTTGGCAGCTGGTTGGCAGGCGGTTGGCAGTACAACTGGTTGGAATGTATGGGGGAATGTCAACAGGTGAACCTGGGCTTCTATTGACTATACTAAATATCCGGTCTAATCATTCTCTTCACAGGATCTCAAATTAAACATGCTTATTCGTCAAATAATTCATCTAACCGCCGTAACGATAGCTAGGTCTGAGATAAGTGGGTATAAACAAAGTCAGGATAAGACCCCAAACCAGACGCGACCAGATGCAATAGATTAAGGGTGATCTGGGCCCGCGCGCAACGGCCAGAGTGACAATTTTAAGGCTAGATCGGCGCCCTCTCATGAACTACTGCACGACTCTAGAAAACCAGATAAATGACCCCTCCCAATACGGTGCAGATCAACAAACACTCAGGCTGCTGCCCGGTTTATGAACTGGATTTCGGGCTGGATTTCGGGCTCCAACCTGAAATTTCCATTGTTTTTGGCGTGAGACATACCCATCCAAATTCTTGCACATTCTAAAGTTACTCGTTCTAGCAATTGTTCCATGTCAGGTTCCATGTTTTTCGCAGCCCTGGAGGGTCTAAGCATTGGGCTAGTGCAGTGTGACTCGGGTCGCTTCCAAAGTTGGAGCCTCCTGAAGTCTCGGCGCCACCTAACTAAATACATGCAAAATTCTACTAATCTAGACGAGTCTTATCATGGTGAGACATGTCTAGAGTCTAGATTCGTTGGAACCTAGGTGAAAACTATATATACCCGGCCTGCTATTGTACTCGTACCTGAATATATTCGGTGAACATTGACAATCCCGAACTCTCCACAGCCATTGGATTCAACCACCATCTGCGGAGTACTCATGAGCATGCATGAGAATAGATAGTCCTGTCAACTTTAGAACATCCTACCTAATTTCGAAAGAATTGTACCCCAGAAAACAATAACTTTAGAATCTTGGAATATACTTTGTATACCATTGTTTACGTGCGGGGCTCTGAGGCTCTCAGCTCGCGTGGTCAACTGAAACCAAGGAACTGCCCGAGTTAATTTTGAGGATCTTTCACCTGCGCACTTTCAAGGACTTTCTTGTTGATTTCAAGCTAAGTGTAAGGGTTTTGTTTCATTCTAAGCCCAAAAGACGCGGTCGTGCTCAAGGGAGCCAGGCATTTCCAATGTTATTGTCGAGGTTGCAGCCTTATCGGCATCGCGACTCTCGTGTATGCAACCTCCCTCGGGGCTGAAACTTGAAAATTCCACCGAGCGCAAGGATTTAACCTATAAGCCTAGGAATTTCCACTGGATATATATTATAGTTCGCTACGGACTCCCGATGTGCAAATTGACACCGATTGAAGAGTTTTATCCATGGATCTAGTTCTGAGTTGGGGGTAAAGTGCAAATATATACCTCCGCCTCAATTCCAAACCCGGAGGTCAGCGTTGAAAAATTGAAAAATCAACATTGGGAAAGATAAATGCATCCGAACAAAATAAAAAAACCATGCCTTCCAACTTTAGAAGGTTTAATACTAAGTATTTACTTAAGTCGCACTACCGGTGGGTTACTGAAATTTACTATGTACTAAGTAGACCCTTTTTGTACGCGTATACCACTACGTTGATCAGATGATTGGTGACCAAAATACCTCGGCGTTTGGTTTATTTTATTTGTGCAACATGATCGTCGCAACGATAGCGGACGGCTATCAATACCTTGAACGGACCCATCATTCCCGGAGGGGTTTCCCCCCGGTGAAAAATTGACCCAACGGGCGGGTCTGATGGAGAGCAGTTGGATGCTTCTTTAACAGTCTTCTCAGACAAGGGTTATACCAAGTGAGAGACGGGAGAGACAGTTGGATGCTCATCTCCCTGACTGGCGGAACGGAAAAAAAGAACAGCAACCTACTTCCCCTAGTGCGCCATGACATCCATCCGGGCGTGAACCCAAGGCCGGCTGTCTTTCAGAATTACTGGAAGAATGACCGGAAGGGGATCAGAGCCCAGATCGGAGCATGGGATGGCTGCAGACAACACTGCGCCTAGAAACACTTTGTGGAAATTAACGTTTTACCAAGCGGTGATGTCCTCGACTTCGGCTTCACCGAAGGTGCTGCTCTTTGTAAGCTTGGTGACACTAGCCAAGGCGGCGGCACCATCTGAGTCTGGCTTCGCCATGATGTCAGGCAGCACCTCGCGGAAGAACTCGAGGATGTGGCGGTTGACTTGCTCGAACTGGAGCAGGAAAGCATCGTGGCCCTCGGGGCTGTCGATACGCTTCAGACGAGAGTCGGGAATACCGTCGGCGATCTCTTGTTGTTCAGCAAATGTAAAGAGACCATCTGACTCAATACCCAACACGAGAGCTGGCTGTTCCACCCGACGAAGGGCCTCGATGACTGTATCTTGCGCGGCTGTGGCGGGGTTGGCACGGTGACGGGACACATCATGGGTATCGAGCTTGCGAGTCATGGCGATGTAGCAGTTGGCATCGAATCTCTTGACAAACTTGTCACCCTGGTAGCGAAGATAAGTCTGAGCGGAGAAATAGGTCGGGGGACGAGGTCGACCGGAAGGAGTCAGTTTGGGCTTGTCCTCAACTTCTGGCGCAAAAGTCTTAGTGCCCGAGAACTGGGGATCCATGAATTCGGTCTGGGGAACGGGTGAGCCTTGGCGGCTCTCGGATCGTGATCCACTGCGATGTCCGTCGTTGTGAATAGCCCAGTGCTCGTTGGGGGGACTTGGCTGCCTTTCAGTGCCGTTGATGTTCAAGCGCTTGGTTGGGTCGGGCACATTGCGACCAAAGCGAGATTCGAATGAGTTGCGGCTGCGATAGGTGAGGAGTGCTGACATGCGAGCCGCACCGAGACCGGTAGATGGTGGGTCATCAAACGCATAGTACCCATCGTCATATTTCGGATCACTGTAGATGCTCTGTCTCTGAGCCTCGCCCCAGCTGATGCACCAGGCAGAATGGCGCGCTGAGGTCGCAATTGGCACAATAGCCCGCACGTAGTCCTTACCGAAGAATGCGTATTCCAGGGTAAGCGCTCCACCCATGGAACCTCCGACAACCGCGGCAATCTGCTTGACGCCGAGGTCATCCAATACTAGCTTGTGGATACTGACGCAGAGGTCAGCCAAATGGATTCTGGAATGATATTGTTGAGAGAAAAGAAGACTTACTTGACGTCATCACGGACAGTTGTCAGGGGAAACTCGGGTCCATAGTAGCCCTTCTCAGGGTTGTTATCCTTGTAGGTAACAGCGCTGGCACTTCCATATGGACTACCAAGACTGTTCAGGCAAACCACGAAGAAACGAGAGATATCAAATGCCTGACCGGGACCACCGAGGAGAGGGCCCCACCAGTCAGCGACATCGGCGCTGCCACTCAGGGCATGGCAGATCACCAGCACATTGTCTCCGTTGGGGGCGAGTGTGCCTCGTGTGGTGTATGCAACTGGAACATTGGACAGAGTAACTCCGGATTCGAGCTTGAATGAAGGGATAATCGCAATGGATTGGTCTTCGATGAGCTGGGCGTAGGGGTTTTCAGGCTGTGACGCGACTCTCTCTACGGGATTTAGTATCGGTTCAGAGAAAAGGTGAGGGGCAATGACTGACGCAATGGAGCAGCAGATGCGCTGGTAGCTTCAGTCATGACGAAAAGACTGGAACTGGAAAATGAATGCAATGCTGAATGCAAAATATGAGGAAAACGAATTGGGGCTGAAGGGATAGAAGTGAAAAGAAATAGCTTTGGAAATCTAGTGACTCAACACCCCGCAGCCAATGACTGCGATGTTCGGAGGAGGGTGGCAGAATGCGGCGGTGTGGAAGAAGGCCCTGGATCACGTGCAACTTAGGGCTAGAGAACCGAGTCACGTGCTAAACTTAGCACAATCCAAAAAAAGTTTGCTGCACCAGCACTTTTTCTCTTCTATCCCCATCCGCCCAAAGAACCTTCTTACGAGCCAACCCTCAAATCATTCAAAATGGTCAAGACTAAGAAGTCCGGTGACACTCTCTCCTCGCGCCTTGCGCTTGTGATGAAGTCTGGAAAGGGTAAGCCAATTTTGGTCTATCGCACAAAATCGCAATTCACTAACAATTCGCAGTCACCATGGGTACCAAGTCCACCATGAAGACTCTCCGCTCTGGCAAGGCCAAGCTTGTCCTCATCTCCGGAAACTGCCCTCCCCTGCGCAAGTCCGAGCTTGAGTACTACGCCATGCTCGCCAAGACCCCCGTCCACCACTTCAACGGCAACAACGTACGTTTTATCCCCCATTCCCCCGGGTAGGCTGCCTGAGATATTGGCAGCCACACCTCGGAGTCAGCTCCACTACTCAGCGAAGAAGTGGTCAAAACTACCACTTCGGAGAGTGAAGTTGCTCAGCGAAGGGAACACCTGAAGGCGTCCCGGAGAGCGAATTGGACTAACTCGCCCTATAGATTGAGCTCGGTACCGCTTGCGGTAAGCTCTTCCGCTGCTCCGCCATGGCCATCCTCGATGCCGGTGACTCCGACATCCTGAGCCGTGACGCTTAAGCGTGTCGCCTTGTTGCGAGGACAAAAAAAAAAGAATAGAATATTAAACCATTCTTAAACAAACCCTTTTCCACGAATAATGATGAATTACGAAATGCCTGAAGCTACTTCAAGGTTTCTGTCATGGATGAGTGTGTCAACGTGACATGTAGTTGTATGCTGTAAATATTCCGGATCTCTGAAGGTTGGCCAGTTTATCCCAATAGCCAAAATGAAGTGCGCAGATGCACATCATTGCCTTCTGTTCCTGAAATTATCCGAGTCAGGCATTTTGGACTAGCCTTCCTGATCTTTGGCCCGAAACGCAAATCCCCCAACCCGGGAAGCTTTAAGGGCCAGTTCGTACGCAAAGCATGCCATACTTTTCAATCCAAAGCCTAGGCCCAGTGCGACGAGTCAACTTGGAAGGAAAAGTGACTGACAAAATCATAGGGGCTTGTGAGGGATTGGCGGCTATTGAACTTGCCAAGTTGGCCCCCGCAACTGCGCATTCGCGGGGGAAATACCCCCAAGAGGATCGTTTCTTCACTTGGACTGACTAGTACCTATAGGCTATTGTGCTTGCCTGCGTCGCCGAATACAATTTAGCCTGAAGGCCAACATGGATTACCGAGGAGTCTCCTGGTGGTATGATATTGACTACTAGTCTCCAAGATTGATATAAAGGGCTACTTTAGCCCTGCATTTGGAAATTATGCTCGAAACATTACCCCACGATGTGGTCCCTTGGTATACTCGTTTTCTTGGGAATTGCAGCTGCCGAGGATGGCCTTAAGGGCTGGCTGCGGTATGCACCCTTGTCATGTTCAGACCAATGCTCTTCCAACCTACCCTCGAGTATCGTGACTCTCAATACCACGAAGGCAAGCCCAGTATATGTTGCGGGAACCGAACTGCAGAATGGGTTTCAAGGCATCTACGAGAAAAAGCTGCAAATCACCCACAAGAAGTGCAACGCTGCGGACTCCGTCATTGTTGGTACTGTTGACCAGTATCGCCATGCATGTGGTGCCGTGAGTGGTGTCCCAGACCTTGAGGAAGATGGCTTCTGGTTAAGCACCAAGGGAAAAACTGTTCAAATCTTGGGACAGAATGAACGCGGTGCACTATATGGCACCTTTGAATACCTGTCGATGCTGGCACAGAGAAATTTCTCCAAGGTTGCATACGCGTCCAACCCCTCAGCGCCAATCCGATGGGTAAACCAGTGGGATAACATGGATGGAAGTATCGAGCGTGGTTATGGCGGTCCATCTATCTTCTTCAAGAATGGTCAAATTATTAAGGACCTCACCCGCGTCAAGGAATATGCCCGCCTATTGGCTTCGATTAAGATCAATGCCATCGTGATCAACAATGTCAACGCCAATGCCACTATTCTGAGCTCTACCAATCTCGATGGAGTCGCTCGAGTTGCTGATGTATTTCGGCCGTACGGCATACAAGTTGGATTGTCATTGAATTTTGCTTCTCCTCAGACCTTTGGCGGACTCGACACTTTCGACCCCCTTGATGCATCTGTTATTCAATGGTGGTCGAACATCACGGCGCAGGTTTACGAGCGGGTTCCTGACATGGCTGGCTATCTTGTGAAGGCCGACTCAGAAGGACAACCGGGCCCTCAAACATACAACAGAACTCTTTCAGATGCAGCCAATTTGTTCGCCAAAGAAGTGCAACCATATGGTGGCATCGTCATGTACCGCGCTTTTGTCTACGATCATCATCTCAACGAATCCAATTGGAGGGATGATCGTGCGAATGCTGCGGTCGACTTTTTCAAGCATCTTGATGGCGAATTTGAAGACAATGTAGTTATTCAGATCAAATATGGGCCTATCGACTTCCAGGTCCGTGAGCCGGTCTCACCTCTGTTTGCCAATCTTTTCAACACTAGCATGGCTATTGAACTACAGGTCACACAAGAATATATTGGCCAGCAATCCCACTTGGTATACGTTGCACCTCTTTGGAAAGAAATCTTGGACTTCGACCTTCAGGTTGACAGCCAACCGTCCCTTGTCAGCGACATTGTGACTGGCAAACGATTCAAACGGAAGCTGGGTGGATCAGCAGCTGTCGTCAACGTGGGTACGAACAGTACCTGGCTCGGCAGCCACATGTCAATGTCGAATTTGTATGCCTACGGACGCTTGGCGTGGAACCCTTCTGATGACGCTCAAGAGATCCTGCAAGACTGGACCAGATTGACTTTTGGGCTCGATCAAAAGGTTCTTGATACAATCACTCGGATCTCGATGGATTCCTGGCCTGCATATGAGCAATATAGTGGCAACCTAGGCATCCAAACGTTGACTGACATTATCTACACCCATTACGGTCCTAGCCCTGCCTCCCAAGACAACAATGGGTGGGGCCAATGGACCAGGGCGGATCGAGATAGCATTGGAATGGACCGTACCGTGTCGAACGGGACCCGATTCTCTGGTCAATATCCACAGGAGATTGCTGCGATGTATGAGGATATCGAGAGCACGCCTGAAGAGCTTCTGTTGTGGTTCCACCATGTCAATTACACCTACCGCCTCTCTTCTGGAAAAACAGTGATACAGCACTTCTACGACTCACATTATACTGGCGCCGAGAAAGCACAGGGCTTCCTTGAAAAGTGGGAATCGCTTCATGGAAAAATCGACACTGAGCGGTACGATCATGTCCGGCGTTTCCTCGACTATCAGACAGGCCATTCAATCATTTGGAGGGACGCGATTAACAATTTCTACTACAATCTCTCAGCAATCCCCGATGATGCCAAACGTGTCGACCACCATCCATGGCGCATTGAAGCCGAAAGCATGAAACTTGAGGGCTACAAGAGCTACGACGTTAACCCCTTTGAAACAGCCTCTGGCGCCGTTGCGATCGTCACAACATCAAACACCACCGCCGGCACTGCTTCTACCGAAATACAATTCCCCTCCGGAACATATGATGTTGCTGTGAATTATTATGATCTCTACGGCGGCCAGTCCCAGTGGAAGATCTATCTCAACGATCGGAGGATCGGCCAGTGGGTTGGGAATAGTGAGGAAACCCTCAGTCACACGCCTTCGATCTATCTGGACGGACACTCTGCTACCCGTGTCAAATTCCGTCAGATCGAGGTCAAGAGGGGGGATCATTTGAAGATTGTTGGCATGCCTGATGGCACTGAACCGGCGCCTTTGGACTATGTGGCTTTGCTGCCAGCAGGCACTATAGACTAGATCATGCCTCGGGGCTTGGTAGAGGACTAGAGAATGATGACACTAAGCTGACCGGGTTTCTTCTGTATTTGGTGATTGATATACTTCATACCCCTCTCTAGTGCCGCAGTTATAACCCGGGGCCCGGGGAGACTTCGGCATAAACGCAAGACTGACGAACATGAAATGGTCGATCTGAGGGGAAGCCAAGAGAAACAGTTTTCATACTCCCATTTGATAGGATATGTTCTACTTATGCTTGGGTAATTTGGTATTTCCCCCACAACCCGAGTCGGGTCAAAGTAAAGCGAGAATAGAGCGACGTGAATATTCAGGGGCGGAGATTGGACTCCACACTTTACATGTGCAGCATTAGGCTCGGAAATTCCGGGGTATTTTGCCGAGTCTTCAACTTCGGATGTGGGCGTTTTGATGTGACGTTAAATAGTTTTGTCTTTTACAACTAGGGGAGTAAATTCGGATCAAAGGTTGAAGATGCTATTCCATCAGAATGCCTTAAGTCAGGCAGCACTTGTTTGTTCAATTGGATTTGCATCGATAGCAGATGCCAGGTGAGTGCCGTGCAGTTAAGCATGGTTACAAACAATCCATGCGAATCAAGCTAACTAGTGCTCTTCCAGAAGCAGTATTACTGTTCACCCCGAAAGATTCACATTCGGGTCTCAAACCTCAAATTATAATGGCTCAAATTCTTGCTTCACTCTGTCGGAATCTCAGCCAGTGGTCACTGTGGACTACGAAAACGAAATAGGTGGATTCCCGCTATTTCAAGCCCGATCCTTGTCGGGTCCAGTCCAGATAGAAGCAAAATACTCTGAAGCCAAGAATGGTTTAGACAGTCCATTTGGTGATGGGCCCTGGACCTTTTCGAATGGTCTTTCGAATACCTTCCGCGTGGAGACCTTCAATGTCACTGCACCGGGACAGTTGCAGTCTTACTTCATCCAAGGAGGCTTGCGCTGGCAAAGATTACGCTTACTTACCACAAATGGCAGTGTGCGTGTCTGTGGTGTGGGAATTCGGTCACTGAATGACCATACTCCCATTGATCAATTGCCGGGGTCTTTTGAAAGTTCGAATTCCATGTACAACAAGATTTGGGCACTTGGTCCTCGAACTGTTCAGCAAGCTTGCATTGAAAAGCATACAGCACCATCGACATGGCAAATAACCCGGGAGGGTATTCTTCTGCGCGGTCAGCAGTCGGCTCAATCGGTCGAGGGGCTTAGCTATGCCAATTACACGATGTCATTCAGCACTAAGATCGTTCGCGGGGGCACCGGGTGGAGGGTTGCCAGCGGCATTCTTGGGTTTGGTCCCTCTTTCGTTCTCACCAGTGGTGAATCAGACTCGAGCTTCCTCAACACCAATAGGACTATAGTCCCAGCAAACAAACTCGCAGTGGCATATGGCTATAACTTGGTCAACCAGACAAGCTTGGAAGGCGGTCCTACTTCATATTATCCGCTTCCATTCAGCATCGAGGAAGGGAGATGGCTCCGTATCTCAACGACGATCAACCCGACTGGGTATGATGTTTCTATCAACAACATCTCGGTGGCTCACGTCCCATTCTCCGTCCTCCAGCCCACCTCCAACTTCCTTGCTGGCTCAGCAGATAGGTTCACCGGGACTTGGGGATTCGGGCCATGGCAAGATCAGGTCGCGCTTGTCAAGAATGTCAAAGTTCAAGCCAAAAACGGAACCATCATTTATCAGAATCCGATGACTGCCATATCTACTCTTGAAGAGTATGGAGTGATGCTAAATAAGCACTCGGTCTGCCTGGATGGAGCCAAACGCGATCGACTCGTGTGGTCTGGAGACGCCGGCCACACCTTGCGAGTTGTTGCCGCAAGTACACACAGGGAGGATTTCATCAATGGTACCCTGGCCTATCTCATAGAGAGACAAATTTCTTCTGGTGAGTTTGCGGGATACTTCTCGATGTCGCCTGCACTGGGACAATCGTCCAAATACACTTCAACCTACAACTCCGCCGGCCTTCAGGACTACCAAATGATCTTCCTGAATGCATTCGCCAGGTACTACCGCGACTTTGGAAACAAAGCCTTCCTTGAGAAATACTGGTCTAAAGTCAAGGTGGGAGTCGAGGCAATTTTACCGCTTGTTGACAGCTCCTCGGGTCTGGTATCGGGGTCTTTCTTCCTGGGAGACAGCAATGGAACTGCCGCTTCTTCTCTCCTTGTTTACAGCCTCAATCAGATGTCCCAAATCGCGGAAGAGGTTGGAGAGAGCGACACAGCTTCCTCATGGAGATCCATCGCTGCAGGTGTACACAAATCTATCAACGAAAAGCTGTGGAGTGAAAAGCTCGGAACATACATCGACAGCACATCAACTCGCAACCAAACTTCACTTGCCAGCACCGCATGGGCTATTCTTGCCAACGTGGCTAATACCACACAAGCCGAATCCGCCCTTGCAGCTATCTCCAGCCTCCGAAACGGAATCGGCTACAAAACCAAATCGAACTCCCAGTCTGACGCCGAGCTTGCTCCATTCATTTCAGGATTCCTACTCGAAGCAGCTCTTCAACATTCCCGAGCAAGCGCCAATCACAACTCCTCGTCCAGCGCTGTTATCTCTACACTTCTGTCCCACCTCTGGCCTGCGATGATTACCAATGAAGAGTATTCCACCGGCACTGCCTGGGAGTACGTATTCCCCGACGGGCGACCTGGATTGGATCTCTACACCTCGCATGCTCATCCCTGGGGAGCTGCTCCAACTTTCGCCTTGACCGAGTATGTCTTGGGTATACAGCCTTCATCGCCTGGCTTCTCGGAGTGGAATTTCCAGCCCGCAGTGCTTACCCCTGATGTCTCTTGGGCAAAGGGCAAAGTGCCTACTCCCCATGGGTCCATTGATGCAAGCTGGGAGCTCAATCGCCAGAAAAATGAGATCGGAATGGAGGTCTGCTCGCCCTTGGGTACCAACGGAACCATCAGATTGCCGTTTGCTGTGAGCTCGTATAAGCTTGATGGCACACAGCATGCCGTTGGCTCTGATAGGTTTGAACTGAAAGTGAAGGCTGGAAAGTGCTCAAGTGTCACCGTGAGCTTTGCAAAGACTCTCTAGACTACATGAATTCAAGCAGGGTCTCGAAGCCCCCATGAGCTTCCAGGACTGGCTCAATGTTGTCAGAAACCTTGTAAAATTTACTCCATACAAAATAGAGTTATCACCTAAATACAACTTGAGAAAGCGAGGTAACTATTATGTGGATTCTCAGCTCTATAAACCAACAGACCACCGACACATGAATTAACTGGCCCATCCCACACCCCGTAAACCTATGTCCAGATTCGCACTCGCAAGTAAACGACGCAGAAGGGAAATAATACAAAGGTATGTGCAGAACCTCAGCAAACCAACTAGATAAATCATCAAGTACTGGACGATATCCCAGTGGTAGCACTCTTTCCAAGCCTCTTTGGGGTGAAGTCGATGGAAGAGGTGGAATCGATAGAACGGACAGAGAGAGAGAAAGAAAGTCTCCACATCAAGTCCAATTTCGCTTGAAGGAATATGGGCAGGGAAAGATCCGTTGGGATAACTCCAGATCTATATGATAGGCCTAAGGAAGAAAAGTAGCGGAATGATCCGATGTCTGTACACAAAAAAGAAACGCTTGAAACTCCAAACCGATATGCGCGAGTCAACTCCATGGCAAAAGAACGTATCAAATAAAAAAGTAGGACAAGAGGCTATTCATGGCTTCTTCTTCACGTGACTATTTCCTGATTCAGAAGGGGTTTCGTCGTCGTCGATAATTCGCCATAAACGGCGCGGGGAGAAGTTTGTGCCGAACAGGTAGATTCCAACGAACCATGCCGCGAGAAGGTTGGCGAGGTGGTGGAGGAGGTACGCGTACGAGACTCCATAGATCGCTGAGTAGATGGCGATAACGAAGAAAAGCATTGAGGTAATGTGTTTAAGCCTGCGTGAATATTAGCTTGGGACGAGTGGGAGTTTTGTGAAATTATCACGTACCTGGAAGTTATGCGCGGGATCATAGCACCACTTGTCATAGTCTCGACGAGAATGAGGAAGGGCATAATGGATAGAACGTTGTGGTGAGATGAGAATGGCATGAACCAGTGCACAACCAGGTTATGGGCCCATACGAGCAAGACAAGCACGTTGATAGGTAAAATCCACAGCATCAGGATGAGGATAGAGTGTGCGTAGTTACCAAAATTTGTATGCGAGGTGGATCTCGTCTCCTTGGCATGCCATTGTGCCCTGACACACGTGGCCAGTTGAACAATACAAGCCACCATATAAGCGAACTGGTAGGGAATGACGGTCGATACAAGGATCAGAAGAATCGCAGTGTGGATAATGCGCCGTCGAGGGGTCGGGGTATTGAAAATCGGGAAATTTCCCCGGTCCTCGCGCCGAATGTAGCCTGACTTGCTGTGCGAAGCCCCATATACCCAGGAGCAAATGTTCACAAGCGTCAAAGCGAGATAGTTGACGAGGACACAGACGCCTACACTGATGAGCCCAAACACAGGTACAAGGAACCAGAAGAATGCGTCTTGAGATCCGAGTAATAGATCATTCTTGGTAAAATCAATGGCAGTCTCGGTTGAGTTCGTTCGCCAGTGGAGTGTCTCGTCAGTCTGAGGCAAGGCCTTTGAAGTAGCCAAGGACGAAGCTAGTAGCGACATGGCCACCAGAAGAAGCGGGAAAGATGACCGCAAAGCCCGGTCAAGGCCATCGGTGAACGGAATGAAGTAGCCGGACTCGTCATAGACCTGGAACTGCTTGCGGAGCACGAGGGCAACGACAAGCAGGGGGAACGCGGCAAAGATGGTTCGATAGCGCATTACTAGCTCACCAAGACTACTCATGAGATCAACTTGAAGCGATATGTCGACAGTCGAACCAGAGGTTGGGTCGGTCCACAACTGGAAAGACACGCCCCCGAGAGCGGCCTGCTCGCTAATCGCTGGTGGCATGAAGGGGGCCATGCCATGTAGGTTCACATTCACTTCGTTCACATTCACGAAGAACTTAGACTCATGGGGATCAGAGACGGACTGCCGAAGCAATGGCGCGAAAATTTCCGGCTTTGAAGAATCTCGCGTAATCTTGAGCCGGTAGTCGAGTAAGCTGGAGTGCAGAGCCGGGATCTTCACCTCGGTCAACATAGGTCGGTTTGCGGGCAGCCGCATTTTTAGACCAGCACTCAACAGCCCGCCCAAGCCAACCTTGGCCCGGATGAGAGAATCCGAGCTGTCTAAGAACTCGGCGACAAGGAATCCCAACGTCGGCACGTTGGCCTTGTCCACGACAGCAACGAATTGATGTTCTGCGAGGCCCTCCAAATCATACTGGAGGTACGAGAATGGTGCGTTGCGATCATAGGCATGCTTGGATGACCGGGTAGAGGAAGGCAAATGAATGCTGTCTTCAGCCGCACTCTTGCAAGCCAACCGAGTCGAGCCTACTGTACCGCCGGAGAAGTCTAAATTGAGCGCAAAGTTGGTTGAGCGACCATTGGATAGTGGGAACACGCTGCAGAACAAGACCTCAACGTTGCCGTTCTTGTCCAGGGACTGATCCGTGAGCAGGGTGAACTTTTTGCCAGATACGCCTGGAGGAGGGATTGGCAAAAGACGCACGTCTGGGCCATGCTGCAAGCCCAGTTCACGCAAGATCAGCCGCTGCCCCTGTGCGAGGATGGTGTTCGCATTATCTTCCAGTGTCAAAAGGGTATTTGCTTCTTTCTGAGGCAAGGTCCGCTCGGCCACCGACTCCAAGCCAGTCAGGTACCACCGTTTCAACACTCGCATGCGCTCGGCCCGTGGCTTTGTTTGAGTGGGACGCCTTGCATCAACAATCTCGAATAAGGATTTAATGATTGCCTTGCGGAACTGGTCGCACCAGGTGATCGACAAGTGGTCCATGCCAATCCATACATCCGGAATAGAGGAGGTGAAGACGGTGAACCCATGCGTTTCGGGAACGAGAGAAGAAATACTAGCATAGTCGGAAGGTACCACCGTATCCCGCGCACCGCCCGCGATGGAGATTAGAGTCACATGCCACAGCGGGTTGTTGTTCGCCCAGGTTTGGGCATATGCATCGCGCCAGTAGTCGTTGATCTGTTTGTAGGTATGGACGATATCGGAGTCGAAGGAAACAGGCGGCTTCGCGTGGGGGGCAGACATTGTGATGATGCTGTTGACAGAATTGGCCTGGTAGTTAGCCATGGTTAAAGCAGTTCGAGCCACAATTCCACCCATAGAGTGGCCGATAAGGATGACGGCGCTAGGATCCGGTAGCCCAGGGTCTCGACGTGTCCGCCGGGGGTCATGATAGAGTGATAGAATATATGAAATCGCTTCGTTCACGTATTCAGCTTGGTCCAACAACGTCTGCCCATGGAACGCTGCCATATCTTCGTTGAAATCGACCATGAAGAAATCCAAACTCCGCGTCCCAGCCGCATGGCCGCTCTCGTCATGTCGGACCACGTCGTAGTAATGTCGCGAGGCCTCAGCCGCCAGAGACCGCACTTGCCGATAACTGCCGGCGTTACCGGGAAGAAACAGCACAGGCACGCCGTTCAACTAGAACCACAAGTCAGCAAAGATGAGCGCACACCTTCCACCAATATCCGGGCCACCATACTCCGATGTTATCCTGTGTGTAGGGATCCACACCCTCCTCCCGGTAGACGAAAAGATTGTATTTGCTTGCAAAACGGGTATGTTCGGTATCGAATTCGAGCATGCGAATGAACGTGGGACTCATCATCGGTACACCGCAACCATCTCCACCCACTTGCCGACCGGCGAACGATTGAACAATAGAAATCAAGACAACGACGGCGACACATGTCGTCAGCGCAGTCAAGATGGAGCAAGACCAAGGACTGCGCAGGCGGGATTGTCGCGCTCGCCGACCGTCGGGGGAGGGAGCCTCCATGGGGAGGCGTGGGGAGCCCAATGGCATCGGTTTGGTGTCGTTAGAAGGTTGCGAAGACGGAGTGCGCCACATGCTCGAGTTCCGGGAGCGCGGCGTTGCGCTGCCGTCGCGGCGAAGGTCAAAGCTAGTGCCGCGTCGTGCTATTTGGGAGCGCGATTTCTCGTCGATGGGGTTCGGGCCATCGTCTGTCCGGGAGACCGAGGAATCTTCGTCCTCGACAGGAGAGCCCGACGAGCGTCTGTGCATTGGAGAAGGCGGAGCCGGGACTTCATCCAGCACACGACGAGACCGAGGTTCTTGGCGCAGGGGGTCAAACCTCGCAAAAAGAACCCTTAACGAGTAAGGAACGAGGGGAGGAAAGGGGGGGGGGTGGTTGAGAATGCGAAAGATCGAGAATGGAAGTTGGAGAAGGAGGTTTGGTCTTGGCAAAAAGAGTCTCCGTCCCTGTCCCTTGTCCCTGGCCCTGAATTGCCCCTGTTTTTTTATTTTGTTGTGGGGAGTCCAGTTAATGTTTAAATTGTTTAAATGTCTGAGATCAAGTAATATTACAATTCTACGGAGTACGATCTCTTCTCTCCACTTTTTGTCTCAGGGTTTTTTTTTTCTTCAACGCAATGGGAGCCTTGGCAATGAAACCTGCCAGTACAGTAGTACTTCGTCGCCTATAAGTTCGAACTATACTGGCCAAATTATGCATGAAGCTAAGATTTAAATACGAATGAGCCAGGATCTAAGTGGGAAATCTGACACTTTCTGGACGGGGAGCAAATAACAAACTGGCACATGAAGGCGTTCCTGCAGGACGCGTATGCTGTAAAATGGATATTTATAGCCTCGCTGTGAAATTGTAATACTGGAAACTTATTTCCCTGACAGTTATGACTTCAAGATCGACAGAAATGACGTGATTATAAGGGTATTGGCACATTGAGCTTGCACACTTAAGATTAAATAGCAATCGACAGCAGGGTGCAGGTATAGAGGGCAGAATCCCAACGCGATAGGCCAAAAAGCGATGGGACGGCACTCGATCTATAGATGGCTACATACTTAAGTATATGTGAGTGGACTGGGAGGATATTGACATATCCATAGGATACTTAAGTAGCTCTAAAGTCGCTACCTACAAAAGCTCTTCAGGGCTAGAGCGAAACTGGAGGAGACTTCTAGTCTCGAGGCCTACTGCCTTTGTGTGCACATCATGATTTAGATTCGTTGACATACTCAAGTATTTTCGAGGAAATCGAAACCAAGCTACTTTGAGTATTCAACCAAAAATGTCGTGAGTCGTGGGTATCAGAGATCATATCTCCAACCCATATCTGATCTGCAATCAAGAAACGTGCGAAACTCGAGCCTTCTCCGCATCTTCTCCATACCCTTCTTTCTGGTCAATACCACGGTGAGCCGCAACCTCTTGGAGGTCAGCGTCATGTTCAGCATCAAAGTTGCGACCCAGGCGTTCTGGACCAGCCAACGTGATCAAGATAACGTATGCAAACACACATCCCATAAAAATGCAGATGACCTTGCCGTATTCGTAGCGGTGGGCGGCTTCTTCAGTGGGAGGCAGCGGGAAACGCTCGCCGATGGTGGACTCGATGGTCGAGCTGGCGGAGGAGACCAGGTTTCCGAGCTGGTATGCTGTTCCGACCGCGAAGGTACGGATTGAACCGGGGGACAGCTCCATCAGGTGAATGGGGATCACACCCCATGCGCCCTGCACCATGAACTGTTCGAAGTAGGCTGCGGCAATGACATTCTTGTTCTGGACGAAGGTGTAGGGATAAAGTAGGGCACCGCCGACAATACTGATGACAATGATTGAGAAGCGGCGGCCAAAGATTTGACTGGCCCACCCACATAGGGTGCCACCTGACAAAGCACCCAGATTGGCGACGACCTGTGTGACAGTGACTGCGTTCTTGGAGAAGTTGAATTGGTTCTCTAACATTGTTGGGTAGAGGTCTTGAGAACCATGCGACTGGTATTCATGTCAGTGGCCCGGTTCAAGACTAGCAGTTGAGATCGGAAAGCTTCTTTACGTACCATGAAATTGAACCCTGCCATCAGAAGGACCAAGTAGATAAGGATTAGCCAATGACGCTTCAGTGCGACCTTGCCTTCTGACAGGAAGGATGCTGCGACACCACCACGCATCTCTTGACGCGCTTCCTGGCGCCGCTGGAATGTCTCGGTCTCGCCCAGGAACAAACGGAAGATGATAATCAGCACCGGTGGACAGGCCGCGAACCAATACAACGGCCGCCAGCCGTGGGGGGTGGTATCGACCAGCGCACGAGCAAAAGCTGTGGCAAGCAAGTATCCAAAGGCGTAACCCTGTTGCAATAATCCAGACACAATACCTCGGGCTTCGGGTGGACAATCCTCCAATGCGGTGGCTGCCGCATTGCCGTAAAGACCACCCATGGCAATTCCAAACAAGGCACGACAGGCCAAGAATTGCTTATACGTTTGACAAAATCCAGCGCCGAGCTCGAGCACCACGAAGAGAAGTTGGTTGACGATGAATGGCCACTTGCGACCCCATCGATCAGAGGCAATTCCGAAAGTGATGGCACCAACTGATCGGAGCATCAACACCAGTGTAATGCCCCAAGTAATATCAGTGACTGATTTATCGAACGTTTTTGCCAACTGAGATGTCGTCAGCGAGACCGTGAAGAAATCAAACGAATCCCAAGACCATCCCAGGAACGCGACCTGTGTAGTTTGGTTAGCCAAGACATTTGGCGTCAGCCCTAAAAAGATCGGCATACGGAGAAGTTGAGCCACTGGGTTCGGTTCAGCAATGTAAGGGCTTTGAATGGGTTCGGCGCAGGATTCATCGGGGGTACAAGAGAAGTGAATCGCGTAGCGATGTACCGGCCGATACTCATGTGCTCCTCGACATCTGGCTCGGCCACATGGCGCGACATTTCGTCCGCCATAACTGTAGAATCAAGGAGCGGATATGAATTGTAGTTGTATCACAGCTCACGGGGAAGATAGGTAGAAAAGGTAGTAGAAAAGGTGGAAAAGGGCTGAGAAGTCACCCTACGGGGGCCAGCACTACTAAATACGGCGGGGGCCCGAATCCGGAACTCACAGAATAAGAAAACATCCGAATGACCCGCGTCTGTTGTGGACGAGACCCCGAATGCTAGGATGACACCCGATCCCATTCGCCGGACCTGGGGTTCCAATCAGTCTATGCCGATCATGTCACATTTCGAGCATAGACTCCCTCCAGAAAACGTGCGTCCCCATGGGGTCCAAACTTTGTTCTTTACTTTCCAACTTGTACACAACTTTATCCAAGGGTAGGGTGTAGAAGTCATGGTGGATTCCACGGCACGATGCGGTGAATCCATGTAAGGCACCCGCCCTTGTCTCCGGCAAGTTGATCGAAAACGCAAATTACCTTGGCTTTTGCAGAACGTTCGCTACAAATGTCCATGCCCTTGCCTTTCGGGAATAACTAAATTCTCGGCTGTATCGTTGGAAAATCATGACTCCCCCAGACTTGTGGGGTTAGAAATCCCCGGACCCCACAATCTACTGGATCCCCGTTTAGCCACGTTGAACGGCAAATCTCGTACTACATCGTACATGGCCATGTGAGTATAATATAGTGACTCAATCTGACACTCTGCGCCATTCATCCAATTCATCCCATTCATCCCATGGTTCTCCCCCAGCATCAGCGGCTGAAGCATTTCGCCGCCCATTAGACTTTCACCCGATACTCGGCGGCCCGGGGTAGAAGCTTGGCGGCGCAGCTTCAACGAAGTAAGACTTCGGATATGCTTTGGTGGCTTGAGGGATTCCCGGACTGTCGCCGACAACGCAACCAGACCCCGAGCCCCTCATGAAAGCGCTAAAGCCCGAAAGACAACCTAGGCCGTGGAGATACTACTACTAAGAGTCCCGAAAGACACTAAGAGCCCCAATACCCCACAAACCCCCCGGTGCGGGCAAAATTGCAAGCGCTAAAGCAAACAACTAGCATTATCTCCGCGGTCCACGGACATGTTTCATTCTAGCGTCGGTGCGATTGACATACGTTCTCCACCACTTGGCATCGATATTACCAACCCTCCAACCGAATCCGAGATCTTGCATCTACTCTTGGCAGCGGTGCCAATAAATGCCACGCCATTGGCAGAAAAGCTTCTTGTGACTGTGCTCGGACATCCGCGTCATTTGGGCTGAACCTTTGGTCGTTGCGTTCATTTTGCTATTGTTGCCACTTTTGTGCTAGTGCGTTGGACTGGAATATAATTCATTGCCACTACCACTTCAAACCTACTTTTCAAACGGCTGGTTCTTTGTATGACACCCTGTGCCGAGATCGGCTTTGTTGATCTTTATCTCAAGTACCCGGAGCTGGGCACCTACGAGATAGTCGAGCCTAATTTCCACTATGCACCCGGCTAATGACCTCGGGAACAAAGTACCTCGGACTGTAGATTTAGCCAGGCCTGGGTCAAACATGGCCCCTAGCGCGACCATGCATCCCGCAAATCTAGGAAGTAAGGCATCGGTCTACTTATCTCTTAGTATGAACCTGGTCCAGCATATTGTTTAAAAAGACATCGCTCTAGATTTGGAGCACGTGTAAGATCCGAATCATCTAATATACACCTAGAAAATCTCCAGGTCTACTTTAGAAACAGGGAGCCGAGGTCCTTCTAATGTGGTCTGGAAACATTCGGATGACCACACAATACCAGCAAACGAAGATGAGTATGATGGACTGCCCAGGCCTTTCTTACGCTGTTTTCTACTTGCTTCAAGGTGTGACAGAGGCCACTGGTAGCCGACTCACCCGGTCCTGCCGATTTGCTAGCAGATCACCAATCGATATCCAGAAGCACGAATGGCCTGGGGCTCAGGCTTGAAGTGTTTGGCTTCAAGCAAGCAATTTTTATAGAGATGCGACCGAGGACCGACAGATCGGGCGTTATGCCCTTAGGACTGGGAAGGAACTTCGCCATCAATTACTCGGAATCAATGATATGGCTTCATTTCAACGTTCTAAGTTGGACTGGACTACAAATCGACAATGTTCAGTACTGCGGGAGAAAGACGGAGCTGAACGAGTATAACAGTGAGCGTAAAACTTAGAACGTGTTATGTATATTTAGTCAGTCGTCAGCCTAAACCATTTCTAAGATCATTACCTCGTATTTTTGACTAAATGAGGAATGCTCTACGGCTTCTTGCAGGCACCCGTTGGCGCGGGGAGTCTTGGCGGGAGTGTGTGGAGTAGACTGTCACCTAGTACTTTGTACAGTGCCAGTAGATCGATACACCTAAAGATCGATACACATATACTACTCGTACATAGATCGATCCTCGTAATGGCACGAGCTGAAGAGACTGAGCCACATTCCAATCCGGCTGTGCAGTCGATCCGAGACCCCTGGATGTGAGGCGGTGCTTCCATCCCGCTCAGCCCCGCGGGTCCCGCTGATGCCGTATTTATGGGCGCATTCCCATATCTCACTTTCCTTTTGCTCATTGATTCCAAACTCGCAACAGCTCTGCTCTGACCTAAAAAACTACTACTCAGACAAAACCTATATCTCATTATGTCTTATTACAATAACCCCCCGCAGAACCAGTACGGTGGCGGCGGCGCTGGCCACTATGACCAACAAGGCCAAGGCCATTACCCTCAGCAGGGTCACTCTCCTCAACCTCAACAAGGCTACTATTCCCCAGAGGTATGTTTTCTCAACACGCGCCGAGTCGCTGCTTCACAGCAAACCCTCACATCTCGTATTCGCACTGAGACGATACACCCATACTAACCGATCTAATTCACAGGGCCAACAAGCTTACGGCCAGCCTCAATATGGCCAAGGACCCCCACATGGCCAGCAAGGCCAGGGCTACGGTCAACCACAGCATGACCAGTACCAGCACCAGCAGGGTCAGTACCAGCAGGGTCCAGGATACGGCCAGCCTCCCCAGGACCGTGGCCATTCACCCTACCCTCCACAGCAGCACCAGGGAGGTGGCGAAAGCTCTTCATACTACGGCGGTGCGCCAGCACAGCACCAGCAGGGCCCACCTGGCGCCGCAGGGCCAGAGGGTGAGAGGGGACTGGGATCAACACTGCTCGGTGGGGCTGCTGGCGGCTTCATGGGCAACAAGATGGGCCATGGCTTGCTTGGTACTGCGGGCGGTGCTGTCTTGGGTGCGGTTGGCATGAACATGGCGACCAACAAGCTGTAAGTTCTCGTCTCCGTATTGCGATGTTGCGCTCTGGGTAGATTTGAGGCTGACGTGCTGTAGTGGCAAGGAACACAAGAAACACAAGAAAGAGAAGAAGCATAAGAAGGACAAGAAGCACAAGCGAAAGAGCTCGAGCTCGAGCAGCTCCAGCTCCAGTTCGGACAGCGACTAGGTTGATACCTTGCTTTCGACTGGTCGAATGGTCACAGTCACTTATCCATTGATGACTTTCCTGTATATTTTGCCAGCGATGATCCAAGCCGTGCTCTTTTGGTAAAGCCCCCTGCACCCGGGCGGCGAGCATGGAGTCCTTGATGCGTTACGCCTGTCCTAAGTAACCATGTATTCATAATGAAATTCAAGTGCTGAAACGAGTTCCAGTTGTCGGAGGCAAACGCCGGTTCAAAAACGCGTAGCAAAAACGCGTAGCTGCCCGGCCGCTGACGCGACCGTCTTTATATTCCGGGATATATTATTGATATGTTCAAAATTATATTATTGTGGCGGGGTGTGCGGCTGTTCTACAGCAGTTTCTGCTTGGGGAGTAGGGCAAGGACCGCTGGATCAACACTACTGCTCAGATCAAACGCCAGAGCAGGGACGTCCTTTGGCGAATCCCACACGAAACGCCATTTCTCCGAATATGGGTTCCAGTACTGGCGAGGTATCAGAGAAGAAAGACGCCGCCATTGACGACGCATGAATCTGGCCGTGATTTCGTGTGGGCGCCCATTGGCATATGCGGCGAATGTGTCTCCTTTTTCGGGACCCTTCGCAAGCAGTTTGAAGAGTTGCTTTTCAGACTGCGGTTTGTCTCCTTTTTCGGGACTCTTCGCAAGCATTGCGAAGAGTTGGTATTCAGACTGCGGTTTCTTCTCGGCCAGTACTCGTCTCTTGGGAGGGCTCCATTTCACGGTCCCCGAAATCAAGCCGTCGAGAAGTTGGAGCTCTTTCTGAGGAATTGGCGGCATAAGACTGCTCAATGTAGTGTTGTACCATCTCTGCCGAATGTTCTTTTTCCGTGATTCTGAAACCTCCTTCCCCCAGCTGTTCACTTTGGGGACTGGTGGCGAGATGTTCTTGATCAGAGGCCTTATACGATTCGTTGTCACCACTGGGTTCTGCATGTGGGCGATCGCAAGGCTCTTAACAATGACTGGGGGCTCCCATCCATCGCTGTACTGGAGCGGTTGAGCAAGGAATTCCGTTAGGGAGGCGGTGTTTTGCGGGAGGTGGTTTCCAAGCATGTCTGTCAGCAGTTCATGGCGCCTCTTCCCCGTCCGACCGTACGATAGTAATAACACTTTCTCGAGTGGGCGCTGATAGCCTTCATTGGCTCGCCGTAACACCGAAAAAGCGTGCTTTGCTGCATGAGCTGTTTGAGCACCCGGCTTCGTACGCCGGGAGGAGACGGTACGATATCGTGAAATGACATGTTTCTGCATGTACTCGCGGGCGATGGGATCAGGTAGGTAGGTGCATTCACGCAACGTAGCGCGATATAAATGAAGCCATTGGGAGGGTTTTGCAAAGTCCTGAAGCCAATGTGTACGCTGTGGTCTGGTCATGTTAAGAGTCTGTTCGAGGACAGCAAGCGTCGAAGGGCAAAAAAAACGGGGCCCAAAACGGAGAAACGCGAAAACCTTGGCGAGATGCGTGTCACGGGAACTCCGACGCGACCTCTTCATTCTACGCCCCGCGACTTGTAGCTTTCCATTATCTATGCCTTTTGGTCATTTTGGTGTGTGATCTGATATTTCTTTTCTGGGGCTCAGGGCTTTACATGGTATTTGATCTGGCCTGTTCCCTTCAGAGGGTTAGCCACGCGCCTCCTTGAGCTCGCGTCATTCCAATTGGCATTCGGTATCTGACCCTTGCTACTCTCGGTATTGGATCCGGGGAATATTATTGGAAATTACCATGTCATATTCCCAGGGCAGTACAGGATCGAATGGAATGGCCTACAACATGTTGAATGCTTCGATGAATGCCTCACAATCCCTCTCTTCCACCCCTCGCGCGACTCCACCCCCGAGAGGTTCGCATATGTCCTTTTCCGGCTACCCCAGCGGCCTCCCACGGACATCGAGCTTTGGAGGTTATGGTGGATCAAATGACAATGGGTCTATGTCATACCAGGAAGCGCACAAACCACAAATTTATCGAGTTCGTGGTCTCTGACACCTCACCATAGTATGTCGCTGACTGTCCTCCCAACAGGCCGTTTACTCCGAGATTGCCGTTTATGAGATGGAAGTGAATGGTGTTGCTGTTATGAAACGTCGATCCGATTCTTGGTTGAATGCTACCCAAATCTTGAAAGTCGCCGGTGTCGTCAAGGCGAGACGAACGAAAACCCTCGAAAAGGAAATTGCGTCCGGTGAACACGAGAAGGTCCAGGGCGGGTACGGAAAATACCAGGGAACCTGGGTCAATCACCAGCGCGGCGTGGAGCTCTGTCGAGAATACCACGTTGAGGAAGCTCTCCGGCCGTTACTTGAGTACGATCCCGGTTCCGGGTCCTTCGCCGACGGAGGTATAGAAACACCCACAAAAGAACAAGCCATGGCCGCCCAGCGCAAGCGTCTGTACAATGGAGGAGAAAGTCGAAGTTCATCACAGCCGCAGCAAGGCACCTTCTTCCAAAACATCTCGCGCACTGCTGCCACTGCCGTGAACGCACTAAGCAAAGCGCGCTTCGACTCACCTAACTCCAGCAGTCGTCGCCCTAGCATGGTCCGCAAACCTTCTCAACAAATGAGCAGCCAAGAATCTGGGCTTCCCTTCAGCAGCCAACAGAGCATGTACAGTATGTCTGACAGTGGGTTTGGCAGCTTGCAGAATAGGCACCAGACCCAAGACGACCAAGAGAACCTTGCAGAACCTCCACGCAAACGAATGCGCTCCGCTTCACACCACGCTCCACCCGGCCTTGCTCGCGAACACTCGAACCTCTCCATGCAAGACCCCACTCCGACTGAACCTAACGACTCTTTCTACCAAGACATGGATATCTTACCTCCCCCAATTGATGATGGCTCCAAGCGCGGAGTCGACTCACTGGCCCCTGCTTCTACCCCCGAATGCTTCCAAAAGGTGAAGCTCATAATGACACTTTTCCTCGACAAACGGACGAAAGACTTTACCAACCATCCTGCGTTATTGCAGTTGACTGGAGATGACCTCGAAATACCCCTCGACGAGTACCGCAACAATGCGCTCCACTGGGCTGCAATGCTTGCGCGCATGCCGCTTCTGAACGCACTCGTAGCCAAGGGTGTCAGTGTCTCACGCGTGAATGGTGCTGGAGAAACCGCCCTACAAAAGTCCGTCGGCACCCGCAACAACCTTGACTATCGAAGCTTCCCTCGCCTGCTGCAAGTACTCGCTCCAACCATTGACATGGTCGATTACAGCGGGCGAACAATTTTGCATCACATTGCCATGATGGCTGCGACTGGTGGCGGTGGCCATGTTTCCGCAAAGCATTACCTAGAAGCCCTGCTTGAATTCATCGTACGCCATGGTGGCATTGCTCCTAGCGCGAATGGAGATCATGCACCAAATGGCACTTCAGGCGGCGATGTCATCTCCCTGGGGCGATTTATCTCTGAAATCGTCAATCTGCGCGATGATCAAGGCGACACAGCTCTCAATCTGGCTGGTCGTGCTCGTTCAGTCCTCGTTCCGCAACTCTTGGAAGTTGGCGCTGATCCCCACATCCCCAACCACACTGGTCTTCGGCCAGCTGATTATGGTGTTGGTGTTGACATGGTTGATGGAAACTCTCAGTCCCAGCAGGCGGTTGATCGGAATGATACGTTCATCGACCAGCTAGCGAAGACAAAGAAGGAGATCCTAGATGGTAAGCAGTTTTTGAGCCCCTAGTATGTTGTTTTGCTAACATGAAATCTAGCTGCCATGTCTCAAATCAGTGCCCTGGTGGAAGAAACCTTAGGCGGAATCGACAGAGAGCTAGCGTCGACTTTGACTCAGAAGCAGCAAAGCTTCGACCACTGGCATACAAAGATCCGCGAGTCTGCTAAAGCTCGGCAGATCGAGCAGAAACAATATGACGACCTTAGACGAAAGGAATCCGAGCGCGTGGAACTTGACCGTCGAATCAAGAACCTAGAGCGATCATCCGAGGGCTTGTTGGCTACAGTGAAGAACACACCAGGTCTCGATGCGACGAAGACAGTCGTTGTGGGTGGTGCCGATCGAGATTCTGGTGTGGATGTCGCTACATATGATGCATTGTTCCCTGAGAACTTCGACCCAGCGTCCGGGTTCTCAGAACAGCAAGTTGCTTTCCTGGAATCTCTATCTCCAACAGATTCGCTCAGACGCCAGGCTCAATGCTATAAAGACTTCAACGCAGGCATTCTAGCCGAGGTCGATGGACTGAAAGCTAAAAACGCAGTACTCGGCCAGAACTATCGCCGCATGGTGATGGCATGCACAGGCTGGACCGCAGAGCAAGTTGACGAGGCTGCCGAGGGTCTCACGCAGTGTGTCAAAGAATTGAATGATAACCCCGTCCCTGAAGATGAGGCTATTGAAATCTTGATGCGGGATCGTGGGCAGGATTGGTAGTCTGTTCTGGTATTGTCTTTGTTCTGAGCGTTTGTCGCGTTGGCGTTGCTTTTGCTCTTGTGTCATACAAATACCCTGGTGGCTTTCACTTGATGTCCGTTGGCGCATGTCTTATTATTTATGTGAATAATACAATTCTTGTACTCAGTTTCACTTGAACTCTCATTTCATACAATTTAAACACACAATTTCCACGCCTACGCATTTCCCTCTATGGCCCATACCCCCTTGAATACGGAGCGAACGCCCGCGGTGACTCGTGCGCATGGCCTTGCGATATAGCACCCTCATACATGGCCTCAACGCCATGGACAACCCGAGATCGCGAGTCGGGAGTCAATGGCCGCTGAGTTTGTGCTTGCGCTCGTGGGCTGGACTGATACCGGGCAGCATCTAGAGGTTCAGCTGCCGCAACAGGGATATTAGGGCCGCGCGAGCTCCAATCATCAGTCAAATTGGGCCGCTCTTGTGTCGGTGGCTGCGCATATCCCGAATACATTGATGGGCCAGGGTTCGAATACCCCGAATACTGGTAATTCTGGAGCTGAGATGTCATCCCAGGCCTGCTCATTGTTTGGAAGTCCGGGTTTGAGAACTGAGAAGGCTGGTGGGCATGCCCTGGCATTTGTCCACGGCTCATCTGCGCAAAGTCCGATCCGCTATGGCTGGAGAAATGATGAGACGGATCGCCAGACCTAGCAGTGCGTAGCCTTTCTTCGTGGGCACGCTTGGATGCGTCCGTGCCATATAGTTCGTCGATATAACTGGTGAACTCGACATAGGCATCACGGACGACTTCGAAGTGTGACACACTCAGCTTCACAGTCACATCTGGATTCTCGGTTGATGTCTGGCTCAGTTCTTGAGAATCATATTCAGCCAGCGCTAGTGCGGTCTGACATGCGTTGCGAATCTGTCGACCATTCCAGCGTGCGCTTTTGTGTTCATTGAAGTGTTTCAAGGCGAAGACAGCTATTTCGACTTCTTCAATCGCAATCTTGCGACCTTTACGAATGAAGCGCTCTTTGATAAGCTCTAGGTTGAGTTTGAAGATGTTGGCCGTCTTCACGTCGTCTAGGGGTTTATACCAGAGACTGACATGGATTCGTGATGTGAAGGCCTCATCAAAGTCTCCAACACGATTGGTGGTGAGGAAGAGAATTCCAGCGTAGTACTCCATCACTCGGAGGAATACTTGAACATAGTCAGCTTTGTGTTCGAAAGATCAATCGCAATATGCATCAGACTCACCGGCTACCAGTCCATTTCGCTGGAAGTCTTCTTTTGTTCGCCGAGAGAGGAATACGTCAGCCTCATCAAGAAGAAGAATACAATCCCATCGATTGGCAAGAGCAAATGTTGTTTCGAGAGCTTTCTCGACTTCCTTGGATGTGGTTCCTAAGTCGCCTGGTTGCTGGTCAGAACCTACGTTCAACAACGAGCCCTTGAATCAACGTACCGCAAGTGATCTGGAATAGAGGCTTCCGGAACTGTTCTGCAACACCCTCTGTACACTCATGTCAGCTTCAAAGACCGAATTGGGCAAGGATGCTCTGAATTACCAGCCGTCGATGTCTTTCCCACACCAGGTTCGCCGTGAAGTAGAATGATCAGACCCTTTCCTATTGGTTGCTCAGTTGTTAGGTCGGTCTCGACTGACATTATACATGCTCCTCACCTTTGCCTCGGACAATATCAAATTGTTCTCGTTGGTTGGTCGTTGAGTCCTTGTCGCGGAAATGCTGAGAAACAAGAGACACAATCATATCCTTGTGTTTTGGTTCTAGAACGAGGCGTTCGAAAGCAGTCTTTGAATCATGGTCATTTCCATTCGATTTTGACTCCTTTTCACCAGAAACACGAGCCTCTGACTGTTGAACATTGGACAAGTACGACAAGTCCAGCTTGGCTAGAGTTGGATCATGTTAGCAACAACAGCATTAGATTTCGGATTTGAAGTGGCTCATGAAACTCACCCCATTTTCTCGTGCGAAGCACAAATCCAAAGACACGGTACGACATGATGGCCATCTCGTCCTCCGAGATAATGAAGCTTTTGCTTGCACCGCCCCGAAGTTCCTTGAGGGGGCGGGGGATGATAGAAAGCAACGGCTTCTCTGCCTCATTTTCCTTGGGCAGAAGACTGTCGATATAGTCGGTTCTTTGTTTCATGTCAACGTAGCTATCGTCGTGCACTTGATCTGCTCGGCAACAATTGGCGGAACAATTTCTATCTTCCTCGTCGGGCTCTTCAGCAGCTCGGCCGACAAGCAATTCCAGCGTGGGCTTCCATTTGACCTGCTCCTCGTCTTCAACAGTGAACGCAGTCTCGAAGTCAATGACAACCTGACTCTCGACTTCATCGCGAACCCCCAACGTTGGACCGGCGTAGTACATGTGCTTGACCCCGACCACGTCAAGGAACTTCCGCCCCCGTTCGATCAGCTTTTGACGATAGCTTTCACTGCGGGCTGATGGCGGTAAGGTGTCAACATTCTTCCATTCTTCGTCGCTGAAGTGTGCTTGCGTCGCTTGATAGAGTTTGAGAGGATACACTTCCAGAGAAGTAATGTCTTGTTGGCCCTCGAATCTCTTGAACTCAAAGACTTTGGAGACGGGCCCTAGATTCTTCCCATCAAAATCAATGTACACGCAATGGAGACTGAAGGGAGCCTCTGGCTTCTTTCCTTCTTTGTCGTCGCCGCTGGACTGATGGAACCGCTTCCATTGAGGTATGACACGGTGTCGAGCGCTTTTGACCTGGATGATACGATAGGCTTGCTTCCCATCACTGCTGATCACTTCCATTCCTGGTCTAAAGACATACCAAAGATCAGAGAAGAAAACCTTCCGGCCCTCGGACCGCAGCAAATAGTCTCTTTTTGGCTTGATGTCTTCGTCTAGGAATTGAAGAAGGCAGCGCAGATGCTTGAGTGCGGTGAGAGAGCCGGTATCTTCGTCTACCTTTTGATCTTTCTCATTCTCGTCTTCATAATCTTCGTCATCGTCTTCTTCTGCCTCTTCGACGGCGGTTTTGGGAGGCAAGGAGGGTTTATTCTTTTGTTCGGGCTCAGTGACGTTGGAATTCTGTTCATTCAAAACCTCAGTCACTGTGGAGTCCGCAACAAGAGCATCGGAAGAGACGGTGAACTTCTTCTCTAGCTCTGTGCAACCTCTTCGAAGCTGCTCTTCACAGTATACCAAGGCTTTGAATGGGCGCAGAAACACAACAGGTGTCTCATTCAAACCCTCAAGAGAGCTCCCATCCGACCCTAAGATTTTGGCCATGATTTTCAGGAGAGTACCGGAATGAACCCGAATTCTCTCCGGTAGCGGTGATTCTTCGGGATTCCTGGCCGTTGTAGGCACATTTGTCGGCGCTCTCTTCGGTTTCCTGGACGTAACACTGGAATAGCCAAACCAGGAGCCATATGACATTGTGTCTACAAGCGGCTCCCCCATCAATATGTCGATCGTGCTGGGCTTAACTTTCAATGAAGGAATGCGCCTGAAGGCATACCAATCCATCCGTTTGATCTGAGGCTCGAAGGCAGTGGGGTTTGCAGCTTCCTTGCTTTTCCGAGCAGCTTCGGCGTCTGCTTTTTCCTGATTCTTCTGCTTTTCTTTCTCGGCGCGCTGACGGATTCCAATTTCTTCTATCAAGTATAGTCGATCCATCTCCCACTCGAACCCCTTTCGCAGTCTTTGACGCCGGCTATCCCAGTCGATTGTTTGATCATATTCGTCAGGCCCCGTCGTTTCGCTCTTGTCGTCTCCACACTGGTGCGCTGTGTCGAATGGATCTGGTCGCTTATAAGGCTTCTGATGCTCAAGATAATAATCTCCATAGAACGGCAGGTACTTTGGTTCGCGAGGGCCCTCGTTGAAACTGTAATCGCGCATCATATACCAATCATGTTGGCCAGAGGCCTCCCAGTCCTTTCGATGTTTGTATAAACACTTCTCCATTTGCCTGTGTTCCACAGATCCGGGCAGGGGAATATGCGAGCTTGGTGTATTACGAATTTTCTGAGGTGTAGACTTTCCATGACTTCGATTTTCGAGCTGCTCAATCCTCTTTCTCATGAACGCTATCTCCTCGGCGTTTGTATCCGAGTAGGCTTCGTCAGCATCGCTGTGTAAATCCCGGTCTGTCATCTCTGCGGAGTGTTCGCTCATCGTCTCTATGTCTTCTTGAAGACTTGTTTGAAGATTATCGAGGATCACCGAGCTGGTTCCCTCCCCATCGGAGGGGCTGAAATGTGGCTCCATAGTGTACGTGTGTTCGGTTCCAATATTTTGGGTGAAAGGTTCTTTTTGCAAAAGAAAGAAAATGGAGAAGAGTCGAGGATTGGGCCCTTTGCAAGTGGGACAGAAATACGAGGTAGAGACTACGGATTATTTGCTCTCATATAGCAGAGCCAACGGAATCAAGACCCCGGTGGATAATCGTGCTTGTACCGCTCTAGCCATCGCATAATTTTAAAATCTTCTCTCGAGCTGACGGGCTAGCGGCAGTATCACCGCAGCCATTGGACACAGTTCATAAGCACGGCGTATTTAGCAAAAAAAGCGGCATGCTAATGCACGGGAGCTCCCTGTGTGTCGAATGGCATTCGTATCGGGGGGCCGGGTTGTCAGCACTACGGACTAAAAGGAAATGATGACCCGCCCCTAATCATCCGGGGGGGCTGAAGTGCATAATTAGCGTGTCTTTGAAACCCCACATGTATCTCTGCATCGATACTTCGCCCCTCCAGACTAAATCTTACAAGTCTCCCTCGTTGATGCCGGCCATGGAGAGAGACAGACGCAGAATCCCCGATATAAGCCAGCAGTCGCCTGCAGTTGACTTTATTGAGAATCGTCTGAGAAATTGTCATCCGATGTTTGCGGAAAATCATTGTCATTACGATTCTGCAGTCCAAAGCTTTGTCCCCAACGGAAACCCTCAGATCATTGTTCAATCAATCAATGATGATGATCTTTATGATGGCAAGTTGCAACAGTTTTCGGCGCCGAGCTCTCAAATCGCTCCACGACCCGTTTACACCGATCAAAAAGCAATGATATTTTGGAATGCAATCTTCGCAAAGTCCATGGAATCATTCAAGCTCTACCCACTCGGATCTAAGAGAGCCACTGAGTATGGGTTTGATATTCGGGATAAGGGCAACTGGGAGTCTGTTTACGGTACCTTGGAAGCAGCAAAGAATCGATATTGCCAGGAAAAATCCGTAAGAGGACGATTTCGAAAGAACTGGCGGCGGCTGGCAGACAACATCTCTCCAATTGCTGAAACAGCCCGCATAGCAAAGATTGTAGCCCCGGACAATATGTACTCCACGCCTGTTTTAGGAGCAGTGACAGTCATCATGGATGTAAGTAAACTGCTCAATCTATCAGTTGTTGACATTGATGATGGCTAATTTGGATATCCAGGCCATGCAGGTCGCGACCGACAGACGCAAACAAGCATTAGGGGTTGCTGATGTTGATAAACTTGAGGCCCGGTTTTCGGACATTCAACTCTTCGTCGGAATGTTCCCGGAAGATGAACACATCAGGAGAGCATCTACTGAGTTGACAATTTCTATTTTGAATGCTGTTGAGCATACTATTGCCTTTTTCATTGCTAACGAATGTGAGTTTGAGATTTCCCGCGTCTTGATAGATTCGCTCACCATGATACAGTCGGCAAAGCTGGCAAGGCCATATTTACCGGTGACAATTATGGGCAGATGTTGGTGCAGAGCATTCAAAAAATTGACATGGACAGCAAGTCTTTGCACACAGAAGCGACAAAGTCACATATGCACCAGTCTCAACTCTGTACGCAAAGAACCCACAGAAGCCTCCCTTTCCACCCATTCGAGGACAGGTGACATACCTTTGAGCAACGTGCTAACTTATCTCTGCAAGACGACGAGCAGCTGAAAAAGAATCAGGATCAAATGCTCAGCGAGCAGGCAAATATTTCAGAAGGATTGAACGGCATGAAGGATCTTTTGATCGAGCACGAGCTTCGGATCATGTCAAGGATAGAGGGGCTAAGTAAGTGTTCTTCCAAAACTGATTTCACTAATCAGGTAATGTATTAACGGCTTGGTTTCTTAGGACATTACTTTGAGCGTGCTCCCTCACCGGACATGCAAGCTATGGGATACTATATGAGCCAGGATGCATTGCATCACATGATTGACGCTCACGATATCGACATACAAGATATTACCAGCATTTCGAGCATGAAGTCCGGATTCTTGTCAAGAGAGCTAGCTCAAGCAGAACAAGTTATTCAGATGGCAAAATTCCGACAATGGTTGGTACTTCCAACATCGACCAAGCTTCTACTTCACTGGGAGCCCCGCCCTTCAAGGTTCATCGGAGACATATCTCCATTTTCAATCATGTGCAGCATGATGATGGGACTTCTGAAGTCTCAGCCACGCTTCTTGCCCCTTATATTCTTTGGGGCAAAATACGTCGAGCGTGTGCGCGAAAATCCCTGGGGCTATCCACATATAATGCTCCGGAGCTTGATCGATCAGTTACTTCGGCAGCATAGATTTGACATGCGATTAATCTCCCATGTGGCCGACCCAACCAGATTCGAAAACATGTTTCAAATTCTGGAGCTGCTCATCTATCAGCTTCCAAACACACGAACACTCTGCTGCATTATAGATGGTGTCGTACTTTTAGAGCGAGAGGAACATTCGAGGGAAGCTCTTACTGTCCTGGCCAAGCTTTTGGAGATATCAAACCGACAGAACACACAAGCGCCAGTCAAGCTTTTATTTACCAGCACCCCTGCAACGACGATTGTTCGGAAAGCGTTTGAGGATGAAGATTTGATTCTGAATGTGAGCACATTGAGACCGTCTGGTTTGACGCCTAGCGTTGAAAGAATGGCCCGGGAGTTAGGTCAAAATGCTTTTGATGCTGAAGGGGCCTATCTGCGGTGATCGAGCCCATTTAGAGAATACGGACATGAACGTTGATGAAATTTTGAAGAGGTGCTCTTGTCCGATCGCCTGATCTGGAGATTAGGAAAAGAAAAACCAACCGCCCCCCGAAACCAACGTCAAGATCCAGGCGTGGGTGCGAAGGGGTATAATAAGTAACGACCAGTCTCTACATTTGGTTAATTTTTGCCCCGGTTGGGAGTGGATGCATGGGGCCGGGAATGCTCTAAGGCCAAACTTTGTTAGAGATTTGGGCAAACTTAGTCTATCGAATTAATGCGAGCTGATGAAATGGACTGCACTGCTTCAATTAAGTATAATTCCCCAAAACTATGGAAGCAATCGAATACCATCGAAGATGATTGCTCTGGAACTGCTACGTCGAGGGATCTGAGCAGAGAGAAAAGAAAGAAGAGGAGAAGCAGTCCATCATCGAACTTCTAACACTAGTACTTTGCTTTGTGTGAGTTAGGTGCAAGACCCGCTCATCAATGTATGGCGAATAGGTGGGGAGCTCACGACTTCTTTTCTGGTATCCTGCCTCACGGGTTAAATGCATCGATATTAACCGGACTGAGGCATCCTGTTAGCCTGAATTACCTTTGTGTCACTTGCCAAGCTGTGGATTTATCCTATTCCCCGCGTTCGGTCTACTTTGAACCGTTGAAATGGTCTGGTATTTAATCAACAACATTTGAGCCCTCCGGCGAGTCTTCCACATCTTCGGTGCCGTTGATACATGAAAGACCTCGATTGAAGCATTTATTTTCAATTGACAAGATGACCACCGGGTTTTTGAGCGTGAAGGGAGACAAGGTTGTGGACGGCGATGGACACGGCATTGTTATGCGAGGAGCTGCCCTCGGAGGATGGATGAAGTGAGTCTGTGTCTGAAACTCGAGATTTGATCTCTGCCTACTAACATCTCTCTCCATTCTAGCATGGAGAACTTCATTACAGGATTCGCGGGACATGAAGCCCAGCACCGTGATGCCATGCGTCGAGTTCTCGGACAACAAAAATATGAATATTTCTTCGATAAATGGCTTGAGTACTTCTTCACCGAAGCAGATGCAAAGTTCTTCGCAGATCTCGGATTGAATTGTCTGCGTCTACCATTCAACTACCGCCATTTTGAGGATGATATGAACCCACGTGTCCTAAAGACATCGGGATTCAAGCACCTGGACCGAGTCGTTGATTTGGTCTGTTTATATCGGTACATGTTTTGTTAAGAAAGATCAGCTTGCTAATGTCGAGCTTTGTAGTGCGCAGCACAGGGCATTTACACTATCCTGGACATGCATGCCGTCCCCGGTGGTCAAAACCCAGACTGGCATTCCGACAATCCAACCAGCTATGCAGCATTCTGGGACTACAAAGACCACCAAGATCGCACAGTGTGGCTCTGGGAACAAGTTGCAGCGAGATACAAAAGCAACCCTTGGGTTGCTGGGTACAACCCTCTCAATGAACCCTGCGATCCGGAACACGTGCGACTCCCAGCCTTCTATACGCGTATTGAGAAGGCCATTCGAAAGATTGATCCGAATCACATACTATGGCTAGATGGGAATACATTTGCGATGGAGTGGAAGGGATTTGACAGCGTGCTGCCGAACTGCGTGTATGCCATGCACGATTACTCGGTGAGTCCTCAGTTCCAGGTTTTCATTGCCATGACTGTGCTAAGTGGCACGTTAGTCCATGGGATTCCCGACTGGTGTTCCATACAAGGGAACAGCAGATCAGAAAGAGCGCCTAGAGAGTGGATACCTGCGCAAAGCTCAGTTTATGAGCCAGAACAGGACTCCGGTCTGGAACGGGGAATTCGGCCCAGTGTACGCAGACCGTGTCCTCGATGTCGATGCAGAAACCGTAAACCAGGATCGGTACAACCTTCTCGGTGAACAGCTGCGCATCTATGACAAGTACAACATTAGCTGGTCTATTTGGCTCTACAAGGACATCGGCCTACAAGGCATGGTTTACACGGACCCTGAAAGCAAATGGAACCAAACATTAAAGCCATTCCTCGACAAGAAGAAGAGATTTTGGTTGGATAAATGGGGACAGCGACCTGCTTCAGAACCCGAAGCTGCACTGCGGCCCTTGGTCGATTGGATTGACAGTGTAAGCCCAACGGCGAAAGACACTTACCCTACATCCTGGAACACGGAGATGCATGTTATGCGGAATGTATTCAACACATTTTTGGCGGCATCGTTTGTGAATGAGTTTGCTGAGTTGTTCCGGGACGCGAGCGAGCAGGATCTCGATAATTTAGCGAGGAGTTTCCATTTTGATGTATGCTTGCAGCGTGAGGGGCTGAATGAGATTCTCAAAAGCCATGCGCATGCCTCGGGCTTTTGAACACCTGGTGTTTCCCATGAGCCTGCTGGAAATGGTGTGGACATGAATTGAATTGAAGCTTTTATATGACACGTCCACGTCCAAAATCTTTTTATCGAGGTCTCCAGTATGACAGGGGGATTTCGAATCCTCGCAACTATTACACTCAGGCCATTTCGTCCCTAGGATCTCAGGTTTACTCTCAAACCTTTGGTCATTCACTCAGTGCCGAAGATCTCAATGCGTATCTTACCGAAACTTACAGCTTTGCTCAAATTACCGAGGAATTATCCGACCGATCGAAGCATTTCATCGTGGCCTGCGACAGTCAACGTAATGTTGTTGGTTTTGCGCAGTTAACGGAAGGTACCCTCGAGGATTGCATCGTCACCGAGAAGCAACCTGTTGAACTGCAACGACTCTATGTCCATTCGAATTATCACGGGTTGGGAATTGGTAAATGTTTGATTCAGAAGATCGAGGAATTGGCCCGGCAAAAGGGGTTTCAGACACTGTGGTTAGGGGTTTGGGAGCAAAATTATTCAGCCCAGAAAGTCTACGAAAAGATGGGGTTTGTCAAAGTTGGCCAACATGGATTCAAGATGGGCAAATGTGTTCAAACAGACCATATCATGAAAAAGTATATATAGATTACTGAATGAACAGCTTTAGAAATATCGCGGGTCTAAGAATGGCTCGAAAATCTTAAGTTCTGCTCAGCGTTGAGATATGAAACCAAGTATACTATGCATATAGGCCTAGGGGAGTATATGGACCAGATCCAGGCAGAGGATACTCGGATGTTCTTAGCGGTCGCTCAGCAGCAGCTCTTCTATTTCCTCCGGGTCTAGTGTGGCTTATTAATTCTGTGCGTGCGTATCCGGACCCCATTTTGATCCACTATTTAACCCCTTTACGTAAGCCGGCGGCGGTCGGACCAGCGTTGCGCTGGTCCGACCGCCCCAAGATCTCGCGATTCCAACCATCTCCCTAAATTCATTTACCCTCACTTATTCGCGTCATAACTTTCCACCAATATGGTCAAATTCAATTCTGAAAAAGAAGCGCGAATCCTTGAGGCCTGCGCTTTTGCCCGATCCCAAAAAAAACCCAATTTGAAAGCGATTGGGCGTAAATTCGACGTATCTTACCATGCTCTTCGAAATCGTCATATTTATGGATCACAGGCTCTCAATGGTCCCAAACCTGGCAATCGGCTTCTAAAACCATATCAAGAGGAAGCAATTATTGCTGCCATCACCGACATACGTGATATAAACCTTCCGATCACCCACGCTATCGTTACTGAGCTTACAAATGATACATTACGACGCGAGGGTTATGATTACTATATGGGTAAAAATTGGATGTACAACTTCGAAAAAAAGCTTCCAAATCACCTGAATTTTACTCTAAGAACCTAATATACAAAGGATTATATACGTGTTTAAACTGAGAATATTAGATTAATGCATTTTTGGTATCATCGCTTGAATATCGTTGTAAGCGATCGACCTGTTTCTTTGGTATATAATATAAACGAAATCAGCTTTTAATCTAAGCAAGGCAAATCTCAAAGAGTAATTAGTTTATCTTAGTTAATTTGTTTTAAGCTAAGTGTATTTAATCGATCTGAAAATATTACTATCATTAAATATATCTCTACTTAAAGATGGTTAATAAAATTATTTATTATCTTCAAAGATACTTTAGTTTAAGAAAGTTAGTTTAATTTTGAGAATCTTAGTATTGCAGTAATTAATTTATTATTAAATAGATATATTATTAATTAATTAGTATTTAAATAGTTAGATTCTTTTCAAAAAGAGATTTAAGTTTTTATTAGATATCTTAGTAAAAAATGTCTTTTATTTTTCGATAGTTATAAATTATATAAAACTTTGGAATTTATTTAAAAAACGAAGTCTTTTAAAATAGATTTCTTCGACTTTTTGCTTTATATAATTCATTTATATTAACTACTTAATAAAGATCTATTTTTAGTATACAAAACTAACTTTAAATAAACTAATAATAAATATTTATATTAGATATATTAGTCTATTAAAAAATATATTTAAAAATATATAGAGAGTGTACTAATAAATATATATTTAAAGAATATAATATTTACTTTATTAATAAAGAGTTTATTATTAAAGTAATAGAAGCAAAAGAGATTTTATATTTAAATATTGATATACTAAAAGTATTTTATTAAAATAATTTTAGTAAAAATCTTTTTTCTAAACTATTATTAAGATTATCAAATATTACAAATATATTACTAAAAAGAATTAAATTCTTTTATTTAAATTAATATAAGGTTTTACATTTAGTTCTATTAATATCTAATCTTTCGAAAGTCTTTATATATAATAATTAATTGATAGAAAGGAATTATTGATTAGAGGAGTGTAAGAAGTGCCGACTTCATACAAGGTGAATACGGTTCGACGGGTATTAGCAAAGGATCTCCTACGATGCACCTGAGGTAGGCCACCCGCGCCTACTACGCAGAGGTGTACTACCTGTACCAACTGCGTAAGAATTCCAGGGCATCAATCTCCGTCGCATCCCCATTCCGAAAGCGCATGCTTCCTCCGAGGGAACTAGCTTCCATGAGGGATTTACTTTATAGTGAGCAGTATATATTTAATATTATTTGAATTTATAATCCACTATTAAATAGGTAAATCAAATTTTATAGATAGATTATTTAGAATTCTAAATTCTAAATAAGTAATACTAGAGTTAGATTTGCTATCTACAATAAAGAAACGAATTATAGATGAATCTTCTAAAAGAAAGGTTAGCCAAATCATATTGATATAGAATATTAAGGAAAGTTTAGATACAAATAATAATTTATTCGATTCGAATTTTAAAGAGGAACTAATAGATTGTAATCTATTTAGAGATTCTATCAAAGCTGCAATTGCTACTACTAAATAGGATGATCTATCTAAAACCCTTAATATTTAAAGAATATATAATACAAATATAATTAAGATTCAGATTCTAAACATTCTATCCAAAAAGAATATCCTAGTCGAAATTAAATAGGCCTAATTAATAGATAAAGAGTTAAGACGTAGAATAGCTATAATCGAATAGAAGGGGGTAAGAAATTAGTTTATTGACAACTTAGGAATTTTATACTTCTATTTAAAAATCTTTATTTCTAAAAAAGTAAGACTTCGGATATAATTATTAGAAATATATTATAATGATTCTGTTACTAACTATTTTGATTATATAAAAATAGAAGAGTTTCTATAAAAGAACTTTTATTAGTCAGAAATATAAACAGATATTAAGAAATATATTGTAATATATATAATATATCAAACATCTAAATCCCTCAGATATAAACTATATAAGATTCTTGAATTATTATTTATATTCTTAAGATCTTTTATAGAAGTCTTTATAAATCTTATTATTAGATTATTATCTATAATCTAGAATAGCTATAAGATGGATATTATTTTAGTAGTTATAAATCGTTTTATAAAGTAAAATATATTTTTTCTAATCTCTACAACTATAGATATTATTAAATTAATAAAAGTATTCTATAATAAGATAGAACTATAGTATAGACTATCAAATAGCATTATTTTAGATTAGGAATCTTTTTTTACAAATAGGTTTTAGTCTCAGTTATATTTCCTAGAGAATATTAAAAATCAATTCTTAATAATATTCTATATATAAACTAATAGCTAAATAGAAAGAATAAATTAGATATTAAGAGCTTATTTATAATATTTTATTAGTAAATATTTTTAGATATAATCAAAACTATTCAAAACGACTTAGTTTATATATAATAATATAGAAAATACAATTATAAGAAAAACTCTGTTTCAAATACTTTTTATTTATAATCCTAATTTCCAAATCCAGATAGAAGATTTTCTTAATAAATGGACTACTTTAAACGCTATATAATACTACGAAAAGCTATAAAATCTATAAAAATCGATAATAGAAAAATAGAAAATTGCTATTAAATCATAGACTAAATACTATAATTAATATTATAAAAAAATTAATTTTAAAGTAAGAGATTTAATCCTACTATCTACAAAAAATCTACATTTAAAAAATAAGAAATTAGCTTTTTGATTTATAGGATCCTTTTGAATCCTGGATTATATAGAAAACCAGATTTACAGACTAATTTTACTAAAGTAGTATTTTTTGCTATATAATATCTTTTTAGTATAGCTATTAAAAATATAGCAAACGTAGGATGATTAAAATACCTATAATTTAATATTGATGTCTAAACTAGAAGATAATAACAAATAGGAGATTAAAGAAATTAAAGATAATACTAAATTTAATAATGAGTTCTATTATCTATATAAATAAACAGAATGATTTTCAGAGTATAATTAATAGATTCTTGTTAGTAATATGAATGTTTTTAAATTAATTGTAAACTATAGAAAGAAGTTATAGAAAACTATATAAAATAAAAATAAAATTCTAATTTGCTAAACTAAGAAAATACTAAAAACATTTATTTCAAAAAAAAAACAGTTTCTTTTTTCTAATTAATCTGCTATATTTCTATAAATAATAAAAAGAAATCTTACTAAATATTCTTTAAATCATATCTTTATATTGTTTGTATCTAATATATTCAATATTCTTTCTATTTATTATGAAATTGTATTCTAGAAATTACTAACAACACCATACCAGAATTAAATACCCTTTTCTATATTTAGAAGACTAGATTATATATTAGCAGCATATGCTATCTACATCTAAAGATCATAAAAAGAATATATTAGAAATACTTATTAATAGGAATCAATAAGTTGTTAATATCTAGTATACTTGTTATACTATAAATAATTAATTAATTTATAAAAATATAGAGATAAATTATTTATAGTCTATATTACATCTAAGTAATAGCAAGCTAAATAAACTATAACAAATTAATCTAGACTATTAAATAAATATTAAAAATTCTTTGTAAGTATTTATTAAGATCAATC